CACCAGGGCAATTGTGGAAATGGTCACCCCCTTCCAAGGTGTTCCGACATACGCCAAGGACAATGTCAACGGGCTTCTTTCTTCAATTCTCGTCTGGGTCGGTGGTTTGGATATGACTATTGGCCAGCGGAAATTCGACGGCTTTTCTATCTACAGTTCTGACAGCCTGGAGAAGATTGATCTTCCGGACACCTGCAAAACTTCACTGGCAGCAAACATCAAGTGTGAGACATATCTTGAGAACATGATGTCTCGCAAATGGCATGGCTCGTTGAACAATGGCACCCTGACGGACCTTGTCTGCGACACTAGTTGCGGCGAGAGCCTGAGTGAGTGGTTCGGGGCTGTACAGAATAATTGCGGCGGGTATAACTTCAGTGGCTCTCCTCCAGAGCTATATGGTGGCCGTATCTGGGCCGGTTACAATGAAACTTGCAGCAAAGATAAAGCCACAGACAAATACTGCAATGGTATGTTACAGACTTCTCCTCCGACGGTACATGCAACTAAATCCTTCCTCTACAAGACGTTATTAGTGATTTCACTTTGGTTCAAAGCACCGCGGATATGCCTGAAGCCGAAGCTTGCTCCTACTGCTACACAACTCGCCTCCAGATGATGCAACAGACGCCTTACTCGATGTACGACGACTATTATCAAGAGGTCCTGGTAGAACTGAATAGCCGATGCGGCCTCTCCGGACCTACCGACATCCTTGAGATCCCCTGGGCGACCATCGAGGAGGAAGACGAGTTCTGTGTCTCGGACAATTACTACACAACAGTCAAAGGAGACAACTGCACATCCATCGCAGCGGCAAACAAGGTCTCATCCGCATCACTTTACACGGGTAACCAGGAGAAAATTGTGGATTGCTTCTCCATCAAAGCAGGCCTCAAACTTTGTCTTCCTTTGACTTGCGAAGATACATACTCCCTCGAGCCAACAAACAATTGTACCGCGATCGAGTACGCTTACTCTCTTTCAACCGGGGATCTCCGCAAGTACAACCCTTGGATCTCCTTCGACTGTGACAATCTGCAAATTGCCAGCAAGATTTACGGCATGAATCTTTGTCTATCGGCACCCGGTGGTGCGCACTCCAATGCCACAGCCGGTACAGGTTCAACTACTCCCAGAAAATCAAACGGGTATAGTGAGGTTTGGGCTGCCCCGCCGACGAACGCGACTGTGGCCGAGGGAACAACCCTCAGTTGTGGAAGATGGCATGAGGCTGCTGCCAATGAGACCTGTGTTGGAATTTGTGCCCAGGAAAGTATCACACATGCTTTGTTCGTGACTGTCAACCCGTCACTGAATGATGTTCGATGCTCGGAGACGTTGCAGACGGGCAAAACTTACTGTGCTGGTCCGTTGTATTTGTGGAATGATGCGGAAACTTCTTCCAGTAGTAGTGCCAGCGAATCGGCTTCTACAACTTCGGCCGTTTAGCTGAGACTCAATTCGAACTATATTACTCTTTTGAACAAATTGATACATTTCTTGGGTTGGTCATTATCGAAAAATAAATCATATACGATATTGTATGCATTGTGGGAAAAGAGCAGAAGAAACAACGAGGAAGAGAGAAGCTCTCACTCTGCCACTATCTACTGCGCCAGACCCGATCAATCAAACAGCCACACCTGAGAAAGCTCCGACAGTGATGCATAATGCACAAGAACTCAGTGTTATCAGCAACACGAGGTATGCCCGTGCCCAGGTGGCCGTAGACATCAACTGCTATTATTATTTATTCAATCAGTAAACCTTGGAAGTGTTTTTATTTTCCCAGGTCTCAAGTCAAAAATCTTGGAATCGAAATCGAAACTGCGGGTTCTAGGGGTAAATTCCTCCCTGAGGGAGCCCTAAAAGTTGGGGGAGGAAGCCCCGCAAGTTGGGCTGTCACCCGCCATGAATAGGCGGTGAAAAATCAGGCGAGAATCCCGCGAAATTGAGGTCATCAATGTCACGGCTAGAGCCCATTGGATATCACGTGTTACCACGTGACCCACACCTGGGGTTATTACGGAGAACCCCGCGTCAGATAGTTCCTTTCCTCAAGATGAATGTAAACAGCATGTTGGCCTAGCCCTAATTGAATCAATTCAGCTACAGCCCTTCACAGATCGTACCGTGGTAAGAGATTCGACGGGGGTTCGGGGGTGACAACGAGTTACCGAAAGTGAACCTATCGAATGTGAAATTGTATAGCAGTCTTGCCTACTACAGAATCAATAAGTAGGTGCAATCTGATAAGATAGCCCTTAGGGTAGAGATCGGATTCCTAGTTAGTTATATCATAACGAATGTCTAGAGAGTGTGGATTCCACATATAGGGAAAGTGAAAGTGTGAAGGCATGCGCCCAGGCAACACACGTCTACCAACTAGGCCAAAAAGACCACTATGTCAGCCGTCGGCTGACATGCCTGAGACTGATACATATACTACTCAGTACGCACATTGAACTCGTGGATCAGCCACGTCGTTACAGAAAGTGATTCGCGATACCGTGTTTAATGAATTAAGGAAATACATACCTAAACACTAGCACTACTAAGCAATCCCCATACCTTTCGTTAGTGAACCGTAGTATCTGTTAGAGAAAGAAGTTCTTTAGTTGATTAGAGAGATCGCAACAGCGGTAAGAGCTAATAAGGCGGAGTAAGAAGCTTAGTAAATGCTAGAGCCGCTCTCCTCGCGAAGAAATAAGGAGGAAGATGTTCCTACGAGTCAAGAAGAACGTAGTATCATCAATAACGAATATAGCATGGTCAGGCTCCATACGATGACGAGCTTCTCAAGGAATATATCTCGGGAGCCAGATCTGGGAGTGGAACTGGAGCAGCGTAAGTTTGCACTCGCTAGCGATGCAATATATTTAACTTGCACTTCAAACGAATGACCCAAACAAAGATCACCATACGTTATATCGGTGGTCAACTCTGGTATGAAAAGTCTTCCTGATCTAGTAAATGCTCTCATCCTCACCTCAGTTCTTTCAGCGGGCAATAATTGTGTCTTCTACATCTCACAGACACTTCATGGAATGGCGGTAGATGGTAGAGCTCACTCATTCTTCGCCAAGTGCAACAGATTCGGCATTCCATACTACTCTGTCCTAGGTCCCTTGGCATCTTGTTCCCTTTCTTTGCTACAGTTAGGCAAATCCTCTATGCGGCACTTCGACATCAAAAGATTGATAGCATACAAAGGATTCCTTCAAACATACGCGATATGGTACGCTCTCTTTGGAACATTCATTGTGATCCTCATTCTGGGCTATACTGTGTTTATCAATGGACATTGGGATGCAACTGTCTTTTTCACAAGCCATACCATGGTTGGATTTTTCCCTGTTGCGTTTCTGGTTTGAAAGGTCTTCAAACGAACAAATTATATTGTGCCCGGCACCGCAGACGTGAATATTGGGGGAACCAAGGGTGATATTGATGTTTGTGAGAAGCTCCATGAGCCGCCGAAGCGAGGAGATATACCTGCCTTCAACAAGTTTTTCAATTAGCTGAATTTTATAGATTTCAATCATAGAGTATGCAGGGATTGTATGAAATCTTGTACCTTATTCAACAAGCCACGATTGTACCATTGGCCTCAGAAGCGACTAAACAATCACCTTGGCGGGCCGAATGTCGTAGATCGTGCCGTGAATGACGTCTTTCGGTGCTAGCGTGGGATGAACCCCCACCACTTGTTCACCACCTGTCCACCACCTACAGGCCCAGCCGCCTATTGTTCCGGCTTTTTTGCACCGAACCCTTGGCGAGCGTTGAGAGATTCGCTGCAGCCCCGTAAAACAAGGAAACAACGCATTTCAGGGAGATTAGGGCTGAGTGGTACAGACACTACAGGGTGTTGTATATAGGTAAATCCTACCCGAAGTTGGGTAGGCTCTTCCAAAACATCACATTAACGGTCGCGGTTGGTACCCACTATGGAAATGAACATTCACCGGTGAAGTTGAAGTTCGGCTAAATTGGCTAGGCTAAACGTGCTTAAGTATCGGCACCGATAAGAAAACCGCCGATCGGAATTAACATCCGTTTCACTGAGATTGAATTAATTATGGTTACTGAAAGCGGATATAATTAAGCAGAGGATGTGAGAACAATATTGTATATATATGTATACACTGTCGTGGTGAAACCCCACTGCAACACTACATTGTAATGCGTAAGGTCTCACTGGTTGTATCGGTGTACAACGTAGCTGACATATTTGCCGAGTCGAACGAAATTAGATATAACGTCTTTCGATGAGACAAGATTTCGATGCCGATCACAAGGGGAATAAATGGTTCCCTGTTTTGCCCTGTCGATCGCAGGTAGCAGCCGCATGGTTGCCACTTGATTTAAATTTTTTTTGTCCAGCCACCACTTGTGTATGATTCTAGAGTTTATGTGATATTTGCCATTTCAAAAATAGAAACAGAGGGAGTACATGCACAAGACCCTGAAGTTCAGTGTGGAGAGTACGTACGCGTCTGCGTAAGACGTGGTTGTCCCAGCGCTCCCCACATACCCAGATGAGTCTAAATGATCGTCAATTTGGAATGATATCATAGAATAGTATTCGTTGTCGGGGGAATCTGGCATTTGATATGTACAGTGTTATTGGTTGCTCGATTGCTCATGCGAGATCTATACTGCACAACGTATGTAAGAAATAATATAATAATTTTGTCTGTAGATCTAAAGTACATGGCTGGGATGTGTGCCAAGACTAAGAGTATACGTATGCGTGCAGGAACGTAATCATCCCGAAGCAGTCATGGATCTCCAATCTCCTGAGCCAGATAAATTAAACTGGAGACTTCTCCTGTCACTTTTTTTTTTTTTTTAAGGGACCCTGAATCTTTAAATACTAGGCTTCGCCAAGTCTTGTCTTTTACCACTCGCATTCTATCCTCCGTGACTGCCCACAAAAGCCTCATACCTCGTATATCCAAGGCTTGACATTCGTTCTACAAAAATCTCCAACAATGTTCTCCACTCTCCGCCTCATCCTGGCCATCGCCTTCTTCCTTAACCTGGCCGCCGCCTTCCCTCTCATCAATCGCGATATCCAATGGTCCTTCACCCTTTTCCCATCCGCCTCCTGCAACGGAACAGCTGGTGATTCTCATGCCGGCTCCGGCAGCACGGGCTGTCGCGCAAACCTGCACAGTGTTGCCTCCGCATACACCCTCAATTCTATCGCTGAAGGCTGTCGCATCGAGTTCTTTGACAATACTATGTGCGACCAGAGCGAGCTCTTTGATGTCGCCGGCCAAGCCAACGCCACCGATACCTGTCGCATGGCTAGTTTCAAACGCCGCTACGGTTCCTACCAGGTTTCCTGCTTGTGAACACCTTCTACATTTGTTTTCTTTTACACTGTCTGGGACAGGATTCGGGCTGGTTCCCGATCGATCGCATTTTCAAAGGCCTGGGCTCGATCACCCCTGAGCTATAGATTAGATTTTTATTTTAATGACACCTATAAACTAAATGAAATGAGTTACGAATGTCGATCTCTGTGCACGCTGCCTCCTTTTCACTTCTTACTCGTGGATGGCTTATCGGCCTTGGAGTGGTCTGTGGGTTCCTAATCACCCCTATTGAAACAAGCACCTCATTGATCAAACAGATGGTGTTGATGGCCCATGGGAGGAGAGATCAAATTCTACAGACCAGAACCGCGATTCCTTCATGGCGGCAAAGTCATGCACGACCCCTGCACTCCGTAAGCTGACTCCGATCAACGTGAAACGCCCACGCGCAAGGGACGCACATTGATCCACCAGGGGTAAGTTTTCCGCGGGGTTGCAAGGTTGCGCAGGATGCATAATTGAACTCGAGAAATACCCAATGAGGAAAGGTTCTCGAACTATGCATTTAACCATTGAATGGCTTGGCCAAGGACTCGGCCAGGCCCTGGGGTGGAAAGACAGTGCATATCGCCGGGCTTAGACGGATATATAATTTTGGGTTTACAAGAGAGGCGGCAATGAACTTATCCTCTCTCGCAACAAATTTCGCTCTATATCCTCAAAACAACGGCTCATTGACCAAAAAACTTCAGATTGTCGCGGCAGCTCTCGGAGTTAAGCTAGGGACATTCCTAAAATGGAGAAATGCCGAGCATATCTACAGCGCCGGAAGCGGATTCAGGATACCTCGTCACTATGTGCTATTGACTATTAAATTGGCCCGACTGCATTGTTTGACTGTTGCAATTGTTTCCAAGTCCCAGAACCATGTCGCTAAAATCTGACTCCCTGGACGAAAGTCCACCAGCCCCCGTGTCATTCTTCGACCCGTCCTTGAAGGAGACTCGGCGGCGGGTATTCTACCAATGGGCTCGTACATGTGAGTGAACCTAATTGCACCAATGCAAGGGATACTAACACATCCCAGTGGCCATCCTATGTGTTTTTGTCTTCGCCGTTTTGTCTCTCTTTTGGGGATCCCAGTATGGCACCGAAGAAAACTACAGAGCATTGAAGGTTTGGGTCGTCGACTTCGACGGCCAAGTCGATCCCTACCGCACGAATGATCCGCTCGTTGGCCCTGTTGTCAGAAATGTCACAAGTCAACTCATCGACTCGAAATCCCTGCATCTCGGCTACACCATCAAGTCACCCGCTGACTTCGACCATGATCCCTGGGCCGTCCGCCAGGGTATCTACGATGAACACGCGTATGCGGCCGTGATAATCAACCCAAATGCAACGACACTCCTTCGAGATGCCGTCGCGAACGGTAACACGACATACGACCCCACCGGCGCCATCCAAACGGTCATTATATCCGCCCGCGACGAAACAACATACTATACATATGTCCTGCCGGACCTGGCGATTCTCCAAGGGATGGTTCTGGCCGAGTTCGGTCCACAGTGGGTGCGCAATCTTTCGTCAAGAAACCTCTCGTCCGTGCCTGCCCAGGCTATAAATCCTGCCATTGGATTCACGAACGTCGACTTGCGTCCGTTTTATCCAGCTGTTGCTGCTCCAGCCGTGACGATTGGTCTGATCTATTTGATCATTATTGCGTTTTTCAATTTCCCTTTCCTAATGCCCGTTCATGCGCAGTTCATGAAACCGGATGGCCATCCGCCTCTCAAGGTACCTCACTGGTTGATATGGCGCATACTCTCGAGCATCGTCGCATATTTCTTTCTTTCATTGTTCTACTCGCTTGTTTCCCTTGCCTTCCAGATCCCCTTCAGCAATGCATCGGCTGTGGACACGCTCTCTGCGACTAATTCCAATGCATACGGTCGTGGTTCATTTGTGGTTTTCTGGATGTTGAATTGGGTTGGAATGGCGGCATTGGGGTTCCCGTGTGAGAATATGGCGATGATTTTGGGATTCCCATGGAGCTCGTTCTTCCTTATCTTCTGGGTTATTACGAATGTGGCGACGGGCTTCTATGCCATTGATCTTGCGCCTGGATTCTATAGATGGGGATATGCTTGGCCTTTGCATCGGAGTACGTTTCAGTCACTGTTGTGTTTTCTAAAAGCTATTCGACTTTTTGCTAACCTTTCTTAGTTGTTGAGGCATTGCGCACTATTCTGTTTGATACTCATTCGAGAATTGGGTTGGATTTTGGTGTGCTGTTTGCTTGGATTGCTGTCTCCTTGGCCTTTTATCCCTTTGCTACTTTCATCATGCGGTGGAAGATGAAGCGTGGTATTTGAGAGCTTCGAGACTTGCGATTAGAAAGACAATGAATTGAGTCTCGACATATAGTTAACCTTCAATTGCCATTTCGGCAGTCATCAAAAGTTGATTGTGTATGGACAGTGCACGTTGCATATATGGAGTTCAGTTTCAATCCGTATGTTTCCAGTATCGGATGCTGCTATCTGTATGCAATATTGCTCAGACCTGATTGCTTTGACTCTTGACGGCTTTCTCCAGTGCTACATTCCCCAGGTGCACAATTTGGGCACAATGAGATCAATATGAAACTGCCAAGAAGCTTTGTAGGTAGGACTAGTCATTCAAGGTTAATGGCTGCACAACATCCACGGATCATTGCCGAATACGCTTCCGGTTGCAACCTAACTGCGCTGCAGGCTCAGCTTTATTGTGTACATATTGTACATACAAATATATATGTATGTAGGTAACACATATAATTCACCTATCTTGTCTCGTGAACACAGCAATGATTAGCCTCGGGTGGTATCAACTGCCCTGAGCCTTACATACTTTGAAGTTCCCCAACCCAATAGGGAAAGAGCAACCCCCCACCAATGCACGCATTGCTCAAGCTCCAAGGCTACGTCGTTCCCACTTACATCATTCTAGCGCAGACCTCTCCGCTAAAATGAAGTACCGCTACTTTGTCATTGCTTATTTCACACTAAGCACGTGGCTGATTCTCGGCTTCTTATTGGCTTGCCTGCTTTGTATACGATACATCTGCTGCCGAACCTGGCGATCTGGTGGCAGCTGCAGGTACCTCTCAGCCCTATGGGCTTGGCGGAGATCGGATGTACTTTTGCAATGATTTGGACTACAGCCGTTCGTCCTGGTGTAACCGTCATCAGCATGGCTATACCCTCCGGAATCTATTTATCTATCTTACGCGATGTTGTGATTCCTCTTCTTCTTCTTCTTCTATTCATCACAGTCTGTTGTTCCCATAATCTCTCTCAAGTTCTTTGCATCGGGAGACTTGGTCTTCTGGTGCTGCACTCCTACTTCTTCAAGCTTCAAACGCCAGGCTAACCATGGATAGTTCTAGCAGCAACTCACTTCGGAACGCGTTCGCGGTGCCAGTTCCGGTGCCAGACGATCCCGCTCCAACAACTTTCGAGAACGAACACGCCGTCTTCCCTATCATGGAGCCTATCCTTGATAACGACCCTCGTGAGCGGCGCCGTCGCGCTCTCGCCAGGATCGACGAGGCTCCATTCAGCTGGCGCCACGTTCGTGCCGTTATCGTCGCTGGCGTTGGGTTTTTCACTGATTCTTACGATATCTTCGCTATCAATCTCGCTGTCAGCATGCTAGGTGTTGTCTTCTGGCAAGGTGCTGTGTCTGACCCTGGTAAGATCCCATCTAGCTCTGATACCGCTATCAAAGTCTCTACCTCTGGTGGAACTGTTCTTGGTCAACTTTTCTTTGGTTGGCTTGCCGATCGGGTTGGTCGCAAACGTATGTACGGCATTGAGTTGATGATCATTATTCTTGCAACTCTTGCTCAAGCTCTTGCTGCCTCGTCGACTGCCATTTCTATCACTGGTCTCCTGGTCTTCTGGCGCGTGATCATGGGCGTTGGTATTGGTGGCGACTACCCTCTTTCCTCTGTTATTACTTCCGAGTAAGTTGCATGATGAAGGCTCTACTTACTCATGGGCTTTTTTGCTGACAAAATACACAGATTTGCTACCACCAAATGGCGTGGTGCGATGATGGCTGCGGTGTTTGCCATGCAGGGCTTCGGCCAGTTTGCAGCGGCTATCATTGCTTTGCTTGTTACTGCCGGCTTCAGGGAATCTCTGAAAAGCGCCAAGGACGTTGGCCACTGCACCGGCGTCTGCCAACTTGCGGTCGACAAAATGTGGAGAATCGTCATTGGATTTGGAGCTATCCCTGCGTTGTTCGCCCTGTACTATCGTCTGACTATCCCGGAGACCCCTCGCTTTACTTTTGATGTTGCCCACGATCTGATCAAGGCCGATGAAGACGTCCGCGCTTACATGAAGGGTCAGAGCGAGGGACACCCCAATGAAATCCAGCGGGTCACTCTTGTGCACAACGAGAGCGCTGATTGTATCACCCCCAAGGCCAGTTGGTCCGATTTCCGCCGTCACTTCTCCCAGTGGAAGCACGGAAGGGTTCTGCTTGGTACTGCTACATCCTGGTTCTTCCTTGATGTCGGTAAGTTGGGTTAACAGTTGTCGACTATTGATATGAGCTAACATTTTCACAGCATTCTATGGCCTTGGTCTTAACAATTCTGTGATACTCTCGGCGATTGGCTGGACCGGTGGCAAGAATGTTTACGAGGTCTTTTATCGCAATGCGGTCGGAAACTTGATCCTAGTCTGCGCCGGTGCGATTCCGGGTTACTGGGTCACCGTCGCGACCGTCGATACCCTGGGGCGCAAGCCTATCCAGCTGATTGGATTCGCTATTCTGACAATTCTTTTCATTGCCATCGGCTTTGGATACGACCAGTTGAAGCATACCCACAATGGGCTCCTGGGTCTCTACGTCGTTGCTCAGTTCTTCTTCAACTTCGGTCCAAACGCTACCACCTTCATCGTGCCCGGCGAATGCTTCCCTACTCGCTATCGCTCTACATCCCACGGTATCAGTGCTGCAGCTGGAAAAATCGGCGCTATCATTGCGCAATGTGTGTTTGGTCCACTCGTTCACCGTGGTGCAAAGAAGCCCGATGACTCCCCGTGGCTCAACCACGTCATGCAGGTTTTCTCCTTGTTCATGCTCTGCGGCTTTTTTAGCTCCTGGTTGATCCCTGAGACCAAGAGACAGTCGCTCGAGGTCCTGGCTGGTGAGTCTGACTCTCTGCCTCTCACCCAGTACCCGCATTCAAGCGAGCAGCCCAAGGATGACCCCGAGGACCTGCACGCCATCACCACCCCAGTGATGCACGCTACTGGCTCCAACGGTGTCTAAAGTGCGTTCCAGGTTATCTCGGGATTGGGGCAGGTGGCCTTGGTGCTATTACGTCCGTACCGGAGAAGCTTATTGCTGTTACTGGATAAATTGGTTCTTAATTGCTCGGATGGAGCCCTTTGGCAATTTTCTTGCCTAATCTTGTTTTAAGACCGGATCTCCAATATCTCCTTTCCTGCTAGTTAACGCAGATTTAATTACTAATAAAATCGTATTCCTATCTAACTTCCCGAGTTTTATCGTAGTACATGGAATAAGGCTGTGGCACAGTGACGCACACAAGCCTTAGATCATACCATGATGAGACAATGTAACAGTAAACGTTGCATATATGCAAAGCTAGGGAGGGAATATAGCTTGTACTTGTGGTCCTCTTGCAAACCAGGGGTCCTGGCGGTGTTGCGTGAGAACTTGTCATTCACTTTACTGTACAGAGTAACTTTGAGCATCTTCAAAGCCTCGAACTCTCGTCAGTCACACCTCATGCTTATTTTCCTTGATCTTAATCCGAATTTTTGAGGCCCTCTCGTTGTTTGTCTCATCATAAAGCCCCGCAATTACGATCCCTACCTTATTTAAGTTGATACCAACGCACAGAAAACACGGCCACGACGGCCACCATGGCGCGTCTTGCCACACCAAATGGCCCTCGCAGTGACACAAATGCGACGCCGATTCTACCAAACAATACCAAAACGCAAAAAACTCAAGATGCCAGCACAAGCACCGACAGTCTGACAGTAGATTCACCCCCCACTGAATCACGAGAGCACAACGTCCCATCCCTCACTACCGAAGTCGTCACATCAGAAGCTCAGCTCAGAGCAGCCCTCAAACTTGTCGCTTCATCAGTAGCCCAACAGCGCCAAATCGCAGCCAGATCTGTCATCTTCCACTGGCGTAGCTGGGCGATCATGTCCGCTATATTCATCTGCGCCCACCGCACCTGTCTTGGCAATCCCGCAGACTGGTCTCGAGTCTTCATGACATGCATCGCAGCAATGATGACTGGATTGCTTTTTATTCGTGCTTGGGTTGCTGAGTACATCACCGAGGCGGAGCGAGTTGGCACTGCGAATTGGTTGTTGGGAGAAGATACAAGTCCGAATGTTGTGGCCGTTGCCCGCGGTCGGAAGTGGATGAGCCCAGAAGCACGGAAAGATATATTTGAAGAAGGTGGTGGCCAAGGTGTCGATATCGTGCTTGTTACGACGTTTGCAGAGAAAGTCATCGCCACTGTTGTTCTGAGAATCGTGGAAATCGCCAAGGACTGCAACTCAAACTCCCCGAGAGTAAAGCCCGCCAGACTGGGAGTGAATTATCTATCCAACTACGTAGCCTTCATCCGTGCTTGGACGGTCGAGCAACGTTATCGTGGTGTTGGTGCTGGAGCGGCTATCCTACAGGATACTGCCATGCTCTGTTTGGAGGGTAATATTAATTCCCTTGCATTTTCTGATTTCCACGCCAACTCGCTGCGCATCCTTCCGGAGACCTTCAATCACAATATGGATTTGGATTCTGATAGAGCGAACAGCTATCTCAAGGGTTTGCTGCTAGAAGCGGAGAAACGTTTTCAACCCCATGCTCCACCGAGTCAACTTTGGAGCCAGTTCTATGCACAATTTCAAGCAGTTCGTAACATCGTACCCAACTGACAGAGCCTGTGGATCCTTGGGCGAAATCCTCGTCTCACTATTAACAGACGTTTGGCAGACATTCACTGCTACGTAGCAGATTCGATTGATCATGCCAGCTCGACGACGTGCCATGCACTTTGCTTGCCTCTAAGATCACCCTTTTAGCTGCACGGGTGTTATTTAGATGTCATACATGATTTGAAACAAGAAAAAACCAGGATGTTAGATTATGCTTGGAGATACTGTTGAGACATGGAATATCACTTGCTTTTCCAAAGTTGCACGATCGCTTCAATGATTCTGTTTAAACATACTATGTAGACTTGTTTGTTTACTATTGACTGACACACTATGAATTCCAGCTCCGGGGATTGATGCTGAGACGTTATCACGGAAAAGATCGGACATCACAGCTTCATCTCGGGGCTAATCGGGAAATGAATCGGAGTCCATCCCATCTCACACACAACACGAGGAGTCTCAAATATTACCATAATTAAACATACCACAAATACAGGATGTCGTTCCAAAACATCGGTCTCCGCACACCAGGCGTGCTGAACGTCGTCTTCGGCGCACAAGGGTGTCTTCTCCTAGCAAACGCTGTGTACACCATCGCGTATCCATCCGCAGCCTCAGGCCTGCCAGAATCACCTCTTGGCGGAGTTCCAGACCACACGGTCCAGGCCATGGGGTATGAATTTACCCTTGTCATGTTTATCTAGGCACTAAGCTAATCATTCATAGTATCACATCTCTTTCCCTGGGTACGATCTTCGCAATTGCGACGTACCAGCGGAACGTACCAATTATCCTAGCCTCTTTGCCAGGGCGCTTGTTTGCTGCGCTTATATTTTATCGGAATGGAGGCGCTTGGCGGCGGGTTGCTGTTTATGAGGCTGTGATGGGGACAGTGACCGGTGCTGCGCTTCTTTGGGATCGCTATCTGGACTGAGAAGGTCCGGATATGGCAGGAATCGAAGGACTTGACTGTGTATAATAATGACGTTAACGATATTTCTCTACTCTGATTTATGCACTACATGCATATTATTCTGAAACCATCTGTCAATCGCAATATCCCGAGATGCGCCAAGGCGCTGTTTTCAGGGATGATAATTTAGCTAGTTTAGCTAGGCTTGATAGCAGTAGAGCTTTTAAATATCGAGGTATCAATCAGTACGGAGTAGATCCGATGGAATGCAGCTATCCTTCGAATACTTGACCAAACAGCAGATATTGGACGCCAAGGGTCATTTCTCTCTCTGAACCTCATGTGCGACCGATCAATTACCGACGCGAAGCCGAGACAATCCCCGGGACGCGCTTTGGGTTAATTCCGGGGTATGGAGAACCCGTGTCGTGACAAATACCCTCTATTATCCACGTGCCGATGAATATAAACCATTGCCGGCTAATAAACGGATATGACACTGTTGTTTTTGCTGATAGTTGCTAGACCTTTCGGCATTGAGGATGTCCACCGAAGCCGATTCGTACAGCTTGGGGCTGGATGGCTGCGGGAGTCGCAGGTGGCGTGCGGGCTGGGCGACAGGGGTTGAACAGGCTAAATTGGTGCTATTCAGCCGGCCCCCATGGAAGCTTGTGGGGAATCATCGAATCATTAGTTGCAGGCTCAGGTCGAGTTATATTGTTTGACCTCAAGATCTAGTCTGCGGAGTTAGCCTCGGCGACATTCCTTTGAGATAGTTTATCAATATCCAGGTAGAAACATTGTATGGTTCGATTGAAATTGCGTAGGGGGGAATATTTGCTCCATATTTCAATGGCGTGGGGCCCCAGGATTGTCTCCATCTGCGGGGGACCCCTGTGGTCCCTTTCTGGATTTTTTTGAGATTGCGGAAGATGCCGACAGGAAATGTCGAGTAATTGTTCTAGAAACTTTGTTTCCAGCTACTGGGGAATTGATCACAGCACAGGGAATATTGAATCATCCACAAGCCATGGGCCGTTTTACCCAGATTTCATCTTTGGCTAAGCACCGGGTAAATACTGCGACAAGCATCATGGCGCACGGCCCATGACTCAATGATGCCGCCACTGATGGCCTTGCAGAGCCAATGTCACGCTAAACTAGCCTTTTCCGTCTCATCACAGCCGAACTGACCTGACTGGCCCGGGCCCCATGCGCTGAGGAGAACAGCAAACCACGCTCCACGAAGCTTAGTCGCTATGGCCTGATTGGGCTGATTATATCAGGTTTCAAACGTGATGCTGTTCCCCCATGGGGCTAAGTTCCCGGGGAAACTTTTGTTGATTGGAGCTCATTATCCGTTGCACCCGGGCGAATAAATAATCGTAGATCCCCTGTCCAGAAGCTAGAAAAAGTGCAGGCATTTTCAGCATATCTTCCACTTGTTGTTAGACCTCTTTCTCTGCACGCAGTAGATCTTGATCCGTTTAAATCATCGTTGTCGGTCCCTTGACGCATCATGGTGGCCGCTCTTCCGGGAGAAACGGCCATTTCGGCCAAGCGTGCTCAGCTCTCCGGCAAGCATGGCTTCAAGGGTTTACTGAGTAACAAGAAGACGACGGGTATCGGTTTGTTCGCTTCGCTGGGTGGTCTGGTGTATGGATGTGAGTGGATAGTTCTGAAACACATTCGCAAATAACATCTGATGGTTATGATCCAGACAACCAGGGAATGTTCGCCCAGGTTTTGACAATGCCCGCGTTTCAGGCAGCTGTATGTCCCTCCAATTCCTCATACCGCGTCTTGTCTCGCTGACAACCTTCATCCATCAGACCCAAGGGTACGCGGCAAAGACCAGTATCCAGCAGGGAATGCTGACTTCGATTCTCGAGCTTGGTGCCTGGGTGGGAACACTGGCGAATGGATATCTCGCTGATGCGCTTGGTCGTCGATTGACAGTCCTAGTCGCTGTAGCGGTTTTCTGTGTGGGCGTCATCGTTCAAGCCTGCACCGAGAACAAAGACTTTGTCTTTGGAGGTCGATTCGTAACTGGTTTGGGTGTAGGTAGTCTGAGTATGGTCGTACCGCTGTACAATGCAGAATTAGTAAGTCAAGGAAGTCGCAGCGAGAAGCGAAGCACATCTAACAAGGCAAGGCACCACCGGAAATCCGAGGCTCCCTCGTCGCCGTCCAGCAACTCGCAATTACATTTGGTATCATGGTCAGCTTTTGGGTACGTCATCTCTCCAGAATTTCAAGGTCGTTCAATCTTCTGACATTCTCAGATTGGCTACGGAACAAATTACATTGGCGGAACTGGTGCGACACAATCGGATGCTGCATGGCTAATCCCAGTCTGTATTCAAATCCTACCAGCTATCGTCCTGGCTGTTGGTATGATGATGTTCATGCCCCAGTCCCCGCGTCACCTCATGAATACCGGCCGTGAGGAAGAATGCCTTGCTACCCTGGCCCGTCTGCGTAACGCACCCCCAGACGATATGCTTGTTCAGATTGAGTTCCTCGAAATGAAGAGCTTGTACCTCTTTGAACGGCAAACGGCTGCCGAGAAGTACCCCGACTGGCAAGATGATTCGTTTTCCAGCCGGTTCAAGGTCGGATTCTATGATTATCTATCGTTGGTTACCAACAAATCACTTTTCAAGCGCACCGCAACGGCTGTAAGTCTGGCATGGACAGAAGTCTTTTTACACCAACGCTGATGATTGGATAGTGCATGATTATGGTATTCCAACAATGGAATGGTAAGAGATTCCCAAGTCTCTTGTTTATTCACTGCTGACAGTATTTGGTCTAGGCATCAACGCAATTAACTACTACGCGTAAGCACTCAGCTGTTGCATCGGAACAAATGGACTAGACATGATTGATCTGACAACTTACTAGACCATACATCTTCAAGGATATGCAGCTCGGCGGAAACACTATTTCGCTCCTTGCCACCGGTGTAGTTGGCATTGTCGAGTTCCTCTTCACCATTCCTGCAGTTCTCTGGGTTGACCAGATTGGACGTAAGAAGATTTTGATTGCGGGTGCGATCGGAATGGCATCATGTCACTTCATTGTCGCAGGTATCATTGGTGCCTACCAAGGAACTTTCGAGGAGCACAAAGCCGCGGGTTGGGTTGCCATTGTGTTTGTTTGGATTTTCGTCATTAACTTTGCCTACTCCTGGGGTATGTTCTCTCTTTTCGCGGGGGTTTGAGCCGTGCTGATTATGATCTTACTGCAGGACCCGTTGCGTGGATTGTTACATCGGAGGTATTTCCGCTCAGCATGCGTGCTAAGGGTGTCAGTCTAGGTGGTAGTAGTAACTGGGTAAGTGAACCAAAGTATCGGATGTGTTGAAAGTGTCTAAACGAGTGTTTCACAGTTGAACAACTTCGCAGTCGGCACTGCTACATCGCCTTTCCTCCAAACCAGCAATTTTGGTGCCTTCATCTTTTTCGGATGCATTACGACAATCGCAGTGTTCTATGTTATCTTCCTTGTTCCTGAAACAAAAGGTCGTACTCTCGAAGAAATGGATGAATTATTCGGATCGACCGGTTTGGCAGCCGCTGATAGTGAACGCAAGCATCGCATTGAAAGGGAGATTGGTCTTCTTGCCCTTGTTGGCGCTGAACCTTCAGATGAAAAGCACGGTGAGAGCAACGTTGAGTTCTCAAAGCATGAAGAAGGTGTGGCGAAACCCATTGTATGAAGTAAATAGCATGTGCCGGGGACATGAACTACCGATGGTCGCTGATCGACTAGGCTATCTGAGTAAGGCTGGCAGGATAGGGTCGACAGGAGGTCGACATTTTCGATACCCGCATGAGACTTTTGTTCTCTTACATATATAATTGGTTAACTTTCATCCCTTGACGAGTGTTTACTAAGAACTACGGAGTACTTACGGTCAACAAACTCTACCTGGCATGCATAACACTTATCACATGTAGCCAATAGATATTGGACATGTCAGACAATAAAATATGCAGAGAAGCCAAGAAAAAGTTCCCCAGTCAAAAGTTTCAGCCAATTACTATGTATAGAATTGGGGTGGGCCGTGAAGTTTCCTCCCTGCCGAAACACCAGTCACATTCAGTGTCAGGCGCTATTGTCTTACCTGACCATTTATTCGACTCATGTCCTGTTTTTTTTTTTGAGTCGTCTCCCTTCACCTTTCTCTTGACTATTTAAGCAAAGACACAGTCCACCATCAACAACCACACCCGAAATGTCTACCACAACCACATCCGTCAGTGCAACCAGCACCGCCTGCGGTGGCAGTGTTTGGCAACTTCCAACACATGATGCTGCTTGCGCCGCTGTTATTCGTGGCAATGTCACGGATGTCATGACACAGTGCTGCGGCGATGCAACACCCCACAAGTACGACAACGACTGCGGCATCTACTGTCTCGCCCAGGGTCAAGATGTCCAGAAGCTTCAGACCTGCATTAGCAGCAAGAGTGGTAATTATAACGACGTTTTCTGTAATGCCGCTCAGAACGCAACTGCAACTGCCACCGGCTCCAGGTCCACCTCTACCGGCACCAAAACGGGGACCAGCACCGGCTCGACCTCAAGCTCGACTCACAATGCCGCCGTTGTGAATCAGCCAGTCTCAAAGTCTGGCCTTGGACTGATTGCCCTTCTGTTCGGCTCTGCTTTCATGGCTGTCCTTGCTTAATTGGTGACCGTTTGGGCTTCCTTGTTTGATATTCGATTTGGGATTTGGAGTGAGTGGACAAGCGACCGTGTGCCTTTGCTCCATATCCTTTGGATATGCCTCTTGTTTGAAATGTAAATTATTATTTTGAGATACATAATCGACTTTAGCCATCCTTGGTCTGTTGTTTGTATATGCTTTACACTCGTAGTGTAGATCTTTCAACTTGCATAAACAATATCGTGGATTTAGGGGGTTAGCCAGTATTTTCACCCGTTCTCCAAAATCCTTCACATTCAGCATTCTTGAAATTAAAGATCCAACAACAAAATATGGAGAAATCGAAAAATCGAAAACAATCGAAAGGAGTGGAGGAGCAGAGCAGTAAAACATAAAAAAAGGATCAAATGACGTCACAGTAGTAAAGTGGGATAAGCTCGGCCAACTTCACATCTCAACATCTCAGTCTCAAACATACCAACTACTACATAAAATACCCCAATTTACATAATGGCTGGAATTGTAAAAAATGTGATCGCGACAGGCACCTCCTCGGGCCTGGTAAGTCATTCTGAAATTCAACCATGCACCAATCTAACAATCACAGGGATTCGAAGCAATTAAACAATTGTTGCAGCAGACTCAGCCTCATAAATTCATTCTGGGCGCCCGAGACACAGCCAAGGCAAGGGCCGCATACGATGACTTGAAGTTTGACTCTTCGAAGCACAGTGTATCTATTTTGCCTCTTGATCTTCTGAACTTGAAAAGCGTTCGGTCATTTGCGACCCAAGCTCTCACTGAGCTCGGCCAGAACAAGCTAGATCTGTTGTTCCTTGTTGCCGGCTCCCTGAACAGTGCCGAGGGACCCGGTCCTCGTGGATCACAGTGGTGCGAATCTTATGTCACCAACCACCTGTGTATGTCGAAACTGAACCAATCCACTATTATCCGATCTTGGTGTGACAGAGGCTAACCATCATCTAGCTCAGCATTATTTGACACATCAGCTCGCTGAAAAATTGGCTGCCTCCAAGTCTCGTGTTGTGGTTGTTTCTTCGGGTGCAATCCGCGGAGTTAGGGGAAACGACCCCAGTAAGCTGAAACTTATTTCTTCATCTGCAAAATACTTTTCTTACTGATATTACTCTCAGGCACTCTTGATATCGATCTAAAGGCCAATTCCGGCGCAAATGCCAGAGTAGTGTACAGCGCATCTAAATTTGCTCAACTGTTGGGCGCACACTGGTGGCGTCGCAATCTCCCAACCTGCAAGGTGGTAGCCGTATCTCCTGGCCTCATCCCTGACACTAAGCTTGCCAAGCATCCTAGCTTGGGGTTGTCCATGGATATGCCTGACGCTAAGACCGTGCCTGAGGGTGAGTTACTTCTACACAAGTCGGGCTGTGAGATTATCTAATCAATGTACAGGTGCCGAGAACATTCTTCGCGCGGTCACGGCCGAGGATATCCCCGCTGATCCCGAGCAGATCTTTTTGACTAGCTGGGGCGAATGGTGGCCCAAGTCAGTCTACGAAACAAGCCTCGACACTGCGCTGCAGGATAAATGGTGCCCGAGTAAGGAGGAGATTGAAAGCACCGAGCCGATCTTCCAAGAGTAGCTTTAGAAGGATTGCATATTGGCATCCGACTTATTTGAAGAATTGTGACCATTGGCAATTATACCATGGATCCCAACTGCGATCAGTTGTCTCAAGTTCCAATTTGAATTTTGCTGCAACTCTATCGTAGTTTAAAATATATGCGGAAAGACTTGAAGATAACCATTTGACCATCTTCGCCCTGCTAGCTCTATTCGAAAGAGGCAATAGAAACGTCCGAGGTGAAACGATTTTTCCGTGTTCTCATGGATAGAAGCTTTTATCCGAAGATCTGCATCCTGTTCCATCTCTATAGTTCCCAATAGGGCAATTCTCCGGCTGTCTGAAATGTCCACATCCATGCACTACTGGTTTTACCCCGCAAAATACTTGGAGGGCGAAGTATAAATCCCCGGAGCCCTTTACAAGATACGTCTCAAACCCAAGGCCAGAAGCCAGAATGTTATCAACATTGGCTTTGCTCGTATCGTTGCCCTTCGGCGTGGATGCTGCGGCATTGCAACCTCGACTTGATGACGGCGTAGCGAAAACACCACCCATGGGGTTTGTATATATCTAGTTTTCCGCATCATGTTATTGACATTTGAACAGGTGGAACAGTTATAATCATTATTCGTGTTCGCCCAACGAGACTATCATTCAGTCAAATGCAAAGGCGCTAGTTGATCTAGGCCTAGATACACTCGGCTATCGATATGTCGGAATCGACTGTGGCTGGACAGTTGCCGATCGTTTATCGAATGGATCCCTAACTTGGAATGAAACGTTGTTCCCCAGTGGTTTCCCTGCTCTTGGGCAGTATATCCATGATTTGGGTTTACTTTTTGGAGTCTACGAGGACGCAGGCATCCAGACTTGCGGTACAGGTGTTGAGCAAGCGGGTAGTTTGTGTGAGTTGTGTGTCTGTTTTGCCTATTTTCTGCATACTGACTTTCATCAGTTCACGAGCAACAAGATGCAGCGACGTTCATGTCTTGGAATATTGATGCCCTGAAATGTAAGAAGGCGAATCTTTCGAAGAATATATGTGGTGGACTGACACAAATTTAGATGACAATTGTTACTCGGAGGAAGATAAAGGATATCCAAACACAGACTACACACCAAGCACCTCCCCTCGCTCGCGTTACGCCAACATGACCAAAGCCCTGGCTGCCGAGAAAAAGAAGGTCTTGTTTCAAATATGCGAATGGGGGATTGACTTCCCCGCCCTATGGGCACCTTCATTAGGTCACACTTGGCGCATTGGAAATGATATTATTCCCGCATGGCGGGCAATTTTCCGAACGCTTAACCAAGCGGTTCCGCAAACGTCCTTTGCGGGACCTGGACAGTGGCCAGATCTAGATATGATGGAGGTCGGGAACAACGTCTTGACCACACCAGAGGAGCAAACACATTTCTCGATGTGGGCTATTTTGAAAAGTCCACTTGTCATTGGTGGTGCACTGAAAGACGAATGGACTTCGATCAGCGATGCGTCTCTGTCCATTCTATCGAATAAAGATGTGGTTGGTTTTAATCAAGACTCTCTTGGTCAAAGTGCCAGTCTTCGGCGTCGCTGGTCGGATCAGGGATACGAGGTTTGGAGCGGTCCTTTGTCTGGAGGACGAACGGTCGCGGCCGTTATTAACTGGGCTGGCGAGGCCAGAGATCTGACACTAAATCTGGCGGATATTGGGCTGCAGTCTGCGGGTACTGTGAAGGATATCTGGAACCAGAAGACATCCTCCAACGTGAAGACAACCTACACTGCATCGGTTGAACCACATGGCGTCATTCTTCTGGAGCTGCAGGACACAGCCAAGGCAGGGACTTATGCGAGCAAGGATTTTGCAACAGTGAGCGGGTAAGTCTGACAAGACCTTGAACTAACGGCATAGTTGTTGGGTTTCTCATCATTCATGAGACTGACTGGCTTTAGAAAGCAAACGACGTTCTCGTCGGTTTATGCGAATACCACCAGCCCGAATCATAGCATCACAGTAGAGTTCACCAATCCTGCTGCTTCAAAGACAACCATCTTGGTTGAATCATCGTCGGATACAGTAAATGTTCCCGTCGCACGCTCAGCCCGAAGCGTATCTGCGACAATATCGCTAACTGCTGGATCCTCGAACGATATTATCATTACCTCGACTGCCTCAATTAAATCCATCCAAATTTCTTCCCCGTTAGGAACATACTACCCCTGCACATCCTTCACACTCGGCGGTTCTTCCAAGATTGAGAAATGTGACGCTGGCTTTTGTGCTCCTGTGGGATCTAAGATCGGCGACATCAATGCAGAAAATACTGCGCATGTCACTATCCCGGCAACCCTCACTGGAGGGAACGCGGAAAGCAGCACTGCTTCCAAGTATCTCGAGATTGACTACATCAATAATGATATCGCTCTTGCCACCAGTTGGGGTTGGGGATCTAGTTCTAGGAACTTGACAATCTCACTCAATGGTGGAAGTCCCGTTCGGCTTGAAGTACCGTTATCCGGTCGCCACAGTGAGCTATTTGGTCCGGGTAAGGGGTGGTGGGACAGTTCAAAGCTGGGAATTTTGATTGATGGTTGGAAGAATGGCTCAAATGACGTGGTCATTGGGAACGAGGTTGCTGGGGATGTGTCGCAGACTTACGGTGCGGACTTTGTCGGTCTGCGATTTTATGATTAGGCGCTGGCTCAATGGCCATCGTGAATGCAGCAATTTGCTATTATATTTTCAGGTATGGTAGAAATAATCTATATGCGTTGGACTGGCATGCGCTGGAAGTTTCCATCCAGCAAGAGTCGATAACAAAATTCCTGGCGATGCGCATCATGCACTCATTTATTCTGCATTAGCCAACTTCCGCATAGCAGCGAAGTTAGGCGATCCAAGACCAGTGACAGGATCCCAGCCCTGAGTAGCGTTCCAGCTAGCACCAGGGACAGAAGGACCGCCATTGTTGGGTCCGCCGAAGCGACCATTACCGTCGCAGCCAGTGCTGCCGCCATTGACGATGTCGGTCAGACCGTCGCGGCCGGCAGAGTACAGCCACGGGTTGAGGAAGCCCATGGGCGATTGGTTAGTCTTGAGACGGGCATCATTGAGAAGAGCGATAATTGCTGCAAAGGCCGGTGCAGAGGCCGATGTGCCGTCGACGCTGGTGAGTGAGCCATGCGTGTAAATCGCGTAGTTCTGGCCTTGGGCGGCGACGTCGGGGAAAGCACGGCCCTTGGGGTTGAAGAGGCCGGACCATTGGTCGCCAATGGTGCCGAGGTAGTCGCCCACTGCGGAGTCTTGGTACTTGGGGCGCTCCCAGAGGTCGGAGAATCCACCGGATGAGAAGTAGACTGCCCTCTCAGGTGCGGTGCCGGTGGTGGCTCCAACGGATGTTACCCAGGGGCAGGCCGCGGGGAATTGGGGCGGGAAGTGGGTTGCGTTCTTGCCGTCATTGGTCTGGCAAGCTGCGCCAACACCGGAGTCGCCAGATGAGAAGATGACTGAGACACCGCGGCTGCCGAGCTGGGAGAACATATTGCACACGCTACGGGCGTACTTCTCAGGAACACTCTGTAACAGTTTAGATACGGTTCAAACAATGGAAATTCGAGACATACCTGCTCATCCTCACCATATGAAGTGGAGATCACTTGTGGAAGGTCCTTGGCGTCCATCTTGAGCACGTTCTGGAGGAAATCCAAGTACGGCTCGTTGTTGTTGTTGTTCGGGTCAGGCTGGTCAAGATCGGGAACCAGCAGGCCCCGGCCACCAACGCTGAATTCGGTAACGGGTACAGGCGAGCTGACTCCGACAATGTACTGCAAGTCGAGATTGGCCTCGCTGCTGTCACCCTTTGAGTTTTGGTCGTTTCCGCCGCCATTGTACTGGACGACAGAGAAATTCTGACCCACGGCAGAGGGTGCGATGTTCTTTTCAAACAAAGCGAGATCGGAGTAGCGGGCGTACTGCTCCAAGTAGCTGACAAAGCCAACTTTGTTGGAGTTTGAAGAATCGGCCTTGTAGTCGCCGACCTTGTAGAGATCCTTTAAGCACTGAGGCGTGATGATGTTGTTGCAATCAGGACTAGCAGACATGGCGTTTGCGCGGAATGCCGCGTCAGTTTCCTTCGTCTGGCTATGCAGGGTAGCCCGGTGGGCTTTCAATTGTCCAAAACGAGTGGTTGGCTGAATCATGTTGACATGAGACACGAGAGCATCCGGAACGGAATACTTGAGAGTGCGAAGCCGCTCAATGTGCTTGACATTGCTGACGTAGAACTGGAAATTAGCTGCCAGCAGCTCATTCGCCGTCTCTACGGTGGTGTAGAAGGTCATCCAGTCGGCATCCTGCTCGATCTTTGTGATACCGGCACTTTCAAGCCAATCACGTACGGAGTCGGCAGACTCTGCGCTGGGCTGCAGCATGCGCTTCATCTCCTCGTGGGTCTGGAAGTGTTTGCCGTAGCTGGGGTGGTCGGGGGTAGACATGTCCATGACGGCCTCCTCGAATCCGGCGGTGTCGCCCTGCGCCAGTGCGATCTGTAGCCGGATGGGCTGGTCGGCACGAGGTTTGCGAGAATATCTCCATCCTGTTGTTGGTCAAGTTAGCAATCACAGCGGCGTAATTTAGAATACAAACAGAACATACCTTGAGGGACAGAAGACAAGCTCTCAAACACATCAGCTGCAGCAGAGGATGCGAGAAGAGATATGACCGCGAGCGACAACGCTCTGCGACTCAACAGGGATGCAATCATGTTGGAAGGGGTGTGAATATGGACACCCTTTGAACAACTGGTTGCGGTCTTCGCAAAGCGAGGACAGAAAGTATAAATACTTCAATTCCAAGCGATCATATGCAAAGGAGGGGTAAAGACCGTGAGTTTTGGTGTTTATTATGGTTGCATTGGTGTGGGGAGAATGGACAGACAATCGACCAAGAATGTGCGGTTGAAGAGCAAGATAACTCCCAATATTGGCATGGTCGGGAGCTTTAATTGCAGTTTCAAGTAACTCCTCCCTTGGCAATTGCACGAGTTCCACTGTTCCACTGTTTCTGTGGACCCTTGTGGCGGATGTCCGTCGGGTAAACAAATGCGTGTCAAAACAAATCTCTCACGACAGGGATTCGTTCGAGTATCTGCACATGCACATTCGCTTTGTGACAAACGGCGTCTGCCGTACAGCGCCTGCCGTACAGCGCCGGGAAATCGCCTGATGTGATCGGCATGATAATCTCTTCATCTCACTGTGACGCTGGGGGCGGGTGCGTCGGGCTTCCGTTGAGGATCGGCAGGGGTGGGTTGCTCCACATCGTTTGAAGGCATGCGAGGGAGACAGGGGTGGCTGGATCGGTTCTGATCTGTTTCTCGTCGGACGCCATCCAACTCTCCATCTTTCATTAAATAGGCAATTCGCTCTTTGCACACCGTTAAAGTGGCTCAAGTATTTTGTATACATCTCAAAGACTTGAAGTGTTTTTGCCGTGCCAAGAGTGGCGCCGACTTGGCATGGTGATCATGCACACTCTTCAGGTGAATTGGCCATACAACGTAGAGCCTGGTCACGCTTCAGTGAATTGGGTTCCTGAAGCTTTCAGTTGAAGCCTATACATCGGGCAGAATAACCCATGACGTGCATCAATTTCATTCGGTCATATGGTAGGTAAGAGGCTGGGATAATGGCGGATACTCACAACCCCAGCCCCAGCCCCACGGGTACGGCAATCTCATCGTAAACTGCTGTGGCTGGTGGTCTCGAACAATATCGCTCAGCTTGCCAATATTGTTACAAGTTTTTGCCCAGCCTTGTCCTGGGGAGGAAATGTGAGGCGCAAGAATGCAGAGTGACGTGATTGGTCCCGCTCGTCTTTGCGGCTGACACCTATCACAGGGCCAGACGTCAGTTCCTGGCTTTCCGGGCCTGGACAAGTATGGTTCATGCGCTGTCTAGGTCGGATGAAAATGTGGAAATGGAAGAAACAAGTCACCTTGAAACCCCTTTTCCCGTGAAAGGTCGCTAAATTTGGCTTAAACTTCTAAGTTGAAAACTATTTGGCAGTGCGATCCGGATCTCAATGAATGATGGCCCTGGATAAAGTCAAAGTTGCCCCTGTAAGGAGCAAACAATCTGTGATGATTGATAGCATGAGGTTATATTAAGATTTCCTATATTCAACTATTTGGCTATAAATAGCATACAGCCAGCTCTCATATATACAATTCACGGTCCAAATTTGATTTCTGGCCGAAGCATCGAGATGCGTACATTCACCTCTTCTCCTCGACAACAACTGGGGCCTGGGGTCCCACAGACTCGTCAATTCCAGGCTCATTCATTTCAAGATGATGAGCGTAGACCATGGAAGCGATAGAATCCTCGGTCTGGAGATAAGTGCGATTGCCCTGAATGAACCAGAAGGCAAGGGCAATGACCAACATCACACCAAACACGGCAATGGCGAAGTTCATATCAGCCGGCGCGGGGTTCGGGCTACCGGGGAAAAGGAAGAAAATGGTGGTGATGACACAGTACACGATACTGACCCAGTTCAACCACGGGCCGATGCGACCGAGCTTGAATGGCCCAGGAGGCAATTTGTCGCGCCCGGTCACGAGCAGAGCGAGAATGGGCATCGCATATGAAACTGTCAGGGCGATGGTGCTGACGCTCAAGATGGCCTCAAGAACGGTGTTGGCGAACAGATAAAGGATCCCGACGATGCCAATCACGACGCCCTGGCCCCAGAGTGCTCGCGCGGGCACTTGCCACACTGGATCGACGTGACTGAAGTATTGGCCGAACGGTACACCGCCGTCTCGAGCGAATCCCCATGACAAGCGGGAGGCAGTGGTGAGAACACTAATGCCCTGGCCGAGGCCGTTGAAAATGAACAGTGCGATCAAGACAGCAGCTCCCTTCAGGCCAACTGTCTCGAGCATCAGCTCCATGAATGGCAGGTCTGCGTTGAGGACCTTGTCGACGTCCTGGATACAGAACAGACAGACCACCATGAAGATGAAACCGGTTATGGCACCGAATAGAACGGCCATCCAGATGACTCGAGGGGCATTCTTGCGCGGTGCAGGAATCTCCTCCACCATATGGATGACTGAGTCGAATGCAGTCAGACCATACGCCGCCTGCACCAAACCAGTAAACCAGACCACACCGTCGCTCCAGCCGGTCTCGTTCTTCCAAGCGCCAAAAGCGAACGACGCCGGCTGGAATGAGAGGTCACTCTTGACTCCCACAGAAATCAACAGCACAAGGGAGAGAACGATGAACAGGCCAAAGAACCACACTCCAACGAAGTTGTTCAACCAGGGTAAGATCTTCTCCTTGCGGCAGCTGACCACGTTGATCAGAGTCAGCACAAAGACAACGCCAATATACACGACGAAATTGAGCCACCCTTTGCTGGCGCCGTCCCATTCCGGATTGAACATGGTCTTCATGCCCAACAAGAACTCCGTCATGAAGGCGACCTGCGAAGCAGTCAAGGTCCACCATCCAAAGGTGTTGATCCACGCACACATGTACGACACGAATCGTCCGAGTGGGGTATTCCAGAGTCGGTATACCCAGTAGGCCTGGCCGAGGGCTGTGGGCATGCTACTGGTCAACTCGCCCAGCGAGAGCGCAACACAGAGATTGCACCCAGTGACCAGCACCAGGCCCCAGAGAATAGTAATGGCACCGCCATTGGTCAAGCCGCTGCTGAGATCCTGGGCGAAGGTGGAATACGTTCCTGGAATCGAGTCAGCACGCTTGTGACACCCCAGGTGCAGAGTGGCGAAAACATACCTAGTACACAAAATGCCAGCGCCAGCATACTCCAGATATCGAATTTTCGGGTCAAGGCCTGGGAATGGCCCAGGGCAGCGAGATCCTGCGCATCTTGCACATTCTGATCCGTCAATGGCGGCTTAAGGGGTATCGAATTGGACTCCAGATCCATCACTTGGTTTATTCAGCCTGAGGCAATATAGATGAACTCGGTGGGCAGGCAGGTAAGAAATGCGCCCATTTTCTGATCAGAGTTAACAGAGTCAGGGAATCCTGAATTCTATATAGCTGGGCTTTGAGCGTTTTTTCGTTCCGCGTTGACACCGATCACCCCTCACAGGGAAAATGACGGGCGTAGAGATAAAGCTGGGGAACTGGGTTGGGCCAATTACGCGGCTTCTTTGAGATTTGGTCGGGCTGAATCAGGGCGATTGGTCATGGAGTTTGGAGATGTTGATAATAGAATTGACAGGATTTTTTTCAATTTTGCGGGGAGAGTTGGGCGGACTCATCTCGGTAGGACCTCCTGCAGTGGGCCGTCAACCGAACACACTCTCCACAGATAAGAACTGGGGTACATTGTTTCAATCGCCAATATTGTACTCGATACTGCTATTTTTGATATAGAATATCAAGTAATAGATTCGATTTAGTGTTAAGTATACTTTGTGGCTCTATGTGGGCAAGAATTAGCCCACGCTCACGACGTATCAGTTTGGTGTCTTGAGGGGTCCGACCGCAGGGTTGTACTCGAAGAAGTTGACTAAGAACATTGAAAAATATCAATCGCTAAATTTGTCGATGAAATTAGATCCAAATCCATATGCTAGCTTGAACAATGTACAAAAACATACAGCAGACACAGCAACATCAATTGAAAGACAATTTGAAGTCGAGGAATCATCAGTGGCGAGAGTTCACCCAAAGCGGCAGGTATATGCGAACGATAAGAATTTCGATAGACGCTCCATGAGGCTCTACACTCTCACTGGATTTTGTGTGTAAAATGGCATAATAAGGAATCTAGAGATGCATATCTCGTGTCTCTACCGATATACTAGATAACATTAGTCCTGTGGAGTCAATTCCATGTTGCGGTGCCGGATATCCATGTCTCGGTGAAGATGTGATATCAAAACGAGAACACAGTGGTTCATGTCAATTCACCGGTAGTTGGTGATCACTATTTGCAGATCATTTAGTGAAATCAAGTGTTGTTATTCATGCCCGCCTTCTTCTCGAAATGAAGAGGAAAGACGAAACGATGCATCCTGCACCATTCAGGCACCAGTATTGAGCTTTTTCCGGAGAACGGCATCGAAGGGTCCACTTCTTGACAATAGCTTCGTAAAAAAGAGCCAGGCTTTGTCCGAGTTCGCCATCTCTCTCCCGTTGGACATCGCCGCATCCCAACCCGTTGAAGAGTAGTCCTTGCCGCATCTAATTGTCGCAGTCGGTCCATTATTGGCTTATTTCGCCGTGTCTCGGTGATTTGCGTCTCCTGCTCCTTCCTCTTGAGGCTAGGAGGTAGACAAGTATGGCATCACCATGAGATGCCTGCTTCCCCGCAAAGTCTGGGGTAATTCAGTCCGTATATTCGCGATGGTGTTCTCGTGATGCACCGACAAGTTCGCTGTGATTTGCATTTCAAGATTCTGTTTATGGTCAGCGGATGAGTATGTCCAAATGGCTGTGAAGCCGAGGAATAATAGTGATATTCAGGCACGGTGCAGCGCCTTATTCCCGATTGGGAATTTCGAGCCTGGACCCCTTTCGTACGCTGAAGGGATTGGTTGGTGGCTTCTAGGAGACTTCGATTCTCTTCCCCTTGCTGAATTGGTGCGTTTGATTGTTTAGCGATGGATATATTTAGCATGGTGGGTGATTTCCTTCCGCTATCGCAGTTGTCATGTTGGTGCCCACCCAGCCTGTCAAACGTTTCTTTTTCTCTCAAACCCGCACTGGAGAATACCAATTAACCTTGTAGGTAGGTCTTGAAAATCAGAGAACTACATTCTCTTCATTCCGACTCGTTTCTTTGGTGGCCTCTATTCCATGTCATACTGGAAGTATTTGTTCGGTTACAAGGAAGTCAAGACGAGATCCGAGATAAGGTGACCATACTAAGTTGTCGCGGAGTCGAGCAAGAACCAACGACCTGCCAACCTCTAGTTAAAAATGTGCTCAGTCAAAGAGAGAAAGACAAAAAGCCTTGACAGATACTTACGCTGCAGGTATGGTATATATACCGTCGAATTTCTCCGGCGCGACTATTTCCACTTTCGGAACTATCAGGCCATACACTGAGACAACAATGAGAATGTTTGAGTAAACATGAATCATCCGAGTCTTGGCAATTATATTAATGCTTTAGGATACACTCCATGAGGAATCCCCGCCAATGTAGGGGAATTCGAATCAAAACACTTTTGTTGTCGCCATGACCCGAAAATCATATGAGAGATGAGAGATCTCAATCAGTCCAAATAACTCCGATCCGAACGCCTCCGCCGTGTTGAATGACAAACAATATATACAAAAGAAATGAAAGAAACGCCGACCGGGATCAAGTTTACCGGTTATTCTAAGGATACACAACACTCGTCACGGTCATGAGAATAAAAGTGGTACTTGAAAACAGTGGCATGATCGATGTGTGCCGATCACATTCGGGGTTGTTTGGTGGGGCGCCAGATTGCACCCGCTGCCATGCTCTGCTTGAGCATTGCTAGCTCCTTGTGCAGGGCTTGGTTCTCTTGTTGAATACCATCAATGTATGAGAGGGCGTTGGTGAGGATCTCTGATTTCTTTAGAGAGCCAGCACCAACCTTAGTGTGTTTTTGAATACCTGATGGCGAGATGGCCTGCTCTAGAGAGACGAACTTGGCGTTCATGTTTGTCCGGTAGCGTTTCTCGATGATGTTGTGAGCGGCACGCTTGGCGGCGTTCCGCATCTGCGGGTCTTGGCTGCCGGATGAGCGGTTGGAGTCTCGGGAGAAACTGCGGGTCTTGCGGGATGTGGAGGTGTATTTGGAGGGTTGCGGTGTGGGAAAATCTTCTTGTTTCATCTCGGGACTTGACGACCATCTTTTTGATGAGCGAGTCTTGATCTCTGGTTGAGTCTGAGAGGTGAAGTCGGAGGCCTCGTTGGTGACCTCGAACGCGTTTGAATCAATCGACTGGCGGGCCGCAGCAGATGGCCATGATTGATCGTCACTGTCGAGCTCCTGCTTGAGAATTAGGCTTGGTCACAAAAAAGATATGGAAGGGACATACCGATGAGAGGGAAGCAGCATCCTCGGGCATGGGCATGGAGAAGCCACTGATGCCAGACGAACCGACGAACGGGTCAGCAAACAAGTCCTTGGACTCAAGGTTCGTCAAGCTGTCGGCAAAGTCAAAGGACACGGGCTCCATCTCTGTGGGGTTAAGTGAAAACAGATCGATGGCACTGTCATAGCTCCAGTTGGCAGCTAGGGGATCGGAAGCTCTGTTGAAAAACTCGGTCGGTCGAGACTGGGGGCTCAGCTGTTGGCTGAGGTAGGACCCCTCATCCATAGAGAGATTGGGGATCTCATTGGATCGATTGCAAGCCATGATGCACATTTTGGAGGATCATACGTTGGCCTCGAGGGCAATTGGCGGTTGGGGGTGATATATAGTAAGTTGGTAGAAGGATAAAGTGGCGAAAGATATCTTGAGTTATAAATAAATCTTTAGGAGAGAATGTTATACCATGGGGACAGGAGATGGGCTTCGGCCGTAGGGCATTTTATATAAAGAAAGGATCCCCCCCCCCTGGAAAGATACAGTACGAAGTAGATTCGGAACGGACGATTACTGTATTGAGAGTGATGTCAGGGACCCTGATCCATTCACGGCTGTGGCCACCGGCTAGGTGCTCCCACTATTTTTCGGTGGTTCCAAGCCGAGATCACCCCAGTCAAGATCTCTAACGGCCGGCTCCGATGTCATTCCGATACTTCCAAGATCCATTCGTGAAACCGTTGAAGTTTTTGAGAAAAACGTCCAGTTTGAAGGTGGATTTGCGGGAACCAGTGGGCTGGACCGTGCCAAGCCTTTCTCGGCCGAAGCCCGGAGCCGACACTGTTCTTGTATTTTTCATGGTACTTTTTCACCCCTTTTCGCCTTGTTAAGGTACATACGTAGTAATGTATGTATCTTGTTCATTGTTTTGTTTCGGTATGTTTCATTTGCTGCTTTGAAATTCTTTAGGATCTTTATTGTATTGATTATTTTCTCCTATCGCGGTTCAAGACTATAATCGGAAGTGCTATGCATATCTTCAGTGTCCACCTATGAGGAGGGTATTTCTACTCTGGGATTCTTCCTAACTTTCGAACCAAGAGACCAGCATGTTTAGCAGAGACTTGTAATGGATGCAACGGTCATATAGAGGCCATAAATTTGAGCAGATCTACGAGCTCTAATCTGCACTCTACCTACTCCGTAGTTTGAGAAGATTAGCCGATCTCCATGTTCATCAGAATCAGAAAATGAGTCGTCGGGACAATTGGTGTTACCAAATTCAATTTAATTAGAGCAAGGCTCTATATTCATTAGTCCGAGCTGCCTACATGTGTACGGACCTCGTGCATGTCCATGTTCTTGGTGTTTTGATTCCCTAGAGCAACTATATATATGCGTGGATCTATTTGAAGAAATAATGAGGTGAGGATATCTCTCGGTATTTCAACACAGAGATCAATCGAGTCTCGTTTCTTCTCTCATCAATATACGACAAGCTCCCTATCTTACTAATTGTCCAACTAATGGTAATGTTCATACAGCAGACTTTGTACATGATATTCCTCAAAAATGGCTTACGAGTACACTATGGATTAAATGACCCGGTGGGGCTACAAAGTACAGAGCTACATTAAAAGCGGCAATATCTGACAGGTGTATTCAGAAATGCCTCAGAATCCTGGTATGGGAATATACGTGTATCAGCCAGAAATCCGTAAGTAGACAAGATACCTGTGGCTGCAATGCTCGGCTCTTGGCCTATACTTTCTTTACCCCCTGGCGGTAAAAATTATACCCTGTTTCTCTACCCTGTTTTCTCAAACAATAAATTGCTACTGAATTTTTGCCTGACTGGAAATGCTTTGACGATCACCTATCATTCACTTTGGTGGGTCATCGGATCCCTGCAGGGCATCACATTTGACGTATGCAACTAAATCGAACGTGGCCAGCTGCATATAATGCCAGAAAACACTATCGAGGGTATGGTAGCCGATCTTTCACCGAGATACAGTGATGATAGACATGGACAAGTTGCAGTTGTGGCTAAACTCGCCCACAAGCCACTGTGATACATCTCCTTTGGACAAAAATATTAAAGTAGTTTCAATACCACCTACATATCATTGTTTCTTTTAAACACATGTATAATCGGCTATGCTGTCTCCCTGCACCACCGGCTGTGGCAACGTCAACAAGTACATGCATCAGTCTAGTACTTTTGTCAAGTCTGGCCGAAGATCAGAGCCACTTTTCTGCAAAGTTTTCACTCAATGAATACACATCCTAAGCACCCTTGGGGAATCTAGCCCTTGAGATGTGCCTTGCTTAACTTGGTAGGACAATAAACAAAGCTATGTCATAAAAGTTAGACTTGGACTAGTCTCGTCTCGACGGGCCGCCGTGTCCTCCAGTAGAAAGACAGGTAAAACCAGCTTACTCGGATTACTTCCTAAAGTAGCGAGTGCCACTTGCGCTTTCAATTAGTGGAGTGACTCGGATCATTTCTTTCCTTTGCCCTGCCACTAGCCCCAACCCGATGTCCACCGAATTCTGCAATCATACCTTTGTGAGAACCCGAATTTTCACGAAAATCTCACACGGAAGTTATACTCTTGTTTAGCTGCCGGTGAAAATTTTTCTCCATGAGATATTGTATGGCCTGAATCTGTTGTCGCCAGATACTCCCCGATCTTGGTTGCCCAGATCCGATTGTACCTTTTAATGTTCCGAGATTCAGTGAAACACTTTCATACATGTTCATTATTGACAACTATCAAAAATGATACGAGTAGTTTGACTTTGTGGCTCATCGCTCACAGACCCCATGGACCAGCATCCCTATTTACAATATACACCCTCGTTCAGATCTATCACAACCTTAAAATTTGGACCACTCGACGCAATTACTGAGCAATCCAGACCGTTATAGCTAATTAGGCCCTGCAGGTGACCCGTTGCCCCAGTGTTGCAGATGTAGAAACCCGGTCAGTCCACCCGGCATGTCCTGGCCCAGAAGTGGAGCAACAACGGGCGTAAACCCCGTCAGCTGCATAAAGTACACGGGTAGTGATCTGAATCTAAAGCCGGTCTTTGTCCCCGGATTTTGGTTCCCAGCGGGGGAATGTTCGAAGGCAGCTGGAATAGCCCTTCACCAAGGTAGCCAGCGGACCCGAAGTGACTATCGGAGGATAAAATTTGTACCGCCACTAATTTATTCTTTGTTAGTCATACTCATCGAAAACCGACCGATGGCAATGCATCATGGGCTTTGTTGAATTCACTAGACTGAGAAGCATTACCTTGAGTGTCCAACCTGCTGATTCAAGATATATATGCCGGAAAATCTTTCACATTCAGCTGGCTATCCTACTTCCGATTTGGAACTTTGCAGAACTGGCCTTTTGATGAAACTCAGGGGAAGCCTCGTTTTAAATGGAATGCTGAAATTCTTTTCCCAAACAAGGTACAATTTTGGAGAATCTCAGCCCCTCTCCTCCCAAAAGTCATTGCCTTTCCTTTTACTTCAAGACCTGCACCTTCGACTGATTCCAATCAACAGCCATAGATTAAAACTTGTTATCACGCTTGAATCACTATCCTCGTCTGTTCTCTCAATTTGATTGCTTGATTCTCATAGCCTAAGCCACAAACCTCCGAGTCGAACTTTCGCTTGTTTGATCACCCTTTCATTGATGCTACGTCTACGAATATTCACATCCAAATAAATGCCACATACACTCGTGTCTATCTTGTCTCATGATTGCCTACAAGGTATGTTGTATTGTTGAATTATCCCACGTGGAACTCACTACAACTTGAATCTTCGAAGGATTTACGGTTGCAAATGAACAAGCTTACTCAATCATGCCTATTTTTAAGGTGATGGGAGGACGATTTTTTGGAAAAAGCGATGGGATGGGCGAGGGCTGAGGCGCAATGGTGCATATCCTATGATGCAGTTTGTGGAACAATTGAGCTCATCACGCATCAAAATTCGAGATCTAATGGTGGGTGACAAACCACGCTGGCCGGAGGAAGCAATTTGTCTACTGCGTAATTGCTGGATGGACTGATACTCATACATCAAGATTTGATATATGCATTTGAATTTTGCTGCCGGTGTTCTCTGAGATTCTCTGCACTGAGATGAACACCCCGTTCTCGTCCATTCCATTGGATATTCGAAGTCTAGGCTAAGTGGACTCCCAATCTCTCCCAGATACAATGGTGGGGCTTCTAAACTAGCCTATTTGATACGAAGCGCACACTCCTCGTTTTCTCAGAACACATGGGCGCATAGGGCATTGTATGGCAACATACTCCAAGAATGACCTTGCGAGGCCAGGGAGTTTCCAGTTATGACGACTGTGATCGCAAACTTCCTGCAGATCTCCAAAACGAGTATATCACCTGCACGATTACCCATTATGGATCATTAAATCGCCCGCCACTTCGTGGGACCCCACATTTATTTCCACTAGAGCCAATAGCAGTATGAGATTTCAGAACCATGAGTGGTGGAGATCGATCCGACCGCTGAAGTAAACAAAGCAAAGATCGAATGACGCAGGTTGTGCGACAAACCTCTCCTGTTGGGGAGGGGGTTGGAAAACAAAGCTATTAAGAGATGGACATCACTTTGGCTGTTATTTACTGAACTCATATCACCACAACTTGTAAGCAACCACAATATATACCGACTTCTTGACAATCATAAACCCACCTAGCAATCATGTCTCTGTACGCAACGAGAAGAAGCTCCCCATTGAATCAATCTACTAACACGCGCACATGAAAGTTCTCCAGAAGAGCATTATCAGCAACTTGTCACCAACAAGAATCTCTCCGACGAAGATGTTCAAGCTGCTTTCGACAAACTTCAGCCTATTCAGCCAGACGCTTTTATGGGGACATGGAAGGGAGCGAGCGTTAGCACAGGCCACCCGGTCGAGCAAAGACTCACTAATATCAAGTGGGCGGGGAGGACATTTCGATCAACGGAAGATGTCAATCCAATTGAGGTATACAAGGAAGATGGTGTGAGGGTCTGGAATACTGATTGGGGCCATGCCCGGGTAAATTTCCTTGTTTTCTTGATTAGTCTTGAAGCTAAATACTCTTTGTCCACAGCTTCGCCAGATTGAGTGGAAGGGAAAGGTCTCTACTGCAATGGTTTATGATGACGCCCCTATCATCGAATACTTCCGTTATGTCAAGGAGGATTTGATTGCTGGCGCTATGGACGCGAAGACTTACCCTGCTCGCGCGTACTTCTTTTATTTGTACAAATGAGCACGACGGCGTTGTTTTTTTTTTTTTTTGATTAGCAGCCTGGCTTCCTATCTAGATTATTTAAATGAACTTTCGATTTGATATAACTAGAGTATATACCTAGGTAGTTCCAGTGTCAGAGGAACATAAGCAACAACCGCGGAAAATTGCAAACAAAATGCTTAGTATATATCTATAGATTACGACAATAATCCTGCAACGAACATTGGATTCGAAAGAAATGATGGAGTATATATCATAACATAGAAGAAGCTATGTCGTAATCGAGGACTTCTTCGCGCACACTAAAGCGATGCCATTATGGGAACCCAAAGTAAAACGCCCAGCCTTTAAGTCCGAGTGTATATAATTAGAGAATGATCCACCTTTAAATTGTTGAGTAACCGGTATATACATGAAGTGTGAGTGAGGGTTTGAATCGCATGCTGGAAGATCACAAAGCCCGCTAGGACGTACGGCGTTTTCGGATCAGGTTATCCTATCTGCATGCTATGTAATTACCTGATTTTCTTCCGCTGGATCATTAAGTGACGATTTCACGTCGCAATCGCCAGGGGTCAAGCAGGAATCAGCCCCTTTACTCTAGCTTGCCGATACCCGAATTTTTCTCAATAACCCACACGCAAAGACCAAAGTCTGATATGCGGACCATTTAACTAGAGTTGCATCTTCGATTCTAGAATGGGACATGCTACGTTGTAGAAGTTCGAAAATAGAAAACCGCAGGGTGTCTCCGAGAAACCCGCGGGCGATCTTCGGAAGGGCTGAGCAGCTCGCACATCCGATGTTAATGTGTGCATCACCACGGATCAACGATCGTTGAATCTAAATCAATCAACATCAACCAAAGCGGCAGAAATTGATCTAAGAATAGGATTGGGTATTAGGCACAAAAAGGGAATGCCCCGAACTTCCTCCACCACAAACCTGAAGATCGACAGTGGCTGATTCCCGTAATGGAGTCAGTTCCACTTTTCGGATAAAAGCCGCCGCATTTAAACCGGGAAATGAGGAGAATGCAGGGTCTTCAGGGGTTTCGAGAAACATTTTAGATTGTAAAGTGTCGGAATATCGATACTCAAGCTCGAATAGTGTGTTCAAGTGTGACTCTACACGACGGATGTATGTGCAAGATTCCGTTACCACAAAGTCCAAGCAGCCCTTTTGACGACATTTGTAGTCCAAAGCATGCATTTTGCCGTTATGAGGGGCTTCAAGACATGTTTTGCAATTGCGAGATGATCGGCCAATAGCGTCAAATGCAAAGTTCTAAGGTAGCCACTTTAATTTTTAATGTGGAATCGTGCCCGATTTTATGACCTCAACAAAAGGAACCTCAATTTAGATCCATATTGCATCAACACCCGGATTTCTGGGGTTATAAGAGAGTCTCATGTCCGCTGCATGATGGCCCTTCTGTCCTCATTCAAAAAGCTCATTACGAATTCACAATGAAATTCTCCCTCGCCGCTATCACTGGCTTCGTCAGCGCCATCAGCGCTGCTAGCCTCCCCAATGCCTTCACCCTCGTTGCTGAGGGCGGCAGCACTCTCCTTACCGATGGCCAAAATGCCTACATTGGTGCCAACACCACCACCCACGACATCCTGATCCGTAAGCTTCCCATCTGACTCCAACCTTCTCGAAATTACCTCCTAACCCATCGACAGTCCGTGGCGGCCCCAACGGCCTCGTCTCCTACACCGCTAAGAACGGTGTCCCCACTGCTTTCCAGAACCTCTACATCATCGAGAACTCCGTCTCGCCCGTCGGCCTGACCATTCCCCACTCCGGTGCTGTCCCCGAGGGCGGCAACCTCACCGGATTCGGTGTCAATGAGCAGGGTCTCTTCACCCACGGCGGCAAGGCCTGGTTCGCTATCGACGGCTACGGCGACAACCCCGTCAGGGAGATCTACTGGTACGCTGCTCATAGTTCTGAGTACCGTTCTGAGAAGCTCTACGTCAAGGAGCTCAAGAACTACTCCGCTTAAATCTTTGCTCAACTTTAGCGAGTTTGTTTGACAATATGGCTGGATGAGAGCTGCTTGTTATTTATTTTAGGAGGGGTCTATGATGGATCACCTCTTTCGCTCTTTTGTACTTGTTAATCACGACTGCACATATCGAACATATTAGCGAAGTCGAAGTTTTGTAATGGACGATTTGTATCACTGTTCATTCAATCAAGAAAATTGGCCGAAGTAAAGTATATACAAACGGACTTGCATATTCTCATCCGATCAACTCCCTGATAGTATCTTCGTATCTCTCCGGTTCACGTCCAAGGATCTCACCCAGAGCTGGAGAAATAACAGCCGTCTCGCCATTCTTAATTGCCTCCCAAGCCGTCGCCCACTCCCTCGAGAGATCAACACCATGGTATGTATGCAGATCTCCAATCTGAGGGAGCTTCACATACTCATCGACAGAGATCTCCCGAATACTCAGTGATTTTCCAACCGCCCGCCCCACTATCTCAACCGTCTCTGCGAGCGAGATCTCCCGCGAACCAGAGAGCAGAACAATCTTGTTCAAATACTGGAAGCTATCCCGATCATTGATGTAAGAAACAATCAGCTTAGCAGTAGCCTCGCCCAGCTCATCACGCTTCACCCACGCAACGCCGGGCCCAGTGCCGGGGTGAGGAATCGTAATCTCATCCGCTGGGTTCTGCGGGTCGAACCACGCCGTGTAAATCGGGAAAGACTCGGAGTAGAGTCCCTCGCGCACAGACGTGTATGTTAATTTGTCTTTTTGTGAAGCGAGGTATTTCTCTGTTTCGATGTGCGCGCCCATAACGTGCGCGACGCTTTTGTCGCTGAGTCCGCTGCCGAAGCCGAGGGAGGAGTAGAATATGTGCTTGACTCCACTGTTTGTGGCTGCGTTGATGGCAAGACGGTGGGCCTGGGTCTTGGTGAGATTATGGTTTGTTTGGCTTGGGGGTTTTCGCTTACCTTCACGCGATGCTCGATCTCGAATGATGCATACGAGATTAACATTAAGACATCCACGCCGTCGAATGCCGTGTCTAATGTCGATGGCTCGTCGTAATCTGCTCGCCGGACGGTTGCGCCATCTTGCTTCCAGTTTTCTAAGTTCTCGGGCTTTCTCGCGATTAACACGAGCTCTGATGCTGGGACTAGCTTGGACAAGTGGTTCACAATACTTGTTCCAAGTCCGCCGGAGGCAGGGAAGACACCGATATTTGGGCCCATGTTGAATTCAAGATCTTTTTGATACGATTACTAGCGAGGACAATTCTCTGAATCAAAAGACAGACATGAATGTGCGCTTTTTATTACCATTCAACAAAGTGGTGTCACTGGGCTGTCGCCAGGATTTTTTTGGCGATCGTCTGCTTATAAATGGGATTCGGTTCTCGGTCTGCGATGGCCTCTAAAGACCGAGGATTACAAGGTCACCGTCACCGAGCCGATGTTTTCCAACAATAGATCACAATTTACTAGCTGAATCATGATAATATGATCGGTAAACTTGCATTCGTCAATCGTAATATTATAGAGTCGAGATATGTGCCTTCTTTCCTAACGCCAGAAACCCAACACGATGAAAAATGAGATGCAGCAATGCAGTACACAAACGAACACTCTATCCTCACTGAGAAATCCCCCCAGTGCCGAACAGTTCCATTTTAATACGGTCGGCCCCAACGCCTCTGGCCTTGAGAGCCGACTGTGTATCTGTCATGAACCTCTCCGGCCCACAAATATAGTACTGAGTCTTGGCATCATCAAGGAACAGATCCTTGTCATCCAGCTTGCTGAGGTCCACACGTCCGACGTGGTGGTAGTCAACGCCCTGCTTCTCTCCTTCGGCGGGGATGCTCGTGAAGAAGGTTGCTTGAATGGCAGGAGAAAGCTTGGGGAGTGCAGAGATGTGTTCTTTGAACGCGCGAGCGCCCGATGTTCGAGCGCCGTGGATAAAGTGCAGTCTGCGGCCTACAGGGGCCTTTGAGGTCAATGTGTTTACGATTGAGGTGAGAGGGGTCAGGCCCACGCCGGCGGAAATCAGCACGACCGGAGTGGCAGATTCGGTCTCGCTCGGCGGGAGGAAGAAGTCACCGTAGGGGTGTGAAACCTTCAGGGTATCACCAATGTTGAATGTGTCGTGCAGCAGATTTGAAATGTAACCAGGTTGGGAGGCGGCAGCAGTTGGGTCGGCCGTGTTGAGGCCGGTTTCCTTCTTCACGCTGATGCGGTAATAGTCTGGCTTGGGCTGATCGCTCAGCGAGTACTGGCGGGCTTGCAGGTAGTTGAGAGCTGGAACAAAAGCCTGGACGGAGATATACTGGCCGGGCTGGAACTTGGGCAAGGGCTTTTCGTCGACTGGAGCGAGGTAGAATGAGGTGATTTCTTCAGATTCCTTGACCTTGTTGGCGATCTTAAACTCGCGCCAATCGGTCCAGCCTTCGCTTTGCTCGTAGAGTTGCTTTTCGCGGCCAATCATCAAATTCGCGAGCTGCCAGTAAGCAGTGGCCCAGGCGTCGTGGATTTCTGGAGTCAATGCAGCACCGAGAACCTCGCCCATCGCTTCGAGGAGATACTTTCCGACAATCTTGTAGTCGTCGGGCTTGATGTATAGCGACGCATGCTTGTTGCAGATCAACTCAACGGCTGAGCTTAGCGCGCCAAGATCGTCGATATGCGAGGCATATGCATGCAATGCTCCAGCAAGTGCGCGAGGTTGATGACCGTTGACCTGGTTAGGTGTGTTGAAGACTGTGTTGAGTTCGGGGTGGGCTTCTAGCATGTTGCGGTAGAAGACAGTTGTAATTGTGTTGCCATGCTGTACAAGAATTGGCACCGTCGCTTTGATGAGGGCGATCTGGTCTGGTGTCATTCCTGGATTGGAGGTCATGATTGATATATTGGATCGGGTTGATAGTGAAGTTGTATTCTCCCGATAACGGGGGATCAATTGATTTATATATCATAGATGAAAGTACCTGAATAACAAAAAATGACATTAGAAAACTCTAGAAGGTGATTTGTTATGACTACGAACTGCCCGAAAAGGCACACGCATCTCCGCGGAGATGCCACGGAGATGAGGTGTATATAGTAAGGAATTTCTTCGGGATTGGCTGCAGGGTTTTTCTCGGAGCAAAATGTCACATGATTCACAATTTTGTAACAGAACAATATCTTGTTAAGAGAAAGCTTCTAATTGTTGCTATACTTAGTACATTCAGTGTACAATATTATATGATCGATATGTCAAATCGCCGATCATCACGGATCATACCCGCCACTATAGAGTTCATTGATAAAATATGCATATCGCCGTGTTTGATTTGAAGATATAGTCAAGATCCCACTAGTGAAATTTTTAAAGCAATTTCCTCTTTGGTACATTCTCGAATGGGGTACCAATCCCGATCAGTCAGGCCACGCGCGAGAATGTTTAGGACAACTGTCACCGGGCCAAACGGCCGGAGATTGCCGATTTCTTCCATTTAAACCCGATCTTACAGCTTCCGTCAACAGTATTTGCCCGGTTCGTCTTGGCAACTACTCTTTCCGTGACTACACCGGTTTACGGTGGTTTCTCGGGGTTTCTCTCCCCGGGGCCGGTTTACTAAACGGCTTCCCTATTATGATGGTTTACTTACATGTAGTTTTGTTGCTTTAAAAAAACTCTACTAAATTTTGAGAAAATACTAATGAACATAAACTTTCACTCTATGCCAACGTAGATAGGTAAGTATGCTAGTTCAGTTCTATAAATGTAGGTAATTGACATTCAGAACAGAAGTTCCCTAGACGTAGGCATAGATAGAATGATTCAAACCTCGATAATGAAGAAACATCTATTCAGCTTCTTGATAGAAAACAAAATCAATCACGTTTTCCAGGACCTCTTCTCGAAACCTGTAGCCCGAAACAGTATAACAGGCGCCCGAGGCTTGGGATAGACTTTCACACACATCGTTACCCACTAGGATCATAATTCATGCCAGCGAAGGCAGGCTTTTCAAGCATGTGCGCGATATTTATGAACCCGAAAACTGGACCAACGTTGACCATGTTCTGGTCTACCAAGATAAATCTGGATTCAGTTACGGGATTTTCGCTAGGGGGATTGAAGATTGAAGAGGACCAACGCGAATTATTATTCTAAGTCAACTTTACCCATTTTGGCATTGTCTTGACGTCTTCAGCTTCATCAATGCTAGTTAATTGGTTTCGTTTGAGTTGTGGTGGAAGTTGAACTCCCGGTTCACAATGGCAAACCATGGCACAAACCAACAGATCTGTAAAAGCTGCTCAACACCAGAGGTAAAGATAACGAGCCCAGTGGAGAGTTCACGGAAAAGTCCGAGGTGTCAAACTATAGCAGCAAATTATGAGGCGTTGATCAATGTGGCGTTTAAGGATCCATGTTTCGCGCTAGCCAATCGACAGCATTCTGGAAAAATCTGGAGTCAAGTCCTGCCGAACATACATTGGACAATCCATTTGAGATCTTCGCTTGGTGGTCTAGACGATCGATTGACGCCGTTTGTGGAAAATCCGGGTGGTCCCGTCCAACGGCTGCTGTTTGTTGACTCCACCGGCCGAACCTAAATTGCTTACCTCACGATTTGACTCTTTGCAAGCGAGTAGAGACATATTGAGCCTATTCCATTGCGAATGAGTCGGTCCAGGCATGGTTGAAAAGATAACCGAGGTTGATCACGAGCAGCCAAGACTTGATCGATGATACATGGACCGGCGAAAATGCGTCTGTGTTGACAGTAATGACGTCCGTGATATGCAATTTTGTAGTGGAAAGGCTGCTGGGAGAGGATATATAGGTTTCGTGCCAGAATAATGGGATAGTCCAGTGAAAAGTCATCATCCTGACGAGACTACCTGTCCGCTGTATCCCAAGTCCTATTCTCGTCTCTCAATTGAAGCTCCATCGACCACGATGTTATTCAAGAAACGGAACTCTGGTGATGTCTCGACGCTGGGTGGCCCGCCAGGTCCCGGCGGCCGTGGCCAGTTGCCTATGCTCCAGCTGCCGGACCAGCTGCGGTACAACTTGCTGTGTGTGATGGGCGAGTTTGTCGGCACGTTCCTGTTTCTCTTCTTCTCTTTTGCGGGTACCCAGGTGTCGAATACGCCCATGCCACCACCTGGATCGCCGCCTAATACTTCTAACCTGATGTATTCGGCGCTTTCTTTTGGTTTTGCGTTGACGGTCAATGTCTGGGCCTTCTTCCGTGTGACTGGCGGTCTCTTCAACCCCGCGGTAAGGGACAATGACAGGCATATACGATCATTGTAGCTAACAGTCATCAGGTCACCCTTGCGCTTTGTTTGACTGGTGGAATGCCTCCTCTCAGAGGGTTGTTTGTGTTCCCCGCTCAACTTGTCGCCGGTATTGCCGCGGCGGGTGTGGTGAGCGCCCTGTTTCCGGGCCCCCTGAACTGCGCGACCCGACTGGGCGGCGGTGCATCAATTGTACAGGGCCTCTTCATTGAGATGTTCCTGACCGCACAGTTGGTACTTGTCGTTATCATGCTGGCGGTGGTAAAGCATAAGTCGACCTACCTGGCGCCAGTGGGAATCGGTCTGGCATTTTTCGTTGCAGAGTTAATCGGTATGTATCTTCCGTGTCCGCAATTTGCAAAGGAAATCAATCTCACAAATCTCTTTTCCAGGTGATTATTATACTGGAGGATCTCTCAACCCGGCTCGCTCCCTTGGCCCAGATGTGATCAACCGCAGTTTCCCCGGGTATCACTGGATCTACTGGGTTGGCCCACTCCTGGGATCCCTCCTCGCTTCTGCCTTCTATCATCTCCTTTGCTTTGTTCGCTGGGAGAAAATCAATCCCGGCCAGGATTATAACGAGTGGGAAGTCAGATCACGAAAGGAATCGGTGATTGGATCCGAGCACACCATGACCAATGACTCGCCACCAAGCCAGCAGCCCAGGATTGAGGTGCCGCCCGAGCAACAAGTTTAGTATTATCGTTTTCTTCGCGATGATGTTGCCTGTGAAGGTTCGGCTGTAAGATCACGAAGCAGTGGAGCTGGGAGATGTGTAAGTGATCTACCAGGTGTAAATGGAGTAGTCGTAGCAGACGGAACACGGGAGATCTGCAATACTCGAGAGTCAAGCATTGAGAAGGTCATGCTGCATTGTTTGCATTTGTTTGAAGATGTCGATAATCGAATAATCATAATGAAGTTATCCAAATATATCGTGAGTTCGAATGCGGGATGAGACGGTGAATTGTTGTAGTGGTGAAGGTGACTTGACATGCACAATGTTGCCGATCGATTGTCGCACTAGATTTGTGCTACTTCACAATATGTCGACATGGATGACCACATAAATAGTAATGCAGGCGTGTTCGACTTCGTGCAGTGGTGATCAGCGTCCAGGCTGCCATCCTCCATTGGACGCCCCTTTCCTGCAGGACACTGCATCGATTATTGGATGATTGCAGCGAGGTTGATTGACGCTAGAGAGGATATGCAAGCTCCACACATTCCTCTCAACTCAGCACGATCGACCATCCAAACAAGTTCATTCTCCATGCATGTGTGTTGAAAGTCCATCGTGAATCGCCTCATGAAATCAAACCCCGAGAAAGGCCACGCGACCGGCGCGATGGCAGATCCCGCTGATGTGCAACTCCTGGGTGAGATGGGCTCTTTTGTTTTGTGGGGCCGTTCGCTAATGCGCTCTAGCGCGTATGGGGTATAAACAGGAACTTCGGCGCCATTATTCGACGACTCAGGTGTTTGCGATCGCCTTCAGTGTGATGGGCATTTTGCCTTCGATCGCGTCGTCACTCTCCTTTTCCCTTCCTGCCGGTCCGGTTGGGATGGTTTGGGTATGCGATCGGTCACTTATGGGTGTCGCGCTTTGATTGACATTTTCAGGGATGGTTCACAGCCAGTGTATTCATAATGTTGGTTGGATTGGCGATGGTATGTTTCTTTTTGGTTGTTGTTGTTGTTGTTGACCGCGCGGGAGAAGAGTGCTAATATGTCTAGGCTGATCTCGCGTCTGCTCTGCCAACTGCTGGGGGATTATATTGGTGGACACATTACTTCGCTGGAGAGAAATGGAAAGGGCCATTGAGCTTCCTGATCGGGTATAGTAATACACTGGGTCTCATCGGTGGCATATGCTCAGTGGACTGTGAGATCAACTCCTCGCTATTATTGTTGAAAATGCTTACCCCTATTATATAGACACCCTCGCGCTGATGATTCTCTCATGCGTGTCCATCTCACGCGGCGATGGATGGTCTGCCTCAAACGGTGTACTCTATGGCGTATTTGTTGGGGCAGTTCTCTTACATGGGCTCTGCGCTTCACTCGGCGGCCGCATCATGCCCATGATTCAGACCTTCTGCATCTATATCAATGTGGCTATCATTATCGCGACAGTGATTGCACTGCCGGTTGGAAAGGTGACGCGCGGCGGGTCACTCAACACGGCTCATTTCGTGTATGGTCACATCGACAACAAAGCAACCTGGCCGACTGGATGGGTATTTATGCTTGCTTGGCTCGCTCCGATCTGGTCGATTGGCTCGTTCGACTCTTGCGTGCACATGAGCGAAGAGGCTCTACACGCCGCCAGGGCCGTTCCTCTCGGAATAATCTGGTCGGCCGGCTCTGCATTCGTGCTGGGCTTCTTGGTGTTGTCCGTTATTGCTGCCACTATGGACCCCGATGTTAGCGCTACTCTTGGCACGAAGTTTGGACAGCCAATGGCTCAAATCTATTACGATGCACTAGGCAGAGAGGGTGCTTTGGCTTTTATGGCTGTACTGTGCTTCATTCAGTTCTTGATTGGCCTGGGTCTGACCGTCGCCGCTTCACGTCAGGCGTGGGCCTTCTCCCGCGACGGTGCGCTGCCCTTCTCTGGGTTCTTCCGCCACGTGAGTAAACGAATTCAGTATCAGCCAGTTCGTATGATTGGCGGAATAGTCGTCGTGTCGATTATCTTGGGCCTACTTTGTTTGATTGACTCCGCCGCAGCCAACGCTCTTTTCTCGTTGTTTGTCGCGAGCAACTATCTTTCATGGGGCACACCAATCTTCTGTCGCTTAGTCTGGGGTCAATCCCGGTTCCAACCAGGCGAGTTCTATACAGGTCGTTTCAGCAAGCCTATTGCCACGGTGGCTGTTGTATATCTTCTTTTCGGTGTCGTTTTATCCATGTTCCCGACTGAAGGCCCTAGTCCAACTTGTGTGTTTCCACCGCTTCCTTCACCCTCTTCACTCTTATATCGCTAATTCTTGACAGCATCAAACATGAACTATACCATAGTTATCAATGGGTTTGTTTGGGCGGGGTGTATAGCTTATTACTACTTCTGTGCACGCCGCTGGTATACTGGACCACAGATGACTATCAACGATAGTGCTTCCATTATTTCTGACAGTATAATGGCTCACCCGATATCTCAGGGGATCCATCCTGGAGGACCAGCCCCAGTTGGCCACAAGGACGAGTAGATTCTTCCGTTTCTTCTGCCTTCATCTTCTTTTTTATATTTTTATATAGCTGCCGAGTGTCTTATACCAACTCTTTTTTTGGCATGGTTCCTAGAGTTCGGGGTAACTGCGGCCTCGTGAATGTTTGCGTTTGCATTTGATGAGTGAGACCTTCGTGTGAGACTTTTTTTGCTGCCCAGGCGCCTGGCAGGCAGATTCACCATTGTTTGTCATTCTTCAAAGGAAATTGAACTCTAGAGCAGACATCGCCAGCCACTTGATGTTTCTCTTGCTCCATCAGTACCGAAGATCCATAGTTCCCTCTCCATCAATGTATACCTCGCTCAGACTGTGTGCAAGCTGGAGGATCCTAGCGCCCGAACACCTACTTATCAGCATGTCGAGAATAGTTATGGTGACGCCCTTAGAACCATTGGCAACAACTCTAGACGTTGTGTTCAACTGAACAATGCAATCAAAAAGCCGTTGTTTTGGATCTGAGGTGGAACTCTGATTAACCTAGCTTGGCTCATTCACGGGCTACACTACTCGAGTATTCAGGAAATTTTTCAGATTTGATACAACCGGTCTTCTCATCCCCGGATCATCGAACCAAGATGCCCAGACAGCCATTACTGCCACTGTGTCCGATATATGGCTATAATATAGCAAGGAGCGCACACTGTTTGTGATTCACTTCATTGGCCATCTGCAGCAAGACTAGCTAAAAAAAACCATCTATCCGGTAAACATAATTTTATTGCCGAAAGTACAATGCACTGATATTATCTAGTACTGGAGGATTGGACAAGAGCCTGTACAGTGGTGACTTCGTCTATGCACCAATACAATCATGGGACCCTCAGCGATTCGCGCCCCCGGGTACAGTAACCCGGTTTCCTCTTCATCCTGGGTTCCTCGTGTTCTTCTTATCAACCGGAGTTATCTCAGGGGCGGAGAAGCTACACCAAAGATGGGGCACAATAACCCTTCGTGGCAGGCGTTGAAGACAAAGCTAGCGACAACGATTTTGATGAAAGCTTCACTCTCCGGTCAGCCAGTCAGATTAGCAGCGTGGTGCCCTCGCCCGTCACTATCACACAGTTTCACGAGTCTCTTTGCGCTGAATCCAATGATCTGATGAACAAGCTCCAATACGCTGCCCAATACATCTGCGATAACGACCAAGAAAGCATCACGTTGCGGCCCCTTGGTTTTTCTGTGTCAGAGACCTATCAATCAACGCATAAGATAGGACTGCAAACAGGAACAGCTCTTATTTGCGTACTCATTCGAGGAAATACAGAGATATGCGAAGTTAGCCGGTGGCAGGCACGGCTCAACTTCTCTTTGGACCACTTAAAGATTATCATCGAGGGTAGCTTCAATGTCAGTAGGCTCTTTCTGTGCTTCATAGCCATGCCTATCTCGTTATGGGATATGACTATTTTCAACCCAGCGTACAGGTTGATCTGCTATGCCGACTCCCACATCATGGTGCCAAATGCTAGAATAGTGGCAAATACTAGCTGCACACTATGTGAGTTAGTCGAGGATAAGCTAGCAACACCATCTAGCCAGCCGCGAGCCAACGTCAACGTTAGCATAGTCGAGAATTTTCGCCAGCTGAAGGCATGAGGAGGCTCAGACGACAACAGCTGCGGTGCAGAACCCGGGTGGAGTCAACTCCTCCGACGCACTCACACGCTCCGCGGAACTGAAGGAAAGTGAAGTTCAGGAAATCCAAAGCTCAAACAGGCTCAAGACCACAATCAAGGGCAACCTTGCGATAATCCCGGATATTGAAACGCTGGGCGAACACCTGCGACCGTAAAATACGGGACTTGTTGGCTGTGTTTATTGAGAACCCCTTTTGTGAGTTCTACTTTGGAAAGTTCTAGGAAAAAAGTACGATATTGAGCAATGAAATTTGATACGTTCCAAATCCGAAGCTGCTGTAAGAAGAATATTTGCAAATGTGATATTGATTGAAATGAACCCAATGTACAAAAGAGGTATATATACAGCTTCAAAACGCCAGAATTATTTCTCTTTTTCCAAAGGCGAGAAACTTATGGACAAAATCTTAAGGAAAGTCGTCAAGATGGGAATAGCTGATATCATGTTTGATATCAAATCCAAATCAGAGCCAATTTATCAACCCTTTACAGGGCAACCATGATACCGAGAACACCGGCCATACCAGCAGCGGCAGCGCCGACAGCAGTGGGGCGGGCGAAGGCACCGTTGCCAGAGGTAGTGGCGGCAGCAGAGCCGCTGGCAGTGCTATCGGTAGAAGTGCCGGTGGCAACGCTGGTGAGAGTGGTGGACTCAGTAGCGGTAGCTGAGCCAGCGGAGTTGGTCAGGGTAGTCTGAGCAGAGGCCCAGGTGGCAGCGCGGCTGGTAGCCTCGGAAGCGATGGAGCCAGCCTTGCTAGTGATGGACGAGGCGATGGTGGCGGCGTCGCCGGTGAGGGTGGAGAGATCGCTGGCTTCGCTGCGGATGGAGGAAACGGCTGCGGCGCCGCCGGTGCTGGCGGCGTCGTAGATGGAGGTGGCCTTGTCGGCGACGTCGGAGCCGACGGATTCACCGCCGCTGACGGCTGTTGAGGCGATGCCTTCGGCTGCGGACACGATAGAGTTCACGTCAACGCCGTCGGGGGAGGCCATGGCAGCAGTGGCCAGGAAGAGAGCGGAGCTGATGAGAGTGAATTTCATTTTGACGCGAGGTGGTTGGATTGAAGTGTGATTGTCGTTTGGGTAGGTTAAGTAGAGGAATTGAGTTTTTAGATTGAGAAGATATTCTGAGGATCCGGGGAAAACCAATCCTTCTTATATTTGGTCCACGAGCAATTTCCCTAAAGATAGTAACATCGGATGTTATTTGCGCCTCCCGTTCTCTAGGCAGCCAGTGGCAACATGACCTCAGCCTTGTGAATAGAAACTTGTATGTCGATCGCAGGGTCCGCTCAGGGATAGGGGCCAATCCCGTGTTAGGGGACTGGGGCTGATGTCCCGCCATACTAAGCCTGTATGGCGGGAATTGGCCAACATATCGTCATTTCGAGTTAATGAGGGACCCATTTCGTAATGAGGGCGCAGTCTTGGGGGCTATATTTGGACTAGCGTTTCTCCCCGGGAAAACGACCTGCAAGGTCTGAACGTTCAGGACGTGCAGGTACTTGCATGAGCTTGAATATGCTGATGCACAGCCCTGGACAAATTTAGTAAACTGTTCGATGGTATGCTTCTGCCTTTGGTCCCAACAACTCAATTTGCACCGGAAACACCGGCAGACCACTGTCCCCAGTTGGACCCCCTTAGGGATATGCATTTGTGGCCCCGGGAAATATCTCCACAGATCATCTGTCAATGAGTTCTGTGAGTGGTTGACCACAGTGTGAGAGCGATTCTTTCCGATACAGTGGGTCGACTCCTGTTTTGGATCAACCAGTCTCGGCGCTCGTCATTATTAAAACAACAAAACGCTTTCTAAGAACTTCCAGGTATTGGTCCTGGTCGTGTTTGATGATGGCTTTGAGGCCAAGACAATTGATGACGCGTTAAAGGTTTCGAGTGGTATTGCGAAGGCGCAAAGGGCTACAGGACGGGATTTCATGATTGGTTGTGGACTAAGTTGTAAGGGGCGAAGTCGGAATCCCTCGTATTTCTGGCCTGAAACATAAGGCAACAAATCATAGAAGTGGCTAGAAACAAGGGAAAACGGGAGAACGTCAAAAGACGTCACATGTACGGAGTACTCCGTATGTACTCCGTATATTGGACTGAGATACTCCATACTGTATGGCGAAAATACTCAGGGGCCTAACATCCTATACAGCCACAATATGGGCATCTAGGCCTTGTCCACTACGTTGCATTGCTAGTACATAGTTCAATAGTTCAATTCATAAATAATTCATTATTGATTAATTTGATATCTATATATATTTAATTAATGCATATGTCCAATGATGATGCAAATGACAAAATTCAAGATGTGAACTGCCCATAAACCTGAATGATGGCCTCCCATCCACCTTTGTGGTTTGACTCACGAGGGTTACTTTTCCCATCGAGAACAATGACGTCCGTCATGCGCGTGCTGATGGAGTACCAAACGAGGTTCTCAGGGTTATTCGTGACGCGCATCATGTTTGATTGGCAGTTTCCATTGCAAGGCTCATTATACAAACCGTTCCAGTACCCGTCGAAAAAGGCCCATGCGGCAGAGTTGTAGAGAGCGATGTCTGATCCACCATCGACATTAGTAGCAAGAGAAGTACGGCACTTTTGATCGTCTGCAGCACACCATGAGAAGTCGGGGTCGCCGTACTTTGCGATGGCAGACCACGGTGCTGGAGCTGATTGGTACTCGCCCTGTCCCTGCATATATGGCGTTTCCGATTGGAGAAGTCCAGCATAGACGTTCTGGGCATTGTGGAAATTATAGTTGTAAAGCCAGTGATGCTCGGAGCCGGTCCCCGTCAGCCACGTGCCCTTGGTAGCTTCGACAAGAATTCCCCGACCGGTGGAGATGATGGTGAGAAGGGACTGGCTGTCGAGGTTGTGGTCGGCTGTCCAACCCCAGAAGTTTTCAATGTATGCAGATGAGCTCTCAGTGAGATGCAGAACCATGAATGCAGCCATGCAGTTCTTTGGATCTTGCGATGTGCAGGCAGTAGCAATACTTGTGTCGGCGGTACCGCCAATCAATGCCATGGTATTCCAGAGTGCGACATCACCAGGCTCGTTACCAGCGGCGTTGATCTCAATGATCTTTGCACCAGGTAGGATCTCGCCCACTGAGAAACGCATATCCTGAATTTCAATAAGACCAACATCACCGGGATTGCCAAGTTGCACAACGGGTCTGGGCTTGTCGGAGTCCTTGAACTTGTCGCCGTATCCCGAGATGACAGACCACGCTTCTCCAACGATGCGTGTTCCGACCGGCACAAAGATAGTATCAGATACACGATAGACACCATATGGGATGTAAGTAATCTTGCAAGAGTCCGCGTTCTCGGCAAGGATAGCATTCAGACTCTTGGTGTCATCGGTTTGGCCATCTCCTTGAACTACATGACCCGATACAGTCTTGACATTGACAACATCTTCCTTGCTGTAGTCTTGATACGTTGGCTGGGCCTTGATAAAGTATTTATCATTAGCCAATAAAGGCGCAGGACGCTTTGTGTGCCAATTTGCGCCCGTTTCAAAGTGCTCGGGGACAACAGTGCCCCAAACCCAGGTGTCAACATGGGGAGTGGCGGCCAAAGCAACCTTCCCATTGGAGTCAACTGCAATAGCGTTTGCTGTATCATGGTTGAGGTTGTGAATGAGAAACTGGCTGTTCTGGCTGCCTGAGTCGTGGGACGAATCATAGAATCGAATGACTGGTCCAGTGTTGACGGAAGTAGAGTCTAGTAGCACGAGGCTGCCTAAGCCATTTCCAGTCATGTCGACACCTGTTCCACAGCCATCGAATAATGCTTGTTGGATGAGGACTGTCCAGCCACCAGCGGCGGAGAAAGCTGTGCCGCAAGATTTGAAGGAAATGTTCTTGAAATTGACCTGCTGATTAGAGTTCTTGATTCCAATGGCTCCACCCACAATGTTCTGCAATTCAGTGTCAGAAATTTTTCCTCTCTAATCATATTTGGGGAACCTACCACATCGGTAACAGCAATTGTGGAACCAGCATTGATATCGATTCCAACGTGGCCAGTCGAAATAGATGGCATGCGAATTTGCACATTCGTCAATCCTGACCCTTGCGCAACACCCCACTGCAGAGCAGTGAAGTGGCGGTTGGGATCCAGAGCTGTCGTATCCAAAATTACGTTCTTCATAACAATCGCGAAACTAGTTTCTGGGTTTCCGTTGTGTGAGTCATAGCCCATGACCAGATACTCACCATCAAATCCCTTTGCGGCCTTTAGCACAGGTGGGTTAAGAGGGTTTCCAACGATGATGGTTCCCACGGTGAGACTGAGGGTGCTTCCAAGTTGATACACGCCTCCTGGCAGATAGACCTGGGCGGGATAGCGGCCTACACCTTGTCCCTTTCGCGTACCTCCAGCTCCATCGTCGTCAATAGCCTTTTGAAGCCTCGGCGTCTGGTTTCCAGTCCCATCATTGATCACGGAGTAGTCCATCACATTTCGGTACACTGGATAATCCCCCTTCTTGGCATAGGGTGCAAATCCAGCACCATGTTGGTAGTGATCTTGTTGATCGAGCCAGTAAGCTTCAGGGGACTTGTGAGCCGGACGTGCACACGTTTTCGTTGCAGGTGAATGGCTCATTTGAAACATTGGCCTGGAGGTTCTGGTGAGAAGCGAATTTATCTAATGGGTTGGGGATCACATACGACAAGCTTGAAACTGGTAATGGTTTATTGGCCTGCATCACAGCAGTGTGTGTAGGTGGTGGGGCCTTGGCTTTCTTCGACGAACTGCTAGCTCTGATTGAGGAAGAGCTGGGAGAGTTGCTGCTGACCTTCACGCTGGTTCTTGTGGTCATTGATGAGGGGCTCAAAACATTGGGTGAGCTGCTGGAAGCTTGTACCCAAGAAGTGGTCTGTACAGAAGTACTGCTTTTTGCAGACGGGCTAGTTTCTGCCGAGGTGATTTGTTTGGTCACCGATGTAGCCTTGGCTAATGCTGACGAAGCCTGGTTTTTAGTCGACAACAAATGCGTAGCATCTGATGAAATGCCGTTTGTGGTTGAGGAGGATGTGGCAATGGGCGAACTCTTCGCGAATGATAAAGGTGTATTTATCACGTACTCATGAACAGTAGCACTCGGTTGCGGGCCAGTAATTCCAGCCAACGAAGAGGCAAGAGCCCAGTTAAACGGAACGTCATTATTCGGAGGACCTTCAGCAGCGGCTGATATCGGCGCCTGGGATGCAGATGCGCGCATCGAATGCAGAGGTACAACATGACCTGATGCAACATTCACAGCAGCTGCTACAGCAGCCAAAGATGAGAAACCTCGCATGATTGTCTTCAACCACAACCTCAACCTCAAAGAAGATGCAAAAGAGAATGGAAGAAAGACGGTACCGCTGATAATAAAAGGAACTGTCAAATAAACGTCAGGCCATCCGACAGTCACCATGCGTATTATCCTGGTATGGGGCAGAAAAACAAGACATGTCTGGAATGCACGCCTTGATGTTGCCCAACCCTATGTGGGCCGGCTGAAGGAGCTGTGCATGGTTGTCGTGATTGGCACCCCTTGCGAACCCCGGGATTTGAGGCATATGCGGCCCGGCAAAGTATGCAAAGTGTGTTCCACCACAATGTACAACGTACACTTCAATAATCGACGATCTTCAAGAAGAGAAAGAAAGAAAGAAAGAAAAACAAGATCGGCTGCGGTTGGCTACATCGCTAGTCTCATCAAAGACACTTGACTGAACATCAGCACAATGTTCACTTAGATGTTATAATTTGCCTAATCCGGTATGTCCACCGTTGGTATAAAATAAATCAACAAACTGTCATCGCGATGAACTTCACTCGAGTCTAATCACGACCACTGTCGATAACAGCGAGAAATGAAAAAATATAAATTATTGTTTTCAGATGTGTTGACATTGTCTAAGGATGAGATAAGGAAGCCAATCAAATCCAATTAAATTCGAGATCCTGTGTTTAGCCTCTACTCTCTTCCTACTTCAGATCACCTCGGTCGTAGCACACTTGATACGAGTATTTTTCGATTTTGCTGTGCTATTCGACAATCTTTCGTGCTCATTTTCTACAAGTAAGTTAAAACGCGCTGTTTTACTCGCTATAGATGCCCATTCTTCTTCCAGGAAAAGATGGCTTCAGTAAATAGCCATACGATCGAACCTACCTATTTATGCGCATACAATTCACTGCAGCGTTAAGCCATATGATAAACGGGTGAACATCGGTATTCTCAAGGTATTCTACGTTGCCCCTTGCATTACCCGACCAGAATGATGTCCTTGCCCGAGCACCTAGGTCCCCACATACCGTGGGTATCTACGCAACAACCGTAAGGCATGCCCCAAATCCTGTCCAATTTCTGAACAAGATATTGCCTTCTATGATTGCTACCTAGGTCTAGACACTCGATGGGCCTCACTCTATTTTTTGATAAAGCCTGACCTAATACGAATGTTATTTCAGAACTATCACCGGTTATTTTCATTTTCTGTACTTCACGACTCTGTACATGCGCTGTATCAATATCCAGCTTCGATATATCCATATTGAAAGCTGCTCGTTGCAGAGTAAAACAACAGAAACCTTTATGTTCACCCAAACCTCTATCTTCTTCCCAACTTCACACCCGCCCCATGAGTCCCTGGGGAGTTTTCATCTTTATGAGAAAGGCAAGAATTCCACCAAACACGCAAGTTGTACCACTCAGTATAGAAACTTCCAGAAACCCATGGTACTTGTTGAGAAGAGCACCATTAACGGGCGGACCAATCAAAGCAGCGATTGAAGAAACCCCCAAGGCCATTCCTATGTATGTTCCGCTTACCCTGGGGTCCGGAATCAAGATTGAGAGTGCTGCAGTTGCACCAGAAACGATTGTCCCAGACCAAAACCCAAAGACAACTGAATATACTATCAATGCTGGGTTGGACACTGGTTTGTTCATACAAAATATGATAATGCCAGTGATGGTTCCCCCCAACGCCAACACATTCAATCGACCAAATTTGTCTGCCAAAACACCTGGAATGACACGACCAAACGTCGAAGCAGCATTGAGGATTGCAAGTAGATATGAGGCGAGAGTGGCATCCATGCCCCGAGACACGGCATATGTCGGGATGTAGAACAAAGGGGTGAAGAAGCCAAGGAACATGAAGAACATTGATGCCACAAGGAGACAATATTCCACTTTAGCAAAAGCTGACGGTATAAAAAATGTCGTTTTTCGTGGTGGTAACCGGGCTTTCACTGTGAGACATGCGAAGGCCAGGAGTGGTGTTATAACGAATCCAATGATCCGGACGGACCAGCCGAATCCCAGTGATGTGCTGTTTAACATCTTTGATAAAGCAATTGGAATCACCACCCCACCAATAGATGATCCAGCAACCGCTGCACCCAGAGCTGCCGCAATGTTTTTATCAAAATACTGCATCACTGCTGCCATTGTTGGGAATTGCAAGAGACCCATAGAGATGCCCAGTAGAACGCCTTGTGCGAGCATGAATTGCCAATACTTCTCACACAGGCTTGTCATCATGATAGAAAATACATATAGTACTACCGCAGGTCGGATAACCTTGATTCATGTTAGCTTCAAAGTTCTTGGGCCAATGCACTAGATTAGAGAACATACCCAGGCCCCATAACGATCAAATAATGGCCCTCCAATGGCACCTGCTGCAAACTGAAGAAAAGACGATAATGACCCAATCCATGCAATGTCATCCGCCGATTGATCTATCAGCTGATGCGAAAGATAGTATTCTTCAAAAACACCAAACGAGTTTGCGAACCCTAGGGCAGAGAAGAACGTGCAAGCAGCTCCGGCAGTAGTGAGCCACGCTCGAAGACCCCCATCTGGCGCTTTTCCGAAACTCGAAAGGTCTTTTTCGGTATTCTCATTGGTGTCCAACATGTCGTCTGGTAGGCTTTCAGAGCCTGATGGCAAAATTTGGTGGTCAGTCATAGGTCAGATATGTAATGGATGATAATATCCCAAAATTTGATAAACACTTTTGATTTTTGGTGATCGAAGGATCAGATGTTCGAAATATCTGAGCGGAATACTGTCCACAAAATTATCCAGAATCATGTTCTTATACTTATCAAAACATAGCTATACTGTATAGATACAATCCATCGGAGCGGTTCGGAGACGGAGAATTGCAGACGAGACGGACCAAAAGCGCAGGTCCGACGGAGTTTAGCACGCGTTTTCATTATTTTTCAAATCTCCGCCCCCAGCCAGAATAATTTTCATCATCAAACTCGGTGAATTCGATTTTACACGAGTAATAATGTACCAAGCAGAAAAACATACTTTGTTGGGTGCCTCAGCGGTGTCCGGAACAAACCCTCGGCGCAGGAGGCCGCCTGTGTAAGTACTAACTCCGATTTTATTTACGTGCTCTGACAGGCCATAGATCATGTTCCCTATGTCGTCAGCGCAAGATTAGGTGCAATAGGGAGGCTCCTTGCAGCAACTGCGTTCGCACCAAAAATGAAGATTGTGTTTATCAGTCTTCCCGGCCACTTCTTCGGCAACGTGCCGGACACGAGCAAAGACAAATACCTGAGCTTGAAGGGATTTATGCATCTCCACAAGCCAACCAAAGCTCAGATACTTTCGTGGATCCTTCGAATACTAACCCCAGATCAACAATCTCAAGTGGTCCATGCCGAACCCTAGCTTCTAGCTCTACACCCCCTTCATCCCTGACTAGTCCCTCATCCACACAAGAGATCGAAACACTGAAGAGCAAGATAAAAGAACTTGAGAATCAATTGAACAAAGCAACGAAAAGCCAGACCAATTCGTCAGCCCAGACTCCGGTTTCTGACATTGAGACAACGCATTCTCACTTGGCCGGGACATTCCATGTCCGCAATGAAACCCTTCCGTCAAGACAGGGTCAAACTGTCAGACGCAGCTTTATCCATAAAAGAAGATTCTTTGGTCAGAGTCATTGGATCAGTAGCATGGCACTGGTAATTTTCCCCGTGTTATCTATGGTACTGATAGTTAAATAACTAATTTCCCGTTAGCTTGCGGACATCGTCGAAATAATGGAGCCATATCTTGTCGATGAAGGGACCAAGGTTCTTGTGGGCCTACAGAAGTGCAAATACTTAGGGAAGAAAATTAAGGCACAGCGTACACCTCAATGGCCTGTGCCGATTACCACCACCTTGCCCTCGAAGGATATCTGTGATGCGCTCGTGGATTGTTATTTTCGGACTTTTGAGCGAATCTACAGGATTTTGCACATCCCATCATTCAAGAAAGATTATGACATTTTTTGGAATTCTGAAAATCGGCACGATCCTGCGTTTTTAGCCCAGTTGAAATTGGTGCTCGCCATTGGGTGCGCAACGTACGATGATCAATTATCACTACGGTCCCTCGCAATCCAATTTATCTACGAAGCTCAAACGTGGCTTTCTGAGCCCGAATATAAGGCACGACTTGGAATCCCATTCTTGCAAACGCACATTTTGCTTCTCGTGGCTCGGGAAACCTTGGGAGTGGATGGAGGAATGATCTGGATTGCAGCAGGCACATTAATCCGAACAGCTGTATACATGGGACTACACAGAGATCCAGTTCAGATACCCAATTTATCAAAGTTTGCATCGGAAATGCGCCGCAGGCTATGGAATACCATCTTGGAGATTTGCCTGCAATCTAGTATGGAATCCGGAGGACCCCCATTCATTTCGATTGAAGAATTCGACACAGAACCTCCCAAAAACTTTGAGGACGACCACCTCACTACGGAAGACTCTATGCCATGTCCAGAGAACCAATTTACTTCAGCTTCTATAGCGATTGCTTTCCGGAAGACTTTTCCAGTCCGCCTTGCGATTGCGAAATTCTTGAATGATACTGGCGGTCAGGGCTCATATGAAGAAGTTATCCGTCTGGATGCACGGCTTAGAGCCTCTTATAAAGAATTGCGTCGGACTGTCCAAGGGTATCCAAACCCACAGCCTCAGTTCGAGATCCTCATGCTGGACTTTATTATCCGCCGCTACCTCCTTTCAATCCACGCACCATTTTTCGGACCGTCCTTTCTGGAGACGACTTACGCGTTCTCCAGAAGTGCGGTAGTTGATACTGCTGTCAAGTTGTGCAACTGCGCTCGTATATCATCACCTTCATCAGGTTCATTCTTGAATAGAAGCATGCCATCCCCTCAAATTGACTTCAGGCGACTGACAGTATTTGGATCAGGATTCTTTCGTACAGCGCCATTGCATGCAAGTTTCTTAGTCGCAATTGAGCTAAAATCTCAAATTCTGGCCGAAGAAGGCCTGGGACCCGTGTCTCTGAGACCTGATCTTTTGTCCGTGTTAGAAGATGCTAAAACCATGAGTTTGCAATGTATTGAAGTTGGAGAAACTAATATCAAGGGTTATTTGTTCATGTCGCTTGTGTCGACTCAGATCGAGGCTCTGGTACAAGGGGTCCCCAAGGATGAGGTTGCAGGAATGTTGATTAACGCTGCCGAAAAGGCCGAAGAGAAGTGTCTGTCCATTCTCGAGCCCAGGGCAGCCAAGGGCCAGAGCGAGAAGATTAGCAATGCTATTGAGTCTGAACCTACGACACTACCCTCAGAGATGGGGGATGACTGGGATTTCATGGTAAGTATTGATTCCACCTTTTGTTTTTGTATCGTGCTGATTCAATTGTTGTCAGATGACTGATGTGAATTTCAATTTCGCTGATATGGAGCCCGTAAGCTGGATGCTGGGTAGTATACCATACGGCATGCCATGAGAATCCGTAACCTTCAATGATGGATATTTTCTGTGGAATCCTGGGCATAGGCTGTCACCCCTGCGTTAGGTGGTGGTAACCCCAAATTTTGTGGAATACATGTCCGATGAGGCGAAGCCTAGATGTGGTTTTGCCTCATGGGTGGCGGAAAGGGCTCTAGATCCCGCTGAAATCAAAATATCTCACACTCTGTGAGATTGCAATGTGAAGAAGTTTTGTCCAATGGCCGACCATGGTTCGCTGTTATACCCCGGTCACGTCCCCGTGATCTCATCATAGCGGACAAGATAGCCCGCTCCGAGATGGAGTTCGGGTCGCTAAACATAGCGTGTATAATTTTATTCCTTGGGAAAGAATTGGCACACACACGATAAGAAAGCATCAATTTCAGATGTCAATAAATGCTCGATGTTGGCGAAACAGTGAGACCCATCTATCGTCTTGATGTCGGCAGACTCATCTATCAGCAGCTTTCACGATGATTCGGATCCAGACCACACGACCTCGTCCGAAGAATGGCAGGATGCACCTCAAAGTAGCCCCCAGGAAGAGCGGAACCCACCGCGGGTTCGATTCCGATCCAATGCGGATTTCATGCAGGGTGTTCAGCATGGCCAGCCAAAGGAAGGACTCCGGGAAGAATGGGATCACTCTCAGCGCCAAGGGGAGCCTCACCGACCGACGACACCTTATGCCCATGAGTCCGCAGATATCACTGATACCTCATTGCAAGATCGCGAAACACAACCTGGGCAAACTATGGGTGTGCCAGGGATCGACACGGTAGATCACAGCGAGAAACATGAAGATGAGAAGAAAGAGCCAGAGAATGCCGAACGGCGAACCACAATGCAGAGATGGCGGAATGTCACCCGAAACTTCAAGCTGAGAGCATCGGAGTTTGGCGATCGATTGGGTCGCCCACAGACCGAAGGAGACGATCTTTCAGCAGCAAGGTATCATGCAGACTGGGCTACCGGAGGCGAAGCTGCTCTGTCTGATATGACAGATGATAAACATAAGAGCGCCGAACAGAAGAAAAATGACCAGGCAAACAGTAGTTCCGAGGCACATCGCCTCGTTCGGGATTTAACTCAAGACCATTCCCAAAAGCGCCGCAAAGGTCGAGGCAAGCCCTATCCACATCAAGACAGCGAGTTCAAGGACGAGGATAACGAGACAGGGCTGGAGTCAAGTCTGAGATACCGGTCTGGGGGTGGTGGTATCCTGTCACAATTGATCAAGCTGAACGGTGGTAAGCCCCCTGGGGCTGATGACCAATCTCAATCATCCTCCCAGTCATCAGCTGATACCTCTACCAGAGGAGGATCGGGACAAAGCACAAACGTGACCACGCCCAGAAAAGGTCCACCGAAATGGTACAAAAAAAACCAAAACACATCTAAATCGACCTTGATCGGCGGAGGCCCCGGGACCTTCAGCGGCGCAAGTACTCCGGTTTCCAATGAAGTTTTGTCTGCGGCAGCGAAACGCCGTGGCCAAGAGAACAGTGCCGGCGCCGGAACGTGTGGAGATGGAGGAGGAGGGAGAGGTGGCCGGAATATCCGACTTGAGGACGAAATCCGGGTTACGGTTCACATTGCTGAGATTATCTGTCGGCAACGGTACATCATACAGCTATGCAGAGCGTTGATGTCATTTGGTGCTCCCACGCATAGACTTGAAGAGTACATGCAAATGACTGCAAAGGTGCTTGAGCTCGACAGTCAGTACTTGTACTTGCCTGGGTGCATGGTCATGTCATTTGATGACCCGTCAACGCGAACAACAGAGGTGAAGTTGGTTCGGGTTGCCCAAGGAGTCGATTTGGCGCGCCTTTCAGACACTCACCTCATTTACAAAAATGTGATCCACGATGTGATGGGCATTGAAGAGGCAGTCCAGGAGCTTGATGATGTGATGAAGAAAAAACCCCGGTTTCCTAAATTCATCATCGTTTTGGTATACGGTTTAGCTACTGCCACTGTGGGACCGTTCGCTTTTAACGCGCGTCCTATTGATATGCCCATCATTTTTCTCAATGGCCTTCTAGTTGGACTGATGCAACATGTTGCTGCTCCTCGTTCTGTGTTGTACTCCAATGTGTTTGAAGTCACATCAACTGTGGTCACATCCTTTCTTGCCCGAGCGTTTGGTAGCATTCCACTCGCAATCGTGGATGGCAAACGAGAGTATCTGTTTTGCTTCTCGGCCATTGCTCAAGCCTCGATTGCATTGATCCTACCAGGCTTTTTGGTGTTGTGTAGTAGCCTGGAGCTGCAGTCACACCAGATCATCGCAGGGTCAATTCGCATGGTCTACGCTCTCCTGTTCTCTCTATTCATCGGTTATGGGATTACGGTTGGAACAACCATCTACGGACTCATGGACAACGGTGCAGTATCTGACACCTCCTGTCCTCCCAAGGGTGCCTTTCAGAATCCTTATGTCCAACGATTTCCATTTGTGGCCATCATGACTGTTTGGCTCCTGATAATCAACCAAGGAAAGTGGAAACAGCTCCCACCCATGAGCATCATCGCATTATCTGGCTATATCAGCAATTATTTCAGTACAAAGAAGCTGGGATCAAACTCACAAGTCGCGAATACCGTGGGCGCATTCACTATCGGCACCATGGGAAATCTGTACAGTCGCCTTTGGCATGGCCACGCCGCGACCGCTATCTTGCCCGGAATCTTTATTCTGGTTCCGTCTGGTCTTGCTGCAACAGGTTCGTTGATCTCAGGTGTACAATCTGCTGATGAGATCCGTCAAAATGTCTCAGCTCACGGGTCAGCCAGCAACTCACCTGGGGCTGGGTTGCAGTCTAGTAGTTCTGTTTTCAGCTTGGGATTTGGTATGATTCAGGTTGCTATTGGAATCACCATTGGCTTGTTCATTTCTGCATTGGTTGTCTATCCTTATGGAAAAGCTCGCAGCGGGCTCTTCAGTTTCTAGAGTGCTGGCCAGTATTGTGGTGCTCGGCAGCTGGGACCCTCATGTTCATATTGTCCTTTGCATGTATACGTCAAGGTTATCTTTTTCTTGTACTGGCCAATGGGTTTCATCAATTTGGCTGGCTTTATCTAGCCGGGTTCTTTGATGGTTATAACAGCGTTTCCGTGCTTGTGCATTCGCGTGGTTTGCTTATCTACGTTTGTCACGCCTCCCTAGCTATAGATAGAGAGCTTTTTCCCTCATGGATCTAGGGTTTCTCTATTTGGTCAGTGCTTACTTCGGACCTTAACTGATATTGTACCTATACTTTACTTTAGAACTGGTGCAAATTAATCTTGAAACTGCCTGGAGGCAGACTATATCATTAGGTCAGTCGGCCTTCTAGTAAATCTAGCTTGTTTCCCTTAGTACATCAAGGAACAATCGATAATTTACATGTGCCTTATTATGTTGCTCGGCCCATAATGTTTGACCCTTGTCTTTCTTCGCCATTTTCATTATGAAATTTTTTACTTAATTGGGAGATTTTTGTTCTCGAAGATGAATCTACAACTTTGCTATCTTCCGCCATCTTTCTTTCTTCGTACTATTTTGCCTGGTAACTATAATGCTAATAGGTATGCGAAGGAGCAATCCACGCTGAAACAAGCAGCACGGTAAATGTGATCTCAGCAAGAGGAATGAAGCCAGCTCTTTTTCAACCTTGAAAGCCCGTTCTAGTTCGTGATATATCTCTGGAATGTATGGAAAATAGAAACCTTGAACGGTAAACTTGAACAATGAAAACTGTAAACGTACTTTTGACTCCTTGGCAATCACCCGCATTGGCGGACGAGCGGATACGAAGAGGCTGAGGATACAGCCAGTACTATTTCACAATATGTGAGGGGAACTTGCGTTGGATACTACCCCGGATAGCCTGCATCCTGGAATCTAGGCAAGAGAAAATTCAATTGGTTCTTCGACCCTTGCTTGATTGTGCTTATACGAATATTCACATGGGTCTACTTGGCTATGACTAAGGATAAGTTCCTTGCCTTCTCGACATGGTATATCCTGTCATTTATACTTTCATGTCGCCGAGACTTGCAGTCTAGGGTTGCTCTCAATGTGGAACCTCTGTTCTTGGCCTGATATGATAGGGTTTGGATACAGACGCAGGCTTCTCGTATTCGTGCAATAGCACGCCGTGGATGTAACAGGAAGATGAAGGACCAAGGAGACTAGAATTGTAAACAAAACATACTGAAATCTTGTCTGAAGCCCAAGAAGCTATAAAGATGATCAAACGTCCCTGCATAGACGGGCATCCACTGGACATCCACATCAATTTACCTCTCAAAGATCACGTTCGTAGCGAATCTCGAACACCAACCAATACCACCTCAACGTCTTGCAAATCTACCATGCAGACCAACTTTGTCGTCCTGTTGATGGCCTTAACAGCCACCGTGATGGCCTCTCCCACAGCCCTTGAGGCTAGCGAGCTTGTTGAAAGTGCCGCCTGCCACCACCCCAGCTCTTGCGGCCGCTTCTGGTCCGGGAAATGTGAGGATTACTGTGATTATCGGGGATTCTCGCACATGAGTAGCTCTGGATGCTCGTGGCTTGCCAAGAAATGCTGCTGCAAGAAGGCCTAGATTCTGATTTCCGAACGAGGCTCATGTAATGCTAAAGTTGGATTGAGGAGGAGCTTTTCACAGGACAGAGCTGGAGAGGTATATTCGACAAACACGTGGGGTTGAACAATTTGGTTCATGTACGTACGAAGGAACTCTGGCTTCGCTCGTAGTAAATGAGGATAGTTCGTGTGGGTTGACATCTGAATATCACTTCGTTCTAGCTAAAGTTCTTGGGTCATAGAAGTAACAAACCTCCGAGGGTATTAAAAAACCGTTTTTGCAAGATTTTGACGATGATCAAGTGAGCATTAACCGGGAAATCTAAACACTTTTTACGATTGACTGAAACAGAGTAAATAGTACGAATATCCAATTCTAAGAAGTGAAATATCTGCAACATGCCAATCTAGCACATCAAATATAAAGCATCAAGCTCCGCAATGCAATGCCAATCTTGAAAATGGCCAGCGACCAGCCGCCAGTCAAACTCTACCTCTTATCCAGGAGGGAGAATCGAGATAAATGTATGATCGCCTTAATATTAAGATATCTCTATAGTTCATCTTTCGTTTCATTCATCTGGTCCTGCCAGATGGCGAAACCCAGTAATTCGAGGAGATGTCGTTCGCGATGTGTGAAGACGCGGACGCCGGTTGTTTGAAGGAATCTTTTGGCGTGCGCTAGGATGGTAGCTCGATGGGTTTGTGAGAGGCGGAAGAGGGCCTCAAGAGACACGGTGATTTGATCGGGGCAGGTGCTTAGGAAGGGCAGTTCCACGAGGAGGTGGCGGGTTGTTTTGTCGCGGGCCAGGGACTCGCAGTATGTCTCTAGCATTCGTTCGCGGACGACGAAGCGCAGGATTGAGTCTAGGGAGTCGAGTTGGACGATGGCTTGCGGGAGGGAGTCCTCTGGTTCGGCAAGGCCGCGCTGCATCAGAATCACGTATTCGAGGTCTTCAATAAGAGGTGTCATGTGGATTTTGTCCGGAGATATCTCGCCGAGAACGGGGCGGTCGTAGCCTATTTTCTTGCGCCAAAAGTAGTTGCACAGAATTAGGGAGATTATGCATGGTATGAGCACGATATATCCCCACCACCGCTCGGCAGTTACCATAGATGCAGCACCAGCAACTAGCCCATTGAGACCGTTGACAATGGCATGCCACTGGAAGCGTCGGAAGCGAGTATGCAGCCGGCGTCGGATATCATCGCTCGGCTCGCGGGCAGAAGTCGCGGCGTCGTGCATACGGAATCGATGAATCAAATATGCAGACCATACGGCGTTCGCCAAACCAAAGATTGCCGCTAGGCCATTTCCAATGTATCCCGAGAGCAGATTACTCGCTTTGTAAACATGGGGATTGGCACCACCAATCGCCATCAACGTCCCGACACCAACCAACATCGAGCCAAAACCCATCAACACATCCATCACAATTCGGTCAACAATCTCCGTTCCAATCTCGCGGCGTGAAACCCCAAGACGACTATCAATGAGCCGGACCAGCTCGGCGTTTTTGTTGTGGCATTGTCGCAGCCGCTGGAGATGTTCCTTCTCGGCCTGTAGCAGCTGCACGTTCTTCCGACTCAGTCGGAAATCCTGAATGGCAACCAGTACCATTCCCAGCGCCAGCGTACCTCCGATTCCCATGAGCACGGCGGCGAACCTAGGTACGGGGATCTCGTTCCAGACGTTGGCGGCGAAATCGCCTGCGTTCGCGAGCTCCAGGTAGCCCACGCTCGCTAGCAGGCTGTTTTTGAATTGTTGTTGGTGGAGGAGGCGAAAACGACCTCCTCGACGGACAAGGGTCACTTGGTCTTTTGTTGACTCGAGACATTCTTGCCAGGTAATATCGCTTGCTTCACGGTTGAGCTTTGGAATTGCTGGGAGTGGGGGTTCAGCTGCTGAGACAAGATCTAATTCCATAGACATTGTCTTTGGTTGGGGGTGGTGGACGCGGGAGGGAATGGTTATCAGAGTGTCGGAGGAATCGGTAGGGGTCGCCATTGTGTATATTGTGGAGGACCGAGACAAAGTTTTCACATTTCGTTCATGGCCATGCTTTGTACAAGCAAAGTGAGCGTGCAATTTTGGGCTGTTGAGAGAGAGGAAAGGGACAATAAGAGAGAGGAAGAGGGAGAAAGATGAAAGAAGAAGACACGCAAGCGGGTGAGAGGCACATCGAACAGTTTTCCAATCAAAAGTGCCGGTTCCTTGTGGGTCACCTTGGCGTAGCCCTGTAGGGCTGAAGATCCCCGTCTTTTATTTACTTCATCTTATTACTCACATAAATACTCCATAGTTTCATCTTACTATTGCGTATTATTGTTTTACAGGAAATTTAGTCCCCACTGGATTGATTTATCAACCATCGGCCCTTAGTTGAATTACCCTACCTGGTATGGTGGTACGGTCTATGCCGATTTGAGTATAGAAATCAGGCAGCAAGCAAAAAAACCCTGAAAAACCTGAGAGAAAAAAAATTCTAGAAAATACAGCGTAGGGCCGACAATAACTAGGCTTCTTTCGACAGTTTAAGCCCATCTCCCGATTTGGATGTGCTCAGTGCACGAATGAGCTTGACGCCTGCGTCCGCGCCCATATCCTGCGACGGTGTGCTCCAGAATTGGGCTTCACGGTCGGACCCTCGAAGTACATCGCCTTCTGGCTCCTCTTTGGTGGGTGAGGGTGTGCCATCGGGTGATGGTGCTTTTTCAGTCGCACTATACACGTTGACCCGCTCGTTGAAGCGGACTCGAGGGCGGACCCGGCCATTGGGCGAGCCTTGAGAGCCGGAGTTCGGGGATGAGTTTCTTGCTAGACTAGCTGCGAAATAATTTTGACGCACAGCGTACCGACGGGCCTCTTCGCGTCGGATAGTGTCGGAGAATATTTTCTCCAGCGCTGTGCTGGCTGTGAATTTCATTCCGAGATACGCTTGCTCGGCGATGAAGATTGTCAACAAAAGATATGACAGTCGCACTTCGGAGATGGGTCCTCGATAAACGTGGACAATTGCTGCTGTAGACAGGGTACCCAGCCAGGCTAGGAAATCCAATCCCAACAGGCATGGGCCGATCGAGTCTGCCCGGATGGGTGGTGGTCGCTGGCACTCCAGTGTGAGCTTGAAAAAGTCACCTCGTAGCTCTAGCCAATTGTTCAACAAGAATCCAAGTGGAACCAATGGCCACGCGACTCCAAACAGTGCCAGATATCCAAACTGTACACACATCTCCAGGATATCCTCCTCAACGTGATACTCGTCTGCACTAGCCTCGCCACGGAGTCGAGTGAGGAAGTCTGCTTCCTCGGGTAGGTCAATCAGCAATAAGTCGGTGGCTTTGGAATAGCTCCGTTTGCGACCGTATTCGGCCTTGCGATCTTGGTAGTTTTGCCATTTCTGCCAAAGGACATGCTTGACATACGGTATAACAATCTCTTCGCCAAAGCTCAGTACTTGGGCAGTCATGGAGAGATAGATTACTTCTTGCTGGAAACGGCTGGTGTCGACTTCGAACTCCTTCTGTCCGCTCAGCAAGTCGGACTTTAAGCCTGCGATCCGCAAAATGTCAAGACGTGGCACAATGTGTTTGCCAAATGGAACATAAATATAGGCAGTGAGTATTGTCGGGAGGAAAGATGTGATGAAGTTCATGACAAATGTCTTCTGCGTCTGTGCGAGATCGTATTGATCCTGCGTGCGGTAGTTCTCATAGTCGGTCAAGCGGGTGGCGATGCTCGTTAGAAACGAAGTTATGGCGGGCAACGAGAGCGAGAATAGAATGGTCGGCACAAATTCGAGATACCCTTTGAACGGGCCATCGTAGACCTCTGAGATGAACACTTCTCCCGCAAATGACGCCACAATCAATGCGCCGAGAGCGACGCTAGCCACAGATGCAAATGGCACCAAAAGCATCTGGCGCGAAAACTGCTTCCACCCTGGGAAAACGTGCTTGACTTGTCCACTGATCGGGTCCTTGACCTCTTTCTCCCACACATACTGCTTGCGGTTCACTTTCAGTTGCCCAACACCCTTCACATCCCATCGCTGACTCAAGTCGGCCTCTCGGATCTTCCAGTACTCGACAAACACAATGCACCAGGTGCAAAGTATAACTCCATATGTGATTGAATATGGTCCCAAATATAGCCAACCGAGAATGCCTAACCCGGCAGGAACTACCAGGAATAATGAATAGCAATGAATAAAGGCGTAATAGAATGCGACCTGTAGGTGGTTAGCCAAATGTTGCGAGAACTCTGTTTTCAAATAGTGGCCGAACACACCTTCTCACCAAACAATGCTCGGATGGCGTCTAAATCTTTCGTTGTCAACACGGTCTTGCGACTCCATTGCCGCAGCATCCCCGCACAGGCCTCCTGGTCGTGCAACGGAAACGAGGCAGTAACATTCTTCCATTTTCCAAACCCTGGCGTAATCCCAGCACCGCCTAACTGCTTTTGCCACGTAACAGCATGGTAAACTGAACGGATCTCCTCGGCAGGTGTATCGGCATCAGCGATTGCCGTCTCATCGCCGTCTGGTAATGTATGCGTAATGCCAAATAACCAATCCTTAATTCTGCGCGGCGTTAGTCGCCAATTGCCGAGACTCCAATCTCCCCAACACTATCCACTCACCTAGACTGATGTACCAAATTCCCCAAATGATCTCGCGGGACTCGTATACACACCAACAGTGCTGAGCCGTGTCCGTGTCGGACCTGAACGCGAAGACCAGCTTCGCTCAGATCATGGATAAGCGTTCGGAACTCGGTGATAGCTTGAGCTTGTTCTGGGGGATCGTCAGTTACTGCAGACAGCCAAGGATAAATAAGCACGTCATTTACCAATTTCGCCAAATTCATATTGTAGAACCCAGTCGACTCCTAGGTTGTCATTTTCTTCACTTTCTTTGCCGTACCCTGCGAGCCAAGACATCTTGGATTGCTGGGTATGGGCTAGAGAAATTGTGTAATCGTAAGTGGGAGAGTGTCGGTGTGTGATGCGAACGGAAAAGAAGAAAATGTGGGGGAACTCTCATGAGGAACTACTCTATTAGTTAGTCTAGTTCAATAAATACTTCGTTTGTTGCTGTAATCGTATTACACTTCGATTGGCTTCGATTCTATTATTATTTTTCGATTTTCTATACTAAATATAACTCCACTTTATAATATTACACAGTATTGTACGGAGGATAGGGAACAATATCAGGTTTGTACCAGGTAAAACGGCAGCCTTACCCGTTGATCGCCGGAGAGCTCCTCCCTTTTGTTTTCTTCTGTTTCTCTTCATCTCTCACTTGGATTTTACTTTTAATCCGGTGAATTTCCCTCTACATGATACAAATTACACAAAACATTCTCCGGGAAATTCCCGACCATTGTATCCCTGCAATTCTGATTCAATATGCCAGTTCCCCACGAGCCAAGCTTCAGCCCTACGGGGCAGATATTATTACCGATCACCGCTGTGACATGCTTAAAAATATGTTACGATCGCCATTTCCCCTAACCCCTTAATTCAAAGGACTACAATACCGGAGCATACCAGTTACAATGAATCAAAAGCAAATTAATAAATACAGAACCTCGATCTCACAAATAAGCAAACACCGCACACTCAACCGTCAAACATCTGCCAACCTGCGCGCTTAAACACTTCCACAAGGCTGTACCCACCCCACGGGCGCAATTCGGTCATCACATTGGTGGGACTCGGTCGTTCACGCATTGGTTTACAGTGCTATTCATGCAGATTGGAATCTGCGACCTGCGGATTTTCTCGTTTTCTGTTCCTAAGTCTTAGGAATTCCTCATTGACACTAAAGAATCAAAACAAATACAAAGATCTCAAGATCAAAGACCAAAGAATTCCACCTTGGCAGGGGGAGGGCGCGCAAGGGAACAAAATCCTGCTGCCTTCTGCCAAGAGCCTCGGCAGGCGTCACCCAAATCCGATATTTCAATTTTGTGGAGTCGATGAGTTTTCGGCTAATCCTGTTCAGAATCTTGCTCACTGACTAGAGCTAACCTGCTCGGTTGTCAAATTTTCTGATCTTTGCATGCCAAGAGTGGATCAATTTTCAATTGTCCCCAACCAATTGGCTTAGGCAACATCATTCGCAGATACTGAATAACGGTGAAGTCATGTTGGGATATATCCGTGTGCTTCCATTGTACGATTATTGTATATATGGTGTTACACTTTCAAATGAGATCATTGCCAATTCGAATTTCGTTTTTTTTCCCATTGCTTTCCATCTGTCAAATCCCAATTGACTGACCCGATTATCTACGTACTTGGCGGTTTGGCTTATGTCCTCGGTTATTGAGATGGCTCGACGCTTCCTTCGTGGGCAAAATATCACTCTCGGGTTGAGCGTGTTCCTTTTTGTCTTCATGTTCCTACCTACCTTTGTCATTTTATTAGCGGTCGTCGTATTTTTTGGGTTGATTTACCCCCGACTACGTACATCATATACCCTTGACCGCGAACAAGGGATGGAGACTCGGCAGTCAGATCTCAAGGAATGACCCGCATATGCAAATCGGAGTATAGTATGACTAAACTCTACATACGTCTGGTGAATACCTTCACTAACCAGGCCGAAGATGTGAAACTTCACACGGGAATGATAGCACACGCGTCACATTGTTTTCGTCTGGGATTGATGGCGCTGTGAGGACACAGCATTTAAAGGCGTTTGGGGTTTCTGGGGTTGCATAGGAAAATCTCCTCTCCTTGATTTTTGTACAGATCCTTTTGGCATCGAACTTCGAGAACAATGTTTCGAACCCAGTAGATGGCTCGGAACCACCTTGCCGGTCCCAAGTCCCCAAGGTCCCTGGGGCGCGGCCGAATCCGCTTTCTCCAAGTAATATGTCATGTATTGATTCTTCATTGGGTATCAAATTTTTATCTCCACTGCTTGGCTCATAACAGTTACATTATGCGTCTGGGCGCCAACGGGTAGGGCTGGCAGACATTTCATGTGGACTTACCCTCCCTCTGACTCTGGCTCTTCTTTCTCTTTTTCCGCCCAACACCCATACATTCATGATCGTCAAACATCTACAATCCTATATCACCTCGAGATTCCATCCCGAGGAACTAGAATGGGCTGAGCAGATCACTCGTTTTCATCCATGAAAGTTCAACCAGCTACTCAAGGGAACAGCACTCCCTGAAGCGACCAACATCTAATGGCATCAGATGAACGGCTCAGGGCACTTTAAATCTCGCAACTCTCCACTCTGGACATTACAGTAAGATGGAGGCCCAAGAGGAAAAGCAGCTCGACCTGGTCCCCGAACGCTTCAGCTTCTACTCCTCCAAGACGAAGGAAACCACCGTCTCTTCGACCTGGGACGGTCTCTTCCCAGGCGGTCACATCGACCACATCTTCCAGGAAAAACATAAAGGCCGCCCAGACCCTAGCCAACCAATCTGGTGGATCGACATCTGCGACGCCACAGAGGAAGACGTCAACGCCGTCGCCCAGGCCCTGTCCATCCACCCCCTGACGGCGGAGGACATCGCCATCCGCGAGCCGCGCGAAAAGGTTGACGTCTTCAAGAACTACTATCTCCTCTCCTTCCAGACTCTTGTCACCAAAAGGGTCAAACAGGAGCGCCCGGGCATTCCCGTCTCCGCGGCGTTGTACATTCTCGTCTTCCAGTACGGCGTCGTGACTTTTACGCCTGGTGGCTGTGAACATGTGAACCGGGCTCGGGATCGCATTCGCAAAATGCACGACCCTTCCATCTTGACTAGTGACTGGGTCTGCTATGCAATGATGTACGATCTAAATATCTCCTTTCTGATGAATATTGACCCATGCTGATAATTCCAAGAGACGATATAATCGATAGCTTCGAGCCCCTCACCCGCGATGCAGAGCACGAGTCTGAAGCAATTGAGGACCAGGTTTTCATTGCTCGTATCGACGATGCCCAAGCGCTCATTCCGCAGGTTGATGTCCTGCGCAAGAGGATCACACACATCATCCGCTGTCTGCATGGCAAGGTCGATGTGTTGAACGGTTTTGTCAAGCGATGTCAGTCGCCAGACAAGCATCCTGTCTTCCCGGATGGAGATCTCATTCTCTACCTCGGTGATGTCCAAGATCATCTTGTCACGACCTTGTCGACGCTTGGCCACATTGATGAAATCATCGGTCGGTCGCAGGCGAATTGTTTGGCTCAACTGAGCGCTACTAACCTCAGACTCAGTTTGACTATTAACTCTGGTCTGAGTAAGGTGACTATGCTGGCGACTATCTTTGTACCGTGCCATCTTGTCACGGGAATGTGGGGAATGAACGTCCCAGTTCCTGGAGAAGACTCCCAGGGCCTGGGATGGTTCTTTGGTATTGTTGGTTGTTTTGCGGCATTCATGGTTGTTTGTATGGCGGCTGCAGTGAAGTATAAGCTTCTGTAAATCATTCATACGTATGTAGGTGATCATTTAGACTGAATTTTCGTTGTCAAAACTCGTTGCGTTACTCCAGGTTGCCTCTAATCCTTATCTCACCGTACCATTATTACATTAAATCTGCTCACCCCTCAGAGGCTTCCAATCTTCGGAGGCTTGGGAGATGGGGAATGGACACCAGCGTTGCCACAGGCCGTCTATGGTGTAGTATCCGATGTTTCAGGTGCCGCCTAGGAAGAACTAGGAGCCTATTCGAGATTCAAAGGAGGCGTAGTAAGTGTGGAGGATTGTGTTCAGGTTGATATGGGGATTTGAATCTTCATCTCGATGGTTTAGATTGGCAGGCGAGGCGGGTGGAAGGGCAAAGGCCATCATGGGGCTTTGAATACTGGAACGTGCTGGTTGCACAATGATTAATGCGTGTCACTGCTATGGGATCTATGATGTTGTACATGGAATCAACTCCAGACCGAAAGTAATACATGAACGCGTCAATTTACAGGTCGAAGGGAACAATTCGGGGGCTCTTGAAATTATATTGTACAGTGACAATAACCTAATGGTCTGACCCATCGTGGTCGACATGAGACATGAGTCTTGACGATTCGGCGTAACGTGGTGACTGTCGCACATGAAAGTCGAAGTTGATCTCCCCCACAAGCTTCTTAACGTTGCTAAACAAAGTCAGCGAATGCAAAAGGTATCATAAAGGGCAACACATACTCAATTAAATCCTGCAAACTGAAACTGATAACCGATCTCAGAACCTCTAGCGACACAAAAGCCGAAAAAGCAGGATCCTCAATATGTCGAATACTAAGCAACTCCCCATTGATTTTCTGCATCTGGCGCGCGAGCGGGAATGAGTCTGGTGTCGCCAAGTACGGTGGTAACGGCTGACCATTCGTGATAGCTGCAGAAAGATGGCATAGCAGCGAGGTGATACGGTGGGAATTAAAATCCGTCGATTTCAACGCTATGTCCGCCAACTGTGCCATCCACTGGTCGTCATTTTCCGTACTTGAGTGTTCGGATTCAACGGCGAGAGCTTCGAGGTTCTGTGTCGTGTGGGCCATTAGCGACATGCTTGTTAGAATGCGCTGGATCTCGGCGATGATATTGTCGTATATTTGTTTTGGGAATTTGCCCCCGATGGGTGGTTCAAAGGTAGTGAAGTGGCTGTGTGCTCGGAGGCCGGTAAGGAGCAGCATTTCTTCTTTGAAGATCTTGTGGCGCGATGCTTGGAGTTTGTGCGCTGGTGAATTTGGGTCGCTTGGGGTCCCGAGCTCGTCGCTGAGCCATAGTTCGATCGTTGTGTGCATGCAGCTGTAGAATTTGGCGAGGACGAAGAGGCTTTTTCCTAGTAGTTTGCGGAGTTGGGATTTGGCGGTTATTGGGTATGGGAATATTACCCAGAAAAAGGAAATTGCGCAGCCCGCTGCTACTGCTGCTAGTTTGTATGGGCCGAACAAGTAGATTGGATAGTACGGTTGGCCATTGGAGGTTGCCTCTGGTAATCCTAGTTTGCGGACCTACGGACGGTCAGTGATGGGATTTTGTTGGTGGGCCATGATATTACCTGTAGTTCGTAACCAATGATGACATTGAATGTGACGATAGAAATGACTGATGCTCCGAAATATTGCGGTAATTTGATGTAGAAGTAATACTGTTGATACGATTAGACTGGTCTGAATGCAGACATTGTTTGGAAGGCCATACCTCGAATACATTAGCAAGATAGAGGAAGATGATCACACCAGCAGTTTTGCCATCGACAATGTACCAAACGACCAAGCTGAGCACAAGAGAGATGGTTGTTGCGACGATCCGAGCAACAAAGCCAAACATGGTCTGCCCGCTTGTGGGATTCATCCCGATGACGATCACGATCATAGCCCAAATACATCTCTGTCGAATAAAAAAGTCTTGGGTCTGATGCAAAAAGGCAAGTATCCCGACAGAGAATGAAGCTGCGGCAACACGGAACCCGAAGATGCTCTGATCAGACTTGATGATGTGGGATATGGTACGTAGTATTGTGCTTCCTTTCTCCCAGATATTCTCAGGCGGGAGGTGTTCCGGATCTGGAAACCTTGTTGACGGCTGATCCTGATATAGTGTCGAAGGTTCGACACTGGATGACTGCCTGCTCTCTGACGAAGTCTCGGTTTCTTTCTTGTCGGCGCTCAATGAGAACCATGCTCGAATCGACTTTTGCTTTGGGAAGATGACTCGGTTCCGTTTCATTGTCCCCTCGGCGATTTTGCTGCTTGCAAATTGCACCAGCTGCAATGTCGCGTTCAAGATGTCATCCTGAAGATGGCCCATGTATAAGATCAGGAAGAATTCCTGACGCACATCTGGATTTCCTACAATATTCGGCGATGCCCCGGTGGCTGAGTCCGTGGCATGCTTCTCCAAAACAGTAAATGCCTCAAGCGACGCTAGCGCCTGCGGCAGGTGTTTCCGACGTGAGTGATATTTGTGCAGCTCCTGCTCGAAGAGGGAAGGAAAATTGGGATGGACTGCTGAGAGAATTTCACCCCTTGCTTCCTCGTCCCTGGCAGCCGACGTACCACGAGACTTTTTTTGCTTGTCCAAATGCTTAGGCTTAACAAGCTCCAATGCCAGGAGAAAATAGTGGAGACCTTGCTGGACAAGCTTTGAAGAGTCGACGAGCCGTTCATGCAATGTCTCCACAACCTTTTTGATTTCCGAGTGTTTCAGAGCCCCTTCATCTGGATCAACAAGATCGTGCAATCTTTCGTCACGGGCCTCATTCTTGACAATTGTCTCCAGGATTTCTGGCAGCATCGACATTCCAGACAGTGGGAGCAGAAGACTTCGAAAGAGATGGGCGATGCCGCCCAAGTCTTCGGCTGACAATTTACCCCATGCGATCTCATCTTTGGAGTAAAATAAATCGGCGTGTAATTTGTTATGCACCCCATTGAGTTTTGTCATTGCCCCCTGCAGCTGCTTTTGTTTGGATTGCAGATCAGCCTCATCACCGTCTGCCACATCTTGGGCGCTTTGAGCGGTGCGTGCTCGTCGAAGAAGGCCTGTCCCTGTCAATAAACCTGTATCCGAGCTACCTTGAACATATGATATCTGCGATTGGAGCACTTCTTCGACTGACGCGGCGTAACGCTTGAGATCGTGAAACATGTCTCCCCGGCTGGTGATTGGGAAAATAAATAATGAGACACCAGTCGCAACGGCGAACCCGATCATGAAGCCCTTCAACAGTCGCGAGACAAATGCGAGACCCTCGGATAAATTGACAAATGTGCCTGCACGAGTGATAGTGACACAAGCAAAGATCGAGAAGGCGACCATAGGATCCTGGAGCTCCATTGGTTTCAACGCACGAAGAGCATTTGCACCCCTTTTCTATTGTCAATCAAATATCACAAGCCGGTGTATCTTATTTGTACATACCAAATCATGACGATAAGCCATATTCCGGCCACTGCGCACGCATCACTGCTATATCCATCACGAACACTCTCGCTTGCATTAGGAGAGATATTGTGTTCTCTAGCTTTCACTGCGCAGAACACGGCTAGGCAGCAGAGTGATGCAGAGACACAAACGGCCGCTAGATTGAAGAACATGATTTTGATAAATTTTGCTCGGGGCATGAGCCCTTGTGCTACTACTGACATCAAGGCTGAGAGGTAGCCAATGGTTGTAGTGATATTTGATACCGCATCACTCTGGTATCTTGCATTTTGTTAGCAGACGTTCCCTTATAAGAAATTTATACTCACATCGCGATCGTGAGTGTGGGTGCTAAAGCGCCTTTGAGCATCATGAATATAGTCCGAGAGTCCAAGTCTAAATTGGACCACCATGTTGACGGATTCAGTCGGCTTTTGCTGAATTATTAGTTCATTCGTTAATTCGAAGCGTTCGAGATAGGTGCATACCTCATTATCCCCGGCTGAGATGGTCGAAGCTCCTCCTGAGCCATTGTGGTAGTTTCAGCTCATGTATATACGTTGCAGGACATTCAGGATGTGCTTCTAGGTGTGTAAAGGAATATATCAAATGTCTCGGTAGACAGGCAAATCCTGAAAGTAATGGAAACGTCTTGAAAGCGATAAAGAATTAAAATTGTGGAAAGAGGTAGATGAATTAGACTATTCCGTTTCTACGGATCGGGTTGCCGAGCGATTGGATCCGTACCGAGCGCAAATGCCGACATAAACAAGATCATCGGTCTTCCTACTCGCACCTTGAATGATATGTTCGTTTGTGGAATATGTCAAGCGAACGGCATCCTCTTGCGGCAGCTACTGGCAAATTCAGAAGTGTCCGTGCATAACCACTGCACGTGATGCGATATTCGCTTTCAGAAAAGGCAAGGTCAACAACCATGGCCATGGATGCTTTGTTTGACCTTCCAAGGGAGGTACTAGTTCAAGGGAAAAATGAGATTACCAAGCTAACATTACTGCAACATGTCAGCTATTTCGGAGAGAGAGGATCGAGTCGTGATTATGGTTGTCAGATGGCGGCTGAGATATTTTCCGGGAATGTAAGATCAATACCCATGAACGATTCACCTATTTTGCTGACAGCTAGTTACAAACGTGATGTTTTAGATTTCAATGTACAGAGTATTGTCCATAGAACTGTTTTTAATGGCTTCGATCGCAAGATATCCGAAAGTATTCATCTTTACAACTTGATATATATATGTGATGACATCATGGCCGTTTGTGCTGGTCAACGTTAGATGGGAGTTACTCGCCAAACAACGACGTGCCATAAATCAACTCAATCGGCAACCTTGAAATTGTGATGAAGGTTGGACAGCGCTGAACATACTGTGTAACCAGTATCCTGCACCCTGACGCTGAGATCTACCTCATAATGATTGCATCTGGATATTTGCAGGGTTCGCCAATCGCGCTGGGTGGCAGCCTAACGGTCTCAATTGGAACCTGATTCAGAGTCTAAGAGGAAACCCATAAGTTCCAATGTCGACCTAATCGATTGCGGCGCAAGTGACACAGCCACCAGCCACTATGGATGGTGGACCTGAAAGTCCGGCTGTGGCTCCCACCAAAAGGCGCGCCGCTGGGGGGAGGGCGCAGCAACTTCCATATCTAAGCTCCATCCGGGTACGAGAATAGATAAACGAAATGGGAATGGTACGCGAATGATTTCATCCGCTGCAATTCAAGTACGATAACGCAATCTAGCGCTGTGGCGACCAATCGTGTCACAAGGATAGGCAACAATAAATTCAAGACCCAATTTTGATCATTCTGGGGATCTGGTCGCGTTCTCAACGGCTTACTCAGGTATGCGCATGATTTTCCGGGGATTTGGCTTGGTGAAAATCATATTCCGAAGATTCACCGAGCCATAACCCGAACAGAATACTCTGTTAGGAAAGCTGCGAGTAAAAATATTGTTCAGTGATAAGCAAAAGTAAGACCTTGAGGCCAAGGGTCGTAACGAGTCCGAATGTCGATCTTGATGATTATTGACCAATGACATATTATCTGAGACGCGCAGTGTCCTGGTGGATCCGGATTTCCTGCCGCATCTCACTCTTGGCAAATCCCTATAGGGAAAACATTGGAGAACGCGTCATTCAATTCTGACACGTTGAACGAAAGTGTATCGATTGACATCATGCTAGGGATGTGATATTGTACAATATAGCAAACAACGGAAGAAAACGCGGCCGAGAATGTGCCAACCTTTTCTGTACTCGTCCACATTCTCATCGAGACCCACGTAAATTAACTTGTGGATAATTTGTGGACCGAAATCAGAGACAAAAATGGAACAATAGTGAGCAAGATTGTGGCGGTAGAATCAAATGCCAACTGCCAAGATTGCCAAGCTCTTCGAGAAATAAATAAATTCTAGTCCCCGTGTTCCCCTGAGGTGTCTACAAAACCTGGTCTTTCTCTTCGTTTGACACTCGCTCTTTAACTACTTTTATTCCATCAAAGGCTCGTTGCCTTCTTTCTACTGCTGTTTGCCTTCTGAAATACATGCGTAAGTCTACTCATTTCTAAATAAGGAGATCTGAGTCTCCACTCCTTTCCTTACTAACCATGCTCGTATTCGCAGACCGGATTCACTCGTGGGCGAAAGCTCACGCGTCCTCTCGCGGCCTGCCTGATCAGACTCCTTCCCAACAGGCCGCTGATTCCAATCCCACCGAAAAACCATCCCGAGATGGACAAGTGAACGTACCAGCAGAGGACCCTACTCCAGGGTCCGTCACGGAAACTCCCTCAAAGCCGGGTCTTTTGATCCGCATGCGAAATGGCTCCGGTCGTTTCTACAACCACACCAAGGATGCTCTTTGCCATAGTTGGGTCAATGTCCTTCTGGTCTTCGTGCCGGTCGGCATCGCCTGTGAGGCTGCAGGTCTCAACCCAGCCATCATCTTTGCGATGAATGCAGTGGCCATCATTCCCCTGGCTGGAATCCTCAGTCATGCCACGGAAAGTGTCGCCAGTCGTCTTGGTGATACAATTGGAGCTCTCATCAACGTCACTTTCGGAAACGCTGTAGAGTTGATCATCTTCATCATCGCTCTAGTGAAGAACGAGATTCGTATCGTTCAAGCCTCGCTGCTTGGCTCCATTTTGGCAAATCTGTTGTTGATTATGGGCATGGCCTTCCTTTCTGGCGGTCTTCGCTTTCAGGAACAAATCTACAACAGCACCGTTACTCAAATGAGCGCTTGTTTGCTCAGTTTGAGTGTGGTCAGTCTATTATTGCCCACTGCCTTCCACGCTTCGTGGTCGGATAATACAAACGCCGACCGAGAGACTCTCAAGGTCAGCCGTGGTACCAGTGTTGTCCTCCTGCTCGTGTATATTTTGTACATCATCTTCCAGCTCAGGACCCACTCTTATCTTTATGCCAGTATTCCTCAGGCCATCATTGATGAAGAATCTCACCCTGGTGTGTTGGCCGAGTTTATGAACAGCTCTTCGGATTCCTCATCTAGCTCCAGCGACGACTCGGACGACACCACGACATCGTGGACCACCGCTAAGCGCATCAAGAGAGCAATGAAGTACCGTAGACACCGCAAATCGAGCACAAGCTCAAAAGGAACAACCTCTCGCAACTCCTTCCAGAAAAAGGCAATGGCCTCCACGTCCAACGAGAACCAGAGCTCTATCCCCAACTCGATTGATAGCAATGAACACGCCCTTGACCTCGGTGACGAAATTCGCTACGACGCCGATGACGATGCGCAGGATCCTTCTGCTATCCGCTCTCGCGACTTTGGAATCGCCTTGAGCCAGATGGACAGCAGAGGAAGCAAGAAGTCCAAGAAGCGTGATCGCAAGAGACGCAAAGCCCAAAAGGCCGAGAAGAAGGCACAGCTCCAGGCTCCTAGTGAAAGCGGTCCCTCCAACGGCAAAAATCCAGCGATCAAGGGCTTCACAACTGCCCCGAACTTCGTTGGCTTCGATGGTGTAGCAGCAGAGGATGCACAGAAGCGTCGCTCGCCTTTCCCCATCCAATCCCTGCTTTCAAACACCGTCTTCAGCTCCCAGTCACCGGCCCTCTCACCTCGCATTGGAGCTGGTGCGCACCCCGGCATCTCTCGCAGTAACTCGTTACCCGCACACATTACCCGCCCTCCCCCGGCCGGAAATGCAGTCCAGTTCGCCCGTGGCGCTTCCCGCATCGCCGACTCGAACGAACCCCCAGTCCCGGAGACAGCCTCCCAGGCCCCGGAACCGGAAATGTCTCGCACTGCTGCTGTTGTCATGCTCCTGCTGTCTACCGGTCTTGTCGCCGTTTGTGCTGAGTTCCTAGTTGATGCTATTCCAACTATGATCGCAAGCTCGAATGTCAGTGAGGCCTTCATTGGTCTTATCATCTTGCCTATCGTTGGCAATGCTGCCGAGCACGTTACTGCCGTCAGCGTCGCGACTAAGAATAAGATGGATTTGTCTATTGGTGTCTCTGTTGGAAGTAGTATTCAAATCGGTATGTTTTGTGTCCTCAGTTCCTTCACAATCTCGGACTCTAACCTTCCTTATAGCCATCTTCGTTACGCCCCTCGTCGTCATCTTGGGTTGGTGCATGGACAAAGAAATGTCTCTCTACTTCACATTGTTCGAGACCATCTGTCTATTTGTCACCACCTTTGTCGTCAACTTCTTGGTTTTGGACGGCCGCAGTAATTACCTCGAAGGTGTACTTTTGATTGCCGCCTATATCATCATTGCGTGAGTTTGCCCTAACCCATTTATCGGAAGAGAAGACCGTATACTAACTACTCTTAGTTTGTCCGCATTCTTCTACCCGGACAGTAACCAATCTAGTACTATCGCAGGTTAAGAGGCTCAAACACTCACCTGGGGGGCGTACTGGCAGGAACAATAACGCGCTAGTTGGTATACTTAAGCTCTGATAGCCTGTGCTGGAACACTCTGATCAGAGTCACAACCATAATATCACATTTTATCACCTCGCATATCTTCTTACTTCGTAAAGTAACTAGTAATGGACACGCAGCGTAACAGGTGGCTCGGAAACCTATCCTTATCTGTAATTCAGCTTTTCGATGCGCTCGGGTCTGGACCATGTCGGGTTGCTCTCCAGTGTGCTTGGTGTCCGAATTCGCGAAGAGAGCATTAGCGAGATACTCTCAATGTGACCGATTTTTCTCGAGTTGGTATGAGGCTTTCGAGTGACTCACGGATAATACTAACTCATTGCGGATTGCTAATGCCCTCCATGAAAACGAAATTGTTTTTTATGATCACTTTCATCACGCCTTAGGTTACTATGCGTGAGTACGACACGTTTCAACGAATTCCAACGCCGAACGCCGTGATTTTGCGGAAGGCCCAGGTAGGAATGACCAGTTGGCATTCTTTAGATGAGACCATCATTTCTCTCCATTTTAAATACCTAAAAATGGGTGTTGACCGGTCTCACTCTCTCTAAATTCAATCCCAGTACCAGTCAGTGATCAGTTCCACTCTAAAAAAGCACAATCGTCATTGAGCCAGGATCGAATTTATCACAGATGCTCTAGTTTCTATAACACCGTTTCACAAAGGGTGTTTAATTCTTGGGGACTTGAACTGAGCACGAGATTTTGTATGTTCTTTGGCCGCAATTAGTATTGATGCGACATTGAACAATGTGGATGAGAGAGATTTTTACACCAATCAAAGTGATGTGAGTCAAAGGGCATAGGCTCAGACTCTTATTCTCTACTTCTGATACTTTGGACCACAATTTTCGTAGGTCTCATGGATTACAACACAACATGCATTCCTTACAGGAATAAATCCAATAATGGTACCATTGAAATTCGGCGAAACCTCTTGGAGAACCCAAATGTACTACATACGGAGAAGTATATCCACCAGCCACGTGTATGATAATCAGTGGCTGTGTAAATTCAGTTGAGCCACATCGTGGCTCGGCACGCAGTAACTAGCGCACTTTACAGCGCTTTCCCTATGTTTTGTACTCAACTTCTCCACTGCGGGGTTTTATCCCCCTTTTCCAAACGCTTTTCAAAATATCCTTTTTGATACTCGTGTTCTTTTCTTGTTTAGAGGAAAGAGTTAGGACATGGAAACAAGGGAAATAATAAGCCTCCCGTGTGGGGGTAGCCGATCCAAACTTTGAAACTTATGATCAAACTCCTGATCGGCCGTATTTTTTCGACCCTTCACCTTATATGGCTCGGCTTACGGTAACACACGAACCCACCTGGATACTTGGCATGATTGCAATTGGTCAGCTCATTCTCAACAGCCCTGTCAGGCGTAGGATTTCTAAATCTGACCAGAAGCTGCAAGCCACACCCAGGGGCTTTGCGGAGCATTTGATATTGCATCTGCCTAATGGAAAGCATAACAGGGCGCCAAATGACAACTTTCACAAAATGGATCATTTAATTAGCGTCGGAGTCAGAGATGTGGATGCCTCTTCGGTTCTGGGCGGAATTGGTGATATTTAGATACATTAATTAAGGGTGTCCTTTTGACCTTCCCATAAAAACCCTCCCCACCCCTCTTTCTCTCTTTACTTTCTTTTCTTCTTCATCTCACCCCATATCTCTCATAATGTCGTACGCACCACCTTACGGCGATCCTTACGCCCGCCCTCCCTCAGATCGTCCTCCCTACGATCGTCCTCCATATGATCCTTATGGCCGCCCTCCCGCGGATCCATATGCTCGACCTCCCTCAGACCGTCCCTATGAGCAGCCACCCTACGATGGCGGCCGCCCACAATATGATCGCAGCCCATACAGCGCACCCCCTCCCCAGTCCCGTCCCCCACCGGGTCCACCACCTCCCCTACCTCAGGGTTGGGTCCAGGAATGGGAACCTTCTGCCCGCCGCGCTTTCTGGGTAGAGCCATCCACCGGCCGCTCTCAATGGGAGCAACCTTCCTACCAGCCTGCCTACTCTGGCTACGACGATGGATCGCGCAGCGTCCCTCCTGCTGGCCCGCCCCCGGGCGCTTACTATGCGCCTCCTGCGGGCCCTCCTCCGGTTTCTTACGACAGCCGCCCCAACTACTACGAGCCCCAGGGGGAGGCCCCTGAGAAGAAGAGCAGCAATGCTGGCAAATACCTCGCTGCTGGTGCTGCTGGTTTGGCCGTTGGTGGTCTTGCCGGTGCTCTCATTGAACACGAGCGCGGTACGTATTATATTGCTGCTCCATGCCATCCCCTTTGCAATTTTTGAACCCGAAGCTAAACTTTTCATTAGATGAGGACTCTGATCGGTCAGACCGGGAGGAAGCATATGAGGATGGTCGTCGTGATGAGGCATACGAGGAGGGTAGCGATGGCGGTGGTTTCTTTGACTGAGCAGTGATTACTTGACTGACTCCTGCCGCATCGTTTCTTGGGATTCAGTTTTATCGTTCTAGGGTTGAAGGGTATTACATCAATGCTTCAATTGATATTTGCTGTTCCTTTCCATATTTCTTCGTCCGGTTTTACTTATTCATAGACATGCGAAACCAATTCATACCCTGCATATTGCATACAGATCCTATTCACTTCCAGCAAAGAATCTCCCCATGCAAGAGCCCAAACCAAGCATTTTGATTCTCCACAAAGTCCTTCCATCCCGCTGCAATAATCTCTAAATCATCTTTTTGCGCAAACCCCTCTCCAACAGCACTTTTCGCGAACCCAGAAGACATAGCACGCGCCTGCATAGATCCGCCCCAATACGCTCTTTCCTCATCACTCCCAAAGCACCAAGCCCCAGCACTCTTTTTGATCTTTGAGTGCTCAAATCCAGCATCCCGCGCCCAAACATGGATCATCCGTCCAGGATGTGGGCTTCCGCCTTTAGCACGCTGCATAGTCTCCGTGATCTGACGCCAGATCGCAATCCCCGGGTTTTCGGGATACCAGCTCAATTCCGCCGACTCGCGGCACGCCACGATTCCGCCCTCTTTCACGACGCGCCGCATCTCCCGTAGAGCCTGAATTGGGTCTGCGATGTGTTGGAGGACCTGATGCGCATGGACAACATCGAACGTGTTGTCTTGGAATGGAAGCGCGTGAATATCGCCTTCTTGGAATGTGACGTTTGAGACGCCGTTCGCTTTGGCCAGTTCGCGCGCGCCGTCCAGTGGGTCGCTAACGTATTCCACGCCTGTCACATGGCCGGTGGGGATTTGTTGGGCAATTGAGATGGTGATTGAGCCTGGGCCGCAGCCGACGTCCAAGACTTGCATGCCTGGCTTCAGGTGTGGGATGAGGTAGGGTGCTGAGTTGGTGACTGTGCGCCAGCTGTGGGTGCGCAAGACTGAGGCTGAGTGGTCTGTTGTGTAAACCTGAGCCATGATTGTAGGCTTTGTGTGTAGTGCTTTGTGTATGATGGTTGGAGAGTTAAAGGTTGTGAATTTTTTCAATGGTTGGTTTTACATTGGAATGGGTTTTATAGGTGCGGGGAGTTGTATACTTGAGGTATCCGATCTTTCGGAATTCCGAAGTGGCGATCTCCCGTATCACCTGTGCAATCACCAATTTTATGTACACTATTTCCAACGGTTATCATGCGATACAAATGAGTACGGAAGGATTACGGAATATATGTTCCATGTTCGCGATAAGCCTATGATCCAGACTTGTTCAAATTTCTTCATAAAATACCTACATATGTGCGGAGCATGTACCCATCATACCCTCGGGGCCCCGGTCCGCATAATCGCTTAGTCATCACCGTTGCCGTCCACGGACCAGGCTCACACGCTTCGAGACAGCACACGGAATTCCGAAGATTTTCCCGAACTCATCTTCAGTACAAAATGACCCAAAGCATCAATCAAACAGCGCCTTCAACCCCAGCTCAATCATCGACTTCAAGCAGCAGTAGTGCAAGAAAAAAGGCCTGCCGCAAATGCACACAGTCAAAAGTTCGGTGCGATTTGGCGACACCAAAATGCAACAGATGCGCCACCCGAGGCAACATTTGTGAATATCCAGCTGGTCGTATTAATCAACGAAATGTCGCAGCAGCCCAGAGTCTCATCTCTCTCAGTGAGCCGAATCAATCTCAGGGCCTTTTCGAGCTGGCACCCACGAGCTCAAACGCGCCATTTCAGACCCGACAAACCGCATTAGACCTTTCCGTTCCAGGTGGTCTTTTCTCTCAGTCACATCCCGACCTGTCTTCTTTCCAACAAACAGACCTGATTCCTATGGCCGATGCAGGTGAAATTCGTGATCGCTGGCTACGTCCATATGTTTCTGCCGCGACCGGCCAAGAACCTAAGCAGTTGAACCCTCACACTATCCAGTATCTCACATGTGTGTTCAAGGCATATCTCAGGAACTTATCTAACTCGCTATTCCCACCCTTTATACATTACTCACAATGCACCCATGGTCGTTCACCCGTTTTGTCCTATTGCTGCGCCAACTTGAAAATGTGGCTGGGGAAAAGGCCTGAGTATGAGATTTTTATTTTGGGGACAATACGGGATGAGATGAAGAAGATCGAAAATCAGGTACGTATTCAATCAATATTCCCAATGATTATTCTAACAAGTGACAGGATGTGTTTCGATCAGACTTCGATATATTATGCTCTTTTCAAGCCTATCTCCTATACTTCATGGCCTTACACTTTTTTCCCATGGCCGATTCCACGGAAGCAGTATCCCCACACGACCCTCAAATCCAAATCAAGATGCAGGAGATAGCTTTTCGAACCGCTCAGCCGGGCCTGTTGTGCAAGGAAGAGCAATATAGCACTCGACCGGCCTGGGAATCCTGGATAGTGGCCTCCTCCAAGCGCCGGACCCTTTTCGCCATGTATCTCTTTACCAGTGTTTACAACAGCCAGGTAGGTCTTCCAAATTTTATCGCAGAAGAATTACGGGGTGTCATTGTCCCCGAAAGTAAGATACTCTGGGAAGCACGCGGCCGTGGAAACTGGGAGAAAGAATACAATCTTCACTTGTCTCGCTGGCCAGATGGAATGCTGGAGATTTCCGAGCTTTGGAAGTCTGCTGAGACTAGTACGGATGCTCGACGTGAAAGGATTGAGCGGTGGTTACAATATACGGATGAGTTCGGCTTTATGCTTTTTTCTACCTGCGCGCATATCCATGGATGCTAGCCTGGCCAGAATTATCAGACCCTAAAGTGGTCCACCTCGCATATGTCTAAGTTGCATACGTCTTAGCCCTCGCTTTCACCGGTATAGATTCAGAGTTTCGGAAAATATTGTGGGCACATGTCCGTTGCAATTGGAACGCTTGATCCCGAAACTTTCCCCGAGAACAGTCGCCATATAGCTGTCATTCGTACGTTGGCAAGCCCACAGCGAGGCACTCTTCCAATGACGTCCATCCAGGTCGCCCACAAAATTCTCGCAATATTTGTTCGGCTTTCTCGACTCCAACGAACAGATGCAGGCTGCGTCCTTCGTTGGCGGGCGGGTCCGGAATCTTGCTATTGTGCGGCTGAAGTTTGCGCATAATTCCGACAACATCTGACCAGTTGAACGGCGCCGCCATCGCAAAAATACGTTCCGATTCTAGCTCTGGGTCCAGCAAAGCGGCAACGTGGAGCTGGGCTACGTCTTCTACACTCACATACCACACTGACATTGTCAGTACATGGTGGTTCGACATCGAAAAGAAGAATTTTGGACTCACTCGGAGGAAAAGCTTGCATGAAATCACCAAGACCTTTGGCCAGACCACTCGTCAGGGACATACTACCAAATATGTTGCCGACTTCGGGGTGAATCCGCGGCCCGAGCTGATCTCCATGTCAGCCGATATCCCTTTTGCTTATGGGACACACTTACAGTCCAGTAAGGCACCACTCTGTTGAAAACAAATGGTGGATGATTTTCCTCGACCCATTTCACCGCTCGCCTTTCCCCCTCTGTTTTCGACGCCGCGTATATGGAACCGCCCATCAGGCCCGGCAGCTCAGCAACATTGTCCTGAACAGCCTTAAGGGAAGACTCGTTCCATGAGTCTACTGGACCATCAGCGCACTTCATTTCAAAAAGCCTGGTGATACCCACCTTTGTCAAATACGACCGGTTTATCGGCGACGGGTGCAGTGCACGCTCCGGCAGAGGATGTCAACACAACTCGCTTAATGCAATTATTTCCGGCCGCGAGCTCCAGCCAAGTGAGAGTTCGCTTGACGGTTTCCTCGATTATTGAGTGATCCTCGGCGAAAGATATATCTGTTGCCTGATTTTCATCAGCTCGTTCGCACAGCGTATCCGAGCGGACCTCGTTTCATACAATCAGCATCATACCAGCTACATCCTTGATCAGGGGTGAAACAGCATCTCGGTCCCCCAAATCCGCTAAGACGACAGACTCGAAGAGATCACCGTATCTTTCTTGGAAGAGTTTGTCTAGCCATGGCCGAGATTGGCGCACTTGACCGCGAACGCGATACCCTCGCTTCAGTAATAGGTCAATAACGTGGGAGGCTATGTAGCCGTTTGCACCAGTTACGAGGATGCGAGAGCCTGGTGGAAGGGCATAAGTCTGCTGGGTCATTTTGAAATTTTGCTTTGGTAGTTCTTGCGACCGTCGTGGCTTTGGTTATATTTTCCTCCATCAAGGTGAGACAGTGAGGATCTCGCATGTTAATTGGGTACACAAACCCCCTCACTTGCCACCGGTACTTCGTACCCCGCGAGATTTATTTGCCTGTGTCCGCTTATGGGCTTGCCGATATTTTTTGCTTCTTTACTCGACCTACGTTGACCAAAAATCTGTCTTCTGTGCTCCAACGCTAGTTTTCTTTTAACACGCTGGATGACTACGCAACATTGTCACTGACAAACTTGAAATATTGACTCCATGTATTTACGCTAAGCTAGGACTGGGTTTATCACCCTATACTGAGAACCGCATCTACGCAGCATTACCACATCACTGGGCTGCCCTCTTCTTGGCCATCTGCTCGTTCGAGGAGTCCAGGACGGCCTTGATCGCTTCCCGGGAGGTCATGCGCTCAAACCATTCCTTCTCGTGAGGGAATTCATCCAAATTAAACCCATCTTCACTAAACGACATATGCGCACCCGCCTGCCAGGGAATAAATGCGATATCCGCATAAGACAACTTGTTTCCGACGAGCCAAGGACCGTCTCCGAGATTGTCAGCATTGGCCTCCTTTTGCTGGCCCAGCCATTTGTCAAGAACGCCCGTCACGCGCTTTGCCTCGTTGACGTAGCGCTCTATAGCACTGGGGATCTTCTCAGCGTGGTATTTCTTGAACCAGTAGGCCTGCCCGTAGTACGGGCCTTGGCCAGTGGTTTGAAGGTACAGGAATGAGCGCGCGAGCTCGGCTTCTGCGCTGCGTGGCTCAAAGCTGAGCTTGCGCGGCTCCTTGGTGTCGTACCGCTCGATCAGGTACTCGACGATTGCGCCGCTTTCCCAGATCGTGAGACCAGTGTTTGGGTCGTGGATTGACGGAAGACGTCCGTTTGGATTGATGGCTTCGTAAGCTGGGAGCTTGACGTCGGTGTATTCGACGGGGACTACCTCGAAGGGGAGCTCAAGAAGGGTGAGGATAATTCCGATCTTCAGCGGGTTGGGGCCTAGAATGCCGCCGTAGAGCTGGATTGGTTTGATTGTGGATGTCATGGTTGCGTTTTTATATAGATGCGTGTATGTATAATAGAATTGATTGATTGACAGTCACAGTTTGATGAGTTTCTGGTTCGAGGGGAGGATTGTGGTGGTTGTAGGTGTTCTTTATAGTATTTTGATTTTCCGACTCCCCGATCTTCACCTCACTTCCATTGTTTTCTAGTTCCATTTCCAACCATTCCTAAGTTGAGGAGGATAGAGTATCATAATTTACTAATTATCCCAACAGAGGTGTTTTGACCCTATTCATCCGGCGGAGGGATTCGTCCGGTCCGTCCAAAGTGGGGTTCATCCGGGGAAACAATTATTAAGCTCGGCACTCGGCTCTGACGAAGGCCGAATATAATATCCACATCTGACCACTCATGCAGATACAACTCGAAAGTCTTTCATAGGTAATACATTTCAGGGATGCTAATAATTTTGGCCGTACTGGTTGGCTCTCGACTGGTAACCAATACGTTGCCAAGTGCAGAGATCCTGAAATACTTCGACTGACCCGTTAAGTTTATGACATGGTTCAAGCATTAGTATTGCGTGGAAATGTAGACCAAGTATCTATAGAGGCTTGAGAGATCAGATATAACCTCCTCAGGAGGAAAGTCACGTTAATATTTTTGGAGAATGATCATGCACCTGGCACATTGATGTGAAGTATGCTACTGTATATTTAATACGTTGTGTTGAATAGAACATCCAAAACGAGATTGAGGATTATGGAAGCTTGTTGACGAGGAAAGGCTTTTTCTAGATCAAGTACATAAGATCACCCACTACTGTGAATACAAATTACTATTTCACGAAAAATTTGAAAGCCTTGTGCAAATTTACTACAGCAGAGGCATATATAACACCGTACTCTGTTGAATCTTTGAGCATCAGACATCCTCCACCACATCACCATACTTGTTTGAAACTCTTCCTTTGTCTCTTTGTCTTCACCTTTAATGGTCTCAAAATCTCCCTCAAGATCGATTCCAACCACCCATCAAACCCCAGTCCTCCTAATCCATTTTCAATCTCTACAACATCTCGGCATCAGACAGATAGTGTCGCAACACATTACATTGTTGTTGTCTCTGGGCCACCAGAAAACGGAGTCTAATTCCAGTGTTGCTATCAAGCCATATGCCAACATGAAGAGCTGACTCAAACATTCCCCAAACCCAACCCAAGAACCCCCAATCCTCCTAATCTTTCCAAACACTCTACAACACGGTATCAGATACATAGTTTCGCAACAAAAGAGATCAAGCTTGATTGTTGCTACTTCTGAACCAAAAAGCGAAATGGAGTCAAGCGGAATCTTGTCACCAAAGCCAAATGGCAACCTAAAGAGCAGACTCCAACATTCCCTTAATTCCACGTAATCAACCCTCAGCCCCATCCACCTTAAGTACAAGCAACAAAGTCATCCCCGCTAGCCCCAGTGTGTGTGATAACACCCGCAAGCTGGTCGTTCGTATTGAAGATCACGCGATCCGCACCAGGCGACCCACCAGTGTACACAGAGCCGCTGCTCAGGATAGGGAACTCGTAGTATGTCCCCGAGACCGGGAACACGAAGCCCTCGTAGTCGTGGTAGACGTGCGGGTAGGAGGAGACCGTGCTGCCAGCAGAGTAGAGCTTGTAGCCCGCTGCCTTTGCGGCGCTGACCGCGCTGCTGGTGTAGCAGATTGTGCCGCAGGTCGAGGCACAGGCGCGTGCTTCGATATCGAGGGGGGCTGCGAGAGTGCTGGTGATGAAGACGGCCGCTAGGGCGAGGAGCTGGGACAGGTTAGAATTTTGGACTCGTGCGTGGCGGCGATGGAGGGCCTTGCCTTTGTGTATTGCATTTTGCGATTGGGTTCTTTTGGAGAATGGTTTGGCTTGTACGCTTTGGATTGATGCTCAATACTACGGGGGGTCTTGCTGTTTATATAGATTTGGCGAGGGCAGTGTATGGGCTTCGACAACATCAATTCCAAACCCGACGCGAGGCGGAAATAAATTGATGCATGGGATGTTGCATTCTGATTATACTCCTATTTGATGTCTAATTGGCGAGCGAGTAGTGCACGTCCGAGTTTCATTCTCCGAGTTGAAGGACCATACCGGAATGGGAACGTTGACCGATAGCAATATCGCACTAATCCAGTGAAATTGAGGCACTAAGCATCCCCAATTGGGCGATTGAAGAGAGCGTGAACAATTGAGTGGTGAGGGAGGTGTCGTTTTGGCAAATGCGCCCTATCCGAGACGATGATCGACAGCCCCGGTGGTCTCCGGTGGGAGACGTTTCATGCTGGACCCTGACAAGTGTCCTGCAGCTGAGATGAGAATAATCTGAACCCCTCATTATCGGGCCAATTATATTTCAGTATGTAGCACGATGCTGGTTAAAATGCGATTTATCTAGCGGCACATGTGGGGCCAAGCATAGACTTGACGGGATGCAGGCGTTGAAGTTCATTTGCACAACGCTATTGGTGATTTCTGCAGACGGAGTGGAACGGATAAGGCTTGTCATTTGACTATACTGATTGAGCCACAGCTTCAATCGATGGAATTTTCAGTATTACTTTCTCATGTACTCCCGCTCTCCGACGGTTTCCGTGCTGATCCCTTGAAGCATCGTCCCCATGCCCGGTGGCATTCTTATGAGACCTAATCAATGGCATCTGAATCGTTCTTCATGAATAGAACTAGACCGCGTTAGGTTTGTTTTCCGGGTAGTAAAACTAATTCAAACTCTTCACATGCGCGTCTGCACTTTTTGATCCCCGAACAGAAGGAGATGTATTGTCTATTGGGTATTGTATAGGAGAGGGTATATCGCATCTCTATCCGATAACGACTGAGTAAATCCGAGACCACCACTTCCGTCTCTTAGGGGATTCGATCTCGCCTGATTCCGCTATCTCCCTTCGCCCGGTCCAGATATCCATATCCTCCAGTTTGACGACACGGGTTTTGTTCCAGAACTTGTAGCCAACAACGAAAAGTACGAATACCGGAAGGAGGATGTAGTTGATCACAAAATCGGTCGAACTGAAAGGGTTCAAGAAACAGGTATATCCTTGGAAGAAGATGAGGAATACGTTGGCTGCAAGTGAGAGGTATGTACCGTATGGGTAGAAGACTGCTTGATAGGGTAGTTTGGATGGGTCTTGGCCTTGCACGACCAGCGCTTTGCGGAAGCGAATATGGGCGATTCCAATCACTGACCACACGATGAATGTAGCAACTGTAATTTGTTAGTCAGGCATATTGATTTTGGGGGATGTACATGCCTCCAGAAAGGGTAATCAATGCCGAGTACACCCGTCCAGCACTGGAAGATTGCCCCAAGAACACAATGCAGGCAAAGATATTGGTGAATATTAAGCCAACCCAAGGAACTCCGAGCCTATTGGTCCGTCCAATAAACTTGGGGGCTTTTCTATTCCGAGACATGTATAGTAACGTTCTAGATGCCACATACAGCGAGCTGTTTCCGGCTGATATCACACTGATTACGATCAGGGCGTTGATAAGATGGGCAGCGGGAAGGATACCAGCATCCTGCAATGAAATTGTCAAAGGCGAGCTGGCTGTTTTCGAGGTTGCTCCGAGCAATCTGTCGTCATTCCATGGGATTAAGATCCCAATGAAGAAAATTGTGCCTGGTTATGAATGAGCCATTGTTGAGATTCATATTCCAATGTGTACTCACCAACGTAGAAAATCAAGATACGCCAAAAGACCTGCTTGATAGCCTTGGGAACTGCCTTTTGTGGATTGGCAGATTCTCCGGCCGTGATACCAACCCTGAAATCTTGTCAGCCTCAATTTAATCATCAAACCTGTGGAACTTCGATACATACATTTCCGTACCAGCGTATAGTGTGCCGGCAACAACAAAAGTCTTGGCAACACCGTTGATCGAATCGGCAAATGCGCCAGGATTACGCCAGTATTCGAACCCAATCTTTTTGGGTCCAATGCCACCGGCACTGATAATGATAGCAAGAACAAAGAAGACAATCAAGGCCAACACTTTAATTCTGCAAAATGTTAGTACATTGTATACTTCATGTAAGCACCCGACCACTTACAGAGAAAGCCAGAATTCCATTTCTCCATAGGCCAAAATTCCCAGATTGGACAGCGTAAGGAACATCACCCAGAATATGAGAATCCACGCCCATTGTGGTACAGCGTCTGTCCAATAACCAATAACTAGTGATATAGCATTGTATTCGTTGGCCAGAACCTGCATTTTGCATCATATTAGCAACCAAGCAGTTCGATCATGCCAATTCAATCCATACCGTCACCCATAAGTACCAATAAGCCCAGCCGAGCGCGAAAGCAAGGGAATCATCGATGAAGCGCTCAGCATACTCAGTAAAGGATCCCGTTACCGGAATCAACGTAGCCATTTCGCCAAGGGATTGCCTATGAAAGTTAGCATTGTTTCACAAAACCCCAGAATTGAGCATTCCTACATAACGAAAAAGACGATAATGCCGACCAGTGAAAAACTGATCAATGCTCCCGCAGGCCCACCTTCGGACAAGGCATTTCCAGAGCTCACAAGCAAACCAGGACCGATAATTCCTGCGCGAAAATACCATTAGCAATTGCACACATAAAATATAGTATGCGACGTATTCACCTCCGATCGCAATCATTTGCAAATGTCGTGACTTCAACTGGCGCTTCAATGGCGCAGCTAACGGATCGGTCGCGATTTCCTCATCTGATCGCGGAGCTTCAGACGATCGGAAGCTTTTGTTGTCGCCATCTTCAGCTGGGCCTCTGTATGTGACACTTGATCCTTTGTCCATTTTTCCAAATGGGCAAAAAATGTTGATGAAGATGTCTAAAAGGAAGAAACAATTTTCCCCCACAGAAACTGCATGTCACGGTAACATATGTGCAAGATGTGGAGATGCAGCATACTTTTTTGCGCCAGGTTAAGGTACCATGATGAAATTTCGGGCCGCAGCCATTTGCTACCGATGTCGTGATAAGCCACCCTAGCGGCGCAACCGATAGTGGGTCTGGTGGATCGAGCTCTGTTTCCGCGGAAAAGATGAGTAGGCGAGGTGTATACACATGTGTATACAGGGGAAATAGGTTGATTGGAAGGTTCTTCCCGAACTGTCTGACACTTGGTAGCTTTGGACTTATTCTGGGAACCTTCGTTTGAGCTACACCGCCCGAGGCCCTTTTAAGGTGTTCATACAATATTGCAGGAATTGAAAAGAGGTAGTTTCATTATTGCCAACCTCCTCGAATAGATACAGCAGAAGATAGTATGTGGAGTGTCTCCAGCTTTATACAAATGCCCATACATGTAGGCAGCTAGAAGGTTTAACGAAGTAGTCCACATCGCGCTTGGGTAGCCTGGGAGTGCACGGACGACGCCACGTGGGGCTTCAAAAATAAGGTTATCTCATTTTGACTGTCTTCAACAATACTACTCATAGCAAGTAGGAGTAGTGTAGTATCTTCAAGGGCTCAGAATGTTTGGATCTTCCTACCTCTTGAGGTCAGATTGGAATGAGATATTTTGGTCATTCATCACTGCTCAGAAAGAATACCCAGCAACAGTAGTAGACTAAAGGGATGAAGACATGATTTAATTTCTCATCTGAGATCTCAGACGAACCCCATTATACTCGAACACGGATAAATCCCTAATGAGGGTTAAAGTTTCTTTTGTCAAGGAAGGATTGTACATGGTGATGATATAGCAGTGTTTGCTTGCCGTGCATGTTTGACACGCCTCCCTAGACATAGATAGAGTTCCTCAGATCTCATAATAACTGATGAATTCAATTCAATCATCATTCTGGTAGCATGGGTCATAGTAAGAGCTGGCTCATATCATTCGGCTTCAGCTCTTGGGGTGTTGGTCATCATTGCGAACGCGGCTAGATTTAGATTCGAGTTGTGTTCAGAACTGATGCATCTTTATATGCACGAACAGAGAATGGTAAACCCGGCCAAGAGGTCGCTAATGTTATTTTGCAGTTTGGACCGGTGGTTGCTCCATCATAGTATGGGAGCTTGCGTGCTTGCAGGGCCAGAAGGTTGCAAGTTAGCAACCAAATACTAGGTCCAACTTCATAGATTCAACATACGCAAGATGTACCTTCATCATTTTCCTTTTCCCATCCCAGTATAAGAAAGTTCCAAAGCCAGGGAGCCGTCATGCATATCGATCGGATTGCGCAGTTGAGTGGGCCCTATAAGCAATTCATAGTTAGCCTAAAAAAGAAGGAGGAGATGCAACATACAGACCAATGATAAGAATTTCATGAACCAGCCAATTAACTTTCCATATCAGTGCCAGCAAAAAGATAGTAAATTGCACATTTGTACCAGATTTTGGGCTTGAACATTGCAGAAAGGTCAGTACAGAACCATTCACTGTACTCAAGGGAAACAAGCCAGCTGAACATTTGGTCATCATCATCCAATCCGAAGGGTATGGATAGGGTCACGGAAATAACACTGCATAACATGTATTGTCAGTAAGATTCAGGACGGCAATTTGAAAGACCAGGACTGCTCTTCGTTGATTCAGACAAAATTTTATAATCATAACCCTCATACCGATGATGCTGTCATTATCCCAACTCGATACATCTGATTCAATAGGGTTCAACTCACTGGAGGTGAAAATGGCCACGGGTCATAGAGAGGGATCACTTGTATTGTCAGCAAATACAGTAGCAATTTGAAAGACCGGGAATATTGTATGTTGGCTCAGACAAAAAGTGTATAATCATAATCTTCATATCACACTGCCTTTGGTCATCATTGCCAGCTCAATGAATCTGACAGGGTTCTGTGATTTCATGCACTTACCGAACGTGGATTCACAGCTGTATGATTATGTGTCATCATTAAGTCACGCATGGTGGATGGGGGGTTGTATTGAAGACTGTGCAGTCTGTTTAGTGGGTCGATGGATACAGTTGCTTGTGGTATCTTCATCGGCATCGGTCACTCTTGCGAAGGAATAATGGTAAGCTATAGCAATGTAAGTAGAAGCCTTTTTAAGTAATACACGCAACGCTCAAGTCAAAGACTGGACATTTCTTCTTTCAGAGGCTCAGAGTATATTTGTTCACCACGGGACGGGGTCAGAAGAAGAATCCCAATTTTTGTCACTCATCATCGCCAAACTTTGATACTCAGCACTTACTGGTTGTTGGTAATGGCTCGTAGTATTGAACGACGAGGGTCTTGTCATGTCGATCTTGGAGAATTGGATCAACAACAAGCCAGTAGCCAAAGCTGATTCAAAGTTCGAGAATCGCAACGTAAGATATGTTGGAAATTGAATCACTCAATTATGAAGCATGTTATAAAGCTTGAAGAAAGAAAACAAGGGAAGAAGAAAAGCCAGTACACAAGCTCGACATCTTAAAGTAGATTACCATTTATGCAATACGCGTTGCTGATTGGCTTCGTGCGAGGACGCTAGCGACTTCGATTCAAACGCTGATTGGCCTGAAAGCCAGGCACGTGACCTTCACATCCACCCGTGCAGAGCCTCACCTGGATGTACTTTGGAGATGCAAATGGTCGATGAACACGATCTTACTGGAATAATCTCACACGCTACAGGATAGATGGAAGTCTAAAATTTGGTGAGCCTGTGTTAGAGGCGTTTTAGCTCAGTCAGACGCGATTGTTTGTTCTTTGCTGATCATGTTGATGAGAAAACGGCGTTTTAAGGCTGCGTAGATACCAAACTCTAGCTCGAATATACATCAATTTCAATTCGTGTATTCCTCCAAAGTTAACCGAAAAATTGATTTACGTAAGTTGAGATTGACTCCAGGGCTTGGAGATCAATCAACTGACTTCTTCACAGCTAGCATTCTATCCTCCCAGCCCTGGCCAGAATTTTCACCGCAATTGAGAATCAACAAGGGTCCTCAAGTCATTTACAGCGTTTGGATAACTTGTTGATGAAATCTTGCCCCCATTTAGCACTGCGAAGGTCAGCCACTGACAATTAAGTAACAGAACGGCGAATTCAAACCTTGTATTGTGGTCGACGAAGTCACGCAGATACTCATACTTCGATTTCCGCTCAGACGCATTGAGATTGATTGCCTTAAATATTGCCTCAGACATCTCAGTTGTGTTGGCCGGGTGGAATGGAATACTACCTTTGGTCATGAAAGATGCGGCGCCGGCAAATTCAGACAGCACGAGAACACCATGACCTTCCTGTTGACAGGCTACGTACTCGAATGCGACTAGATTCATACCATCCCGGGTGGACGTTAGGAGGCACACATCAGCAACAGAGTACAACGCCGTCAACTCGGCAAATGGGACTGAGCGATGCATGTACAACAATGGTGTACCCTCGGGTGTAGCTATTCGGTTAGTACAGTAAGCACTTTATGGATCTCGAGGACTTACTAACCATGCTTGCCGTTGATCTTTCCAGCCATGGTGCAAAGCTCCCGCTCGAGTTCCTGATATTCTTTGACGTCTTCGCGGCTAGGAACGGCGACTTGAATGAGGACAATCTTGTTTTGCAGCTCAGGATGATCATCAAGGAATGTATCGAAGCCCTTGAGCTTCTGGGTCAGGCCTTTGATATGATCAAGTCTGTCGACTCCAACTATGATCTTGACGCCTTTGCAGCGTTCTTTCAGGTTGCGAATACGATCCTGAACCTCGGGTTTCTGCAGAGTGTCGGTGAATTTCTGCGGGTCGATACCGACAATGAACTTATTCGTGCAGACAAGGCGGTTTTTATACTGTATTTGATTTGGGATCTCAGTACGTGCACCGCTGACGGGCAATAAGTATATGGCCGCACAACTTTGAGGTGGATAAATTAGGAGTTAACACTTACAGAAGGCTTGCACAGGTATCCATAAAGTTCTGTTTATACTCATCCGTGTGGAACCCGATAAGGTCGCTGGATAGCAAACCTTCGATAAGGTGCTTTCGAACGGGAAGATTTCTCCAAAAGTCACCCGCAGGAAACGGCGTGTGCAGGGAGAACCCAATTGCACAAGCCTTGCCTTGCTCTTTGAGGCGGTGGCGGAGAAGCTCCGGCAATAGCATGAGATGATAATCGTGGACCCATATCAATGATCCAGTCTCCGCCGTATCAACAATGGCGTCTGCGAACAGTTCGTTTACACGTCTATATGCTTGCCATGGAGTATCGTCGAAGGTAACGCCAGACTGGTAGTGGAGAATGGGCCAAAGAATTCGGTCTTAAGATCAGGATTGGTTGATGAATTAGGGCACGGTATTTACTCACTTGAGAATCCATTATAGTGCTCATGCGCCAAAGTACTATCCAGGAATACCGGAATCGCATTGTGTGCTTCCAGACTCTTGCATACTTCCTCTCTATCACCTGGATCCCTGACTTCGATTCCCGGCCAACCAAACCACTGGAACTTGGTGGACTTGGTCAGTCCGGAAAGAGAAGTAACAAGACCGCCACTTGACAAGGATGATTGAAACCCGCCATCGGATCGCTTCACTGACAAAGGCAGTCGGTTGGAAACGATGATGAGGTTTTGCTTGCCATTCGTATTTTGACCCATTCTGATCTCTAACCAGGTTTATATATGTTTGACAACAAGGATCATTAATTTGGAAAAACATGCAGTTTTTTTTGGCTCTGCTGAAAGCGCATAAGCTTCTTTATATATGACAAAGAGGTGGATAACTGCTGACAGTCACATCTTGCCCCAGAAATGGCAAATGGCGGATTTACGTCAGAATGAATACGACTGTTCCTCTTTGCGCTATATGCCCTTGATTTTGGGCGATATCAATTCGAAGTTCAAGAATTTTGGGACCCCCCTGGGCATGTATTTGAGATACAAAAGTGCGGAATTCGATGTAGGGTGCCAGTTGTACCTAGTATCGATATATATTGGAGCTTAGTGTGCACTTACGTGGAACTTGAATTGATCACCTACTTATGATATTTCATCGTTGCGAGATTTGCAGAATATCGACAAAAGGCCCAAGTTTTTGGAAAATTATGCTTTATTTTTGTCTCTATTTTATTCACATTTAGTGTTCGATGTAGATTTGTGCTCATGTTCGTCGCATTTCGTCATGGCCATGTCAGGGCTAAACAGCCGGCGCCTGGACCTTTTCCTCCAATTTGCCTCTCTTGTTTTGGAGTAGTTTCACAACAATGAAACAGCTCAATCCGGCTGCATATGCGCATCCAGCAAACGAAATCAATCCCCAGTACGCGCCCTCGCAGCGATGGATAATCTCTCCGGCAATAGGGACGCCAGTCAATGCCCTAATACGATAGATTAGACAAGGTTCCTCGAACGCTAGAATATAGTTTCCAATAAAAGGTGCACTTACCCAAAGCTGACAATGGTATACACAGTCGTATAGTACCGTCCATAGTTTTCAACAGGGCATAATTCTCCCACACAGACAGGAACAAGGCTGATATTACTGCCACTAGCAAATCCAAATACAACAGAGAATATAATCACAGCAACCATGTTCCCATTTGCAGGCATCCAAATGCCTAATACAGAGATCAGACAAAGGATGTTTGTCAATATCAACGTGTTGAATCGACCAATTCGATCGGCGATGATGCCCGGAAGCCATCGACCAGGGAAAGAGCCTGCATTCAAAAAGACAACCATCAAATACGACATGCGGGGAGAAACTCCGCTCGCAATTGAGTACGAAGCTATGTATTCAAGAGGAATAAAGAAGCCCCATTCAATGAAAAACACGCCAATGGTCGTCAGTGCAAGAACAGGATCTTTAAGAATAGTCAGATCGGGTAGGAACACCTTGAGAGATGGTCGCTCCGGGATCTTAGATGGGAGGTTCGCTCGCACGAGAACCAATCCAGGTATCAAGAGGATGAGAGTGATCAGGCCAACGACACGACTTGCCCAGGCAAATCCAATCTCAGGAGCGAGGTACTCCAAAACCAGAGGGAAGATCACGCCGCCGATACTACCACCCGCCAAGGCGAGACCTGTAGCCGCGCCGCGGCGCTTGAAGAAGAAATGGCCGATGCTGGCGACGGGAACGATGAATATAAAAGATGTTCCCATTCCGCCTAGGATCCCTATGACGATCAGGAAATGCCAGTATTCCTGACAAAAGCCCATGAGAATAAACGTCAGGACTAACAGGCTTGATCCTATCCACATCAGTAGCCTGGGACCTTTGATATCGAAGATGGGACCGATTTGGATACCGCAGAAGAAGACGAGAAAGTTGTAGATTCCGAAGATCCACCCGATCTGACCTTCGCTGATGTGTGAGAGTTGGTGTGTTGAGATCCACGCCTGATAGATCCCGATGCTGTTCATCAGACCGAGTCCGCCCATTATGGCGCTGAAACTGCCTGCTACCACGAGGTTGCCGATGAGGCCCCCTTCCGGGCAAGAGGCTGAGTCAATCTTCGGTTCGACGTGCATTATAGGCTATGGAGAGGAGAAAAGAGATTCTTTATTGAAGCCTTCTATGCAAAGAAATATACGGATGCTCAGCGTCTTTTAACTACTCCATGGTGGATAATCTAAATTTTCATCTGTAAGACTTTTCCCAGCTCGGCCATTTCATACTTCCACATGGATGCATGCCGTCTGACAGCGGGACTGGTAAATCGCCGAGGATAATGAGGACATCGGGAACGGGTTCCTCTCCTCGGACCTTGTTGCATCAATTAAGGGACCAGCGAATGAAAGCAGTGGGAAGATTATCTGATGAAGACACCGGAATCAGTCATACTTCGGGTGGCTCCGTGGCAAAGTCGATCCTATGGGTCGCAGCCGCCGATGGCCGAGCTCGGCCACCGGCCAACGTTGGCCGAATCGGCATCGGCGAAGTAGCATGTAGCATGAAACAGGAAGGCTATCGAGTAGAATGCATGTGAGTTTGCCCAATTTCCTCACATGAGGTCAATGGAAAGTACGAGCAAGAGTTTGCTATGGATTATTCAAACCCGACTTCGCCGACGGCCAAACGTCATTGCGGCAGACCCACAAGCTCTCTCGATATCTTGGTTTGGAGACTACGAAAACAAAATGTTGCATGCTTGGCAGGCCATGCATGATACGCGAGAATGTGAGTTGAGAAAAGAAACCTTCATAGAGATCGATGCCAGGAAGACCCAACAATGGGAGATAGAAAGACATAATAAAGAAACGTATAGCCATCGGGGATAAATCAGTCCAAGACAAATACAAGAAAGAAAAACACCATGACAATGGTATAAGATAATAGAAATAGTACCAGACCAATTCAAATTGGCAATCCTAACCCCGACTTTCCCCGTATATGCTGCCAAACCCCGTTGCAAAAGAAAGACGCCGACCACACTCATATGCCGATTCCAATGGCACACTCTTCAGGCAAACCGGCGCTTGGTTGGGCTTGGTGTGCGGAGGTGCTGTTCACGCTCACGACTGCGCTCGGTTACAAACTCCATTGACCTTGAGTTCTCGAGCAACAGAGGCTGATCTGGCTTCTCGTCGTAGCCTTGGTTCTGCCGATGGTCTTGTTGTCCATAGTACCCGAAAGCGGGGTTTTGTTGCAGCTGAGGATGCATGGGTTGGGGTGGGGGTTGTTGAGCGTAGTGCTGCTGTTGGAGACGATGTCTGAATGAGCGGAATGACCAGTTACTGACGACTGTGACGGTGGAGATAGTTGCAAGAAAGCATAGCTAGATAATGGATTAGCATAAGAGCGCAGAAGAAATTCAAGGATAAAATTACAATTGCTTTCCAGCTGATGGGATCAATGAAGCTGTTGATGATGATGGCCATGGTATGCGCGGACACCTTGGCCCGGCCGACCTTCGCCGGGTCGCGATTCATGCAGCGCTCCCAGTTCTCGCAGATCGTTTCCAGGGCCGGTGCGCGGGTCGGTCGCCCGCAGTCGTTGTCCAGGTAGCTCTTCGTGCAGACGGCCATGTCCGCCAAGATGGTATCGGACATTTCCTGCGCGGCTTGCTCGAACTCGCCGCGAATCGCCGAGACAAACCCGAAAACAATGTACACCGCGAGAGAGAAGAGAGCCAGATTGACGACCAGCTGGGCCCACCATGATAGGATGGCGGGGACATTCGGGTGTGCTTCGAGCATGCTGAAGAATTCAGACCACGTTGATACGCGCGAGCTCTTCTCGGTCGGTTGATTGCCTTGTTTCGTCAATTTCGTCGACTGCTCCTCCCTGCTCCTGGGTCGGTCGTCCTCGCTCTCGTCGTCGCTGTCGACTTTTATCCTTCGCCCGAGTTCCCTATCTCTGCGTCGCTTCTTCTGTATGCGGTTGACGGCTGCGTTGGAGTGGTGGGTCAATCGGGGGATTTGCCCTCGCCCTGGACTTTGCGGTGCCTTGCTGAAGTTGAACATCGATCCAATTCCCTTCCCTGCCCTTGACGGCTGCTCGGGTGTATCCTCGTTGTCTGCGTACTCCGGTGATGACATATTCTCTGCTCCTGAAGAGAAATCCACGTCGAATTTCCGCGGTGTCATGAAGGAAGCTTGTCCAAACTTGGCTTTCGGCGATGGTGGTACGGGTTGTTTATTGGGTTGAGAGAAGAAGAAAGGTTGTGAGTTTGGTTGACGAAGAGATGGTAAAGACTGTTTTTGGGGGGAATCGAATGTGCTATGTGTTCCTGGCCGAGTATTAGCAAAATTGACTTGAAATGAAGGTCCTTGGGATGCCAACGTTTCTTGTCATGTTGTGCGCCGAGCTGCCAGAAGGGCGAACTGGCATCGCCGGCAGGTCTTGTCTCCCATTCAAATTCCATGGGACTTTCTCCCGTACGCTTGTCCATAGTTGCGACCAGAGTATATGTAGTGGGTGATGGTGAAGTTCAAACGGGAAGTTTTTTGTTTGGGGTAGGTAAACAACACCCGTAGCAACCTTGGCACTCTTTATCTCCGCCTAAGCCCTATCGGCTCTGGATGCATTGACCAAATTTCATCAATCCGGAGATCGTGCTGTTCTCAATTGTAATTTTGTCCAATTGCGCTTAGCTATTTGAGAAGAGTATTCGATAAATTGTATGCTCGGTGCTGAACAACTACCAAATTACCGTACACAAGTACCAACTATAAAATACAATATCACAATAGGATGATTCAATGCAAGAGGCGTCCAGCACCCAGAGATTAAATATGTCGTAGGAAAGTCTACTCATCCATCTGCCACTGATAATCCAAAGCCTCAAATCGACTCTTCTTATTCCTGGCCGCAAACCAATCCTTCTCGAACCCATTCGCTCGATCCACCCCATCCCACCGATGCCCAGGCCGAATCCCATACCTATTAGGCTGGAACGCGCCCCGATACAAAGGCTTTCCGGAAACACTAGCGCCCGCAGCTTTGCGCTCTGTCAAAAACTGCGCAGCGGGATCATTCCATCGATCCTGCGCCCTCATCTCGTCATTCATGATATCGTCATCAATTGTCCGCCCCAGAGGTATCGCTTTGACGTCTTGCAGTTCTTTTTTGCGGTCGGCGCGCTGCTGCCGCTGCACATCGCCCATCAGCGCCTCGCGCGCTTGTTCTTCTTTTTCGCGCTTTTCTTCTTCGGCCCGGCGTGCTTCTGCGCGTTTCATCGCTACATTGATGATTCGGCCCGAGGCGTCTCGGTAGATTGTTTCTTGAGCTTTTTCATTGGTGGAGGATGGGTCGCGGTACAGGGCTTCTTCGGCTTTCCGGCGCTTTTCTTGAGCTTTTACCATTGCCGCGGTTTGGGCGGCTGTTTGGAGACCACCGCGTGCGCCGGATTCCATTCGCCCTGCTCCATCATCTTCGTCGATTGTTGGGGCATCGTCGCCTTCTGCTTCTTGTTCGGCGACGCGTTCGGCTGCTGCTGAGGCGAGAATTGCATCGGCGGCGTCTTGTTCGGTTCCTTGGCCCGGCGCTGGTGCTCCGATGGTCTTCCAGCTTGATTTTTTCGCTCTGCGGAACTCGGCGCTTTGCGCAGAGGTGTCAACATATGGGCGGTCCTCATCATCTTGCTGTCGATTTCCTAATGAGGCGCGAATGTCTGGTGGGTCATCGTCGGCAATAATGAGACCGGAGCCTGAAGTGTCGACGGCTTTTGTCTTCTTGCGCTTCTTCTTCGGCCGCTCAGAAGCTGGGTCGGCAGTGAGGTAGTTTTTTGCTAGGTAATCGGCGAGCGAGCCTGGCATGATTTCGGTAGGCTGTTTGTGACGAGTGTCGAGTGCAGGTTGAGAGCTCGGTGATTTATCGATTGATAGTCGGAAGAACCTTTCCCCGAACTGTATGCCGACTAGCGCCCATGATTATCAATGTTGATATTTCGAGTTTGGAAGCTTCAATTAGATTGAGCGAATTTTAAGGTGAATCGTGGAGATATTTACTGACATCCCGTGTTAAATTTCCCTTTTTACTGCAAGCACAGAATGCCACACTCTGAGGAAGCAGAGTGGTGGGCCAATGCAGTCTACTCGGCCGTCCAAGAGATCCCCGCAGGCAAAGTGACATCCTACGGCCACATTGCACTGCTACTGGGTGAACGTATGGTAATGTTCTCTTCTTTATTGTAGACAAACTGACTCTGTTGGTTGGGTAGCCCAACGACCTCGACAGGTTGGTGTCTGTCTGAAGGTTCTCGCACCGGCCGAATCTGGTGCGCATTTCAACTCTGATACTGTGCCTTGGCAAAGAGTTATTAACTCCAAAGGAATGATATCGCACCGGTATGTCTCTATGGGAGCGTTGTCTTGGATTTTGTCTTTGTGTTCTGCACAAATATCTGCTTGATCAAAACTCTTGACTGACTTCCATGGCAGTGGACCCGGTAGCGCGCAGCGTCAAGCGGAAGGTCTTGAGGCAGAAGGCGTTGAGGTAACGACCGACAGCATGGGCGACATACACGTCGACCTGTCGCGATACGGGTGGTTCCCCAGCCGCCTTCCGAGCGAGGGAGCGGACGAGGAATGAGACCGAATAATATATGCTTTTCAATATTATTCTAGGTCATATCAATATACAATGAGTAGGTAATACAATGAATCAATGCAATCAGTGCATAAACTGCAATGACAGCATAATCAATTCATACACCACATACACCTAGTCTGTCTGGTAGAGTCTAAGGAGATGACTTCAACGACACTCGAGGAAAAGAAAAAGTAGTCCCATCAAGCCAATAAGAAATCCGATCAGAGTCTATGAAGGGAACCAAAAATCCAGGGCAAAAGGCGAGACAAGCATACGAGACTCGAAAAAACACCCCCAACTACCAAGAGACAAAAGAAGGAGAAAAGAAAAGACATAGAGCCGACCAGCAAGCATCCGCAAATGGAGAAGAAAAAAGGAAGAAGATCGTTAACTCACATCATCGCCATAAGGGCATGTCCGCAATAAAACCCAGCGAAAAACAAAACTAGGCTAACAAATGCGTTCATCGCTTCTTGACCTCAGTCGACCAGCCCTCGATGCCCTCGCCGCGCGTGCCAGGCTTAATCCCCAGATCAATACCCTCCATTCCAGGTGTATCCTTCATCCACTCGTGCGCGGCCATGCCGCCTGCGTTCGCGCGTTTCTCGGGTGACAGGTCTAGCATCGGGAGGAGAAGTTCGGCGATGCGCAACGCTTCTTCCATTGAATAGTGGTATTTTTCTCGTAGAACGTCTGGGAGAGCCCAGTGGCGTAGGCGGTGGATGTTGCGGAGCTCGCCTTTGCGGTTGAAGATCTCATTCGACCATTTGCCGTTCAAACTGACGGTTTTGGGGAATGGTCCTAGGAGCTCGATTATCTGGGCGATATGATCGTCGTCTTTGCCGTACTTTGTTCCTGATTGCGGGTCGAAGAGGTAGTCGCCTGTGATGAGCTCGAAGACCTGGATTTGTCAGGTTGGGATCGGTTGTCCGGGCATGTTGTGGGAGATGCTTACCATGCAGGCCATGCTCCATACGTCCGTGCTGGCTCCCCACTTTGACCCCAGAATGACTTCTGGTGAGCGGTATTGACGCGTTTGGATATCGTTTGTGAAGTGGTGGCCAACCCAGCAGGCATTGCCCAAATCCGCAATCTTGACGGAGATGATGTTGGCGTCGATTTCTTCTTCGACAGACTTGGTAGAGCCTTTGTCGAGAGAAATTCCAGATACCTCTCGCTCGAGAAGATCGCTATAGTCATGTTAGCTGGGTAATATCGCGACTGTTTCAGGGTCACGTACGCTGTCCTCTCTCGTTGATTCTGCTTCTCATCTTCCTCTTTCACGCCGAGCAAATCTTTCATAGAGGGAGCTTCAGTACTTGCTAGATGTATGTTAGTCCACTTAAGTTCCACGCAAGTTCCTGAATGCCATCCAAGGGAACTGACCTGAAGATTCATTGACCATCTGGTTGAGACTACTGTGTGAGTTAGGAGAAGTGTGTTTGCTGTCGAAGCTGAAGGTGGCATTGAGCGGACTGGGGAGTGGCTGGCTGCCTGTGATCAACGTGCGCCGACGTCTTCTCCCATTCCGGTTATCCTCTTTAGCCTCTTTCTTGGCCTCTTCCTGCACATGCGCCTTGACAATCTGCTCCACGTCACCGATCTCGATCAACACATTCTCGGGCTTCAGATCGGTGTGGATAATCCCGCACTCGCGATGCAGATAATCCAAGCCTAGCAATACTTGCTTTGTAATTTGCTTGACTAGCGGCATGGGAATACCCCGGTGGTTCCAGCGCTTGATCAGACCCAGAAGGTTCTCACCCAGGACTTCAAACACCATGCAGACATGGACACCATTGGGTCCCTTATGCTCGAATGAATCCAATAAACTGACGACGTGCTTTCGACCCGGGTGGGAGGGTTTGGCTTGGACGATTTTGCTGAGCAGTTTGATTTCGTCGATTGCAGTTTCCGTATAGTGGGCGGCCGATCGGACCACCTTCAGCGCAACGTGTTTACCGGTCGTGGTATCGCGCGATAACCAGACTGTCGAGAAGTGACCCCAACCCAGCTTGCGCACGATGACATAGCGATCGTTGTTGTATTTTTCGCCGACCGCGACCGGATGATATCCACCCTTGCAGTAATCTTCAGAGTCCTCTTCTTCCGCAGTGGCTTCAAGTTCTTCGCCGGATGATGAGGATGAGGATCGCGACGTCGATAGTTGGGGAGCAGCACCAGTTCTGTTCAATGAGTTAGTGGTGGGGGGCTCCAAGAAATTCAAAACACAGCACAAACATACGATTCCGTTGGAGTTCCTTCATTTGTGAGAATCGGCTTCAAGTCGGTACCCTTTCTCCTTTTCTTGCCACCATTGCCATTGGCAGCTGTTGCCGCGACGTTCGCCATTTGTTTGCCCTTGTTGAGCATCGCCTTTGTAAGATCGACTCCCTCCATGATGTGGAGATTTGGGAGGTCAAGCTGAGAGGGCGGGGCACACGGGCTTTTTGGTTGGCCCAGCGAAACTTAACAGGCGGTGGATTGAGGGGTGCAAGTTATTTTTTCTTCTTCTTCTTTTTCGTGTTCTTCTTTCAAAAAAAGATATCAACGAAAAAATTTCGATTTGAATGAGATGGGTTTAATAAAAATGAATCAATAGAAAGGGTAGAAATAATCGACTCGAAGAAAAAAGAGGCGGAAAAAATAGGCCAAGGCACCAGACAGAAAGTCCAGAGCGCCGATCTGATTGCAAAACCCACAAGAATTATAATCTGTAGATATCCAAATGGTTGGTGCTTTTGATTTCCAACAGAATCAAGTGAAAAAGAACCTTGGAAGGGAAAAAAAGAGATGAATTGTTATCGATGTTGCGGTAGTATTCCGCAAGCAGCCAGTGGCAAATCTTCGCTGCATCGAGGCACTAAATAAACATCACTTGATGCTCCATGATATATCTTCCCATGCATAATGGGTTGTACGTATAGATGTAGAAGTATACAAGAGAGAAGACCAAAAGAACATTTGAAACAAGTTGCTGATTTGTGAAAAAGGTCACCCGTACTTCAAGAAACACTGCCAACCCCAACAAGTCGGAGGTATAAGTAACCAACATGCAGCCTTGGAATATGTTAACGCTGATTAGTTTTTGATAATTAATTTCTTTAATTTGTTGAACTACTCGTAAGTATCATTTCTTCTTTCTTAACATAGATATATAATACTTCCAAGGTTTGAATAAATACATATGTGTACAATATACCTACATTGTAGGTATGAATATACTAGTACCACATGCCAATCCCCGCTTTTAAAGCTCCGGTGGATTCTTTAGCCTCTTCTCTCTTTGGACTTTCGGGATTCTGGCCTCTCTGGACTTGGTTCTTTCTGGTCACTCTACAACCATGGCTAGTCCATTTCATCGCCGTCCAATTCCTGACTACTTCATTGCTTCTCCCCTGGTAGCTCTTCTTTACCCGGTTCACCAAATACTTCTCCGTTTGCGTGGACCTCCCCGACTCCCTCCGCCAGATGTCCAACCAATCCGGGTAGTCTGCATATCCGACACCCACACCCTCGAATGGCCAGAAGTGCCAGATGGAGACCTCCTCATCCACGCTGGTGACCTATGCAATGATGGCTCTGTCCGCGAGATCCAAGCTACAGTCGATTGGCTCCGAAGTCTCCCCCATCCTCACAAGATAGCCATCGGCGGAAATCACGATAGCTACTTCGACCTGCGATCACGTCTAGACGAAGACCGCGATGACCCATCCTCTTCCCCCTCGTTCGCCGCAGTCTCCTCAACAGCCTCAATCCACTCCCTCGATCTCTCCTCCCGTATCGACTGGGGTGATATCCACTACCTCCAACACTCGGCAATCACCCTCTCCTTCAAAAATACCTCGGTCCCGTCCCAAACAACACCCCTCACAAGTTCCCACTCCAGAGCTCTCACCATCTACGGTGCCCCCCAAATTCCAGCCATCGTCCCCTTCGGCCCAGAACACGCCTTCACCTACCCGCCTCACCACGATGCTTGGTCTGGCACCATCCCCCAAGAAACAGACATCCTAGTCACCCACACCCCACCCCAATCCCACCTCGACCTCTCCCCCATCTTCTCAATCGGCTGTCCAAATCTTCTCGCCGAGTCATGGCGCGTCCGTCCAGCCCTCCACGTCTTCGGCCACGTCCACGAATCCGCAGGCCAAGAACCTGTTTTCTGGGACGAGGCCCAGCGCGCCTGGGAGAGGCTGTGTGCTTCGCGTCGGTGTCGTGCGCGATTGACCCGTCTTGCGTCGTTGGCGGGCTTCCTCCGTGATCTGTTTGATCTGACCGCGTGGGTGGATGCCGCGCGGGTTATTGGATACGGTATCCTAGGGGTGATCTGGGCGCATGTTTGGGGCGGTGAGAATCGTGGCGGTGGGTGGATGGTTAATGCTGCTTGTATGTATCGTGACAGTGGGCGTTTGGGGAACCCGCCTAGGGTTTTTAATCTGTAATTATTTTGCATAGGTTGCCTTGGTGATCTATTATTTGGGCCGCTTTTGTGGTGATTGTATCTAGCAGCTGAGCGGTATACCCATGCTATTCGAGTGGCCTTCCGGGTCTCATTTTGTCTTGTTGGATTGGAGTAACACGTGTTAGTTAAAAATGTACATTTTGCAGGAATACAGAAGAATTTACAATTGGACACGATACATATGCACATCTCTCTAGAGCTTCTGGCTGTACTAATATATATGTAGGTATATCATGTTACGGTTTCCATCAAAAGATAAAGCGAGGTGTGTTCTAATCGGGCCAGCCCTTGGATGGGAACAATCTCTCATGACGAATTGAAAGCAACATTAACCACATACTCCGTATAGGTCCATCAAAATATATCAGCCACATATTTCACACGTTTGCAATCGCCTTCCAAGGTTTGGACAGGAATCGCCGCCCCAGGGTACATCCATAAAGTGCATTAGACTAGATACTACTTGGAAGCCCTGGAGATATATTGTAAAGTAGATGAATTCAAAGCAATGTTGGAATGGTCAGATATTTAAGTTAACTAAACAGATGCCGCATTCAGTAGCAAGGATATGTAACCCTTATAGATAACTATATTTCACTCATAGTACCAACCTAATGATTCTTGCAATGCCCAGCAGCCAACTCTCTCAACAAATGCTTCTGATGCTTTCCACTACCCGTCTTGGGAAAATCAAGACAAACCCCATCAGGCCCAACCCAAAAGATAACCTGCGGAGTTCGAGACCACCCCATGGTGGGCATTACCCAGTCTTGAATTTCCTGCAGCCCAGGCCTGCAGATGGATCCCTCTGAAGCCTTCAAAAAACAGCCTACCACCTCACCATATTTGGGGTCTGGCGTTCCCACCACACACACTTCTGCAATTGAGGGGTGAGCGAGTAGTCGCTCTTCGATTTCGACAGGGAAGATATTTTCACCACCTACTTTCTCAGTCACTCGCTTTCCGCATTCCAGGATATAAGACGAAACATACCACGAATAATAATATCTTTGATCCGGCCCGTGATGCGGCAGTATCCACGGTCATCGATCATCCCTTCATCACCGGTATGCATCCACACAACCCCATTCTCATCCTTCTTCATAACCTCATTGGTCCTTTCCTCATCATCCAAGTACCCCTTCTGCAAAGCATACCCAGACGAACAAAGCTCACCTCTCTCCCCGATGTCCAGCACCCGACCCATCTTATCAACCACCTTTGCTGCTGTATGGGGCATGACCCGACCAACAGTCGCAACCCGCATCTCGACGGGATCCTCAAAGGTCGACATAAACGTCACAGGACTCGTCTCCGTCATGCCGTACGCGATTAACACTGTCTCAATGCCCATCTGCTCTTTCAGTTTGGTCATTAGGGCTAGTGGAACTGTGGAGCCTGCGGCTAGGCCTTTGCGTAGTGTGTTGATTGCGTATTTCTGGGTTTGATTGGCCTCGAGCTCGGCGATGAACATTGTTGGTACACCGTAGATAGTTGTGCACTTTTCAGAGACAATGGAGTCCAGCACGAGCTTCGCGTCGAAGTGGTCGGAGGGGAAGACAATTGTGCAGCCGTGGATCAGGGACGCCAGAAATCCCATTACTAGGCCGAAGCAGTGGAATAGAGGTGGGGGACAGCAGATTATGTCTTCTGGTGACAGTTGGAGGTTTTCGCCCACGAAGCGTGCGTTGTTGAGGATGTTACTGTAGTTCGATGTGAGTTGTGGTGGGAAATATCGCGAGGTATATTATTGGGACTTACATGTGTGTTAGCATTGACGCTTTTGCCGCGCCGGTTGTGCCTGCTCAGGGTCAGCAGAGAAGGGGAAGCGGCACAAAAATGAGTCCTACTTACCAGATGTAAACTGTAGGCTGGCAATATCTGAAGGTTGGACCGAGTTCATGGCCGCATCGTATAAACCACCTGAACAGACAGCCGAGGAGAGAAAGCCCTCATAATCCTCGTTTAGCATGGGCTCTTGAACAAAAGAACCGTCGCCGAGAGTAATGACGCGATCCAGGTCTGATAGGGAAGAGCGGTTGGTCGTCGAGTTCAACAACCTGAAGTGCTCATCCATACTACGGCATCCGATGTTGGAAGCAAGAAACAAGACACGACATTCTAGATCATGCCACTCCAGTTAACCCAAAGTCGTTAAGTAGCTGTCTTGTTTCAGGTCCACCTACTTGTCTTCTCCAATGCATTGTATAGCTCCCAGGGTTTGTATGTGGTATGGAGTACCAGAACTGAGCACCCAATTAAAGCCCCTCCAATGACGACTTCAAGATATTCAAATCGATTTCCAGCCAAAATAGCAACACAGTCCGAAGGCTGTACCCCAGAGCAGAGTAAAGCCCTTGCTACCAATTTGCCCCGCTCTGCAAGTCGAGAATAAGAGAGTCGAACACCCTGCCATGGAAAAACAGCAATATCCTTGGAGCCAAACTTGGCTGCTTGATTATTGACGACATCGGCCAAAGTAGTTGTAAGCCAAAGCAGCGAATCGACAGACCCTTTTACAAGCGCACGGCGAGATTCCATATCCATATAGAAAGTGTTCTGAAATTATTGCTAATCTAAGAAGTCGAGTACGGCTCTATACAATATCCAGTGGGTGGGAACCTTGTGCGGTCTAATGGGCTTACTCACTTGGCGAGTACGTGGCAGCTGAATGGACATGGAAAGCACCGGATTGGAGAAATAAACCCAAAAAAACTAAAAAAAAATATAGGCACGGGTCTTCATCGGAGTCTCCGTTAAGCAAGGGCTGGAATCATGCATTTCGCTCATGCAGCGCCCGCGCTAACGATACTAGGTTAGATGGCGCATCGTCTTGTCCCACGCAGAGCTCGATTAGCTGCATACTATTAATTCCAGGCTTTGCACATAAAAATGGATGTCTGTGATGAAGTGGCTTACCTGTAATGCTGAATAGTCGGTGAAGCTTTCACGACGCCACAGAGCTTCGAGCTGCTTGGTTGTTTCGACGCGGTGAGTTTCGTAGCTGCCTGGCGCCGCACCAAAGACTGCAGGAAGAAGTCGATGGTTCCATGGCTGGATGTCATTGTACGGCTGATTTTCCCCATGTATCAATCGCTCCACGGTGTAGCCGTTGTTGCATATGATGAAGCTTAAAAAAAGAAATCAGCAGCCCGATGTGTAATCTTGGGTGCGAAATTGATTGTTACTCACATCATAGGTCTCAGACAATTGCGAATAATAGTACTTAGTTCTTGGCATCCACACTGGAAGCTGCCATCTCCAATGAAGAGAATTGTTCGTCTGTGCTTGTTGTCGGAATCCCGAGCTGCCAGCGCGGCTCCTTGACATGCGCCTATAGTGTACCCAATGCTGGACCATAGGTACTGGGCAATGAATATAGCGTCATGGGGAAGGGTCGTATTCCATATCCCAAAACTTGATGTCCCTGTTTCTGTAAGAACAATATCTCCTCGCTTCAGCCATTTCCCAAGATTCATCCAAAACCAGTCGTGTGTAATAGGGCTTTGCTTTTCGGTCATAATTTCGGACGACCGTGAAGGATTGGGCCACAGATTATTGAGAAAAGCGGAAAATTCCCGAAAGCATGACAAGAGTGGATATCCAGATTTATATCCGGCTATGCTTTTCGCAGAAAATTGCTTTTCGCTCGTGTTGGTATCAACGCTGGTGAGACACTGGCGCTGATGGCTGATATCAACACAAACAATTTTCTTCGCTGTAGAGGTGTTCGCTCGCAATGAACCTTTACCAATCGAAAGGGTTAATGCGCTTAAGACATTGCTCGCATAGACTCCTTCAAACGGTTGGCCCTTTACCGTGGTCCTTGTTCTCTGAATCTCAATCAATCTCGTATGATCAACGATCCCACTGAAACCGGATGTGCTAAGATCCGATTGAATATTGCCGACGCAGATAACTAGATCAACTGTTTTCATGACATTAAGAACATGCGAAGTCGAACATGAGCCGACATACAGCCCAGCAAAGTGTGGAAGGCTCGCATCGACAATCCCTAGACCCGAGGCTGCGACAAGTACAGGAACTTCAAGATGATGCAGAAACTCGTCTAATTGCTGTTTTGGGCCATGGAGAATTCCGTATCCTCCGACTAGTATTGCAGGATTGGTAGCCTGTTGTATTTCGTCGACCATTGCGTCTACCACGCGTCGGTGCTCAACCATGTCGTCCTGGGGCATTGTCCGATCCAGGACAGGTTGTTCGTTTAATAAATGATGTGGGATTGGCACAAGAGCCATGTCGCACGGAATGAACATAGTCACGGGACGACTTTGAATCCAACATGTCTTGATTGCTTCGTTGATTAACGATGGTGCTGTTTGTGCATTGTCGATGTTAACAGTCATACAAGAGACTTTGCGACTCATTTCTTCAAAGACAGTGAAATCACCATCGCCCAAAGAATGGTGCACGCAGAGTCTATTCTTTTGTGCTTGTGTGCTTGGCTTAGCAACAATGTGAACAATAGGCACATATTCGGCATATGCGCCTGCTATAGCATTCAATGCGGATAGCTCTCCAACGCCTATGACTGTCATCAATGCTGACATCCCGTTGACGCGTGCATACCCATCTGCGGCATAGCCTGAATCATTCAATCGACATAGTCAGTAAATACGCAGTAGATCTCCAGGCATCACGGAATCAGCGATCAAGGTCATACCAGCATTGAGTTCATTGCAGTTCCCAACCCATCCCAGGCCGCACTTTCCCACATAATCGAGAGCTACCAAGTTGAAATCACCTGATTTCTTAAGGTCAGTCTTATTGGTATAGTGTTGTTTCTTCAGAGTCCTGTTTCTTACCAGGGACCCCGTGCATAGACTTGATGCCGATTGCCTTGATTTGAATACACAGGTACTCGAAAAGATCAATAGTTTGAGAGTTATCAGATTCTATCATCCTGAGGAATTGTGTAATCATATATTCTCTAGTATCTCTCACGGCCAAGTAGACCTTTTATTACTATTTATGTACGCAAAGTGAAGGTACAGCTTACATCCAAGTGGTAGACCCACAGCGGTCAATTTGATCGCTTGGTTCTGCATTCTAGATTTCCAGGCCTTCTTCGACGATGGGAAATAAATCTCTTCCAACGCAACACGTATCTCAGTTGGCGATGCCACTACCCAGCGTCATCTCGCAAATTGCGGTAAATCTCAAAACTCAATGTTTTCCACCGTGAGCTTCTCCCTTACTTTCTTGGTCGCATCTAAGTCGCACGAAGGCGCCAGATCATGCATGATGGATCTCCTCGGCATTCATGGCATTGGTGGCTGATCAGCTACGCCACCGGATAAGACGAGAGAAAAAGCGGCAATATGGCCCGACTCAATCCGGAGCTGAGCGCGTCGGGGTCGGTCTACGACTGAAACAGAGTTCAAACACGAAGATACCCATGAATTATTTTTAAGTGCGATATCCAATTTGGGGTTCTCAAGCCTATCCTGATGGGCCTTTTGCACTCATTCACGGAGATATTTAAAGCGATGTTCGTACGGTTTAGTATAGCCGAACGGCAAATTAGCCATAACGCTGGGTGGAGAAGGTTTTAAAACCATTTACATCTACCACAACATTTGGTGAGTAAGTTCTGACGAGAAATATTGCCGACAAGAGAGGTAATCTGGGAATTACGGTTGATAGGATTTCTATATGGTGTTTAGGAAGTCTAGAAACGGCTGATTTCGGAAGTTTTGTAATGTCACGATATTAGGGGAATTTAGCCGCTAACTATGTATTCAAACGGAAAATTTAAGAAAGTTCAAAAAGAGCCGGCAAGATACGGAAATGAAAACGAATGGATATTACTGAGAGCATGCGTTGCTATGACATGTCGCTAGACTTTTAGAATGGGATGAATGTATTGTCTCTTGCAACCCTATATATCCGTGGATTGAGTCAAATTTCGTCGTTCAATTGAAACCTTGAGCCCGTATGATGGCCCTGTTGATCACCTTAGCCGCAGAAATGACATTTTCAGCAGACATAGGGACTTCGTGGCCCCTGTCATGAATAAACACAGATCTAGTTTCCTCATTGCATGCCTGCATCGCCAGTTGAGCATTTTCCTTGTCTGGGTCGCTGATTCCCCAAATATGAGCTGTGGGTATATCAAGAAGTCCATCAATAGCGACAGGATCAAAAGGGACTATAGATTTTGCAATCTGGTCACTATAATCCAGGAGCCGACCGGCATTGGAGAAGAAAATCCCGACTTTGAAAGGAAGCTCCACAGACTTGTCACGTTTTCTCTCCCAGGCTTTGTTGATCATCCATGACAATACGAATGTTGCCCCCAAACTAAACCCTATAACGCCGTCGTAGGGCCCCTCGACTTCCAAATAACGGTCAAGATGATGGACAGCGGTCAAGCAGGTCTCTGGTTGGGTTGGATTGCAATAAGCAAATGTTTCCTCCTCGGAACGCATGAACTCTTTTAGAGCTATTCTCTTGTTAGATTCCTCACATATACAATTATAGTGTTAGTCAAACCTTTGTCCATTTCCCATGGTAATGTTCCATCAACGAAGTCATAGCTGTGGCCATCACCAAGCTCATATCGAATTGCGGCTTCAAAAATATGTTAGCAATGTCTGAATTTGTTGATGAAAGGGTCTACCAACCGGTTTGCTGTTTAAATGTCTGTATTCACAGACCGCTCATAGTCAGAGCTTTTGTCTTTCGGGGAGCTAGGCAAGAGCGGTTATCATTTCTCACCTCAGAGTTGGTACCAATGCCATGGAAGCTATTTGGGCTATTAGCAGAATGTTTTCAAATTGAGAATTGTGAGGTAAATACCATAAAAAGTGCATTTTGATTTCTCGGAGGGCAGCTGTGGCTAAGTTGCGCGAACAGCTGTTGGTTTTACCTTAGTACTACTCCGTAAAACCCGAGGGATAAATTGCGATATTGTCGCAAATTGGATATATCTTTATCAAAAGGTCAACCCAACATAAGCAGACCTGATCTGACGTGTCATGAGTGATCTGTATCCATAAGATAGCCGGAACTTCCTTTTTCCTTTCAATAATTACTTCTTTCGTGTCAACATCTCCACTTGAGATGATACTCCAGCTGCAACTTGAGAACTATTCCAAATTATCTCGTAAGCGATGTATAGAGACTAGCCGAGAGGCATAAAATTGCGATAAAATTGTCCAGACAAGCGAGGCCGAACTATAATTCACTTCTGGAAAACACGAAATCTCACTGCATGCACAGATGGTGCCAATAATCCACACCGCTATTGATCTCTCCACTGGCAGCTGACGACTGTAAGGATACTTAATCTCCACGCATCGTATTATAACTGGCAGAATCTAGTCAAATATGCAAACACAATCTATTGGCACATATATGTTGTAGTATTTGGTTTGCCTCCGATGGAGCTTATGCACGGCGCGTTGGAGTGGGGTATGAGTCGGAGCTGACCGCCACTGGTCTGAATGAACAGGTGGTAGTGTATGCACATTGGCGAGAAGATAGGACATACTAAGATGGCTTAGTGCATAATGAATTATTAAGTCTCATCTGATCGCTCGGCTTCTTGAAGTAGCGAATTTCCGACGTTGAATCCTTCTTTCTTCGTTTTGACCAAGGCCAAGATGGCAGAGCCAGAGAAAAATTTGCCCGCATTAGCGATTGTTGGACTCTCACTAAAGTTCCCCCAAGATGCTGTCTCCGCCGAATCATTCTGGAATATGATCGTGGAGGGCAGATGTGCTTCAACAGACTTCCCTGCAGACCGGCTAAATATCGATACCTATTATAACCCAGACACAAGTCGACTTGATACTTTATCCCAACGCGGAGGCCATTTCATGACGGAGGATGTTGGTCTCTTTGACGCTCCATTTTTCTCCATCACCGCCGCGGAGGCAGAGGCCATGGATCCCCAACAACGACTTGTTTTGGAGACGGCATTTCGAGCACTAGAAAATGCAGGAATGACAATGCAGAGTATTGCAAAGTCAAAGACCTGCGTTTTTGCCGGCGCATCTAGCCACGATTATCTCATTATGAAGGTAAAGGACGCGCAGAGTCTACAGAAATGGGACATTACCGGAACTACTTCGAACATGGTACCAAACCGCATCAGTTGGTTTTTTGACTTAGTTGGACCCAGTGCTGCCATTGACACGGCATGTTCAAGTAGTTTAATGGCGCTTGACATGACTTGCCAGTCGATTTGGAGCGGTGTTTCCACAATGGTATGTATGGATTCAAGTCTCAATTCATAGATCGCTAATGAAATGACTAGGGCTTAGCCGTTGGGAGCAATCTTCTCATAGCGGTCGACACAGCACTGATGATGAACAATTTGGGTCTTCTCTCCAAGGATAGCCGCTGTTACAGCTTTGATGAACGTGCCAATGGGTATGCTCGCGGCGAAGGAGTTGGTGTTCTGGTCATCAAGCCTTTAGAAGATGCATTGCGCGATGGAGACACAATTCGATCGGTCATAAGAGCCTCTGCTTCCAACCAAGATGGAAAGACTCCGGGTATCACGCAGCCAAGCCCGGAGATGCAAGCTGAATTAATTCGAAAAACTTACCAGAACTCGGGACTTGACATGGAACAGACGCGGTATTTTGAGGCGCATGGAACCGGTTCGTGGACAATCCTACTTGAAACATCGCACTCTAAACTGATACGTCATAGGAACTGCTGTCGGCGATCCAATTGAGATCAAAGCCATTGGATCAGTATTTCGCCCGCACCATTCTCCAGACGATCCTTTGTACATGTAGGTGTGACAACTCTTTTTTTCCCAGTGAATCTGTATTAATGCCAAGTCCAGAGGTTCTGTCAAGTCAAATATCGGACACCTAGAAGGTGCCAGTGGAATTGCGGGTGTTATAAAAACAGTACTCGCACTGGAGAAGGGTGTTATTCCCCCAAATAGTGTGAACCTTCAAACCCTCAACCCCCGAATTGATGATGAATTTTTCAACACTAAGGTAAGCCCGACACTCAAGACATGGTTCCATGTACTTAACAAATACAGTTCCCGCAAACTGCTCTCCCTTGGCCTTCGGACGGACTTCGACGAGCATCCGTAAATTCTTTTGGTTATGGAGGCTCTAACACCCATATTGTTATGGATGATGCATGCCACTATTTGAAGGAAAGAGGACTACAAGGCAATCACAGCACAATCATCTCATATCAGTCATCGATGTGCAAAGAACAAAATGTGGCCGAGGTGGATGGTGAAGAGATCGGCCAGGATGAAACGATCAAGATACCGAAAGACTCACCTAAGCTACTCGTTTGGTCTGCGGCAGATGAGAAAGGCATTCTCCGAATTCAAAATACTTGGAAATCCTCCTTCTCTGCGGCCTCCACGTTTGATGAAGCGGGAACCAAATTTCTAGATAATTTGGCTCACACATTGTCAGCTAGAAGAACCCCTTTCTCCTGGAGGACATTTGCTGTCTCTCGTCAGTCGGACAGCTTGGCTTCATTGTCTGACAAATTCTCGTCAGCCGTCCACGCTCGTACATCACCAACCATGGCCATGATCTTCTCTGGGGTAAACTTGATCTGGTTGTCTTCATGGTTCAAGCTCATGCTAACGAGTCTGTAGCAAGGAGCGCAGTGGTTTGCAATGGGCCGGCAGTTGCTCGATATCTATCCGGTATTTGTGCAAAGCATTGAAGAAGCGGGGGATTACCTTAAGACTTTGGGCTGTGAATGGATTCCAATGGGTGAACGCAACATCTCCCATACTAAACGCTAGCTACTTGCTGACAGCATACTCCAGATGAGCTAAGGCGAAGTGAGTCCACTTCCAATGTTAACAAGACCGAGTACAGCCAGATTCTGTGTACTATAGTCCAAGTGGCCTTGGTGGACCTGCTCCGCTTTTTGGACGTGGTTCCCAGGGCTGTGCTAGGTCACTCTTCTGGAGAAGTGGCAGCCGCGTGAGTTCCATCCAATTGCCTTGATATATTCAGACTGACTCTATAAGCTACTGCGCCCGTGGGATTACCCGACAATCTGCCTGGAAAGTATCATATCATCGAGGCAACATGAGTAGCACGCTGGAGAAGACCAGCGAGTTTAAAGGATCGATGCTTGCAGTGGGGCTTTCAGAGCAGGACACAATGTCCTATATCGAAGAAGCCAGCAAGCAGTTTGATGAGGTCAAACTCAGTGTCGGCTGTATCAACAGCCCCAAGAGTGTCACAGTTACAGGAGAGGTGTCACAATTGAATGCTCTCAAGATTATACTCGACCGAGATCATGTGTTTTGTCGCAAGCTCAAGGTCAACCTGGCCTACCATTCCTCTCAAATGAATGAGATTGCCCCACTCTACCTTGAAGCTCTAGGTAAGTTGGAGGACGATTATTCAAATGTCAGGGACTGCCCGGAAATGGTCTCTTCTATTACTGGAGACTGGATCAAGCGAGGAGAGGCTGCCCAGGCGTCGCATTGGGTCAATAACATGATCTCCCCAGTGCGTTTCTCTGGCGGGCTTGCCACACTTTGTTCAGGGGCGACTTTGAACGCCCACAAGAAGCTCGACGGCAGCCACCGCAAGACAATGCCGATTGATCATATAGTTGAGATTGGGCCACACTCCGTTTTGCAGGGCGCCTGTAAGGATGTGTGGAAAACACTCAAAATTGACAACCCCCCAAAATATCTTTCGTTATTGGTACGCGATATTTCCGCTTCGGATACTGCTTTTTCTGTGTTTGGCAACCTATATGCTGCGGGCTATCCAATAAACTTGACCCGAGTGAACGGACAAGAATTTGCAAAGCACGGTACGCTCAAGTCCTTGTCCGATCTTCCTGAGTATCCCTTCAATCACGACGTGCGCTACTGGCATGAGAGCAATCTAAGCAAAAATGAACGGCTTCGCACCATTGGTCGGAACGACTTGTTGGGAATTCCCGATTCCACCGGAAATAAATTCGAGAGACGATGGAGGAACTTTGTGCGAGTGTCCGAGATGCCTTGGACCAAGGATCATCAAGTAGGTCTACCGTGTTCATCTTGAAAGCATTCGCTAAACCTCAAAAAGATTGACAACACGATTCTCTACCCCGGCGCAGGCATGTTGGTAATGGCCATCGAAGCTGCCAAGCAGGTTGCCGAGCAAGGCAGACCCATCGATGGCTTCAATATTCAGGAGGCTAAGTTTCATGCCGCTATGAGAGTTCCTCCTGGTGCACACGGAATCGAGACAAACTTTTACCTCCGCCCTGCAAAGGGCATGGAGTCAAAGACCTCCAACTGCTTCGAGTTCCGTCTCTGCACATTGGGAAATGAGGTATGGACTGAGAATTGCACTGGCATCGTCCAAACTGTGTATACCCCCAACGACACCAATCCCGAGATTGAGAGACGACACGAAGAGGAATTGTGGAACTCCCAAATGGAAGCATATTCCGATGCTGTGAAAGCATGCACATTGCCCGTCGATGGCTCATCTTTGTATGACCAATTGCAAAGGTCAGGCTATGGCTATGGGAATGCTTTCCAGCTGATCAAAACAGCTTCACTCAGTCCCGAGCAGCCGTGTGTTATTGCGAACGTAGAAAGATTCTTATCTTCTGCAGGGGAGACTATCCATCCAACGACTCTAGATGCTATTCTTCAGACCTCAATATGGACGACCGTGACTTCTGAAACAGACAGCATCCCTACCGCCATTCCAACCTCCATCGAGAGTCTGTGGGTTTCCAGTCAATTATTTGGTACCGAATCGTCTAAAATTCTGAAAACGCATGCTACACGCAGCAAGGAATCAACTTTCCTTGGGGCCTCTGTAGAAATTGTCGTATTTGATGAAGCGCTGCAAAACACTCTTATATCTATCCAGGGGCTTGGGACAAATGTTGTTAGCGAAGAAACTTCCATGGATGCTGAAGTGGCCACAGCAGATCTCTGCTACCTCTTCGAATGGAAGCCCGACCCCAGCTTACAGAGCAACATGGAATTGATGGCTCTGTGCAAAAAGGCACATCCCAAAATGGCAGATCCAGAGGACCTTTTCACCGATTTGGATTTCGTTCTCATGGCTCGCATTACTTCAACACTTGAAACTTTATTCAAGGAGGACATCAAGCCCATGAAGCCACATCTGCACAATTATGTGGACTGGATGAAACATCAGCAAAGCATGCTGAAGCAAAGCCAACATCGGTTCCATGCAGAGGCTTGGAAAGGTCGTCTCACTGATGTCGACTTCGTTGATGCGATTGAGACACGGTTGTTGAACGTGAACAAACGAAGCTCGCTCTATATTTCTGTGGCTCGCAACCTGCTCGCTCTCCTCGCTGGTGAAATAGATATTTCGAATTTCTTATCCGAAGGAGAGAAGCTGAAAGAGTTTTACTATGACGAGGTCTGTCTTTTTTTCATACTGTTATTGTTCTTGCTAATTAGAAAGCTAGCTCCATGAGTCCCACGGTCTCAAACAATTCGGTACATACCTCGATCTTCTAATCCATGTCAACCCCAGGATGCAGATCTTGGAGATTGGTGCTGGTTTCGGGTCTATGACAAATGTCATGATCGGAGTGCTCGGGGGTGCTAATCAGTCCTGTGACAGACGGTACGCTCAGTGGGACTACACTGAGATCTCTCCATCGTTATTTGCTGGATCACAGAATCAATTCCGTCAAGATGGCAACACAATCAATTTCAAGCATATGGATATTCAAACAGATCCTGAAAAACAGGGGTTCAAATGTGGAACTTACGATGTCGTCGTCGCTTGCCTGACACTTCACGTCACCGCGGATCTCAAGGCCATATTGCGCAACGCTCGAAAACTTCTCAAGCCACAAGGAAAGCTCATGTTGTATGAGAAAGCTGCTCCCAATTATCGTTCCGCGTTCATATTCGGTCTTCTCGAAGAATGGTGGTCAAGTTCGGAGCTCTATCGCACGCTTGGGCCATGTGTCGACGAGCGCAAGTGGAATGAGCTTCTTCTAGAGACGGGTTTCTCCGGCTTGGATCTTCTTTTTGCAGACTATGAAGGTCCCATTCCCCATGAGTGCGGTATGCTAGTCTCCACAGCAGTCGAGGAAATACCGAAAGGCTATCTGATGCCGCAAATTGAACTCGTCTACAATGATGCTGAGTTGGCCCAAAAAGAACTCGTGCAGTTGCTTGTCAAGGACCTTGAAAATGTGGTGGACACTCCCATCATTTGTTCTTCTCTTCAGGAGGCAGTGGAGAGGCAAGCCGAGGATCCACTCCTTCGCATCGTTCTTCTGGAGCTCCAGGGCCCCATTCTGCCCGATATCAAGCCAGAGCTATTTGGACAACTCCAGGATCTTCTTTCTTCAACAGCGGAGATGCTCTGGGTGAACCAGGGCGGAGGCATATTTCCCTCGCAGCCCCACTCTCGTCTTGCGGAAGGACTGTTTCGCGTGCTGAAGACGGAGAACAGCAAGCGAGGACTTCACCTGCTATCACTTGAGCCGCAGACTTCCCTGACAAGTACACAACATGGCCATATTACGAACATCATCAAACTCTTGTTGTCACCGGAGAGAGTGAAAGCAGATATGGAGTACATCGAGCATGAAGGAATTTTGAATGTCCCCCGCTTAGTCCCTGCCGAATCATTAAATGAGAATATCTCACTCATGTCCAGCTCGCACCAGTCCAAAATTCAGGATTTCAACTGTCAGATTCCATTGCAGCTCAACGCTGCATCCCCGGGATTGCTCAACGGTTTCGAATTCATCGAGGATCAAAGTGCATATATCCCCCTCAAGCCTGATGAAGTCGAAATCCAGGTCAAGTGTGCAGGGATCAACTTCCGTGATGTTCTGATTGCAGTGGGTCAATTGAAGGCCAGCCATACTGGATCTGAGTGGTCTGGAGTCATCAGTCGAGTTGGTGATGCCTGCAGCAGATTGCAAATTGGCGATTCTGTTGTTGGTCTACATAATGGGTGCTTTTCAACTTCGATTCGCATGCTGGAAAGTGGCCCTATTGTCAAAATTCCGCCTGGTATCTCATTCGCAGATGCTGCAGCGGTGTCGGTAAATTTTGCCACTTCATACATTGCACTGCACAATGTGGCTCGGATCCAATCTGGTGAGACTGTTCTGATCCACTCGGCATCTGGAGGCACCGGTCAAGCAGCAATCCAGATCGCCAAGAATGCCGGAGCAACCATCTTCGCAACAGTTGGCTCTGAGAGTAAAAAGAAGCTTCTGATGGATGTTTACAACATCCCCGAATCCCATATATTCTCTAGTCGGACCACCTTGTTCTCCAAGATGGTCAAGCATCGAACTGGCGGAAAGGGTGTGGATGTTATCCTCAACTCCCTAGCCGGAGATAGTCTGTTCGCATCCTGGAAATGCATCGCGCCATATGGCAGATTCTTGGAGATTGGAAAGAGAGATATTCTTTCTAATCAGAGACTCCCGATGCTGAAGTTCTTGGAAAATGTCTCATTCAGCGGTGTCGACTTGGCTGTCATGTCTGTTGAACGACCCTGGATATGCACGGCGGCTCTGGAGACGGTCTTTCATATGATTCAAGACGGCAAGGTTCATCCATCTCAACCTATTAATGTATATGGTGTTGGCGAAATGGAGAAAGCATTCCGTGTTATGCAAAGCGGTCAGCATATTGGTAAGATGGTACTTGAAATGCGTGGCCATGATCAGGTGAAGGTAAGCGTATCTTCGTTCTTTTTCTTTCCCAGTAACTCAACATCCCTAGACTGTATTGAAGACACGTGTGCCGTACTCGTTGGATTCAAATGCGACATTCGTGATATCTGGAGCAATTGGTGGTCTTGGGCGAAACATCGCGTGCTGGCTGGCAGATCGTGGAGCTCGCCATCTTCTTCTTCTATCACGTTCAGGTGGAAAAACCGAAAAAGCCAAAGATCTTATCAAAAGCCTCGAAGAGAAGGGTGTCAAAGTCCTGGCTCCCATCTGTGATGTCTCAGACAAAATATCAGTTAATAACGCTCTCGCTCAATGCCGCTCGAATATGCCACCGATCAAGGGATGCGTTCAGGCAGCCATGGTTTTAAGAGATGCTCTCTTCGAGGGTATTTCCCATGAATCCTGGCACGATTCGCTGGGTCCCAAAGTCCAAGGGTCCTGGAATCTTCACCAAGAACTTCCCCAAGGGATGGACTTCTTCATCATGTTGTCCTCCATCGCCGGTATCTTGGGTACCACCGGACAGGCCAACTATGCAGCTGGAAACACTTTCCAAGATGCGCTGGCTCGGCACCGCGTCGGACTGGGTGAAAAGGCCACTTCTCTGGACCTTGGAGTTATCAACTTCGCCGGCGCCGTGGTAGAAGATGCCCAACTCCATGATATGTGGATCAAAAACAGTGGTCTTGACCCGGTAACGGAAGCACATGTCCACGGCCTGCTTTCAACATACTGTGATCCAGGTATTAGTCAGGCCACGGCATTGGACTGTCAGGTTGTTGTTGGGTTGTCGCCCAGTGCAATGTCTAGCAACGAGCAATGGAGGGGCGAGCGCCTTCTCCAACACCTGATCACAAGTACGACACCTGGTGGCAGTGAGCAAATGCAAGGCATTACCAAGGGGCCAGCTTCACTCCTTAGGGCGGAGTCTTTGGCCGAAGCCAATGCAGCTGTCACCGAACTCTTTGCTCAGAAGCTCTCTACGTCCCTGGGTATCGCGATCGCTGATATTGACACCAACAAGCCTTTGCACCAGTATGGGGTGGATTCTCTTGTTGCAGTTGAACTGCGTGGTTGGATTTCCAAAGAGCTGCAGGCCGAGCTGGGGGTGTTTGAGATCATCGGGGGAGCAACGTTGACCTCAGTTTCGCAACTCGCTACGAGGAAAAGCAAACTGGTCAGACTCTCAGATAAATAGAGCTAAGCTTAGCAAGAATGTTACACTTTCGTTCAGGGCTAAACTTTTAGTAAATGTTCCTTATTTGTTTAGAGAGCGTTATACTATGGCTACCTTTAACCATCTTAGGTTTTACGAAGATTTCGCCTATTCTCAACGAGATTTAGAGTCAAATAATCATCCCTTAGATCTAGACATCGACTAGCTGAGCAAACCATTGATAGTAGTAAGTCTAGGAAGGTTAAATAAAGCTGAAATGACCTCGCATATCTACATTTTGTTTCTGGGATCCTATCGCAGTTAGACTTGATACTTTTAGGCAATGAGGATGGATATAATACTCCCCGGCGACCAAGCCATCATTGCTCCAGTCCCTTTAGCTGAGGTGGTAGTCGGAAAAAGTACGAGGATTCCCCAGTCGCCGATATCACTCATTTTGTTGTTCAGTGAGTCTCATCCAAATCTTCCATTTGTGTTCTCCGAGCGTGGAAAGAATCATTTCAACGTCAGTTAACCGTCCAAGTCTTAACACTAAGAGGCTGGAATCAATCATGCACTATATGCATATGATTATAACAAACCTTGACCATTCTGGATTTTTTGTGGAAATATTGTGTCAAAGACGTTTTTCGCCGATGACAAATAACTTCATTGGCTGAGTTACGCAATGGCCCTATCGAGGGGTCGAATATCAAGCCGAGAATTCAAGTTTATCAAGCCATAGCCTGTTGAAATGCTGAAATTCTTTGGGAATCCTGCTAGAGGATAAATCAAACAAGGCGTCCAGCGCTGTGAGTTGCTGTTCCCCCTTTGGGTGATAGACTGGTTGTTGTCATTTCGGACTTGTCGTCGCGAATAGGGATAGACTATGCGTCAAGGCGAGCGGCAGCGGAGCAGCGCCTCAAAGCATAATTGTATCAAGGGCCATGCGTTGAGGTTGGTTGAAACGAATTAGGGCATTCAATCTGAAAGGCCATATATATTTGAAACATAAATTCAAGAATCCGCGTTTTATATACAGATTTAGATCATATTCTATGAAGGGCAAGACCAGCAAGCCCAACACCGGAACGAACTCCAACAAGCAAATCTACAACTTCGACTTCTCACTGAACCTTGGAGCCTCCAAAGGATCATAAGCACCAAGCCCAAGTGTATCAGAAGGCACAACACCATTATGGCCAGCCAACAGCCCACGCGTATCGAGGAGACTAGGATTGAGATCCTCAACACGCGTAGCACCAATCAACCGCATGTTCATCTCCATCTCATCCTTGAGCAATTGCATCGCCCGATCAACACCATCAAGACCATAAGCAGACATCGCATACAAGAATGGCCGGCCAATACCGATACCAGTTGCGCCGAGACACAACGCCTTGAGAATATCAGTTGCGCGACGCACTCCGCCGTCAACGTAGACTTCGATGCGCTTCTCCCAGCCCCGCTCACGGAGCGCAGGCATCACCTCAGCTAGTACTTCGATGCCTGAGCGGGCAGTCTCAAGCTGTCGTCCTCCGTGGTTGGAGAGGACCACACCGTCGCAGCCAGCCTCGACGGCGCGCAGGACGTCCTCAACGCACTGTACGCCCTTGAGCACGATCGGCATCTTGGTGATCGACTTGAACCAGGGGATGTCCTTCCATGACAGAGCGGGGTCGATGAAAGATGAGATGGCGCGAGCAGCGCCCTGTGACCGATCAATATCATCGCCGCCGGATTGGACATTCGAGCCGGGATCGGAGAACTTGGAGCGCATGTCCTTCTCGCGACGGCCGAGCTGAGGCGCGTCCACGGTAATGAAGAGGCCCTTGCAGCCGCGCTTCTCGGCGTGCTCGACGATTTTGCGCGTGATTTCGCGGTCTTTGTTTACGTATAGCTGCAACCATTGGACTTGGTCGCCTTGCTTGGCGTCGACGATTTCGTCGAACGAGCACGAGGCTAGAGTGGGGATCATTTGCACTACGTTGTGCCGGTGCGCGGCCTTGGTGAGGACTACTTCACCTTCTGGGTGGCCAAGTTTTCCGAGGGCGGTTGCTGTGACGTAGAATGGGATCGAGCATTTGGTGCCTAACATTGTTGTGCTCATATCAATGTGTTCCACATCAACGAGAATTCGGGGCCGGAACCAGATTTTGTGGAAGGCTGCATGGTTCTCGCGCATTGTCTGTCGGTGTTAGTAGGATTCAGATTGAGGTTGAAATTGGTTCCATGAAACTCACAATCTCGTCGTCAGCTCCGCTTGAATAGTATGCCCATGCGGTCTTCTTCATGACCTGGCGGGCCACCGCTTCAAAGTCCATCAGATTGTAGCAAGCCGCGAGGGAGGGCATGCGGGCAATGCGCTCTTGGCGGTCGGCCTCCTCCGGGTCAAAGGCCTTCTCTTCTTGTTCGACGGTGGCCATGTCCACCGGGCCCAGGTGTTTTGACGCATCCAAGAATTTGTCCAGGGTGTCGGGCGGGTGAATGGGGTCGAACTCTTCGGTCGCATCTTTGCCGGCATACTTGAGAATGATCTTCTGGCCACCGGGGTGTTCTATAACCGTCAATTTGGTGGCTTCTCAGGGTCAGAAAGAAGATAAATCTCGTACCAGGGAGAAATTCGGTTACATCATAGGCTTTTCCGTGCACGATGACCCAGCAGGAATCTTTGGAGTTATGTTCGGCGACCTTTGCGCCAGTGAGCTTGCTGTCGCTCATGATGGGAATTGGCGATTTATAGAATATACTATGGCATGTAAGGAAGAGGAAAAGAAAGGAACAAATAATTTGAAGAGGATTAGCAAAAAGATCTCGTGCTTGGGACCTCGGGATAAAAGAGTCCGGGGACAAGAAAGTTGCGGGGAGCTTCTCGGCCGACTCGTCCGGGTCGCACCTTAATGTTCCTTAGGTCCGTATGTGTGGCTACGGATATCCCGAATGTGTATATGAGTCTATATATATGTACTATATTTTAACTGAGAACTACATGTCTTGGATTCAGAGCATTGCGAGCATTGGAAAGAAAGTGGTCATCGGAGCCTCAGGCCTTCACTGAGGCTTGAGCCAGTAGCAACCGTCGCATTGTACATGCATGGCTTGTACTGCCGTTGGCCACCGCATTCTAATTTTAGACTAGTCCCAATATCATGATTGCAAACTATGGTTCCCTTGTCATGTGATCTAATCATGTGCAGCCAATTGTTTACATCGCATTTCTGAGGGTCTTCCTTTTCTCCTACACCGTACGTCGGATAGCATTCGCCCTTTTTTTTGATTCGTCAATGCATTGGTGTCAAATCAGTCCAGTCATCACTCTGAACTTCAAAAAGGGGGACTTTGGTTTGCATTTTACCTTGATCTGTTTTAGGAAATGGTTTGCCTTTGATTGGCTAAAATGACATATACTCATGCCGTAAAATATTACCTGGCTTTGTATAACCAACCACTGGTGTCTTTATTGATCCAGGTACCCAAAACCAATGCTGCCTGTAAGTACGTATGGTAGTCTACATATTGTGCACCAGAGCAAGGAGTCGAGTCCCTTCAATACCCACTCGGAGGCCCATCAATTAACCCTCGGAGCCTTCAGTCAAAAGCTCTTAGCCTTTTCGCTCTCTTACACCGAGATATCTATTCTTGATTATCTCATATACATCATCATGTCGAGCAAACCGCTAGCTCACTTTCGACTCCACCCTGCTTGTCTTTGATATTTAAACCAATGTGTTTGCGGATTCTACGGACTTTCGGCTATCGACAATTGCCGGCCTAAAGAGCGGTCTAACGTCCCCTCATGGCGCGCGACTTTTGAATCGTTATGACGCCTGGGCGAAGTCTAGCACGGCCTTGACCGTCCTATCCCGCGACACGGCGTCTGATTTATCTCTCTTGCCTTCAGTTGAGCCTCCCAGCAGACTTGACACGCTGTTGAACGCGTCCCCAATTTCCCCTCATAGATCCCTTTGGATTTTTCTCAAATTTGGGCAGTTTACCAACACATGGGTAGCTGTTTCTTATGCGCCGCACACGCACTGATCATCGTCGCGGAAGCCGACGATCCTGGCATTGGTGGATCACCAATTATAGCCCGTGCGTAGCTGTGCCAGTAGGTACGCTCGGCCCCTGACCGGTAGGGTGCTATTAATTTTTCGCAGGTGACCGCCTTTGGTAGATGTTTTCCATTCCCGCTCCCACTGGGCGTGGATGGTGTCTCGGAAAAGCGCCCTCTTCCTTGTCGGCAACGGGCTGAAGGGGCGTTTTTTGCCCGGGCTTGCCGCGTCCTTGGCCAGCCGATCTGCTGCGTCTTTCCCTGGGTTGTCGCAGTGTCCAGGTATCCATTGGAGACTGAGCGCGATTCCCTTTGCTCAAACTTCATTATTTGAATCAAAACGGCCGCAGTGCCTAGTAGAATCCGAATATAAGCTTTGGCATTTAGATTTATAGGGTAATTCACAATGAGCAGATACCACCACATTCACGTCGGCCACTATGCGGAATTCAAGTATTTTTGACTGCTATTAATTGATTTTCCGAAGGGCATTCTAAGCTCGTGGATTAGCCAGTAGAGATTTTTTTTCCAGAATGCTGAGATAATAGTCGATATATGAGTCCCTCAGGTATATATTGAGCCTCGTGATTTCGCCAATTGTTCTCTAAAAGTCATAAAACTTTCGGCCTCCAACTTTTCCCTACATAAGTTCGATTCTGGTCCGGCTGCGCTGCATTTAGTCAAAGCGGACCTGAATACTGCCCTGACTTGCTCTTTAAGACAACGCACGTCACTATCCCGCGCCGGGAAAGCAGTTATCCATTCAGCCTTTCGGACATCCTGTAGATCCTTAGGTGGGTGCCATAGACAGTGCGCGAGCTAAGCAAGCATTTCCACCTTGAATAATAATTCTGGCGATTCCTGGCTGAGGCAAATCATAGTAAATTTTTGGATCTCATTTTCCTGATGAACCTATCATCATTGCTCAAAACGGAGAGTGTATGACTAATTAAAGATGTCCTTATTAGCACTGGCTGGGTCACTATGAAGTCAAATAGTGTCGAATTTCAAAGCTATATGATTGAATGTGCGAGCTCGTTAGGTCAAGAATTGGAACATCCGACGGGCGCATTGCTTCTACCACTAGTCCAGCTTCAAAACATGGCCGATGTCAATTATCGCAATCTTTCAACTGTTGATAACACTATACGTAACCACATGAATGGCCTAGATATTGAAATGAAGGTTCAATCCTTTCAAGCCGAATTCAAGCGGTGGAAGGATTCGCTTCCAATCGTATGTCAGCAACCAAGTAAGTTCGGTTAATCGAAAATGTAATGGAACCAATGCTAACGTGCAACAGACGGGATGAACCTAGCTTGCGAGGTTGCTTCCATGCATGTCTACGAGATGGATCTCGTCAATATTTGTGCCCCGAAAAAGCGACAAACGACGAATCCTTGCAAACATTTAACAAGCTCATCTTTTACTTCTCAGATTCGCCTGGAAGTGCTGTTTCTCGGTTTGAAATCGGCGGGGCAGCTTGCTCAGAATTTCCTCTCCATCCCAATATCTGAATACGGCAGTCTGTCTTACATACAGTGGTCTAGCATCATATATGCTATCACCATCATTTATAGACTGACAGTCGGGATTCCCCAGCTTCGTGACTGGGATATTCGAGTTGCGCGAAGGACAATTGACTTTGAGTGTGTTCTAGACGCATTCTGCAGTCGCTTCAACAGTGTATCGCTTTGTGGTCGCGACTTATTGGAGAATGGAGACTTATTCTCGATGATGGGGTCAATCTTTGAAAACATCAAGCAGACCTACGACAGGGTCAAGCAGTTGCCGCAGAATGATAGTGCAGACGACAACAGCCCAGTTCATGCCACTAGCTTTCCGCCCTCTACGCTCGAATAGTAGCACCCGTACCCTACATTCCGATGCTGAAGGACAGACCGGTCAGGATGAAGACCAGGCGAGACAAGGGGCTACCAAACAACCACATCTTCTTGCACATCTTAGTGACAGAACACTCATCATTTTTGGACACTTAGGTGATTCATGCATTGCTTAGTCCATTCTTGTTCCGTATCATATGCGCAACTATATTACACCGCTAAGTTTAGAAATTTCTAGACATTTCTGTGATGGGTTGATGTGCGGATAGTTATCGAGTGCAGAAGTTGTCATCATAGTTATAGTTATTCTTACAGTCATGACCATAGGGATACCATACCGGTTTTTCTACCTCCATTAAACCCTTACCTAAGTAGTGGAGCGTGGAGTCTTATGCGGAGAAGAAATAGAGCGTAGGATTAGTGAATTCATGTATAGCTAAATATATTCGCTATTATCGGAAGGGCTCCACTGCTAGAATCCCCTTCGCTCAAAAATTGATAAATGTTCGTTGCTTTTTCTCGCAGTTCTTTTTAAGATCGACCTACGTACGTGATTTATGAGATGCAAAACTTTAGAGCGGTGGCTAGTCGGAGATAAATACTTCGTTTCCTCCTTGACCTTTCTACGTATTAATCACTCTCCTCAACCCTTAAAGCGTTAGAACCTTCACCGGTGAAAAGACAGCGCCACATTCTTTTGCTCATTTATTGATCGATCGAAACCATGACAGGTCCTAATCTCTTCCCCTGTCCAGGAATGACGCATGGCAAGCGTACTCTCGTCTTTATTGTTGAGAATAAGACCACTCATGATTTGTGCAAGCCGTGGGTCTCGGTTCCAGTAAATGACCAAGACTTGTCCGAAGGCTTCAATTACATCAATTTTGGGCAGTTCAATAATTATGCGGCACAATGGTTACACAAGAATCTTCCCCAGACGGACCAGCCGTTCCAGTGCCTTGCATATGCGGGTCCCAAGGATCTCCGCTACCCTATACTGGCCCTAGCCGCTGCAAAGCTGCAAAAAGTGGTATGTATCATCATAGGGTACCTCTATCACTAGTACAAACGCTGATTGAATCTAGTTGGTACTGCCTTCGCCACTGATTACCGTCGATGCCCAAGCGAGAATTCTCGATGCCAAGAACTGTGCTCTGTACCTGCGGCCTTCCTCCATAGCAACATACGTCGACTCCATCATAAAAGAAACACCTCATGTCCAAGCAATGTCTGTTCCGGACACTGACGAATTCATGAACTAGACCGAAGCACGAACATATACCTACCGGAAATCCTGGGAACAAGGAAAAGATGATCCTTGGCTTGTTTCCCACACATCGGTAACGACCTGTTTGTTGTCCATCCAAATTTTTTCAAGTGTATATACTAAAGCCCCAGTGTAGGTTATCCGAAGCCATTGACATACACCCAGAGGATTATGGCCCTGGTTGATGTTGTGGTGGCAACCGCAGATGCCGAAGAATAATTCGTCAACCACTTTGCCAGAAAAAGGCTGTACAGGCCGCTACCATCTTTGTACATGCGTCATCCTGTTTCATTATCTCACAAAAGCCTCTACTGACATCAAAACAGCTGGTTGGAATGGTCTTATTGCTATCTATGACTACCTACGTGGACACGACCTTGGTCATAGGTCCGGCTCTGCCACCAGACCCTAACACCGTCATAGATATTCTGAAATACGGAAAGGTCGGGGTTGCCCTCCTGACGCCCGCAATTATCGAGGAATTCTGCTTGACAACTACTGGCACTGATGCTCTACGAAAGCTCGAATCGGTTCATTATGCCGGCGCGCCTCTTTCAGCCAAGACCGGGAATCTATTGGTCTCTCATACTCTGGTTATTCCTACTATCGGCAGTACTGAGTCTGGAGGATACCTTACCGCAGCGCATGACAAAAGAGAGGCTTGGGACTACGTGGCTTTTTTCGACTCACGCCAGCGCAGTTTTCGAGCACCGCTTTGATAATCTGCACGAGCTGGTCTTCGTGCGCAAGCTAGATTCTAATTTGCAGTCTATATTTCAACTATATCCAGACTTTTTTCGGTATCCGACCTCGGATCTATGGATTGAACATCCAGTTCACAAGGGCCTGTGGGAGATCATCGGTCGCAGTGATGACTATGTGACTTTTAGTCATGGAAAGGGACAACACGCTTCGCGTCTTGAGCCTGGCATTGAAGCTCATCCCGAAATCAAGTCGACATTGATTAGTGGGCATGGCGAGGCGGCACCGGGACACCTCGTTGAGTTGCATCGTGATTTGGTAGATACTGATGGCCGTGATCAGCTCATTGTTTCTTTACAGCCTAACATTAAGAAATTTAATGCCCATGTTCACGATTGTGTGAACCTTTCTGCAGATCGAATAATTATTGTGACGAAAGAGAAGCCGTTCACCCGAACTATCTAAGAAAGCGTTACGAGGATGCAGACCTTGAAGCTGTATAATAAGGAGGCTTCCGCCCTTTGTATTTAGCTCCAAAGTGAGGGCAAGCGATATGAAATGCATTTTGGAGCTCCATGCATGGGCACTGAGATTGCTATATTTTTATCTGGATGGATGGCCATTTCAACCATAGGCTATAAAAGTCAATTTGTATCGATCCGAGTCTGTTGATTTCAAGCTAAGCACCAATATTCTGAATAACTCGCAAGTAACCATCGAAACTCCAATAACCTCAACCGGTATTTAATGCTGGTGAGGCGGCAAGTTGTCCAAATATTTGTCCAAATATAAGTTTCATCCTTCCGCGGGACAAGCATTTCCTCGTAACCAACTGGCCCACTATACTTGCTACTTGAAATCCGAAATTTGTTCGTCACAGTATTTTATAAACTTTATCGAAGCTCCTGTTCCGCCATCCCCTGCAGGCTTCATCGCGCGCATCAGTTCGGTGCTCGGGTTGGGATGGAATCGCCCCCAAGGTACTATATAACGTCCTCCATCAGAGATAGTGGGTGTGCTCGATAGTCCAGCCCAAAGCTCAGTGTAAGCGCCCATCCGTGCAGGGTAAAGCAGGGGGGCCGCTAGGAAAGGCACCCACGGAGAAATGTGACGAGTGAGAGCCGTTTTCAAATTTCCAGGGTTTACGACTAGACTCAAGATATCGCTAGGACCCGCTTGAGTGGCAAGCGCGTCGGCGAGGAACCAGTTGCCGACCTTGCTAATCTCGTAATATCGTTGTGGGGATGCGTTTGACTGTAGAACCTCCTCAATATCCACAGACTGCTTTGAAGCTGACATGTCGACAGCAATTGAGGACGTCCAGATCACTCGTACAGAAGCAGCTGGTTCGGTTGCAGCAGTATGCGTCAGTGTTGGTAATAGCAGTTGTGTGAGGAGATGAGGCCCTAGGCAATTTGTCGCCAGCTGGAGTTCATGGCCCTGTACAGAGATCGAGCCGCGCGGGGGGTTGGAGACGCCAGCGTTGTTGAAAAGAGCATCGAGCCTGGACTCCGCAGCAGTGAAGGTATCCACCGTGGATTTGATACTTGTCAAATCATCGAGGCGGAGAGGAAGGAATGAAATCGTTCCACCTGAAGAGGGGTTGGCGTCTTTGACACGCGCGATGGCATCCAGGGCTTTTTCCTCTGAGCGACCGGCAAGATAAACTTTGCCTCCAGCTTTATAAAGAATTATGCATAGCTCCAATCCAACTCCGGAGTATCCACCAGTGACGATAAAGACCTTGCCGTTTTGGTTGGGTAGATTGGCTTCAATCAAGGAGGGAGCAGGTGGGAAGAACTGGGACCAAGTGGACCCCATAGTTAACACAATCGACTTGATGAACTTCAACTATCAAAAATACCTAAGAATGGGACAGGGCTTACAAGTCCTAGAAAGATATAGGATGGTATATATTTCAAGACCCGCGGACTTCTCTGCGTGTGATGTCAGCGGCTCGTGCCCCTCTTTAGGTTGTCAGTTGGCAGGCGCCCTCACACTTCCGTGCGAGTCGAGCTTTGGGCCGGTTTTCACCCAGTATACGTAGTTCGATTGCTTCAACGGTTTCTCTTCTTCCTTTTCCTTCTTCATATCATCATATCATTTCTTTCTGGGAATCTCGAGTTCCATCGTAAAGTGTCTCACAACGACTGTAACCTTGGAAATTCAGCGCCCTTTTTACAAGGTTGATTGAACATATACCTAGGTATTGGCCGATGTTGATACCACTAGCTCTGGAGTAACCTACTACTTTGAGAAAGATCCATCGCAAAAATAGCGGTGATATGACTGCTCATTGTCTGTCAACACTTACATCCCAAAGCTGGGTTGTTTCACAATAGGACAATGCCACTGACCAACAATCCGAACATAAAGCAATTACAAGGGGTGCGGGTGCGGCGACACGATCATGCAGTTCTATCGCGAATGTTTCCGTTCAGACCTTCCCGCATACTTGAACAAAATTTAGCAATGAAAGCTCGCAAAGACTTGTATCAACTCAAATATCCGATTGCCTACATGCACTATCGGTTAATTACCTGAGTCATTACTATACGCTGTATAAGACGAAGTGGGCGATCATATGACCTTCGGGCCCTAGGGCTAATAAGTATATATATATGTAATGTATGCTGCATTACTTACTTAATTTTCCCAACATGAGAGCTTTCACTTCACCCTTGGCTGTATATTTCATTCTACTTGCATATCAACAGAGCCAACGGCAACGAATGATTGATTGGCTATTGACTTTACTCTCGTCCAATATACTTGCTGACATTATTCACCAGTCTATTTTTGTGTACTGCGTTCAGAAACGTCTAGAACAATGCCATAAATGAAAAGAATGTCAGATCGGCCATAATAAAGCACGGTTGGCAGCGATCTACATTCCTGGAACACAATACAGATTTGGAATGTTCATCAATGAGGACGAATAGTGTTTAGGAAAGAGAGGGGAGACGCCTGAGGCAGTAAGGATATCACGTGCAGTAATACGTCATTCCTCTCAGGAGCTTCAGAACCAGCAAAAAACAAAAAAACATTTACTTAGACAACAACACTGTCAGCAATTTGGTGGGAATAAAGAAAACACACTGCAAATTAATTTGATCGCTCGCATCAAGACATAAGAAAGTAGTGGGGACCAAGGCTTAACCACTATCCTACCACAAATCCGCGATGATGGCTGACAGCGCCACCGTCGATCCCATATAAGCTTCAGCTCAAAACCCGGTTTTGAGCTCAAATAATAAAAACATGGCAAGATAATAGACCACCTTGGCCACTATCCAGGAGAATAACAATCGGCATCCATGTGAGCACTTTGCCCGGCCGTACTGACGCATCCTTTGGCTCCCCTACGCGACGCCCTGGCGTTACCGGCGCCTCCGATCCCCACCTCCGCCATTTCTCCATGGCACGAAATCCCCCCCATTTTTGCCTCGTGGCTGCCACTTACGTCGTTCTCCGGGGATGAAGGGGTCGCACTGTTCAAATGTACCATGGATATGGAGCCGTTGGAATTCTGCTGCGGAAAGGGCTCATACAATGTAAAGCGCATGGCGGAACCCAGGTGTTCGGGATTGCCACTATTATTTTTTGAATGCAAACTCTTAAATGGGTGTTTTATGGAGAGCCTATGTAGACGCATACCACGATAACACCAGTTATATCAACCACGGATAATGCACCCGTAGGTCGAATCCAATGCCCATGGCGACGAGCTCCAAATGACGTTTAAGCCATCCAGAGCAAAGAGAGCGGCACATTCTACAATTTGCATATTGATTGCTTTGGATTACCGGCTATAATATGCACTGTGACATCGTCTCAGTGATTGCTTCGCCCGATCAACCCCTCAGCCGGGCGTGGTCAGTCGGGCGACGTCCGTAGCGCCGATGGGGCCAGATAAAGATGGGCCTTCGATATGAGGAAGGTCTGCATTAGCCGAAGTTAACCCATTGCTTTTCTCGCTATCCGTGTATTCGCGAGATGTGGACGTGCGACGCGCACACCCCAATGTGATGAGGGTTTGCGGTAAAGCATTTTTCCAACAGGTTGAGCTTCAATATGCCGACAATTTGAAATGTCGGGCGGCTACGGCAAATGTTGAACGGTCGGAAATTGCATTCATTCGGAATTTTATTGATTTTCTATTTTTTCTGTTTGTTACCTGAGATTTTATTCCGTCCGATATCCACTTGGTCTTCGAGAAGACTTCGACTGCGTCGGGATGTGGTTCACGACATCATAGCGGGGACTCTGTGGCTTTCCCGCCTAACATCCAATGTGGATAAAATTCTTTGATGATGAGTTTTTTTCTTCCACACTTCTCTTTGAGACATGACGTGGGTCAACGCTTGAATGGTCAAAAAATTACACTAAACTCCAAGGATTTCGATACAACTTATGTGTCATGTAATCCGTCCGTTTGGTTCAGTTTGATCTTCAACAGAAGCAATGGTCAAGAAATGTCAAAAGCTCTAGGCCCGGCTTGGCACTTGGCTAATATGCATAGTTCTCAATATCGAGTAAAGTTTATACAAATTTTATGTTGATTGCAGAAGATTCAAATGTCGTTTTCAGATCTGAGAATGCCAGAGCACGGGCACCTGGGTAGGGCGCCTGTAGCCTCATCCCCGCGGTAGGCAAAGGAGGGGAAATACGCGGAGAGGACTATTGAAAAAAAATGCAGAATATTTTTATTAATTCTACGAATAATTAGGCATCTCAATAATCCTAAATCAATTATCAACAATAAATTCGAGTAAGGGACACTGTTAGGCACATTCCGAAGATGGAAGTCATCCCGATGATCAGCGATCCACAGATTCCCTTAGGGCCATCTTAGGGCCATACTAGTCCTCACACGGCGAATTCTCTCGCCGAATACTCGGGAAGCCGTCACCATCCCGACTCCGTGACGCCGACGGGAGTGGCTTGGCGCTTGGACACCGAACCGTTGCAATGCGATCTTAACGAAATCCCGGTGTATCTGCTGGTTATGGTTAGAGCGTATATAGGGTCTGTATAGGTCTGTGTAGCCATAACGCTAAGTCCAACTGCGGTGTTGCGCAATCATGCTAATCTGAAATAATCATGCGGTGGACACGTTGTACTAGTTGTCGGTAAGCCTTCCTAAATAGTCGGCAAAGCAACTTTTCTTCACAGCCCTTACCTATAATTTGGCGGATAAAGTTTCTTAAGGAGACGTACTAATATTGTATTGCATTATTGTACTACAATAAGGTACGGAATTATTCAGGCCCAGAATTCATTGACTCCATGACCTGAACCAACAAGAATATTAGTTTGACCAATCATGATTGTTAGTAAAGTGTTATGACGACCACAAAAAATTTCCTTTCCATTTCAATCTGATGTCATCAGGGACGCAAACTACTGCTGTACCAAAGTGGAACCATAAAAGTGGAGCACTAAGAAAATTAGTGGACTCCCAATAATGCTTAAAAACGCCATTTATTGATGCATTCGGCTTAAATCTTCCAACATGCCTCGCTTTCATTGGCTCTACCGCTTATAACCACTGTGAGGATTCCTAATTGGGGCTGGCTTTGTATTTTTTTTTCTCCATTTCTTTTTTTCTTTTCGTCCCGTGCGAGAAGATACAGAGAGACAAGGGGAATAGTTCACAAGAAAAAATAATAATAATTTAGTGCCACAATGTATGTCCTTGCCACTTTCGTCTTTTCGTCTTGGAGAAAGAGTATTCAAATATCTCCATGTCCCCCCCCGGGGAATTCCCCTTTCTTCTTTCTCCGCGTGTCTGACTCTATATCTCCAGCGATTCCACTCTTCATACCCACGTGTTATTCACTGGGACTAGTCCTTGATATTGGACTTTTTGTATAGGGCTATATATATTCATTTCTACATTCACCATGTCGCCAACATTTGCTGGCATGTCCGGCAGGCCCCTGTCGTTGACGGTGTCGACCATCGCAACTATGGGTTTCTTGCTTTTTGGTTATGACCGTGAGTCTTATACTGAAATATATCCCCGTCTATATCACTAACCCTTCACAGAGGGTGTCATGTCCGGTATCATTGATTCTTCTGCATTCGCCAAATTCCTCCCCATCACGGCTGGTAACTCCACCATGCAGGCCTTGGTGACTGCTGTTTATGAGTTGGGTTGTCTGGTGGGTGCCATGTTTGCCCTGTTCACTGGTGACAAGATGGGTCGTCGCCTGATGGTTATGTGGGGTGCCTTTGTCATGATCATTGGTGTCGTTATCCAGGTTTGTGCCGTTGACGGCCACGGAGCTACTGCCCAGTTCTTCGTCGGTCGTATCATCACTGGTGTCGGTAACGGAATGAACACCTCCACCATCCCCACCTACCAGGCTGAATGCTCCCGTTCTACCAACCGCGGTCTGCTCATCTGTATCGAGGGTGGTATCATCGCTATTGGTACTATGATCGCCTACTGGATTGACTTCGGTGCCTCCTACGGTCCCGACGACCTGGTCTGGCGTTTCCCCATTGCTTTCCAGGTCGTTTTCGGTGTTATCATCATCGTCGGCATGTACTACCTTCCCGACTCTCCTCGCTATCTCATCGCCAAGGGCAAGGTCCACGAGGGTGAGTACGTCCTTGCTGCCCTTGGTGGCTACGAGATCGACTCCCACGAGACCCAGATGCAGAAGCAGCTTGTCATCGAGTCTATCGAGGCTGCGGGTGTTGCCGATGGCGCCGGTTATTCCGACCTCCTCACCGGTGGAAAGACCCAGCACCTCCGTCGCATGTTGATCGGTTCTTCCTCTCAAATCGCCCAGCAGCTCTCTGGCTGCAATGCTGTCATCTACTACCTGCCTGTTCTTCTGAAGACTTCCCTCGGGCAGGATGAGTTCATGTCTATGCTGATCGGCGGTATCAACATGATCGTCTACGCGATCTTTGCTACCTTCTCCTGGTTCTTCATTGAGAAGATCGGTCGTCGCAAGCTTTTCATCGGTGGCATGACCGGTCAGATGGTTTCCATGATCATTGTCTTTGGATGTCTGATCCCCGACAACTCCGAGGTTTCCAAGGGTGCTGTCTTCGGTCTGTTCCTTTACATGTCTTTCTTCGGTGCCTCCATCCTACCACTCCCATGGTTGTACCCCGCCGAGATCTCGCCTCTCCGCACCCGTGCCAAGGCCAACGCCGTTTCGACCTGCTCCAACTGGCTGTTCAACTTCACTGTTGTCATGATCACCCCCGTCATGCTCAACAGCATCGGCTGGCGCACCTACCTGTTCTTCGCCATCATGAACGCCGCCTTCATCCCTGTCATGTTCTTCTTCTACCCCGAGACTGCTGGTCGCTCTCTTGAGGAAATTGATCTCATTTTCGCCAAGGGATACTGCGAGAACATGAGCTATGTCAAGGCTGCCCGTGAACTGCCCAAGCTCACTGACGAAGAGATCGAGGCCAAGGCTGCTGAGTATGGTTTCGAGTCTAGCCGTCGCAATGGTGATGTTGAGGGTGCTGGTGCTGAGAAGCTCTCTCCCCGCGATAGCTCCAGCGATGGCAAGGAGAGCCACGAGGATATCGAGAACTCCCGCCCTTAGACTCGCTCGTTGAGTGACTGAAGACGCTGTCTTCGACGTGACAGCGCTGTGCGCTGCCATTTTTGCATGTTATGGTTGTGCTGTTTTCCCCCATTGGATGGGTAAACGCCAGATTTATCTCTTTTTCTTTATTTTCTATGATTTTTTTCTTTATTTCCTTTGATATTATATACCCATTGTTTCTGGCCTGGAGGACTGCCCTGGAAATTGGACCCGTCCTGTCTGCACCCTACTCCTTTGGATTTAAAGGTGCAGTGTTTTGTTTTTGATGATTTCATGTCTTGTTTATGGCCCTCGGAGATGGTTCGGTCGGGCATGGCAATCGTTCATGCATCGTTGCATGCGCTTTATATGCATATAGAGCAATCAATCACATATACCTCTACTCCATTTCTAAGGAAACTTGTAAATTATATACTGTAAACAATAGTCACCCGTGTGAGTCCCTGCATATGACAATCTTACGTTCCCGCCTCGGCCCCAGGGCTGAGTTTAATAGTGACTCACGCTGGGGGCACCTTGCATCTGACATCCTTCAGCAAGGGTCCCTTCAGCCCTAGCTGTTGACACAATGACCATCTAAGACAAGACAAACCATAAAAGTCGACTGAGCGCTGCGCCAGATGTTCCCTATAATATTTATACTTTTTATTTTGTCTTATATCGTATTTCAATACCAATTCCAAGGTTTAAACATTCCCCTCACAGTCTGATCCTGTTCTATAATATCCTTAGACATACAACCGTACATAAACTATATGATCTGTCTGGTATACACTAAGACCGCTTGTATCCTGCATGACTGCCTTAAATCTCAGGTTTAGTTGAACTATCCACTGCAAAACATAACTAGACTGCAGCCTATGCAATTTTAAAAAAAAAAAAAAAAAACTTTCTTCCCTCTGAGCCTCTTTCTCTCCAAAGGCACATGGCATTCATTGTTCAGGTGACTTGTAAAGAGCGGCTGATCCCGCCCGCAAGGCATCCTTTCAAAGGATTCTCCTTTACATATTTCCTTGATTTAAGACGTTTCCTTAGAGGGTTCTGACTTGTTCTTGCAATCCTGTCATATCATGCACATTTACTCTTCTCTCTCCCTTAACCCTGCGCCATGAGTTCTCTCGAAGCGAAAATCGTCGTACTAGGCGCACAGGGTATGTTCTTGCGTCATGTCATTTACTAGCTATCCCAAGATGAATACCTTAATAGATCTACGATACCGATGGCGTATACAAACTGGGAAAACCATGAACTAACCGTTGCCAAAAAACCAGGGGTGGGCAAGACCGCGCTTGTCGAGCGCTTTCTCCGCAACACCTTCAACCCCGCAACAGCCTCCACCGTCGGCGCATCCTTCGTCACAAAGCGCGTCCTAGACTCCACCTCCGACACAGTCGTCAGGCTACAGATATGGGACACAGCAGGCCAGGAGCGATTCCGCAGTATTTCCAGACTGTACTACCGCTCCGCCAGCGCCTGCCTGCTATGCTATGATGTCAGATCCCGCACTTGGACCTCGGAACCCCCCAAAAACGAACAAACCAACTGACTTAGCCCGACGCAGATCACCGAAGAATCTAGCTTCTATGAAATGGCCGGCTGGCTGCGCGAATTGCGCAAAAACACAATGAACGAAGACGGCTCCGACTCCCTCGTTATTCACGTCGTAGGCACGAAATCCGATCTCGTCGCCGAGGACCCCTCCCGTCGTCGCGTCCCCTTCGAACGCACGATCGCCTACGTCGCCGAGCAACTATATCCTACCCAGGCATCAACCCCGCCGCCTACTGCGACGGCCGGCGCGCTGGGCTTCGGCTCAGCGGTTTTCGGCGGGAGTGGTGGGAGCGCGTCGAATGCTAGTGCCAGTGCTGCAGCGCTGCAGAGCCCGGACTCGAAGCGCAGCTCGGCGTTCTGGGGACAAGAGATCGGGTGGGATTGTTGTCATGAGATTAGTGCCCGGGATGGGGAAGGGATCGATGAGGTTTTCCGCGTCATTACGCGGAAGTTGGTGGAGCAGCGCAATCGCAGGGATAATGAGCTCATGTTTTCGAGTGCAGGGACTTCTGTGGTTAATGGGAGTATTGGGCCGTTTAGTCCTGGGTTTGTGGAGGGGACTGGCAGCTTTAGACTTGGATATGGTGATAAGAGGAGGAGTTGGTTGGGGTTGGCCACGCCGAGTGTTGGTAATGCGGAGGAAGTAGAGGTTTCGAATGCTGCCAAGAGTAAAGGGCGTTGCTGTTGATACTTATTAGTGCTTTGCTTTTTGTGTGTTTTGTTATTGTTTTTATTTGCATTTGAGCCGGTTGGCGTTCTGTGATATGTATGGCGTTCATTGTACTTAGTTTGTTATTATGTCTGAGTTAGGTCGAAATAATTGATCATCAAGGAAATAGAGCTTTGGACCTCCTTTAACTTGGACATACAGTCTTGATAAATGATTACTGATAATCACATTGTATAGATGCAGTGGAGACAGTGGATCCGATCTTCATCTTCATCGGGGGTACAAATGTAGATCGAGTCCACTATGTTCCATACATGTATCCTTTTGTATACACATATGTAATTCAAATATTCATACTTCGTATATATTTTGGCCTTCACCCAGTCGGGCATAGATTATCCCTCGGCAAATAGAAGAATGGACAACCACCTGGGCAACGCTCAGCCTCGAACCCCTCATCTCGCTTATATCGGAGAATATGCCTCCCCCATTGGCCGACACTGCATGGACTGTGCTTTTGCTATCAGGAAATGTTGATTTCAATCGAGGCTATGGCTGCCGGTGTGTCACTGGCTTTTGCCTAGAGTAAGCTGCATTGCTTGGGGACTTCTTTTCTTCTTTCTTGTTTTCTTCAAGCTTTTATCGAACTTCGAGTTGTCCGCCAATCCGTTGATCTACAACCATCTACCATACAATCCCCACTCTCCCATTCACCGCTGAACCCTATCTCTACTTCTGTACTTAGCATGTCGGGGGCGGAGGTGATCGCAGTCGTAGCCTGTGTGGCAGCCAGTAAGACCCACGCCACTCATCTGCTGCCCAGGAATTAACGGTTAATAGTTGTCTCCGCCTACAATGATGGTAGCCGGATCCTCACGGCCATCCGAAGCAAATGGCACGACCGCCGCCGACAATTAGACCAGTCCACCATGGATCTGGAGTGGTCACTTGCCCGTGGCCCTCACGATGTTTGGTCTCAATATCATGCGCACCACCAAGAGCTCGGTCGTCGCTACGAGGAGGGCGACTCGATCGCTCGTGAGCAGATGAAAGATATCATCATCACTCTGCAAGGTGCTTTGTTAAGACACCTCCGAGAGGCACAGGAGAAAGGCGCCACTTTGGATTTGATGGCCTTGCAGATCGAGTCGGAACAAGGGCGTGTCAGGACTCTGGTCGTGCTCAGGGATTTGTACCAGCGACTGGCAAGGCCATCACCTGTGCTTCCGTCCATATCAATGTCTATTGATCCGAATTATCGGAAGACCTCGGCTGACGGTCGCACAATTCCCAACTCGCCTGACGGCTTCTTTCCCGAGACACGGCACTCTCCTAGCGGGTATCCTATTTCACCGGGCGGATATATCGAAAGCATGTGTGCTTCGCCGACCTCGCCGATGTCCCCAACCGACACACACGGACTACCGAGGAGAGGTGTTGAACCATCTAGTCCACGATCCAGCTTCAGCCTGCCTCGCCGGCGATCATCGGGCATCGGGTCAGTGGTGAGTGACATGTTCCATTCCCGCTCAAGTCGCGGGAGCATACCATCAGTCCCGTCGTCAGTACCCGAATCTGGCCTTTTCCCATACGGAGCGATGCATACAGTACCGCCGACAGAGCCGATACCTGACTTCGGCGTGCGACCACCAACCGAGCCGCGCAGACCCAAGTCGCTCTCAACCATCCCACACGACGAGATATGGGGAAACCCGTGGCAACATGAATCCATCCTGGAATCCGACGAAGACCTCACCTTCCACCTCAAACACACCCATCTCTCACCCGTCTCATCCATTCCCCGCCGCCAGTCCCTCCCACCCTCAATCGCCTCAACAGACTCAACCCCCTCGAACCCATCCACAAATAGCGACCCAGCGAGAGCAACACGTCCCCTCTGGCCACCCAGCAAAGCAAACAACTACCTCGGCTTCTGCAAAGGCGCCTGGAAAGTCCACACTGGCTTCGCCGGATTCAAAATCCACTCAGAGCCCGGCTCAGGCTACTACACACAGCGGTCATGGCTGCGCTGCAAGGAATGTGCCTTCGAAGCCCCAATGGCCAAATCATCAAGCAGCAATCCGCTCTTCGACACGAGCGTTAGAATTCACAAACCAACCGGTATCCGCTACCGCTCGGAATTTCTGGCGAAATCGCATGTTCCTTGTAAACGCGATGCGGCGGCGTCCTTTTCGCCGACAACGCCGCGTGGCGCCTTCTGTTGTGCTTTTTGTTGTGCGTCTTATCAGGGGTCCACGCAGGTTTATGGGAATCTTGATACGTTCATGGCGCATTTAGCGCAGAGTCACTGGGCTGTTGAGAGAGATACACTTGCACTTTTGTCGAGTACACGGTGCGTAGTTGGTCGGGTGGCGGGTGATTCGGAGTATTTCGATGTCAATATATTGCCGAGATGATGATCTGTTGCTTGTCTGGTCTTTGTGGGTTGGTGCGGGAAATTTTGGCGTTGGTCATACCCGAGGGATATATGGCGTAGATTTTGTATAAATCAGTTATATGATTAGGAAATCTGCTCTTGGTGTGTATTTTTCTCTTTCTGTCTTCTTGTATCCCATGTTATATCGAAGCTGCATCAAAGTGGCAAGAATCTCAAGATAGTGCGTAGGTCAATTTGAATGCAACGCTGTGCAGGGGTCACACAGCCAATATGTATCAATCAGTGGTTACCGTTTCGTCACATTCTGAAAATGGCGTTCCCCCTGCATAAAATGCAATGCAAAACATGTACCATGATGATTTTCAAAGTCCCTTGCGTATAGAGGGGTCCGAAAAATATAATGGGTCAAGCCTGGATCAGGGGTAAAATGATGTCGATCATCGAGTTAGTGCGGCAAAACGTGGATCGGTTTGAGATTAAGGGTCTGACCCTTTAAGGAAGTTTGGGGGCCAGAAGAGAATACGATTGTTGTCCACGGGGAAATAAAGATGGATACAAGCGAAATTAGAGTCCGAGGTATATGCAGCCCCTGACACTAGATTGATGCAAGTAGCCTTGGAAGTCACTGTACATATTAAATTAGCCGGGGTGGTACTTCAATGTACTTGATGGAAGATCATTCGATGCTCCAATCAGCGATCGACAAACGAAACAGATACAGAAGTCACGCTAATCCCGAATGTGGAAAGTGCCACAGTTGCAGTCCCTTTTTTTTTCCTCTTTTTCTTTTGAACATTTGGATTGGACTCTTCAACTGACTCGATCCTTGACTCTCTCGGTCCTTCTTGATCTCCTATTGATTTCTTCCATTCCTTCTATATCCCTTGATTCGGCAATTTCGTCATCCGTCGCGCGACGCGCTACAATAATTCCGACTCTCCACATGGGGCAGTGCTTATTACTTTAAGATTGCGCGTTTTTAGACGACTCTGGCCTCTTCTCATCTCCGGTTTCGACTTTTCCCCTCTTATCTACACAACTACCCCCTCCTCACAGTTTCGATAATCGCGTTATGCCATGAGGCTGTCACTCCGAATTTGTGCGGCTGCAGCACTTATTGTCCTCACAATCGTCCTATTCAATCGCAGCCTGAGGACCGAGAGCAAACATCTTAAGGATCTCTTGCATTTCGACACGGGCTCTTTCAAAAACCCTCTGCAACCGAAAATCGAGGACGAATCCAACCCTCGCCGGAAATGGCGGGTCGCATCGGATAATAAACCCGCCTTGGTTTACCAAACCACTGACATCGAGGTACCAAACCAGGGCGCCATTGTTATTGGAAAGCTGAAGGAGGAAGATACTTCCTGGGTCTCGGGCGAATTGGCGGAGTGAGTGGTGCAGAAATTCAATTGTTTATAGCGCTAACCCACCATAGATGGCACGGAATTATCTACACCGTTGACGACACCAATATCCCCATGCACACACCCAAGAACAAAGGTCGCGAGGCCCTCCCCTACCTTCAATTCCTGGTCGACCATTATGACGACCTCCCCGAAGTCGTTGTTTTCCTGCACGCCCACCGTGACGGCTGGCCCGCCGGCTGGCACATCGACACTATGGATCTCAGCAACGTGGACTCTGTGCGCGCACTGCAGAAGGACTTCGTCAAACTCGAGGGCTTCGTCAGTCTTCGCTGCCAGCTCAGCCCCGGTTGTCCAGATGCTATCCAGCCCTTCCGCCAGCCCCCGAAGATGGAAAACCCCGGCGAGGCCCACTACGCTACGGCGTGGAAGGCGCTTTTCCCCAATGAGAGAGTCCCCGCGGAAATCGCCGCCCCGTGCTGTTCGCAGTTTGCGGTTTCCAAGGAGCAGATCCTCAAACGCCCTCACTCCGACTACAAGCGTATGTACGACTGGGTGATGAACAATGACCTGCCCGATGAAGTGACCTCCAACATCATGGAGTATTCATGGCACATTATCTTCGGCAAGGACCCTGTCTTGTGAGTTATTCTGCCCTTTTCTCCTGCTTGCCTTTACTAAGTCGTCCAGCTGTCCGGATATGTTCCAATGCTACGCAGACGTCTACGGCGAACAAGTCGTCTTCAACTAATGAACACAATCCATCGCTTTATGCCTCCAGCGTATAGCTTTTGTCTCATCTCAATACCTCTTTAACCCGATGGGGATACCTCTCTAACCTGACCCCGCCGGTCTCCCTGGAAGGAGAACATGGCCTCACCCGCCAATGCCTGACGACTCGCTTCGATGTCTATTTTTCTGTCGGCTGGTACAACCAAGCTGCACCTGACCTCCACATATGGATCTGTCGTGTGTTTCCAGGCCCTTGCCTCGTGCCCCGGCACTGTACATTTTATTCGATCACACCTTTTTTTGCCAATGTCCTACTTACTCCTGATAATTATAGCGTAGCTATTTTTCAACCATCTCCCGGCTCACGTCGTCCCACCTGTACATCTTCCCACTGCCTACATTATAGTGGTAGTAATTGTTCGTCCCGGCGGGCACGACCGCCCGCCGAAACGTAATGTTAATCCGACCCTGGCTCCCCTTCCGCTTCGGTATGCTGTGCAACCAATTGGCCTGCGTCTCCCCGCGCATAACAACCATATCCCCCGACCCAAGACTCATCTTAATCTGCCGTCCCACCGGCACCGTAGCAGTGCTGCTCTTCGGGGATCCCGGCCCGGTCGCACCAGGAGCTACTAGAACTGGCTTATGCTTCATCAAGAAATCCCGCTCGCCACCCAGCGAAAGCGACGCAATATTCGGCCTCGCACCCAGAAACCGCTCATCGTCAGAATGAAATGCAATGCTGTCCTCCCCACTCCCGTAGTAATTCACAAGACAGAAATTATACCCCTTCTCGCCTGTTCCGTCCTGCGCATGCGCTTCGACCTCTCGACGCAGTTGCTCCAGACATTCCGGTATCGGCCGTGGTGTGCATTGGTATTTTGTTGGTGATATTGGTGAGCCGGTTTTGGAATCGACGAGTTTGTCGTCTTTGAAAAGGGATGTCTCGTCGACACCGAAGACCGTCGTCCAGCGTGGTGTGTTTATTTCTGTGGAGATTGGGCCACGGCGCGCCGTGTAGCGGACGCGGTAGAAGGGGAGAGAGTGCCGGAGGAATTTGAAGAGCTCGTTTGCTGTTGGGCGGGGTAGGTAGGGGGTATAGTGGAGGAGGTCGAGGTGGGGTTGGTTGGTTATTTGGGTTGGTTGTTTGAAGGGCGTTGAGTGTTGGAGGCCTGCTTCGATATGTGATGGGAGTTGGGGGATTGGGATTGGGTAGCTTGGGTGTTGGCTTGGAGGTTTGTTTGTTGGTATTGAGGATTCACTGATGGTCGGTGGGATTTGCTCATTTTGTTCAAGTTTGGGTCGTTTTGGGGTTGTTGGCTTGAAGAACGAGTCGAGGGTTCGTTTTGACATGGCTGGAGACACTTGGGGAGATATTGTGAAGATGTGAAAAAAGGTGAAACAGTGCAGAGTTTGCGCGACGCGACTTGCTGAACTTATGATGTCATTGATCTATACGGCCGATCTGGAATATCATGGTTTCAGTGTGTTCAATTGCCATATTGTGTTGACTTAGCTACTGTACGCCCTCGGTCTCCGAGATTCTGACTACATACTTCACTGCAGAAGCCTTTCCAGCCCTCAGATCCTTCAAAGCACCCTCAAGTCCACCCAGTCCCCCTTCCCTCACCTCAAACGGATGTCCAGAGAACCAACCCTGCGCCAGCCCCCTTCCAATAAACTGGAAGAAAGCAGCTCCAAACTCTTTATCGCCAAGAACCTGACCTTCAGCAGGCGGGTTATGCACAGACCCGACCATAGTTCGATGAATCGAGATGCCATCAGGAATCTTGGCTCCCTCCTCGGCGGGTAAAACAACGTTGACCCGACCTGGTGCATCGAGTGCAGCACCGAGATTCACATAGCTTCCTTTCTCTGATACAGCGTCGTATGCATGATGAATGGGTCCTTGGGCAGCAACTTTGATGTTTGAGCGAATGGCTTCGTCGCCTTCGCGATAGTCGATGATTGTGTCGCCCTTTTCTCTGCTAATAAGTGTCTCCACAAAGGGTGCGCCTTTACCGGCCACTGCGATGATCGGGTGGATGTTTGATAATTGCGCGAACTTGATTGCAAATGCCCCCACTGCGGTTGCTCCACCGTACACAACCAGCGGTGTGCGCTTTTCAGCTGGACTCCATGGGAGAGGCAGTTTCATTTCTTGATACAACCCCAGCGCAGCGGTCATCGCTGCCAAGGGGATTGTCGCGGCCTCTGTGGCGTATCAGTAACTTCTTGTGGATCAGAGGGCTGAAGGAGACATACCTTCAAAGCTCGTTTTGTCGGTGAGGTGGAAAGTAGTATGTTCCCAGGCAATGGCGTATTCGGCATAACTTCCATGCGGGCTCATCATCTCATGGAACGCAGCTACTTTGTCGCCCTTGCGGAACTTCTGGACTCCTTCGCCGACTTCCTCGATAAAACCAGCGATATCATCGCCTTGGTTCATGATATGCTCTGAGCTCCAAATTGGTAGCTTCCAGTCTTTGGGGTTGGTACCAGATGCCACTACTCGAATGAGGACCTGGCCTTGCTTTGGGGCGGGGATGTCCACGTCCCGGATGTTGACCGTGGTGGTCTTGTCGATGATAGCCTCTTTCATTTTTGGAGATGTTGTCGTCGAATTGCGATGTCAAAGTATGACCGATGGACGGATTTCAGTTTAGATTAGTTTTTTGTTTCATCGAGTCCATCTTGATTTGTAATCTTTTGCATCACAATTAGTAATTGCCCAGGTGCTCTTAGGTGAAGCTATCCCCACCTGTGAGGTCACAGTGGGTCATCCACGGATCATTATTGTTTCTGGGGAAATATCAACTGACAAACTGCATATTCGCAGTCTCAACTTCAATTCAAGAATAGACCCAATTCTTTTCAGCCTGGGAATTGATCTGTTTCATCGCTTTGCATTGGCACGGTGTTCTGTGGGAAGTTCTTTTTGGGCTTAGATTTAGGGTCAAGTTCATGCAAGGGCAAGGGTAGACGAATTTATATTCTACCTACTTATGTTGTAGTTGTAGGTGTAAGCTCGAGTTTTATACTTTACGCCACCCACAATCATTGCAATGCTGCATAATCTTAAACTATATACTCTCATCGCACAACCTAGGAATCACCAATCCATAATCCCAGAACGAACCACAATCTTTCCAACCTGATGATCCCTCTCGCCCTCAATAACCGCCTTCAAAATCTCACCACCAAGACTAGCCGGCTGTGCCCCCATAGCCTTTGCCAGCTCCGGCACACCCCCCAAATTGGTAGCCAGCATCCCAGGCCCAACAGCCCAGACCTTGACCCCATCCGCCTTGAGCTTGTGATTCCAATCCAGCATCAGCATATTCAGAGCTGTTTTGCTGCAGCGATACCCAATTGTTTCGAATCCAATCTTCTTCGGCCACCCCGCAGGCTGTGGAGGCGTCGGGAAGTATTGTTTCCCTGCTTGGTTGATCGCCGAGAGGCCGGCTACGAATAGAAGACGTGGGTCGCTGGATTTCAGGAGTAAAGGCATAAATGTGTAGCTTAGAACGTTCGTTCCTGTGACGTTGACGTCGTAGGCTTTGTTGAAGCACTCCCGTAGAGACACTTTGCCGGCTGTGTAGTCGATATCGAATGTTGCTCCTAGGGGGTGTTAGTGCGATTTAGCTTGGATCTGGGAGATTGTAGTACATACCGGCATTGTTGACTAAAACATCGATGTGCCCGTGGGTATCGTCGACCTGCTTGAACGCTGCTTCGATGGATTCGTCGCTAGTAAGGTCGATTTGTATAGCTTCGACGGTGTTGGTTGCCTGGGGGCATTCTTCTTTGAGGGTCTCAATGGCGAACTTTGCCTTTTCCAAAGAGCGACTGCCCATTAGAATGTGGTAAGGCTTTTGAGAAGTGAGGAGTGCTTTGACTGTTTCATAGCCAATTCCACCATTGCCGCCGGTGACAGTAACGATCTTTCGCAGCGACATTGCTGAGTCTGTGGCTGGTTGAGTCTTCAGGTTTGTTTACAACTGCCAATGTCTGAAAGGACATGGTGAGACCAGACAGCGTCATTTATACCCATTGCATCACTTGTTTGACTCTTTGGGATTCAAATCTCCAAAAGCCGATGTTTCCGATGGCGAGAAGATGCACACGATCAGAGCGGAGATAAGTGCTGCGAATCGGAGATAAAGTGTCAAACGGGACTTGGACTTCGGAAACTGTATAGATATTTGAAACGTTGATTTGATTGACAGGAAGATATCATGGAGATTAATTATGCCAACCCTAGTTCTACTGGGCCTGGTATTTGGGGATTTCCTCCCCAGTCCGCCACTTATATTTGCTCCCAGGATGATCTTCCGGCAATCGCTTCGTCCCAATGAAAACCTCCCTTGCCGTGGCACCCTCCTTCTCAATCTTGTCACGGAAAAGGCCCCTGCGTCGCAACTCAGGCAACAAGAATTCAATGATATCTTCAAACGTTCCAGGGTTCACGATATGCGCAAGATTAAACCCGTCCACATCGGAGATCTCCACCCATCTTTCCAGCTCATCCGCCACAGTCTTGGTACTGCCGACGATCTTGGCTTGAAGTCCACCAACGCTGATGTACTCCACTATTCTGCGCTTCGTCCACGGCAGGTTATCGGTACCGGGGACGGTATCTGACCATCTGCGTACGACAGATTGCACGCGAGGAGAGTCGCTGAATCGGAAGTCTTCATCATCTGAGTATTTTGCTAGATCTACCCCAGTCCACCCACCAAAAAGCGCGAGAGCCCCTTCGTCATCGGCGTATTTCAGGTATCCCTCCCGCTTGGCTTGTGCTTCTTCATCTGTGGCCGCGACAATGACGTTGATTCCGACGATGACTTTGATATGCTTCGGGTCACGGCCTGCCCCTTTGGCTATATTGCGAATGTTGTCGACGGTGCCACGTGTACCCTCTGGTGTTTGTCCACCAATAAAGATGGCTTCGCCATTGGCTCCGCCAAATTTGTTTCCTGCTTCCGAGACACCGGCCTGGAAAAGAAATGGCGTTCGCTGGGGTGAAGGTTCACAGAAATGAGGACCGGGTACATCGAAATATTTTCCTTTGTGGTTGATTTCTCGCACACCATCGCTGGAAACGTATGTTCCGAGCTGTCGATCGGCCAGCACAGCATCATCGCGGAAACTGCCTTCCCAGAGCTTGTACAGAACCTCCAGGTACTCATCTGCAATGGCGTATCGTTCATCATGAGGAATCTGCTCATTCAGTCCGTGGTTCCGGGCCGCACTATCCAGATACGAAGTGACGATGTTCCACGCTACTCGGCCCTCACTGAGATGGTCTACCGTCGAGAGTCGACGAGCGAGTGCGTATGGCTTCTCGTACGTCAAACTGGCAGTCACTCCAAATATGAGATTCTTCGTCACTGCTGACAAGGCGGGGACAAGATATAGTGGGTCGTTGACAGGGAATTGCGCGCCTGAGGACAGTGTCGGCACAAAGTTGGCTGGGCCCTTGTACACGTCGTATGCACCAAGAGTATCTGCGATGAACATTGCATGAAATCCAGCTTGATCAAGCAGTTGGGCCAGGTCGGTCCAGAAAGATAGCTTTTTGTATTGGTCGGTCTTGTTTCTGGGGTGTTTCCATAGCCCTGGGGCCAGGTGGCCAGGCGTGTTCATAACGAAGGCATTCAGAATAATCTGCTTTTTGCCTGAGGCTGATGCCGCATCACTCATATTGTTATATTGCTGAAACTATCTCGTTTTGAAATATCTCGATGTGACGAGTAGTTGGGAATCGCAGTTTTGTATACTGGAAATAAATGCCAAGGGCCCACAGATGTCACCATGGATGTCACCATCATGTCCGCCATTTTCTAGTTCCATTATTCCTGATGAATAGTACCTAAGTACCTACTTAGGTACATTATATCGGCCGACAGAATTGTGTGGAGCAATGCAAAGCGCAATGATCGTTTCGTACCATTTCGCGATAACGCGAGAATTTGACACCATCACCTCGGCGTGGCACGCCATTCCTCCCATGTTCACAACAAATTGTTCGCCAATCATTCAACTTTCACGATTAACCTGACTTCAGACCAATTAGCAGTGCTACAGTTCAGCACCTAGACGATTTTCCTCAAGCCGCTATAACGCAATTGCGGATATTAGCAACGCGACCACATGGCAACTCTGATTGTTACGCAATCCTCCACAGACTGTTAATTGGCTCTGAATTCATCCACATAAGGCTGGGCACTGAGATATGATGGACCCTGCAGTCAATAAATATTTCTCAGCCCTGCTCATTCAACTTGGCTTTTCTTGTCTTTCTTCGCCCAGACATCATGGCGAACACGATAGATACAGCCAAGCTGGCATTGATCTCCCAGGGTGCGGCCTATGGCCTACTCATTGGTCTGAGCGTTGTGTTTTGCGGCGTTATTTTGGTCGCTGTCAAGGTGCAGAAAGCTTATCTTGCCGAAGACTCGGGCAAGTCTGAGATGTTCATGGTCGCAAATCGAAGTGTTGGTCGTGGACTTACAGCGAGTGCGGTATTTTCTTCTTGGATGTGGATCAATGAGACGGTGCTGTGCGCCAGTATGTGTTACAGGTACGGCCTAGCTGTGCCTTTGGTATGTGGATTCCAGTCGTTCTGGCTTATTGTGTTGGACTGACGGGTGAGTAGTGGTGGGGATCTGGCCTGTGCTTCCAGATTGCTTTGATGGCAGCACTTGGGGTTATGGCCAAGATTCGTGTTCCTTATGCGCATACCTCTCTTGAAGTGGTGCGCATGCGGTATGGAAAGATCGGCCATGTAATCTTTATCCTGCTGAATCTTGTGAACAACGTTTTCGGCTGTGCATCTATGATTATGACCGGGTCTCAACTTATTCATGGTGTTTCTAACATGCACTATGTTGCAGCAACTATCTTGATTCCACTCGGAGGTATGTATTGTTCGATCAAAAGGAAATAATCAAGAGCTAACTGTACGCAGTGGTTCTATATACAGCAGTCGGTGGTCTGAAGGCCACCTTCTTGACTGACTTTTTGCACACGGCTATCGCTCTCATTCTGATTATCTACTTCACCATTTCTGTTCTGACAAACTCACATGTCGGTGGATTGGGTGGTCTATATGATAAGGTTGTTGCGACAGCGGCAGACAACTATATCCCCGAAAATTATGAAGGTTCCCTTCTCACTTTCAAGTCAAAGGGTGCAATTATCTGGGGTTTGATCCTCAAGTTTGGCAACTTGGCACTCGTCGTCATGGTAAGCAATACCACTGCTCAGATCGAGGTTCTCAAGAAGAGCCCGGAGTTACCAAGACATCCAAAACATTGTGTATGTCTAACTAATATACAACGAGTAGGATACCGCTTTCTGGCAAAAGTCCTTTGCAACCGAGGTGCGCGCCACAGTACCAGGCTACAACATCGCCGCATTGGCCGTGTTCGGAATTCCCTGGGGTCTGGGAACCGTCATCGGATTGACAGCGCGCGCAATCCACCAGACTCCTATCTTCCCAACCTATCCTGGAACGCTCACTGCAACTGAGGTCAGCTCGGGTATGGTAATGCCATACGTGATCAAGGCGCTCATTGGAGACAAGGGAATAATCGGCTTCTTCTTCCTACTTTTCATGGCACTGACTTCGACCATCTCCTCGTCAATGATTGCCGTCAGCAGTATCCTTTCTTACGACATTTACAAGACCTATCTCAACCCAAAGGTCACCGACAGGCAGCTTGTGCGGGTCAGTCATATCACTGTTGTTATCCACGGTGTCTTCATCACGGGAATTTCGATCGCTCTTAACTACGGCGGAGCAAACATGACATGGATTGGCTATCTCAGACCTATTATCTCATGTCCTGGAATCATGCCTATGATTTTTACCTTGTTCTGGTCTCGCCAAACTCGACTAGCAGCAATTGTTTCTCCCGTACTTGGCTTTTTCACGGGTCTTGCTGTTTGGTTGGCCTCGACCAAGTCGATGTATGGCCATATCAACATCACGACAACCACAAACAACTACCCAGCGCTCTATGCTGCGATTGCATCTTTCTTCTCGCCTGCCCTCTACTCCGTCATTCTATCGCTCTACAAACCATACCGATTTGACTGGAGAGAGTTCTTGCGCATTGAGCTCGCAGATGAAGCACACATCCACCCACCATCGGACACATCCACATTGAATGAGAGTGGCGAGGAAGACAACCCACAAGGGCCTAAACTTGCAGCTGGATCGGTGAAACCAGTTTCGGCGACTCCATCGGAAGCAGCGAATGACTCTGAGAAAATCGCAGGAGACAACGAAAAAACATTACCAGCCTCATCCTCTAGTGCTCTCGATATTAGCCTGGATGATATCCAACATCCATTCGACGAGGCTACACTGAAGGAGCTGCGCAGATGGCTCAAGATAGCTTGGTATATGTTCGCTGCAATTGTGCTAGTGACCTTTGTTGCTTGGCCACTTCCACTGTACCGCGACTACATTTTCACGAAATCATTCTTCGGAGGCTGGGTTACCGTTGCAATCATCTGGCAGTTTGCTGCATTTGGTGCCGTCGTCGTCTATCCGCTTTACGACGGACGGCGGGATATTGCGATAGGTGCGAAGGGTGTATGGAAGTCATCGAAGGAGTATATCGGAAGTAAAAAGGCAAACTAGATTGTATAGTAATTCCTCTATATATATTTATATATCTGATGTCGGAGAATAAAGTTGACCCGTGAAAAATAGATCGGGGACTCTAATAGGCAAAAATCGGGATTATCCGCCATCGCTCATCCATGGTCAAAATATCCTAATTTCTCTCATAAGTGAATCATTTTTCTGATCTTGGAATATTTGTTCCTCTATTGTCTCCGAGACCAGGGGTTGTGAGAATTCCTAATTTCAACCTGTCCCTTTCGTGCTTCAGAACTGTACTTTCTAAAGCTTCATGATGTCGACCCCATCACAAAATATCTACGACAACCCGAATTTTTTCTCCGCATATGGAACCCTCGCCCGCTCACAACATGGTCTATCTGCAGCTCCAGAATGGGCAACTCTGAAGCAAATGGTCATCAGCAAGACATTGAGCGAAACAACGGAATATCCCTTGAAAGGAACCCGGATCTTAGATTTAGGATGCGGATACGGGTGGTTCCTCCGCTGGGCTCGTGAAAACGGCGCAGAGTATCTCAAAGGAATCGACATCTCTCAAAATATGATCAATCGCGCAAAGGAGACCGAGGCTGAAATCGGACGCGATTCTCGAAAGCAGTCACTAGAGAAACCACCAAGTGGCGAGATTGCCTTCGAAGTCAGCGACCTGGAGACTATCACGCTCGGCAACGAATCAGAAACTGGACTGTATGACATGGTGTACAGCTCTTTGACATTTCACTACATCGAAGATATTCCGCGACTGTTTCGCGAGATCCATGCTTGCCTGAAGAAGGGCAGTCAGCACGGCCGAAATGGCCGCTTCGTATTTTCGATTGAGCATCCGGTCACTACAGCACCAATACATCCAGGACCGGGGTTCAGGGTGATAGAAGAAAACGGAGAAAATCGCACAATATGGCCGTTGAATTCTTATGCGGATGAAGGCTTGCGCTTGACGAGCTGGTTGGGGACCGAAGGGGTGAGGAAGTATCACCGCAGTGTGGAGACATATGTTACGGCGTTACTGGATGTTGGGTTTACTTTGACTGGGCTGAAGGATTGGTCTCCTTCTAAAGAAGATGTTGAAGGTCAACCGGAGTGGAGTGTTGAAAGAAATCGTCCATTCTTCTTGCTTATATCTGCCGAGGCTTGCTCATGAAGATGCACAAATTAAAGTGCTCTAACTCGGTTTGAAGTTTAGATTTTGCCCGAGGGAACTAGACAGGGAGTATGTTGCATTTATGGAACACCCGTCTTTGTTACTATCTTTTAAAAGTGTAAATTATGATAAAAAGTTACTGGCTATCATATCTAGTCAAAAGACCAACCTCCAGTCTTGTCAGCAAAGAAGTTATCTGGGTCATATTTCTTCTTGATGCCCTGCAGTTTCTCATATGTAGAGAAGGTCGACAAGGGGTGTTGATCACGGTTGGCATCGTTGATGAAAAGTGGAAGGCCTTCAGCATTGGTGGTCGACGCAACCATATCACGGAAGCTAGATTGAATGGCGTCGTAGTCGGGCTCACTCATTCCAGGGGGCGTGGTAAGCAAATAGTTCAACCAAAACCATGGTCCATCGGGCATTTGCATGGCATTTCCGCCCTGTGCCTTACTGGCATCCGTCAGGCTCTTCGGTACAGGTTGGAAATCGAGGGAAAGTAGGGTGTATTTGCCCTTGTTTGACTCGGCCCAGTTGCGCCACACATCGAGAGCGTTCTTATACTCGTCGTTATCAGCACGGTGAACGCCGACTCGGAAAATGTTGTTTCCTCGCGATGCCTCGGTGGCGAATGATACTGGCATGTCCGCTACCTCGGGGTAGGTCTTGATGCCAGTTGTGCTGATGAGATGAGGGACGCTGGTGAAATTTACAAATGCATCACCTGGGTCGGGTCCATCATATACCAAGAACATGATGATGGCTTCATCTATGTTCAAGTTCAAATCTGGGGTGGGCAGCTTCTCATAGGTACCGATAATGGCGGCTTTGGGATCGGTGTTGTATCGAACAAAGTTTCCAATCGCTTCGATGATGGTGTCTTTCTGGGGGAATGCGTAGATGATGATGCCAGCGAAGAATTCACCAACAGGGCGGCTCTGAACGGTGTATTTGGTCACAACACCATAGGCGTTTCCTCCACCACCACGAGACGCGAAGAACAGATCAGGGTTGGTGGTGTTTGAGGCAGTCACAATTTCACCATCGGGGAGAACAATCTCCAGCTCCCGGAAGGAATCACAAGCCATGCCGTACTGAGGAGAAAGATAGCTCATGCCACCGCCCAGCGCAAGCCCAGTGCCTACTCCAGAAAGTCGGGCGCCAACGACCGTGCGATTATATTTAATGAAGTAGTCGTATATATCGCCAAACACACCACCCGGCTGGTAGGTCGCCAGCGTAGTTTCTGGGTCATATGACTTTTCAGACAAGCTGCTCAAGTCGATCAGAACGCCTTCATCAACACTAGAGAAGAAGGTGTTGGGGTTGTGTCCTCCTCCTTTGACCGCAAATCGGCTGTCGGCTACTCGAATGGCCTTCAAAGTCACAGAGACATCCTCTGCGGAGGTTGGGTAAACAATACAAGACGGCTTGTAAGCATCTTGAGTGGTGCTCCAATATTCAGTGCTTGTGTGGTACTTCAAGCTGAGCTTTTGAGTGTTGACTTTGGACGAGCCCAGCTGAGACGTGATGTTGGAGCAGGCTAAGGGACCTGCAGTAGCATACGAACCGATCGGCCCCAAGATGCCAGCTAAGGCGAAGGCGAACGATAGCATAATGAAATGCTAGAAACTGCACTGATTGAGATTGAATTGTAGCGACTCATCCTCTTTAAATAATTAGCTCCCTCTTTAATCCGCCTGGTCGAGTAGGGAGGCATTATGGCCTCGGTAGAGTTATACGATGGGAATACGATAAAAGGCGGAGATGGAACGATGATGGGTTCGCGTTCGGGTGAGGAGCTAAAAGAAGAAGAACAAACTGACGATCCTCATTATTCAGTAATCACGGATCTACACTTCTCCGGATAAAGGGATTTAGGGATACCAGTCGACTTCTACATATGATTCCAAATGCGTATTCACAGCTCGCCCGAATACTGCTTTTTAGGACTATCTTAACCTGCAACGTTTTCAAAAATCAGTCCTCAAAAATCACATTCACTACATTCTAACGTGGAGTGGACAACGGACTTAAGGAACCGAAAAAGGGGTTTCTGCTTGATTTTTCTCATGAATTTTTAAGATCGATGCACGATGCTTTGAATTCCTAAAATTTGGATTTTATATGATTGGAGATAATACCCCATTAATAAGGTACAGCAAAGCAACTTTGGAATGTATAAAAACACAAAAGTGAATACAAGCACAGTAGTTGAATGCAATGAACTGTTATGCGGTCCAGTAGTGAGATTTAGGTAGGAGCCGGTTGTCTGCGATGGTCGTATCTCTTGCGATCCACTCTGGCGACGGTAGTTAAAATTTTCAAGAACTAGATAGGTAAGTAAAATTACTATAAGGCCGGCAGCTTGCAAGATATATTTCTATCGCAGTAGCTTTGGTTCGGGTACTCTTATAGAATATATACAACTCACAATTGATAACAAGAATCCGGAATAATTAGTATGAAGTAAAAAGCTATATTGTTCAGTTAGATCATATTATCAAAATCTTTTCTGAACAAAGTTGGTCAAGTTACATATTTTCTTCCGAGGAGTTCGAAAGAAACCTTTTGTGGACAGACCAGATTAGAAGCCGACTGTTTATGCGGGCGGTATCACACCAGTTGCCTACAGCAGAGAAGCTCTTGAAAAGAAAAGCTCCATTCATCGAAAGTCTTGGTCATCGCGTGTTATAGCCCTTGCATGTGGCTTTAATGGTAACACATTCATCACTATATAGCAGCGATGTCAATAGGAGTCGGTATTGTTATCTCAGGAAGTTGCCCTAAATATTGCAAGAGAGCCGTCGTACCAAATGACCAATGCCGTTATCGCGCATCGGGTTTTCTCACATTAGGGGATTTACGGGGTTTCGTATCTTTTGTATGGGGTTTACACATAAAAGGTACGTATCAAACATCCTCGAATATCTTATAATATAGAGAATACATATATATCAATCTATTATGATATTTGATTCTGCTATATTTAACATTTGTCTAGTTCCAGAGGATCAAATTATAAGTATTCTAGTTCTTGGTTCTCGGAGGCTCTTTCTGACCTTCACATTGAAATATTGAGCATACTTATAGTTATACCAGAATAAGATTGATATTTCAAGTATAAAACGACGATAAGAATTCTGATAATCTAGTTTATATCATAAGATTTTGAAGAATGTTTGATATGTATCTCTATGTACCTTCTGTATGTAAATTCCATACATAAAAACCCCTAACACCCCGGAAATCCCTTAATGCGAGAAAATCCCCTGATGCAAGACAGACTTATGGGCGGGTAGTCCATTAGTCATGGTAAGACGGCTATTGAAAGTTTTGATCTATGTAGTTATGCATACGAATTAACTACCTTCTACCAAGGGTTTCCACAAAGGACCTTTTCCGACCAGCGAATAGAAATCATCTTTCCAACCTACCTAAGGCGCAGAGCCCTAAGGTCGTAGGCGAACACAGTCAGATTCTTCATTGAGGCTGAGACGTTAGTCCCGATCGGGTATGCTGGTCGGGAGACAACATACGCTAAACCCAATTGAGGTGACCAGTGCGATGGCAGTGCGATGCTAAGCACTTTTTGTCGCAGGATATAGACCCACAAGCTTTTTTTTGCGTAGGACACTGGCTCCTGGCACTGCAAATAAGCACAGCCACAAAAAACCTAACAGACGTATATAGGATAGCATTGCGAGATTGAGGAGCTGTCGAAGATGTTAAATAGCAGAACAATGCCCGGTCTCAAGAAATATCAACACAAGCCTTATTTCAACCCTACTGATTAAATTACTCTTCTTTTCCTTAGCCACTATGACGATTGATTATCGCCATGGGATTTCAATCCTCGAAATCATTGTTTATTCTCCCACTCTATTCCTCGCCCTTTGGATGGCATTTCACCATGGTTTCAAAAAGAGTTCGGGCTGGTACTTCTTCGTCGTGTTTTCTCTGGCTCGCATTATTGGCGCAGCGTGCTATCTAGCAACTATTAATACCCCTTCCGATGTCAATCTATACATCGCATGGGCTGTTTGCACATCACTTGGGTTGTCGCCAATGATTTTGGCTTCCATTGGTCTCTTGTCCAGAGCGTGGGTTGTCTATCCTGAACTCTACAGAAGCATCGAAACTAATATAGATCCAGAAATGATTCCATCATGAGAAAAACAGGGAAACCATTCTCTCCAATGATATTTCGATTGGTCGGCTTGTTTGCGCTAGTGGCTATGATCCTGAGTATTGTCGGTTCCACTGAGAATGCCAATTTCACTAGTGGTCTTGTCAACACCAAGACACAAGTCGGCCTAGTTCTGTATCTCGTCGCCTGGATTGGTGTATGTGGCTTGTTCATCCTCGTTGCCAGCAGGTCTCAGAGCATCGAAGACGGAGAGCACCGCTTACTGCTGGCGGTGGGAATCTCTCTTCCATTGATCCTTGTCCGATTGATCTACTCCTTCATATATAGCTTTGGCCACAAAGCACAGTTCAACATGTTGACTGGAAATGTCACGATCCAGCTTGTGATGTCTGTTTTGGAGGAAATCGTCATCGTGTTGGTTTGTCTGGGCATTGGTCTTACACTGCAAGTCCGACCCAGTGCAGAGTACACCCATCAATCCAGCGTATCCAGCCGTGGACAGGATTCAGTTGAGCTGGAGAGTGCAACCCTCCAAGGACAAACACCCAAACCGCGACAGTACCAAAGGCCAAAGCGACGCGGAGGCCCCATCTCAAGACTTGTCATGTTTGCTGTGGATGAGATCAATGAAAGGAGACGATAATCGGTACGCATGTCTGGTTTTGAACTTACGGTATAGAGCATTAGTGTCGGCAAACTTCAGGAAGACTCGTTATATGGCAGTTAGGGGTTAGTCGGGAGTTTGGGATCTAGATATAATGTTTTTGATTGAATATACAATATTTATTTAATATAGCTATGGATGGAAACTGACTGCTATGCCATTGCCTCCTTTTGTCACCAACTAACCACTGTTCAATAATGTGAGCGGTAGACACGTCAATTTCTAGTTCCCAGTAGTCCCAAGCTTTTTCCTTTCATTTGCACATCTCCATCTTTCTTGGTTCTACGTTAGACAACTGTGGGTCAGGCAGCAACAATTTAGACGGAAAATTGATAGGCAGCAACATATAATAGCTTCTCAAACTTCAAGTCAGGAGAAATGTGGATTTTGACAGAAATTTCTACTTCAATCCTTATAGAATGAAGCCTATAATGTGAAATATATGGAGTATAAAAGCGAAGCATTGTTGAACTAATGACGTCACCACTATGATTGGCTCACGGGCAGAGATTGAAAGGAAATTATAACTTCACCTTGATTATTCATAATTAAATGGAACTGCAAACTCAGAATTCTCCAACATTGTTTCATTTTCATCCAGGCCTGAGGTTCAATGGATCATGGAGCGGGCTCCCCGCTGTTCGTAGCCAGCGAAGCCCTCTGCTACTACCCGATCTCGACTATCTACAACTCATGTCCACGATACCTCTTTTATGCACTTCTCCTGGCAAGCTGTGTCACTCGATGGACGGGATGGCTGGCCGACGTTTTTCTCGGTGCTGCGGCAACATACGCAGGAACGGCGGCCATTCAAACTTTCATCATGGTTTCTAGCTTCCAGAAACCCCAAGACCCAGGGCCTGTATCTATCCCCTGGATTAGCTCGAACTCGAGTCTTCTGAAGGAGTTTCCTTCCATAATCACTGAAGCAGATCATGTGATGGTTTCGCCTGCTTCACTTGAGCTGGATGCGGATGCCGTTCTCGCCATTGTCGTTACTGGCTACCTCGTATTTCTACCGCTGCAATGTTGGTCTCGCATATTGACACACGACCGAGCGCGCAATTTACTCTTTTACGTGTGGAATGCTCTTATGCTTGCGGGCTCGATCTGCGCCCTCGTCTACGCTGCACGAACGCCGAAATTGCCGATTCAATACATGTTTTGCTATCCTGATATTCCTCCCTACAGCGACACCTCAAATGATGGCTGGCAAGCCTCGTGGAGGACCTCCACGTGGAACACCAGTGTTTGGAACACTTTTTCCAATATCTCGCAATGGGGTCTGATAGGAGATATCTGCTTCAACCCTTGCTTCAACACCACTCAGATTCTTCGACAAAGTACTTCTTTGCATGCAACTAGTTCAACGGATGACACGGCGGCCCCGACATCCCACGGGTTTTGGAAGGCAATTCTTTACTCGAAACGATATATCTACAGCCTTATCATCCTCTGTCTCATACTAAACTGTGTTCTTTTGACATATAGATTTCTTCCATATCGATCGCGAATTCCATCCGCTCAGATCGTGGTCCTCTGGAAAGACCGGAGAGCTATCTGGAGCAGCTTCAAGGAGGAAGTACGGAATGCAATGAAACCACCGCCTATGGATCTGGATACCGATCTGGATACAAATCCAGGGGAGCTCGAAGGGACAGCTGAAGGGAAATCAATCTGGCGCCGGATGCAACCCATTCTCACTAGGCGCTTCCTGAAAGCCTTTGTGCATGTATCTGTTGACGCCACAATCCTTTTTGGAATACTCTTCAGCATGATAGTCAGTCCTTTCACCATCGTCGCGTTCGTTGCCTGGATCGAGTTTCAGATCTACAATGACGGCCCCTCGCAGGAGAGCCCGCGACAGGTTGGCCAATGGGCTTACCTAGTCTCTATCGCTTTGCTGGTGATTTCGGCCGGTATTTTGACACTAAAATATCGCATTGCTTCTTCAAAGGAGCTGGAGAATGAGATTTCAGAGTTGAAGAAACATTTGGATGATTTAGAAAAGACTAAAGAGGCGCGGTTGCAGAATGACGCATTTGAATTTCGATCCCTTAGGGACCATATCAAGGGAGGTTAGAACACTCATTGCATTCAATTTCCTTTTACTTTCCATTTCATGATATCCCATGTTATTCTTTCAACGTGTTTTCTTTACTCTGTAAGTAACAGCCCTCCAGCGTACAAGTAGGAAACCCAGGGTTCGTTGTCAAACATTCTCACCCAACAACAACAGTCTACCCATGAATGCGAATGGAAAAAAGGTGCTACAAACGGCGAAAAGGCAGTCTATATATGAAGGAACAGTTCTGTCAAATGTAATAGAACACAGCAGACCTTTCAACCGGCAAGTGGATAATGTAATGAGGTTAGGGGACAAAAAAGAAACCCAATTGAATTCGCCCAAACAAGCAATTAACAATCTATTCATGCGTATATCATGAGCCCCAAACTGATAAGTTGCGAAGAATACCAGTCTGCAGGTGAGTCCGAAAACGACAATAGATAAGGCCAGCCAAGCTCCGCTCTTAGGTTTCTTCGTTCCCTGTCAGTAATGTTTAGACCACCAGAGCCTAATGTGATGAAAGGAATTCAAGCTAAATTTCACGGATTTGAAAATTAAACATGAGTATGCGCCTTGTTGCATGCTCTCAGCGCGTTTTCAGGTGCATAGTATTGGCTCAAGATATGGTCTAGCCACATGCTCATTTGTTAGAAAGCAGTCAGCAACAGAAATTCCAATAAAAGGCAGCTCTCGAGCAGTCCAGTTTACATTTAAGCGACACTTTCCCCTCGACAGACGATCACTTGGCGAATGTGCGGGGGTGCGCCTCGTCACCAAATAGGACTTTGAAACTGTCCCGCTATCCCTGTTCTTCGTCACACGTCGAGGTCAGTGCTCTCCATTCAGAGAGATTCAATTCGAGGAAATGGTCACAATCCTGTCTTGCATCATATCTTGCCGAATATCACATTCCACCACCCCCGTGGTTGTTCCTGCCCAGGCGCTATTTGTATTCCTGCATTTAGGAGACACTGCCAGTTCGCTAAGAAGAAAAGGCGGAAAAGAAACCAAATCAGTATATCTACTTGATATTCACTTTGAGTTGTTTACTGAAATTCCATTCTTGACTTTCAAAAGAAACCCCCTGTTTAGGTCGAATCACACATGAACTTAGATTGAACGTACACTATGGATCCAACTCAGACCAACTCGAGCAAGGACTTTGACGAGCATTCTACCCGTGATGATAGCGAGGGTAAGGGATCACACATCCCGCTATGGCAGTCAATCAAAACATTTCCCAGAATCGTGGGATATTGTCTCGCTCTGAGCTCCGCCATTCTTCTTTATGGCTATGACCTCGTTATTGTCGGAACAGTGGCTGCAATGCCACAATTTCAGTATGTTTACACCCTTTGTAACAATCGGATTCTCTCTCGCTGACTGTTGAAAGATCTAAATTCGGTCAGCAGCTGAACGGAAAATACATCATTCCGTCCATGTGGCTTTCATTATGGAATGTTTCCAGTTGCATTGGAGTGATGATTGGCTCAATCCTTGGAGGATACTATCAGGATCGGCGTGGACGGCGACTCACACTGGCAATAGGAAGTTTCCTATCTACAATTGCAATTGCGATATGCTACATCTCAGATCTGCCGGACGATATTGACACTCGACGTGGGGTTTTTTTCGCCGGGAAACTATTCCAGGGGATCTGCATTGGGATCCTTTTGTGTGTCACACAAACGTACATGTCGGAAGTTTTGCCAGTTGCTCTCCGAGGGCCGATCATTGCATTCTATCCTATTTTTACACTGCTTGGTCAACTGGTCGGTTCGATTGTGGTGTACACCTCACTGAAACACACAGGCGCAGAGTCATATCGGATTTGCTTTGCATCGCAGTGGCCGTTCTCTGCTGTTCCATTTGTTTTAGCAGCCATCTTACCTGAAAGTCCTACGTGGCTCTTGAGGAACAAGAGAAATGAGGCAGCCTTGAAAGCACAAAAACGGCTTGACACGCATGCCATTGATTCAGCTGCTGTCATTGAAGAATTACAAGCTTCAATTCTCGCAGAGGAAGAGGAAAGAGGATCGCACACATACATCGATTGCTTCAGAGGGGTGAATACCCGACGAACCTTAGTTGTGGCTTTTGCGAACATCATTCCCCAAATGTTTGGACTACAGTTGTTGGCCAATGCCTCATATTTCATGCAAGTCGTGGGAATGAGCTCGACTAATAGCTTGATATTCTTGATCTTGGGTATTGGACTCGGCTTGATTGCGAATGTTATCAGTCTATGGACATTGAATGCTTTTGGGCGGAGGTTCCTCATCTCGTCTACGTTGGCCACTGTCGCGGTTCTCTGGTTGGGGATGGGTATAGCAGGTATTTTCAAGGGAACTGTCATGATCTGGTAAGATAATAGCATACCCCTATAGACACCAGCTAAATTTGTTTTAAGGTACTCATCAATCACTATGATGATTGTCACCATGGTCTCAGGCCTAGGCTCGTGGCCCGCGTCCCATGTTGTTGCGGCCGAAGCCTCGTCGCTACAACTTCGAGCCAAGACACAGGGAATTGGCTGGTTCACAAGTGGCATTGGCACTGCCGTGTTTGCCATCATTTTGCCATATATCTATAACTCAGACGAGGGAAACCTTCGAGCGAAAACAGGGTTCGTGATGATGAGCTTTGCCGTGGTTGCATTTATCATTGTGTGGCTGGCCATACCAGAAATGAAAGGTCGGACGCCAATGGAAATTGACCGGATGTTTACACTGAAACTACCAACTCGCGCGTTCAAAGATTGGCAAAGCGATATAGCCCCCACAGATGGGAGAGAAAACTCCACTAAAACAACCAAAGCGTAACTTTATCTCGACCGTCGGGCATTTTCAAAAGAAAAAAATTGAGAATGATGCTCACCTTTTTGGTTCAATGTGTAGTGAAAGGCATTTTGAACAAAGTTATGATTCGAGATGTGATCAACATCACGAGATGGGGCTCGTTAAAACAAATCAATAATTTGCAGATCGAAATGCAATAATTTATGCAAGATCGATATTACACTGGTAATCTGCACCGCATGCAAAAATAGACGGCAATTGAAGTGGACTTCGCAAGTAAATTCATCCGAGTTTTCTTATGCAGATCGCCATTGTGTTGGGATCTGATGTGTTCACTCGTTAGCGTTTCTCTATTTCAATTCTTTATTAAATCGATTTAACCTTGGTACTCTCGTCTTCATTATCCTCCTTTTGAAATCACATTGGTCTGTTAGATCTGTTAGATCCGTTAGATCCCTGTGACGATAAATTCACGATGATCGATCGATCGACAGGGGAATCTCCCAAACAGGAAATCATCGTGGCTCCCCCTCCGCTGATAAAAGTCCGACCCCCTTTGTCACACCGTGCAAAATGTTTTCTTTTGATTTGGGGTTTCAAAGTCGCTGCGAAAACACTGTTTCCCTTAATCAGGTTGATTGAACCGCCGGAGCCTGAAACTCGCCCAACATTAGTCAAAAAATATCCATGCCGACCGCATCTTGAGTGCCGAATCTTCTTTCCACCCAACTATGAGTCTGGAAAGAGTCTCCCAGTGTATCTCAACGTACATGGTGGGGGTTTCGCTGTTTGCGACGCACAGATGGACGATAGATTCTCTTCATCTTGGGCCAAGCGCACGGGAATGTTGGTCGTAGCCTTGAACTACCGGAAGGCTCCCAGGCATCCTTTCCCAGTCGCCACTGGGGATATCCACGCCATTACGCTTGCTGTTCTGGCAGATGAGAGTTTACCCATTGATCTTGATCGCGTGTCAATGGGTGGATTCAGTGCTGGAGGCCAACTGGCCTTGTCGGCATCACAGCTTCCAGGTCTGAAAGGCGTTGTCAAGGCCGCTATTACCTATTATCCCATTGTTGACTTCAGTCATCCGACGGATGAAAAGCTGGAGGCTCGGCCCTATACGGACGGGCCAAAAGATAAACTTGCGGGGCCGTCAAACTGGGTTGATTGGGCATTTGTTTGTCCTGGAGCCAACAGACGTGACCCATTGCTCAGTCCCTACTTCGCAAATAGGGAGGACCTCCCTCCTTGGGTATACATCGTCGGTGCGCAATGGGATATGTTGCGACTGGAAGCACAACAAATGATCCATAAATTGGCAGGAAATGAGAGCAAGGACCAGGAGGAAGATTTTGAGATCGGGAACTACAAATGGACACTTGCCAAAGGATGTTCACATGGGTTTACTCACGACTTTCGAGACTCGGAGGAGTCGAAAAAGGTGCAGGCGACAGCCGAGCGGATATTTGACGAAGCCCATCAGTGGTTGAAGAAGAGCGTTTTGGTATGACCGTGGATGCTACAATAATCATGTATAGTTAAATACCTCATAGACCAATGTAAAGGTAAAATAGACGTGAATATATATGTATCTACAGAACGAAGAATCCCGAGGTACTACTCCGCGCAGCACAAAGACTTGGCAAATGAGGGGAAAAAGACGAGTCAAACTTAGCGCAATGTTCTATCATCAACCAACATCAATTCTTGCCCTTGAAGAAATATGTTTTCGATCGCGAGAACTCATTTCGTACCCAGATGTTCAGGTGCCCAGGTGGCGGCCTATGACTAATCTTGCACAGTCTTCCGGACCACTAGTTGACGATTTGGAGATCAGAGAAGTAATCCTTTACATACTTTCGTCCACATTCAGATCCTTGACAATTGGCCATGTCTGATACCCTGCGCAGCATACCTGCCAAGGCTAAAACTAGGAATTCTCTATCTTGTGCGCAATGCCGCTATAAGCATTTTCGCTGCGACGGCCAAAAACCTATCTGCTCACGATGTGTCACCGACACTAAAACATGCGTGTATCCTCCATCTCGCCGGCGTGGAAATCCCAGACCAAAGCAAGCCCCACCATCGCCTGTGACTGTTCTTGATGAGACCTCCCTCGACTCATCAACAGGACAGCAAACGTCTACCAATTCTTCAACATTTTCTATTACTACCAGCGGAGACGCCGAGATATCGTCAAATCCAGATTCCCAATATCTGAGTCTATACTACAGCTCATTCCATGCAGCCCACCCTTGCACGCTGCCGCTTTCAGCTTTAAAAAATCGACTCACCGACCCCAGGGTTCAACCACTCCTTAAAGTCATCTGTTATGTTGGATCTATTTTTGACAGTTCCAGCCCCTCGTCAGAAATATGGAGCCAGCGAGCCCGGGATGCAATATCAAAAATTCGAGCAAAAATTGTTGCTGATCCTTTCGATGTACAAGCAATTCTGCTTTACTCTGTTGCTGTTTATTGGTGCAATGAGCCGGATCATGGCGTCGAGCTACTTAATGAAGTCATCCGCATGGCGGTGACGCTTGGGATGAACGAAAAAGAATATGCTCAGAATTATGGGGAGGGAAATGCTGTTCTTGAAGAAAGTTGGCGGCGTACCTGGTGGGTGATCTATATCACTGACGCTCATATTGCCGGTAACTTTTCAACCTCACACATTCGTTCATGTCTTGCTCACCATTGCAGGATCTACACATACGTATCCGTTCCGAACCAATGGTATCAAAATCACCACCGATCTTCCTTGCGAAGAAGATGAATATGAGAGAGGTGTAAGTGAATCGCTCGCTCATTAACCCCTGGAGTTAATATCTCGTAGGCCATCCCCTCTCCAAGATCTTTGGAGGATTACGAAAATCGAGAATTCCTTGGCGACGATGAAGCAGAGTTTTCCTCTTACGCAGAGCTTATTGGCTTGACCCTCGGAGTAGAACGGGCCCTGAAACCTAGGGATGCAGTAGATTACCAAGTTTACAGAACCATGGCTGCGACATCCGATACCAGTGTCAGGGCATGGTCCTGTCTACTGTCCCCAAAGAAGAGGAATTTGATTCGACCCGATGGCTCCTTTGATGAGGTCATGTTCAAAGCGCTCTTCATCATGCACACGTGAGGTTGGACGATCGTTATATTTCCTTCTCTTTTCTTACTCATCTGTAGTTTCACCGTGGAAATCCATCGACCGCTATCAGCATTGACTCATAGCGCGATAGAGTCTGTGTCAAGATGTGCCCCCTAGCCCCGTCAGAACGCCTCAAATGCAACAATACGAAAGAGCGTGATTTACATACTCTGAAATGCACGACAGCAATTGACAGTATTGACGAACTTTTGACCCTGCCAACAAACATGAAAACTCACTCCCCTTTCATCATTTGCATGATTGCCAACGTGACCATCGCACACCTCAGCGCTTGTCGATTTATCTATTCAGGCGAGCAAAGGGCCAAGAGCCGGGAGAAAATCCGCTTGACTATGGGTACATTGAAACGTCTTAGCGAGCACTGGATTCTGGGTAAGAGGACTTACCGTGAAATTGGAATCATCGCCCGAGAATTATTGTCTCTCACGAAAGATCCGCCAGTCGATTTCAGGGCAGTCGACTTCGCTGATCCGGATCCATGTCCTGATGAATTACCAGCCTTTGAAATGCTGCCCGATGTGAATTTTGATTTTTGTGCCCTTTTCAATCCAGGCGCATCTGGTTTAAGCGAGCAGAACTCACAGTTTTCTCTTCAATAACAGTAGAATGCGTTATTTACTTACAATATATCATCTTTCAAAGCTTCTCTCTATTTTTGTTCCCTTATTTTTTTACTTCTTTTCTCAAAGGTGAGGGTTCAAAAGATTTGAAATTGCTGAAACTTCAAAACATTTAACGCTTCACATACTCTTCGTCAATTTGAATCAAGGCACCCATTCCATCCCTCTCAAATACGTCGGTATCCGTAACCATGGTAGCGATGAGCGTAGCCGGCTCGATCTTGCTGGCATTGTCACTGATGCGATGGTGGCATCCTGGAGCTTCAAACCAGCTCCCTCCCTCCTCAATCAACTTCATAGGTTCGTCGTTCATTTTGTTGAGAAGGTTTCCCTTCAAAACGTACGCGCCGACATTGGCGCCTCCGTGACGATGCGGTGGAGTTGAGCCGTTAGGTGGAAACTCCACTCGCAGACCGACAATGGTCTTGTTCGGGATGCCGACCAATTTGTAGGAGAAGGAAATCGACAGAGCGGGCATCGGGCGGCTGAAATGACAGTTAAATCCACATGCGCTTAGATATGCGAATTTCAAAACAATTGAGTGCTTACGAGGGGTCATAGGTTGGTTCCTGCATTTTGAATGTCTGGGCTTTCGATTGCACGAATATTGTAATGTGTTGTTGTTGTTGGTGGCTGGTGGAAGAGACGGCTTGCGGAAGTGGTCTGGAATTTATATAGTGATTTTCCAGCTGCTTGGCACAACAGCTGTGACAGTTACTCAATCGTAACACCCTGTCATATTTTGTTCCGTGTTGCCCTACAGGCTATTCGACGTCATTCCCAAGTAATGTTGGGAATCAACAAAGGCGTAGAGGTTTTCCGGGGTGGATAGGCTATCAATAGGCTATCAATGTATACCCCACCGGAATCAACCATGCTTGCCGTGTAAAGGTTTCGAACCGTAGTTCTTGTTGTGAGCAATATTGTTGATATTGACATGATTCAATAATACAAGTGAGTTATTGCAATATTCAAGGAATTCACGTTATCAGTCGTGTATACCCTACATTCCCGCTTTGCCATATGTGATACTTCCGAAAGGATGAATAGGAAGCTGATCGACCAAGACCAGTAGCTGACTTAGCCTACTGAACAATTTTCTCAATCCCGATACCCAAAATTTCCTGAACTTTGAGCTCTGGGAGTTATCTTCAGGCCCGAATACTTCGCACGGTATATATTTGGCGAGAACGCTATCTCAAAATTCGAATCTTCCTTTTTAAAGTTTTCAATCATACTAATTCTAGTGTGACTATTTTCAGAGTCTTTCTGTGCCTATTGAAGATGTCGGGACTCAAGACCCAATCGGCGATTATCATGAAAGGTCTAGGAGAGGCACAGGTCGAGCATAACTTGTCTATACCTTCTCCAGATCCATCTGAACTTTTAATTCGGACACGCGCTGTTGCACTCAATCCATCTGATTGGATGGCACTCGATACATTTGCAAGGCCGGGTGCTGGGGTTGGTTACGATTTTGCTGGTGAAGTTGTCGAAATAGGCGAGAACGTACAGTTCCACTGGTCTGTCGGAGACCGGGTAGCTGGATTTGTGCATGGATGTGAGTTCGCTTCATCTATTGTTCGTTTTTTCGTCTAAAAGCCAATATCTATTTAGGTCATGCTGCAAATTATACCATTGGAGCGTTCCGTGAATACCTTACTGCAGATGCAGAGCTTGTGATACGCTTGCCGGATAAAGTGTCCTTTGAAGCTGGCTCAACACTCGGTATGGGTATAAGCACAGCGGCGCAAGCTTTGTATCAATCTTTGCTTCTTCCTTTACCAGGGCTCAGTCCAATCTTGGCAAATCAAACCATCTTGATATACGGCGGATCTTCTGCCACTGGCACACTTGCGATTCAGCTTGCGAAACTGTGAGTCTTCTGCCTTAATCTATATATCTGGATATTTAATGGATTCTAGATCTGGACTTCGCGTCATCACAACATGCTCGTCTCGGCATATATCATGGATGCAATCATTGGGCGCTGATGAGATCATCAACTACAAACATCCCGACGCCGTTCAACAAATTGTGCAACTTGTTCAGAAAAGTGGTTTGTCCCTGATTCTCGATTGTATCGGGAATCAAGCCACTGCAGAGTTCTGCTACCAATGTTTCACTCCATCTAAGGACGAAGGAAACCAGCCAACCTATATCTATGCCCCCCTGATGCCGATATTGAACGCTCAACTCAAGAGCAGCTCTTTGCCATCTTCTGCTATAGTACATAACAAATGGAGGTTTGTGTATACTTGCTTCGGAAAGCGGTTCACTATTATTATGGACAATGAGGCTGTAAATGGAACATGGCAGCCTTCGATCGAAGACAAAAGGTTCATGGTATCATTTTACCGACGGGTTGAGGGTTTGCTCGCAAATGATAAAATACAGGTGATGCCTCGCGAGGCCAAAGAGGGAGGGCTGCAAAGTATCATGGATGGAATCTCCCTTATACGAGCGGGGGAGGTTCGTGGGAAGAAACTTGTGTACCCTATTCTTTGATATGCGTTATGGTACTACCTATATTCTCAGAATAGTTGTAGAACATTTGCCCTTCCACTCATTACATGCCCTGCCCTCCATGTTGTTGTGAATATATAATAATTAACCATATTAATCTAAATCCAGATTCCTACTGAGAAAATCCTGAGCGGCGACATAGCTCTTGCAGTCAGCGCAAGTGGAAATCAACTAGTATAGCCAGTCTCGATCTCGGGTTTTTGCTCCATAAGCTGTACAGCGGAACGCTCCGCATCAGTGTTTGTTTACATAAAAGAGAAGCTGTATATCGAAAGGATGCGGATTCTCAGAAAAGGATGGTGAAAGAGAGAGAAAGAGAGAGAAAGAGAGAAAGAGGCTAGACTATTGGGATTACTACTTATACGTTGTGAAGGAAACCCTGACCAAAGCCTGCTCTACACAACAGAAAGCTGATCTTCATTTCATAGACCTCACTTCTCACGGTCTCACCGACCTCGCAAATGGCCAAGGGCACCCTTACTGGCTAAGCACTCATGATCATTTTATGACGAGTAGTTTTAGCATAACCCATAGCATCAATCAATTAATATGCTTGGAGAAGTTTAATCTTCAGTAATGAAAAATGGAAGCAATATAAGCGATGCTCCCGCTCACAGGTTGCATTGCACGGCGAGACACACAGCATGAAACGTAATCTTGTTTACATCGCTTGACATGAACAAAAGCATGTCACGCCTGGATACCAGTACTCCAGGCTCCAAGATTAGATTATTGACGTGAACCATGAAATCTGACTCGAAAGTAGGCTAGAAGTGTGTTAACATGGAGAAAATAACAAGTAATGTATCTATGATGAGGATAGTAGCTCGGGGAAAAGTCGATAAGAGAAATTGATGATTAAGAAACCATGAAGATCAACCTAATGAGGGGCTTCAGTACTGCTCTATATAGGCAGCATAGCGCAAAAACGAGATGAACATGTCAATGAGCATTGACAAGCAAATGGTCAATAGGCATTTATGAGCAAACATGATGAACTACATATTTATGATGGAGAGATACTAGTTCGTCACATATCATATCTACAGCAGTCTAATATTATATTCAAAGCCAGCCGGGACCTATTGCAAACACATGGAAATAAAAGCATCTAATAGGTGCCTACATCATTCAGAAGTGATCAGCTCATGGGGACCGCGCGCATATTGTCCGCCACACATCCTACCGTGATATCTCTCTTAGCACGCAGATGGGAGGAACCTCAGCAGAACATTATCCATTAATGCAATCTCATTTTGACTCAGTTTCAAGCCAAATTTCTTGCCCCCAAAGAAGCTTGAGCGTATGTTTATACAGAAACTATGGATCTATGTGATGAACCAGATCTTTTAAACCTGAATTTAGTATCAAAGAATTTTGATATTGAAGGGCTGAAGCAAATACGTATAGGGGTCCTATACGTGTGAAATCTATCGAGAGAAGCGTCGAGCTGAAGAATAACATACGCCCCGGGAGTTGCGTCTTACATTTAAATTCAGGGACTGATCGATTACATCGGAATTTGAAATGCATTTCTCAGTGCAAATTTTATGGCAATTGTTGTGAAAGAAACACCAGCTGGTGAAACGTATTGCGCATGGCAGGCAGATGTTAGCTCAATTGGTAGACGCAATTTTACTAAACAAGTCTTCTCCTAATTCGAGGCAAGTTCACATTTAACATTATCTGTGGCAGGACTTTCGTTCAACTTAAAAGATGGTATCACGTTCAAATATACATGGTCTGTCAAAGGCCTATGGCCACAGCTTCCTCCTCGATCGCTATCTCGATCCTCTTCTCACACTCCTCTAATCTTCGCTTTGTTCTATCAACATGGTGGAGGTCCACTCTGTAATCCACCCACAACCATTCCACATCATTCCTCACAGACTTAGACCATTTCAAAAAATTCCGATGATCGAGAATGAACGTGCTGTCCACAAGCCAGAGATCGAATATGCCTTCGTAAATACCATCCAATATCCAATAGAAATCCTTGGTGTAGGGTTGCCGTTTCTTGGAGCCATCCTCAGTTATGACACTAAAATGTCCGGCGCAATCATTCAAAATTTGCAAGGTGATTTCTAGCACCGGCGCCCTGGCACCGAAGCATCGTGCTATGTGTGCAAGATACCTGCCAAATCCATAGCCATCGATTGAAGAATTCGAAATTCTTTCGGCCACCCAGGCTATAAATGTCGAAAATTTTGGTAAAGAGCTTTTGTCGATACCACGATCGACTTTATCATAAACGAGATACTCTTTAAAGTCGAACCCTCGGCTAAGAAGAGTCTGGACTGAGACGTTATGTTCCACATATTGTTTTGGGATCTGCCACTCGAACAAATATTCATGCTTGAACTCAGTTTTCCCTTCAGCAAGCTGCTGGGCATGGTGATAGGGTTTCTAAGCAGCCTTAGTGGCTGGAACTGATATGATGGCAATCCATATAGTACTTGAGTCTTCTCCGTCGTTATAGCGCTTGACAAAAGCACGATATAAAGCTTCTATGGGACGGTCACTGACGGAGACTAGAGCTGTTGGATTCCTGTTGCTCTGGACTCTGTGAAGCTTGAAATGTAGGGAGAGATCGAGGTTGGATAAACGAGGACCGACGCGTTTCAGGCCGCATGTCAAGTCACCAGCACTTTTATTTTAAAAGCAACGGTAAAAGTATTGCTCAGAGGGGCTCATATTGTATGTTGTGAAAATAGTTGGAAGTGTGCCAGTAGAACGTATTTTGCTATCTGGAGGTTCTCCCGCCCCACCGGAGCTCTTTGGGATAGTCGAGAAATCGAGAGATTTGTCTCTATGATGACCACGCTCAAGTGAGAGGAGAGAGTGGGGGTGTAGAAACTTGATCCTCCGATGTCGAATTAGTCGAACAGGTCATCCTGACTATTCAGCCCTGTATGGCCGTTTATTAAGGCCAGTGCGCCACATCGTATTTTCCCATAGGCCCCGGGGCTTCACAATTATTAGAGTAATTTGCGCAATCCAGGCATCAGTCTCGCGTGAGTCTATGCAATTCTTCCGTACTTTCTCTTCTACCTCCTTTATCATCTTTGAGTATCTTCCATCAGGATTCATTGTTGTTTATTGCCGATAAAAGGTAAATATTCGTATCCGGCTTCTCTGTCAAATAGTTGTTGAGCGAAGAAACTATTTTCTTCTGACCGTTGAAGACTGGGATCATAGTGATGAGCACTGGCCTCAATTGCCAAAAAGCGGCAAAGAAACAAATCTCATCCTTCAGAAAATTAAAACACATGAACCTCATAAACTCTGCTGACGACAGCCCCTGAAAGCTCGTCTAGTTTTTGCTTCTGAATGCAAGTATCTTCTCATCGTTCGAACAAGGGTGGCCTCTACATATAAACCGACATGATTGGCGCTGAGCGGGGGCGAGTTGACCTTGCAAGGTTGAAAAAATCTGATACGCTAACCAGCCAATAATGCAGAGCCACATCTTTACTCGTTTCCGTGGAGGCATACATATACGATGCCTGGGTAAAATTTCTATTGCCAAGAGCACACTGAGCATGCCTGAATGGGTTTGCGATGTTATGTCAGGCTATATCAGCCTGGCCCTTCGGGGCTAGCGTGAGCCCGTGTGCTCACATGTTATCACGGTGACTACGTCAGTAGACAGCTTCGTGCCAAGAATTACTGTAAATGGTAACTTTCTCAGTCTCACAGTCTCATGCCAAGAATCGCCTGTTTTGGAAGGCGGTACTTCTACCACCGCTCCCACTTAGCGGCAGTACCGTTTCGTTACCACGAGACTAACCCCTTCAGGTCGCTGACGCTGTTCTGGCCAATGGCTGGCAGATCCTCCCGTCTGCTCACGGGCCCGTCCGGTACCCAAATTTCGCCCAAAGGGGGAATTACCTTGAGTCTCAAGGCTCAACTTTTTGGGGCTTGATAACGCAGAATTATGAAAGTCGGCCTATGCAGGTGTAGGCACGCGTTAGGTATATAAATTAGAGCAATTCTCCCCTCTTTGCCTTTTCCACATTCAACTTCGAACCGTGTCACTTCGTCCTTGCACATCTTGTCAACTCCGTTTCCTTTTTCTTATCATCTTGCAAAGCTTGCTATTTTCCCAGCAGCTAACTCGAGCCTCCCCTACATGAAATGAAGTTTTGGCGGGTTACAAGTGCAAGCTCCGGTGCTCGGTTCTGTCGCGGGGAAGGCTTTGTGGCACTGAATGACACAGACGAAATTACGTTATATCCTAGTGAAGGACGTGAAAAAGAAATGGCTTTGGATCATATAACAAGGCATTTACGATGGGATAATCGGATCGCGACCTCATTAATCTCTACGTATGATGATTATCGTCCGGCGAATCACGAAGCCAAACGACGTGTCAAGGCGAGCGAGGAGGAAGTCATTCTTTGGGAAATGGAATTGGACGAACATGTTGATCAGGACGATATAGAGTGGGCCAGAATGTACGATTTGGCAAAAAAGCTTAAATTTCGGATCCCTGAAAAGGCGTACCACAATGCGAGACACGAAGTTCTATTTGTGGATCAGATTCCGCGACATTGTTTCCTTCGCCGACGGAAGTTAACGAACGGAAAGGGGCGTAAGTACCTCAATATGGTGACTTTTGACTTGGACAGGAATTAATTTACTAATTCTCTCGGAACAGAGAAGACAACCGGGCGTTGGATAAACATGAGAGATTTGCGGTTTACGGAGGAAGAAATGATTAGGTGGAGATAACGACGGCAGTCGCTTTCTATTGTGCCGTTCCTATGTTCATATTTGCGCGTGTGGGCGAGAGTGTTCAAGAGAACTTAACTTTTGAGCTTACGGAATTAGAGAGATTTACTTATGAGGTGTAGCGTCTCGGCCATGTAGCATGCGAAGGCGATTTGAAGTACGGCTGAGATCGGCTTCAGCATTTCGATCTACGTATTTTTCATTTCGGGACTTCGTGGTAGTTAAGGGTAACCGTGTGATTAATCCGGTGGAACTTGCTTCGAACGACCAAACAGAGTATAATAACCATTTTCACTATCTAAAGCGCTACGTTCCCCTTCAATCCGTCTACTCTGCTGCATATGTACCTAGGTATGTGACGTGTGTTGTGTGTATAATTCCTCTATACATAGTCCTATTACGTATACCCATCGCCTCGCTGAGCTCACATTATATTTCGCAATCATACCTAGGTATTATCCGTAATGTGGCCCAGAACAAAGCTCATCAGCTCTTTATAGAGCTTAGATTTTTCGTCTGCCTCCGCCTTTTGATGCGCCTCATCAGGTGATGGGGGTCATTGTTAGCAGCATCTTTGAAGATCAAACGATTGTCATTATGATTATGTACACCCTTTGCCAGCCAGAGACGAATTTAATGAGCCCATATCATGGAGATATTCGCATTAGGGATTTTACTTGAACAAATCAGTATCATAGACCTTTTCAGTGAGTTTTTTCAACCTCATCTTGGTCAACACAGATCCGAGGAAAGACAACCACCATGTTTCTGGACATACAGAAGGCCTTACGACGAGGTTCAGTGTCAAATCGCTAGGGTGAATAAGACTTATCAATTTTATGTGCTATGGGCATTCGTGAAAGGGGCTTATTTGAAGGAAACTATATAATGCGGACATTTCGCGAAGTCTTCTACAGACCAATAAGAGAAAATGGTAATAATACTCGCACGTTTCTTCAAAGTTGATGTCACCTCGAATCGTGGCAATTCCATCTTCAGCTCCACCGCAATATTACGTGTTGTTCAAAATCTACGTAAATTGACTAACTATTGCAACTCACCCGTGCTTTACCACGTTTTCCCTACCTCCGATGCTCACTATTGTGATCCTCGCCGTTGATTATTGGGCAAATCCCTCTAGTGGCACCTAGCGCAATAGCGGTTAAACTAAGAATATGGAAATGGAAATCTAGATAGGTATCTGCAGAGGCTTTGTGTCGTCGTTCATTAGCTTTTGCAAGTGCTGGGTATACCTATATTCGGATTTGCTCAGTCAGCGGAGCTCTCGGAGTAGTGATCGGCGCATAGCTTGTCATGAGAGGTTTAATTTCCTTAGCTTAATGATACTTTTACTCACGATAAGCTGTCCCTGGTGGAGGTGAAAGGTTAATTTGCTTTCGAGCTCCTTTTGCATTGGTACGCAAGTCTACGCTCCTGAAGACAAACTCCACTCGAGAGGACGTTGCAGCGTTGATATTAGTGCAAATAAAAGGTTAACTTCGTGTTTTTTGCATAGCAAAAGATAATTTGCACGGAATCTGATCGAGTACTTTCGAAAATTCTGGTCAGTAGTACGTGGACATTTGAGTATGTTGTGAAATAAGCGCACTACCACCAGTCAGCAGCTGGGGGTGGGCCCGGGCCACGAAGACACCGCGCAGAAGGTCCGATATCCCGTGTTGCAGGGCTGAGTTACAGATCTATATTCGAGTTCATGGTACGACAGCGGGAGTTCCTCTGTAGATCCTGACTCGATGGAGCTACAAGTGCGATGTCGGCCAGTGGTGGAGATTTGGTAGGCACCAGCAGAATTTGATTTACGGGTCTAGGACCTTTGCTTATTGATATCCGCTCTGTCTCGAGGAGTTTTCTCTGTTATTTCCTGCAACCTTTGTCGAATCACGGATTGCTTTATGCTAGTAAACCGCCGCCCCGGAGTCTGCTCAACAATTCCAACTCAACATAATGCAAGCTATAACTTTGCTGTGCATTGTCCTTTTGTAATTTCATTTTGGCTTTGTTCTAGCCACGCCGTCTAGCTTTGTTAAACGTGGCGCTAAAACAAATGCCACCCTCTATGCCTACGGCGTGAATGCTTCTTCCCGGCCCATCGTGTTTGGGATCGATGATGGTAACATTGCCTCGATACATTCCACACCTGGATTCCTACTGGCATGACTCCTAGGCTTGTTGTATATTTCAGAAAACCCAGACGACAGCGCCGCCAATGTCACTCCCCTGAGCTGGGACCTTGCCTCAATCACTGGTGAATGTTGGATTGCCAACGCAACTTTCGTAAATGGGACTACTGCAGGTTCGATTTTCATTGAAAAAAACAACACTGTAGGCGTCTTGCCATTTACTTGGATTGCCTATATTAACTGTGTCTGGCTTTGCTCTCTTCGCTTCCCATCTAGTGTATAAGAATAACACGGATTTGGAGGCTCAATTCTGGGCAAAGTCTACCAAAATCGATGGTATGTACGGACTCATTTGGAAGAAACCCCACAGGGTGACTTTCCGGTCGTGGTGAAAGCTTCCGAGAGTTGATGAATATTACGACAAGCAAGCAAACGGCTACTGGGTTCTTAAACAGATATTTTGCATCTTACATGAGTTACAGGTGGGAAATGCCTCAAATTGAACTACAAGACAAATGTGCTAGATACAATGGTTGAATACGATAGACAAACGGTGTTGGAGGTGTGTGGACCACTTTTCCTCAACAACAGACGTGACCGTTTATTTGCTGTAGTATTTTCAAGATTTTATGGGACATTATACGTTCTTCTTCTTTTGTTTGTTTCACACATTGCTTGATTTTCTATATTAGAACTACTACTGAAACTGAGTAAACAGAAATATGTAATATCATATTCCATCTCAAAATATGGAGCGTACAATCCGCATAGGAGCGGCTTTGAACCATGCTCCCCATGTTGGGTACTCGACTCTGGGAGGAAGATCAACATCAAGAGCACCGTCACGAATATGCATCAAGACATCCATCTTCTCAACTGGAACAAACCAAGCCCCGCGATCAAGATTTGGGTTCTTGCTCATTTTGCTGTAGACCATCCAAATTACGAAAAGCAAAATAACGAGGGGGGCCGCGAGATAGCTCTCAAAGAAGTTCTCTGCATCTTTGGGAGCGATCGAGACATAGAACTCAGCAATTAAACACAAGACGTTTAGCCCTAGACCGATATAACTTCCAATGACACCCAATGGAGCAGAGTAGGCCAGCTCCTTCACCGTGTGTCCGTTATGCTTCCATGCAGAGCGGAAGCGGATGTGGGCAAGACAAATGCTTCCCCAAATGAAGAAGTCGGAGATACCTGATAAGGCAAGAAGCCAGTTGAAGATGGTGCTCCCTGATGACGCCTCGTTTATGAATGCCAGGAAACCGAAAGCGATCTGCATGAGAACACAGTAGAGAGGGCGTCCTTCCTTGTCAATGTATGCCATGAACTTTGGGGCCATTCCGCGTGAGGCGAGGGCCTGAATAGTGCGGCTGGAACCATAGGTCGCAGAGTTGGCAACACTGATCACTGATATGGTAATGATAGCGTTCATGACCGACGGCAGTCCCGAAATTCCGGCATTCTTGATTGAAACGACAAATGGTGAAGCCTTGGTGTTGGCGCCTGATGCACCGAGAAGCCATTCTGCGTTGGAGGGGACGATTAAACCAACCATGAAGGTTCCTAGAACGTAGAAGATCATGATACGCCAGAAAACCTGCTTCGTTGCTTTGGGGATGGATTTGGCAGGGTTTGCCGCCTCCGCGGCAGCAAGACCAGCCATTTCTGTGCCACCAAACGCGAAGGCTGCCGTGACGAACACTGAACAAAATCCCTTGAAATCGGTAAAGGCCCCTGGATCGTGCCAGTATTTGGCTCCAATATAGCCGCCATGGGGAGCACCGCCCACGTCAATGACAATCGCGAGGATAATGAACCCAATCACAGCAATGACTTTGATCATTCCCAGAACGAATTCAACTATACGTTAAAGTCAGTAAGCCGCAGTGTGAAGCCAATCGAGGTATTTGCTCATTACCTTCTCCATATCCCTTGACACCAAAGAACTGAATTGCAGCCAGCACCACCAGGAACACAGCGATCCATATGCCAGCGTTTAGATCATCTCTCCAGTATTGAATAGTTATACTCGCAGCTGTAAGCTCGAAAGGAAGTATGATAAGCCAACCGATAGCATAGTCCCATCCGACAGCAAACCCCCTATTGAACATTCATAGATCAATTATTAGCTTTATCCAAGTGTTCAACCAAGACTGAAGGGACTAACCATGCGGGACTAATGAAGCGAACACAGTACGTGAAGAAAGCACCATTGACAGGATATAGAACGGCCAACTCTCCGAGTGCTTGGACGGTGAGAAGAAGCATTCCTCCGACAATCAAGTAACAGAGTAACAATGCTCCAGGTCCACCCGTTCGAAGGGCGGATCCTGTACTGACAAAGAGACCGGCTCCAATGGCACCACCTAAGAATAGATATACATCAGTATGATGTAGAACAAAGATCGTAGAGCACTACTGTACGTACCAACAGCGATCATCTGCATATGACGATTCTTCAAATTCCTCTTCAGTGGGTTGGTATGTGTGATCTCGCCAACTGCCAGATCATCGTGGGCCGAAGGTAGGCTCTCAGCCGGTTCTACGGCCAAAGCGGCCTTTTTCTCAATGTCCGAGTCCATGGCCGTCATCTTGATGGGTTGACGGAGCGCAAGAGATATTTAAGTCGGACGGCCGAGAGAATATATACCATTTCTCTCGCGGAGCACCATGCATACAACCCCCCAGGATAAGTTTTTTGACCATGTCACATTGAAAAGCCCGTGGCGCAACCCATGTGATTAGACAGTAAGGAGAAGATAAGAATTTCGTATAGTTGCGATGTTGATATCGTGGCCAATCAGCAATGTTGGGCTAGAGATATCGTTGGAGCTTAGCTTAAACGCCACTCTTGGTTTCTCTTGGCCTCGGTGATAATTCTCAAGTCTATTAAGTAGCCCGATTGGATCAATTTCGTCGTCATTTTCGCTTGTTTGTTGCACCGAACTTTTCTGTTCTCCGATACTAACTTTGCCTCAGATAAGGATCCCTGTATATTTCGTGCCATCCCCAAGTGGGCCAACACGGAAGCGGGGCTGAAGTGCGTATGTTCCCGTTTTTTGTATCTAATTACCTGCAAGACACCTTGTTGTCACTTTAGATAAGACAAGAGTATTATGGGTCTAGAAATCCATATGCAGCAGCGCGCGAAATGCAATTCGGAGGGGATATTCGTATCGCGGTCAAATGTTGCCACATTTCAATCAGGCATTCTAGAAAATTTCTCTTGCCTCTGGCACATTAAGCTGAAACTTACTGGTGGACTGAGCTGTGATAACATGGCGTGCTCTTATCATCCACCAATGCTAGCAGAGAGTATATATAATCACCTCGTTGGTCGAGGTTCAAGATGCATCCTCTAGGGTCATTTTCGATTGCCCGGGCGTTTCCAGTCAGCGCCCCTTTTCTATGGCAAGAACAGCCGACGGACTGAGTCGGTTGAAAAACAGGAGAATAAACCAGCTTCCTGGTATTAGGTGTTGATATCGGTGTCTCCATTCGGAATGGCCGAAAAAATCATGTCTTAAATTGCCTCCCTAATCGCACGATGAATCTCTGAATCTCCATCCACTTGGAGGGTATTGGGGGGGAACTGCCGTTCGAATTCGGAGTGCTGATCATTGCTAGAATGGATGTAACTTCTGAAATGTATGAATTGTATAAAACCCTTGCCTCCCGCGATCATGCGGCAATGCTATGCTTATCTCCCTAGCCTCGTGCAGGCCACAAAATTATAGAAACAGAGTTCAATTTTGAGCGGCAAGGACGTGTGCGACCTCTTCTGCGATATTGTACTGTGTGATATTGCGAATGTGGTTGAACATCAAACTCGGAAAAAGTCCTGTAGCACTCATTGTCAGTTAAAATTGAGAAAAGGATTGGTAGAAGGACTTGCCCATGAGTTTCATAAAAGCGTACATCGAATACTCTTTGATGATTCCCATTTGACGCTTGCTCTCTTGCGTATTTTTCGCAAAGTCCGAAATTGCCTTCACGTGTGGTTGACGAAGGGCCATGTACGATTTCGCGGCTGCGTTAATTGCTTTCTTCCGGACCTCTGCCGTATCCTTCACAGCACCGCCCTTGCGCATGTAATGTGCTAAAAATAGAGCCAAAGCCTCCACATCCTCCAATGCCTGTGAGGAGCCCTGGCCAGAGCTTGGGGGGAGTGCATGTGCCGCATCTCCTACGAGAACAACCCCATCACGTTGCCATGTTGCAAGAGCAGGCGAAGTCCATGTTGGGTACAAGTTTTGAACACTGAGAGACTGAAGAACCTTTTGAACGACAGGCTCTTTCCACGTTGCATGTCTTTTGCGTAACTGCTGGGTCACGTCGGCCATGTCAAGTGTTTCGCGATCAGGGCATTTTTCGATCTCGTAGGTTGACCACCACGCGAGCGATTCGCCTGGCTCAGATACATTGTATGGGGAATCCCGATTCTTAGCTTGCTTGTCACTTTCAGAGAAAAAGTATCCAAAGAACCCGTTCCCGCCGAAGATAAAGTTCATGGATCCTGGTTCCACTAGCCCTTTGACTTCTTCTGAAGGTATGAATCCACCGACACCAACCAGACCCCTTCAAGAGAATTAGCAATTTTTTTTCTAGTTTCTCTTACCATCGGAGGGAGTATTAGAGATTTTGGCTTACTCATAATTGGGTGGATATGGGTCTTCTTTGGCATTTGGAAAAAGTGCACGCCTCGCCGTACTCCGAACACCATCGGCACCGATCACCAAATCCGCTTCCACAGAAGAACTTCCATCCGCGAAATGAATCAAATTTTTTGCATCAGACTGGGCCACGACTCCACATATTCTCTTGTTGATAATATGTTCTGATGGAACCCGCACACGCAATGCTCGCCAAAAAGCATGACGGCTAGTGGCAACCATGTGCAGGTTCCTAGGGTTCTCGGTTTCATTGTCTGTACATGCGCTACTCATGCTGAATAGTGGCCAGCCATTCTTGTTCTTCATGTTAGAAGTGGCTGTAACGTATCCCCCTCGTACGATATCTTTCAACAAATCCTCATCGAGACGCTTTAGTACGTTCAAGCCGTTGGGGGCAATACCTAGTCCACCACCGACAAGAAGCGTCGATGAATGGGTATGCTCTTCCGCTCTCTGATCCGCTGTGACATCAAGGTCCGTGTTGTAAGCTTCATAGATCACGATCTGATGGTCGTCAGAACCGGCAGGTTTCGGAAGATGCTTTTGCAACTCCAGGTAAGCCGCGCACCCTGCAATACCACCACCAACGATAATAATCTTCATTGTATGAGTTCAAAGACAAAGATAGTTGCTGAGAACAGTGCGAGGGAATGAAGATTTGGAAGCACCAACCTCACTTAATAAATACTTCATGGGCCACATTTAAGGTTAGCGTATTGAGTGGGTCCCCGCAAAGCTAACCGTATGGGGGCTAGATCTCGTAATACAAGCCAATCATGTGAGCGTAGTGGATTCCTCTTCCTAGTTCTCAAGTGGCCATTGTTGTAGAAAGGTTTCACTTGATTTCTCCTTGAAAGATCAGGCAGCAATGTGGAAAGGACAGTTCCGTAGTTCCGTCCATTTTCATGTTATGCCCATATTGAGTTGATAAATGTACGATGCTACATGCCCGAAAAGCTCGGTTGAACTGTCAACATCTCCATCATCCCGAACCGAATTTCTTCCATTTTGCAAGCCTGTCGCTTGTTTCTGCAATGCTGGTGCCCATGATTTGATAATTCGGAGTGGAAGTTCGACCATAAGAGATCCCCGCCCAGCTGCGGGGCTTGGGGTTGCCGCGATGAATTCTCTGGCGGATTGAATCGACTCCAGGTGCTTCTGAACGCGATTCTCGTAAAGATATGCGGAAGAGGATACAAGATAGAGTAGCCGTAGAGCGACCACGCTTGTGGCGTCGTATAACGACCCCAAGGCAGCTGTAGGCATATCTGAGTGTGGGAGTAGCGGGAAATGATCGGGATCGATGTATTGATTCATTGCTGGTTCAATTCTGGAATTCTGCCATTGGATTGAATCCACTTCAAGAGGGCCAGCTATCGAAACGCATTGTTTCCACCATGTATGAAGTTGTGAAATTAAGCTGAGGGCCATGGAGCTCAACATTGTTATCAGTGAGTCATACTCCTCCGGCGTACTTTTGATAAGGTCTTCCGCAACTGAAAGACAGGGAAGCATAGAAAACAGAATATCAACAAACTGGTCAAACGCAGTTTTGCTGTGGATCTCAAAGGGGATCTCAATCCATGCAGGTGATGCAAAGGCATGCTGTTCGCTTCTGAAAATCGCCCTCGCGAACTGTAACGGGTTATAAGCTTCGTGTGAAAGTTGTCATGAATATGTTACAGAAAACTCACAGTCAAAAGCCTCAAGTGGCGAAATAGCTGATGTAAAAACCCATCTCGGCAACCCTCTGGGCCGCACGTTTCAAGCATCATTGCAGCACCTTGTACGTGGTGAAACCAGGCCCCATCCGAGGTTCCCGCCAAATTTTCGAAATGCGTGAGCATCACCGTAGCACAGATAACATCATCGGTAAAGTGAGTAGCCTTGTGAGAAAGGAGATATTGTAAGCCCTGCAGGGCCGTAGAATACCATCTGCAAGCTTCTGTCCGAATAGAGATATCTTTTGCCAAAGTACCGTAAAAGTACATCGACGCGGCCCGTATAGAATGTTTCACCAGATAATGACCTGGGGGTAAAATCATCGGGCCGAGTGCATCAAGCCATGTCGGTGGTTGTCTCGATGAAGTTGGAGGTTTGAAACCAAACGACTCTATAAAATGCGACACGAAGAGGTGGTCAAATATATCTGCCCGATTTGGCTGATGGGAGGCAAAGACCGATGGGATCAAAAGTGTATCCGTTATAAAAAGAGGGTTGTTACTGCCGTCAAAACGATGCTTGTAGTCCACTGATATATCTTTCTTGAGAGGTCGTTTTGGTGGGGATGGCACAGCATGAACAAAAATTGCCCCTGTTCTAGCGCCAGAGCAATGCAGTCCCTTCTTCACACATTGCTCGCACTCTGGAAGAGCTTCATCACACTATGTAAGACCAAATTAGCAAATTTGTGTCATAATTCCTGACCGGTAAAGCACCTTGAGTTTGCGCCGGCGACACTCAGAACAGCCCTTACTTCTCCCTGGGACATTGACCATAGCCTCAGCTTGAAGAATCGCGTACGTCAAATTTGGTCCTTGGATATCAAGTTGTGGCGAAGAGTGCTGCTGCACCAGAATAAGTGGATCATCTACCTTGCCCAGACCTCGGAGTCCTCAAGAACATAACGTAATCTGCACGAGCCGCCACCCTATATATACTTATAGATGACTATCTTCGCAGAATCGTAACCGTAGATGAGATGATCCAAATACTGATAAAAAAATAAATGAGCTATGTTCGAGCTGGATTTGATGTTATTTTTAGAGGTTGTGTGCCTAGGTATTAGAGCGTTCCAATAAATCAGAGACACCAGTTGACAGATATAAAATTTTACGATTAAAAAGGAATCAGGAAGTAACTTCGAGAAACGCTGAAAAATACCAGGAAAAGGAAGAAAAAGAAAAAGAAAAAAATGCATAAGAAGCTAACAATAATGAACTCAGCCCGATGGTTGTATCCCCAGGCCGTGATCTGGCGAGTATATACTTCGAGTCAAAACAAGAAAAGCCTTGGAGATTGTTGTCAATGAGACAAGTCCATATACTAGAAAGTTGTAACGTATGAAGAAAATTACATTGGCAAAAATGCGTTGTTTCCATGTGGGTTTGCAGATATCAAATAAATTCCAAGAATAAGGTGTTAAAAAGAACCAACCATGTACTGTTTATCCTGTTTACATCAACACACAGCAAGAGTTTTGCTTTTTAGCCTGAGATTGAGAGTGTCAGTAAGAATATGTAGAGGTTGCTTTCGAAATGCATACCTGGGTATAGAACATCTTGCTCTGAGCTGACAATCCATCACTCTTCTGCACCAAGGAGTCGATCTTCTCACCACGCTCCAAAACACTCTCAATCTGGAAAACATTAGGATCGCAAACAACGTCTCTTTATTACAACATACCGTCTTGTGAAGAACAATCTTTGTTTCGTCAAGCTCCTGCTGGATCTTCATAATGCTGTCGGCCTGGGCTGGGTCCTGGTACTTGACGATATATTCCTTGAGTGCCGGCAAAGGGCACGCATTCTCACGCAGAGAAGGATCAGAGAAAGAGGTACGCGGGTGCTTGGCCAGGAACTCGTCCACGATCTTACCCAGCAGCTGGTGGGCCACTAGGGCAGGGTAGTCACCATCTGTAACAATCACACCAGCAACACCCTCGGTTCGACCGTAAGCGTGGAATGTGTACGCCTTCTCTTCAATATCTTGGCGCTGGCCTGGCTTTGTTTTCTCGGCGACGGTTCGGTTGAAGAGCATCAAGAATTCATCGTAGCTATCGAGCGTCGGGAGGTTAATGACCTAAACGTGTAGGCGGACTTGGATATACGGAACATACTTCTGACGAGTGAAGCGCGAAAAGCTAGGAGTGTCAGCAGCAGTGTTCGTTTGATTGCAAGGTTCATATACACGCATACCTGCTAAGGTCCTTTTCCCCGCATAGCTGAAGAGCTGGCTGGGTGTCGTTCCGGAAAATCTTGAAGTAAAAGATCAGCAACAGGTCGAAGCTTTTGTTTCATCAAGTCCACCAGAAGTAAACATACGCCCATATACAGAATCTTCATGATGGCTACGTCGTCGTTGTCCGCACAGGAAAGGAGGCAAGTAACTGTCGGGGGTGGGGCGTTGGATCACAATAGGTGGTTATCCAGATAATGTTCTGATTTCAAAGAACCAGACAACTTCTTTGTGACAGGAAGTCAGCGATAAGGTGAACTGAAGTGGCAAAGTAGAATGACAAGAGTGAAGCCTAAAGCAAGGCTTCTGAGCTGCTGATAACAATGATGGCACTGGACCCTCCGCAGCGGCAGCGGTACACCGCTCTTGTCATGCGACCGACCGAGCCCTGCGGGACTGCCCTATGACTACTTTTGGCTCTTTGGATCCCCTCATTCCTGGGCATTTTCGCGTTCTTTAGCTTATCTCATTTTCAAAGTGAATCCTACAGTATCTTATGTCCAAAATGGACAACATCGCAGCTACCGAATCGCAGTGGCTATCGCAGCTGGCGGCCATGCGTCAGGCTATTGCCGATCTCAAGCTTCCGCAAAATATTAACCAAGAACAAATCGGTTACGGAAGTGATATTGATCTGGACATTGATGATGATTATTCCTCACCTGGAACAGTTGACGATGTCTGGGATATCATCAGCTCGGATGACGAAACCTCAGACGACCTCGACGACCTCGACGGATCTCACCTCGACCCTGGATCCTCATACAATCGGTTTTGGTTGGAAGACAAATGTCAGGGTATAGCCACGCGCAACTCGAATATGAACGCGTCAGAGCTTGCTCAGCAGCTCATTGCCACTCTAGCTGCTGACAGCAATGACGAGGAGCTCCAAATGTCTCTGGCTGAGATCGTCGGATTCGATGACCTTGATCTGGTTATCGAGCTGATCGCGCACCGAGATGAACTTCTGTCCGACAAGGCACCGCGCTTCGAATCCCAGACAGATGGTCTTATGGCTGGCAAACTCCTGACACGAGCGGAAAGAGAGCAGGCACTCCAACAACGCGACTTCGAACACAAGAATGCGATGTTGATGCCAGCACAATCCCGATCAGAGCCTGCCTACCCGCATGTTTTCAAGCAGCACACCTCTGGAAATATGCTTTCCGCTAATGGAAAGAAATACGGACTACCTCTTGGAAGCAAGTTGATTGAAGAACCAACATACACCGAACACGCGATTCCAGCTGCCAAAGTTGGAACGCTAGCAACCGGCCAGAAGCTGGTAGAGATTTCCGGGCTAGATGGTTTATGTCGAGGCACCTTCAAGGGCTACAAAGCTCTTAATCGTATGCAAAGTTTGCTGTACGATGTCGCTTACAAAACCAGCGAAAACATGCTTATTTGCGCGCCCACCGGTGCGGGTAAGACGGATGCTGCCATGCTGACTATTCTCAATGCTGTCGCAAAGAACACGTCTCCAAATCCACTGGAAGCCCCGGAAGCAACTGAATTTACCGTCCAGGTTGATGATTTCAAAATTGTTTACGTTGCTCCTATGAAAGCTCTAGCCGCCGAAGTGACAGAGAAATTGGGAAAGCGGCTGGCCTGGTTGGGCATCAAGGTCCGCGAACTGACTGGTGATATGCAGTTGACCAAGCGGGAGATTGTGGATACCCAGATCATCGTCACCACACCTGAGAAATGGGATGTCGTTACTCGAAAAAGCACTGGAGATACAGAGCTTGTGCAAAAAGTCCGCCTTCTTATCATTGATGAAGTTCACATGTTGCATGATGAGCGAGGTGCAGTCATCGAATCATTAGTTGCACGTACTCAGCGTCAGGTCGAAAGCACACAGTCGTTGATCCGTATCATTGGTCTATCTGCCACGCTTCCAAATTATACCGATGTGGCCGACTTCTTGAAAGTCAACAAAATGGCTGGCATGTTCTTCTTTGATCAATCTTTCCGACCAGTTCCCCTTGAGCAGCATTTCATTGGTGTGAAAGGAAAGCCTGGCTCCAAGCAATCCCGTGAAAATATTGATAGTGTTGCATATGAGAAAGTCCGTGATATGCTGGAAAGAGGCCACCAAGTCATGGTGTTCGTTCATTCCAGAAAGGATACCGTCATGACCGCCAGGATGCTGAAGCAGCTGGCGGCCGAGGAGGGCCGCGAGGATCTATTCAGCTGCCATGATCATGAGAACTATTCCACAGCCCTTCGTGACATGAAGCATGCGCGGGCAAAGGAGCTGCGAGACCTTTTCGCTAGCGGATTTGGCACGCATCATGCCGGAATGACCCGTAGCGATCGCAATTTGATGGAGCGAATGTTTTCTGATGGCCTCATCAAAGTGCTTTGCTGTACCGCCACTTTGGCCTGGGGTGTCAATCTTCCCGCAGCTGCAGTAGTCATCAAGGGTACTCAATTATATAACCCTCAGGAGGGTAAGTTCATTGATTTGAGCATTCTTGATGTCATGCAAATCTTTGGTCGTGCCGGTCGTCCACAGTTCCAGGACACTGGTATTGGTTTCATCTGCACGACCCACGACAAGTTGGACCATTATCTCTCTGCCGTCACTGCACAACAGCCCATCGAGTCGCGCTTCTCCGGTCGGCTTGTTGACAATCTGAACGCCGAAATCGCATTGGGAACAGTTACCTCTGTGCCAGAAGCCGTGCAATGGCTCGGCTACTCGTACCTCTTCGTGCGCATGAAACGCGAGCCACGAAATTATGGAATTGAGTTTGCTGAGCTCCGCGATGATCCCATGTTAGTGCAACGGCGGAGACATCTGATCATACAGGCTGCACGTGTGTTGCAAAAGAGCCAGATGATTATCTTCAACGACAAGACCGAGGATCTCAAAGCCAAGGACGTCGGTCGCATCGCAAGTCAATATTATGTCTTGCAGACCAGTGTTGAGATCTTCAATAGCATGATGCGCCCTCAGTCCGGCGAGGCGGACGTGCTAAAGATGATCAGTATGAGTGGAGAATTTGACAACATCCAATCTCGAGACAGCGAGTCGAAAGAACTACAACGAATCCGCGAGGAGGTTGCACAGACTGAGGTCGCTGGGGGAAATGACACGCCACACGCGAAGACAAACCTCTTGCTTCAAGCCTATATCTCTCGCGCCAAGATTGAGGATTTTGCTCTGGCCTCCGACACCGGATATGTTGCCCAAAATTCCGCCCGTATCTGTCGCGCTCTCTTCATGATTGCATTGAACCGTCGCTGGGGCTATCAATGTCAGGTCCTGTTGTCCCTTTGCAAGTCGATTGAGAAACAAATCTGGCCTTTTGATCACCCATTCCGCCAATTCGATCTACCTCAGCCGGTCTTGCGGAACCTGGACGAAAAACTTCCGGCCACTTCCATCGAGTCAATGAAAGAAATGGAGCCTGCGGAGATTGGTCAGCTTGTTCATAATCACCGCATGGGCAACACACTATCCAAGCTTTTGGACAATTTCCCTACTCTTAGCGTTGAGACGGAGATCGCGCCCCTCAATCGCGACGTTCTTCGTATTCGCCTTTCTATCTACCCTGAGTTCACTTGGAACGACCGTCACCACGGTACATCAGAGTCCTTCTGGGTTTGGGTAGAAAATTCGGAAACCTCAGAAATCTACCATCATGAATATTTCATCCTAAGCCGGAAGAAGCTGTACAATGACCATGAGCTCAACTTCACCATTCCGCTTTCAGACCCTCTTCCGAGCCAAATCTATATCCGTGTGATTTCCGATCGCTGGCTAGGCGCTGAAACTGTCAGTCCGGTTTCCTTCCAGCATCTCATCCGCCCGGACACGGAAAGCGTCTATACCGACCTTCTCAATCTTCAGCCACTGCCTATTTCGGCCCTCAAGAACCCGATTCTGGAGGAAGTGTATGGACAACGCTTCCAATTCTTCAACCCGATGCAAACTCAGATCTTCCATCTGCTTTATCACACGCCGGCCAATGTTCTTCTTGGCTCTCCCACTGGTAGTGGAAAGACTGTGGCTTGCGAGTTGGCGATGTGGTGGGCTTTCCGCGAGAAGCCCGGCTCCAAGGTTGTTTACATTGCACCTATGAAGGCTCTGGTTCGCGAGCGTGTTCAGGATTGGCGCAAACGTCTGACCAGTCAAATGGGTCTGAAGCTAGTTGAGTTGACTGGTGATAACACACCTGATACACGCACAATTCGGGATGCAGATATTATCATTACCACCCCTGAGAAATGGGATGGTATCTCCCGTAGCTGGCAGACCCGTGACTATGTCAGAAAAGTTAGCCTGGTGATCATTGACGAGATTCACTTGCTTGGCGGTGATCGTGGCCCGATTTTGGAAATAATTGTTTCCCGAATGAACTACATCGCTTCTCAATCCAAGGGATCTGTTCGTCTTATGGGCATGTCCACCGCTTGTGCAAATGCTTCGGATCTGGCCAACTGGCTTGGTGTCAAGGAGGGTTTGTACAACTTCAGACATTCAGTCCGTCCGGTCCCCCTCGAGATCTTCATCGACGGGTTCCCCGAACAGCGAGGCTTCTGCCCCCTGATGCAGTCGATGAATCGCCCAACTTTCCTTGCGATCAAGAATCATTCCCCAGAGAAGCCAGTCATTGTCTTTGTTGCTTCTCGTCGTCAGACACGTCTCACCGCCAAGGACTTGATCAACTACTGCGGTATGGAAGACAACCCTCGTCGGTTTGTGCGGATGTCCGAAGACGATCTTGAAGCAAACCTCGCCCGGGTGAAGGATGAAGCACTCAGGGAAGCTCTCAATTTTGGTATCGGGCTGCATCACGCTGGTCTGGTTGAATCCGACCGCCAACTGGCGGAGGAACTATTTGCCAACAACAAAATCCAAGTTCTTGTTGCTACTAGTACTCTCGCCTGGGGTGTCAATCTTCCGGCCCATCTTGTGGTGGTTAAGGGTACACAGTTCTTCGATGCGAAGATCGAGGGTTACCGTGACATGGACTTGACCGATGTTCTCCAGATGCTTGGTCGTGCCGGCCGTCCACAGTTCGACACCTCTGGTATCGCGCGCATCTTCACTCAAGACTCTAAGAAGGCCTTCTACAAGCACTTCCTTCACACCGGTTTCCCCGTGGAGTCAACACTGCACAAAGTTCTCGACAACCATCTTGGCGCTGAAGTTTCCGCTGGAACTATTGGTACGCAACAGGATGCGTTGGACTATTTGACCTGGACATTCTTCTTCCGCCGGCTACATAAGAACCCATCCTATTACGGCCTGGAAATCGCGGCCGAGGAACAAAACACCATGGCGGCTCAGGCCATCGCTCAAGACTTCATGGTTGATCTGGTCGGAAAATCGCTCAATGATTTGGCGGAATCATCGTGTGTTCTTGTCGACTCGGCGACCGGAGAGGTCGATTCTACTCCATTCGGCAAAATCATGAGTTACTACTATTTGTCGCACAAAACAATCCGATTCCTCATGTCACACGCCAAGCGTGACCCGACTTTCCAAGATGTCCTAAGTTGGATGTGTTCTGCAACTGAATTCGACGAACTGCCTGTCCGCCACAACGAAGATCTCATCAATGGCGAGTTGGCGCAGAATTTGCCCCTCTCTATTGATTGTATGGGCGATGCCCCCCTGTGGGATCCACACACCAAGGCCTTCCTTCTGCTGCAGGCCTATATGTCCCGGATCGACCTCCCGATTACAGATTACGTAGGAGATCAGACTTCTGTGCTCGATCAAGGAATTCGTATCATCCAGGCGTCCATCGATGTCATGGCTGAGCTTGGATACCTTCCTGCCTGTCAGATGCTGATGACCCTACTTCAGTGCATCAAGTCAGCGCGCTGGCCCGAGGATCATCCTTTGTCTATTCTGCCAGGCGTGGGAACCGAGAAGCCGCCCAGTGGCCTGCCAGGCACTCTTGTCTCGCTCGCGTCCCAACCCGCCGCTTCGGTCGCTGCTTTGGTCAAAAAGCTGCAACTGCCGTTCAACTTCATCCGTGCTGCTTCTCATCTGCCTCAGCTGTCCATCGCAGTTGCTAGTGTCTCTGCGAAGGGCGTGACTGTGTCCCTCACACGGCGGAACCCACCGACCACCCCGGAATGCAAGGTCTATGCACCTCGATTCCCTAAGCCTCAAACCGAGGGCTTCTTCTTGCTCATCTGCAGCGCTTTGCCCAATGGCATGGATGGTGAACTCCTCGGTCTGAAGCGTGTCTCCTGGCCGCCGGTAGCCAAGCGCAACGGCAACGGCAAGGGCAATGCCGCTGCTGGCTCTAGTCGCGGAGGTTCTGACAACAATAAGAAGAGCGGCCAGTTGACTGTTCGTTCTTCGGTCAAATTCCCTGAAGGAGTCCTCGTCGAATCTTCGTCAGTCAGTACTGCCGGCACCGCCCGAGTGAATATCAGGGTCATCAGTGACTCTTATGTTGGGATGGCATGGACTGTCAACAACGTGGAAGTGAACTTGGAAACCGGCATTGAGACCCAGAGAGTGGCCGAGTCCAGCATTCCTCAAAAGGACTGAACTCAATCCAGGCTCTAAGAAGTGAACATTAAAACAAATCTATGTAAATACAAACATGGTCATGACTCTAACAATCACAAAGAAATCGAAAACCACTTCTTCAGAGCCTTGAACCTCCCCTCATCATCTTCATAGGAATCAATCACCCTCGTCCGCCCACCCATATTCAACTTAATCAAATTGTTCACCATCATGATCTTCCCAACAACACAAACCTCTTCGTTTGCTCCCTCCCCCCTCTCCTTCTATCAAAGGCAACCCCTCAGTCTCCCCGCTCCTCACAAACTTAACAACAACATAACTCCCCTTCTGCACAGCATCCCAACTTGTAAACCGATTCACAACCTCAAAGTCATCCTGAAACCACTCCAGCTCCGCAAACGCATAGAACGAATTCCACGGCCTGTCCGCCCCATTACGATACTGATAGATCCACATTTTCTGCTCCCTCCGCATTTGCTTCGGCATGTTATCGTAGATCAGTCGTACTTCCTGCAGTCCCAAGTTCTGCGTTACCTGCCCCGACACCAGTGGGAGTGGACTCAGGGGACCGTCACCACCGAATGCAGCATCCAGATGGTATTCCTTTCCGCTTGGGAGTCGAACAATGTTGACGATGTGCGTCCTGGTCTCTTTAGCGCTTGTGCCTTTTGTAACCTGATACGCAGATGATACCCACCATCCTTTGAATTCCCCTTGTGGAATACCGTCTATCCGTTGCCGGTTCCGGACCCCCGTCATGTATACTGAGAAGCCTAGGCCGCGGAGCATGTGGTGGAAGAATATGCTCACTTCTAAACAATAACCGCCTCTGCATGTTGGGGCTGTGTCATTGCACCCGATGACTTTGGTGTAGATTCTTTCTGGGTGGATTTCTGCCAGCTGGCTAGTCGAGTAGTGGCATGTTAGATTGTCGTATGGGAACCGGGTGATTTGGCAGCGGAAGAGGTCTTTCAATGCTTCTTCCGTTTTGGGGAATGATTCCGGGTCGTTGAGGTGTGCTTCATATGTATTTGGTAGAGCGATATATTGCAGATATTTGGTTATTTGCGCCGGTGTGTAGGCGGACCCCATTTTGGTTTCCATTGTGTTGATGCTTTGGCATTTTGGGAGATTGAGTCTTGATTAAAATAGTGAGCTATGTGTTGTTCGGCTGAGATTCGTGAGTCATACCAAAGGATCACAACGCCAAGATCAATACATAAGTTACTTTGAATTGAGTTTAGATCGATTCGCCATTTCATACTATAATTGAACAAAAATCCAGGCTGATTGGCCTGTGGTCGATATCTGGATCTCATGAAGCCGCCCTGTGGGCATCTACACTTCCTACAACTAGCAAGTCCATCCGAAGGGACGATGAACAACACACATAATTACATAAATATGTATACGTAGAAACCAACGCAATCCAGGCCTAGAATTATAACTATATAAAATAATAAAAAATAATAAATCGCAATATGAAATGCTATGAGGCAAAGGGGAATCAGAATCCAGGCGAAAAGAAGAAAAAGATAAAACAAAACGTATCGAATGAAGGATAACGATAGATGTCACAGACACTCTATCCTCAACTCCTGCGAGACACCAGGCCGATGTCCCAAATGCGCGTCCGTAATCTGCGGCGTCAAAGCCCGCCGCTGCCCAAAACGCTCCTCCGCATCAGCTTGGGAACCCCGAGCCCCAATAGGAACAAGCATGTGGCGCTTCGCGCGGGAAACAGATATGGAGCGCGCAGTTGAGACTTCAACACGCGGGATCGCGCTTGGGATCTCTTCAGTCTCTTCTGGTCCGTCGAGACTCTCGACTGCGTCGACGAATGGCATTCTTGTTGAGTCTGATGGCGAGATGCCGGATCTTGGGCCTGTGGAAGAGGATAGTGGGGACATTATTCGGTCGATTTTTTCTTGAGTTGGGTTTAGGTTTGAGGGTGGGCTAAGGGCTGTGCTGGATGATATGTCTTTTGCTGGTGGTTGGGGGCGGTCCTCGGTTTGGACGCGCAGGCGTGGGCGCGTGGTGGCTTGGGGCTTTTGTTGGTCTAGCCATTTGTCGATGCGAATTTTGGTGCTTGTCTTTTGTGGTGAGACTACCTGGGGTTGGATTTCTGTTGCTCGTGGTAGGGAGTCTTTTCTGGGTTGGATCGATTTCCATTGTGCATCCTGCGCTGTTGGGTGTTGTTTCTGCGATTTGACGCTCTGCTGTTGCTGGACTGCTTGCGGTGATTGAAAGTTCTTGTGTGGTTGAGAACTCTTCTGTAAGTGGTTAGGTTGCGGCTCTGGCTTGATGGCTGGAAGAGGCTTGTCGTAGCTACTGGAGGACCTCGGGGTACTCGAGGTTGCAATAGAAAGCTTTGGGATGACGGGTGACTCGAAGGAAGAAAGACTGTTCTTCTTCGAGCCGCGACGGGAATGTTGCGCCGGCATCTTTGAGGGACTTTCGACTGGCAGTGTATTGGCTCGTATTGGGGGGCTGGGCCCACGAGAGGAATTCTGTGAGATATTCTGTGTACCGAGTATTTGGGCTGCTTTGGACGGTTGTGATGTGGGGAATAAAGTAAAGCTTGACCGCGCTGGCGATGTTGCCCGACGTTGAGGCATTGGGGGTGGCACGGGTTTTAGAAAGCCCTGTATCGGATTGGTTAGTCTATCATCGTTGATTGTAGATCATGTATCATACATTTGCATTAGGAACTTGAAGATTGTCCAAAGTTTTGGCCCTTCTGGCCAGCAGCGAGGGTCTTTGGTTTTTGTTGACGACATGGCCAAACATGACACTGTAGCGCTCCATTTGAACATCTGGGATATCAACGCTCAGTAGAGGCCCTTGAAGGCTTGGCTGTGGCTGTTCCTTGGGTGTTTTGTTTCCACTAAGGGAGAACTTGCGACTCCTTTGCGGATTTTGGTTGGTACGATCTTGCGTAGGATCAACCTCAAGCTTTGGCCACTCGTCCGTCGAGCTCTTCCTCTCTTTGGTCTTTTGTGGCTTCTCATACATTCTATACTCGTGTTGAGGCTTCGGTTCGCCACTTTGCATCTCGTCCTGGTGAGAAGTAAGGGCATTCTTTGCCTTGAACAATCCACCAATCTTCTTCCATTTGCTCGGTTTGTGGGTGAGACCATTTTGTCCTGGGGCGAATATTGAAGTATCAAATCGGGGTGGTGGCAGAGCCTCATCTTGTTTCAATAGCCCTGGACTACCTAGTGCAATGCCAATCATATGTTGCTCTGTCGGGGTCCGAACAATAGATGGAATGGCCTCGTCTGGTGGGGCAGCAACATGGAAGTCGAATGTAGCACTGTGACTAGGTAGTGGTCTTCTAAACCATCCATCTCCTGGAGAGGGTTGGCGAAAGTCCCATTGTCCAACGGTGGTATCTTGGCGTTGTGCAGCCTCATCTAGAGGATGAAGGTCATTGCGAGGCAAGGCATCGGTATAGGTCAACACAGGAAATGAGATAGTCTCGGTTGGTTGGGTACGAGACATGACAGTTGTCATTCCTCTAGTCATCTCTTACTATACTGAAATCCAGCCCGGTAAATCGTTGTAAGATAGGAACAAGCAAGATATATTAATAAAAGAATGATCCCAGATCATAAAAGAAGGATATGGACCTTCCAGAAGGCCTCGGTCTCAAACAGAATGATTGAAAATCAAAATCAAGAGCGAGAGACAGTAGAAAGTTAATATGAAAGAAAGAGGAATAAAAAAGAGAAAGTGGCAATGTAAGAGTCTCTCTCATAAGTGGAGTAAATTTGTTTAATGGACTGCTGTAGGAAGTAAATGAGACCAAATGCGGGCTGAAGGGCAAAAATTAAATCAATCAATTCTCTTCAGTCCGAGGGCCCAGATTGGACCAGCTCTTGAATCCTCCATGCCGAATTCCTGCTAGGTCGGCGCCAGATAGTGTCTAGTCCGGGGCTGAATTCGACCAACGAAAGGTGAGAAACGCGACCAAACATCGCAAAATGTGCTCTTTTTGAATTCGAGGGGCGTCTCAGCGCTAGCATCGGAACTTGTGTGAGATGCTTATTTCGCCTAGAGCGAATGAGCGCGGAGGTTGCGGATTGATTAGCTCGCTACCACGTTGGTAAGCCAACGAGTGTCTCCGCAGTGGCCGAAGCTATGCAGGAGGCGTGTTTCACCCTGGGAGAAATTGAGACACGGAGGCTTGACCCTTGACCCTCAGGGGGGATTGGAATTTGATAGGTCAAAGCAAAGCCATCAGAGATATGACCATTTAGAGTCATATGGTGTTGGGTATTTTTCTATTGTGCACGGATGACTGTTGATCTTAGCTGAATTCATACAAGATTAAATCTTTTGAAGCTGAGAATTGTGATGCCAAGGCTATGTCTGACACCAATAATGTGTCTGGTTTTGCGGTGTTTCAAGAAGGGTTTAGGATTAAGACCTTTGCTTGAAGAATTTTAAGACTCTCCAGGACTACTTAAGTAAGACTGCCACACGCTTGAGTAAGATTGAGTTTGAAAGGTCTGAAGGGTAAATGGCGGTCAAGTCGGGTTTATAATGGAATCCTCAATAATTTACAGAAGATAACGTGTTCTGTCTCATTTATTATTCCGCTATGTATTCCTATATATATGTACGAAGTAAAGAGGATCGACAGTACATCCATGGACGCCATGTTATATGTATGACATACATATCCCTTGCCTTCCAATGCTCCAAACATATTATGTTATTCTAACTATTTCCTCGAGATAAACACTGGTAAACACTGGTAAACACTCACGTTGACAGAAATACCCTGTCTCCACCACTATATTGAGCAATATCTGTCCATACATTGAGTATATCACTATTCTCAAAATATTGATATTTTTAATTATTAGCAAATACGCAGCAATTACTTCACAAAACAATTCAAATAACAGTACACAGTACAAAGATCAAAGACTGAAAATAAGCTGTGCAAACGGTCTGATCGTCATAATATGGCGGGGTCTTCTCCCGACCGCCACAACAGAATCCCCCACTACTTTCTTTACTTCTCCCACAAGCTCTCTCCTTTTTTCTTGTATATTCAACTTTCAATCTTAAGGTGTGTTTAATACTCTCCCTACCTTCTTCCTTTCTGCTCTCCGTCAAGAATCAACTCTAACCTCCTACAGCGTTATTCTCTTTTATTCACAGCCATGGGCGATCACGCAGCAATTTGGCAAAGTATGAATCACAGCTCTCCAAGTCTTCTCTTCAACTCGCTAATCCCTGCTCTATCTATATAGGCTATGTCGACTCAAGGTACATTACCCCTCGACCCTAAACTTCTCCCACCGGCCTCGACAACTCTCCGGAGATCTCCAGAGATACCCCACCTCAATGTCGACATCCGAGCTCGCCGAGCTCGCCATTCCTACACTGGTATACTGACACCTCTTTTACAGCCTGATGGGCTCGCAGCAGTTCGACAAGGCCGGCATCCTTGCAGTCGACTTCTCCGGCCTCGTCGCCAAGACCCCCGGCTTCTCCGTAAGCTCCTCTATCCTCTATCCACCCGGGCCCTCTAAAACCACAACTAATCACTTCAACTCCAGCTGTCCCAGGAAGAAATCAACTCCCTGATCACTGCCTACACTGATGAAAGCAAAGCATACGCCAACGGCTTCTCAGTCGCCGGTGATAAATTCGTCACTATCAAGGCTGACGAGCGCAGTCTATACGGCAAGAAGGTAAGCACAGGGATCCTGCTGTCATTTGGTTCGGTGCTGATATGTGCTATGTGCATGTACAGGGTAAGGAGGGTATCATCATTGCCCGCGCTTCCTCTTGCACCATCATCGCCCACCACGGTGAGGCTGTCCAAACTACCAACGCCGCGACCGTCGTTGAGAACCTTGTCGATTACCTCAACAAGGCTTAGTAAATTCGATCAAAATACGTTCGTGACGATACCTACATGATTTGATGAGTTGAGGAGATGTTTGTGAAGAATAGGAAATGAAGGAGCATTCGACTAGCATTCGACTAGCGTCTTGAGATGCACTTTTTCGGGCTTGGGGGGTTTCTCGCTTTCCACGTAGACGTGGCTGCAATGCACAGTTGGAATTGGCTTGTACCATGCACAATGTAATCCGTCTATTTTCTAACATGCATATTAACTGATCACTGCGATCAAGGGAGGTCATTATTAATTACATAATTCGGAAGGCCGTAGATGTATCGTGTCTGTTCTGTGTGTACAGAAGTTTTCGGACATGTGTAACATCGGATATCCTAGTGAGGCGCCTGATATAAGGGTTCAGGTAGCCAGCCAGGATCTCACCATTTCAAAATCATACAGGGAGTTCGGCGTTGCTCCTGCCACCTGCAAGGACTTCCAGTCCACGCTGGATATAAGGTCCTATCACGGGAATATTCCCCGCGAATTGACCGATCGTAACCAGAAAATCCCCAAACAAGATGAACAGGCCGTAGAGTTCTGTCAAGAATCCAGCCAAGGGCCAGCGGAAGAGGATGAGGAGGATACCAGCGGCAAAAGCGGCAGTTCCCTTGAGCTTTTGCGGGCGGGTGAAAAAGACAATGGTCTTCTGGACACCAATGATGAGAGTCAGGCCGATGAGGAAGAGGATCTGGTATTGTTAGTTGCGTTCTTGTATATTGGAGCGTGTGGCGTACATTTCCCATTGCAAGTCTATCAGATGCAACATTAGCAATCAGGTCACAAGTATAATGAATTGTATGAAGCAGACATACAATGATCGGTCGAAAAACATCAACACTCCTCCGAGTAGGAATAGTCCACCTAATCAAACTTTGTCAGTCCTCGTTCTTTGTGATTTGCGATAACACGAATTCGTACCGGCCGAGCAGAAGACCACACCGATCTCTATGATATATATTAGCCAGCGTTCTTGGTCATTGTTGTGCATGTGCTATTAGTGCACGCGGCAGCCGGAATAGTGAATGCGACTGACTCTGGTTCTCGGTTAACCACATGCTAGGCATCTTGTTGTTTTTGAGTCGAGCAGCAGGTAGTGTATTTTCTGAGAATTGCGCAAATCCTTCTGGGTCAATCGAGAGTATGCGACTGTGTTCGCTTGGGTTTCTGGCCAGGTGGTCTTTGTGGTTGTTTGGGGAGGCAAGGCAGACGTTTGCGGCAGTGGCGGCAGATAGAACGTGTGGAGGTTATAGGGGGAGTTGCGAGTTGCGGAATTGGACAAGATTGAGGCTGTTGCAAAATTCCTGAACACACTCAATAGTAAAGAACAAAGCCAAAGGTAACTATCAATGCCCAGAGTAAACAAAGAAAAGGCGAAACTCGAAAATCGGCCATTTCTGCCGCGTAATCCACGCCAAATCTAAATGTAGCAGGCGGTAACTCCAGGGCTTTATCACCGATTTCTCGTCCCTCGTCTTTTGTCTTTCAATCTACAACTTCTGTACAAATTACATTACAATTGAGGTGATCTCTAATGATGTGATTACTTCAATTGAATAGATTTTGACTCAAGTATAACGCCAAATTTATTGTTATTACAAGTGGGAGAGCTTCCCGACAACTCCAAAACTCCTATATTTCCACGCCGCGACGACAGTCTCTTCTTGATTCTGTAACTGGTGCCCTGTCCCATGGGGTGTCGGTAATAGTCGAGTGCACTCGTGCAAAAGGCGAAGAGCAACTCATTGATCACGAATAAGCCGGAGCGCTTTCTTGAGCCTGTCTCGAAAGGGGCATGGTGGGGTGGAAAGGGCTTGACTGTGTTTGGTCGTACATGACGATTCGTAGTGTTTTCGTACATAGTTCTAATTCAATTAATTAGGTCCATTCTGACTTTCCATGGCCTTTCGCTACATACCCTTTCGCGTAGGATCTCTGATTAAGGGATTGAGTGTCGACTTCTACCACTTTACTTCAGGATAGTGTGCGCACCGCGAGCCTCCAGGTAGTTCTCGGGTACTCCCTGTGCCAGTGTTCGGATCACCTTGAAGATCTCCTTGTCGTGGTATCGTAGTCGGGTCTTGGGGTCGGTGTATGGTCCACTCAGACCAGTGATATCGCAGTAGTGATGTTGGTGGGCGGGACTCAATGAGGGCGCCGATTCAATGTTGGTGTAGGTGACCGCGGGTCCGGAGGGGAATGTTGCCCGAGCGTTCCTCTCCAAGACTAGAGTAGACAAGTTCTGAGTAGCCTGGGAGAGATTAGGGGCAGCCCCTTCTAGCGGAGTCTGTGTCCCATCGGTGACGGCTCCAGATGTACCCGGGGTGGTTGCGCCCGAGTTGGCCTGAGTTGCCATTACTGATGCCTCCTTCCTGGTGGCCTCTGAGATAATTTGCTTAACATTCTTGTTGCGGCGTTGGGATGGCTTCCAGTGAGGGTTGCGGAAGGACTTGGGGGCTTGCGCAATGTCCAGGGTGTTCAGTAGCTGCTGGTGAGCTTCATCGTTGGCAGGGTTCGGTGGAGGCATGGTACAGAATGTGGCCTAGGTTTTAAAGGTGGAAAAACAGCTGTTATAATTTTATTATAACCAAAAAGAAATGGTGAATCGTGGTTTATATGCTCACTTTGAATTCTTTGGACCCTTGGGAGGCTTCAGGAAGTCTGTATAGCTGCACGTGATCGCATTTTTATGCTGTCCAAACAAACACCTTCACGTCTATCAACCAACACAACATCTCTCAATCTACAGCCATGGTATTTATTTCACATCTGTTACCATATTTATAAGGCACTATGAAAGTTTTGTTTCTGATATCGTACTAGGAGAGCCCTCACGAGCATCAGCAGACTGTGCTGTTGTCCCGCATTATTGGCAATGTCGTATGTTATTAACCTCATTTGGAGACTTGTTATACTAAAACTCAATGTAGGAGAAACTCAATGAAGCTATTATGGTCATGAACAAAGGCCTGCAGGTGGGATCAAACCTCCTCAGGTGCATATATGGTGATACTGACTCTTTGTAGGAAGTCAATATCCAGAATATGAACGTCGAGCTTGTGGCGCAGATGTTCAAAAACTATCAGTCTAATGTTCTCTTCCATCTTGAAGGTGTGCCAGCTTTCTATATGCTCTATCTTTTTCTCTTCCCCTGCTAACACCCTATAGCGACGGAGAACCTCAAAGAACCCTCTTAAGCAATACGTATAACGAAGAAATGTGTGGATGAGATCCAATTAGTCAACGATACCGGCTTTCATATTCAGTCTAAATCTATCTTTAATAAATATCAGTAATTGTCTCTAATATGGCGTAGTTGCGAGGAGTAGTGAGATAACTAGTAGATAACCTCCATTCTTGGCATACTGCGAACTTCAATCCGCATTTCGCGTCACCCCCTTCTCAACGCAGAGGCTTTTATATACAAACACCGGGATACCCCTATATTTTCCTTCCATGCAGTAATCTTCTCGCCAATAATCTTCAATCTCAAAAGCTCCTCCGGAGCGCAATCCGCCATGACGATTACCTCTGTAAAGAGCCTCCTACCAGGCCGCATTGCGTCCAATGCCTCCGAGAACCGAACAGAAAAGCCTCCCCCACAGCTTCATGGCATTACAGACTTCCCCTTCAAAGGCTACCAGCCTCCGCAACCTGAAGGATACCAACAAAGCCAAGCCCACCCCGATACCAGTGCGATTGTCATTGACAATGGTAAGGAATTTGATACGACACAGTTTTCTGAGGTTTCTTGCTAATCGACATGCTTCTTGCGCAGGCTCTCATCTCGTCAAGGCCGGTTGGTCATTCGACAAAAATCCTCGATTCGCCATACCCCCCGTCATGAGCCGATACCGTGATCGCAAGCTTAATCGCCAGTGCCAATTCATCGGATATGATGCTTACGTCGATGCGACTACGAGAGGACAACTGCGCAATGGGTTCGACCCCGGCTCAAGTGTTGTCGGTAACTGGGATGTCATGGAAGGAGTGCTGGACTATCTGTTCCTGAAGCTGGGCGTGGATGGTGCCAATGGCGGCGTCGGTCGTCCTATCTTAATGACCGAGCCGATCGCCAATATGGCTTATTCCAGAAAAAGTGAGTAGATATATTGGTCTGATGCGGTGCGGTGGGTGCTGACTCTTGCAGTGATGAATGAAATCCTCTTCGAATGCTACTCTGCGCCGTCAGTGGCATACGGTGTCGACTCGCTCTTTTCATATCGCTACAATGGTGGAACGGATGGGTTGATCATTGATTCGTCGCATACCTCCACCCATGTTATTCCCGTCATGAACTCGAAACCCGTCTTCTCCAACAGCTCTCGCCTCAACTGGGGTGGCCTACAAGGATCTGAATATCTCATGAAGCTTATGAAGCTCAAGTACCCGACCTTCCCGACCCGCTTAACAGATGCCCATATGGAGGAGATGGTTCATAACCACTGCTACGTTGCACAGGATTACAACCGCGAGTTGAGCACGTTCCTTGACTGGTCTGGACTCGAGGACCGCGATCATGTTATCCAGTTCCCCTTCACAGAGCACGTTATTCAGGAGAAGACGGAAGAAGAGCTTGCCCGGATTGCTGAGCGCAAGAAGGAGAGTGGCCGTCGTCTCCAAGAACAGGCCGCGAGAATGCGCCTGGAGAAACTTGTCAAGAAAGAGCAAGAGCTGGAATACTGGAAGGAACTGCAGCTCAGACTGGAGAACGAGAATAAGAAAGAAACTCGTCGCCTTTTGGAAGCCGAGGATCTGAAGGACGAAGCCGCACTAGACAAATTGATCCGCGAACTGGAGAAGTCTATCAAACGTTCGCGCAACAAGGACCTGGGTATTGAAGAAACCGAGGAGCAGCCTGAGGAAATGACATTCCCCATGCTCGATATTCCGGATGATCAATTGGATGAGGCCGGTCTGAAAGAAAAACGACACCAACGCCTCATGAAATCTAACGTTGATGCTAGACAGCGCGCCAAAGAGGAGAAGGAGCGCGAGAAGGCTCGCATTGCAGAAGAAGAGCGTCTGGACCGCGAGGAGCGCGAGAACAACTTCGAGAGCTGGATTGCCAAGCGTCGCGGCAACCGCCAGGTATGTTTGAATTTCAAGAACACATTTCCCATTTCTGGACTAACATCTACTAGCGCATCCTTCAAAACATTAAAGATCGCGACCGTTTTACGGCAGATCTTGGAAACCGCAAATCCCTCGCTAGTCAGATGCGTATGAAGACTCTAGCCAACCTGGCATCCGACGGTCCCAAAAAGCGTCGCCGCGGTGGTGATGACGATGACTTCGGTGCCAACGACGAGGACTGGGGTGTTTACCGCACTGTTGCTGTTGGTGAGGCCAGTGATGACGAAGAAGAGGAGGATCTTAACGCCATGCTCGACTCCGCTGAAAAAGAACTCCTCGAGTACGACCCCGAGTTCAACGAGAATAACACATTCGCCGCACAATCGGACTGGACAAAGAGTCTTGTGCACGCATTCCTTCGTGGACCTTGGCCTTTCGATCCAGAGAGCCAACGCGAAGCACACCAGCTTCATCTGAACGTTGAGCGTATCCGTGTTCCCGAGGTCGTTTTCCAGCCCTCTATTGCTGGTGTTGACCAGGCTGGTCTCATTGAGATTGTGGCCGATATTATTAATCACCGCTATTCAAACCCGCAGGACCAGTCTCGTCTGCTCAAGGATGTCTTCTTGACTGGTGGAAATACTCTGTTTACTGGCTTCGATGAACGCTTCCGTAAAGAGGTTCGCGGGTTCTTGCCTGTTGATGCTACGCTGAATGTGCGCAAGGCTACGGATCCTGTCTATGATGCTTGGAAGGGTGCTGCTCAGTGGGCTTCTGGTGGTGATTTTGGTCGGTCTTCTGTTACGCGGCAGGAGTATTTGGAGAAGGGTAGTGAGTATATCAAGGAGCATGAACTTGGTAATGCTACGTGGTGATGGTAAATTAGCGAGGTTGAAACACCTCGGGCGCACTGGAGTCGAATGGTTACTTACCCGGCGCGGACTGGGGCATGTTTATTTGATACTTGGATATTTATTGCAGAGTTAGGAACGCAAGCGGATCTTTCTCTATTACTTTCTTGCGTATTTTCGCTGGCTAATTCTGTTTTCTCAAACTACCTATGTGTCTGCTTTGCACCAAACCTCCATCTATATTTCTAGGCTTTGCATGTTTGTCATGTCCATAATCCGTCGTCTCAAACACCTACCAAAAAGACCATGCATGCATGTGCTAAATCACTTACTCTTACGAAATTTCCATTTGTTTAGTCACAATTCGGCGAGTTCTATATTCTATCTACCTCAATGAATTCTCTCAGACATGACAATATCCACGGCGTTTTGATAGCAAGGGACAACATTAGCCAAATTATTGGCTTCCCCAGAATGAGACACACTCCTTGCATCTGTCCCTATCAAACTTGCATCAAGTTGGGGGTCTGAGACATTCGATCTGGGGTAGTTATTATTACAGTTATAGCCGTTGAGGTAAACATTATATACACAAGCCCTGAAGATGAACAGGCTTTTTGTTCTCGGTTAGGTCGGAACACTTTCAGACCAGGCTTTGCACAACATGATCAGTCGAGTTTGACATCCTTGCACAGGCGAATATGATCTTCTTCGTAGGTTACACGTTCACTGGCGTTGACATCGTTTTTCAATAATCATTAACGATCATTAAACGCACTTGTCTCACCCTCTATAATCATCTCCTCTACAACCTCACTCTGAATACCCATCTCAAGGGATGATGCTATCCCTGGATAACCTTACTCGCACGAAGAAGCCAAAAATAAGGCTGGAGCCACCGTCGATCATGGTTTATGCAGGGAATACCCCGCTATTGGGTGCTTCTGCAGGTGATTTTCGGGTTCTATGTTTCTTGTTGGCTGCTCTTTTTCTTTCGTTTCGGTTTTTTTGTGGGCGGGTGTGATATACTGTACTATCCCTCACTCTGATTGGTATTCAATGGTCACATCACGAGATTATCAAGGCATTGGATATTCCGCAAGCTGCCGACTGGACTGATGTTGTCTGTGTCTTATTTGCTACATGTGTATGTACTTATTGAGTTGGGCTATTTCCTTGCTCAACTGAGATTGTAGATCTTCTCGTATTGATGCCCATGAAGGTCACAGACCTAGATCGACGTGGACACAGATTTGTGCAAGCAGTTTGACCTTCGTATTGGATACAGTTTCAATAGCTACATAGAAAGTAGTTTTATTCACAAGGGCCGCTTGCAAGGGCCGCAAGGGAAAGTTTCAAAACAATAGATCGGAAGGGATTGGGATATGGTCCAGAAGTACTCATATGATTATGACTGCATGCAGGCCATGACGCATCTGGGGAAACGCCCAGGCTTTCTTGCTTTTCGTCCTTGCTGGCCCTGGCCCTGGACTGTGATGAACCTTGTTGCATTGTGGCACTAGTTTTGTTTGTTTTCTTTTCTGGTGATATGTATGGTCGGTCGATACTGGTAGACTGACGTTAGGATATAAAGACCTGCCTCCTAACCCTCTGTCGTCAAAATTGGTCTCATACCTTGATGTTCCCTCCTTCTGTACATCTTTACAGCCATCTGTGTGCCCCACCTTGATTCATTACAATTTCTGAACCTCATTGTATACATCGGCTTTATACTTCCGCTGCACGATGCCCTTCTCCACCGCTATTGCCCGCCCACTGCAACTCGGCACTCGTGTCTTGCAGTGGGTTAGTGCTGTCATCGTCATGGGCTTGACTTCACACTTCATCCGACATGGTCCCCGTGGAGAGCACATCCTGTACCAGGAAGTCATTGTATGCTATTGTCCCTCTAAAGAATTCTTGTGCAGCTTGAAAGGCTAACAAACACATAGGCAGTGCTCTCGGTCGTCTTCTTCATTCCAGCCTTCATTTCACCATTCCTACCTACTGTGCTGGGGAGATTTGTCCTCGCCATCGATGTCATCTTCTCCTACCTGTAAGTCATTCTTCCACCCATGTGAATCTATCCATGCAGACTCTAACATTCCCCCAGCTGGTTGACTTCTTTCATCTTCTCTGCTCAAGACTATAGCACAAGATGGTGCTACTTCTCCTCCCCATCTGGAGTCGGCTGCAACCGCAAGAAGGCTAACGAGGCATTTATCTTCTTGGCTTTGTATGTTTCCCCGCTTGACGCTACTCGCTTTGAACATAAGCCAAAGCTAATACAACATCACAGCATCTTTACGTTCATCGGCATGTTCCTGGAAGTCGCTGCCCTGTGGGCTCATCGCAGGCAGACCAACGTTACCCGGCAAACTGCTGTTGAGGACAAAGAGGCCGGACCTCGCCAGCCTCTTGATGCACCAGCTGCAACTCCCGCTGGCGCTGTATAATGGTCGTCAGCCATTTCCAAGACACTTGTGAAATCCGGATACAGTACCCCCGAGGAATCTCCCCTAGGCTACATTTGGATGTATGTGTTGTTCTTGGGCTGAATTTTGATACCAGTTGGGCTGCACATATGGTGTTCATGATATGGAAGGAAAACGGACAGATATATCCGGTGGATGGAACTGCTTGAACGTACAACCTGTGCCTTTCGATATGTTGATTTCTTATGACTTAGTATTTTAATCTGTTAATGACCCTGCCTGCATCATTCAATGGACTTAGGACAAGTAACATCTAACTATGCACTTGTCCTTGACCCATCTATCATAAATTCGAGAGAGTGGACCAGGTAGTACCTGGGTAACTCTCAGCATAGCCAAGTTCTATTTTTCTATCTCCTAATTACAGCGTAATAAATACACAGGTTGAAGCCAGGATAAACAGTAGGTGTCTCGCGAGATAAAGCAAGCCGCATACGGTGCTGAACGCCGCATACAAAATGACAAATCATGGCTTCGTCTATTATCATGCACGTCGCAGTTGAATGATCACAAAAGGTCTAAATGCTAGCTCTGCGAGGTGCCATCGTCCGCTGCAGTTTGCGCTTTTCCTCCGTTTCCTCCGGAATAGGCAGCGACCCTTCGTTCCTCAGACGATCGAGGAATTCCCGGCCGTAAGTGTAGCCGACTTGATAGATTTCGTCGAATTTGCCGAAATCCAACGTTCCGTAGGGATCGATGGGTGGACGCATGTATAAGCAACCTGGCATATTCTTTGCACGCTCGAGATTGTCGATTGACGAGACGTAGGCTAGTCGTGCTTGGATATCGGAGAGCGTTGGTGGGTTCGGGATGGAGGAGAAGGGGTTCCAGCGATTCAATACTGACCAGAAGCCTGATAGGGAGTCGCCGAATCCTTGCGGTGTGGTGTCGTCGATGGAGCCGACGTCCACGGCGAAAATTACGTCTGCTCCGAGGCTCTTCATGTGTGCTACAGTTAAGTTGTCGATATAGCCGCCGTCGAGGAGCATGCTGCCTTCGTCGCAGATTGGAGGGATGAGACCGGCCAGAGACATCGATGCTCGCACGTACCGCCATACATACCCGGATGAGTGATACTCAATCCGAGATCGGCTGATGTTGGTTGTGTTGCAGTAGAATTCCAACCAGAAGTCCTCAATCTGGCTGTCGCCAAAGGTCTTGAAGATTCCGCGGTTGAATTCATGGCCTGTGGTGTAGGAGACCGTTGGGTAGGTCAAGTCCAGTGCAAATCGCCACATGCTGCCCATGCGCCCGGAGAATTTCTTGGCTCGTCCGTACATGGGAACAACATCAGCGTCACGCGCGTACAGAGCTCCAATGAACGAGCCGATCGACGTGCCACCAATGATATCAATTGGGATTCCGGCTTCTTCGAGCGCTTTGATCACACCAACTTGCGCGATACCCCGCGCTCCTCCTCCGCCCAATACAAGACCTACAGACTTGCCGCACAGACGCCGTGCCAGTCGATGGAAGTCGCCCTTGAATGCAGATTGCGGGGAATAGAGCGGGCTTTGTTGAGCTCGACGCGAAGTATACTTCTGGATTTCGGCTTGTAGGATTTGAACACGCTGTTTGAGAACAGTGCCAAACTTCTTGCTTGGTGGGTGTGAAGGCTCGTTGGTCGAGCGGAAAGCCATTTGAATGTGATGGTGACCGCCATTGATCCAAACACGGTTCTTTAACCATTTACGAGTGAGTCCGGGTGAACAGTAACGTTCCGCATGCAAAAGCACGAGTTCCTTACGAGCCGTGGTTTTCATACCTAGCAGGAATCGCTCATATTCACCGATTCTGGGTGAAGACTCCGCAAGTCCCACCAATAGAATAGAGTCAGCTTGCGCGATACACGTCTGGGTCCACGGAGCGTTCACATTGGTATCAGCAATGTACAACAACATTCCATATTTCTCCTCCAAGTCCGCCAGATACTGGGAAAGTTTGAGTTTTCCCATCTTGCTAAAGGCGTGGCGGCCTAAATGGTTCAGAATCGCCTCTTGGTTGAGCGACGTGACACCTCTGGTCACACCAATTTGGTGCAACGCGTGGAGAAGCCTATTTCCGAATTCCACCACAGGAACACCAGCCATGACGGGAAGAATTGCCACAGTGCGAAGATTGACAGTTGACGTTGCCGTTTGCACACCCGCAGCACTTCCTTGTTCGATACCCTTCTCGGATAGCGGATGTTCAACCAGGTCGCGCATGCGCTGGGCAATAAGTTTCGAAACCTGGATCGTGATACCCGGGTGCTCCTGCGCGAGGCTATTGAAAAGAGACCGTGGGAACTTCGCTAACTCCGTTTCTCTGATGGCATGCAAAGTAGATGGCCTCGTAGATTCGGTCATGACTTCGAGTTCGCCAACACTCTCGCCCTGGCCATGTTCGCCGATGACAGTCATCTTGCCATTTGATCCTTCGAGAACAGACCGCAGACGGCCATTCAAAACAAGATAAATAGCGTCACTTTCATCTCCTTGGTGGTAAATCACCTGTCCTGCGCTGACCTGAACCCACTCAAGCGCAAAGTCAATGTGGAGCAACAGACGGGGGAGAAGTCTGGTCAGCCGCTTTGCCAGTGTCAACAAAGCGGCGGGGTGTCTGTCGGCAATTCTCTCTAGGGAAGCACGGGGAAGGAATCCAACATAGACATCTGTCTTGGCCACAACATCCGTGTATGAGCGGTATGATGCAAGCGCACCAACATACCCTTGGATGCCACCGGGTTTGATCAAGTAGAGGGATTTACGAGACTGCGTCTTGCGTCGAGAATCGTTACCGCCCGTTTCACCAGAGGCGCGTGACGATGCTGTTGTTGTGCGTCTTAGTTTTGGGAATAGTTCTTCTTGTGCTTGCGAGGCAGTTCCATGAGATGAGCCAATAAGCGCATCATCCTTTTCAGTGGCTGGAATGCCCACATCCAAAAATCCATCGATGACATAGTAGAGACCTGGGTGACGCTCGCCCTGTTCTACAAGAACTGAGCCCTGTGGGAAGTAGACTACCTCAATATCGTGGCGCAGCTCTTCCCGCAGATTGATTACAGGCGAAGTCCCACCTGCACTTGTTACTGACATGGACATCATAGACTCAGATTCACCATCACCAGATGCTTCATATGGGTCCATGAAGCCAAACGCGTTCGAAAACACTGCCTTTTGGCGGCGATTGTCGAAGGAAAGGAGTCTCGGTGAAGCGTCGCCCGAGTGACTTCCCTTGCGCATAGTGTCGCGTGAGCTTTCATCAAGCCCAATCCCCTTCATGATGCAGTCCAGGATCGACTCGCGGAACAAAGCGTCTTCATCGACGGACTCCGTTCGCTGGAAAGTTGACGTAGGTCGGCGATTAATTGCAGAAGGTAGAAATTGAGGTTGCTCTCTCTCAGAAAGAGGGGTCTGGATTCGTGGTGCCAATGAATCATATCGCGGGCCAAACCTAGACAGCTGTATCGTCGATAATAGATCACCGGGGCTGACGCCTGCTTGATCCCTTTCACCGAACGCTGGCGGTGACCTATGCGGGGTGAGGGGCGCTAGAGGGCGGTCATTGGCGACCTTTGCTTGCAAAACTGCGTCTTTTCGCAAAGAACCAATCGAACGCCGTCTACGGCCTGCAGAAGGATTGTGAAGAGCAATGCCTTTGCCAGTCTCCTCCGGTCCCAAACGGTCTCGCTCTCGTTTGAACTTGTCCTTCAAACGGTCTAGGGCGCTTCCTCGAAGATTATTAGGGAGGTCCCAGGATGTAAACTTGGACATTTGCCGCTCTATACCTAAAACCTCAGTAGTGAGGCCCAGATAGGAATGAGCTGTGGCAAATGTGACTCGCTGAAGACGTGTGAGAATGACCTGAACAATGTGCGCTGTTGCCCGGGGATAGACTCGGGTGAGGCGGCGGAAGGCGCTCGCTGGAATAATAGCGATTGTTGTATCTACAGTGGCCCGGGCCACGATGTCTGGATGCACCGACTTGCGACGTTTTTTCTGAGCATGAGCATGAGCATGTTCGTTGGCCTCCGGTTGTGGGGTTCGGCGAGGAGTTTGAGGGGCAGGCATAGCGTGACTTTCTCCAATATTCAGCGGGGGAACCGGCGGTAATGTATCGCCAGGCCCGCGGGCCGCAGCGTTCAAATCACGGGCGTCTCTGAGAGTAGTCCTGGGACTATTGACAACACCGCTACTCGGGCTCATGGGGAAGGCATCAGGGACTGGTGTCTGCCCGCCCACTGGGGTGGAGACGCTGGAGCTATGGCTTCGCGAATTGCGGAGTTCTATATCTTCAGTGAATAGCTGGAGAATAGAGAACAAGGACGACATCGAGGCGCCATTCTTGACCTCGGTGAGAAGCTGATATCCCTGCCGATTGTGGCTGTGATGTTCCTCTTCGTCCGAGGACGCATCTTCCATGTATAAGCTCTCTTGTGAACTCGACTTCCCGTCGCGTGTTGATTTCACGAAGATCTGAACTAGACCGTCCACAACCAAACAGAAGCCTTTTTCCTCCTCTAGCATGAGAGTCTCGCCCGCGATCAGCTTCCTGGTTTGCATTGTCCGTGTCAATTCGTGAAAGACGGGTCGCTCGAGGTAGCCAAAGACTTTGATAGCGCTCAGGAATTCATCGAGATAGTTAGCGAGTCCCGGTTTGGAATCACCCTCCTGAATATCGGGGAACAGATCGATCTGGGCTTCTTTGCGTTGGGGCTCAGGGGGCAGACGGCTGTACATGTTCAGGTAGCGATAACGGATGAACCATCCAACCGTCGATACCAGCACGAGGAATATCAACATTCTATAAGATCATAATCAGTTACATTCCAATGTAGTCAGGTAGGATCAATTCTAGATTAGGACCTACAGGGTGGTGAAATTCATGGTGAAGGTCAAGCTCATGGAGAAAAGCGTAAATAGCCATGTGGGCAATGTGATGGTCGCAAAGGTTATAATCCAATACAGAACACTTGGGACCGTATGGAAGATGAAGTTGAACACCCATCCTATCCACCCCGCCATTGTTGAAGGACTTGGAGGGAACGGCGTGAGGGGGGAAGCGGCTATAGCGCTAGAAGCTTCGATAGGTGAAGTTGAAGGTGCCGTTAGGCTCAGGGCGAGGGATGGGGCTAGGCCAACCATGACCAAAACAAGATTGGAGGTGCTCCGCTTTGTTTCCAAGGCCCAAACAACTCAAAAGGGACCAACCCGTGGGGCCACTCTCCAGCTAGTTCAAAGACATCGGAAACGTGCGGATTCTTTCACCGGTGGATGGATGAACACATGCATGCATATGGGATATGGATGAGGGTGAGGTGAGGTGCATTAGTGAAAGTCACAACTCCGAACCCTTGGCAGTTTAACGATACCTAGGCATTCCCGTGATCGTCAAATCATATGCAAATGATTACTATTTTTTTTTTCTTTTCTTGTATAGAAGATATTTTTTCACAATACTGGATATGAAATCAATCTAGAAGAGGTGTTCTGAATTTTGCAGTATTTCTTTAATATTTGACCCCATACTACGTCAGTGCTACGGCTATTATATCCTCAAATTCACTAACCACTCCACAGTGATGTGAAAGTCTAAGACAATACTGTATTTAACTATTATTGACTTACTATATGTAGAAATATTGACTCATACTGGTTTTTACTGTCTGTTGATTCTATATCGCTTTAGGGCTTTTGGCGAGTTATAGTTGTTATGGTGCTGTATATAGTCCGTCCATCACTTACCATTATCAAATTCTAACTATTCAACATGTAGAAGATATCTGTCTGATACATTACTGAATGACTTATTGAACTTTTTCAAAATTAAGAATGCACTTGTATCACCTAGGTATAAGTTCGTGTTAGGGCTGACTAGGAGTACAATTATCAGAGATATATAGTCGCCAGGACCATAATAAAAACATAAGATGTCTAAAACTGAGGTCAAAAGAAAAACAAAAGAAATAAAAATTAGTTATTCACTATTTTTTAACATATAAACCAAATAAACAAATATTCTCACTACCTAGCTAGCTACACAAACACTTAGTTAAATAGCACCCCGGCCTGAACATGCTGAGCTGATCTATGAAACGTAACCGAAGCCACATGGCAGTTCCGCCTTGGCCCTTTTCTTTAGCCAATGTAGCCAATGCTCCCCCTCACAGTTGGCAAACTGTTTATACTTGTGTATTTGGTGAACACAGTCGCCAGTGTTCTTACCTTTTTTCATTTTGTCGTTTTGGTTCAACCCGCGGCGATGTTTCAGGTATGTTTGAATGTGTGTTGCGCCTTGCGTCCCAACTAACCTCCCCAGCGCCTCCGCGACGCTATCGACTCTCGCATTGCAGAGGAACAAGCCCGCCAAAAGTCCGCCCAAGATAACCTCTCCCGATCCAATTCCGCTCGTCACCCGCCTAGTGCTTCCCGCTCCCGCCCGAGACGTAATACTGGCACCCCCGTGAGAGGACCCGACCCCAAAGAATTCGAGGCCGAGTTCACCATTGGTGACGAGGATGAGTCCAGTCGCTCAGGTACCCCCCAACTTGCCACAACAGGGGCTGCTTCGGAAGTAGGTGCCAACGAAGAGAGCGCAGAGATGGAAGGCAAGACGGCAGATGAGCCTGAGAAAGAGGCACAGGAGAAGGATCCCAAGGAGGTCAAAGAGATCTCGGTGGAACTTCCCCCTGATGTCCGGGCGAAACTCCGTCGACTTGATAAGTTGGAGTCGCGATACCATGGTATGCAACTTCCAAAATCGGAACAGGCAGGACCGAACACTGACACAACTCGCAGAATTGCTCAAGGCTTATCGCATGGCTCACTCGCGCGTCCTCTCCATCGAACCCTTTGAAGCAGCTTTGCGCGAGAACACTCCTCTCACCTCGATCGGCGAACCCAAAGCTTTCACGGAATATCTCAACCAATCGACCCTCAAAAGCGACATGGTCATGGAGGAGTTGAAGCGCGTCACTGGTGAAAGGGAAGACTTCAGAAAGAAATTTGAAGAATCGGAGAAGGCGACTAAAGAGGCTTTGGACGAGGTGGCCAGCCTGAAGGAGAAGAAGCCGGAGACCGCGACAAACAAGGGAACAGACGGAACTGAAGAGACCGAGACCAGCGAAGAGTTTTTCTCGTTTGACAACGAAGTTCCCCGCTTGGAAGGCGAACTCAAGGAGAAACAAGAAGAAGTCGACACCCTAAAGACTGAGGTGAAAAACCTTAAGCGCGATATGTCGGTCACCCGTGAATCGACAGAAGGCATGGTGCAGAACTTGGAAACGGCAACGCGTGAACTCGTTGAGCTGCGGGAAACTAAAGACAAGCTAGATGCTGAGATCGAGACCCTGCAAACTTCTAAGAAGGCCGACATCGATGTCCTGAAAACCAAGCTTGCAAGTGCCGAGTCTTCTCTCAAATCAACCAAATCGGAAGTCGAGGAGCTAAACGCACAGCTAAAGAAAAAGAGCCAGGAAATCGAAAAGCTCCAAAGGGAGGCATCTGAGAAGAGCGAGCCGGATTCCGATCTCGCTGCTCAGCTGGAGACCGCCAAAGAGGAAAAGACTTCCAACGAGAAGAAGCTTAATGTTCTCCAGGGCCTAGTTGACGACCTCAAGTCTCAACTCAAGGATACCGAAGCCACGGTATCTGCCCTGAAAACTGAAAACAATGAACAGTCTAATACCTCCGCCAAACACAAGGATGTTTTCGACTGTGTGGATGAGAGCCTGAAGGACAACCAAGCGTGGGTATCTGTTAGGGAGAAGATCCTCGCTGGAGATTCAGCCGATTTTGACGAGGTCATCAAGAGCCTCATTCCAGTCAAGGAAGATCCCACTCCCGCTGCTTCTTCTCCTGCTCCGACCCAGGAGGAGCCACAACCTATACAGGCCACCGGTGCTACCGGCGGCGGAGGAAAGAAGAAGAACAAAAAGAAGAAGAAGGGCGGGAAAGCAGAGGAACCTCCTAAGCAGGCAGATACAGCCCCCGCAGTGCAGCCAGCCCAAGAGACGCCCACTACGCCTGTTTTAGACACCAAAGTGTTGGAAGATCTCAAGCAGAATATTGAATCTCTCACACAACAACTGTCCGAGAAGGAGGCCGCTATTGACCGCCTCAGCTCTAAGCTGAAGGGCGAAGACGATTTGAAAGAAGAGATTGAGTCTCTGCGTGATGATCTTGTCAACCTGGGCCAGGATCATGTAGCGGCCAAGGATAAGATCAAAGAACTTTCCGCTGAGAAGGTTGCCCTCGAGGAAACAATCAGCAAGCTCGAGAAGGAATTGGTCGATCTCCGCACCAGCAACGCCTCGATCTCATCTGACTCAGAGAAGATGCACTCTTCTCTCAAAGAGGAATTCGAGAGCCTCAAGGTCCGTTCCGCTAGTTTGGAGACCGATCTGTCTGCCGCCCAGCAGTTGGCCACCACTCGTTTCAAAGATCTTACAGACCTACGTGAAACCCTTCAGAAGGTTCAACCTGAGTTGCGCAACTTACGCGCCGAGTCCACGGAGTTAAAGACACTGAAGGACACGCTGAATAGCAAGAACTCCGACCTCAAAGCTCTCGAAAGCAGACATGAGGATCTGCGCGTTGAGTTGAAGAGCGCCAAGTCAAAGATCTCAGAGCGCGATACCGAAGTGAGCACACTCAATAAGAAGATCCGACAGGAGACCGACAGCCGTCTGAAGGCCGAGGAGAACCTCAGTGTCACCCAGTCCAACCTTCGCTCTGCCGAGAGCAAGAAGCAGGATGCCATCAACGCCAGAGACAAGACTACCGGAGATCTCTCTAAGGCCCAAGATGCTTTGAAGAGCACTCGCGCCAAGATGCGGGAGATGGAGGAGCAAATCTCTCAACTGAACAAAGAGCTTTCCAGCCTCCGGGAGGAGATCCAATTGAAGACAGCCCAGCACAGCAGCGCCCAGAGCCTGATGAACAGCATGCGTGATCAGACCGGAGAAGTGGCAATGCAAATGAAGGAGGCTCGTGAGCGATGCGAGAGTCTAGATGAGGAGTTGGCTGACGCTCACCGTCTGCTGAGCGAGCGAACCCGCGAAGGCGAGACTATGCGCCGCTTGCTCAATGATATCGAGAGTCGTTCCGAGTCCAAGATCCGGGACTTCAAGGAACGCATGGAAGCCGCCATCGAAGAGCGAGACCGCGCCGAAGACGAAGCGAGCACCACTGGCCGACGTCGCGCTCGCGAAATGGAAGAACTCAAGGCTAAGGTCCGCGAAGCTGAGAGGTCCCTGCGTACAGCAGAGCAGGATAAAGAAGAGCTCGAGCAATCTCAGAAGGACTGGCGCCGTCGCCGTGATGAACTGGAGTCTGTTTCTGAAAAGTCGGCCCAGGAAGTCACGGAGATTCGCCAGGCTATGGCTGGTCTGCGTGAAGCGCTTGACGAAAGCGAGAAGCAGGTCCGAGACCTTGAAAAGGATAAGGCGGAACTTCGCCGCTCTGTCGAAGAGACGAATAGTCGGTTGGAGAAGCTTCGACGATCTCACAAGACCCTTGGCGAGGATGTTCGCTTGCGTGGCTCTCCGTCTGGTCGGCAGTCTTCGCGCTCTTCTATGGATTCTGGGCGTCGGGCACTTGCATCTCCTCGTAGCGAGACCCCTGTTGGTCCTCCTATTAATGCTTCTATTGACTATATGTATTTGAAGAACGTTCTACTTCAGTTTTTGGAACAGCGAGACAAGAACTATCAGAAGCAGCTGATTCCTGTTTTGGGAATGCTGCTCCATTTCGATCGGTAAGTTTGTTTTATATCTTTTCCCTTTGTCCATGCGATACTAATGAAAGCAGAACGGACGAGCAAAAGTGGATGTCGGCCATCATGTCCAAGTGATTGGCTTTTATACCCCACATTGTACAATAGCATCAAGAACATCATAATGCATTTAAACGTTCTAGCTTTTTGTAAATTTGCGTATCATCATAAACAAAATATCCAAATCCCAAGAAACTTGTATCAATTGCCTCTCTTTTCTTTTTTTGTAAGATGGTTGACAGCTACAATAAATGGACTCGGGTAGCTTATCATATTGGGTGAGCTACAATCAAAAAAGTCTAGCCCCACCATGTACTAGACAGGGCGTGGATCCCAATTTATAAAGAAAACCAACCCTACCTTCATCATGGATTATATTCGGCCTCTTTCTCAAACAATGGCCAGCCAACCTACTATTCGTCTCGCGACGCCCGAGGGTAAGTGAATTGAAGCTTCCAACGAAATACTCAGAGCTCACATAATTGCAGACGTCCCCCTCATTCTCCAATTCATTTGCGAACTGGCAGACTACGAAAAAGCTCTCCATGAGGTCGAGGCAACCGAGCAATCCCTCCTGGAAACCCTCTCCTTCCCCGATACCCCGCCCAAACGCGGCGCCGTCTACACAGCCCTCATCACCCCTCCACCAACACCTGAAAATACAAACCCCATCCCCGTCGGCATGGCCCTCTACTTCTACAACTACTCTACTTGGCGCTCCGCACCAGGCATCTACCTTGAGGATCTGTATGTGCAGCCCAGCGCGCGCGGCCACGGGTACGGCTTCAAGTTGCTCAAGTACCTTGCTAAGCAGGTGCTTGAGGTTTCTGGACGCAGGCTCGAGTGGAGTGTCCTCACTTGGAACGAGCCTAGTATTCGGTTCTACGAGCAGGTTGGTGCGAAGGGTATGGATGAGTGGATGAAGATGATGGTTGAGGGGGATGCGTTGACTAAATTGGCCGAGGGCGCTTAGTTTAGTGATTGGGAGTCGGTTCCAAGATCATTTTTAGGAGATCGGAGATCGCGATCGATCTCATCGGCGATGTTATTTATGTCAAGGCCTGGCTTTGTACATTGCACGACATTTCGCACTGTATGGCCTAGAGCTGTCGTACAAATTGGGGTTTTACATTTAAAATAAATTAGATGAAATGTCCAAAACCTGAAATCAACGCCATTCGATTTAAACAAGTCATCTTTACGTTATTGCACGGACTAGACTATGTGTATATATGCAGCTTGAGCGCTTGGCAGGCTTAACCCCCGCTAAGCCTTTGGTGACGTAGTCCGCCAACTCCGCAGATCATCTCGATTTTCCCTCCCACTTTCTTCTCTTCAACCACTCCAACATGGCAGAACAAGAACCCCCTCAGGAGTGTAATCTCCATGTGGACTATGTGATCCGCTACAGTTTTGGAGATGTTGGTGAGTAAAATAGGCCTCTTCTGCCGTGGAAATGCTGACATCCCAGACCAATCGCAGGCGATTGCACAGCTCGAGAAGCTGCTCCAAACCCTTGCCCAGGTCGGTCTCCAGGCGGAAGTTCGTCAGGGTGACGAATTGTCTCTTCTTGTCTTCGTGCGAGCTTCTGAAAAGCGCTTAAAGCATGCCGTCTACCGATCGCGGTGGGTGTTCTGAGCTTGAATGATATTGTGATCGGGCTCATGCTGATTTGGCTTCTGTTTTTAGTGTGCGCGATTGGCTCTATGGCATCCGAAATGCTGAGCCTACTTTTTCCAGCTCTACCGAGACGCACACGGAGGCCGAGCGCTTGCGTGTCGTTCATCAGATGATCACTCAGCCCAAGGAAGAGGGCGGCGCCGAAATTACCCCCAACCACGGCGATTGGAAGAATGTCACCGCTATATTCCCCTTGCACGATATCGAAACAAACAAAAAGTGGATGCGTGATTGGAGCAAGAAGACCTTCCTCTCCGAAGACGACTTGGATCAGATCAGGAACAAATTTGGTGAAAGCGTACGTGCATAGCCGGACTCTCGTTTTCCCGCCTAGCTAACGCGGATCAAAGGTTGGATTCTACTTTTCGTTCCTGCAGTCATACTTCCGATTCTTGATCTTCCCAGCTGTTTTTGGGTTCTCCTGCTGGTTCCTCCTTGGTGGTTTCTCGCTTATCTATACGGCTGTCAACTGTCTCTGGTGCATTATTTTTGTGGAGTACTGGAAGCGCCAGGAGGTCGATCTCAGCTGCAGATGGCAGACCAAGAATGTCTCGGCTGTTCGAACCAAACGCCGCGAGTTCAAGCCTGAGAAGGAGGTCACCGATGAAGGTACCGGTGAGAAGTGTGGCGTTTTCCCGGCCACCAAGCGTATGCAAAGACAGCTTCTTCAGATCCCCTTTGCTTTGCTTGCTGCCATTGCTTTGGGTGCTATTATTGCGACGTGCTTTGCGATTGAGATCTTTATCTCAGAGCTGTACAACGGCCCACTTAAGACGTACTTGGTATGTGATTCGCGCTGAAAACTGGTGCTCAAGCTCACTTATTAGATCTTTATTCCAACCATTCTAGTCTCGGCGCTTGTTCCTACCATGAGCGCCATCTTGACATCAATCGCGACAAAGCTCAATGACTACGAAAACCATGAGACGCGCGATGCGTACGATGTCGCTCTGACCCAGAAAATCTTCGTCATCAACTTCATCACTTCTTATCTCCCGATCTTCCTGACGGCCTTTGTATACGTGCCATTCGCGAGTCGGATCGTGCCGTACCTCGATGTGTTCCGCCTGACAGTCCGGCCTTTCGTGTCAAAGGAACATGCCATCGCAAAGCAATCGCTCTTCCAGATCGACCCTGCTCGTCTGCGAAACCAAGTAATCTACTTTACTGTCACGGCCCAGATCGTTGGCTTTGCCATGGAGACTATTGTGCCGTATATCAAGCAGCACGCATTGCGCAAATACAAAGAGTATAACAAGGAGCGCAATGGCAAGTTGGATCGCAATGGTGATAAAGAATCGCCCGAGAGACCGGTTGTTGTCTTTGACGACCCTGCCGAGGAAGTGCAGTTCCTCACTCGTGTTCGCAACGAGCTCGAGCTCTCCGAGTACGATGTGACCGATGATCTGCGCGAGATGTGTATCCAATTCGGATACTTAGCCCTGTTCTCCCCTACCTGGCCTCTCGTCCCGCTCTCATTCTTTGTAAACAACTGGATTGAACTGCGCTCCGACTTCTTCAAGATCTGCATGGAATTCCGTCGGCCTGTGCCTCTCCGCACTGACACCATAGGACCTTGGCTGGATAGCCTGGGTTTTCTTTCTTGGGTCGGTAGCATCACCAGCGCTGCATTGGTATACATGTTCAGCGGCAACGCACAGCACGGACCGAACGGTGAACCAACAGACATTAAAGGTTGGGCTCTGCTTTTGACTATCTTCTTCTCGGAGCACTTGTATCTTATTGTCCGGTATGCTGTGCGGGCCGCGATGGCTAGAGTTGAGCCGCCTAATTCGCGTAAAGAGCGCGCCGAGCGGTATCTCATGCGTAAGCGCTACCTTGAGTCGACAATCAGTGCGGAGACCGATGAAGGCAAGGATGATGATCTGTCTGAATCGCCTAAGCTGTCGCGCGCCTCGCTTGAGGATGATGCTCGGAATGCGTCCCTGCAAGGTGCTGACCCCGCTGCTCGGTTCTGGTTGCACCAGCGTAGCTGGACTGAGTCAGCTCAAGTTGGTGCCGGGATTATCCAGGCACAGCCTGTGAAGGGTGGTGTGAAGAAGCAGCAGTAGAGCGGCTTAGGGCGTGAGTGCTGACTGTGTTTAGTCCGCGACCGCGGGTTCATGGGTGACTTCGAGATTTCTAGACTGTAGATACTCATCTTGTACGTGATGTGCATGAGATTTATGATTTATACTCAATTGGTGTTATCCAGGAGGTGCTCTCTACTCCGTACTAGCTCAGTCTATTTGGTTGAAATTCCTCTCCGTTGGATGGGGTCTTTTTGTTGAGAGTTGGTGCCTGGCTGACATGACAGAACCCGCAGAGCTGAAACCTTCATCTATACTGTTTATATGTGAATTGAATTGACGCTATTCAGAGTTGCTGTTGCCTGCGATCGTTCAGCCTCAGGCAAACATGGCGATGAAGTACGACGTCATGCTGACTCGGCAGTAAGTAAATCCGCGCCTGTAACCGGATGCAGACGGAATGTAGTCAGCGATGAAGTCGTCCAGGTGGCAGAATAGCCATTCATTATTGGAAGACAATGACGAGTCATCATGATTCTAAGCAGGACCAATTGAATATCAATAATGTGGTATCGATAGCTAGCAAATCGCGATCAAATCGATAGTAATTATAGATAGATCACGTATTCACCGCCTACTACATCCGGACATTTCGCTTACCAACGCCTTACATAAATCGGCGATCCCCAAATCTTCTGACTCAGATTTCCTTAAGTAATCCTCCTTTCACTCCGGGCCATCAACTTGCTTACAGCATCGACTGCTTACCTCATTGACCTACATCGCGATCTCAGCAAAGAAGTCATCTTTGCTCTGGATATCGGAATTTCCTTGGTCTTGTGACCTTCTGCTTCAATCTCGATCCATGCAGCCTGCTCTCGCCCCAGCACCGCATCCAAGCATGCAGTCCACTGCTCAGGTAAGCATATCTCGAACGCGTTTGTCATCAGATCTATATCCCGCGTTTGATACTTAGGGTTTTGGGAGTTCCTGGCGGTTTTTCTACGTTCCAGGGGTATTGGTGGTAGTGGTCGATGCTATGACGCGTCGGGACTCCCTTGTTTCTCATCGCCGCTCCCAGGGTCCTTTTGTCACTCTTGAAACATTGTTACTAACATATTGCTATAGGACCACGCGGACCAGGGTACGTTCAAAGTGAAAAGAGTTGGCAGGACTGATTTTTTCCACGATCGGGGTTCAAGACTTTGTAGTTCGAGGTTTTGAGGTTTCACGGTCTTGTGGTTTTCAAACATCTCCCTGCCTTCTTATACTTCCCAACTTAGGGTTGTGCCTCAACATGTGATCGGTTCCTTACTAACACACCTTATAGTTCTCCATGACCAGCTTCTAGCTGCTCAGCACCACCTGCAGGGCCCTCGTCCACAGGGTGCCCCAGGCCAACAGCAGCATCTTCAACCTAACAATGCCAGTCCTCGTGACCAACCAAACATTGACCCAGCCATTTCGGGTGCCATGCTGGGTGCTCCCCAAACCCCAACTCAAGCCCAAGGCTCCCCACCATCTGATGGTGGTTCTAAGAGCTATGGGAAGCGCGAGCTCTCCACCTCTAAGCGTGCTGCCCAGAACCGCGCTGCCCAGGTATGTTAGCATTGATATGTCATCCAAACCCTCACTAACCGTCATTAAAGCGCGCCTTCCGCCAGCGCAAAGAGACTTATATTCGTAAACTCGAGGAAGAAGTCAAGAACATCGAGCCCCTCAAGGACCAAGTCAAGTCCCTGGTAGGAGAGAACTACCAGCTCCGCGAATACATCATTAATCTCCAATCTCGCCTCCTCGAAGCCCAAGGCGAAGTCCCCGAACTACCAGCCAACATCGACCTAAGCCAACCCCGCACAACGGAGATGGCCCTCGCCTCAGCAGGAGTCCAGAACACCAGCCCCTCAGGCTCGGTGCCGGCCTCAGGAGCCCCTCAACACCAGGGCTCGGTGTCCGATGACATGAACTCTTTGAACCGCATTGCGGCCGCTACACTGGGTATGCGCAAGCACCCAGATGACACTAGCTTCCTTAACAACAATTTCCAGCAGAATAAGCGTGTCCGCTCCGATGATGGCCACGATGCCTCCGACGTCGTCGCTAAGCAGGAGGCTACCCATGGTCTTCCTATGGTTAACTAGGTCTTGTCTGCGCGCTTGCGCCTCCTGATTGCGGCTTTTTCATCACTTTTCGATACCCGCATCTTTTATTCTTTACCGCTGAGGTGTTTTTTGTTTTGTTTTTGCCTTGGCGAAATGGACCCTTACTGCCACGTACTCCTGTCTCTTTAGCTTTATCTCGCGCTCTTTTTTAATCCTTTTTCATGCTTCTTTCATTTTCGTGTAATGGTGTGTCCCCTGGTGCCTGGCTTTGCGACTCGGTGGTGTTCTGAGATTTCTTACCTGTTTGTCCGCCAGGACAGATTGAATGGAGTATTTATTTTTACTACGCATGTGATGAAGACCTTGAATACGATTTATCTCCTTATGCAATCCTAGCACGTGTTAAAGTGTCATTATCTATGACCCTCTTACCTCGCGTGCTACCCCATCGCGGGAATAGAGGGTACATTCGCAGACCTACGCATCTAAACCCCTATCAACCAAACAAGATTGCTTATAGATTAAAAAGCATACTTAGAAGCATCGAGACGGATGGATAATATGCCTACTTAGTTAGCAACATTCTCGGGCGCTTCGATGGGCATATGTCAATTGTGCATTAGTCCGCCCAATATAGATCATGCTAAGGGTTTGCCTATATATATTGGTTTCATTTAGTCATGGTTCGCACTTTTTCGTGGCTGCATCGTATTCAGGACGTCTCTAGGTAAGCAAAGCCGTAGACCTACATTAGTATAACTATAACTAATTAGAATCATAGTCAGTAATAGATTCGTTGACGTGACCTCTGACGTAGATCTCGTGCCGAGGTCTAAAATCTTGCCCCACTACTCCACAACTCCACAACTCCACAACATACCTCCTGGCCTAAGCCTATCATGGCGTGCCTCCTAGAATATGACCTAGAGAGGAGCGGCATTTCCGCAAAAGAGTTCGTGAGCCAGTCGGAGTCTGATTCTCACGTCTTAAACGCAATTCGCAGCGCATCTGAACCTCAGGTATTTGTATACACAGACTTGAGATTACTATAGGGAGAGAGTATAGAGGATAGCAGATTTGGATAATGAAACCAAGGACGGATATTCTACTTGGTAAGTGACTGCAAAGATGCGCTCTCGTTCATCAACGCGGATTCTCTTAGCAAAACTTATAAAAGATCAGTGATTTGAACTCGCTTTTTGTTCACTGTCTCACAGAGTGTGGACCAATCGCCCCAGAAAAAGTCTTCTCTCCTCCTCTTGTTTAGGAGGGCCACCTGTCAAACATAATTTCTGAGTCCCTCGTTTTAAGGCTAAACAATTCTCTTGAGCGTTATCTAGTATTTGTTTCCTAGAGGATCTTCCTATGTTTCCCTTTGGTTGTAATGCCCGAAACACGGCGTCAGGATCATCGTCAAGACCATGGGAAGAGTCCAAATCGTTTAGGGTACAGCGCTTCTTTTCCCAAAGGACCCCTATCATTCTTCACATCAGGACCCAGACCTCTTTCTCCGGTCAAGTTACGACCGTCGAACAAGACTCATGAGCGGTTCTGCTGAACTCCATGTCCGGTATAGACGCCTTATGGCATACCAGTAAAGCGTCAACGAGAAGTATGTTCAAGACCTCGAGTTTCGTTTCATTAGTTAGTCTACTAAACACTGTTAGGAGGGGTTTCCAGACCCTATCGGAACTGCAACGTAACGATTCGAATTGCCATGATACAAGGACTTAGCAGATACTAGTGCCTGCTCACTTAAAAGCTGATATACATGTATAGCTTTACTTTGATAGCCACAAACAGGTCTAGTGACGCCAAAAACAATTATTTGATATATTTCATACCGACTATACAAATATATATCCAACCTACCCATCAAGCCTGTACTCCTTAATAAGAACATCAGCACAAGTAGCACCAGTAACATAAGCCGTAGCCTGCGTATGATTGTTCGTCAACACAGGCACGACGCTCATATCTGCAACACGCAGACCCTCCAAGCCGCGAACCCGGAACCGCCCATCAACCGCCACATCGCCGGCGTCGGCCTTGCCCATCTTCACCGTGCCGGTCATGTGCCAGCTAGAAGAAAGGAAGCTCTTCCAGAACTCGAGGATGTCCTCGTCGGAATCGGAGGCCGGGCCGATGAGCGTCGATACGGTATCCTTCGCGAAGGACTCCGTCCGACTTACCTCGAGGAGATGTTTGTAGATTTCGATGCAGGCGCGGCGGTCGAAGGGGTTCTCTAGGAAGCGCGGATTGAAGAGGAGGGGTATGTCGGGGTTGGAAGATTGAAGGCGAACCTCGCCAAGGGATTGCTCGTTCATCATAAATGCTGCTAGGCCAATATAGCTATAGTCTTTGAACATGTCTGGGAGCATGAAGTGGATGGGGAGGTGGGTAATCATTTCGTAGTGCGGGATTGTTTCGCGGTTCATGAATTCCTGGACTGAAGCTGAAAGGGCTTTGAATTCCGGCGTTGAGGTTATGCGCTCTGATTTGAACCAGCCGCAGCCGACTTGGCAGCCGTATCGTGTCCACATGCCTGTGTTACTTTCTTCCCATTGCTGCATTGCCGCCTCCATCGCGGCTGGGTCTTGGAAGAAGGTGTTGCGGTCATTGGTTTCTGGGTTGCGGGCGAGAATTAATGGAACAAAGTAGTGGTCGCGGAGACCTTGGCCAACGGCGGGGATATCGGCCACTACTGGGATGTTGAACTTCTCCAGATCTGCGGCTGGCCCGATGCCGGAGTGCATGAGAATCTTCGGGGTATCTAGCGCGCCCGCAGAGAGAATTACATCCCGAGAAGCCAGATCTGTAAAGTCATGTCAGTGGTTAATGGATACATTGCGAGTTCAAGTAACGCACATTGGCTGCCCTGAGTTTCGACCCCAATGGCCCTCTTGCCCTGCAATATAACCCGTTGAACCGGGGTGTCCGTGACGACCACAAGGTTATCAGGCGCATCCAAAAGCAAGTCAGCAGCAGTGGTCCGCCTGCCACTACCAGCAGAGTTAATAGTAGCAGCCATGCCAAGTGGATTACCAGAATTGTGATCCAAATTGCGCTTGTGACCAGCAGCAGCGAATGCATCTAAAGAAAGCGACAAGTCTTTCTCCCAATTCACGGCATAACCGACACGCAAAGGCCCCGAGCTACCGTGGTCGGAAGCAACCGAGTTAGCATGCTTTGCATGCTCCGGGAGAGTAATAGTGCTATCAAAAGTCTCCAACTTCTTGAATCGGGCCTGCATCTCCTTCCAGCCGAAGGTTTCATCTCCCACGCTAGCAGCCCACTCGTCGTAGTCGTCCCGCGCGCCAACAGTGTACACACCGAAGTTGATGGCTGAGCCTCCTCCCAGGCCCTTGCCGCGCGAGTAATCGAGTTCACGCCCGTTGCAGTATTTCTGGGGAGTGGTTTTGTATCCCCAGTTCAGATCCCCTTCCATGAAAGTTGTCCAGCGCTTACCGTCGACTCGCAGACTCCGGTCGTCATTGCGGCCGCCTGCTTCGAGAAGTAGCACTTTGGGCTTTTGGGCAGATCTTGCCAGCCCTGATGCCAAAGCGCATCCAGCTGGACCGGCTGTTTATGCGATAAGTGTGGGTGATTGTGTAGTTCCTTAAGACATACTTACCTCCGACGACAATGAAGTCGTAACTGTTTTTTGTAGCTTCCATGTTGGATAAGGGCTTTGGGTATCAAATGAACAATACGAATGTTCGCTAAATATGTTCTGACAGAATGAAGAAGAGATGCGAAGTATATAGCCTCTTCTCTTTTCCTTTCAGGCCACCTATTTCTTTTCACGCGGGACGGATTTGTCTTGTAGTGGATAATCCTGCATGTAGACTAGCCAGGTACCCCTCTTTGCCCAGCACATGATAAAGCAGAGAGCCAATGTAGACTTGCTGCAAAAGTACCCAGATATTGATGGGGTGTGAGATCTCCAACCACACCACGCTGCCGATCTGCAGCGCTGGGTAAAGATATAAACCTAAGTTTTCATTGCATTATTCATGTTGTATTTGTTTTCATTCGCCAAACAAGCGGTTTAACCGGCTATCAAAGCCGAGGAGCTCGCTAGATTGCAGGGATGATGCAGATGATCAGTATGATGAAGCACCAAGAAAAGAAGTTTATTTCATTAGTGGGACCCGGGAACAGGGCTGGGATGCAGAATCAGCGGAGCTCGTCCGAGAGCGATTCTTTATCGTAGAGCATGACGCGAATCATGATTCCTGGCATCAATTCCATCTTGTTGACAGTTCGAAATCCCAAAGTTTTGTATAGCCCAAGGCCCATGACACTTGCTTCCAGTCCCACAGGTAAATTGTCCTGGCGCGCCTGCTGCAAGCCCCATTGCACTAATTGCTGACCTGGAATTGGACCTGAGCCGCATGGGAGAGGGCGAGTGGATGGACCAGAAGATCAGAGGGATTTGGTTCAAGAAGCCTCCTTGGGTGTCGTTGCGTCTGGCTCGAGAAAACAATTGATGGTGAATGAGCTGAATATAGTCTCACAGCCTCCAGCTTCGGAGTGAAGACAGACCTTGGGACTTAACCAGCGACAATGGATCTTAATTTGACGAATGTTTCTGAAATGCCCTATTTCCTCCATATCTATTAAATGATCACTGAAGACTTTGTGATGAGACACACATTTAGAATGTGAAACACTATTTATATATAGAAAGACACGTAAGAATTGACAAGATTGAAGTAACTAATGAACTATCTTATGACAGACACTCCGAATGCGACTGACTCTGCTGCTTTTTTATCTCTTACCACCCCCCAAGAATCAAGTCTCGATGACTGTACCTCCAAGCAGCCCAATTTCCCCCCCTCCCGGGTGACACTCGTTTCTATCCTATGCCAAATACCCTGACACTCCCCCATTCCATGCAGAGTCAACCCCCCTAAGCACATCCCTCCGTCCGTCTCCAGAATTGAACATATCTTCTCTCCCCCCAAACCTACTCTAAACCCCGAGCGGACCGACAAAGCTCCCTACTCCTCTTCGTCGCTAGGCACGCCCTACATTCCCCTAGCGCTCTTCCAATCGAGGTCAAACGCACCCAAAGCGGAGAGCGCAGCCATGATGGTACCGACGATGAGTACCCAGTGCAGCGCGGCTTTATACTCGACCAGAATGGCATGAAGGTCCTTGACGGGGACGTCGCTGCGCAGGTCGGTGGCACCGATGTTGACGATGGTTTTGGGGTCGAAGTCGTCGATGACGCGGTTCAGGCCGGCGAGGAGCTTCTGGCCGAAGACGTTCTCGCCGACGGAGACGAAAATGGCACCGCCACCGCTACCATTCTGTCATTAAGTGTCGTGGCTGCTACACCAAGGTGTCCTTGGCGCACCGAGGCATCCGAGTATACCATGATCTGATGTTAATTGTACTATTTTTGCCCGTTCCACGGCCACTTCCTTGTCCGGCTCGATCTTGATCTTCGAAAAGGCCTCGAGTCTCCAAGGAGGCAGCGGGGCGGGGTCAGTCATTCCTATCTCGTAGAGTCTCTCTTATGGTATTTAAGGTCTCTGCAAGTGGAAACCGCCGTACGACCCAGGATTGTTCCTTCGCCGGTCAGCGCGTAGTAGGGCGTCGCAGATCAGATGTTTTCGCGGCAGGGTGTGGAGTCTGATGATTGTTCTCTGTGCTCGGTGTCGGATACGAAGATGGCTGGGTAGAACGTGCGCCTCTTGATGCTTCGCATAGATATGGGAATTGATACCGACGGTGCGGCTCGGTTCCTGATCTGCACCAGCCTCGTATCACAACAGAGAAGATCTATTGTTCTCCAACCCATGTTAAATGCACCATATGTCTAATCAAATCCACTCGTGTGATCATCAGACCTTCAGTGTGAGGAGGAAGGTGACCAACTGCGAAAAGTAGAGCCGCGTCGCTGATATGGAGGGGCGACAGCGACCGTTGAAGGAAACGAATTATTAGGCAAGGTCCAAAATCGATAACAGTCCACCGTGGAGGTCAGGTAATGTGCCAATCTTTGAGGATCCACACTGCGATCGGGACAAATCAATGCCAGATAGCGATCTTCTATAGTCAGCAGTGTTCGCTGTAGAGCTGAGTACAATAATGTATTTTAGCCAGGGAATCCTCGATGGGTTGACGATGTAGTTCAGGGGCATGTGATTGATCACCATGCATCCACGTATGATTCCACGCATGATTCCACTGATCTACTTCGGTCCCATTTCTCTTCCAAACCGCATACCCACAGATCAGCTCACCGCCGACATTCCCCTCATTCTCCACAGCGACTATCATCACATACCCCGGAGTCACCAGTCTCTGCTTCAATCGGCGGAGAAATGCATACCGGAAGTCCGGGTAATGCTCATACCGGTGCGGACAGAGATGGGAAAAGAGTTCATCCTTCAGCATGGCCTGTGCGGCCAAATCTGCTACGTAACTCGGGAAGGTCCTGAACACAGGCTGGCCGAAGATGGACGGACATGAGCAATGCATAATAGTATAGCATGCAGGTTGGGGTTTAGACTAGCATGCAGGTTGATCAACAACCTTGGAATAATAATATATACAAGGTAGTCAGTTCTCATTGTATAATATTGTAACTGTAATGTGCCTGGACGAGACTAGCGAAAATGCACGGGCGCTCCTCCACAAAGAATTGGGCCCAATTGTAAGGGAGGTTCGAACCCCGATCCACCAAGTACCGGTGCCGGCGTTATTTAGCGCGTAAAAAGCCTCGGCAATTGAGACATCTACCATTTTGGACGAGTTTGTACTTGAACAGGGTATTTTCAAACGAAACATTAGTGTCAACTTAATATTTCGTACTCCGTATTTGATACAATAATGGTTGCATTTCGCCGCCTTCGATCAAGGAGGCCTGGGAATTGCAGCTTCCATTGGACACAGAGACAGAGACACGAAGGATATATGAAAATCCCATTGAATCTCATTTTGAACATCAATTGAATCCAAATGAACACAATATGAAGAGTGCAATGAATATTAAACGCAAAAAAAAAAAGACCAAAAGTTTCATGTGTGGCGGTTCCTTTCTTGGCTTAGTCTTGACCATTTCCCCGGTCCCCCGGATCCCTCTCTTTTTTTCTTCTTTCTGCCTTTTTTCCCGCTAATGTCTTTATGTCTTCAGTTTCCCTATATATTATTATATATTGGTACATAATTCAATTCAGCGTCTGCAGTGTCCTTGTTTGATATCGCCCTCGGTCATCCTTCTCATAAGGTTACATCCGCATTCTTCGGAGCGTCCCAAGATCCCTTTATCCGATCTCGAATTCGATTTCCCTACATTGTACTTGAACGAAGTACTCGAATCTCGACTTCGAACGCGATTGTGTCCCCTTCGGCAAATCGTGCCTGAATGATCGGTTGGAACTAGGACAGTTATAATGGCCGTGGAGCTGGTACAATTGGAACTACATATACGACTGGGGTTCTCAACGAGCGGGGCAAGGAATACATCATACCCAGTGGCCATTCCAGCTATCATATCCAGCCGGGCTAGGTCGGCGCGTCGACAATGACAAATTTGTCAGAACCACCCGATGGGATCCATGGGTATCATGGCAACAACCTCGCCGTGCGGATATTGATGATTGTCTTTACCTCCATCGCATTATACAACGCCATTGAATTGTTCATATTGTTGTTTCTGACTTTCACTCATTACCGCGGCCTCTACTTTTGGACACTTTTACTCTCGGTTGTTCTGGGAGTGATCCCCCATGCCATTGGATATCTGTTGGAGTTCTTTTCTCTCGCGCCGGTATGGGTTTCTCTGACTATCACCACCATTGGGTTTTATGTGATGGTACCGGGTCAATCCGTGGTCCTATACTCTCGGCTACATTTGGTAGTCCAGAGTAATACGATATTGCGCTTTGTTCTTTGGTTGATCATCGTCGACGCAGTCATCCTTTTGGTGCCAACGACCGTCTTCACTTTTTGTACCGCATACGTTGGTTCCCCGATAGTCATTCGGGGATACAATGTCATGGAGAGAATGCAACTGGCATGGTTTTGCGCCCAGGAGATGATCATCTCGGGCATCTACATTGTTGAGACCGTGCGATTGCTCAAGATGATGCCAGACAAAGATCGTCGACGAAGCAGGATCATGTACGAGTTGTTGGCGATCAATTTCGTCATCATCATTCTTGACATTGGCCTCCTCGTCGTGGAATACATTGGCTTTTACTCGTTACAGACAACTTTGAAGCCTATGGTGTACAGCATCAAGCTGAAGCTGGAGTTCGGTGTTCTGGGGAAGTTGGTTGCACTTGTACAAACATCTCGATCGCAACCTACCTCGTCCGAAAACGAAGAATATCCTGGCTTTGTGGATCCCACCCAGCTTACGACAGATGTTACCCACGCTGCCCCACGAGAATCCCGATCGAAGGGACGCAGGGGATGGAACACAATGTCTGTGGAAAGCTTGCCTATGTCCGAGCGCAGGATCCGGCCCTCTACACGATCAACCAATAACAGCCCGCATCCCTCATGAGTGAATGGGAATTTTTTTGATTCAGCGCATAGGAAGACTTTTGATCTATAATTTGTCGCAGGCGACGTCTGCACTGCTTCTCCTTTTTCTACATATACCTGGGCACGGAGAGGATTTGCACCCTGCCTGGCTTTAATATCACAAGCAAGCGACCGCAAACGACCTTCGCAACCCAGACAACGGTCACGCCCACAAGAATAACCATCCTCTGGTCACCTCGCGCCGTGCCGCAAAATTCGCACATGGAGAATCTGGTACATGTCCACCTCTGCATCCCAGCATGTGATCTCAGCAGCCGTGCTACCACTACGTGTTGGCCATACATAACTCGTGGCTAAAATACCACGGCAACTCTGCACCAGATCCATGACACAGGACTGCGTTCATATATAACACGTGTAAATCGACAATATAATGTGAAGCGATCTATTGACGCTACGGCCTATTCAGCCTCATGATGTAACTATACCTGTACTTTTATACCAATATTACGTCGCCATGACATATCTAGAAGATAACAATCAATCGCGAATTATTTGTACACATTCAAAAAGAAATGTTCCAAAAACAATCCAAAATGGGAACCGCAATCTCCATCCACCACGGCCCTTACGGGTCCATCGACCCATCCTCAATGCCAGGCCTCAAATTCCTCCGCTGATTGATGCCAGCCTAGACTCCATCTTCTCAGACAAAAACCGCATAAACCCATACTTCACCCCCAACGCCACAATTTTCATCGGCAGCAGCCCCCCAACAGAAGCAAGCCAAGCCGTCCCTCTCCTCGAAGTCCGCAGTCGCCACCTCTCCAAATTCCGCCACTAGATCTACATTGTCTGGGATATCGATCTCGGCCGCGACAAAGGCCTTCTCCAAACGTCATACGAAACGACTGCTCCCAGCGAGGATACCTCGCAAATAACACAGCTCTATGCGCCTGAGCGGGCAGTATCCAGATGAGGCTCACCGTTATATTCGAGGCTACGTCTAAGACTACGTTCAAGGCGGAACCGGGTCAGTTTGCTATGCAGGTGTGCGAGTTAAACACTCTGGATTTGGAGGGGAGGGACGAGGGAGATTTGCACATTGTTGAGATGGGGATCTTCTTGAATCAGAGGCCTGTTCAGGCTCACGCTGCTCGGATTCATATGCAATCGGCTTATGAGGCTTCGTAGATTGCCATTTTGATTATATCCCATAGTGTGTTCGACTTCTCCGGCCGACTGTGTAGTTGGTACGGAGTAGTTGCTTCTCCACTGCGGAATGCGGAATCCTGCGAAGACAACACCCCACTTAGTACATCTCTTATCTGCGGAGATGTTACTCGGCACTGGATTCCTTTCTTGGGGGTTTCTCTTGTCTTCGCATAAAAAGTTTCATTGTTCCCGTGCATAGATTGAGATTCACTCAAACAACATGTTGCCAGTGCAGGGACAAGCAGAAATTATCCAGAAGGTCCGCGGGGCCCTGGACAAGTATGAATCCAAGCTGAGTGAGATCAACCAAAAGGTATGTGGCATTGTCATTATCTGAATAATAGACTGTCTTGCTCAATTGCAACAGATCTGGTCGAACCCCGAGCTGGCTTTCAAAGAATACAACGCCCACGATAACATTTGCGAGATCTTCGAGTCGCTCGGCCCCGAATACCAAGTCCATCGCAAGGCTTATGGTATCGAGACAGCGCTCGAAATCATCTATAAGCGGGGAAATGGCGGACGTGTCATGGCCTTCAATGCCGAATACGACGCTTTGCCGGGTATGGGCCACGCATGTGGCCACAATCTGATTGCCACGAGCTCCATCGCTGCATTCTTAGCTACCTGTGAGACGATGGGCTCTTTGTACGTAGACCAAGTCGGATACTCTGTTCGTCTACTCGGAACGCCTGCCGAAGAGGGCGGTGGCGGGAAGCTCCTGCTCATCAATGCTGGCGCATATAAAGACGTCGATGCGTGCTTCATGGTTCATCCGTTCCCTGTGCTTTCTGGTGCGCCGGACCTCATCAGCTCGAGTTCTTGCTCTGGGCAGTATCTTGCGAATGATAAGGTCGCAGTGACTTTTACGGGTAAGCCGGCGCATGCATCTGCCGCGCCGTGGGAAGGTGTTAATGCGCTTGATGCTGTGGTGTCGGCCTATGTCAGTATTTCTATGCTCCGGCAGCAGATTCTGCCTACGCAGAAGATTCATGGTGTTGTGTTGCGGGGTGGGGAGAGGCCGAATGTTATTCCTGCTTCTACGACGGTTGAATATTATATTCGGTCGGACACTGTTAAGACATTGAAGCCGTTGACTGAAAAAGTGCTTAAATGCTTTGAGGCTGCTGCAATTGCTACTGGCTGCACAGTGGAATACGAATGGTATGGAAACATAGCGATGCGATTGGATAGAATTTATTGGCTAACTTGCATAAAGGGAGGCTGCATACAAGGATATGAAGATCAACAAGCCTATCTGTGACAGCTACGTGTCTGCCATGAATGCTATGGGCCACAGCACTATTTTCGATGCCGCAGGACAGGAAGGAGGGTTGAGTGGAGGATCTACTGATATGGGTACGTTCTGATTTTATTGTTTTATTTTGGTGGCTGGATGCTGATTATTTACTCCAATCAGGTAATGTTTCGTACGAAGTGCCTGGCTTCCATGGTGGATTCTATATTCATGCAGATGGGGTCAATCATACACCTCAATTTACAGCAGGTGCTGGATCTGAAGACGGGTTCCAGCGTAGCTTGCATTGCGCAGCGGGGATGGCGGTGGTGGCGTCCAGGGCTTTGGTTGACGAAAACTTTGCCACTGCCATCAAGTCGGACTTTGAGAAGGGCCTGTGATAGTAAAAGTGAGCTAGAATAAACGAAGCTCTCTCCTAAATCAAATCTAAACGAAGTGCATCGCGAAACACTGGGACTCATCTACGATCAATAATCCGGAGAGGTCTATTAGCAATAGTTGCGGAATAAAGCGCTTATCGTTCCGTATCTTGATGCCTCGAATGCCCAGATGCAAAAGTGGCTTGAACTGTGCGCTCAATGCCGATCGCTGACAGCTTCAATTGCCGAACTTGACATCCGCTGAGGGGAGAAGTGGGTTCTCCCCCAGATCGGGTCCGTCCCAGTTGCGACCCCGGGGTCTCAATTGTTAGATGTAAGATCCTGGGGTGCCGACATAGAAGCCCGATTGGCAGGCTCGCCAATTCTCCACGATTGATATGGCGGGGAAGTTTCCATTATCATCGAAAACTAAACAGGCCATGTTCCATTGGTGGAGGCATCTCATCTTCCCCTTGAACGGTGGGACAGGGCCCACTGCGGAAAGGAGGCGGGCGTCAGGACTGGTAGGTTTAAGCGAATCTTCTACTCGAGATTTCTGCGTCTGGAAGTCAAGAGCGATACCGGCTTCGTTGGGCTTTGAATAAGAAGAGGCTGGCGGGGCTTCGTTGGGGGTTCTTGTATCGCTCTGGTGGACCTGCACTGGTGTGGATTTTACTATGGAGCTTCAACAATCGAGCATGGATGAGAAGAATATGAAAGGTGAGGGTGAGTCACTTGGCCGGGATTTGGACCTTGGTCAAGTGCTTGCTATCCAAGCGACACCCGAGGAGGAACGGAGAGTGCTATGGAAGCTTGATCTTGTGTGAGTACTGCAGGTGGCGATGCGTGATGGCAAATATCTAACAATGCAAAGATTGATCCCCTTGATGGGAGTTGCATATTTTCTCCAATTCCTCGATAAACTCGCTTTGAGTCAGGCGACATTGTTCAACTTGCGACAGGATTTAGTATGTTTCTCTGGTCAGGTCTATTCATTTGTCCAATACTGACTGGTGTCGTAGAACATGCATGGAAACGAATACTCCTGGGCGTCTGCCATCTTCTATTTCGGATACTTTGCATGGAGCTGGTACATGATCAAATCTCCTGGATATTAATTCTATACTGATTATCCACAGGCCAAGTTCGTATATCATCGTTCGACTTCCGATTGGAAAATACATCTCATGTTCAGTGTACGTCAATTTCCTCTGAAATTACGAACACAGACTAATACAGCCAGGTTCCTATGGGGTGGTATTCTTATGTGCCATGCTGCTTGCTCTAATTGGAGTGGACTAATGACAGTCCGTTTCTTCTTGGGTGTTGGTGAAGCGGCCATTGCACCGGGATTCACGTTGCTTACGGGCATGTTCTATAAACGTGAGGAGCAACCCCTTAGGTATGTCTTCTGATTTTGGAAATTAAATACACACTAAATTTTCCAGACAATCTGCCTGGTTCTTTGGAAACTGTATCGCCGTCCTCATTGGTGGATTGATTGCCTATGGTATCGGAACTATACACACATCTGTTATCGAACACTGGAAGCTGCTGTTCCTTATTCTCGGTGCCATAACTTCGTTCTACGCCATTGTCTTGTTTGTCCTCCTACCGGACTCGCCTGCCAAAGCCATCTTTTTGAAGCATAACGAGCGGGCTATCGCTGTGCAACGGACGTTGAAGAACAAGACAGGTGTGATGGATACCGGTGTTTTCAAATGGTCGCAGGCCCTTCAGGCTCTTAAGGACCCACAAATGTGGCTTTTGGTTCTAAATTCATTCACTTCAAACCTGGCCAACGGAGGTCTTACAAGTGTTAGTATGAATTTCTCCTCCTTTGAGATATATGCTTACAATCTTCCTAGTTTACATCGATCATCACCGCTGGTTTCGGGTTCACTGATTTAAAGGCCCTCATTATGCAAATGCCCCAAGGTGGTGCACAGATTGTATTCTTGCTCATCACGTCAATTGCCACAACATTCATCCCATCATCCCGTATCCTGGGAATGATCCTCAACACCATAGTTTCGATTGTGGGTCTGATTCTCATTTGGAAGCTTGACCCTAACGATCAGGTCGGGCGAATGGTTGGATTGACGCTGGCCGTTGTCTATGCGATCAATCTTCCTATCTCTCTGAGTATTGTGACATCGAATGTGGCCGGATTCTCCAAAAAGAGTGTCGTAAGTTCGCTGTTGTTTATTGCGTACTGCATTGGTAATATTGTTGGGCCTCAATTCTTCTTGGCATCAGAGGAGCCATCGTATCCGGTAAGTATTTTCATCTCTTCTGAATTATTTATTGAGAGGAGACACCGAGTGACTGACGTTGCTACTTGCGATAGACTGGCATCAAAGCCTCAATGTCAGGCTTGGTACTGAGTCTCTTTTTCCTTATCAGCTTATATTCATATTACACCTGGGAGAACCACCGACGGGACAGGCTGTATGGTTTGCCGGAGGAAATGACTGTAGGCGCAGAGCTGCAGGATGAGTTGTCAAACAAGACAGATCGGGAGATTGAAAGCTTCCGTTATCTTCTCTAGACGAGAAACCTTTCCTTAAGGATATTGTTGTAAAGAATTAGTATTAAGGAATCGTGCTGTACAAACCGCATTCCAATTGTCTTTCTAGTATATTTTCATCAATATCCTTTATTCGGTGATATTTCTGAAGGTGTCTTTGAGATACCATAAAACCTTCAAGCTCTAACTGTCAATAATAGAATATCGCAAAGCGAAGATCGTTTTGACTCCACAATGATCTCATTGTGCATCTGAATATGTAGTCATATTGTACAATATTGTATACACAATGTGGATTGTAGTTTGTAGATTGCATGTGTGAGTGCGTAGGTGTTTTAGGCAGAAACGTCACAGATGACATCACCCAACATTCTCTTAATTTGATTGGTTGAATGGGAGTTTACTTGAGAGCACTTTCAATTTGCATGACGCTCTAGGTTAAATTGTTTGTAAATTGTTTGTATCCATATTACAAGGATGTCACATAGTACGATCATCTCAAATCTCAAACAGCCACCTCGAAGCCGAAATTGTTCCACTTTTCTCATCTCCTCTCGGCTCTTGGTCTCCGCACGGTTGTAGTTCCGCCAGTCATCGGAATGTACCGTATGTCATTTGTTCTCCTCGCTTTCGAAGATATCCAATGATCCATAGGCTTTGAAGTGGATTGAACTGTATAGACTTGTGCTTCCGCGTCTACACGGCCAATTATCTTCAATTATGAGAATTCATCTGCGCTGACAGCGGACGAAAATCATTACTGGATCCAATCAAATTGGATGAAAGAGGAAAAATCCCTGATGCCGGGGATAATTTTATTATTTGGCAATTTACCGCACATGCCTCTCCGCCTGCCCCTCCATACGGCCTCTATGGGTTTCTTGGTCTCTCCACTCCCTAACTCACCTCAGCTGTTTTTTTTTCCCAGATCTTCGGAACGACCGTTTCTTTCAAGGGTCTTGTCCACCCAAAGCTGCTTCTGATCTCTTTTTGTCTTGATCGACACCGCCGCCGTGATTCGATTCCCGCCCAAGCATGAGCCCCATTTGGAGTCCACTTGGATTTTGGGAAGCACACACACATGTCTGCACTGTTTCGTCTTCGATAACCGCCATCACTTGGATATTCACTGAAGTGATTTGACATTACATACTTTAAAAACTGAACCCTTCGCTTCGTCCCTCCTACATAACCTCTCGCAACGAAAATTACACGGCTACTGCACGATATTTCCACGCCCATCGGTTCCTTCACACACGACATAGCGTCGCCTGCCTTTGAGCGTCTACCAGGCGGATTGCGTTTCCCCAGGTCGCTCTTGGCCCCGAATGTCATCGCCAACCCAAGATATTGGATCGGGGATGCGGCGGAAAAGGTCTGAAAGTGTCGCAAATCCAAATTGGTCCGACTTATCGCAGCCGGCCAGATCACACCTGGACTCCAGAGATCGGTCGCAATCGGTCACACACAATGATATCGAGCAGCCGCCCAGTACGGGGTTTGATCCCACCGATCGAGTGTTCCCCATTCGGTCGGTGGTTTCGGTAGACCCAAATGCTACTGCACAGACGAGATCTTCATCACAAGCCCGCGGAGCAGTATCACCAACCAGGGATGGAGCTCGGCATTACTCGTTCATTGATGAACAGACCTGGCATCAACTCCAATCTGAATCCCGGCCTCAATCGCATCCCGACCCCGAGCATGCCGAACCTACCGTCCCCACCGATATCCGGCGCCACGAAACACATGCAGTTGATGATAAAACGGAGATTGCCACACATTCTCTCGCATCAGAGGTCATTCAACATCCCGAGGTTTATGCCAAAACTTCCCGGAGCGAAACTCAATCCGGATCAGGTTCCACTGCTCACCCACGGTCGCAGGATGGTTCTAAAACCGAGGAAGAACACCTTCTGACTGCCCGGTTCAAGCATGTTGTAACGGACAGTGGCCACGCAATCATTACGGGACGAGAAGGCGAAAAACTCCAGTATTGCGAAGACGAGCCTATACGAATAGTACGTTTCACCCTTGCGTTGTAATCCCAAACTCTGACTAACATATACAAGCCTGGCGCCATCCAAAGCTTTGGTATATTGGTTGCACTACGAGAGGAGTCCCAAGACCAGCTTGTGGTGCGGGTTGTGAGTGAGAACTCGGCCGATTACTTTGGTTATTCGCCCAAGCAGCTTTTCGAAGTCCAAAGCTTTTGCGATATTATGCATTCGGATGAGGCAGAGATGCTGCTGGACCATATTGACTTCGTTCGAGACGATGCATACGACCCTTCTGTTGATGGACCCGACATATTTGCCATGTCAATTCGCACTCCCACCGGAGAAAGTCGTCGATTCTGGTGTGCGGCCCATGTGTGCCAAGCCCAAAAAGACTTGATCATCTGTGAATTCGAACTCGAATATGACGAACTTAACCCATTGGATGTTCCTGGCCATGCTTCCCCGGAGTCCTCTTCGGATCCGTTGGATAACAGCACTCTAGGTGTTGTTCCAACGGCAGATCAACTCGCTGCCTCGACCCTGAACATTTCTCAGCCACTGCGTGTCCTCCGTCGGAGGAGAGCAGAGACTGATTATCTTTCTGTGCTTTCGCAGTTGGAAACTCAGCTATCGCGATGCCAAGACTTGGAACAATTGTTAAACACAACAGCAGGTAAGACTTGACTCATGGTTTATGGCATGTCGCTCAATCACTCATCCAATACAGGCCTTGTAAAGGACCTAAGTGGCTTCCACCGCGTTTTGATTTACCAGTTCGACAGCAGCTGGAATGGCATGGTCGTTGCTGAGTTGGTTGACCCCAATGTCACGATAGATCTCTATAAAGGGCTTCATTTCCCTGCTTCAGATATTCCAGCACAAGCAAGAGAACTATACAAAATCAACAAAGTTCGCTTGCTATATGACCGGGATCAAGTCACATCCCGGCTAGTCTGCCGAACGGTTCAAGATTTGGAAACGCCATTGGACATGACACATGCATACTTGAGAGCTATGTCGCCTATCCACATCAAATATTTGGCTAACATGAAGGTTCGATCTTCATACTCAGTGTCCATAAGTGCCTTTGGTGTGAGTAGCCTGCTCCCGGTATTTAGTCAAAATCCTCCGCTGATCTAGTTTCATTAGGATCTATGGGGCCTAATAACCTGTCATAACTATGGAGTCCCTCGGCGGGTGTCATTCCCCATTCGAAAGATTTGCCGCATACTCGGTGATACAGTCTCACGCAATATCGAGCGACTCTCCTATACGTCTAGATTACAGGCGAGGAAGCTCATCAACACGGTTCCCACCGAGGCCAATCCATCTGGGTAAGCCAAACGAACATGACCAACCGCGCGAAAAGTTGCTAATTATACAAAGCTACATCATCGCCTCAAGCGACGATCTGCTTCAGCTGTTCTCGGCGGACTACGGCGTTCTCTCAATTCGCGACGAAACGAAAATTTTAGGGGACGGTACCAACTCGCAGGAGCTCCTTGCACTTTTGGAGTTCCTCCGCCTTCGTCAGCTAAACTCAGTGCTTGCCTCACACGATATTGTCAAAGACTTTCCCGATCTGCACTATCCGCCGGGGCTGAAGGCTATCTCAGGTTTATTATATGTCCCATTATCCACGGGTGGCAGCGACTTCATTGTCTTTTTCCGTCGTGGGCAACTGACCCAGATCAGATGGGCGGGCAACCCTTACGAAATCGCAAAGCGGAAACAAACAGCGGGCTATCTTGAGCCGCGAGAAAGTTTCACGGCTTGGCAAGAGACTGTGCTCTCCCAGAGTCGTGAATGGACGGAAAGCGACGTGGAAACAGCGGCTGTCCTATGCCGTAAGATCACTCTCGCAATCATAACATGAAATACAAAATATGGCAGCTAACATCCATCGAATAGTTGTCTACGGAAAGTTCATCAAGGTCTGGAGACAAAAGGAGGCGGCGATGCACAACTCCCAGCTCACCCGTCTGCTTCTGGCTAATTCCGCCCATGAGGTTCGAACGCCTCTAAACGCCATCGTCAATTATTTGGAGATTGCTCTCGAGGGCGCACTGGATGCGGAAACCAGGGAAAGTCTGACCAAATCTCATTCGGCTTCCAAATCCTTGATTTATGTTATCAATGATCTGCTGGATCTTACAAATACAGAAAAGGGACAGGAACTCATCAAAGATGAAAGCTTTGACCTTGAAGGAACATTCAAAGAAGCAGCGCAAATGCTGTCCGGTGAGGCCAAGCGGAAGAACATATCTTATACTGTTTCAGTGCATCCGGGGCTTCCTAAATCGGTACTCGGTGATCAGCGTCGGGTACGACAGGTGCTTTCCAACGTCATTTCCAACGCCATCCAGAACACTGAATCCGGTGCTGTCACCACTGAGATTTGGCGTTCTGCCAACCAGACTATTCCAGGCCACGTGGGAGTGGAGGTGATGGTCGTTGACACCGGAGTTGGCATGTCTCATGAGAAGCTGGAGTCTTTGTTCCATGAGCTGGAGCAAGTTTCCCTAGATGAGACCTATTATCCTGGCGAAGAAGAGGATCCGCACCAAACAGATTCGCCAAATCAAAAACGCGTTCTGGGCCTAGGTCTTGCTCTTGCGGCGAGAATTGTTCGTAATATGCAGGGACAATTAGGCGTCAGGAGTGAGGAAGGGAAGGGCAGTCGCTTCAAGATCTTGCTGCAGTTCCGACTCCCCGAACAAGATGACTCGCAGGATGAAGCTGCCATCGCTGCTGCAAGCTCGCCTATCCCCCCAACACCGATGATCTCAGATAAAGAGTTTACCTTGGTTGGCGGATCATATGAGCCTGGGAATAATCGTCGACATAGCAATGAAAGTCTCCGCAGTGGTGGCAGTTCTCGCAGTGGTCACAGTGGCCAGGCAGATCGACTCATCAGTGCTATACAAGAACCTGTGCATAGACGAAGCGCTAGCCAAAACTCGCATTCGAAACACAGACTCATGTCGTCGAGTCCAGTCAGTGCCGGCAGCAACCCGTTATCTAGATCGTCAGCACCCGCTATGAAACGCTCGACCACTATGTCAAGCGTGCAAGACCCAGTTTCAAGTCTCTCCTCGGTCACACACCAACCTCCAATGACCTTACAACCACTCATGACTCCTCCACCTCCAGGACTAGAAAATATCACGGACTCCGGCGTACCTATGGGTGCTCTGAGAATGTCTCAACGATCTGCCAGCATCAAGTCACCAAACCCGCAATCGAATTATGATCAATCATACTTCCCGCGTGTTGAAACAGTCACAGAACCATCAAACGCTGTCTCCACGGCTCCTCCGCCTTCAACGGCGGCCCCACCATCGGAAGCACCTCCACCATCTACATCCCCTACCACCGTTCCGTCAACAACAGACTACGACCTGCTGCATGTCCTTGTTGCGGAAGATGATCCAGTCAACAGTAAAATCATACAAAAACGTCTAACCAAGCTCGGGCATACTGTGCAGCTTACCAGCAATGGCGAAGAGTGCGCGGAAGCCTTCGCCTCGGCGACCAAAAACTTTGATATCGTCCTCATGGATCTGCAAATGCCGATTGTCGATGGCCTCCTTGCTACAAGGATGATCCGCAGCTTTGAATCTCAAACACCCAAAACCGCGCTCTCTGATAAGGCCATCCACAACGACCGCGTGCCAATTTTTGCTGTTTCTGCTTCGTTACTTGAAGCAAACCGAGAGCTTTACATCGAGACGGGCTTTGACGGCTATGTCATGAAACCTATCTCGTTTTCCAGGCTGAATTTCCTTCTCAGGGGCCTGATGGACACGGTGGCACGAGCGGAAGCCACTTATACGCCGGACGGGGAATGGGAGCATGGTGGATGGTTCGATTCACGTTGAATGTAGTTCACATGCTTCTACAACACGAACGACGGCAAATCGATTCCCTCACCTCCATTCTTTGCGCCACCTCATGTCCCACTACTTCGCGGACGGACACGAACACATATCTTTCCCCTTATCTCCTGCTCCGTTGTCCAATTTCAATGTGGCTGGGGCCTTGGATGGCTCATGGATGTCACGAATCTTTTAAGCATTTTCATTCCATTTCTTTTCTTGCGTGCATAGACAGGCCCTGGTATACGAATTGGGCATGTCTTCTTTTTTTGGCGTTGTGGTTTTATTTGGGAATACTATATACGGATACCCTATTTGACATTTCCCATGTCACATTCATACTCTTCTTCAGATGTCAAGATCCGAATGCACATTTCACTGTTTCGGAATACCACTACCACCCATGAGTTGAACCAATGTATTATATCACATTATAAATCTACCAAAATCACAAAGAAAAATAACATGCATAAAGCGACAAGGGTAAAAAGCGAAAAGTTGAAGCCGCCCGTGATGTTGTCACAAATGAGTGGACATATTCATCATTTATATACAAATTGCCATACCAAAAACAATCCTTACTTGGGAGTCTCCAGAAACGTCATCTCAACCGTGGACTGGGTATCCGACGAACGAAACGGCGGCCGACTCTCACCATGTGAATGAACAGATGGCTCATTCGATACCGTCTGCCGCAGCGCCTCATGGAAATCATACGTGCTGCCACGGGTCGAATGTACCGGCGGTGGACTAGCAGTTCCCATAAAGCTAGGCATCGTCTGTTCCTCGATATTCGCCGGCCGAGGCCGACTCGCCAGCATATCGAAGATGTTGATGTCGCTCGAGACTCGCGCATTCCCTTCTATGCCCTGGCACATGGTGCACGGGTACGTGCGCGTCAGCTCGCGGAGCTGCGTCAGGGCGTAGAACTCGAGCTTGAGCTTGATGCTGTACGCAACGGTCTTGAAGCTGATCGCGATGTAGTGGAGTTCGAACTCCGCCGCGATAATGCATATGTCGAGGATTATGCTGAGGAAGTTGACGACCAAAAGCCAGTAGATTATTCGCCGGCCTTCGCGACCTTTCATTGCGAATATGGGCTGCAGCGCGCGCAGCGCTTCTCGCATGTAGATTGCGCAGATTATGGTGTCTTGTAGGCCGAAGCCTGTTACTTGTATCCGGTCGAATATCGCGGCTGGGCGGGCGCAGCGTGCATCGCCCAGGTTGAGGCAGAAGAAGAGCGCAGTCATCGGTGTGTGGAGGATGAAGAAGCTGGCTATTATCATCCAGAGCACCCAGCGGATGTGCCAGACGTCGTGGACGACGAGGTGTAGGCGGGAGTAGAGAACCACTGCTTGCCCGCTGACCATGCATATCCAGCCGAGGCTGAATGGGATCGTCATGGAGAGGTTGGAAGCGCGGCTCAAGTACCTTATTTGAGCTGCTATGGCGTGGATCAATATTCCCCAGGCGGCGACTTGCATGCTCCAGAAGTAGAGACCGCGATACTTTTTGAACCCCTCGAAAATGGACAACACCACTTCCAGTGCATTGTAGGCGCCGATCGAGAACATGGCTATTATCTGCACGATGGAAATGTTTCTTATTAAGATATCGCTTACCTGCAAAGGCAGGTTGCTGATTACGGTATCCATGGCGTGTAGATGGGTTTGCCATGTGTGTAACTCAGTCGGAGGGAAATGAGAATTGATATATTAACAGCGCAGACGCAGGTTCAACCTTATAATGGGAGTCTAGCCGCTGACATGCGCTGTCACGATCGTGGGAATCGCCTTGAGCCCCTCCTATCAGGGTGTCATATGGAATAAGGTTAGAATGGCAAGGCTTCGAGATTGTGTTAATGGCGAGTCACTTTCCGAGTCCACTATTGGGCGCCAAGAGACTCAAGCTCTAGTCTATGATGCGATTATGAGGGTATCACGGATTATTCCCAGTGACTTAGGTCAAATATGATTGTTTGTTGAAGGCTCACAAAGAGAATCAGCATTCCAAATCCGCCAGTCGATGTAATGGTAGCTAGGTACATCATAGCTTAGGCAAGCCATGTATTCCCTTTCCTCCTTTAATGCTGTGGCATTGAGAGCTTATTGGACGTGACGAACGAATTAGGAGAATGTTCAGAGGCTATCGAGGCGCTAAACAGGGATCCCCGGGATCTCAAACAAAGAAATCCAGAGAAGGTTCATGCATTGATCAGCTTTCGTTTGCTAGTGGCGAGATCAGCTTGAGCCCAGATCTCGCTTAAATAATTCAAATAGACATTTGAATGAGCAGATAATATCTAAATTCAAAAAAAGGTAAAGGATATTGCCGCCGTGATGCGTTAGGCGTTGCGGAGGCTTGGCAATGGACTCGGAGTATACAAAGAGCAGGGGACAAGGAATGATCAAAGCGTGTAATGATGTTGTTTACATACATATATACGTACATATGCTGTCATTTATATGCACCCATATGCTCCGCACTTTCTCATCTAACGTCGCTTCCATGCGAGCGCTCAGGCTCAGGAATATTAACACATCAACGTTGTCACGAGTGATTGCTTTCTCCTTCGGGAACAAATGGCGGAATGGAATTGGTACAAGCTGCGTATACGTTGAATATATATAGTTGTGGTTTCGTGCACATCGGTCATTGCGAGGGGTCAAAGTAAATTTTATCATTCATCTACCTAGTCGAGTCTAACACGTTCAAAAGCACTGACATCATTTCCTATAAGCCCCCTTTCACCATCTTTTAGAGTTCTGCTTAGGTATAACAGTCCACAGAAACGAAGGGAGGTGAAAAGTCATCAAATGTCCCATTTTGCGCTATACCACTCAACGCCTGGATTCGTTTTACATGCCTTTTCTCCTGATGTAATAAATTTGTTAGGGCCGGACAAATAGACCCAATTGGAACCCCCAGGCGATTCACGGCAGATAGAAGACAAAGTTTCCTCGATGCTCAGCCGAGCTCCGCCATTACCAGTGAGGTGTACATGGACTTCAAAGTTTATTGTTGGATCCGCTAACCAAATCTGCGTCAGTATAAATGTGAGAGTTAAAGGTTGTGAAAATTGGATCTACCTTTGAGGAACGGTAGGTCGGTGTAGTCTTTCGCTTTCACGCTCCAGAAAATCAAACACCTCTCCCATTTAGGTGCATTCTTTGCTCCAGCGTTGGTTTCTAATTCACACAAATTTGTAATAGCAGTTGATTGCTGTCTCCTTTCCAGAAAGGCACGGGCAATGGCTATAGCTCCACTCACTCCAGTACCGGCGACAAAACATATGACTGTCTTGTACTGCGAAGGGTCTGCTTCGGAGAAATACGGCCCTTCAAGTCGTAGAGAGAGTTCCACTCCCTGTGACGGGGTACGTACCAGACTCCTGTTGGCAAGCTCAACAAAATGTGTGTCAATTGACTGGTTGAAACTCCCATTCTCTCCAGGTCTTGACAATGGCCTGTATTTATCGGCGAGACCAGCTACCTTGTCTGTCCATTGGAAGGTCGGCTTCGCTTCTTTTTGGAACAATTTGAGCCAAGTCCGCCGCTTTTCATTCCTAGCCTGTCGCCCAGTATGTTTATCTGTATAACCACGTTTACGGAAGATAAATTGGATCGTTACATCATCTCGTGGCTCGGAAGTGATGTTCTTCTGAGAAGCAAGAGGGGTAATAGTGGTGAAAGGATGAAGCTCGCGGACGGAGGATTCTGAGTGGCGAATGTAGAAATGGGCAACCGGGGACTTGCATGCACAGCCGTCGAGTCGGTGCCGAGGGAGTAGCATATCGATACTAGATATAGGTTAGCTTGGTCGGTTTGAAGACATGAATGAGTCCACGCACCAATACCATCCTTTTCCTAGATGTGCAACCTTGCCTGACACACACTCTCTCAACTCATATAGTCGCATACCCCAGTCGAGCAACCACATGGCTAGCCCAGGAGCCACACAGTAAAAGACTGTACTAGCGTGTAGGCAGATGACAATGATGGCAACGATGCTCAGGAGATGAGTAAAGTAAAAGAGATTGAAATGTTTGGATCGAATCGTTGGTAGAGTGGTGACAAAAATAAGACCCATGATCAAGGTAGAGACGATACCGGTGAATATAAGGGAGGCTCGCCAGATGCCCAAGGCTGATGAGTTACCCGGCCAAGTCTCGTAGTATAAATACGTTGGGTTTAGGAGAGGGAATACCGTCCGAAACTTCCCCGAGAGAGAGTGGAAGGCGGGCAACCAAGATACATAGAGGAATCCATGAATTAGTACAAGAGAAAAGAGTGCATATGCCGTCAGCATATGAAAAGTAAGCGTAGTTGAGACGGAAAGTTTGAAGAAGGACGCAAGTGCGCTGTGTCGAGAGACAGGGATGAGGACCATTCCCATTGTGACATCGCATAGATGACCAGTCAATGCAGTCGCAGCGAGACGGTGATTTCCCTCAAGAAGGCCATTCTCCCGGCCCCTGTCCTGGAAATAGTCTCGCAGGCGAATCCACCAGACACCTATGATGATGCCGTATAGGCTGATAATCCAGATAAATCCAAGCAAAGCGCTTATAGCCAATCGCTCACCTACTAGGGGTATCCTGCAATCAACTAATTGTCGCTGGAGAAAGCGACGCAGCTGGGGTTGAAAGGCGCGAACAGTGAAGAATAACGTGGTAATCAATATCCAGGAATACCAAATCACCACATGTAATCGTGCCTGGAGAGGAAAAAGCCATTCACCACAAGTTCCAGCATAGCAATGATGATTTGATCTAAATGTCAGACCGATTGAGAGACCAAAGGTGAGCAAAAGGCTGCCTGTGAGAGGATAGAGACAAGTTCTAGGAGTAATCCTCGTCATTCTAAGCAGTAGTACAAGAGAAGATCAGGTTTCCATTGAAAATGTAGGCAACATCGATTAAACTAACAAATATGCTCACTTTGATAACGATAGTACGTCTAAAAGCATACACAGCAGCAGTTTAAGCGTTGCAGTATGAGGGCGGTGCAGAGAGACGTATTTGGCTTCGTTCTCGTTGCCGCTCTCGCTTTCGGTCTCGGTATCGCCTTTACCCTGGAATTGGACTTGGTCATGTTTCCTTCTTTCTGCCAACAAATTATTAGGATAGCCACAGCACCATACGGAGCCCAGGTATACAAAGACGGCCATCGGTTAAGGTTACTTAGAGGGAGATCGGATGGATTCTCATGCCCATCTCGATCTTTTACGGATAGTTCTTGCTTTGGATCGCTTGGTATGAACGTGATCCGGTAACAGCATATATATCATAGTAGTAAATGGGTTTTTTTTAATTTCTCTGAGAATGAGTGTAAAAAAATAAATATGTCCAGGGGATCATTCGATCAATTTGTTCCTCTTGGGATTAGTTGGCCTCAATACTAAACATTCAATTTTATCAAATCTTTATATAAAGCCAATCCTATCATCTATATTACTTTGGGCTTTATCAAATTTTCATAGTTGGTGGGTGGTGTTGATTACCACCATGAAGCAGCGTTTGAAACAAAAACCTGTGTGAACAAACAGTATTCAATTCGCAGAATCAGTTTTTTAATCCACCCTATTTTAGAACAAATGCAGCAGATGGGCTGTAGATGGGCACTTGGATACTTAAACATCTCACTTATCGCACAAATTCTTCTTTCACAACGTTAGCTGGGGTGGTAATGGCCCACTATACGAAGATCTACGTCAAATGATAAGCAATCAACCTCAAAGGGTGATCATACTGCCTGTCATCGGTCCTACACGGCGCAAGCGAGGATCGAATTGTAGCATGTTTTAATAGCAGCACAAATCTTTCCTGGATTGAAAGTACACGGCCTTTGACTGAACAAGTGACCTAAAATACTATCAACCAACCATCCGGCCACCCGCTCAACTCAACATGAAACTTCATTCGCCAATAAAATCGACTTTACAATATATACGATTGGAGGCAGTGAATGCAGGAAGTGTGCCACATTCAAATTCTATTGGTATAGCGTTAGCGTCTATGGTTAGACATTTATTTTTAGACCTCATAACTTTGTGTATTCTACAATAGATTCCAAATGGCTGGATGATAAATCAAGAAGAGCAATTGAATCAGGCCCACAAGTTAAAAATATGGAGTCAATGTACCGCCAAGCTTCAACGAAGTTCACGGATCCACAGTTCAACACAATCAACACTAAAGCGAGGCTGGAAAAAGAAAAGTCCATAATCTCTAGCATTGAAATTGCAGACTCTATTTGGTGATTTAACGTTGAATCGCTCACAGATGAAATGGTCAAAACAAGAAACATGAACCTGTCATTACTGATGAAATACCTCCCAATGCACCACAAAGTCTCAATTTAAGACGGCGGTGAAGGATTGGACAGTGAGCCAACTGGCTGAACCGACTCAGCATCACTAATCCCAACACGACTGTAGCTCGTCTCTCTCGGTGGGCATCCAAACTGGCATTAAGAATGTCGCTGCAACGGTCGCGGTGAAACGAAGGCACGAGTTTCAACAGGCCTCAATTAGGAGAGGCGTCCTTCAACGCTTGCTACCAAGCACGTAAGTGACAGAAGCCTAGAAGTCTATAAATACGTCCTCTATCCCCGGAAATTTGCTCTGCAATTGATTCACATGACTAAGTAAAGTCGAACAGGCCTTGTGTCTGAGACACTTAATAAGGTCTTCTCCGTTGACCCAGCTCTGCAATTTTCACTGTATTGACATTGATAGAATACATCATGGACCAACAATTCAGACAGTACCTGTGAGAGATATGATCCCCAGCAGATCTGACGTGCCAACCAGCCAGCCGATCAAAGAGACAACTGTTGGGTTAGCTGGTCAAAGCGTATGATCTATGCGAACATCTCCACCATAGCAGCCGACTGGGCTGATCTACTGTCTCGTCCCTGGATGCATCCTCGATTCAAAAGAGCGACTTTTCAGGCAATATCACCTCAATTTGGCGTCATTCGCATGAATTGCTCAAACTGAGAAAAGGAGAACGGACTTTTCACCTTAAAGGCTCTTTAAAGTTGCTTTTCACATTCCGTTCAAACCCCATGGGCTTAAAACACTTGAGATTTTGAATTCCACCGCGTCGGACTCGCTCTCGGTCCCGCTTTACCTTGGACTTATGAGCTCTCGTCCGTGGTATTGTGATACTTTTCAGCGGCCCAGCCCTTCCGCCAACTGCATCTAAATTTGTGACCCCCTGACGCCGGCCCCAATGTTTTGGCCCAGGAATGCGTCCCTACCAAGTAAGAAGAAAAGACCCAAATTCCGAGAAAGAAACGTATAGGAGACTGGTTATTAGCTTGAGCTGGAGCCCCTTACAAGTCAATAGCACAATAGGCTCGGTCGCCATCAGCTATAAAAACACTCGTTCGCCTATCTACCTTGTATATGAATCAATTTTTATTGTTTTAAAGCATACGATCTAACCTCCCAATTTATCTCACCATAGGCTTTATATCCTCACATAATGAAGGTTATCAACATTACCCTCACGGGTGCGATGCTCGGTATGGCTCAGGCTAGCCCTTTTGTCACCCGCGCAGCTATCACCGATGGTATGTCTTCCCAAACCGAAGAGCTGGATTGAATCTAACATATTTCACCTGTTTAGCCGATATCCTCAACTATGCCTTGACCCTCGAGCACCTTGAGGCCACCTTCTATGAAGAGGGCCTCAAGAACTACACCCACAAAGATTTCTTAAACGCTGGCTTCAAGGATCCCTTTTACTCCAACCTGCAGGTGGTCGCTTCGGACGAGAAGGCACACGAGGATTTCTTGACAGGGGCTCTCAGTGGTGAGCGTCAATTGAAACATGAAGGGCGAGCCCTACTAATCCTTTACAGCTGCCGGTGCTTCCCCCGTTAAGCGTTGCTCATACAATTTCCCCTCAACCGATGTGAAAAGCTTCCTTGCCCTTGCTAGCGTCCTCGAAGGTATTGTTATTCACGATAGCCAAACGATTCCTGTTAATGATTCTTAACAGGTGTCGGCGTTAGCGCCTACCTTGGCGCTGCTGCGTCAATTGCCAACAAGGATTATCTCACTGCGGCTGGCAGCATTTTGACCGTTGAGGCCCGCCACAGCTCCTACCTACGCGCCGCGAAGGGGGAAGTTCCTTTCGCTCAGCCTTTCGACGACCCTCTCGACTTCGACGAAGTGTACACCCTTGCGGCATCATTCATTACATCATGTCCCTCCAGCAACACAAAGCTCCCAGTCAAGGCTTTTCCTTCGCTGACCTTGAAATCGACCGGCACTCTCTCCAGCGGCTCCAAAGTCCGCGTGGTGGCTGGCAGCGACTTTGACGATTCCAATCCCAGCAACCTATACGCTGCTTTCATTACTGTCACTGGGCCTGTATGGGCTCACCTCTCATTCAAGGGTGATAATTCGTTCACGGTTACTATCCCTAAGGGTATTGCGGGCCAGAGTTACGTTGTCATCACCAAGGGAAAGAGCAAGGTAACTGATGACAACATTGTTGCTGGCCCCGCCATTATCGAGGTGATTTAGATGTGTCTCTTTGGTTCTTGTACCTTCGTGTCCTCGCTGTTTAATTCAAACCCCGGTTGAGCAGATTGTTCCTCGTCGAATCTGCCACTCCGCTCTCCTCAATTGCTTGTCTATTGCCATTTATTTCAAATCAAATTTAAAATTCAATGCCCTCAACCCGCTTCTGTCACCCTTTTACCATGCAATAAAATTGTGTAGTTGACTTTACCAGCCATCCCTCCGCATTTTCCAACCAAAAATTATATTTTCCGACTTCCCAGCCACATTCCTGACCAGAGCAGTAAATACCCATGCTTTTGTTCTGAGTTTATATCTGTGTATCATGTCAATTTAACTCGTGTTACCCATGCAGTTTAAGTACTCTGGTCGTACGATATGCCCCTTACTTTGGCCTTTTCAATAACGAAAAACTCTCTCAAGATAGTAAGATCCTAGAAACAAAAGCGACTGGTGAACTACAGCCTAGTGCCGACCTCAAATTGAACCCATTGGCCTACTCGTTGGCAAGGTATTGACCAATATTTTCCAGCCTCAAAATGATTTCTTTGTTTTCAACTGAAAACACAACTTTTAGTCAAGAAGAACTAGCTTGATTTATCCCTGTCCATAAGAATAGATGCTGTCATCTCTGCGCTTGATGTCCTCCGTGATAAATTCCCTCAAAATTCGATTGTTGCAATCATTCATTTTGCAGCCATAAGGAGAGAAGAAAAATCGTCGAACGCTGCATTCGCGTCGGTTCGGTAAGAAAGCAGGGTCTTTGCAAACGTGCAATCGTTGGTTTCAGCGGCCCAGTGAAGAGCGGAACAGTTTTGGTGCCTGATATTATGCTTGATCAGGGCTAAGTACGGAGGTGTATAGGCGCCAATGCCCAAATGCCTGATTTTGAAAGGTTTTAAACTAGATCTTTCTTAGTCAAAACCCTATACTTATAAAAGCATTAAGAAATTATCGTAATACGCTGACTAAAGTATAAAAGCTTATTCCGACATAAATCTAAATAAGGAAACGGGAATAGCTATTGATAGTAATATAGATCTTAATACTAAAAGATTCTAGCTTTATATATTTATTATTTATAAAGTATAGGGGGTCCTAGGGTTCATAGGATAGGGCCTATTAACTAGGTAAGACGAAGATGTCTTAGGAACCGATGTACTGCCCAGAGGATATAGAGACTAATTCTCAGGGAACCCCTCGGTTCCCCTAGAATAGACTATTTAATATAGATAGGAGCGGGGTAGAGAGGCGGTTAAGATACACTAAAGAAGCGACAGTAATACGCTAGCGATAACCTGACCCACCAACAGTACTCTGAGTGTTTAGGATTGACTTCGTTACATTAATATACTATATATTATTAGGTCTTAGTAAATACAATTTATCTTTTTTTGCCGTCTACTAAGTAAGCGGCCCTTAATTACATCGGGACGAAACGAATTTACCAGGTATAAGAACGAACTAGTCTCGAAGCAGTCCAAAAATACTAAGAGTCATACATCTGTGTTGATTAATTATTCCCATTCTCTTCCTACGTCTCACTACCTTCCTGTCCATAGCTTGGCCGCCTAACATGAGCTTAGCGCCTAACTTCCAACTAAATCTTAGGAACAACTAACAGCTAACCAGTTCAACACCCCAAATGACCATTTTGTTCTCTTTCTTTTGCATAAAACGGATTCCACCTTGTGTAAGAATCCATGCATTCTATATTCTTATCTCATTCACGTCTGTTGATAATTCCCCATATTGTCTACACAGCCTATTTGATAAGCTTTTTCCGACCAGAGAGCCTTCACATCGTTGAAACCGAGTCAGACATTGAAGGATATGCGTGCTCTGTCATTCCCGTCGGCTTGTCTGGTGACGATGATGGCTGCGGCACATCTGCATTCCACGGCATATATATCTAAGATGTTATTCGCATTCTTCGGGAATGTGTTATTAGAAATGAAGTAGCAACAAACTTGTTCTACATTGCCGACGACCAGACGATCAGAGACCACACCTTGCTCCAAGCTCAAATTCAAGCTCAAGAGAATAATGCATGCATGTTAATTGTCCGACTCGCACCTGAATTTGCGAATGGAACGCTGCGATCGATATATAATTCTGATTCGAAAACGTCTATCTAAAATATCCAGAAAGACATCAATAATGATGGCGAATATAGGGGTGGTAGGGATGCCCCATACATATATTTTGGGACACGGAGTCACTATCTGGATCTTGCAGAGATGTCCACGGACGGCAAAAAATAAATGCATTCCCAATATATACCCCACCCCCTGTTAATAAGTCTTTAATCACTGTGATCACTAGCAAAAAGTGCCAATTTCAGCCCCATCTTTCCCAACGAATTTACATAGCAATAATTTTTCATGTATTTTTCAACGAAAGTTTTGTATCAGCTAAACAATATATTTCTTTCCGAATAATCCAGTATAGGTGGCTGTTGACAAATAACTGATGAAGATCCAATTTCCAGTTTGAATCTTCATTATATACACCAAGGTAGTGGCCCCATCCTCAACTCTTGCAGTTCTGTACCATAAATACTTACGGATGTGACCTATACATATCTCAATCTATGCTTCAAATAATAGTCAAAAAGCACGTTACTATATAACATCATGGAGGAAAGAGGGACTGAAACCGGGACTTTTCCAAGGTTTGCTGTTATCTATAGGGCCTCGGCAGTGGGAAAGACTTATCAACACCCATGTATAATAATAACCTGAGTCAATGCCAATTTGAAGAAACTCTGTAGGTATATTTATGCCTATATAGAATAATCCACCATATTGAATACATAATATATACAACGATGCTAACCAGATAAGAAAAGAAACTATAGAAAATAGGACGGACCTGTTTGCTTGCGACGATCAGAAACCTATTAGGTCTGGGTATGGAGAGAAGCCGCTAGCGCTCACAATAACAACAACATATCAAAAAATCAGAATGTAACCTCCTAAGCTTCAACGGTGGGTGGATGACACGTCCATTGAGTTTATTTGCAGAGTTCAAACGCTGGAACTATATATAACCCGCATACTGATCTTTTATATTTAGAAATCATATACTGTCCCGATATGGATATTGAGACTGCGATTGGAAACGATGATGATCACCAAAAAGAAATATCTATCGAAACTACTTGATACAGCTACACTGAACACTCTAGCAAAAATACAAAAATATGGGGTGAGCCGGGATCGAACCGGCGACTTTACGAATAAATGACTGTAGCTTCAGTCGTACGCTCTCCCAACTGAACTATCGCCCCATTTGATAAAGCAATCGATGCCAAAAATGTATGTGAACCTAAAACAATGTGGACTCATCTCCTTACATTGGGAAGACCAATTGCTTTAATTACATGAGGAGAAGGTTACGCAAGGTGCAGCCTAAAAGTGGAATAATGCACGAGAAGGTGTTAGTATAGAGATCATATTCGCTATTAAATCACTTTTGCTTGATGCGCCCCCTATAGTATGCTATTTGATAGGTAGTGGCAGGCACATAACAAGGTGTAGGGCTTTTATGAGATTGAGTAGCTGGATGCAAAGTACATATTTGGGAGCAAACCTCATTGGTACAAACATAGACTAATCACGATACCTAATAACCACTCTAGCATGTCTAAATGGCCTAAAGCACTCTCTTTTAACACCTAACAGTCTCAATACAACTCTCGAGAAACGTCTTGAATCCTTGTTCTAGATATCTTTTATACCGCGCCCAGTTGCGTCCAATGTATGCTTTCGACTCTAAAAAGAACCCCTCGATGGGATTTGAGTTAGGTGAGTAATGTGGTAAATACACCAGTTTGACTCCTACATTAGCACATGATTCCTCTACCCGATAGCTCCGGTAAAAGCATGCATTGTCTATACTAAAGACGTACTTTAGCTCGGGCTACCTTCCATAATATCTAAGAAGCTACTTGATAAACTCGTTGAATACCGCAGCATCGGTTAAGCCTTAGAACACACGAGGGGACTATGCCGTCTAGGGCATATACAGGTAGGATCTGGTACCTCTAGTCACGATAGAAGTTAGCTACTTATAGTAATGCCACGCCTAACGAAGTCTAAACAGTTTGTCTAAATCTGATTCGCTTATCGTTAATAGACTCGTCTATATAGACTAAGTGATATGATCAAAAGTCCGACACATTGTGTAGATAAAAATCTCTTAAGTCGGCATTTTATTCCTTTGCCATTTATTGGGCCGCTATCTTCGAATAACCCCACCGAAGAACCCGTCTAAGGCTCGAATTTGTGACCTAGACACGGAACTCGTCCCATGAATTGATTGCAATCTCGTCCACATATAGCCCGGGCTTTTTAGGGAGGCTATCACATAGTGCTTCTATCGTCGGAGGTGTTATGCTTTGTCGTCGGCCGATTCGAGTTGAGGGGTGCTCTAACATTTCCGAACCGGCGGAGGTTGTTGCTGATGTTCATGATAGAGCGCTTACTATATCCAGTATTTTTAGCTATTTGCGAGGCATTCAGTGATTTGCTTAATATCATATGCTGGATTATTTCGAGCTTTAAGGAAGGGAGTCTTAGCGCTATATTTCGAGGAGAAGTCTAGATATTGATAGAAGAGAGCTTTGGCAGGAGCGGTAGTTGACCACCAAGGGGGATAGAGAGCGACTCTATCTGCTCACCCTTGCTTACCCCGCTGCTCAGCGAGCAGGCGAAAAGATTTTGGATTAACAGTCTAGGGGATACTAGGTATTAGGAAATGCACGTGATTTGACGATCTCGCAGTTCCTAGGAGTTTGGTGGCCCATCTCAAAGCTGCGGACCTCAAAGGATTGCAGTTGCAAGGACTAGAACATCCATACTGTGTCTAGATGCAGATTCTGTTCTCACTGCTCTAACAATAACGCCACTCCGTCTCAATGCTTCAAAAAATCTGTAGCATTTAATACATATTAGATACAAATGATAGGTAATACTGCAACCCTGCTTGCATAATATTGCCATTAATTGCTTCTCTTGAAGAAAAAGAAAGAAAGCAGAAGATATGTGGTATGAGAGAGGTCAAGGGGAATATGCATAATGCATGTTAAATATATGGATCCTTAATTTTCTCTCTCTTAGAGTAATTGCGGTGAGAGTAGCATTCGTGTCATATTAAATACCTAGGTAGCCGTTATGGACAACGCTGATATCTATGAATATTATCACTTGAACCGTTCTGCTCGTTTGTACCACCAGTGCAAATACGTCAGCTATCTTTCACAACAAGTATAACTGTGTCAATATGAAGGTGCTGTCTTTTATCATGGCATTTGTCTTTGCCGCAAGTGCGGCAGCAGCATCTATGGATAAATTGTCTAGCAAGAAATTAGCTGGAAGACAGGTATGCATATTTCCATCTAAAGAACACTACCCCAAATCATATTCAAGTGCTGACTGGGATGAACAAAATTAGAAGGATTGCACTAATCGTGATGACGCACGCAAAGCGGCACACGACGCGGGGTGCCAGAATGTTCGTAATGATAATCATCAAGGCACTTTGTGCAATGCGTTTGGATGCAATTGTGATTGGGGATGTTCCATCGAAACCGGATACGACGACGGAAACGACCCAAACGGTAGAGTGTTTGTTAAAGAAAAGTGTCCAGCATCGTACAACAGTGAGGATGTAAGTAGTCGGGAATGAATCAATAGCACGACTTGGGACAGAAAGTTGACAAATGGCAATATAGTGCTGTTAGTGCACTTGACTCGAGCGACAGTGCTTCAGTACCGTCTGTGATGGGCAAACAGTAGTGGGTTAGTGATGACCCTTCACTAAAGACGCAAGATGCGATGACTTTGGATACAAAATACTGACTGGAATGGGCGTGAATAGGCTGTAAGTAATGACTTTTGACTGAAGAGCAATGACTATGAGTACACATTGCTGGCTCGAAGCGGCCTTTAGTAAGGCAGCTGTTGGGTTTCCGATCAAAGTGTACTTCATTTAGAATTCTTTGCTCCATTAAGCTCTGGAAAGTTGTTCGTCATATTTGCGCTATCAATTTTTGATTTAACAGTTGGATGTGTCTGTAGTGCAGACTCTCTCCTCGACTTGTCTGGTCTTTTTTATTTCAGCCTTGGTATAGGTTTTCCCTGATCTAGGTTTTCCTATACTGTTATGTGAATGCAAAGGCTCTATTTCACAAATCTTTGACTACAATACCTTTCTTATCCACGTAGTACAATCTAATAAATGAGGTACAAGTTGTTGTTGTTGTTGTTGTTGTTTGTTGTTTTGGGGGGGGGGGGGGCTCTATTGGCGAAGGTTGATGACCTTAGTAGCTTGAAGTACATACTCCTATTTCTAGGGCAGGTTTGTAACGTGGAGAAGTGTGACCAGGCCAGTCTATTCAAATAAAAATTGCCCATTTGACGAGGTTATCAAAGCTCAAGAAAGAAGGAAGAAAGGAAGAAAGGAAGGAAGAAAGAAAGAAAGAAAGAAAAGGAAGTGAAGAACAGAGGAACACAATAACAACAACCTAACTCTACTAGTTCCGATCTGGTCACTCCCTAAGTGCTCACCGAGCATAACCTAAGCATTGTTTTTACATTGCCAAACATGGCCTAAGCATCACCCGTGGACTGAGCATCATCTGACTATGTACTTGCTGGATATAATTGAGTTGTCACTGAGAAATCAGCCTATGCTGTGAGATACTCAGTGAGCAGGACCCTAAGCCTCCTGATAAAGCAGCGACGCCCCAATCGAGAAATTAGCATCCGCGGCCTAGAGTCTGGTACATACAGCTACATATGTAGGTTGGAAAATAACGCAAAGAGATATCACAATTGCTTCAAAGCTCTCTGTTTGCACCCCTGTCCAAGCTCTAGAGAATGCGAATCATTCTCTATCATTTTCCAACTCTGAATACTCAGGCAACTCCCAGTCCCCATCTCGATCCGTTAAAAACCGCGATACTAACTGTGGTATGTGGAGGAAACAAACCAGCCCCAGAATGAAATGAATGATATTAATCACCCACTGGGAGTCTGACAGTGCAACTCGCACAACCGAAGAATTGAATTGCTGGACCGTGTCGATATACGGCCGCATTCTATCAGTATACTTCTGAAACGCCGCCTCCAATTCTGCATTTCGAGTGATTTCCCCAGCGAGAACATACACACCGACCAGACTACTCGTCGTCCCCAACCCAGTCAATGGCGAAGGACAATGCGCCGCATCCCCGAGAAGCACCACCCGCCCGGAATGCCACTCCTCAAGCTTGATCTGGACCATCTCCTGACAGAAACCAATTATTCGTCGTTTCCGTGCCATCGATAAACCGCCCCAATTGCCATCCTGCATCAGCGAATTTCTGTCCCCAGAACTCTTTCTGTTGCGCTGCCGTCGCCAGCGAGATACTCCGTAGCTCGTCCGCGTTGGACCGCAGGAAGAAATATACTTGTGTTTCGGAGTCGCAGTGGATTCGTCGCATGATCATTCGTCCCCCGGGTCCGAGATACGCCTTGCACATGTTGCTGTCGCCTTCTGTCGCGGAATGAACACTTGGAGGGTGCTCGGGTTCGACGACCCCGATTACCGCTTTGTTTGGTTGGACTGGGGCCCGAAGCAGGACCGTCTCCTATTGGACAGCGTATCGGTGCTTGGCGGACAATCCGGGCCCGAAGCAGAATCATGCTTCGCCATTGGTTGGTTGACACTATGGATTGCTCAACAAGTGTAAGTATATAATTCCAACCATTCCCAGACCGCACTCCTTCATACTGAACTACTCAAAATCAACACGAACAAGATGAGCAAGATGAGCGATAAAAATTCGAGTGCCCCCGAGGGTGAGAAGGAAGCGGGAGACCTCGAAGCGGGTCCAACAGCGATCAGCTCAGAGCCGTCCCTCGACGACGTCGACAGAGATCCAAATCTCATCACTTGGGATGGGCCCAAGGACCCGGAGAATCCAAAAAACTGGCCCAAAGGTCTGAGATGGAAGAACACCTGGACAATCTCCCTCTTTGTTTTCATCTCGCCCGTGTCGTCGTCGATGATTGCTCCCGCCATGGACGACCTCGCCAAGTCCCTGGGGATGCACACGGAAATCGAGATATACCTGTCCTTGAGTATCTTTATTCTCGCCTACGCCATCGGTCCCATCTTCTTCGGTCCGGCGTCGGAGCTCTACGGTCGGGTACGTTTACTTCAGGTCAGCAATCTGTGGTATTTGGCCTGGAATCTGGGATGCGGTTTCGCTACGACCAAGGGCCAGCTTTTTACTTTTCGTTTTCTAGCCGGTATTGGTGGTAGCGCACCGCTGGCTATTGGGGGTGGAGCCATTAGGTAAGAGAAGGCCCAGAACAACACTCAGAAACCTGTGTAGGCTGACCGAATTGACAGCGATATGTGGATGGCGGAGGAGCGTGGCAAGGCTATGGGTGTCTATACTCTTGGACCACTTCTGGGACCCGTGGTCGGACCGATTGCTGGCGGGTTCATCGCTGAGTATTCAACCTGGCGCTGGGTGTTCTGGTCCACCTCCGCTGCTGCCGTCGCAGTGCAGATTGTTGGATTCTTTTGGCTACAAGAGTGTCACCCGGGCACGCTTCTACGGAAACGACGTGACTGTCTCGCAAAAGCAACGGGCAACGAGAATCTACATACCGCGGATAAGGTTGAGACACTCGGCTACAAGCTTCTTCATGCCTTTGGGCGGCCGGTGAAAATGTTTACAACGCAGCCCATCGTCTTCTGTATGGCCATCTACATGGCTTACCTCTTTGGAATTACGTATCTGATGTTTGCAACCTTCCCCACTATCTGGACCGTGGTCTATCATGAGAGTCCCGGGATCGGCGGCCTTAACTATCTCTCGATTGCCATTGGATCCTTCATCGGGCTCTTCTTCAACCTCAAGCTTGTTGACCGCATCTACAAAGGTCTCAAAGCGCGGAACAACGACGTTGGCAAGCCCGAGTTTCGCATGCCGTCGCTGGCAGTGGGCTCGGTAATCAGCACCATCGGGCTCTTCTGGTACGGCTGGAGTATTGGTAACACGCACTGGATCATGCCCAACATTGGGGCACTGATTTTTTCCATGGGCATAATTTCCTGCCTGCAGGGCATGCAGACGTACATTGTCGACAGCTACCAAACCTACGCGGCCAGTGCCATGGCTGCCTGTGCTGTGCTTCGCAGTTTATGTGGCTTCGGCTTCCCGTTATTTGCCCCGTACATGTACAATTCCCTGGGGTATGGATGGGGGACCAGTTTGCTGGCCTTCACCACCATGGCCATTGGGTGGGGGGCGCCCCTTGCCTTCTGGCATTTTGGTCCCCGGCTCCGTGCTATGTCCAGATATGCCTCGGGCTAAAGAGGCAGGGTTTGGCGTGTGAGGTGGGTGAGATTGGAGGCCGACTGTCGTAAGATGGAATGTCCTTCGACTGAGTTGAATCCGCAATGGGGAAGGGGCCATTGAACGGAGGGACAGGCTTAGGAGTGATGCCTGGCTCTTTGACTGCTCCTTACGCCTCTCTATATAGTGTAATGTGATTGAATCTGTTCGTCCTAAAATGAAGGTTTTTGCACCTTATCAATCTGCCTATGTATCTCCAAACTTTATGCTGGTTTCAGATGGTTCACAATGAGCTTCTGGAATGGCGATATGGAGCTTGTACCAAACCACTTTGAAATTGAAGATGCCTAGATTGTAAAGAATGAAAAGCTTCGTTATGAACCAACTAAAAAAGTGGCGATGCTTGAATTTGTATACGCTGACAAGCTTCAATAATAGAACAGCCCTGGAGAAATCTGGAGGACCGAATGATGATGATGATGACCTGAATTAACCTGATCTAGCTCGCTTTACGTACATGCTGCTATGCGGGAATAGCTCTCAGAACCAGCCATGAGAGACGGCATCGACCCCAAACGACGATAGCAAAGGAAACAGAAGGTGTCAAGCCCCTAGAACATGTAGAAAATATAAGGGATCCATCCAAAAACGCCGTGCATGTAGTCATATGCGTAGTTCGTCATGCGGTCCCCAGCGCATGGAGGCACCGCCCATATCGCACCACTTCTCTATCAATTCTCAATTCTCAACTCCTCTCTCATTCTTGTCTGCACCAAGGCCTTCCATCAGCGTGCTCGCACCACCGGGATCCTGCATCACCAGAAACTGCCTCACCTGCAGATACTGCACGTCACATCTCGTCACACATCCAAGACCAGTCGCACTCGAACAAGTCCGGATGCCTTTCTCTCCACGTCGTGCCATTATCGCCGCGTTCGATGTCATCGACAATGATGATTGTTTGATGGCTTGATGTGCTGCATGAGGGGAAAGCGCAGACCTGGTGGCCTATTCCTGGGTGGTGCTCCCCTGGTCTCCCGACCTCTGTCTGTTCTGGTTTGCATGTTGTTGTTGATCGCTGCCCTCACCGACAGGATCATAACTCTTCCTCATGCTCATGGCCACAAAATCCACTGATTGAGATTGCCCAGGAGCCCCGTGTTAGCCATGAATCCCGACACGAACGAAATTACCGACGACTCAATGAGCGTCCCCCTCTCCTTCACCTGCACCCCCACACCATCGAATTCGTCCATCATATCCCTCCTCGGTTGCTCGAAGCGGTCGTATTCCAACAAGACGCGTTTTACAGTTTGGTTTCCCGATACGCACCTGGAGGAACGAGATGTCTTATGATTCTCTGACTCATCTGACATGTGGTAGCCTGAAGACTGGCCACTGCCATTAGCCTCACGGCACTCGGGGACCCGGAGGTAGAGATATGGTTGAAGCGATCGACGACTAGAGTTGACGTAGACTAGGTTGGTAACTGAAGGTGCTGGAGTATGATATGTAATCATCCATGACAAAATCAACTTTGGAAGTGATGCTGCGATCTGAGGCTTACCTAAATGCAGATACCTACCTAGGTAACTAGCTATCCCCGAGTGCAATATAAGCACCTGGGCAGCTTTTTAGACATTGCGAAAGCAGAAAAGCCGGTGCACCGAATTTTATGGCCCGGATTCTCTGGGTGCTTAAAACCCGAGTTCAGAACCCTTGCTCCATGTTCCGATTCATGCAGGCCGGGTACCAGGGCTTAGTTTGATCAGACGGCTATCTCTATATGAGACCAAAGTGGGCGAGAGCTCCTAATGAATCCGTCGCTTCCAAGCACTGTCTCTCTACTTTGCTCACCTAGAAGCTCATCTCTGTTTCTTCTTACTTTTTCGTTATTTTTTGGCGACTAAAATCCCCTCCAGTAATCTCCATTCATTGGAGACATGGCTTTTTCCAGATATCTGGGAATTTTGGACTCTAGTCTCGTCTTGAAAGGCCTCGCTGGTGCGTGGCTGGTGCGGTACATCGGCGGAGTTTTCTACAACATCTTCCTCCACCCTCTGGCCAATGTCCCAGGACCGTTGCTGTGCAAATTCAGCAAGATACCTTGGGTATGCTTACCCCTGTCCGAGCCGAATGTGGTTGATTGCCTGATGGACAGCGATTCACAATGGCGGGCGCAACGGTATGCGCAGTGTTCACGCCTGGACACGCTACAGACCACATGTGCTTCCTCGTCGAAGAAGAGAAAGCGCTGTTAACGGGGGATAACTTCCTGGGTCACGGTTTTGCTGTCGTGCAGGACGTGGCGGAGTACATGACTAGTCTGGCGCGCATTGCAGCGCTGGGTTGTCAGCGCGGTTGCCCAGCCCACGGGGCGGTCATCGAGAACTTGCCTGTGAAGATGCAGGTGTATATCCACCATAACGAGGTGCGAGTGCAACGGGTCATCGCCGCGCTGGCGGGCGGAGAGAAACTCCCCGGGAAAAGGGTCAGCATGACGGTTCCCGAAATGGGAGGGCCATTTATGGCGAGGTGCCCAGGGAGATTGTCGAGAATGCCATTGTGCCGTTCCTATCGCAGGTCTTGAGGAAATTGGCTGCGATCGCAAGGTCGGCTTTGAGCCAGGCGAGACTAATAAGAGGCGGTGGTTTGGACTGGTAGCGCAGCAGTAGACCCAAGCGTGAAATTGATCAGCGTATATAGTGATTGCGCAATGCACTTTCGATGAAGATCATGGTGAAAAGGCTTGTTCCATTGAATGGACATGACTAGTTGCGTCTTGAAAATTCTCTAGGTCTAGGCCTAGAATTTAGGATTGTTTCATTCAATATTTCTGCCTCAGCGCCTCCTTAGCCAGCCGCTTCCGTGCAATATCCCGCCACTCTGCTATCGGCCGATGCAGCACGTAAAACCGCAATCGCGACCGACGTACAGCTTCCTGACATCGCCGCACGGCCCTCTCATAATACAGTGCCACTGCCCGCTCCACGTTAGCCTCTTTCACCATTGCTGCCGCCAGTTCGACGCTGTCCACGAGCGCATGGTTGCCGCCCTCGCCACTGAAGATCGGCATCGCATGCCACGCGTCCCCGATGAACACCACGTCTGCCTGTACCGCACGCAGCGCATCGTCAGGCGGCATGTACACGCACCAACTAATCCAGTGGAACACCGAGTGTTGCTGGATGGTCTCCGGATTTATGTACTGTGCCCACGGTTCCGCGAGCTGCAGCGACGCCAGCTCTTCCAGCAGCGCCAGCGGCAGATCTCGTGCCTGGTTTTCCGGCGCCTTGGCATTGAATAAAGGGTCATTCTCGCCACGAGCCGGCCGGGAGTATGACCAGTCGAGATGCACCTGAATCTTAGTAATATTGCAGACCGTGATGGGCGTATTGAACCCGTCGCCCACGCCGGCAAGGATGTTAGCGTTGCCGATGAGAGGGCGCACATGGCGGTCGTACTCTTCGCGCGACACCTGGAACTCGCCGTGGTAGGCCACCATGGGCAACACTTCCGGGACTATGTGTGGCAGGACCTGGGAGCGCACTGCATTGCGCAGATAGTCAGTGGATATGCGACCAAACACGTGGACGGATTCGCCCTACTTACCTGCTGAATGCACCCTGTCAGCAGCAATCACGACCGAGCCGTGATATTCAGCTCCATTCTCGAAGACTGCCTGCATGTTGACGACCGACCCCGAGATGTTCTTGAGCCGATGTCCGTATCGCACATCCAGCTCGTCATCCCCATAGTCAGCCATCCAGGCCCGCAAGGCATTGCGATTCGCACGCATGACTGCTGGCCGGACATCCGCGTCCGGCTCGACAAGTGCCTTCCCCGGTTTGTATTATCGCTCACTGCTAGATCTACCCACCCAGTACCACCGATGAAGCGGTCAGGCGCCACGGCCTTGGTCACAGTCCGGAGGGACAGCCCACCGAGAGCCTCGAGCAATCGAGAACATCCCCAGTCGTGCAGGGAAATGGCAAATCCCTGGCTACGTTCCGGCGGAGAAACCTCGAAGACGATATTCGCAATCCCATTGTTTGTTAATAGTCGTCCAACAGTGAGGCCCGATAGATCCGCGCCGATGGTAAGGACAGGGCGGGTGTGATCTGCCATTTGCATAGCGTCAGCGGAGGAGAGAAATGATATGGTAAAATGCTGATTAGCCTCATGGATAATAACCTATCGCACAGATTACAAAAGCGACATCTTAAACGGCATGGTCGTTATTGCTTTCTGCTGCGCGAGTCCTACCGAATTGTCCAAAATCCCCGCAAAATCCGAGGCCGCCGGGACCAAACCCCGCGTTGCGACAATTGCTGCTCTCAGCTCAGACTTGTTCCTCGACATATTTGGTCCCAGAACAGCCAATCTGAAGAAGACTCGAGATTGAAGGCGTTATTCATTCCCAGGTCGGTCCCGTCCATGTTATTGAAAAGTTCATCGAAAGAAGAAGCCCCACCTGCATCCTTGTCCCCCGACAATACGCTGTCTTGCTGCCGGTTAGTGCGCTTGGGTTCGTGTTGGGCGAGTAGCGCGGTGATGAACGCTGGCTCGGTAGAGGAATGGCTGGGCGGATTTGCTAGCCAGGCCTTCAGAGTGACCTTAGCAATGGTGACGTACAGGGTCCTTCGGGCCTTAGCCAATTCGTCGTGATTGGCGTAGACTTCCGCAACCTTTCTCCACGCAGAGGCGAGCTCGGACGGCGAATAGAATCCCACCTCTGCGATGCTTCGGAGAATACAGAGAAGAGCATCCCATAAGAAGAAGGCCTGCATATGCCACCGAAAATTCTGCGTGCTGGGGTTATTGAAAATGGTACTGTTGGTGTCGAGCACCTTTTCCGCAAGGGCGCAGAGGTGTCTCCGTTGGGCATCGGTGATAGTTTGTTGCTTGAGTAGCGGCATCCGGGCACGTAGTCGGACGGAATTAATGGCCGAGCGCACAATGCCGGTGGTCAGAAAGTGCAAGGGATTCAGGATATCACAGTACCGCAGAAACTTGATCTCGATGAGGTCTTCCACCTTATCAATCAGACGCTCAGTGTCCTCAGCATCCCGAAACTGGATTGCATCCCCATGTTCCTCCAGCTTGGCACCCGTTTGAATGTAGAATTTGGACAGCTCCATCCGGGATAAGCAAAAAATCATCTCCGAGGCGCCTCGTTGCTCACAGGGCGGCTGGGTCATGCTAGGGAAGATCTGGTCATCGTTGATGTTTAGTGGTTGCTTAGTGTCCCAACTGCTGGGCGAAATGGATATACCCGTGCCGGATGTTTGGCCAGCATAACTGTCCAGGGGCAAGAGTTGCCAAAAGAGCCGCCGGCGCATCTGGACCTCAAATGGAGGCAATCCGAGGCTTTCGCCGTCCCGGTGTAGTCCCATGCGCTGCGCTAGGCGAATCGCGATCCCCGTCAAGATCCAAAAGGTGTGTGAGTCAATCTGAGTGCGCAAGGCAATAAGGAAGAGTGTGTAAGCCTGCAGAATCGGCATCGCGGTTGTCTTGAGCCACGACGCATTGACCAATGCCTGGATGACTGTGGTCTGATATCTGGACAACAACTGTGCCCTTGAATGATTGAACTCGCGCGAACAGTCGGCGTCCGACATAGAGAAAACGGCGAAATAGTAGATGACAAACATCAGACATTCATCGTTCTTAGAAGCGGCCGCAGGGTGCTCAGAGACAGCGTCGAACATCTTGGCGACCGTTGGAACGTGGAGAATCTTGCAAAGGGGATCGACGTTCGTCGTATAGACTTGCCAGAGTTTGGCTGCCTCCTCGTAAGTAGGGTGTAGGTCGGTGAGGCTCTGCATGCTTCCTATTACTGCGCCTGAGATCGTATGTGCGGCGAGAGCGCCGAGAAGACTCGTCAGTGTGCCTTCATCGGGGCTGTTTTCGTCGTGGTTGTAATCTTCTTGTTTGGACTCAGGTAAGTCACATAGATCCCCTTCGCCGGCGTCCAGCAGCAAGACATTGTCAATGCAGCGAGATCTGCCGTGGGTGGAAAGTACTACTTTGCCAGCCGTAGGGCCAGGTTGCGAATCTGACAACACAGGAGTCGGGGCCCGTGTGCTGATCGTGGAAATTTCCGTGTCTCTGCCACTTGGGGTCGATGCAGCGGCCGTCGGGAGGAGGTTGTGGTTTTGCAAGATACGCTCGTACCGTGCTAGACGCTCATGGACGTCTTCTTCGCCCCGACTGCGCTTCCTCTTGCGCGGCGGCGGCGACTGATAGACGCAGTGGAGCTTCGCCTTGCTGCAACTAGCGCACTTTGGTACCGCGCGATTACACTTGACCTTTTTCCGTACACATGATTGGCAGTTAAAGGGCATTGCAGTCGTCAGCTCGGTATCAAAGGAGCAATTGACCGCGTCCAGGGACGGAGCCCTTACAGGTGCGGGAGCAAGCGGGACAAGATGGGAGACAACCATGGTTTCCGTGGTATCATCTCTTAGGGGATGCTCCTGCTCTCTCTGGCTCTTGTTGTTTTCCTTTCTGGTATCTGTCTATATGTGTAGCAGCAGCCGGGGACCTCCTCGTCATTGTCCCCGCATTAACTAATGTTCCATTCAGCTGGGGATCGACTCCGAAAGATGACTAAGCGGAGACGGAGGGGCCATAAAAAAAAGGATGCGTTTATTTGTACACCACGCTAAGCCCCATCAATCCTAGACTTCCGCAGAACCCATTTTGGGTCGAAGGTCTCGACCCAAAACCTAACCAAGTCCAGGTCTAGGTCGAAACCGCCATCCTGCATTAGTGAATTTCTGTCCCCAGAACCCTTCCTGTTGCGCTACCGTCGCCCGCGGGATACTCCGTAGCTCGTCCTCGTCGGACTGCAGGAAGAAATACACTTGTGTTTCGGAGTTGCAGTGGCTTCGTCGCATGATCATTCGTCTCCCGGATCTGAGGTAAACCTTGCACATGTTGATGTTGCCTTCTACGCGCGGCATGAACCAGCAGGCGATGTGAACGCCCAGCGGGTGGTTTGGGTCTGCTGCTGTTGGGGGTAGAATGGCTCGTCGGATTTGTGAGCCTTGACCATCTGCGCCGGCCAGAAGGTCGAAAGTTGAGGATGAGCCGTCCGAGAATTAGGCGGTGACTTCTTTGTCGTCTTGCGTGAAGCGATCGACTGTCTTGCCGAAGATGTCTTCCATTTCATGGAATATGCGGATTAGGTCTCCGTGCATGATCTCGTATTCGGGATGTCAGTGCTTGGGCGCCTTGGCCGGTCTTGTTGACTGGAATGGTGCCTTTGACATTGCCATCTGTGTCGACGATAGATAAGCCGGCTTCATCGACGAGTTTGCTGCGGATGGCGTCGATGAGTCCCAAGCGTTTCACGACCTCGATGCTTTGGCCGCGGAGATCTATCTGGGTGCCCGAGGCTCTTAGCGTTGGGGATCGTTCTACGACGACAATTTTTTGCCCGATTCGAGAGAGCCAAAAGGCTAGAGCGGGACCTGCAACGCCTCCGCCGCAGATGAGAATTTTTGAGAGGAGCCGTTCTGTTTTATGTTTTGTGTTACGTAATCTGCATAGAGAATGGAATTATGTGAGGATATGGAGAGAGTATTTCACTGCCACAGAGCTCAGGCATTTCAGCTTACTTTTAAACAGCTGTCGCAAGCTCAACTATAGACCGATAATTTGGCTTTTAGCGGGGCATAGTGGGGCATAGTTGTAAGTGCTGACTATCAGTCGCATGGCTTACTCTTATTATTTTAAATAAGGGAGAGTTGTGCTTATTGTGGCAAGGGCTTGAGAAAAAATTTAGCGGTCGAGAAAAGGGTTGATGTGCAGTTTCTTTTCTCAGCGGTCTTGATAACTCATCGCCGCTCTTGATCACATATCGACCTGAATAAGCTTGGAAATACAATTAATATCTACATTTGTAGGTAGCTTGGAATATATCACGTTCCAGATGAGTTGTCGACGTGCTCGCACGAAATTATGATGGTTATTTCCTGGCTCGAGCCGCACACTAGGCATTGTGCGGGAATCGAGATCGAAGAAATAAAACCGAAGAACAACTCAATAATTCATTCAGCTAACACAAAAATATTGTGACAATCTGGCTATTTCAAAGACGGGGACGACCAGTCGCAGGGAAACACGGGATATCATAACGGTCCAAGTTCATAACCTTCTCCCAGGCCGCAACAAAGTCCTTCTTGAACTTATCCTGGGCATCAGAGCAAGCATAAAGCTCAGCCAGTGCACGCAGCTCAGCATGGTGTCCGAAGATCAAGTCCACACGGGTCGCAGACCACTTCTTCGCACCGGTCTTGCGGTCAAAGCCCTCGAAGTACTCGCTGTCCGCACCAGTGGGCTTCCAGTTTGTGTTCATGTCCAGCAGGTTGACGAAGAAGTCGTTGCTTAGCTGGCCAGGGCGGTTGGTGAAGACGCCGTGCTTGGAGCCGTCCCAGTTTGCGTTGAGGGAGCGGAGTCCTCCGACGAGGACGGTAAGTTCGGGGGCGGAGAGTGTGAGCTGTTGGGCCTTGTCGACGAGGAGTTGCTCTGTGCGGACGCGACGGGTAGATTTGCCGTAGTTCCGGAAGCCGTCAGCGAAGGGGCGCAGCCAACCAAATGATTCGACGTCGGTTTGCTCTTGTGTGGCGTCGTTGCGGCCGGGCGTGAAGGGGACTGGGATGCCGGAGGAGCGCTCGAGAGCGGCTGAGCCGGCAAGGACGATCAGGTCGGCAACGGAGACCCGCTTATCGCCGTTCTGGGAGTCGTTAAAGCGTTTCTGGATGTTCTCCAGGACGCTCAGGACTTCCTGGAGCTGGGCAGGGTTGTTGACGTCCCAGTCCTTCTGGGGAGCAAGGCGGATGTGTGCGCCGTTGGCTCCTCCACGCTTGTCACCACCGCGGAAGGTAGAGGCCGAGGCCCAGGCGGTGGAAATAAACTTGGTGGGCTCAACGCCGGATGAGAGGATCTCGTTCTTCAAAGCGATGATGTCTCCAGTGTCAATCAGAGCGTAGGTGGGGGTGGGGATGGGATCCTCCCAAAGGAGAACCTCCTTGGGGATCTCGGGACCCAACCAGCGAGCGCGAGGGCCCATGTCACGGTGAAGCAGCTTGAACCAGGCGCGGGAGAAGGCGTCGGCAAGCTGGCCCGGGTTCTCAAGGAAGCGGCGGGAGATTTTCTCGTAAGCGGGGTCGAAGCGCAGAGCAAGATCGGTGGTCAGCATCTGAGGCTTGTGGCTTTTGCTGGAGTCGAAAGCATCGGGGATGATGTTGTCGGCATCCTTGGCGACCCATTGGTTAGCACCAGCAGGGCTCTTAGTCAGCTCCCAATCGAACTTGAACAGATATTCGAGGAATTGGTTGCTCCACTTGGTGGGAGTCTTGGTCCAGGTCACCTCCAGTCCACTGGTGATGGCGTGGGGTCCGACTCCAGAGCCGTGGGCGTTGTGCCATCCGAGACCCTGGGACTCGATTCCTGCAGCCTCGGGTTCCTTTCCGACGTGACTGGCAGCGGCAGCGCCGTGGGTCTTTCCGAAGGTGTGACCACCAGCAATCAAGGCAACGGTCTCTTCGTCATTCATGGCCATACGACCGAACGTGATGCGAATATCTCTGGCGGCGGCAACGGGGTCGGGGTTTCCATCGGGACCCTCGGGGTTGACGTAGATCAGACCCATGACGACCGCGGCCAGCGGGTCCTCTAGATCACGAGTCTTGATATCACTCTGCTTGGCCTTCTCCTCTGGGGTCTCGGCCTCATAACGAGCTTCATTGGTGAACCAGACATTCTCACTTCCCCAGTAAACCGACTCATCCGCCTCCCAGACGTCGGGACGACCACCGGCGAAGCCAAACGTCTGTAAGCCCATGGACTCCAGAGCGACATTACCGGTCAAGAGCAGCAAATCAGCCCAGGAAATTTTGCTACCGTACTATACAAGACGAATCAGCACACTGAAAAATGAATGATTTTATCGTTTGTAGTTCTTACCTTCTGCTTGATAGGCCAAAGCAGACGGCGCGCCTTGTCTACAGACAGAAACCAAATCAGTATAAGTGAAATGAAACCATGTTTGCTGTTCAAACTCACCGAGAGACACGTTATCAGGCCACGAGTTCAAGGGAGCGAAACGCTGTTGACCCTGGCCACCACCACCACGTCCATCGAAGACTCGGTATGTACCGGCACTGTGCCAGGCCATACGAATGAAAAGCCCGCCATAGTGACCAAAGTCAGCAGGCCAGAATTCCTGCGAGTCTGTCATGAGAGCATTGAGATCCTTCTTGAGACCCCAATAGTCGAGAGTTTTGAAAGCTGCGGCATAATCAAAGTCCTTGCTTTGAGGATTGGTGGCATCTGTGTGCTGGCGAAGGACACTCAGCTTCAAGGCATTGGGCCACCAGTCAGTGTTGCTACAGAGAGATGTTAGTTTCAAGACGAATATACGCTTTGTGAAAAAAAGACCCGACAAAAGAATCTAAAAAAAAGAATCTGTTTGGGAAGAAGGTTGATCATACCGAGTACCACCTCCGGCAACATTGCTCTTCTTGTGTGCATATGGACATTCACTCATGATGTGCTGCTAAAAAAAAAGGAAAGTAGAGAAGAAAGTAGAGGAAGAACGGGAAAGCGGGCACCCCCGCAGTTTAAATGGTTACACCTCGGAGGTCCAATAATGGACCGCGTATTAAGCAGCTTTCTAATATCGAACGTCTAGTCTTCATGCTAGGTTAATATCACGCTAACTGAGACTGGTTCGAGTTTTCATTGGCTCTACAGGTAAAGCGATCCGGGGGTTGCGGGGAAAATATGTAAGAGAGACTGGCTTGCCACGCGGTGGTGGGCTAATTGGCGGAATACGCCGAAGCGCGCTCAATTCCGACATTCCACTACGTAGTATCTCCGTATACTATTCACCTGGGCAGTAGTATGGGCTGACAAAATAGCCATTTCTAGATTGACTTAGTAACACTCAAAGCGCGGGAGGTCTCGACTGCGCAAAATGAATGAGCAAAATGAATAATCCGCACTTTCCAACCCAAGCGACCTCGGCTGTGATGACGTCATTCTGAATCTAGAGCCTGACTGACTGACTCAGCACCAAAATAGGCAATCCCTTCCCAAGTGGTGTGTGTCGGAGAATATCGGTCAATATTCCCGCTTCCTAAGCACTCATATAATCAACTGTGGATTTGTTGTGAGTATTTTGATAATGATTAGGCTATTATTAATCCATGAAAACAGGGTGTTGAAGGTGATTAAATGTGGTAGAGCTATTCAACAAGCTCTTTACAAGGTTGTATTAGTGGATGGGGATGGAATCTGTAATGCGCGGGATTTGACCTAGATGGTTTGCCTATGCGATCTATTCTTTGCGAGTGATTTGTTAAAAGATTCATTCTTTGTTCTTAATGCATCGATCCATATATAAGTCGTTGTGGTTTCATCAATTTCGTCATTTGAAGCTATGTCCTGATAAATCATCAACGTCAGACTGATATTCAATGTTGTTGTTGTTATTGTTTATTGTAGTTGTGAAATTGAATTCGAATTGCTGGTTATTGAGGTGATTATTGCCAAAGGAATTTAGAATGCTGAATTATGGGGTCTTCATTGAATGTGGAATGCTCTGCGAATATACACTTCCAAAAAAGTCCAAAAAGAAGAAGAAAGGGAGATGCCGATAGACCGTACAATATTGGAGGTGAACGATCTCCCGAGAATCGTGGATGCGAAAATCATAGGTGTCTTCCAAGGTGCCCAAGATCGCGGTAAGGGCATTCCCAGGTCTTCGGATTCCCAACTTCTTCCTTTCGAGCTAAAATTGACCACCGCCAACCTTTACAAATTGCTGGTCTCCATCTTATTCTCATCTCACGATATTCGGGTTTCACCTAGCTTCTCAACTTTTTACCTTCTGAACCTACCTTTCTTTGGCCTCAATCCCTCACTGAATACAATGGGTGGCTGCTTGTTGAAGGATAGTATTGTCTCCATTGAGGCCTATGATTTCTACCATATTGATGATATTGTGAAAGTTAACGCTGTCTTCGAAGAGGAGGCCATGAAGGTTTTTAAAAGAATGCTCAAGTTTCGCCTCTTTTTACTTCTCTTTTTACTCCTCTTTCCATCACATCAACCATCTCTTTCTAGCAGTAGTCCATCATGAATTCTGCTTCTTCTTTCATGGAGGCACTTAAGGCCAACAATGCCAATTTCCAGTTCCGACCTACCCAGCAGGTCGCGGCTCTCCTAGCCGGCCGGGCTTCGCAGCCCGCAGGTCCTAGGACCCAGGCCTATAAGGGCCTTTGGAGTCGTCTGGCCACCCTGCTCATTCCAGTCACTCAGCTGGAAATGATTATGGCCGTTTTAATTCTGGGGGACCTTTACGAGGGCTGGGTCAACAATGGAGTGGCCAGAACCATCATGCTGACCCCCTTGACTTCCGCTGACATTGGTGCCCTTCGTGATGCCCTTCCTCGCCTGCCGTCTGAGCTGAACGTCGTGCTGAAAGCTCACAAGACCCCAAACACCTGCGCTGTCACTCTCATCCAGGCTTTACCTCGTGTTCTAGAATCCGTAATTGCACCCAATCTGGAGCAAGCTACCGCAATTCGCCTCGCCTTGATCAACCTGACCCTCAATCTCGGCTTAATCATCGATCCAACCGTTAACGAGATGACTGCGCTCCGCTCCGAGTTGACCAGTATCCCTCTTCAACTGGGCCACGGATTTGGAATCAACCAAACCAAATTCGGAAGACTCTGCTATTCCCACCCTGCCATCGCCTGGAAGATCGAGGCTGTGAAAAACATTGGCTATTACGAGGACTGGTTCGCCGTTCGCCACGCTCTGAACTTCGCTGAGGGCCTCCAGATGTTTGGTGACGCTGCCGACGCTCTCGACGATGGAAACGTCAAACAAGCGTATTTTAGATTTTACGCCTACTACACGGATCTCATCACTCGAAACTAAAGGGGTTTCAATTATTCGTCACTTAGCCGTCACTACGACGTTCGTTTCAAAATTGCGCGCCGGATATTGCGACTGCTTCAAGGTTCGTCCACGCTTGCCTTCTTTGACTTGTTTCAGAATGTCTATCTTTGCTAATATGCCCCATAGTCTGATTCACGTTACTTACCCGTTATTTGAGCATCTGGCGTTCGTCAATGGCACCTTTCTCGATCGTCCATCTTTCCACTTGAACACGCAGTCTTAATTGTGCTCTTTCGTAACTCGCGCTTTAGCATTACCTCCCAAGAAAATCAAGAGCAGGGCGCTAGCGATTGTGATTTGTGCCTTTCCCCGATGCAATCAGTCTCCCCTCCTAGGGCATGTGAATCCCACGTGATCTTGCTTTTCTTTTGCACTTTTATTTTCTGCATGTTTTGCTATGACGATGTGTAAGCGGTTTGGATTTATACGATTTGCATTTGATCCCGGCGTCATTTGGTTATTACTTTTGCTGGCCTTTGCCTGATTGTATTCACCAACTTGAATTATCACATAGCTTGGTACATAACGCTCATACACATGTAAATTTAATTGCGCCATCTCGCAGAAAGTCTGGCCAACTGCAGGTCTCTCCATGTTGGTTGGGCTCACTCCTCTTCTTCCAGATTGTTTCAACTATCTTTTTTGCTCCTGATGCTTGAACCAACGCAGTTTTGCGGACACAACACTCAAACCATGACACGAAGAACGCTTGTAACTCGGGTGTAACGGCTTCACAGGCTGCGATGAAGGCTGGCCAGATCAGTCCTGCGCTTCTACAGTCACTCTGACCCTCTTCCTCTTGTTGAGCCCTTGTCAGACAGACACGTATGTCATTGACCTTCCCTTGCAGCATGATTGGGTCGATCTCGTATATTCGGCGATGGAAGAATATTGACAGCGCTGTGTACATTGCCTGAGCTGTCCTTGTACTTTCCGTCAAAAGTCTGTCATTATGACCTAGGACAGGGCTCGTGGTGGTAGGTAACAGGAGATGATCGATCGCGCTCTCCAATCCTTTTGCCAGAGTCCAGAATTCCTTTAGACACATGTTTACTTTGCTGGTATCTGTGGTCATTATAGACATATCTCTCTCATTGGCAAGACGGATAACCTGCGACAGTAGCAAAAGAAATACTTCATCGACTCCATATACCGAGGGGAATAAGGTCGCGGTCCAACGCCCAGGTATTGCGAGATGCAGATCCCGTTGCGCCATCTCTGGGTCTTTGTCCATGAGCATGGTGGCCTCAGAGAATGCCTGCTTTGTGTAAATGCGAAAATCGCCGGTATCCGTGGATCCTGTGGTGCCCATTGAAGCGTTCATATTGATGTTCAGAGTCGCCGCAATACAAGTTGTCTCTGCCATAATCCGCATATATGCATAGCAATGGTGTAGCGCTCTCCTCTTTGATGATAGAGTCGGTTGGTTGAAGCCCTTAATACGAATGAATTTCTCGGTTTGAACAAGCCAGGCTCGCCGTTTGTTTGCGTCTCCTTTGATCATCTGTGGGGTGCTTGTTAGCCAGGTCCAACAGGGTATTGTTGGTGTCGTACAAATGCATTTGAAAGACTCAAAATCGCCATCAAGACCTCTTTATATTTGCTTGTTTTTGTGGAAGAAATACAGATGTTTTCCATGCATTGTTGGAGGTGGTATTGGGCACGCTGCAAATATTGCTCTGCAGATATCTTCCATTGCTCCAGTCCCGCGGTCGAGTGATTTCCCAGATGAAAGGCGCTTGTGCTCCACACAGCGTTCAATAGGGCTAGCCTGCCATGATTGGCACTATCATTAAGGCCTATCTCTCTCAGTGTTGTGACCGCGCAAGGGATAACCAGGCTCATCCAGGGAGTCTCCTGTCCATGCCGCAACGGCGATATCAATGGGACGATTCGGTCTCTATAATAGGATAGGAGGGTCCAGCCTTCCATATTTCCTGCATCTAGGGAAAGACTGAGACTTGGTTGTAATGTGGGCTCCCAATAATGCATGTCTATGTGTTCAGGAGGTAGTATTGGCGACTCGTCTAGCACAAAATCGTCGAAAAAATCTGTATCCGTTACATCCAGAGGAAATGTTGCGTAAGTAATGTTTTCGTTCAATGGCAGCTCATTAAGCTGAACAAGCCATTCCTCCGAAGAATGTGCTAGTTCACCGGGTTTGGACAATGGGGAGTCAGATAATGGAGAGTCGGAATCTGATTGTTGGGACCATCGAAAAGCACCAAACGGCCCCCGAAAAAGAGAGAATGGCTCCAAGCACTCGGCGTCAGTCTCATACTTTTCCAAGTCATCGATCGCTCGGGAAATATTATGATAGGGTAAAGAAGAGACAATTCTGAGACTCATATCTCGGCGTTCAAAATCTACTAACGTTGTTAGATTCTAATCGTTGTCTGTTCATGAAGGGTACAAACCTGTGAAGATGGAGTGGCGATGCCTTGCTGCATTTCCAGCGCTCAACCATCGAATGTTCTCTTTGTCGTTGATAAACGTCAATTCTATAGAATCAGGCATCTTAACGAGTGAGTCTTTTTGTGGCAGGATTTCAGTCGGATTGTTTGACGAATCCATTCGGCTTGGGAATCCCGATAGTCCCGGGAGATCTTTCATCTTAGAATCTGTGACTATGGGGATCTTTTTCAGAAGATGCAGCTCAATATGATCATGTAAACAGTTATAGTGGATGTGGAGATCCCCGCTCGCAGTAGATAATGGCGGTATCTCCAAACAGGAAGGTCATTCCGACCATTGGAAGTTGATATGTAGAGACTCATGTGTATAGATGAAACATTTGAAAAGAAACCCTTTTTTGAATCAATAAAATTGCATCGTTTGGTTTAAATACCCTCAGTCTTGCAGCATAAAACAAAATACTGCAATCTGTAGGGATAAGTGACCCGGAACTTCTTACCTTGTACGCTTATCGCTCCTCCTTGTACACGACGTGATCATTGAACTATCTCGAGAAGCAGATATATTTGGTCTCGGGAATTAACTTCAATGCACGCTATAAATCCTATTCTACCTACAAGATCGGAATGACTTGGTAATTCGAGTAAAAAACTGCTATATCAAGACTATATGCATACACTCCGTCGCAATGTCATGATGCGGGGAAGAGTTGTAAACAATTATAAGGCAACAAAAATGACAATAGTCTGGCCTAGGATAGAAAGTCAAGAGAACAGCTTGGCGATTCTCAAATTGTTGTAGTCCCAAGCCGTGATATCCTCGTATTTGCACGGAGTCAAAGGAGTAATAAATTCCTTCAAAGGCAACAGCGATGCAATGCGGTTCGGCTTGGCAAAGTATGCAATCGAGTACCGCTCCGGGATCGTCTCGTCAGATCCAACCTTGATAGTGGATGGATAAGTCACTCGGTGACATGCAGCACGAAAGGTATCATTGGTCAGGCGCTGTAGCGAATCACCAATGTTCAGAATAATCTCCGACTTGCCCCCAGATTCAACCCCGTGGAATGTTCCTGGATTCTGCTGATCTTCAACTTGAAGACCACCCGTTGAATCCTGGAAGAGCATGGTGATCGTGCCAAAGTCGGTGTGCTCTGCGATGCGAGTCGCTGTTCCGTCGGCCAGCCCGGATGCGGGGATGGCTGGGTAGTGGAGGAGGCGGAACTCATTTTCGGCTTTGTTGTGCAGGGCCCTGAGGTCTGGTGCTGAGATACCGAGAGCTTTGGCTAGCGCGTCGAGAATCTCCAGCTCCACCTTGAAGCAACTGGTATAAAAATCCTCCATGAACTTGCGGAAGCCTGGGAGCTTCTCTTCGGCGATCCAGATGTTGTCCACGAGGTTGTCGTTTGCGGCACCCATGTCGAGTGTTTCCTGTTCTTGTTAGTGAGAGCTTTGTCACTTATAGATAGATCTTGGTACCTTGATATCTCGAACAGACTTCCCTTGAGGGTGACCCTTGTCGTAGCCACTGATGGAGGAGATGGATTCTTGTCCGACAAAGCTGTATCCACGGTTAAGGTTGGCCTCAGGTGGGTGTTTAGAGGTCATTTTATCTTCAAGAGGAAGTGAGAAGAAACGACGGGTCTTGTATGAATGTCAGCCATAAGAACCGTTTCTGCAAATCTCACACATCAACTCACGTAGTCAAACATCTCTGCAATGAGCTCTTCGGGGAGACCGTGGTTCTTCAACTGGGCCACTCCACGGGTCTTGAGCGTGCGTAGCAATGTTTTCGACACTTGATCTCTCTGTTCGGGGGTTCCCTTCAGCAAAGACAAATCAATGACATTTGACATGATGTGGTTGGTGATTTGAGAATGACTTGAAGATTAGATAGAGTGTGTTTTCTTCTTTTTTCATGCCGCAAAAAGAGGGGCTATAGATTGATATAAATATTGCAGCTGATGCAGCATATGCACTTCATAGCCATCGAGACTATCAATTGGGAAGGTGGTAGTGCAGACAAGATCTAAGAAGTGGATCACCTTCCTATATTATCAGCCAATGAAATTCGAGGACCACCCGCGCTCTGAACATACTGTTCAATCAGAAATAGATTAGTATATAGTGGATCACTTTCCTTTTGTTGCTGGACATGATTGCAGATCAGATACTCTTCAGGGCCAAATGGACCTTGATAAATTATGAGCACAGGCACCTGATATTATACATATGACTGGCAGATATCTCAGGATCGATATCCCAATGCTAATATGGATTCGGAATAAATATTGTCATGATCAAGCAAATTGCCTTTATAAAACAGTACATTCTAACCTGGCCTCTACAGTATGGTTGATCAGTATGGTTGATATCAAGAGTAATTATCGACAGAACTTCTTGGTAAATCTGAATGACTGCAGATTGCATGTCTAATCGATGTTCTTTAGCAGTTAAAGTCACAGCTATACCTGAGAATCTCTGCCTGAAGATCTCTGCCGACAGCAAGACTGGCGAAGGTGTTCCATATTCAGTAAACATATATTGATTCATGTATTTACAACTCTAGAGCAGTTCACAGGCATTGAATTATTCGGGAAAACACGCGATATTTGGCCTATTACTGCCAAAAGGATAAAAGAAAATATGTAGGCCACAAACTCCAAGAAGCTAAAAGAACGAAACCTCCTGGTCTGAAGTCTTTTGGAAGTCTTCCATTTCGATCAAACTTGATTATGTTCGTTTTAACTTCATTCTCTTACGAATTTCCAACCACTCTCTAGTTATCAAACCTTCTCCCATCAATTCACCTCCGCTTTGATTGTTCCGCTATATACAACTCGTCTTGCAACATACTTGCGCTTTTCCGCTGCCATTGCTTTCAACTTACAACATTGATCACCAACACATTCCTTGCACCGAATCCAACATCACACCCCAGCAAGGTAAATACCTACAGCGACTAATGCTTCATCTCTATTTCTAACATCGGGACTTCTAGAATGGCGCCATTAGCATCTCCTCATGATTGGTCTTCCGCTCTCATCATGCCTCACATCCGCAGAAGCAGTTAAAATCTACCTCCCAGTCCATGCATACACAACCACCTCAATGTTCTCGCCCATTAAATGAAGCCACATTTGCGTGAGCTACAAAATATGATAGCGAAGAAAGAGTTGTAGTCAAGGGGATATGATGTGAAAAACCTCTGCCAAATAATATGCACCTGACGCGAGAACATCAAATCTGCACTTGGGCACATTATGGAAGACCCTTCACCAAAATTCTGTGACTAGTGTGCAAAAGGGATTGCTACGTGGCTGAGCTGCATTGGCAAGTTCAGCATAAATAACGATGTCGGGATGGGCCGGTTTCCAGTTTTGGGTTGACATGGATCTACCACTTGATCCAATATTTAGTGGAATATCAGAGATACCTTCATTTTTACATTGCATCGCATCACCGTACACGATTTGTTCTTGTCGTTCAAGCGTCCTTTGACATTCTTCGAGCCATCTTCCCAGGTCTCTGAGCCAAATCCGAGGACGTTTTCCAGAAGGGCAGGCTATGCTGTGATGGTGGTGAGTGAGGAAGAAGAAAAAGGAAAGAGGCAGCTGTGCACTTTACGGTTGCATATACCGGAACTCGTCTTGAATCAGCCACACGTGTCGATAGCTGAAGTCGAATGTTATTTTCCTTTTTCTCACTCATCACTATTCCAAGCACTTGATCTAGCCAAATTATCACGTAGAAAATGGTTCTATTTTATTTATCTATAGTATCCCCGTCGTACAAAATAGCTATGAGTGGGGAACTATTCTAAAAAAATGTCGATAACAAGCTTCTAGATAAGATGGCTCCAACAAGCGAAGTCCAAACCATATGCAACAGAGAAAAAGAACAATTCTCAATTCTCCAACTTGATGTAGAAATAAATTTCCACATCCATGGATGCTATAAGGGCTGACATAAGAGTGAGCCGATTGGTTCCAAGGTTTCCAAGGTTGAGAAAAAAGAGTATAAGAAGGTGACATCAACACCTATCCAAGCGCCACTAAACATACATCTCCTGGAACTTCCCCCACATCGTCACTCCAAGTTCTTGGAGTCCTCAAAATTCTTCGATACCTCATTTCAAAGAGATACAGCATACTAAGACAATGATACCCTTCAATGTGATCGTGGGCAAAACCAACTCTACGCAGACCTCCACTTGACCGGATTGAGAGCTGCCAAGCATGCCCCAAGATCCAGACTATTGGAGGAATGTGTTGATCGTCGTACCTATTGTGTGTACTGCGTTCGCCGCAGCGGTTTTTGCACTTCGGATTTACTCTCGCCTACGAGTAATCCACGGGTTACGAATCGAGGATGTGCTGATGGGAGCTGGCCTCTTGTGTACCTGTGGTGTCGCTGCATGCATTGTATATTGTAAGTAGCATCTACAATTCCATTTGAATAGGACTGATCTTTAAATATAGCTGGTTTCCGTGGGATCGGGGCTGGTGTCAGTATCTGGGAATTCCCGGCCGATCAACGCAAGCAGATAACTCTGGTAAGTGTTGAGCAATGTGTGGTTAAGAAGACCGAATAACAATGTTTAGGCAAACTGGATTTTGACTAAATTCTGGCCTTCTGCACAAGTCTTTGTGAAGTTGTCAATTCTGATACTACTTCGCAAGCTCCTCGGGTCCGTGGATTGGTTCAGACGAAGTATAACATGCGCCATTATCTTTGTTATTGCTTGGGGAATTACTGCTCTTGTAGGTAATACCTTACAGTGCTGGCCAGTTCAATATTTTTGGATCAAGCACATCAAGGGGCATTGCATGTCTGGACAAACTACATTCTTCATGATAACCGGGTCTCTATCGACGGCTGAGGATATTGTGATTGTCTGCTTACCTCTTCCTGTGGTGTGGAAACTGCAAATGCCGCGACATGAGAAGATTGAATTGACAATTCTTTTTGGGATCGGATGTCTGTAAGTTGTTGGTGAAGTCCCTTCTGTGACATGGCTAATTTGAAATTGCTTGAAGAGTCTGCATTTTTAGTATTTTGCGCATCATCGCATTGGAAACATATGATGTCGATAATCTCACATGTTAGTGCCACTCCTCTAGTCTTGATCTATGAAAAGATGACTGAAATTTTACATAGATAGAAGTGCATTAGGTCTAATATGGGCGATTCTTGAATTGGACGCAGCAATAGTTTGTGGCTCGCTTCTTGTCATGAAACCTGTTTTCGTGTCAATTATGGAAGTATTATGGAAGGGATTCGGCGATTGGAGCAAACGATCGACGTCAAATCCTGTTGAGGAAACGAATTAGGAAGCATGTAGTTGAACAATATAAAGCGTGAAGAATATATATAATGTACATCTACAGATCCCGCTTTTCATATGGAGTGTTTATTTTCAATTTTTGCTTTAAATTGCGGGGTAAAATTCGAAAACATAATATTTTCATAAAATATCTATATCAATATGGATTAAAGAAGTCATTATCAAATAGCAAAGCAGCAAAGCAGCAAAAACAAAAGAAGCAAAAAAAAAACAAACTAGAAATGCGAAATCGGATCGAACCCCCTCCGCCCTCCGCAAAGAGCACACCGGGCCGGTGATAAGCCCCACCAAACCTTTTACATAAGTGCGACATTTCCCCAGGCTTTTTGGAAGATTCACATATCCAACATCATTATGCCGTCCCTTCAAGAGAGCAAATTGGCCTTTATCGGCGGTGGCAACATGGCCTCGGCCATCATTGGCGGCCTGGTCAACAAGGGCGTCAAGAAGCAGAACATCTGCGTGTCCGAGCCGTGGGAGGTTAATCGTGAGAAGATGGCCGCTCTCGGTGTTCGCACTACCACCTCCAACGTCGAAGCTGGCGGTGATGCCGATCTGATTATCATTGCTGTCAAGCCTCAGGTTACAAAGAGTGTCTGCCAGGAGCTCGGTGCCGCTTGGTCTCCTCGCGCCACCTTGCCCGTTGTTGTCAGCATCGCGGCTGGTATTACCCTCGATAGCTTGAAGGATTGGCTGAAGACCGATGACGGTCGTACTGCGCACACTGTGCGCGTCATGCCCAATACCCCTGCCCTGGTTGGTGAGGGTGCTTCCGGTGTTTTCGCCAGCGAGGATGTCACCGCCGACGAGAAGGATCTTGTCAATGCTATGCTCGGAAGTGTCAGCAAGGCCACCGAGTGGGTGGACCGCGAGGAGCTTCTCGATGTTGTCACTGGTCTGTCTGGTAAGTTTTCCAATCGCCGTTCGCTGAGCCCTAGAAGGTGTATCAAACTGACCGAGTTCAGGATCTGGACCCGCCTACTTCTTTGCTATGGTTGAGCATTTGGTCGCAAGTGCCACTGCTCTCGGTCTCTCCGAAGAACAAGCAACTCGCTTGGCTACACAGACTTGCCTTGGAGCTGGCAAGATGCTTGTGGAGAGCGACGATACTCCTACTCAATTGCGCAAGAATGTCACTAGCCCCAACGGTACTACACATGCCGCGCTTCAGACATTTGAGTCTCTCAACTTCAAGGAGACTGTCGACAAGTCTGTTCAGGCTGCCACTTCCCGGGCTGCTGAGCTTGGAAACACCCTTGCGAAATAAAGGACTGGAACGAATTTCTCCACGTGTAAAGTTATATGAGAAAACTCATGCACCATGAAGTTAATCAAAAAAACCATAGAACAAACAATTGCCTTGAAATTGCATAGAACGTACTTACACCTGTGGAAACCTGAGACTATTGAGCTCATGTGGTCCGTGCGCATTATGGCCTTCCTAGGATCAAGTTGACGTTGCGCTTCTTCCTCTTCTTCTGTAAACATGGTGAACTTTTGGCCCTGGAAGGTGAGCGTGATTCTGAATAGGTGTGATCACTATTGACATTGTTTAGGGCGATGATACTTCAGCGGCTTCTTTCGAGAAGACACTGTCCACACTGTCAACGAAGATCGCCGAAACTACCACGCGACTCGATCAGCAGCGCCAGTCCTCCCGACGAGTCAAAGCACTATGGACCCTCTATTCGAGCTTTGCCTATCTGTTCTATTCGATCACAATCACCTTGGTCTTTGGATGGGACAGCTGGGGGATGAAAGAATATGCAGCTATTGCGGGCGGGCCGGTTCTGTACGTGCTTCGGTCATCTGCACACTCGAACACCACTGACTATTGGCTTTCACTTTTTAGAATATACGGCGTTCGCAAGATCAGTTCCAAGTTCTTTGACTACCAAATCTCCCGCAACCAAGCTCGCCTTGACGATTTCCACAAGCAGCGCGAGGAAACGATCGAGAAGCTCAAGGTTGCCACCAAATACAACTCCACCCAGGAATTGCTAGAGAAGTACGGCGGCGAGTCTCCCAAGCCTTCTCCGGCTCCCAAGACAGACAGCGAGAAACGGAAACCTGTTCAACAGCAGCAACCTGTCGCCCGCACTGGTCTCCCGCCGCCGCCGACTGCCAACATTCGGCGCCCTCCCTCCGCACCGCAAACCCCGAACAGCGCCCCTTCTCCTCAACCTCCCTCGCCTGCTCCGGAGTTCGATCAAGGCCGTCCGCAGATCTCACACTCTCCCCCACCCCTCTACCCTCAACAACCCACCGAGCAAGCCGGCTTCGCACCAAACGCATACTCCAACAGCGGAGAATACATTGAACAATCACATTGGTACGATCGTCTCCTGGATGTTCTCCTAGGTGAAGATGAAACTCAGCCCCGCAACCGCATGGTTATGATCTGCAGTGGTTGTCGGCTCGTGAATGGCCAGGCACCCCCTGGCATCAAAACACCAGAGGAGCTAGGCCGCTGGCGGTGTGGCAGCTGTAAGGCTTGGAATGGAGTTGAAAGTGAGACAACGCAGATCCTCAGCAGCTTGCGCAAAGACGCTGGGCCGGCTGAGGGTTCCTGGGAGCCTGTGTCGAAGGCGGAGGCAGATACCCAGTCGTCTGAGGGCATGGACGAAGGTGTCATTGTGGCTTCTAGCGAGGATGAAGAAGTGACTTCTACTCCTTCTGAAGGTGAAGAGCCAGAGCATGAAGATTCTAAGCCTGAGCCTGTACGCCGGTCGAAGCGTGGTGTAAAGGGCAAAGCGAAGGAGTAAATTGGCGTTTACCATTTCCTCGGGCGATAACTTCATTAAATAGCTTATAGGGTGTATCCATGGATCTTGAATTGGCTTATGTATTAACGTTTATCTCTAAGCGAAAGCCGCATTTATCTATGGAATCAATGCAGCATCATCTAGCCATGTACAGCAATTGATATTTACAGGGGTAGAGAAACTCATTATCATTCGTCACGTAGCAAGAATCGAGGGGTTTGCCTTTAAGCGCTCGATCGCAGCATTGGCAACCTTCACTTCAGCCTCCTCAGCAGAGGCACACCCCTCCACCACAGCAATCTCAGTGTTGTTCACAATTGCAGAGCATCGATACGTAGCTCCACCCTTAGCCTCCACCCTCTTGCGCTTGAAGACAAGGGTACCCAATCCCTTAACCATGCTCTGAGCGATATTCCGCGGGTGAACCACGTTTACGCCGTCGGCGATGATTCGTTGAATGTACCATACCAAACCGACACGTTCAACGAACTCCTGGCAGACATCAAGATTCCCGCCACAATCGATAAATATCGCTCCAAGGACGCTCTCGATAATATCAGAGAAGAACTTGTCTGGACGTAGGCGGGCAAACAGCTCCCATGGATACTCATTTCCATGGCTGAGTGCATCGTGAATCTCATCGCGGAGACCTTGGTGCCGCTCGAGACAGGACTCGCGGGCGGCCATGACATTTGGTCCGTGGGAACGAAGGAATCGCCATAGATAAATCTGATCGTACCGCTGGACGAAGTTGACTTCGCCGTTGGTTGTTTCGATGTCCATGGATTCGTCTGGAGCGCATAGATCCATGCAGAAGAAAGCGAGAAGATTGGCGTTCACAACCGAGTGTTTGAGAAGCGTCATTGGACCCTGATCCATTTCCACAGGGTGGGCTGCTATCACTGCCATGACTACCATGTCCAGAATAGCGTCACCGAGGAATTCCAAACGCTGGTAGGATTGTGTTGTCATGTCGTACTCACACGAGGCATGAGTGAGTGCTTCTGTCAGGAGCGCTGGATCCTGGAAAGTATACCCTATCAGGCCAGATAATCGGTGTGGATCGATTATGTTGCTGACGCCCTTTCCGGCGGGTACGATCTCTGGTGAGATGTCACTAGTGAAGAGATTGATCTCTGGCAGGAAGCGATGGAGACAGGCCTGCGCTTTTCGTATACCACCATCGACATATGCTGCACCGATGAGAGATTCCACCACATCTGCTAGAACCTTGCTCGACAGGCGTCGCTTGCCTTCTTCTGGGGTCAACTTGTTCCTGATCAAAGGCGCGGCCCATTTGCGGGGAGTGAACCGGTTCGTCAGAATGAATGCATCGATGCCAGTGTCCAGGGCCGCACGAGCAAGACGGGTATTGTTAATGAGCTTGTCGCGACTTTCCGAAAGATAGCCCTCGTGCCATTTGGTGTTACGGAAAAACAATTGACAGCTGACAGTAAACTTCAGAACAGAATCACCGAAGAACTCGTATCTCTGATAGTTAGTGGTGGCCTGTGCGAGGGGTGTACTGATGGCCGTAATGACATGCTGGATGTCTTCAATCCCGACTCCTTTCAGAATCGTGTTATTCAATTGATGGGCTACCAAAACAGCCTCCAATCGATCCAGGATTGCGGATATCATAAGTCCAAACACAGCCTGCTTGGCTGGCAGTTTATCCACGTCGCATGATGAAGCTGGGAGAATGAACACTTTCTTCGGTGCATCTGGTTCCACATCTTCGGTGTTCGTCGAAGTTCGCATCTGAAGCAGATTACGTCGCCGCGGAAGGGAATGGCATTCCAATTCAATGGACGACGACTTTGATACCACGTCAGGGACAATCCACTTAGTGAATATGCGAGGCTCGCTGAATTTGGCCTGGTCGCGGATGATACCCGCGGGAGGCAAAGTTGGGTTCCTATAGTATGCCTCCAGTGCAGACTCTTTTCCATCATGCTCAGTGAGCCATTCTCCTAAACTCTCATGCGGAACATCAGGCACGAATAGAGCCACGTAGTCACGCTCCTCTCCCCGTAGCCGTGAACTGGGGGCTTGGAGATAAAGGAATGTAGTTCGTCTCATCTGCTCTAGTTGCTCCGGTGTTGTATCCCAAATTGGAACAGTTGATTCGAAAGAAAGAGACAGAGTAGTTTGCGGGTCTACATGGAGAGAAATCAGATGAGGCATCGGTGTCATTCTTGGTAGAATCAAACAGATCGCCAAATTCTCATCGACAGAGCCATCATTGGATATCCGTAACCGAGTCTTATAAAGAGGGCCTGAGTTCCAGCCTTGTGTTAGATCTAGGTAAGGGTCATACTGGGTCATCCCTTCGACAATCGATGGGATAATCTCTTGTTCAGTAAACCTCAACTCCGGTTTTCTTGCCAATGGCAAGAGATTGTCATTCACCAGACCAAACGCATGTAAAGCTTTGTAGGCTTGGAATGCAGAATCTTTTCTGGCTGCCCGTTCAGTGCGCCACATGGCTTTGCTCCGAGCCTGGCGAACACTCGGATGCACAGAGTTCGGCAAGGTGATAATACCGCGAAGCAGGCCTTGGCTGTCCTCCTCAAAGGAGAACATCGGCCGACTGTCGGCATACTCGGCAACAGGCAAGACATCACAGAAATGGTACAGGTGCTGCATTGCATCTTCCGCCGTCAAAAGCGCACTGCTCAAGTGAGTAAACGTCCATCCACAAAAGGCTAGGTCCTTGCTTACTTGGTCTTTTCTACCCAAAGTCTATCGCTGACGTGTTCATGGACGGCTTCTTGTTCCAATGCCTGCTGGCGGTCACGCTCGCCGTCCTGGTACGCTTTTATCATCACTTCTTCCAATCCCTGCCATTTATGGATATCCATCGAGTCATCGTCACTCGAGATCATGATAGCGAAGACCGATTCCTTGTGCCTAGCACGGCCACGGCGCTGGACAAAGGATTTGAGATTTGCAGGCTTGTCGAAACATACCACCAGACTGCATGCGCTGACATCGATTCCTTCTTCGAGAACATCGGTGGCGACGATCAGGTTCTTCCTGCCAGCTCTGAACTCTTCAAGAGTATCACGCTGCATATCACGGTGAAGCAGATCACCGAGCGAATCCTTGCGGTTAGTATTGCTTGCCCAGCCAACAAAAGCACCACAGTTAAAACTGTCTTTTGTTTTAGGGTGCAGTGACAGGATGCGGACCAAAACACTGACGGTCGCCCGCCTTTTCGCAAAGATCAATCCAGAACAGTCTGGTATATTCGATGTGTCCAAATAATTGAGGAGATTTTGGAGTTTCGAGGAAACATGATCACTCTCCTGGTCCACATCAGGTGCAGGCATTGCAAGCAGCAGTTCCAAAAGGTAGATTCTTTCCACTTGGTCCAAGTGTGACATTTCACTGGCGTCTTGAATCGATCGCTGCAGTTGGTCAATCGAAGCACTGATGTAGAAGTCCGCGGCCCAGCCTCCAAGTTCCTCCCAGATATGGCAACTGCGCTCAAGGAACTTCCTGAGTTGCTCGCTGCAAAATGTCTTGCCACTGGCGAGGACCTTCTGCAACTCAGTTGTTTGCTCCTTTTGTCGTAAGTTTTCGACCCAAGGATCATCCTCTAAGTTGAAAGCGGCACAGCATTTAATGAGGGGCGAGAGCAACCTGCTCCCAAAACCATATTGATCTTTGTCGCATGGTGCATAATCAATACGTTTCAAGAGGGGGCGATTTGTGCTTTCCAAAAGCTCAGTTCGATGCGTGCGTGGAGTTTTGCACAACGCGTTCAAATTGAATTCAATTCTTCTGGGATGAAAGGATTAGTGAATGAGGTTCTCATTAATACAGATTCAACCAACTTGAGTTCATCCTTGCTTGACCGAACCACTGGACTAGCAGTGAGACCTAATATTCCAGGCACAGAATCACGACCGGACCTCTGTAGGGTAGGGTGATAGTGATTCTGCATGATCTTGTTTGCGGGATGACGGCCCTTACAATGATGGGCTAGGACATGTGTTAATCACAAAATCAAATTCGCATACTCGATAGGTTTTGCTACCTTCATCGAACACAAGTAGTGCAAGTTGGTACATTTGGACGAAACCATGGCCCAAAGCATCAGCCAAAACGGCATGGGTTGATACAACCACTCGAACATCTTCCAGCACCGCGTTCCAAATCTTCTGGTCCGTCCACCGATCGACGTTGTCCATACCAGTCAAGATCTTCGTCTTCACGGAGGGGATTTGGGTAGTGATGACTTCATGCTGCTGGAGGCACAAGGCCACTGTAGGAACAAGGAACCAGATCAACTAAAGATAATGAGCCAGAACTAACTATAGGATTCAGTAGGCAAGTATACCTTATCAGGAGAACAGCTCTCAAGCTCGGAAATCATCCGAAGAATGGCGCTTTTAAGAAGATGTCAGAAAGTTTGTTGGACAGAAAAGAAGAATCTGAATGAAACAACACACATATGAGTTTTGCCACTTCCAGTATCCATCTGGCGAGCGTTGTCAGTATCATCCGTCCAAGTCCCCAAAGACTCACTAGCATACCGCGACAATGATGTTTTCCTTGCGGCTAGCCTCTAACATTTCAAGCTGGTACCCACGGGACCGGTAGGCAGCCTCAGTGCTGCCCATCAGACCTGCTGATGCCATATTGAAAGAAAAAAGGTTATCGAGGCTATTCGCTAGAGTGAAAACCAGATCAAAAACAACGCTTATTCCATGCAAGAGAAAACACTAAAAAGATACGAGAAGAAGAAAGAGGCAAAGCTCTTGGTGGGGCGCGGGCATCCCGCAGCAGCCATCACGCGGATTTAAACCAATCAAGATCAAGACCATAAAACTAGTCCCATTTGGGCGATTTGGGTATACTTCGACCACAGACAGCAAACAAATTCTCGAGAACGAACAAAAGAGCATCGGAAAAGGCGTCGAGATACAAGGATAAGATGCAAAAACCTTAATGATTTTCTCAAATTATGATTCTATCAACCGAGGTGTATCAAAACACCCGTATCCCTTGACAACGCTCATCTCATCAACATCTGAATGTTTGGTCTTGAATGACCAGCCAGAGCAGGAGTTATGCAGAAGATCTGCCCCTTTTTCGGTAGTATCTTTCCAAATACAAGCTCCAAAGATACCTAATTCTGACACCACATCGCCTCCATCAACACCGTTTGGGCCTACCAACACATTCCATGACACTGGGGTAAGAATACGTTCCATGAGGACGTAAGATGACCATCGAGAGTCAGGAATAGAAGCGAGGAACTCCGGAATTCGGTCATAAACATTATGACCTCCACCTTCCAGAGAAGGTTTCAATATATAGTTCGAGCACCGCCGATCACTGACTAGTTTTCGAGCACGCAGGCCCTCTGGGGATTCATCTAAAGGATGGATCTTGACAAAGGTTTCATAGAGTTCTTTCGCCTTTTGAGAGGAGATAAACCGTTGAATTTCCCCAGGAACAGTCAATGATTGTTGGACTTTCTTAAAGGTCGATATGTGCGACAAAATTGACGGGCATTTGATGGCAGAAGAGATCTCGATTCGCAGACGTGCTTCCCGCCCAGTAAGGTCATACTCGTGTGCCTCGTATCCAGCTCTGAGATAAGCGACAGAGACTTCCATCGGAGCTCTCCCTTTCCGCCAAGGTGGATGGAATAACAATTCTCGAGACTCGGTAAGGGAGGTATATTGAAGAATGTCGTCTCCCCAGTCGAGTCGATACGTCAATATTGGCTTTTCTTGGTTCCATAATGCGTACTCTATTGGTCTTTCATCTGCAATATTGAAGTTGTTCGGTTGCACAATATACAGAATAGCCGTCTGTCTCGATGCTTTGCTCTTTGGGGGGCCATATGCAGTATGAGCTGTAGCCAAAAAAGAGGCAAGGGACTCTATATTGTCATTTGGCGGAAGTGATGGGGTGTCTTGTTCATGTGCTTCGGTTCCCGTTTCAAGATCATAGGCACCGATTCGAGTCATGTAACGATGCATATCTGCAACCCTTTTTGAGTGGCTGGCACCCGCGCATGAAAAGGCATTGAATTCGACTTGTTTCAGTGAGGTTTTGAAGATATCTGATCGAGAATCAGGAGAGCTCTGATCATCCAAATGCAGCATATAATCAGATCGGAAGATTCCAGCTGAGATCTGTTGCGTGATTCCTGCTCTTTTGGCTTGTTCATAGATATCCCATAGCGCGCCTGCAAGAGGCTCGACGGGTATAAGCTCTTTTGTTACTTTGTACAGCCAATCTTCGTCCCCAGCAATAGCAGCGTAAAGCTCATTGTATATAGGCTGAAGACACATCGCCCGGCAGAACTGCAACCGCGGGAAGACAGTTGGAAAGACAGTGACTCCTACCGGATATGATAGCACACTGTGTTCTGTTTGGGACTCAATCAGCTTGAGTAGGGATCCATGATTAATTTGCCAGTCCTGTATTTGACCCAGCAACACGAGTATCTGCTCTTCGCTTGGCTTGGACGCGTCTTCTGTAGGGCTGAAGGGCATGGTCGGACTTTAGAAGGACTGGAAAGGAAATGCCAGATGTGAGTTAGTTGCTGCAATTATTTTCAGAAAAGAAGCTTTGTGGGCGTTTTAAAGCGGCTGATCTCAACGAGGCTGTGCTTCCGCCTGTCGACAGTGCCCCTTGGAGGGAGTAAAAGAATGCTAACCTTGTAATTGGTGGGGGTTATTCATTTTGGAGCCTATCATAGCCCATGAAGGTAGGGAGGAAATCGATGTTAGAAACCATGGTCAGGATTTGAATTCCTTGGATATATATTGTGTAGTGAGTACTTGGGATCGTTTCCCCATAAATGATCTGGATCACCTGGGGAAATCCCCCCACTACCTTCACCATTGACCTCATCGATACTATATATATTATTGAGCAGAACTCTATAGTTTTGAGTGTGATTGTAGATTAATGGTTCTATAGCAAAAGATTTGTGAAGTATGAATGTGGTATCCAACGTGCGTCCAAGTCTCCCAAAGATGAGCCACATACGTGACTAGGTTGAAATATACTCAAAACCTCCAATTCCCGGGATAAACGGCCAAAAAAACAGCTTTGCCACGGAGAGGAAATCCGATTCCTGAACAACCCGAACGAATAAGAAAAGAAATACGAAGAAAGTAACGAGTCGTGGATCGGGTCGATTTGGCTGGTCACGTGCGCCCCAAGAAAAAGTCATGATCTTTGCTGTTCACTGCAGTCTCGGGCCAACTCCAACGATTCACGACTCTCCGCCGGTACGCAATCGGTGATCTGCTTCTCTTCGCGACTCGATAGCCGTCAATTTCCTTCACACATAATGGATCACACACGCGATCCTTGCCCTTGGGTCGCCCTGAGCGATTTCGGTGGTGCCTTTTGCATGGGTGCCATCGGTGGTTCCGTTTGGCACGGTATTAAAGGTTTCCGCAACAGTCCCTACGGCGAACGCCGGATAGGTGCGCTCACGGCCATCAAGGCGCGCGCTCCCGTTCTCGGTGGTAACTTTGGTGTCTGGGGTGGTCTATTCAGTACAGTATGCTGGGCCCTGAAGACCCTTTTCGATGTACGAGGTCGCTGACAGCCTGTTAGTACGATTGCGCTATCAAGGGAATCCGTAAGAAGGAGGATCCTTGGAACGCTATCATCGCTGGTTTCTTCACTGGTGGTTCCCTTGCTGTCCGTGGTGGTGTTAAGGCTGCCCGAAACTCCGCGATCATGTGTGCCGTCTTCCTTGCTGTCATCGAGGGTGTTGGTATTGGTTTCCAGCGTATGATGGCCGATAACACAAAGCTTGAGGTATGATCAATCTGTAATTTTCCGATTGAACCGACTGGAGTCGAAACCAAGATGTGCGCTAACCACCTTTCTACGAACAGCTCCCTCCTCCTCCCCCAACTGAGCAGAAGGCTCTTGCTTAACTCTCCCTCGTCCGTTTACGAAAGCGATTGACACACTTTCATCCGATCGCCGTCAATTCATTCTCCCTTCTACCTCTGTCTTCATAACAACCTCTCCACATTGAGTCTCTCTCCTCAGGTGTTCGGTTTGGGTCATCATTCTTCAACATGGCATAGAGCTTCGTTCCCGTTCTCTTTACCCGCTTCTAATACCACCTCCGACGGCCTGTGATTTCTCGCAGCATTGTATTTTATGGACGGGTTCATCCTCATGGCTGGTTCCCAGACCGGCGTGTCTGTGGCCGGGCGGCTGAACAAAACAATCTCCCAATTTACCTGGCGAAAAAGCGTTGAATACGGGGCCATGTTTGATTCTTGTACATTAACGTATCGCTAACACGCATAAGACGCATTTTATACTGTATATGTCGATTTGGCATGAGCCCTTCATTGACCACAAAAACAGCCCGAGTAGAACAATTAAGGTGTATCAACTGATAGGTCACTATCGAATTATCCATAACCATGGAAACACCAGCTCTACATTGTTACAATACGAGGCCAGGATCTCAACAAAGTCTTTCATTCTCTTCTCACACCATTTGCAAATTCTCTGGGACCAATCTGCCTAACAGCTCTACTGATCTATTCGACAGGCCAACGAGCCTGTACTTTCTTACCCAATCCAGCTCGCTCAACAACTTCCTTACTTCTTCTCTGAGCTTCCCGAACAACCTCTTCCTCATTCATCGTCAGCAACACTCCATCCCGAACAACAACCTTCCCGTCAATTACAACGGTATCAACATCCCGTCCTGTGGCGGTATAGACAACCGCACTGACGGGGTTGAACCAAGGTTGGCTATGGATCCCGCGAACATCAATCGCTACGAAGTCAGCTTTCTTCCCGATCTCCAGGCTGCCAATTCGGTCTGCCAGGCCCAATGCTTTGGCGCCGTTGATGGTCGCCATTTCCAGCACGTCCTCTGCCGGGACGGCGGTCGGATCTTGCGATATTCCCTTGTGAATGATCGCAGCTAGTTTCATCTCTTGCAGGAGGTCACATGTATTGTTACATGGGGCACCGTCGGTGCCCAGCCCAATGTTGACTCCTGCTTGTTGGAGATCGGGGACTCGGCAAATACCAGAGGCGAGCTGTTTGCGAAATAAATGGTTTTTCTGGAATGGGGCCTTCATGTTGGAAAACTTACCTTTGCATTGGAAGTTGGGCAATGTGCCACATGCGTTCCTGAAGAAGAGAGGAGCCTTGATTGTATTCGTTAGTCTCGGGTATGTAAATTCAGGCACGACGATCAATCTCACTTGATATCGGAATCATCTAGGTGGACCATGTGAACAAGGACCGTGGAGTCGCTCAGCAGACCAACCGAGTCACAGTATGACATGGGAGTATGAGAGACCGACGAGAAGAAGTCACGGTCGGCCTTGACCTCGGCGCAATGCATGGTGATAGGGATACCCTTGTCCTTTGAAATGGCTGTCATCTCTTTGTAGAGTGCATCGGATACTCTGACATGCTGTTAGAAATTGACAGCTAGGTGACAATTGCATTACATACCCTCCAGGAGTCCTGGCACCAAACCAGACTCTGATTCTGTCATTGGCTGCGCCATTCCACTTCTCCCACATTTTCACAGTTCCCAGGAGTGAAATTTCACGATTCTCAACGAGACCCGGATGCATGGCCCATGCATCATCTTTGGCATATTTAGCAATGTCCATGACGATTTTGCCCAGACAGCCACGGATGCCGCTTTCCTCAACGGCCTGACAGAGTCCGTCAAATCCGTATCTATCTGCGAACTGTGCGTTGATTAGCCTTAACACCGAGAGAAGTATCGTATCACGGTCCAAGGGATATCATACCATGCTCTCCAAAAAGCAAGTGGTGCCCGATTTGAGCATCTCTCCAATGCTCAAGCGTGCGGCAGCGTATCCATCCTCTGCAGTAAAGTTACCCTGAAGAACCCAGATACGTTCGCACAGCCACGAAACCAACTCCAAGTCATCAGCGGTGCCTCGTAGCAGGGTCTGCGCCGTATGCATATGTGTCGAGATCAGGCCCGGGATGATGATGCGACCGGAAAGATCATATTCCTCTTCATCGGGATATTTTCCCTGGAGAACATCGGTCTTGCCAACATCATTGATGGTATCGCCGACTACGCGGATTGCGCCGTCATTGATGATACGACGCGACGCATCGACAGTCACGATAGTAGCGTGAGTGTACAGCATGATGGATTGGATCGGAAGGAAACAGAAAGCTTTTGATAAAAGCTATTCCTCATTTATAGCTTAATCAAAGTAATTTAAACCTCAATTCAGGAAGAGCGAAGTTATATGAACAAAATAATAGCGATGGATGCCCCTCTGTCCCGGCACGAAACCGGAGACGGAGAACGCCGATTAGCGAGATGATCCACGTTGATAAGGTAAATTCAGCAACCTCCATATTTTTGTTAGAGTGGAGAACTCCGATACTGTTTGTTTGACAATCGCTTCAATGGTATCAGTGACCAACTTACGGAACAGAAAGAAATAAGGAAGTTGATAGTCACACGGCTCGCACTTCCTAAAGCAGACCTTTAGCCTACTCTTTACTCGTATTTTATTCCACCCAGATCATTCTTAGGCGCATAGCAGCAAAAACAATATTTATATAACGTCGTGCTCTCGTATGTACTCATTATAACTATCCACAAACAAATATCTAGACCTAGAAACTTTTTTTCAGCCACTGGGTCTGCGAGTTACAATATCCAAGCAAACCATTTAGTCCCCACTCCACACCCATGCCACTGTTCTTGTGACCGCCGAACGGTGCAGTAGGAGAAAGATCAAAATGGCTGTTCACCCACACACTGCCGGACTGAAGCTGATCAGCAATGTGAGTCGCACGCTCGAAATCCTTACTCCATACAGAGGAGCCGAGTCCAGTTTCTAGAGCGTTGGCACGCCCGACGACCTCGTCCTCATCGGACCATTTCATGACAGGTAGGATTGGAGCAAACGGCTCTTCTTGAACGACCCGTGAGGTTTCGGGGGGATTGTTGATGATTGTTGGGTGGATGTAGTATCCGGTGGAGTCTTCGATCGTGCCTCCCAGAGCAGTCTGGAGGTTCTCGGTGGTAATACTGCTGAAAAGGTCTTTGGCTTTGTCGAACTGCATCTTGTTCTGCACGGGTCCGAAGAATGTATCTGCCTCCGTGCCATTGCCGACTTTCAGGGTCTTGACAAAGCCCACTAGCTTTTCCAGGAACTCGTCGTAGATCTTCTCGTGAACGTAAAGACGTTTGATCATCATGCAGATCTGCGAGCTGCAGAGATATGAAAGGATACCGATCTTGGGAATGATGGTGTCGATGTCAACATCTTCACAGATAATCGCAGGGTCATTGCCACCCAGTTCAAGTGTTACACGCTTGAGAGTCTTGGCGCACGACGCCATAACCCGTTTGCCGGTGATAATCGATCCAGTAAAGCTAATCTTATCAATCTCATGGTGATCAGTGAACATGGGACCGAGGGAATCATCGCCGCTCAGACATTGGATCACGCCTGGAGGGAAGAAGGGAATGGCAAGCTCAGCCAACTTCAAGTCACAGTATGGTGTGAACGGAGATGGCTTGACAATAACGGTGTTTCCGGTGTAGACAGCCGAGGCAATCTTACCGACAGCCAGAAGAACAGGGAAGTTCCAGGGAACGATTGCGCCTACCACACCGAGTGGTGTGTAGCGTTGTACAACCGTTCTATCCTCGGTTTCCTCAATGACGTTGTTCTTTATTTCAATTGAGGTCAGACCTTTGATCCAAGAACTTGCCATTCCAACCTCCACAGATGATTGAGTTAATGGCTTTCCTTGTTCCATTGTGAGAGTTCTGGCGAATCCCTCGGCATTGGCCTCAATGGCATCTGCCCACGCACCCAGAGCCTGTCTCCGCTCTTCGAAAGAAGTCTTCGCCCAGGTTTTGAAAGCATCTCGAGCTGCCTTGGTGGCTGTGTCGAGATCATTCTGAGCGGAAACAGGCACGGGTGGGTTGAGCTCACCGTTGGCGGGGTTAATTCCATGTCTAGTTTCAGTGGTTTGTGTCAATTGATTATTGATCACATTGGAGAAAGTCTGCAATTGTGTTAGAGATGAGCTTGTTCAAGATTTAAAGTAGATCAACTCACGGAGAATTCCAACTGTGGGGCCATTTTGAAAATTGTGGGATATACAGCAGAAGAGGGGCGCTCGTGTTGTCGAGAGTTATGTTCTCGCATAGAGCGAACCCGCCACTTTATATGATTTGCTCATAGGAAGAATAAGCCTAAGTGGATCAGGTGTCTCATTTTGATAGGAGCTCTCAAAAGTCGGAAGTAAGACTATTTGTGCATTTGTATAGGCGTAGGCTTCAAGCCCTTTTGGGTAAGGCGCATCTTGGCTATAGTCAAAATGGCCCGATAAGCAACGATTGCCATGGAGTCTCGAGTCCACGTTACCTTGACCTATCAGAGGCGGTGAAATGTCAATCTTCAAACAATTTCACTAATTCAGTCAACTTTTTCCGAGTGATGTGACTCTTTCAGATGTGATTCGTCGTGCTTTCTCAAAATTTGGGTCTTGGTGTAGTGCGGGCGTCTGGGGAGTCCCCAGATAATTCAAAGTTGGTACCTGGTGTCGCTGAGCTTGGGGTAGATGCATCATGTGCCCCTTCCGAGGGGGTCGGTTGTTACCCGATTTCGGAAGCCAAAAGACATACTAAGTGGAAGTCCCTTAAGGTTATTGGTTTACTGCAGCTTGAGCAGTCCTCATGTCGGGCAGTAAGTGCCTTATTTGCGGTTGGAAATCGATATGTGCCATTGAGATCGAATGGAATGAAGCAATCCCCTTGAAGTGTCAAGATGTGTCGAGATGACATGCACTTAAGTAGTGTTTGGGTAAAGGCAATATATCCACATTACAAGACGTAATGATAGAAAACAATCAGAACAGAGCAAATGATCTTCACTTATTTCTGTCTACCAATTTGCAGAATCAAAGGGTTGCACGGCGATTGTGACATTCGAGGCAGAATGTGGGCACTGCGAAGGGGCATAGGCGCCAAAGGTTGGGTGCCTGATTATGCCCGATCTATGCCTGATTGGGGCCTGTAGATGCCTGATTTTATACAGGCAGAAATTAAAACACCTGCATTATTTGGCGTCTATGGCCCTTCGCAGAGCACAGACCCCTTATAGATGACATCACATTTCAATGTTCAAGCTTCACCCGCTTTGCACACGTTTGACTCTGCAACCTGCTCTCGTTCGCAATTCTCACAGGTTCATACCTATTCGGCATCATCCAGACGTAGCCCAATCTATATCCTTGTCCTTACCTTGTCGATCTGGTCGCATTTCACCAATCATCTTGAGTGCTATTTCTGGCTTGACCCTTGCCGTGTGGCTTACGCGCACGATGACTGGAGAACAGCGAAGATCGTCGCCCGGATGACGTCCCACTTGAACGCCTCTGCTGTCAACATCCCCAACTTGCCTATCTTCGAAGGCGATATTATGCTTGGCATACGTTGTTCGAAATATTGTCATTTGTACACTGTAGAGATTTGTTATTTAAAGACTCTGAATTATCGTGCTGTTTTGAAGTTGATCAGATCAAATTCAATCCACTGAATATCAATCATATTATCTACTTCACTTCAACCTTATCAAATCATATCAATATCAAAATAACAAAATGTTTCATCGACGTCGCCCAGCTACTACCGTCACGCGCACCACCAAGCCAACGCTGATGACCCGCCTTAAGGGACGAAATGCCAGATCCCGTACCGTGAAGACTACAACCACCACAGAGCCAACTCATGCCCACGGCCATACCCATGGAACACGTGGAACCCATGGCACTCATGGCCATCGTGGTCATGCTTACAATACCACCCCTGTCCATCACCACCGGCGCAAAACCACCATGGGTGACAAGTTTTCCGGTGCTATGTTGAAACTAAAGGGAACTTTGACCCATCGCCCCGCAGTAAAGGTAAGAGCTCAATGACTGTTGGTTTGATATTCCTACTGACATCTCAAACAAGGCCGCCGGCACTCGCAGAATGCATGGTACTGATGGCCGTGGCGCACGCCGTGTTTATTGATTGATACCCTGTACAACATCATGAGTTATGAATTTTTGTCCGCTTTTACTTGAGATCTTTGGGGTTTATCACTGTATTATAACTAGCTTGAATTTGGTGCTGTCATCGGCTTATGTCTCCCACAATATATATTGAACTTGTGTTCTTTTATGGTAAAAACATTCCATCTCATATATGCTAACCTTGGAAGTTGTCAACTCGTATCATAAGTGCCTATCAAGCCATCCTCGTTTCTTTCATATGTGAGATAGGGAAATTGTTTGAAATTGTGCAGTACTCATTGCTTTGTGCACGGTAGGTAGCGAATGAGGTTGACTTACCAAAGCTGCACAACGAGCAGTGCGTAGAAGACAAACAGTTTGCACAACCACCGCTTAGCAGACCCGGGAAGACCCTACAAGATGTTCAGGGCTTTGGTCTTCAGCCCAATCCTTACAAGGTGTGTCGGTAGTCAGACCCAAATTTACACGAGGACGGAGACAACATTTTTCAAAGTACCGTTTAGTCGGGCATAAATCGTTCCAGCAAGCAGGTGATGCAACTGGAACTCACGCTTCGCCGCAAGTAGCTGTGGCCATTGGATCATGCTAGCAGCGGCAATGCCATTGGGAGAGGAGTTTTGCCACCGGGGATTGAGGAGATGCGCGGCCCAAACACCGGGGGTCATCAACTTTGCTGTGGCCGATCAACAAAGGAGAAAAGAATGAGACGTGGTGATGCTTGTTAATTGGAGGCCCAACTGCCCTTCTGGCTTCGTGTCTGGGTCTACCTGCTGGACCTCCGGGTTAGTCGCGAGCTGAGACTCTGGTTTAGTGCTTTCAGACGTTTTTACATATGTGTACCGTTAGCAGCGAGGCAGCAATGGTGGCCCATTCGAAGATTGAAGGCTTACTGGCAATTGCGACGTATTCTGGGTTGTATCTCTGGAAATAGGATGGAGAGAAGCTTGAACCGCGAACCTCAGAGGTCAAATAAACAACATTGTCCCGCAAAGGGGAAAGGTGAGGAATATTGCAGGAGAAACTGCTGGATTGATAACCACTGATAGGGGAAACAAAAGAGCATATCATCCTATGTGTGCAGAATAGGTGATATGAAGAATGATGAAACCTCGAATCTTCGAAGGAAAAGCTCTCTCTATATAGCTAGGGAGGCATGACAAACACATATAAGCAAATCAAGTGAATGCACAAACAAGCAAACGTCCACGCTGCTATATCCACTATAATGTTATCAACTATGCTAAATCACTCGACGAGCACTTTCGGAAAACCATTCTCCTTCAACCGCATCGAGAGACCCAGCAGGTGTTTTCAGAAGCATCTGAAAAGCGCATTCGCCAACAGAAGCAAATGAATGACCTCTATCAAAGTTTGGAACTTGCACAGGCTGAGAATAAAAGCTTGCAACAGGGTCCGGCCTTCTTACAGCAGAGCTTGAGGGTCTAGGCCATTTCCTTTAGCAACATGCTCTTTGTTACTCAGCGGCAAAGCCAACAGCTTGAAGAACTCGCCGTCAAAATCGCAGAGGCTTTGAAACTTGCCGACCACTAGACTGATACTTTTACTCACAAGATCGATTATTGCGGATTTTGATTGAGCGAAAGACATGGCTCTCAACGGTGGATGCCTCATGGATGGTTGCAAGTGTGGACATCATCTGGGTGTTGTGGAATTTACAGTTTGATCTATAGATAAGCAATTGTACCGTGTTCATTCTATTTTACTATCTTACTTATTCAAGCAACAATTATATTGATGCTTTCATCCACTTTATTAAAAATTCTCAATCTTGCGGTAGATGGATTATTGGTAATAAGCTCCAAGTGCAATATTAATCGAACAGACTAGGTTGAACTTTCGATAGGGGTATCTAGTAGACGTAGCGGAAGTTAAGGTTTTCCCGATCTGTCTTATCCTCGAATGCATGGATGAGGGTAGGATCGGCCGCAGTGAGTCCAGCTTCAGCCAAAATTTTGTCCTTTTTGGCATTCTCGCGTTTGAGGTGGAACCGCAGGTAAATTACAGCAGAAACCATGCACGCATAGCAGGCCAGGTGTACACTCCAGGCAATGTGGTAGCGTGGAGCATCCCAGTCGAGGAACACTTGGGGACCTAGAATATATTAGCTCGGAGTCTCTTTTTCCTAGATTAAGTATTTCTTACCAATGGCGTTGCCAGTGGCCCATGAAATGAAAGTTGCAGCGACGACAGTGGACTTCTTTGTTGCGCCGGCAATGTTTCGAGACACCATTGACAACGTCAGGGTTTGCGCTGACCAGAATGACATTGTGATATAATAGCTGATGAGAAGTCCAACCTTGGTTGACAAGGTAGTGTTCTCAACAGTAATCAGAACGATGGTTCCAATGAAAGAACTGCAAATTGTCAATTTCAAATCTATCGCACTATAACAAGGCGAGAGATACTTACGGAATGATGAAGCACAGCATAATGAGTGTGTTCTGTCCAGTCTTCTTCACAAGCCATGCCGATGACAGCAGAATCACAATGATATAAGCACCGAGTACCATAGCAAGCAATTGAGTCTGCAAGGTTGTGAATTTGAAGCTTGAAATAATAATGCCGAAGAAGGCACCAAGTCCACTGGTGGGGAGAGTAGTGAACATTTGAACAGCACAGTAGCACCACATTTGAGGGTCGCTAAGAGCCTCCCACACTTGGTATGCGCGGAACTTTCTGTTTTGGATACCTGTCTGGTTGGAACGAAGTCGCTCAACCATCAGATGCTTATCTTCCTCACTGAAGCACTTCGCACGCATAGGCGAATCGGGCATCCACCAAATAACAAAAAGACCCCAAAAGACGGAGATGATTCCATATGTCATGAACAGCGCTTGCCAGGACTTGATGGCCTTGTCGCCACCAATGAGGGTGAAGCAGTATGCGAGCAAGCCACCGACAATTTGCTGGGCACCATTCATCATGTACCTGTTCAAAGTTAATCCGGTGCCTGATTCTGCCTCCTAGTTGTGTTTCCACATACCAGTATGTCACGGTGGCAGCTTGTTCCTCGCGTTTGTACCACATCGACGACAGAGTCACGAAAATGGGCTGACAGCATGCTTCAAAGATACCCAGCAAGGTACGAACGACGACCAGACCAGTAAAGTTTTTGCACACTGCGTGAAGTGCTAGAATTGTGCCCCAAAGACAGATATTGATCCCCAGGTATTTGCCAATTGGGACCCTCTGAATGATCCAATTGGTCGGGTATTCGACAGAGAGGACAGCGATGTAAATACACGTAGTCAACCAGGAGTACTAGAAATTTCCTAAGTCAGCATATTGAACAAAGACCGTGATGATATCTCATTTACCTTTTGGCCATCCTCTAAATTCGCGTCCTTTTTGATGCCCATAATCGCCGAGAAAGACATAGTTCCTTTGTCGAGGGCCTGGAGGAAATATGTGATGATCATGATAACAAGAACCCTTCGATCGATCAATTTTTTTAAACGTTTGTTAGTCTCCTCATTGATTTCTACCTGACCGTGGGCGGCATAGGCTTGAATCTCCTTGTCCACACGGGTGATATCCATGTTGTCTTTTCCAAGATCATCACCGGAAAGAACCTTCTCGACATGTGAGATATCTTGCTTGCTCTTGTACTCTCCCATGTCAATCTCCTTATCCTTGGTCGGAGCTAGCTCAATTCCCTGCTCGACAGGGACCTCGATCCCCTCCTGCGGGCGTTCGTCACCCTTGGTCATTGCGACACAACGAAATGTACAAGTAAAAAATGTGTAATATGGGACGGTGTAGAGGGTTCAAGTCAGACTGGCAATCTGCTCGGCCTTATAATGGCTCACGCGTTGCTAGGACCGTGCATATTCTTTGAGATCAAAATGGCTCTAACTAAAACCAATATGATTAGCCGAATGTGATAGTCATGTGGCTTGTTGATTATAGGATATCATATTAACCGAGAGTCAAAACAGGTCAAGCCAGAGTCCAAGCAGCGCCCTCGTCTTGTTCTTCCCCGGGTTTTCTTGGCAAAAGGAGGGGACGGCATAGGAGGGTCTCCCCCACGGGGGGAAGTCCGGGGATGTACTATCCCGAAGACAGAAACTACCGGATCGCTTAGTATTGTGGGTCAAATTCAATGGTGTCTCCAGGCATATTTTTGGTGTGTAACTCGGTCTTCTCTCACCCGAGTCAAGCTTGGCTGGCGCGGGGATGTCCCGTGGCGTCAAACTCCACAGCTTATTAGTGGAAGAACTCTTAACAGCTTGAACACTTATTAGCTTTAGGAATGCCGGGGATCAGGCCAATAATTTTTTTCTTTATTTCTCCCCCAACCGACATCTGATTGGCGAAACTTTCAACTCTCAATCACTTACAATGTCGTTCACCAAGCCCACGGGCCCACAAGTTCACCAGGCTGTCAACCTGTTAATCGATAATTTGGTCAATATCAAAGACGAAACCGGCAAATTTCTACTACCACTTCCTGATGGCCGAATTATCGACACCAAGTCATGGCATGGATGGGAATGGACACACGGCATTGGGCTATACGGTGTCTGGAAATACTACGAGATGACAGGCGAGGAAAGATTGCTCAAAATTATTGAGGATTGGTTTGCCGCTCGCTTTGCGGAGGGTGGTACTACCAAGAATATCAACACCATGGCCGTCTTCTTGACGCTCGCATATGTCTACGAGAAGACTGGAAACGTCACTTACCTGCCGTGGCTTGATGCCTGGGCCGAATGGGCGATGTACGAATTACCTCGCACCCGCTACGGTGGTATGCAACATGTCACCTATATCACAGAGAATTATCAGCAGCTATGGGATGATACCCTGATGATGACTGTCATGCCGCTCGCAAAAATCGGAAAACTCCTGAACCGCCCGCAGTACGTTGCTGAGGCTAAGAAGCAATTCCTGACACATATCAAGTATCTTTTTGACACGAAGACTGGTCTCTGGTTCCATGGATGGACGTTTGAGGATGGTGGCCACAACTTCGCCAATGCGCGCTGGGCTCGTGGTAACAGTTGGGTCACCATTGTGATTCCTGAATTTATCGAATTGCTTGACCTCGAGCCAACTGATCCTATTCGTCTTCACTTGATCGATACTCTTGAGGCACAGTGTGAGGCCCTCCGACGCCTGCAATCCTCTTCTGGCTCGTGGCACACTCTCCTTGACCACCCTGACTCGTACTTGGAAGCCTCTGCGACCGCAGGATTTGCCTACGGTATTCTGAAGGCCGTCCGCAAGAGGTACATTGGGACCCAATACCGCTCCGTTGCCGAAAAGGCCATTGTCGCGGTCATGGGGCACGTGGATGAGAGCGGCGAATTGCAAAACACGAGCTTTGGAACAGGAATGGGTGACTCCTTCGACTTTTACAAACAAATACCTTTGACATCCATGCCTTACGGTCAGGCTATGGCAATCATGGCTTTAGGTGAAGCTTTGCGAGACCTTCTATAAGTGATGGAGGCTTTGGGACTAAAGTGGCCCCGGATTGAATGTGACGTGAGATGATCTGAACCATAGAGCTGTACATAGGCAACCTTTCTGGATAGACGGACTTTCAATAATATGATGGGTGGAACACACCCATGTTTCGAATCAACATAGCGTATCTTCCCGTTTTTCCATTTCTTTATTCTTCGTGCTAAGGTCTTGAATAAATTGCTGACAATACTGATTTATGCTTTTATTAATTCCTCAGATCAGCGTGGACATTGTGACGACATACATGCAACTTACACCTTCTGCTTTTTATTCTGGTTAGTCTACTATATCTTCTCTGCATACAGGCCGAAATCTCCTGTGACTGAGACTGCTTTAGTTTCAAGTGACGAAAGCCTGGCGGCCACGGCTATTTGTTGTTCAAAAGGTCCCATTTTTGAGTCTTTTCAAGTACACTCTGGTTCAACGCAGTTTTTTGATAACGTGTGAAGGGAAATTCCGAGATTGGACTGTATCTTCTCACTGTTTTGCCCTTGCTGCTGGTTTATGTCATTTGAGATGTCATCCATGGATATTTCCTGTGGAGACATTCGGTAATTTCTTGACCTCCTCTCTTCCTCATGAGGACTGGAGCAAAAGTCTTCGACACAAATTGACTGTACAAATATTTCCACCTAAATTTGCGCCTTGAATTGAAAAGCACATATACGAATTCTTCCATCCACGGTGAAATGCCCAAAAGCGTGCCAAGGGCGCCTCCTGAGACTGAATCATGTTTGAGAGCTGCGGGGCCTGTTTAAATTCGGAAGGCACGCCATACTTCCGACCCTTTATCATCTGGCATATCTCTCTCTTCGTCTGTGGAGTATGATCCTGAGCTAACATGACACGGAGTCTGCGAAACTTCTGTTGGTGGCGCTGCATCTGTATGGGTGACTGCCATATGGGTTGTCACTTTGCGTGCAGAATGATCACTTTAATTTTGCTAATCTGACACAGAATATATCCAATTGGTTTGTTTTCTGGTCGTTTCAGGTTCCAATCCGTGGCGGTTTGAGGATGTTGACAGGAACTATGGCATGAGATTTGGCTTATACCTCTCTTGCACCCATTATAAATATCGTCACTGCCCACGAGCAAATATCTGAATCAAAAGTCGTACGCAGTCGAAACTCCTTCCATTGGCTGGCCATTGGTTTTTTTATTTTCGCGAGGTCTTTCTTTGATTTCGAGCCCTTTTTGGTAGTACACTTTTCAATCGACGCAATGTACAAACTACTCGCACCGGCGCTTTTCGCCTCTATGGTGGCAGCTCATGGCCACGTCTCAAATATCGTGATCAACGGGGTTTCTTTCGGTGGATGGGATATAAACAGTTATCCTTATACAGACACCCCTCCAGTGGTAGTAGCGTGGGGAACACCAAACACTGGAAATGGATTTATCGAGCCAGGTATGCTACATTATGGTTGAACTTTTGCAGCCCCATTCTCCATCTGACTTCATCCAACCAGACGGATATACAACCTCGGACATCATCTGTCATCTCAACGCCACCAACGCCAAAGGCCACGCAGTTGTAGCTGCCGGTGACCGAGTCTTTCTTCAATGGACGGACTGGCCCTCTTCGCATCATGGACCTGTGATTGACTATCTCGCCAGCTGCGGCTCAAGTGGCTGCGAGTCTGTGGACAAGACAACGCTTGAGTTTTTCAAAATTGATGGCGTTGGGCTTGTCAATGATGCCACCGTTCCTGGAACATGGGGCGACGATCAGCTTATAGCTCAAGGCTCAGCGTGGATGGTCGAGATCCCTCCCAACATTGCACCAGGAAATTATGTCCTGCGACATGAATTGTGCGTCCGTCTTCTTCCGTCTGATTGAATTCTTGGACTAACTCTCTTTCCAGAATCGCACTTCACAGCGCAGGCACTGAGGGTGGAGCTCAAAATTACCCGCAGTGCTTCAACCTCCAAGTGACCGGATCGGGATCGGATGTACCAGCAGGTGTCTTGGGTACCAAATTGTACAGCCCAACAGACCCTGGCATCCTGGTCAACATTTACACTTCCTTGTCAACCTATGTATGTGACTGCTTATTCCACACGTTATTAAAACTCTCTTCCCACTTTCAGTCTTTACCTAACCTCAATACTTCCAGGTTGTCCCCGGACCAACTCTTTATAGTGGTGCCGTCTCTATCACGCAAACTACTTCCGCAATCACTGCTACGGGTACACCAATTACGGGATCGGGCGCTGCAGGTGCAACAAGTGGGGGATCAGCAACTCCCACCTCGTTTGCCCAAACAACCTCCTCACTCTCTCAAGCTACCACGGCCCAAGCTACGACTTTGGTAACTGTTTCTAGCACAACTGTCAAATCTTCTACTACTGAAGCGCCTACTACGACAGGGCCAGCCACTGGAGGGTCAACTCAATCTGTCTATGGGCAGTGCGGAGGAACCAACTGGACAGGGGCCACTGCATGTGTATCAGCAGCGGCATGCTCTTCTATGAACCCTTACTACTCTCAGTGTGTCCCAACAGCTGCATAGACAGACGATTTCTCGCGGGTCGAAAGATTGGAACTATATGCAGCGAGTAACCTTGCGCGATTGGTGAGAGATAGTGATGTCTGATGTATATTGATTTAGCGCTTTGAATTGTAGTTTTCTTGAATTGATAATTTCTCATTGCATCAACCGTAGTGTGTTTCAAGTTCTAAGATAAGTCTTAGTCAACCGAAGTGAATCAACATGAAACCTGTCGGAACCTTCCGACTCGGTGAGCTTGATGCGGTTAGATTCGACTATAGCTATGGGTCAGTGTGCCATGGGGTTTCCCCCGCAGAATATTTCCACATTTTTCTACAAGACACATTTTGGTTTCCTTGCCTCCAAATCATGGTTTCGTCTGTTATAAGTCTTCCTTCGGGGTATGTCTTCCGTGTTGGCTATCCGTCAGTGCCCGATTACGTCCATCTTCGTTCATTGGCGGGGTTATCACCAAAGACTACATCTCAGGCAGCAGCGGTTGCTACAGGGAGTTGGTATGGCTGTTATATCACTTTAGAGGGCAAATCGGAGCCAGTTGGAATGGGTCGAATCATAGGAGATGGTGGCTGGTAATATCCTGGAAATCTGCAAGTTTGCCAACATTAGACTAAATGTGAAATAAGGTACTTCCATATAGCAGATATGGCCGTGCACCCAGAGCACCAAAAGCGAGGACTGGGGGATGCTATTGTGAAGGAATTGCTTCGAAAAATTAAACAGGAGGCCCCGCAAGATGGAAAACCTTATATATCCTTGCTTGCCGATGGACCTGGACGGCGATTGTATGAGAAGAATGGTTTCGTGGAGACTGCACCATCATCGATTGGCATGGTCCTTGAATGATTATTCTTTTTCTACCATCAAAGACTATCAAGATGTTTGTATAAAGGAAGTAAAGAACTGGAACTAAATGAAGCCGAAGCCGGATTTTGCAACTCCAGCGTCTCCTTGTACTTCGAGTTCGCCCTTTCACATTCTTACAGTTGTTCTCATTAATCAGCTATTCCTCAGATGTACCAACATATCAGTGATAACACTTTTCTCCATACTATGATATTCTCTTTTCTTCCCATGTTTCATCACGTAGGGTGCTTTTCAATGTTTATCAGGCCCACTCCTCGGTGCTAACTAGCCCGAACGTGGGGAATATCGGCTTTTGGCTCTACCCGTGCCACGGACAATGCGAGCTGCCAAAGAAAAGAAGGAATGGCCTTCATTGCCCCTCGGCCCGCAAAGGACCACAACAATGGATCCGACTCCATGCTACAGCAGTGGTGAACCAGCCCCAGTTCTCCGCGTTCGTGGTCTCCAAACCCGAACCCCCGATTTCTTTTGCCAGACTCTCCGGATTGTTTGGGTCGGGGCCCACCGGGGGAGAGTGAATACAGCAATATACCTGTCGATCAAGCATAGTGGCTGACTTATGCCCATGGCTAAGAAACGCCTCCATCTCGCCAGTGTTAGTATCATAAAAAAACGCTTCCACGCACACCATTCCATGGTTGGAATTCTTTTCAAAACATCGGCATTGATTTCGAGATGTTTACACATCAATTTAGAGGGAGGGCCCTTGTCTTCGCGGTCACGGCGGCCTCTTGTCAGGCGTTCTTACTCCTTGGATATGATCAAGTGGGTTTTCGGTCTACGCACTTGCCACAGGGCTCGCAAACAACACGCGCTCCTTGCCAATCCTCATACTAACCAAGCTTTGATATGATAGGGTGTTATGTCAGGCCTGGTTGGGGCGGACAACCGGTTCGGTCGAGATTTCAATAATCCGGATGCCGCTCTACAGGGAGATATAGTGGCTCTCTACGATATTGGCTGTATCATCGGATCCATTCTGGTTTTTTGCATCGGCGAGAGATTTGGTCGACGTTGGATGCTCATGAGTGGTGGAACCATCATGATTTTGGGCACTGTTATCTTGGCCTCCTCCACTACAGTCGCACAATTGATTATTGGTCGGGTTGTTACCGGCGTGGTTCGTTGAGCATTGTACTAATATTTGGACTTTTATGCTAATTTGTTTCTCAGGGAAATGGTATGAACAGCAGTACAGCTCCTGTCTACCAGAGCGAGTGTGCCCCCTCCGACATCAGAGGAACTCTCTTGACATTACAGGGAACCATGACAATCCTTGGCCTTTGCATAGGTAGCGTTCACTGGGTTGTTAACTGAAGTGTATTTGCTGACTGTCGTTTTATCAGCTTACTGGCTTGACTACGGAGCTAGTTTCACAGATTCCTCCTTGCAATGGCGCTTTCCCCTTGCATTCCAGGCTATTTTTGCTGTCTGTTTGGTCCTACAGGTTATTGGACTTCCCGAAACACCGCGATGGCTTATGAAAAACGACCGGTATGAGGAGGCCCGAGATGTCGTTGCGGCAATTAACGATGTTTCTATCGATGACCCAGTTGTCATCCAGACATTGGCCGACATGGAAAAGGCAGTCCAAGAAGATATTCAAGGAGATCAAGTCGGATGGCGGGATTTTTTCTCCCATGGAAAGACACAAAATTGGAGACGATTGGCTTTGATTATCTTCATAGAGATCATGCAGCAATTCACTGGATCCAACATGATGTATGTCGTCCGCTAGGTTCATGGATCGTTGAAACGAGATAACTGACATGGACAGAAACTACTATGCTCCAACTGTGTACACGGATACACTTCATATGTCTAGAAATATGGCGATGATTCTTTCTGGGTGTACTTCTCTTGCATATCTCGTGGGCTCCGCTCTTCCGCTTTTCATGATGGACAAATTTGGCCGCCGCATTTTATTGATTGTATCAGCGGCTGGACTCTCTTTGTGCTTCATGATGGTTGCTATTTTGCTATCCTTCGATAAAGTCCAGGACGCATACGGGGCTACAGCATTTATCTTCCTATTCCAAATCTTCTATGGTCTTGGGTGGCTGCCTGTGCCCTGGTTCTATCCATCTGAGGTAACCATCGTCCTCCCTCGATTAGCCACTTCATGAAAGCTAACAGCCATATCAGATCAGCACGACATCTCTACGTTCCAAGAGTGCAGCAATAGCTTCCGCCTTTAACTGGTTGTCTGTGTTTGCAGTTGTGAAGATCACACCTATTGCAATCCGTAAGTCCCACATCTTGACAACAAATCCTTGCTGTATAATTGTGCATTGTCGCTTACTTCGAATCAGAAAACATTAATTGGCGCGTGTTCATCATTTTCGCCATTCTCAACTTCCTTTGGATTCCGATCGTCTATTTCTTTTACCCGGAAACAAAGGGACTCGAATTGGAGGATATCAACCTGATATTCGCCAAAGGCGGGCTCACCGGTGGCGTCTTTTCCTCGGGAGGTCGGACCGTCGTTCCTCATCAACATGCACAGGAAACCGAGTTGGAGGGCAAGCTGCAAACAGGCATGATTGAGAACATCGAACTTACTTGATGCCGCTACGAAATTTTAAGACAGACTTAATTCCAAAGACTTACATAGAGCTCTTCGACTTGCAGCATACCAAGGTTAGAAGCAATTATATTTATTCACTCACTTGCTGGGATGCCTGTCGGCTTCAAGACCAACCAATGCGTATTATAACCAAGACTACTGATGCGTTGCAAATCAAACTCTTCGAAGTTCACCAACCCATTGCTTTAAGCTTAGAATGTTGCCTTCGCGAGGTTGGAGGCCCAATTATTCTCATTGAAGGGCACGTTAGCCTTGCCAAAGTCAGTGGTATCCAAAGCATTTTGCACAACACCTGCAAATCGTGGTTAGCGAGTTATGCTATGGAATCTCGTGGTATTTTCAAAGTCAGCTTACTAGACAGTGATTCCCAGGCAACCAGCGGCTGAGTGCCGCCTACAGTGGTTGTGAGACCACAGGAATGATCAACAGGCCAAACTGATTCATACTTGATCAGAGGCGCAGTCCCATCAAGAGTGTAGCCATCTGTGGTGCAGTCCCAGCCGCCGTGGGCGGATGGACAGACAGCCACAATGTTTGAAGCGTCAGTGCTAGAAGAGTCGGAAAGCCAAACAATGGCTCCTTCCCAATCATGGCGGTGGCCAATCCCAGTCGAAGGCTCATCCTTGGGGAAATACCACGAGTACATTAAGGCATAGTAGTCACCGGAAGCGCCGCCTCTCACTATTGGTTGCCCGCATTAGTTTTTGGTGGTAAAATTTGCTGCATATCGAAGATTCTCACCATAGATCTGCCCTGTGCTACTACTACATCCGCCATTTGAGCTACCTGTCGGGTTGAGTCCGGCACTGGAGACATCAGGATCGCGGACCTGTTTGTTCAGGAGCAGATTGCCGAACTTACTTGGTGTTTCCATCTGCGTCCACGGCTGGGAAAGGAACGCAGCCATTTACTACCTTCAGATCGGGCTGATAAGCCAAATACAAATCTCCGGTAGCACCGCTGGGGATAGTTTGCGCAAAGCCGACCAGCTCATCAGATGCGACTGTTCCTCTGCGGGAAAGGCTGTGAGGGTTGGCCACCACAGGCAGCACAGTGAAGGCAGTCAGCCCGATAAGCAATTGAGGAATCATGATGTGGAAGATTGCGATGGATTGATTATTGGCCTTGAGTATTGAAGGGATAATATAGTATATCCATCTCCATTGATCGGCATGTTTTCTCCCATGTCGGTTCGGCGTCCGCTTGCTTGAAGAAGTTTAGTTCGGTGGACACGGCTTTGTGAAAACGGTCTTCAGTCCTGATGGAGTATAGTCGGGATAATCATTTGATTGAACAGATTGAAGTCGTGCGATCGACAGAGTCAGTGATTCGTTAGGGGCGCTTTTTTTAGCTTTTTTTAACTAGCCGTCTTACCATATGACCAATGCCGCTTCTGCGTATTGGTCTGTCTCATATTAGGAAATTTCCAGGATTTAGGTATCTTTTGTATGAGGTTTACATATAAAAGGTACACAAAGGTGCATCTTGACCATTCTTAAACATCTTGTAATATGAACTAGATTAGAGTAATTAATATAGCTTATAGTATTCAAGTATAATTCCTACCTATTATCTTAATTCTTTGAATATTAATTTTCTCATATGTAGGCAGGGATGAATATTTCATTTTTGAAGGTCGAAAAGAGCCTCCGAAAATTACTAACTTTTTAAGTACTATAATTTTTTATCAGTTTTTGGCTCTAGAACTCCAAGTTATAGCTATAGCATAATAAATATGATAATAGACTAGTTTGTATCCTAATGTCTACTTTACATTATAAGATATTCGAGTATGTTTTATATGTACCTTTGATATGTAAGCCCCACACAAAAGATACCTAAATCCTGTAAATCCCCTAATGTGATACGATCCCCCAATGTGAGACAGACCAATACGCAGAAGCGGCATTGGTCATATGGATAGACTGCTATTTCGTGTAAACCTCGGTTAGAGAGCTGAAGGGAATTTTAATCACTAAAAACGCTATTCAAGGCGCCCCATATTTCTCCTTTCATGCACGTGTATAGTACGGACTACGTCGGTACGGACTACGTCGGCTTAATTAAACAGCTAGTCTGGATCTGTGCAAAAGCGCGCCATTGTTCGCAAGCTCTTTAGTTCAAGACTCATAAATACAATAATATATAGAAAAGTATTGTACCACGTGGGGATTTTCAGGCACTTGATCCGCATAGTATTAAGGCCCCTAGGGTTTCTGCACCAATCAAGGTAGGCAGGTCAGGAAATTGCCTAGTTTGTTCAAAACAACCCCCTGCATTGTGGCATTGGCGTCACTCTTTGAGCTTGCAAGCCCAACTGAGACACTCGCATAACATCCAGAGGCTAGTGAGACCTCGATTTCGCTTGGGAGTCTCGAGCTGCCGCACGTGGTCACATCATCTGGAGTGATCAGGGGGATGGCAACGTGGATGCGGGACAGCACGAAGGAGAAATCCTCCGAATTGGTGCATTCGGAATCAGACACACTGCCGAAGTTGACGTTCAGCCAAATATCGTTGGGCAAGTATGGCTTGCCCGCAGCAACCACTTGATTTGTCAAGTTAGTGGCCAAGTCGGCATAGACATCACTGTACAGAGGACGCGTGGTGTTCCATGAAGTCTGCGACCCAGTAGAGCCGGAGAAAGCGATAGCAGGAATCCCAGCAGTGTGAGCAGCGTAGGTAGCGGCACCCACTGTTCCAGAAAAGTACGCTTCTAAACCAATATTGTAGCCGACATTAGGACCTGTCACAGCTAGATCGGGAGAGCCATCAAAAAATTGCGGAGCGCGCGATTCTATGCCATATTTCATCGAAGTGGCGGGGTAGCTGTTGACGTATCCCAGTCGGGGCTATAGAAACTGTCAGTTAAATTTTCAGAAGCAACAGTGACAGAAACTAACCTCCGAGGAATTGTATCCCACTGCTGGGCTGCCAGATGGGCAACTATCGAATTCACAAGGTTTGGTCAAGGCAGTGGGCGTCTTTTGAATAGAACCTATCCCCAAAAAGAAAACACGTCATTAGAAGTTCGCGCGGAATGTCGCATAACTTACCTGTACCACTTTGATTCTCAGCAGGCGCAGATACTACAACCGAATGCCCCGAATCTCCCAGCGACTCAAACAATGCGCGGATGTTCACCTCGGCCCAGCCATCATCATTTGACGAGATGATGTTGACAGCTTGAGCGGCCAATGGCCACAGGGCAAGATTCCGAAAATGCATGATTAAATCGCGTAACAACGTACAATAAGAATGTAGAAGTCGAGCGTCAGGAAAGTTTCAGGCTTTTATGTCGGATATCACGGCGGATCTGTATTTGCCGATCCCCCTATGTGGACCAGAGCCGGTTCGGTTCGAATACGACTACGCACGTCTCCGATTTGAGTTATTTTAACCTTTTTATGCATAAGTGTTTCATTTTTATGAAATGCTTGGCGAAAAAAACAAATTGTATAGATTCAATCAATAATTGGGAGTGAACTTCTGCTTCAGTCAAGCCGATTTTCGCCCCTAATACGATGTGCTAGGTCCTTCACCAACACCAATTTTCCACACGTAAAACGTAAAATCCATGGTCAAGCAATGCGTCCGGATCTAAACTCATCGGACACGAAAAATAAGAGACAAGGATTCTCGATTTCGATGGAGTGAAGTCCTTCATCGTAAAGATTTTGCCAATCTGCAGCGTAGGTCGCTGCGACATCTCGGAAGTAATCCTCGTCGGATAAATATGCCTCTGCGCTATACGCCTGTTCGACAGCCATCTGTGACATTAGATTAGGAAGATGTACTTTCATCACACTATATTGACGAATGATTAACTCTAACCCCTGCATATGAAGATGGTTGGTTGGAGGCATAGTTATCTTGCACTCGTGCCATTGTCCACGGGGGAGTAGACTACGCAAGGCCTCCATTTAGAGATATACGCGCCCCAACACGATAGACCCGGTTGGCAGCAACCATTGAGTCCCGTGTCTGAATACCCAATGTCTGAAGAGTCTTCATTGTTGAGAATTCTGTTCGACATCTGTCGGTGACTGGGAGATCTCTTACGATTTACATTCACCGAGCCTTTCAAAGAACCCAGAGAAAAGTTTATCTTTTGCAGACTCGCCCGAAGTGATTGGTCTAGTCCCGAGCTCAGGTTGCTTGGCTACTGCGCCCGCAATAGCATTCTCGGTCGCAAGCTGCGTCTTCGCGTTGAATTGCGAGTATGAGGTGGCCATGCCAGCGATCGCACGAGCGGCTAAAAGCTCAGCCGATCGCATTAGAGAATCGATTTGCTCAGCTCGGAAAGGGGGCGCCATTGTTGTTTGATTAAACAACCAGAAGAACCAGAAGAACCAGAAGAACCAGAAGAACATACTAGTGTGAAAGAAAAGAATGTTTGGGACTCGATAGATGGGTTGGAAGCAATTCTGTTTCAAGATGAAGCCCCGAATTTTCGAACGACCGTGATCGCCGCGATCGCCCAAACATGGATGTTGTATCCTCGTTGTCATCGATCGCAGGGTAAGCAGAGAAGCGTTCTCAGGGCACATATGGGAAAAGAAGAAAATGTTGCAAATTAAAGGTTAATCAAACATTGCAAGTGTCTTGAATGCTCATCTATATGCACAAGTATCCCTTTTTAAAAAACAGACAACAACAGGGAATAAATATATCACTATTGGAAGATGATTGAAGTTGGTAAGCAGTTGCAATATGCCATTAAGATGCCGGAAATTCGCTGTGCTTTGCGCTGGCCACTCATTCAGAGCGGGCGCTCTTGGTCTTCTTGCTTCTGAGTTTCATCATCAAAAAGACCAAGGCATATGTTGAAATGCAGAAGAGGGCGGTGATACCCGTCTGTCAAAGAATCAGCAATTTGACGAGGACCAAAACAAAGAATGATCACTCACATCTCTCCACGAGTAGTATTTTTCCTTGAGGTTGAATGTTTTGGCGTAATCGGCACCTTGAGAGTATTGACAGAATGAACATGTTCCAGTCGAATTCTCATCCAGCAGATATCCGGTTTGGGCCGCCAGAAAGTCGGCCATGTATTGGCCACAAGTTTGACCAGAAGGTGCACTGAATTTCACGAATTCCGATGCTTCACATTTGACCTTGACATCCCAGATCACCTCACCGAAAAGCCCACCAACCAAGTAATTGAAAGGATCCAAGTAATAAATCCAGTATCGCCAAAAGGGTTGCATTGAGGCATAGGGTACTACCACGCCACAAAAGCTGACCAAACCGGCACCGATCAGAACAGGATTCATAACGGCTGCAAAATACTCGTTGGGAGCATATGCCGCGATAGCTTGACCAATGGATGTGTATAGGAATTCGTAGACTATGTTCTGTTAGACCACGCGCATTTCACTTGACTTTGGACCCAGAAACTCTGAATTTCATGGACAAACTCACAAATCATCTGAAGATAGACATGCCCAGAAATGCTAGCCTCCACAGGCAGTCCAGCTGTGAAGTACCAGCACGCAAAGTACAAGGTAGCACAGATAATGAGGTATGGAATCTCCGTAATGGTCTGCGCCCCAATGAAAGCCATCCAATGGTAGGTTTTGGACTTCGAGAGTAAACTGTGTTAGCCATGCTTTCGTGTCCCGGGGTTGAGCACTCTCACCTTCTTCTCTCGAGTCTCGAAAATGTCACGACTATGCAAAAAGAAAGGCTGCATTTGATTGATACAGCCCGGGGCAACGAAGATGAAGTTGAAAATTGCAAATAGTCGCAATTGAAGAGAGAATGTGCCACTTCCAATCTTCCAGAATGTAAATCCACTGAAGAGTCCGGCGAAAATATGCAGGAAAAATTTGTTCCACATGTAATCCTTACCACATGTTAGTATCAAGGATTTTGTGAATGAAAATCATTAAGACTTACAGGTGACCGCCAAATATGAATGCTGAGGCGCTTGGAGACTGTTTTGAATTGAAACCAGTGGGATGTCGCATAGTCAGCAGTATCCTCGACATAGTCCACTTCGGCCTTTTTCGATTCATTCAGTGCATCCAATTGGGCGAGGGCTTGCTTGCGCTCTTCAGAATTGTTCCAAACGTCGACCCAATCTGTTTTGTCGGTGGCACTTCCTTGAACAACGTCGATGATGTGCTCCGCTGGGTTGGTATCGGGAGGACACGGCGCTCCATTGCGAGAGAAGTAATCTAAAATCTTGGTTGAATCTTTGCCAGCTGCGTTCAATTATTAGATGTCAGGGTCTTATTGATGACGTCTTACTCTTTGGTAAAACTTACTCTCTCCGAAGTATGTCATTTTCCCGCCCTTTGCCAGTAAGAGAAGCCCGTCGAATGCGTCAAACAGAACTGCGGATGGTTGATGGATCGTACACTGACACATTAGTACAGATGAATGAATTTTCAAGTATTGTTCACTTACGAGCACAGCTTGGCCGCCATCAACTAATTTCCGAAGGAAACGCACGATGTTGAAAGCACTTTGTCCATCAAGACCTGATGTTGGCTCATCCAAGAACAACAATGTTGGTTTAGCAACGAGTTCAACGCCCAAAGTGACTCGCTTGCGCTGCTCAATGCTGAGTCCAGCACCAGGAACTACAAAAAGTCAGTCTTGTATCTCATAATGACAAATTTGATGTGAACTCGCCTCCGATAAGTGCTTCGCTGATGTCCCGCAATTCAAGAAGATCAACTATATGCTCAACATATGAAATCTTTTCTTCATAAGAGACAGAAGATGGCTGGCGAAGAACGGCGGAGAACTCTAATGCCTCCTTAACGGTTGCCGTTTCGAGGTGTACATCCATCTGTTCACAGTAGCCCGTTGTTCGCTGAAAGCTGATACCGACTGGTCGACCATCGATGAGAACGGATCCATGGATCTCTCCACTGTCTTTTCGTTGAGCAAGCACATCCAATAGGGTTGTTTTTCCGGCTCCGGAGGCTCCCATTAATGCGACCAAATTTCCTGGCTGGACAAATCCAAAGACCTTGTTCAGCAATTGCTTCTTCTCTCCGTGGAAAGGAACATGGTAATCAAGGTCCTTCCACGTGAACGTTGATTGTTTGACTGAACCTAGAAGGGCGCCCACGTCTGTCTCCTCCGCTGAGTTTGACTTCTTGGCCTCATCATCCTTGTTTTTCTTCTCACTGCCGCGCTTGTAAAGTAGAACAGAAGACCCGCTTTTGCTGTTACGCAACTCGAGCCCGAGAGAAGTCAAGACGATGAAGAAGATCCAGAATCCGACAATGATACCGAAGCTTCTCCAGATGTGGTGGACAGAGTAGCTGTATTGCTCTTTGATATATTTCGCTCCATCAATTATGCCATTCTCATCACTTCCAAGCACTGAGCATCCACGGTGGGGAGAGGCTGAGCTGGAATATTGGGAACCGTATGGGATGTAATCAGGCTCAATGCAGGTGAGCTTACGCCCAACGAATTCGTTGGCCATGAGTGCTTCAAATGCATAAGCACCTGGATTGAGGTAAAAGATCCAACGGAACCAGACATGCATCTTTTGGAATGGAATGAGATATCCTATGACCTATTAGCCTGAAAACCACGATAAATTGTCACATCTGAAACCTTACCTCCATAGACAAAGAAGACAGTGGAAAGCAATCCAGAGATCTTAGATGCATTTCCGAACGTTTTGCAAACAGCCCCAACAGCTCGGAACAGCTGGATGAAGCACAATGTCTGTACAATGACAATGATCCAAAAAGTGAAGAACTTGCCGGCATTCATCTGCAGCGCAGCCATAAAATATAGGATTAGCGAGAAGCAAGTAACTTGGAACATGACGACCGGAATATCTGTGATGGCATTGGCAATGCAGAACGCAGTAGGGCGATAGAATCCAAATCGCTTTTGACGAGAGAGAATTGGACGCCCCATAAAGGATCCAGTTGTCTCGGATAAAGACTCCAACAAGAAGTATAAAACTGGGAAGAAACAAACACCGGGGCGAAGAAAGATCGAGGCGCTTGTCTGGTGTACATTTCTATTAGCTCCTTTGTTCCTCCGATATAATGGGTTTCTGGAATATACCTCGGGCAAGTTGTAGAACAAGGAGCCGCAAACCAAGGCTTGTATTATGGCTGAGGCAACCTAGAAGGAAGCAAAGTGTCAGCTGTAAACATTCATGTGGAATTTTCTCGCAACCGGAAACGAAATCTTGAAATGTCACACACCTTCACATAAAGGGAGAATTTGTCTCCCCACATGATCTGGAACTGTCTGGTAATGCATGCGCCAATCTGGTCCCAGAGATTTGCTGTATAAACACTTTTGTTTCGCGGAATATGTTGTTTTCTCTTCTCACTGGACACTGCCAGCTTGAGATCTTCGGTTTCATAACTCAATTTGTCGGGCTCCACAATAGCATTCATCTGTTCTCTGTAGATGGGACTATTCTGATAGCAGGATTCGAAATCTTCGGGTGTACTGGGCACCTTTTCTTCCCAACCGGGTCGGACAATACGCTCAGTAAGAACGGTGACGGAGGTCAAAAAGTCGGCAATATTAGCGCCATTTGGGCATATGAATCCAAGATTTTCAAAATATTCCCTGGCAGTGCATCGGGGACCGTAGTATGTAACACGACCTTCAGCTAGTACAAGAATCTTGTCAAACTGATCATAGATGCCGTTGCCTGCTTGATACGTAGTGGTAATAATTGTCTTGTCGTTTCGATCGGCCTCGGATCGGAGCATTTTAGCGAATGCAAGAGCAGACTTGGAATCCAATCCACGCGTTGGGTTGTCCCACATTTGCACTGGACTTTGACCAGCGAGGACTTCGGCAAGGGAAACGCGTTTACGTTCGCCTCCTGATACTCCTCGAATGAACTCATTTCCTACCATGCTCTTCTTGGTGTGTCCAATCCCTAACGAGTCAAGAATACTATCACGTTTGTCCTGGACGAAATCTTTGCGGTTTCTCAAAGTTTCCGGCCGCTCGTTGGGGATCTTGTTTCGGAGAGCAAACTTCATTGTACGGTTGACGGTCAGGGTCGGGAAGTGAAGGTCATCTAATATCATTTCTGTCAGAGGAACTCCTGCTAGTAACTACTCATCATGTCATACCTTCGTTGTTAAACATGATCTGCTGGCGGAATTGCTTGGCCTCTGTATGATCCATACTTCCAAACCGGGTTTCACCGGCGACTTCATCGAAGCTATCGCGATCATTAGAGAGAACTCGAAGGAGTGATGTACATCCAGAGCCTGGGCGTCCCAGCACAAGAAGCTATATCAGTTAGCCTTCACTGCTTCTAATTGTTACCATCAGTTAAGCATACCATTTCCCCTGGCTTTACCTGGCCTCCGACATCTTTTAGAATTGTCTAGGAAAAAAAAGGTCAGCACTCGATAGAGTGGCATTTGGTTGAACCTTACCCTCTTAGGGCTGTTGCTCCGATTCAGCAATCCCCCAAGTTGGCGCGGGTCCATCTCAGACCACAATGTGTCTCCTAAGGCTGCATCTGGTGCTGTTACTCGAACGTTCAAATCACGGAAGGTAACTGTCAGGCGTTTGCGAATTTGACCATCACCTTGCTCCAGATCGACCGGGGTCGCTGTGCCTGAAGATGGAGTTTCCATGCTGCTGTATGTTTCTATTATTGAAAATAATAAATTCACACACTGCTCCTGGCGTAAACAATGTTTGAGGCACCGAAGAACTCTTATATTGCAAATTTGTTATCAGGTCTATATTGCTATATCCGAAATGCCGGAAGTGGATCATGATTCGCGGATCTTGCATCTATCGCCGCAGTGTGAATAACAAAAAGGGGACGGGCCTTGGCAACTTTCTCCCTACCAATGTTATTATTTTGTTGAAAATCTCACATAAGTGAGTATCTCGGAAATATGCGTTTGGATGCATCATAGACCCACATGTTGAAACATGCCCGTTCATTCGTTGGGAAGGCTCTTCACCTGCTTCGAAAGCTTCGATCAGATCCACACTTCGGATATAAATCCACCTTCACGGATGAAGTGGATCTGTTTGGTCTTAGACAGACACAAGCTTATCCCGGGCAGAAACCGTCTAGAAAGATCGAGGTCTTCTGTACCAGGCCCGAAATTCCGATTCCTAGGACCCGCTTGCTGTATGGTGTGCAGTTGTTGATGGATATAAGTAAACTAAATCCGTGCGCTCTCTCTTCGACCTCATTAAGTCCGTTTTGAATGTTCGTTGTAGTGTAGTGCGAGTCCCGAGGGTTTTATTTTAGTACCGACAGTCTTGAAGCACACCTTTCGTGTAATGTTTGTTGATTTGAGACCCTAAATTTTCCTCGCCTCTTCATTTTGTATTTGGAACCAGAAGGAGAATGACCATTGAAGCTTTCGCGCATTAATTGACAAATAAGCCCGCTTTCTGGTTCTTTGAATCCATAGAATACGTAAGTGAGGTCAAATCATTGGATCATCATTTTATGGATAAACTGAAAAGAACGATTCGAGGTCCATCGTGGAAAAGTCGAAGTCCCAACCCATGTCAGACTGCGTGAAATCAAGCAGGTCCTCGGCAGATCCAACCGAGCCTCCAGTCTCTGGCATTTGGAGAGATTCCACTTGGGGCAGGTTCCAAGGAGATGTTGGTAGGTCAGACTGGATTCCCATTAACGGATTTTGGGAGAGAGCAGAGTTATTTGGAACTGGCTTTTGGGTATACTTAGACGCGGAGCCTTGCTGCATGCCTGTGCCTTCGGGTTGCCCCAGTTGCCTTGAATTTGTGGTTGTATAAGGCGACCATTCATACAATGGATTCAAATTGCGTAGCACAGTCTGGATAGCTGAGATTGTGCTTGCTATCGGGTCGCCTGCCCGCATAGTTGCCAATGTTTGCAACGACGCATACACCCAGGGTAGATAAACAGGGGCTAGATTTGCATCATGAAGGAACTCGTAGATTAAGGTAAAGGTTGAGCTTCCCAGAAAGTATCCATGATACCGCAATTGCTGATAAGGTGTTAGCGAAAAATTTGGAAGAGCATTGATTTTATTTACCCGGACCAAGTCGCTGGCTCTAGAAGCTTCACATAGATGTTGTAATGTCTTTTGAGCTGCCGTGGTGGCGTGATTGCAAGCTTCATTTAACCACGATGGAGTCTCTCTCGGGCGATTAGGGGCGTTGGTGCCGAGCTTGTCAAGGTTCATCTTTCTATCCCGTTGCCAGTGACCGCGGAAGATAAGGAAAGGTCGAAATGTGAGCAGAAGGGTATGATTATACACTTTCACTTGTTAGAATCAGCCCATGACTTCGAGAGGAATCAACTTACAAGTAGTGAAGATTGTTTGTCGAATACCAAGCGATCCTTCCTGGATTTTAGCATCAAGGCCAAACCCAAATGATCGTTGCAATAAAGCTTCGTGGCCACGGAGATCTTCATTAATCGATCTGGCGACTTTCCACATGTGCAACAAAGATTCATGCCGTTGACCGTATATCTCTTCGTTTGAGCGCGTGATCGTTTTACAAAGTCGTGCCAATAGATAGATGAACGGATCCTTTGCGTACTCAATCGCGACATCCTTGAGAGAAAGTGAACTAGGGCGACCTGTATGAAAAGAAAACCAGCTAATTCTTTGGTCAGTGCTTAGATCAAAAATCAGATAGAATGAGGTATTTACGTTTCGTAGATGTAAAGAGACCAGAAAGTCACCCGTCGCTCTTCGATATCTTCCGAGGTTTGATCAACTCCGTGGGTTACATCTTTGTGCAAACCAGCCGATAAAGCCTTACGACAGGCAGAACCTAAATGCAAGAATGCGGAGTTTGGTCGGCCTTGTTCATTTTGGTAGTTACCGTGTCAAACGAACTGTATTAGTATGCAGCGAGCAAGGACGAAAAAGAAAAGACTTATCATAAGAAAAGAGATTTGAATTGTTTGAAGATTTACCACGTCATCAAACGCACTCATGGAAGCCTTGACGCGTTCAAACAACACATCACCCCAAGCAAAGTGATCAGTACCAAGTGCTGCGACTGCCATAGCGAGGAGCACAATGGCCTGGCTGAAGGTGTCCAGATGATTAGTCGAGCACGGATCATAGAGCTGAGTCAAGCACTGCTCATAGCAGCTCTTGGGGCGATGAGGCATCATGTGATAAAGACCCGAAAGATATCGCGATAAAAACATCTGTGCGAGACCATGCGGTAGAAACGTCATGGACAGTTCACCTGTCCCGGGAAGCTTATTAGCATCGTGTGAGTCTGGGGTCCCGAAAAAGATACGACGAAAGCTAAATAGGTCCAAGCCTGCCCCAGCTTCCTCGACCCCACCGGAAGGCTCAGGCTGGGCAGTGGGGTTGGAAATGAGATCTCGGTAGATATGCTGCATAAGAGAGAAATGCGATGTAGGGCCATAGTACAGCTGCATCTGACATGATGGCGACGCCATGTGCGTGGCAGAAACACTGTTTGGGAAGTCGTTCATCACAGGAGTTGTACGACGTCCCGGTGGGAGTCCCGGTGAAGATTGACGAACAGGACTCCCTTTCGATCCCTCATATTCAAATTTCTTCCGTCGATGACGAATGTAATCTCTATATGTACAAGGGGTGTTGCGCAATTGGCAAGTTTTGCATCTGATAGATCAGTACGTGTGACTCAATGGGCTGGATAAACTCACGGTGTCAAGCCATTGCACTTGATTTTACGCTTACGGCATTCCTCGCATGCGCGAGGAATTCGCCAGCCAGGTTGAGCCTCTGACGCCTCAGACATCGACATGTAGTGAGACGCTGCACTTCATCCGTTTAATCCGAGAATTTCATCCGGCTATATCCGAGTCACGTGTGCTAGCTATTCCACGTGATCATGTACTGATGCCTGAGGCAGATTTCACAGTCACCGGGAGTCAAAATCCAAAGTGTACAAGCCAACGTCACAGTTAGTATATGAAGGTAGATAGTCTGATGTATAGTAATTAGATCGAAATTTCCTATGATCGAACAGTAGATGAACTTCATCCGTGGACATCATCCATTGCCATCCATTCCCATCCACTCCCATTCACTCCCATTCACACTTTTTCCATACATGTACCATAAGACATACAAAGGACGTTTCAAAATCAATGTACTTATATACCACCTATCCGACTTCGATGCTTCCGATAGACATCCGATCGGATCTGCCTCGGCTGTTATACAAACAACACAAGTATCAACCTTCTCAACAGTACCGAGGAACACGCCAAGCCTCTTTCTTGGAAATGCTTGGCGTTCTGGCGCAGAAGATGAAATTGTCTAGTTTGTGGCTGTAAGCATATCCACATCCAGTGTCGGATGAAGATTTCGGCATATTTAGAGACTTTGATTTGTTCGGATATCCCTCACAAGGCGGTCCAAGAGCCAGTCCGGGGTCGATCTGTGAAAAGTCTGGGGAAATCTCAGAAATCGGCCCCATTGTGGGCAAGTTCCAGAAATGTCTAACGGTCATTGACTTGATTTCCCCCGCATTTTATTGGTATCAACCTTCCAATGCTCTTGACTTTCTGCTTATTCTCCAACATGGCGGGACCGGCCTTTCCCTTCCAGATATTATCCGACCGACACGAAGGCGTTCGGATTAAACGATTATGATTGGACCTTTTAACCAACGCCCAGCTGATAATCTGGTCGCTTGCACTGCCAATCCCCAATGCCAAGGTATTCCTGACGGTCAAACAAAAAACCAACTGATGGCCCCTTGGCAGCGGCAGATTGAGGTTTTAACTAATAGAACAAACAGCCGAGCTCAAGCCTGGATCTGTCCCCCGCTACCCAGAATTCACTCGGCTCTTCCGATCGGGTTCTTACACCTTGAGCTATAAAAATACCGAAACCTGTCCCTCGGGTCCCTTCAATCTGATCCCTGTCATCTAGTAGGTTATCTTTGGACCCCTCATCAGAGCTCAATTCCTTCTATCAATGTTCAATATGACTGACCCCGCAAGAGGCATAACGCCTGTCGGGGACGAGAAAGTGATTTCGCAGCATAAAGAAAATATGATAGGCGAGGTTGCCCATGAAGCGGCAGAAAGGGGCTACCTTGCGACAGATGAATATGGTCAACCTTTGGTTGAGTTCGACAAGGCAGCTGAGTCAAGATTGCGACTCAAGATTGACCTTTACATTGTTCCGACCGTTGCAGTGATGTATCTGTTTTGTTTCATCGATCGGGCCAACGTTGGTGAGTATGGCAGCGCTCAGACCCTGCATATTCTTCATATTATGTCCATGAGCTGACTGCTTCAACAGGAAATGCCAAGCTTGCTGGGTTCGACAAGGACCTTGGATTGGTGAATTATGATTATAACGCCGTGCTTTCAATTTTCTTCATCGCTTACATTATTTTTGAAATCCCGAGCAATCTCATGTGCAAATGGGTCGGACCTGGTTGGTGGCTTCCGATGCTCACACTAGGGTTTGGTATCTGCTCGGTTGCCACGGCTTTTGTTCACGACATTCACAGCGCTTCTGGCGTCCGCTTCCTCTTGGGGTAGGCATCTCTGCATTGATCAATTCAAAATTGCTGACCATCCTCTAGCATGTTTGAAGCAGGATTACTACCTGGAATCGCGTATTATCTTTCGCGTTGGTACCGACGAAGCGAGCTTGCTTTCCGTCTGTCGTTATACATTGTCATGGCCCCTCTTGCTGGAGCATTCGGTGGTTTGTTGGCTTCAGGCATTCTCAAACTCGATAGTTTCGGATCTCTTCACACCTGGCGCATGATCTTTGCTATCGAAGGCATCATCACAATTGGCATTGGTCTGATTGCATTCTTCACATTGACCGACCGACCGGAGACGGCCAAGTGGCTCTCGCAGGACGAGAAAGACCTTGCCATCGCCCGTGTCAAATCCGAACGTGTGGGTGCCACAGAGGTTCTCGATAAACTGGACGTCACCAAGACACTGCGCGGTATCTTTAGCCCTGTGACTATCACGACTTCATTCGTCTTCCTGTTGAACAACATCACTGTTCAAGGTCTTGGCTTCTTCGCGCCCACCATCGTTAAGACCATCTATCCAGATGCTACTGTGATTTCGCAACAACTCCACACGGTTCCACCATATGTAGTCGGAGCCTTCTTCACAGTTCTCTTCCCCTTCCTCAGCTGGCGATTTGATCATCGTCTGATCTTTTTCGTCGTCTGCCCGCCGCTGATGATGACAGGTAAGGCTTGCTCATGATCCCAATGGACTTGCTAGAGCATGTCTGATCAAATACTAAACTTGGTGAAATTAAATTAGGTTATATCATGTTCCTCGCTAGCGAAAATAGCATGGTACGATATGGTGCTACCTTCATTATCGCTGGTGGGGCCTTTGCGTTCGGTGCCCTATGTACTGCACATGTATCGGCGAATGTGATTTCCGACACCGCAAGATCCTCGGCTATTGGAACTGCTGTGATGTTCGGCAATATTGGTGGACTCATCAGCACCTGGTCTTTTCTACCTTTCGACGCTCCGAATTACCACATAGGGAATGGTCTCAACTTGGCGACTGCAACCACCACCCTCCTTCTTGGGGCTGGCCTGTGGGTTTACATGACATGGGATAATCGTCGACGTGAGCGTGTTGATGTTCCCAACGCCTTGGCGGGACTTTCCCAGCAACAAATCCAGGATCTGGACTGGCGCAATCCTGGGTTCCGTTGGCGGCCCTAGTCTTGCTCTCCATGTCCGCCAATCGCATTTGTGCTGTAACTTAGTTTCATATTTTGAATGGATGCCTCCGCACCGGTGAACTCTAGTCGCGGTCTCGAACGTCCGCTGAACCCACGTTAGTTTTATTCTCCGATTCTCGGGCTCATGATTACGAGTGCACGCATGGAAGTCAGTCTACATAGTGAAATTGTAAAAGATGGAATCTTTTTCAACTCGAGCACTACTTCCTATGAAATCCATTTGAACACACTCATCGTCACTATGCGTTCAATGAAGTTAGAAGATCTATATGTATATGATTAGCGACTTCCATGTAGTTATGTCTCAAGTCGTCTCTGATTTACAATGCAAGAACCATGTGGATGATCTTGCGGCTGCATCCGATCATCCCTCGACAATAATAAATGCCGATATACGGACCAATTTATCTAAAGCTCAGCAAGTCACAAGTCCTGACATCGGTAATTAGCAGAGTTTAATAATGAACTGTGTCCCGGGAATTGAAGATGATATGCCTCACCGAGACACTAAGAATTCCGAAAACACTCGGCACGGTGTTCTCCGTGAGTCTATTTGCCCCTCCACAGCAACGCAAACCCGAGCGAGATAGAGATCAGGATCATTGTGTGTCAAAGCGCACCCCACGCCAAGCCCCGGTGTATCTACCCATTCCATACACGGGAAGCTAATGTAACTAATGCTCGGTTGTGGACCAATCAGTATCTTGTTATCTGTCATAAACGGGACCTCTCCAGCTTTCGCCCCCCGCGACAAAGAACATGGCGTTTGTTCAGTGGATCATTTCATCCCTCAAACCCACATCTGCCATATTGACTTTCGGACGTTCTCCGAAATCACTGTTTGGATCAACTTCGGTTGGTCATGCCCAGCGAAGAAAGTTCCGGACTTGGCGCACATGGCAGGCGAACATCCAAAAGCTTCTTAGAAATCTTAGTGGTGTAGGACAACGTGGAACAGAAGATTTGAAGAATTCTACAATCGGTGTGAATCTGCAGTGCAGTAAGGCTGCAGGTCTCATTGGTATTCAAACCCCATGTGGCAGGGATACCTCACACGAGCCCATCGATCGGTACGGTAATAGAAAAGACCCCCGAGAAAGAGAGAAGGAAAAAGGGACACCGGCGAAGCCATCAAATGAGAGAAGTTATCCGTGTGGATTCGGGATCCAAGCTCTCTTGGCAATTTTCCCCAGACTTGGCCTTTGTCCTCCCGATGTATCACCGATGGTCGGCTCACGGCTGATACTAGGATTCTGGGGTTTAGTTGAACTCGGCATAGAGACAAAAAAGGAAACATCTTGGCCCCCAGATTTACTTTAACTGACATTTACTCTGGTCCCCAGATTTTTCCCCCGCATGACCTCTAGACTAGGATCCCATAGCTATAAAGACGTCCACTTGCTCTTTGGCTTTTTTCTCCCCTCTCGTATTACCTTGTTTTTTCTATCTTTTTCTTTTTTTTTCTTAAATTTCACCAGCTACATTCATCTACATTTTTTTGAGTGTTCACAATGGCCGGCGGAGCCAAGAAACCAGTCAACATCTTTCGCCTAAAAGATCTCGGCGAGCCTAAGGAGGTCTTCAATTGGCGATTATGGTTCGCGGTTATCTCCTTTGGCCTCATGGGTGCTGCCCGCGGTGTCGATGAGGGTTTGATCTCAGGCGCATTCAACTCAAAGGACTTTCAAAAGTACATCAACTACAGTTCATACAGTGAGGTGGAACAAACCAACATTAAGGGAAATGTCACCGCCATGGTTCAGATTGGATCTGTTGGAGGTGCTCTTTTGTGAGTTTTCTTGACCCATGGGGTTTTTCAATTTCTTCTATCGTATGACTGACCCGGTCCTTTTTTCTTTACAGCGCTTTCCTAGTCTGTGATCGCATCGGTCGTATCTGGGCAACTCGCCAGCTTTGTATCTTATGGATTATTGGAATCGCCATCTTTATGGGTAACGGTGGCAGTCTGGGTGCCGTCTATGCTGGTCGTTTCATCGCTGGTCTCGGCATTGGTCAAACAGTCGTTGTGGCTCCAGTATATCTCGCCGAAATCGTGAGTTTCTGAGCATTCGCGGATACCAAACGTAAACTAACCAAGCTCACAGGCTCCGGCCTCCATCCGTGGTCTCTGTACCTGTGTTTTTACTGGCTTTGTCTATTTAGGCATTGTCCTTGCGTACTTTGCCAACTATGGATGCGAGCTCAATCTCGGCGACGCAACTCATAACCGATGGGTATGTCAACTCCCAAATCCTTCCTCTTAATCAATGCTAACAGTTTTAGCTCGTTCCCACCAGTCTCCACATCATCTTTGCCGGACTGATCTTCATACTCTCCTTCGTTCAACACGAATCCCCTCGTTATCTAGTCAAACGCGGCCAGCTCGACAAGGCGATCTCTAACCTCTCCAAGATCCGCGGTCTCCCGGCCGATGATGACTACGTTGTACGCGAGATCAGTGTTATTCAAACAACTCATGAAGCTGAGATGGAGGCTACCATGGGCTCTGGCCCGATCGGTGTTCTCAAAGAGACCTTCCTGGTTCCATCCAACCTCTACCGTGTCTACCTTACATTCATGGCTCAGCTTCTATCACAATGGTCCGGTGCTGGTAGTATCACCGTTTATGCCCCGGATTTGTTCAAGTTGCTCGGAGTCACAGGAAAGAACGAAAGTCTCTTGGTCACTGCTGTGTTTGGAATCATTAAATTGGTCGCCGCCGTTCTCTGCGCTCTATTCTTGGTCGATGTCATTGGACGCAAGCGCGCCCTCCTTCTTGGCATCACTCTGCAGGGGATTGCCATGGTTTACATCGCTGGCTTTTTGACTGCCGTTCCTGGTATGGGGGTGGATGATGGCTTTGTTCTACCAGAGAGCAAAAAGGGGGCAAGTGAAGGAGCGATTGCAATGATCTACGTTTCTGGATTCGGATGGGCTCTGGGCTGGAATTCCATGCAGTATCTCTTGACTGCAGAGCTCTTTCCTCTTCGCATCCGTGCTCTTTGCACATCCATGGCCATGACCCTTCACTTTGCCAACCAGTACGGCAATGCGCGTGCAGTACCTAACATGCTTCTTCCCGTGGCTAAGGGTGGAATTGATCCCAAGGGTACTTTCTGGTGCTTTGCTGCCATCACTATTCTTGGCGGTATTTGGGTATGGTTCAGTATTCCCGAGACGGCTGGCCGCTCGCTAGAGAGTATGGATCGTCTCTTTGCGCTGCCATGGTACAAGATTGGCCGGTACGGCAACAAGGATGCCGATGAGCGGGACCAGTTTGTGGATGAGAAGATGGAGATGGCGACACAGGTTCATGGCACAGCCCAACATGTTGAAAGATCAGATCCCTCGGCTCGGGTCTAGGTGGCTGGTTGCCTTTTTATGTCATGCCTTTACTCGATCGAGTATCTCTCACTTCGCTGGTCATGAGAGAAAGGTTATCTCCTAGTTAATACAGCTGATATGATGAATGAATATTTTGAACTAAACTCAAGGTCCACAGAATAGCTATCTCATTAATTTATATACTTGTTCCTTCCCCCCGCCCTCGTCTCCATATCTCTACATTCAATGATAGGCACCTTTCAAGTCGAGGAACGACTCGATCCCGGTGTTGGCCGGTCCAGAGGAATGATGACAACCCTTGCCTTCATAGCAGCCTTATCCCGAACCCTCCTAGCAGGTCGTGACGATGAACCAGTTGTTTGGACATCTACATCTTGAATGTCGTTGAGGTATTCATCTGGCAAATCGACTCGGATCAAAACACCCCTGGGTTGGAAGAATGTCTCGTTCCAGTGAGAGATATGGCGAGCTAGCTTATCATCCTGAGTACCAGCCAGTGCAGTAATTAAGTTGCGTCGCTCTTGTCGACGCCTGGCGACGCGGGTGACAAAAATGGCCGGGATCGCACCCAGGATACCAACCATCAGCCCGCCCACTGCCAATGTACCCAAACCCTTGCCAACAACTATCGTCCATTGTTGCCGCGACAGCTTGGCCTCCTCGCAGATTACTTGTGTAAATTGTACCCAGTGATCTTTAGAAATTCCATAGTGTATCAATTCGTCCGGATAGTCGAAACCTGATGTGCATGTAGATGAGCGAGATGGCACTTGAAGGCCACGGCCGAGAGCGGAGGCAACAGCCAAACCAGGTTCATTTTGTTGGGGTGGAAGAATCATAGGATGATCGAATTTTTCATCGATCACAGAACCAAAATGTTCGAACTGCTCGGAAGGAGCATATGCCGGTGGGGCATCATAGGGCGCAGGTGAGTTCATTGTTGAAGTGTGTATAGATGTGACTAGCATTGAAGATTTTGATTTGTGTCGCTTTCCAAGAGTTTCCTCTTTTTTTGGATTAAATTCGTTAGAGGTATAAGGTAAGGTTGCTTTCAAGTAAGAAGTTATTGATACGAACGTGTTATTCTGAAAAAGCAGCTGTCGACATTTATACTTCCTCTACTAGTCGGCTCTTTAGGCATCGATGATTTGCCATCAAGCTTTTGTCGCTTCCCCAGGCAATATCAGCAACTGTGATTGAGGCATCGTGGCAGTGCTGCCTGGTCGGCTTATCCGGTTGTCATTAAGAGTCATAAGTCTCCAAGAAATCCTTCTAGGCCTCAACAATTCGTATTCGAGGCTCTTTCAATAATGAACCAATGCGGTGGAGTTACGCATAGAGCCCCCAATAATTATAGGCTAGAGCCCAATTAGTTCAAGTTCGGCAGCAAATACGCATAGTCAGCAATATTCGAAATAATAATGCCTAGATATGCAACCATATTGAAGGCTTGGGGTCGTATTGCATACCTATTAGGGCCAATGAGTCACAAAGGGGACAGTGCACTAGCTAAACCGCGAAAGGGACAGATCATCTAAAAACATCTTCTCTTCAAACAACATGACGACAAGATACCGAGTTGAATGTGAGTCAGATATTAACTCTAACAGATTAATTACCTTAATTTACCTTGGGAATGACACTAATCTTCCATTCTAGATGCGCTCAAGGTGATTTTACCTCTCTCTCTGTCCTTTTTCTTGCCCCCTCACTGACTCCGCAGTAGACCCATCGCCGGGATCAACTAGTAAGTCCTACCTAGTCCTCACAAGAAGAGCAAAGGATTCTAACAATTTTTGATAGATTGAATGGATCAAAGTATGTCGCTCAACTATTTCTCACATTGGTCAATTCTAATCCCTCTAGGGTCTACTGGCTGTTCCCTTTGTTTTGCATTCCCAGCCCACCGCCATTTACCAGGAACACGGTGAAGGGCTGAAGACCGTTGCTGCCGACACCCACCTGCGCTATGCAGAAATTATGAGAGATGTAGAAAATTTGATGCTCGATCATAGTAAGTCAAGTGGTATTCATGATGGCCTTCAACGAACTAATTGTCCCTTCAAGTTCATCATCATGAACGCAACGCCCCTGGAAAGTCCAAGTTGAATTTACTTGTCCCCACTGTTGGCACGTTCTTTACCCAGTTGTACTTGGAAGATGCATTCAAATATCAGGATCAAAAGCGGTTCATCAGCCGGCGACGATTTGTGGCCCCTTCATTCAACGACATCCGACTCATTTTAAACTCTGCTCAAGTATTGGGCCTTGTCCGCTCCAGTGATGTGAAATTGGTCACATTCGATGGAGATGTGACTCTGTATGATGATGGGGCTTGTCTCATGCCTGACAACCCGGTAATTCCCCGAATCTTGCGACTTCTCCAACAGGATCGCAAGGTCGGCATTGTCACTGCAGCTGGGTACACCGACGCGCCCAAGTATTATGAGCGGTTACAGGGTCTCCTGGATGCGATACATGATTCGACTACTCTCACTGCTGATCAGAAGCAAGGATTGATAGTCATGGGTGGTGAGAGCAATTTTCTGTTCCGCTTTGATCCGACCTCGGATGCCCGGCTGTGCTACGTGCCGCGGAGGGAGTGGCTTCTAGAGGAAATGAAGGCCTGGAGTGAGGACGATATCACGCAGCTGCTCGATCTAGCCGAGTCCGCCTTGCGTGCTTGTGCCGAAAATTTGAACTTACCTGCTGCGGTTTTGCGTAAGGATCGTGCGGTCGGTGTCTACCCTGTCAACGGCGTGCGGATCAACCGGGAGCAATTGGAAGAGACGGTTTTGGTTGTTCAAAACACAGTGCAGCGTTCGGCCGTTGGGTCGAGATTGCCATTCTGCGCTTTCAACGGCGGGAACGATGTTTTTGTCGATATTGGCGACAAATCATGGGGTGTGCGTGCCTGTCAGCGCTACTTCGGGGATATCAGTCCATCGAAAACTTTGCATGTTGGTGATCAATTCTTGTCTGCTGGAGCCAATGACTTCAAGGTATGGAGATACTATCATCGATTGTCAAATCAAACTAACGCTTCTCTCTAGGCTCGTCTTGCATCCACAACTGCTTGGATTGCAAGTCCTGCTGAGACTGTGGATCTACTCGATGAGTTGGAGAGTACAGTTCACCCGTAACACCGGAATATAGTATGCTATGGAATCAGATCTCGCTGATTTGTTGACTTTTGGCATGTCGTTTGCACCGCAAAGGCACCGTAGTACAATTTCTCGTTCATCATTCTAAAGATCGTCTCGATCCACTCAGGGAACTTTCATTTGGCTATTCTATTTTCAAAGCAGTGTATGTCCTCGACTACGAGTCTTGTAAGGAACAGGTCGAAAAAAAGCATCAAACGAAACATAAAATCACCCAAACTCCCAGGCATCAATGTACTCCAGATCATCTGTCAGTCTGGGGGATCTAGTTGCATAGCATCATACAAAGCGTAACCAACGTGTTGCACTATCGCCCGATATCACAAGGATAGCGGATGGCTCGCCGGCCAGTGTTGAGAAAATTCGGAAATTTCCCAGGGGCGTCATTGGCGTGGATTCCATGGGTGTTTGGAAAGAGGTTGAAGTCTTGTGGATGGAGATCGCTTCAAGGGGAGCTGGGAACCGAGGGTATGGATCGGAAGGTAGCAGGATCTGGAAGTTTTGGAACAAAGGAAATCGTTAACATTCGTAATTGAAGGGCATGGCACCAAGGGTCATCAGTTAACAGGGGGTCGATCCTTGGAGGGCCTAAATCGAGCAGAACGGAAGTCGGAATGGACAAGCAAAAAGCAAAACCGGAGTTGTCGTCAGTTTACGTACTCTCGTAGCAAGACCAGGTCTCATTAGTAGTAGCATGGGAGCGGCCCGACAGAACATTGACAACGTTCTGCAAGTCGAGCCAGAACTCGGACTTGGGACGACGGCGAGCCCAATCAGTTTCGGTCGCCTCGAGTCCGGAGTCGCCTCCCATAGGCGAGAACAGCACCTGGGATCCCTTTACACCAATCACGGCGGATGACAAGGGATCCGCAGCGATATCGTCACGGCTTTTGCCAACGTATCCTTCGATGTGCTCCATACACCTAATGGCCATACGCAGGGCACGCACACGATCCATAGGCGATGGCTTTCCACCTTGCTGGAAGTGTCCCGGAACGGCCGCACGAGACTCGAATCGACCCTTGGCTTCCTCCTTGATCATATCAGCGATGAATTGGGTGGTGTATGTGCCTGAGGCACACTCGTTGCGTAGGATGATCTTGCCGGCACGGTTAGCTCCTTTGTCGCGAATGAAGTTGTCGCGGAGGAAATCAATATCGCGCGAGATCATCTTGATATCCACACCCTCTTCTGGGATGTAGACTGCCACGGCACCGACGGCCAGACCAGCCGTAGTTGCAATGTATCCAGACTTTCCACCTTGGGTCTCAATGACGAACACTCGACGACGAGAAGAAGAGGCAGATTGACGAATGGCATCACAGAAGTCAATCAAGGTGTTCAGGCAGGTGTCGCTGCCTAGAGAGTACTCGGTTCCGGGAACGTTGTTGGAGATAGTAGCTGGGAGCACAATAAGTGGGATCTTGAACGCGTCATACTTCGCGCGAGCCTGGCGCAGCTCACTGACGGCTGTGAAAGCCTCAAAGCCACCAACAACAAACAAGGCGTCAAACTTGTACAGCTCAAAGCACTTAGCAACGTTTTCCATGTCAGCAGATGGAAGGCTACGGTTAGTTCCAATATCGGAACCACCCTCGTTAACCCAGCTATCGGCTTCCAGCCAAGTGACCTCACGCACTGAGCTGATCGGCTTGTCGTCGTGGTGGCGGCACAGTCCGGGAAAACCGTTGTGAATAGCCAGCGGGGTGTGGCCACGGGTCAAAGAGTATGCGACAGCGGCACGAGTCGCTTGGTTCATACCACCGGCCGGGGCACCAACGTGAATAATGGCAATGCGCATTCTCTATAGGAAATCAGTATCTGGAGGTGTGGGATTGGTATGATAGGCTGGTGGATAAAAGCATACCTTTCCCTCTGGAAGAGTCATCTTAGGGTGCTCTGGAATCGCCGTGTTCAGATAGGCGTTGTAGTATTCCTTGAACTCGGGATCGCGCATCTCCATAGCAGTGTCAAATTCTTTGTTGTCAATCTTCGAGGCCACGTTCTTGGTTGCTTGAACTGCTTCCATCAACGGGGTGCGCATGATCTTGTTTTCGCGGATAGTGATGACCGGAGAGGGTGATTCAGGTGACATTTCCAGCACGGCACGGACGGCCTCCACTCCCTGCAAGGTGGAGAGCCAGCGGTCGTAGGCGCATGCTGCGCCACCTCGTTGGGTGTGGCCCAGGATAGTGACTCGGGTGTCCAATTCCAAGCGATCTGTGAGAATATCCTTGATCTTTGAGCTCGAAACCTTGTTCAATTGGCGATCCTGGGCTCCCTCGGCGACGATGACAATGGTACGGCGCTTGCCGCGTTCGGTACGGTTCTGCAAAATCCAACGTGTCAGTCCAGATGATCATTCAATGTTGATCATTCAATGTTGATCTCCCAATTCGCACCTTGGTGATCACAGAGCACATTTCATCTTCCCATCCTTCCTTGGGGGGCATCTCGGGAAGGAACAACCAATCAGCACCGGTACTGATAGCTGACATCAGGGCAAGCCATCCACAGTGACGGCCCATGACCTCAATGACGAAGCCACGCTGGTGGGAGAACGCAGTATCGAAGACGTCGTCGACAGCATCACAGATGCGGGTGAGGGATGAATAGCAACCGATGGTGGCATCTGTTCCGGACATATCATTGTCAATAGAACCCACGAGTCCCACGATGTTCAGCACCTTGTATGGTTCCACCTGCTCTGCGGACAGCTCGCCCGAAGCGATGAGGTCCTCCAACAGGCTCGGCCACTCTGCACGGAAGACATCGGCACCAGTCAAACTGCCATCACCACCACAGACGACCAAAGCATCGATACCACGGAGGACCATGTTCTTCGCAGCCTTCATACGGCCAGCGCGCTCACGGAATCCCTTGCTGCGGGCAGAACCAATAAGAGTACCTCCGCGGGATAACCATCCACGGACATCCTCCCAGTGCAACTGGCGGATCAAGTTACCACCATTCACCAAACCCTCATATCCTTCGAAGATGGCGTAGGCTTCACAATCGCAGTGAATTGCCATGCGAACAACGGCCCGCACGGCACCATTCATACCGGGGGCATCTCCACCGGAGGTGAGAACACCGATACGGCGTCTCTTAGCCGGCTGAGTAGGAATCTTGAGTGGCTCCATTGTCGGGATCAATTCAAAGTATCGACCCGAAGTAGAGATTAATCAAGAGAATGGGGTAATGATTGTAATAATTGGCAAACAAAAGTAAAAGACAAGAAGAAGGGAAAAAAAGAGCCGATACAAGGCGTTGTAAAGCTCCAATTATGAATGGGTGGGATGTGGAGGGGTCAACCCAATCCGGTGAGAGAAATTGGGCAGAAGGTGGGTGCTTTGCGTCACAAAAACTTGTGAAGAGCTAACCGGTTGATCTTGAAACTTACAACTTAAAACAAGTTCAGGCTTGAGAGATGATTCAATTTATATAGTAAGATGGGAATATATTCCGCGATGGTCAGACTTAAGTTGACATGGCCTGACATTCCATCCCTCAGTACCTTCATGGTACCTGCGTTTCCTTATGAATTGGCTGCACGACGCATGTCACCGTCTGGTTCTTTTAGGCTTAGTGCGGGACAGCGGAAGTGCGGGCGGTGAATGGTGACGTCAATGTGTTTTGGTTAGTTTAACTTGTTTGTCTCGCCATATTTGATCTGTTTGAATTCATAATGACATCTTGATACTCATTGACCTCATCACATTATACTCTTCAGGGCTCCTTCACTCTATCATCGTTCTTTTTCCATCATAAACCATCACAAGCTATCATTTCCAACCTCAGCGAGTGATATAGCCACCATTGGTGAAGATGCTCTGACCAGTAATATACACACCCTCCGTGCACAGGAATCGGATCAGAGCAATATCCTGCACCATCATTAGCCGGTTACCCATACCATTGCTCTTATCGAAGGGCAGACTCGGGGGACTCTTGTAGATAAAAATAAGCCTTCGGGGGTCAGTTACAGGATCTGTGGCACAGGGTCACAACTCAACTCAGGGGTATCTATGGGACCTGGCCACGTTGTTGACACTGACACGTCGGGCCTGCAGCTCTTTGCACAATCTTGTGTGGTGCTCCACAGGTGCCTTTGATCCAGCATAGGATGTGTAGAATCCGGTGAAAGCTCCGAGCAATGCAGTCTAACGAAACATGGGCAGCAGCAAATTTGAGAATGAAACACGCAGCCTTGGAATTTATTCTATGTGGTAATGTCAATTGTCGGTACGGTTTTCTTCCGAGAAAAGGTCTTCTACATACGCGAAAATGGAGTCATATTCCTCCTCCGATGTCTTGGTAATGGGCTTCTTCTAACACCTTGTCCACAGTATTGACGACGATATTAATCTTACCAAAACCCTTCACCATGGACTGGAAAAGATGTTCAACTGCAGTAGCGGTGGTCAAATCACCCTGATAAAAGGCCACCTTCAAGCTAGAGTACTTGTTCAATGAAGCATCCAACTGCATTGTCCTTGCTACTTGCAAAGTAGTAGTGTAGTGAAGCGCCAAATTGGCACAAGCACTGGCCAATTTCTCGGCAGTTGCCGCCCCTAGGTTCTTGACACCTCCAGTGATCAGCGCGATATCGCCGTTCAATGCTATGTTAAAAGAGTATGAATCACGAGCACTTCGGATTTCAAAATGAAAAGATTGAATGAGATTAGGAATAAAATCCGTGCGACTACCTCCAAATTAATAATTCACATGCGCTCGCGGTCCGCTAGGCGAGTAACATATCCAATGCCCCATGACAACAAATATTCTGCGAACAGCAATTTGGTTGGCTCGTGGATGCTTGCAGCTGAAAAATAAGCCACAAAGAAGACAGGTCAATCCTGCAAATCTCCGAGCGGGCTCTGGGCCTAACTTTACCAGGACAATGGTTGCACGAATGGTATTTCTTCCTGATATGCCCTTAGTCCACCTCGGCTGGGAGCTGGACGATGTGTAGCATCATCTGGTGAAGGTCAATCTATGTCTCATATTCAATAGTGCCGCTTTTTGTGACGATCCAATTGAGCACACAAAATTCATACAGGTTACCTATTCCAGCCCTCAGCTCAATATGGTGGTTAATACGAAGGGTAAGTCGGCCACCTCGAACACTCACACACTGTATTCACAATCTTAGCCCACTGGTTACATTCATGGTTTGCTTGGTTGCTGAGAATATATTAATTTAAAATACATTAGGATGAGAATCCATCATCAACGATTTTCCACAACGCTCAGCCTAACGCCTGCATGAATTATCTGTTGTGGTCAGCTTCAAATTGGTCTTTTTGACATTAGACACTTCACTTACCCTGAGCACGAGTGGCTGCCCTCGGTCTTGGGATTTTTGCATTCACTGCTGCAGAGCTTTGGGTGTCCAACGTCACCAGGGTTCTTGCAGTGGAACAGAACATTTTTCAAATCCTCCTTCTCCAGGTCTGAGCCTTTCAAGGCATCCTTAAGATCATCCTCGGTGAATCCTTATTAATTGATTAGTTCGTTGTAACAAACAAGGCGAGCATTCAGTCCATTACCTTTGTCTTTGATCAAGACATCAGAGCAGTAATCAAAACTAGGAGTGCAGGTCTTTTGTGCGAGCCCACTTGTGGCCAGAGCAAAAAGTGTAACAAGGACAGATGAGAATTTCATGGTGAATTGGATTTCGGTTCTTTTGGCAAAGCAATGAAGTGAGGAGGAATAGATGGGAATGGCGAAATTATTATATGTTACAGCTAACCCTCCGAAATGATCAAGGCACAACCCAAGAGTTCGCATTCCTAGGACTCGTCTACAAAGCTTGGTCCTAGACCGCTACTTTGGAATGTTACCGGGAATGTAGGTAGGCCATCTACATACCTGGACTGGAACGTGGAGGATTTACTAGGCATCCCCAAGATTCTTAAACTGATGAGGTCACCAATTATAATATAAGTGATAACTAGTATGCTTAAAATATGAGAGTCATCTATAAGAGAAACATAATTCCGTCGACATTTCCGCTTGCGAAATCAAGCAATTTCTACAAACCATGTGGCGGAATGTGGAGCTCACACTCTAGATGTATAGACCCCATACCTAGGTAGTTTACCCCATAGTTTGCTGTAGTGGGCAGCATGTATCGTCAGATTATGTCTTCATACATACTTATACCATATCTTAGGGATACACCATTGTTCTATACCAAAAACTAACTAAAGGCTCTATTCCCACTCGGGCAATTGTATCCATTGAGATAAGATAAACCCCGCACTCCACGAAAGCTCATACATATATCTTCCAAGCCCAATGCGTAAAATTCTCGCATAAACATCTGAGCACTTTACCCTTGACATACCTAGGTAAAAATTCATTGGCTTTTTTTTCACCAATGGCACCTAATGACTCCGGTAATTCAATTGATCCTATTCCTCCAATTAAGGCTATGCTCAACCAAGAACACCTTTAGGTGTGCCGCAAAAATGCATGTAAAATCTGACTTGACATAGTTTTCAGCCTTATCGTGGCTGATCCAGGCCTGCCACGGTCCAATCCTACCCAATCTTACTGGCAGCACATTCCGCATGCTCTCGCTGACATCCAATCCCCGGATTTGCCAGCCAATCGAGACTTTGCTGTTATTGGATCAGGAATCACGGGTTTAGCGGTGACAAAAACCCTCTTGGAGCGCCATTCTACTGCTACAGTAACCGTTCTGGAGGCTCGTACCCTGTGTTCGGGTGCAACTGGACGCAATGGTGGTCAAATGGCTGCGAATGCTGGAGAACAGTATTTGAATCTAGCAGAAACTCATGGGGCCGAAACAGCGGGCAAGATTGTGGACTTTACATTCCGTAACTTGGAGAAGATGCAGGAATTAATCAAGGAGTACGAGGTGGTAGAGTTAAGCGAGTTGCAGAATTTGCGGAAACTGCGAGTCTTTTTGACACAGGGGAAATTTGACGATTTCAAGAAAAGCATTGCCCGTCTAGAAGCAGATCACCCTTCCAGGAGAGGGTTATATACAATCCTGGATGCGGATGCAGTCGTGAAAGTCAGTTTTGCTCATGCTTAGTGCGTTGCGTATTATGTCGCTGAAACGTGCCACTCCGACTTTTAATTTAGGAACATGGAATCCACGGCACATCTGGAGGAGCATTGCTTCCTGCAGGAACAGTCTGGCCATATCGTCTGGTCACCAAAGTGTTCTCGGCGCTCTTGGAAAAATATCCTGGGCGACTGACAATTGAAACACATACTCCAGTTGAATCAATTGAGCATACTTCTATACGTGCCTCGCCTATCACGGCCATTGGTTCATACGTACTACGCACTTCTCGCGGTCCATTGCGAGCCAGCGCCGTAGTGCATTGCACCAATGGGTATAGTGGGCATCTTGTCCCAGGCCTCAGAGGACTTGTCTATCCTTTCAAAGGAACGATGACTGTTCAAGATCCAGAGAACTCGGTACCTAACCAAGGCACTGCTATCTCATGGGGCTTCCACTATCCTCCCTCTTGTGACCCCGAAACAAAGCGGATTGGATACGGGCTGTATTATCTAGGACAAAGTGCAAAGACTGGATATTTCTACTTTGGCGGCGAGAATGCACGCATTGACGAGTCAGTGTCGGCAGACGATAGCTTTGTGGCTGAACACTCCGTTGTCCACCTTCAATCGGTCCTACCACGATTTTTCGGCAAAAATGTTAGATCCAACTGGCGGCTGATCAGTGCCTGGAGTGGTATTATGGGTTATTCGCCTGACGGTCTTCCAATAGTCGGACAATTGTCGTGTAAACTGACAGAGCGAAAGGGGGATGGTGAGTGGATTGCCGCTGCATTCAATGGTTATGGCATGGCGAATAGCCTGCTAAGTGGGGAGGCTTTGGGTTTGATGATATTGGGAGAAGATGTCAGCAGTTGGCTCCCAATGGCCTACGGATTGGGCGAAAGAAGGCTGCGAGAGGCGCTCACGATCCCAAAGGCCATCAGTGCTCTGAACTCGAAGCTATGAGATTGTCTCAATTTGAAATTTTTGGAACAAACTTGCTGATATTTCTATCTGATCATATTCCAGTGGATTCGGCTTGCCATCACAATGTAGGGTATCAAAACAGGTCAAAGTTTATCCGTATTCACATCGGAGAAACCTGCTTTTTTTCGTAGGTGATCGACTCGGTCGGAACACATTTCTTCGGCTTTTTGACAAAAAGTCAAAAAGGCTTCAAAAAGCGAGAAAAAAAATGGACTCGCGGGGAATCGAACCCCGGACCACTCCCATGCTAAGGGAGTATTATACCACTAAACCACAAGCCCGGTGAGATGGAAGTGGCGAGGAAATTTCGGCTTAAGGCGGGCTCGGTGGAGTACTCGACTTCAGCCCGATCCTCATTTCAGGTCAGTGTAGTGGCTCGGACATAATCCATCAACGACAGAGGAGAGGTAGTCAGAGGCTTCCAGACACGGGGACTGGAATCGTGGGAAGATTTTTCAAATTGTCCACGCCCAGTCCCATCGATACAACGCACGGTGTAGATTTCAAGAGACAATTCATGGCGGGAAAAGGCAATCTTCATCTTCTTGCGCTTGAGTGAATCTGATGACAACAGGAGTTCGCCGTGCTGAGGGTAAATTGCTTGCCATAATTGTTTCTCTGGGTTCTCGGGGTTGGTTTTGAAAGGTTCGTTGGAGATGGCGAAGACAACATCAATTAGCAACAAATGGGTGATGGCGGCTTCAACTTCGTCTTTATGAGAAAGGCGACCGGGAGACTTGAGGTCTAGGTATTTGGGCATATCGAATGACACATCAAAGTTGGTGCCATGGGGGGGCAAAGAAAGGTTTGTGCGAATGGAGATTGAGAAAGAACCCTTAGGAGCCAACAATTCTCCCTTGAAAGTAGACTCGAAGGGAGTCAAGAAGTTTTCGACAAGGGCTTCCACGGTCGGAGCATGAGAATTTTGTCCCTGTCCCGTCGAGAAAATCTCTGCGGTGTAACCTTGGGGGTTCAAGTTTGCCGACCGCAGTACAGCAAAGAGATCATTCAGTAATGATTTGAGCCACCTTACATGAGACATGTGCTGAATGTAGGCTAAGGCTGGGCGAAGAAGCTGATGTTCAGGAACCGATCGCTTCTTTGTAACCAAGGGTGGTGGAAGTAGAGTCCGACGTTGTAGGTTTTGACGGTGAGCATACGCCAACAGGATTCGAATCGTATGGGCCAAACCCTCCGCAAGTGAGTTCCCTTGCTGTGAGATACCCTGGTCGGGCTGCAGGTTATTTCCATCGACGTCCACCATGTCCAGGAGGATCTCAAGATCATCAGAGGCAGGGATTTGGATAAGATTCTGACGCGTCGTCACGCCGAAGCTTGCGATCGCCCGAGCTTCTCGCACCAGCTCATGGTAGAGTTCCTCTTCAAAGACAGTGTCCCGTGCTTGTAAGATACGACCTTCGATTGTGTCCTCGCCATTCAACGTGGGATGAATTGGTTTAGAATAACCCGAAATCCGGCCATCTTGTACCACTCGAACCCGGACGTAACGGGCTTTGGAGGGAATGAGTCCCTTGTCCAGCAGCAACCCACCATCTTCGGCTCGGCGTAAGGAGGCAAGCCCGCGGTCGCGAAAAACTGGTGTAGCTATATTGTGGGGTTAGGAAATGTATATCGTGATTTGCATTTGCGCTCACCTTCAAGGAATCCATATTGCACACCTAGCGCTTGTCTTTCACGAGGGAGTCGAGAAACCTTCCATCCTTTGTTTTTGACAGCCAGTACCTCATTCCAGTATCGAGTCTCCGACGCGACTTCGGATTCAAGTCTGGTGGCGGACTGCAGAAGCTTATTTGCGGCCCCATTGAAGTTTTGAATCCGCCATCCCCTCGACACCGCTGAAATATCTTTCGCTGTTGATTCTGGCTTCGGTGGGGGGTTCACAACCTCGGCATTGAGCGAACCTAGGGGTGCGACTTGCTTGAGGAAGGCCGACATGGAGGTCTCGGCCTGGCGCGGGGCTTGCTTGGAGAGCAACAGAGAGACGAAATCGAGGGCGAACATGGTCTCCATATGAGCTTGCCTGAAATATCATCCATCATCAATTCTGAGCTTCAAACCACTCGTTCGAACCCAATAAACTCACATGGCGAACTGGGTGATGTCTGCACGCCGCTTGTATAATTGCTCCAAGCGCTCCGTCGAATCAAGATCAGTCACATCTTCACTCTCACTATCCTCATCCAGCTCATCCTTGTCTTTCTCTTCGGCGATCTTGTTTCGGAGAACCTCTTCGTTCACATCGCGAAATGAACCCCACTGGTTATTGATTTGAGCGATCTCGACAGGCAAAGTATCCGGGCGGTCATTCTTCTCGAGGATGGGGCGCAATGGTAAATTGAACGAGTCGGCCATGGCGTTCAGGGGACCACTCCTTGGGATGTTTCAATCAAAAGGTTCAAAAAGAAGTGACAGTCGCAGGTTCATATCGGTGACGCAAGTTGCACGTGATCTAGGATTTGTGAGAGGGAAGAAAAGAAGAGAGGAGAGATCCATGGATGATAAAAGAATTAGTTATGATTATTATTACTCCCTAGACACCTATGCATGTATTATATGGATCAAAATGATCCTTGTCTAGGAGTTTTCGATTAATAAGATTTCGAGGTGAAGCTTGGAGTGACGAACTGTTATATATATGTATAGTTACCCCCATACATATGTAGGTACATATCTAGGATCTTCGTTTTCCAATAATTCTTTACCCTGTATGGATTTCTTCCGTATCCTGGAATGAGAATGGAGATTATATTGTGATCGAACACAAGGTATAAACGTGTGATGCCCGGAGTTAACCCTCGGGACCTTCTCAGCAATCCCGTTTCTCCACCATCATACTTTATTCACTCTTTGACATCTTCCCCCCTTTATTGATTTCACTTACTGCTTTTTACTATCTTATATAATGGCTTCATATCTTGTGACCGGCTCTTCTCGGGGCCTTGGATTGGCGTTAATCGCTCGTCTCGCGACATTTTCTAAAACCGAGGTGGGAACTATCATCGCGACCGCTCGCCAGGATAATTCTTCTCAACTGAAAGAAATCGTCGATGCATCGTCAGGGCGAGTACAGCTGGTCAAGTTAGATGTGACTGATGCATTGAGTGTTCAAGAGGCCGTCCAAGCAGTTGAGCGCCAGCTACAAGGCAAAGGACTTGACTATCTGATCAACAACGCGGGAGCAATGGACTGGTCGCCAACAGGAATAGAAGGAATGTACGTAGGAATCATATAATAAAGTATTTGCTGTGATACTGATTTGACAGGGACAATCTGACCGAGATGTTGAATGTCAATACTACGGGACCACATATTGTCTCGCGGGCTTTCTTGCCGCTTCTTCGCAAAGGAGAAAAGAAAACTGTGATAAACATGTGAGTAAAAGTGACTAGAGGCCTTGGTATCACCAGGAAACTGATTGAGTTCAAGATCGACCACTCTAGGCTCCATTGCTATGGTTGATGCGTTTCGACTCCTGCCCTCGCCGGCATATAAGATCTCTAAGGCCGCTCTTAACATGCTTACTGCGCAATATGCTAAGCAATATGCCAATGACGGCTTTACTTTCTTGGGGATCAGTCCCGGGGTAAGTCAAGATTCCGGTGTTTTCTACAAGCCGAGGGCTTTTCACAATGTTGCTAACACCGACAGTGGCTACGCACTGACCTTGGCAGTTCTCGGGCAGATCTCTCAGTTGAAACAGGGGCTGAAAAGGTGCTGGATATTATCCAACAAGCAACACCAAAGCAGAATGGGAAATTCCTCAACATACATGTCCCCGGATGGGAGACGCGGGAGGGTGCAAATCAATATGACGGCAAAGAGATTCCTTGGTAATGGGCAGGCTTTGGACAGACACACTCTATGTCGCCTTCTTTTATTGACAAGCCAATAGAACCATCACATATTGTTCAATTCTGCTATCGCACCACCTAGTATACCATCGCTGCGAGTCAATAGTCCCAAGTAAATGGATGACCTGCACAAATGGAAAACAAAAAACAAAAAACTCCAATCGACTACCCTCTTCACTTCTTGTGTGGTTGCCGAGTTTTCACAAAATCTACCAGATCGAAGAAACTCTTCTTGTAATGCCGTTGTTGGGTCGTGCGATTGACACTTTGAATGCCAAATTGCTGTGTGTAGTCTCCAAACTCCCAATTATCAACGAAGCTCCAAGCAAGCGCTCCCATAACATGCACACCATCCTCATAGATGGACTTGAGAATTTCCGACATGAAGGAAAGGTAATAAGCACTGCGCGGGGAGTCGAAGAGTTGATCAGAAAGCTCCTCCAGTTCCGCCTCCGCGTGCACCGGGAATCCAAATTCTGATACTAGAACTGGGTGACGGAAAGTGTTCCACAAATAGTAAAGATACTCTCGGAAATGTGCCGGTGTGATATACACGTAAGATTCCGAGCGATAACCAATGTTCCATCCATAGACATTTTTTGTTTCTTGGTTGACACAATATGGGAAAAGTGAGTTTGAGCTTGATCTATTGGCCGCACAATCTTTGATGCCTTCACTAGCAGGAGACACCACTGTGGCGGTGTAAGGATCGATGCCAAAGAAGTCCGACGTGTGGTTGATGTATTTCAGCTCGGATTTGCTCAAAGGCTGGGCTCCGGGGAGTGTTTTCAACACAGACTCCGGGTACTGCTTGCCCAAGAAAATTGGATTTGCGAAAATGCCTAATTGCATTTCTTGGAATCGATCAGCGGCCAATATATGGCTGGAATTTTTCGCATCTTTCGGTACTCCAAAGTTGTCGTTGAACTTAATCCCTATCTTTCCTGTTGCTTTCAATTCTTCGTGATAAAATCGATAGATCTGGGCGTGTGCCTTGACGACGTGGTCAACACCCTTGAAATTGAATGCGTACAACAGAGGCTCGTTGAAAGTGATCCAAATGGGAACTCGGTCGGCATAATGGGAAAGAATGATCTAGGAGGGAGCAAGTTAGTATTTCATCCGCAACAGGAACAATGGGTTAAACAATCATACCTTCCCATAGTTCACAAATGCGTCAACAAAGGTTTCATTTTGATAACCTGCATTGTTGTAGCCGATATCAGGACGCTTCGTGATATTGTCACTAGCGACGAACATCAGCGGGCTGTCGAAGTGAAGCATGGTGACAACTGGCTGGAGTCATTGTTAGCATATTTAAATCTAATCACTTCTGGGAGTGCGAAACCGCCTACTGTCATCCCTGCATCGAGGACTGCATCAATCAAGTCATCATAATGATCAATAGCTTGTTGGTTGACCGGCGTTCCTGGCAGAGCAAAGGGTAAGATCCGCGTCCAGGGAATAGTAAAGCTGTAGTATTCCACACCCATGGCGGCCAGTCGCTGGATATCCTGCTTATAAAGGAAGTAGTTCTCATTGGTGACATAATCCTTCGGCTTGCTGTCGGGTACCAATTTCTCTAATAATGAAGGACCACGGCCGTCCAGACCAACTGCGCCTTCGATTTGTGCTGCACTGCCCGCAACACCGAAGATGAAGTCCTTAGGGAAATTATAACAGTCTGTGGGCCCAAAGTAGTCCCGAGGGGGCAAGACCAGCTCACTGCTGGGCACGGGGGTAGGACTGACGGTTGTTGAGAACATTCCAGTGGTAGTCTGATGTGGGGAGTTTCAGCTTCAGTTCGTTTAAGGGTGAGAACCTCAAGTGTGCGACATACGTAGTTATGGAGATCCGCCTGCTGCCACATCGAGGACCATGCAGCTTGTCCATAAGGATCGTCTGAGTCAGTGGCAATGATGACAGTTTGTCCTGGAACCCAGCTGCCCCATGTTGTTGTCGACCAGCTGGTGGATAAACTCTTGACCGCATCTGTATATGCGGAGGCGTACATCCGCGTGGTCGTTGGGGAAGGAACTGATGTTGCGTATCTTATACTTCGATCAGCAATTGATGGAGCTGAAATCGTTCAAAGCACTCACCGGACAGTCTCGTTCAGCGTGTATGAAAATGGCTCAAAATGGTAGTTCTGGGTCACATCCAACTGAGTGCATTGTGGTCGAGCTGAATTACCGGTTGTCGTCAAATATAGCTCCTGTGCCTCTACGGCTACAGCAAAAGCTGCGATGGAAACAAAGAGCCTCATTTTTTGAATGTTGAGATTCAGTTGTCAGATGGGAATGTGAATTTCTTTTTAAATAACCATCATCCGGGCGAGTAGCTTTCCAAATTTGGGCCGGTTAATTGTCGGCCCATGGAATAATCACTGGCCTACTATATGCATAGTGTGAACCCAAATTTGCTTCTTTCGATTGGAGATTTAGTGCCACTTTAGCATGAAGACAGGCCACAATAGGCGTTGATCGACAAGCTGGGCAGACGTAGCCATAAGATGAACAGTTGCAATTTCCGGTTACATCTGTGGAAATCCCCGGTTTCTCCGCATTCTGGTTTCAGCCTGCAGGTTGTAGATGTGGGGAGATTCAAAACCAGGGCTCAGGCCGAGGATGATCGGATAATTCTCCGTGTGCTATTCAAAACAAGCCCTTCGGGGAAATGTCTTCGGAGAAAATAATTTCGGAGAAATTTGATAATTGAGGTTTGTGCCAACGAAGATGTAAAACGTACATTATGTGTAAGTTCTTGTGTTGCAGGCTGATATATTTATAAACGCTGGCCTTATCCATCTCACTGGGCTTGTGGTTTAGTGGTATAATACTCCCTTAGCATGGGAGTGGTCCGGGGTTCGATTCCCCGCGAGTCCATTTTTTTAATGGATTCCCATCCTTAATGATGGAGAGGACATTTTTGAGGCCTTGCCTATAGGGAATTCATATCAATCCCCAATTCTTATTTCTGTGAAGATAAAATCATTCAAGTTTTTGTTCAAATAGGGTTTTATTTTTTAGAGTACTGATCCTGCGAGAATTGAAGGTGGTGACTGGTGTAACGAAAATTTGTTCTAGAAAAATTCACCATAAACTTGTTACTCTGAATTGAAATCGATCACAATCCGTCCGGCCACTTCTCCCCTTCGTAATTTCTCCACAGCCTCGGGCATGCGATTCACTGGGTAAATCTCGCATATCTGTCGGAGCATTCCTCGTCGGGCATAATCCAATGCCATTGCAGTGTCCCTTCGGCTACCAACAAGGGTGCCTTTGATGACAAGATTTTTAAAGATATACTCGCAGGGGTCAGTACCCAAGGTCATAGATCCGGCCTCAGGGAGACCGATGCACATCACAATACTTCCAATACGGTCACCGACAAACGAGATTGCGGTTTTATAAGCAGCAGGGGCTGTCACGAACACTCCATGGACACCAATCCCATCAGCAATTTCGATCACAGCCTTGGTGGGATCGGCGACTTCTTTGAAGTCCACAAATGCCTCTGCTCCCATCTCCATTGACAGCTTTTGCTTAGCCTCTCCTGTGTCCACCACAATTGGACGCATTCCCATAGCTTTGGCAAGCTGTACGCCTTGAATACCAACGCCACCACCTCCCCCGGGGAACACAACCCAAGCCCCCGATCGAAGGTTAGACTCTACTAAAGATCGATAGATAGTGCTGGCACTGCACATGATTGGAGCAGCGACTTCATCGGACACCCCATCTGGAATTGGTGATGCATATCGTGCCGGTGAGATCAAGTATTGCTGATAAGTGCCTGGCACAATGAACCATCGTCAGAATCGGCCCTTTGGATCTACTGAGAGAGATTGGACTCACCAGCTGTCATTAGCCCAGCATGTATCGCGCGCTTGCAATATGTCTCCTTGTCATCCCAGCAAAGTGTACAAGACCCACATGTGTCTATGATGGGTTTGATCCCAGCTCTATCACCGAGTTTGAAATTCGTCACGTTGGCACCCACTTTCACCACTACACCCGCGCCCTCGTGCCCGGGAGATCGTACGCCAAATGAAGACATGGGCGGAAGTCCCAAATCCCCTTGCATCATATGGATATCAGACGAGCATAGCCCAGTGTAGTTCAACCTGATCAAGATATCATCAGGACCTGTACAAGGAATGTTAGTAGGTACTAGATTCAAAGTAGTTGAGCAGGTCCTTGTTTCAATCAAATGCTGGAATCTTACCGGGTTGAGGCACAGGAACCATCTGTACCTCGAGATGGAAATTAGGGCCTTCATTAACCACTACCCCAGCTTTGCAGTGTGTAGGTATCTCAAAATGAGAATCATATATGCTTGGACTCATTTTGAGGTGGTTGGCGGTGCTGGTTCAAAATGTGCTTGAAGTGCTGAGATCACTCACCAAGTAGATATAACATCCATTGGGACGAAAGTATAAGTAGCCGGACTGACACCGAGGTAAAACATTGCGGAAATTGCCGTGATGGTAACCCCTCTTTCTTTTTCTACATGCAAATGTACGTATCTCCTCAGTGGCTATTTGATTCCCCGAGGATTACGCGGAAAGTGGCTTTAACCCGTATATCCGGGTTTACCCCACGAGCAGGGCCAAACATGAGCAACTTCTGGGAGCATGAGTAAAGAGGCAATACCATTAAAGATATGTTGAATTTGAAACAATTATTCACAAAACGCCAAGTCTTCCTGCAAATGAACAGCCAGAAGAGAATCACAGATTCGGAGAATATATGCTGATACATCAAGTTCGAAACGTAAGAAGGCCAGATAAGCTAGAATGAAAAGAAATAAAGAATAGAAAGCAAAGTAGAATCAATCCCAAATCAACCATCCGCAGGATCCGCCAATGCCGATCATCACCAGCACTGTCAAAATACCAGCACCAGCCTTGTCACCTGTAGTGATGGAGTAGTCAAGACCAGGGGGAACGGTTTTGGGGGGCTTGGACCCTGCATTCGGGTTTCCTTTACTCGTACCACCGTCATCGTTGGTAACTGGAGCTGCGACTCGAGTGATCAGATTTGCCTGAATTACTTCGAGGGCAGCCATTTGCTGGCCAAAGTCTTTCGTTTTGTCCCACTTCTGGTCTGTCCACCTTAGGCCGCATACATTGTTCTTCTCACCCCCAGTACAAGTCCTGGCAGCTGCCTTTCCAGAAGCCCTCAACCGTGTCATGACTTGGTCAAACGTGAAAGGAGCCATTTGGGTAGTCTGAGCCATCCAACGCGCCAGATAACCCTTGAACGACCGCTGGTCAACCATACATGTATTGACTGTCTCACAGGCTCGCTCGTACATGACGTTGGGTGGGTCGTGTGAGAAGAAAACACTTGAAGCATCTATGATCTTTTGGGTGCGATCCTTCCACTTCGCATCTTCGGTCTGTTTAGAATGTTAACCCATGGTTTGAATGCCGATATGTTCACGTCCACTTACCAAGTTATACATATTGGCAGCACCGAGCAAGTAAACACCAGCGTTGTAGGTCCATTCGATCTCGTTGATCGGTTTGCAATCGCTGAGGTCGCTAGCTCCATCCCAGAAGCGATACTCGGGAGTCATGAATCCAACATCGGCGGTCCAATCCCAGGCTTTTTCAGCCCATTCCGCGTAGGTTTCGTTTTTGGTGTATTTTGCCAGACGGGAAGCAAGATTGAAGAAACCACCAGTGGAAATAGTATTCTTGTAATTGTATCCATTGTTCCACGTGAAGATTTGCCAGCGCAAGCCTCCTCCACATGACGAGGTGTCCCATCGGGGCGCTTGGGTGTTGAAGACTGCTTGGGCCATTTCAAGCCACTGAGGTTGGTCATCAGGTGGGTTGGGGAAGTTTCGCTCCGCGGCAGACATAGCAGCGAAGCCCCAGAAAACTTGATCGTCGTTTCCCTCAGTTTTGCTCTGATTGTTAGGCATAAACGCTTTATTGTCTCCAGCCTGCCAAACCATACCCTGAATGGTGATATCGTTCCAGGTATCGTCGCCCGTATAAAACCAGTAATCGATGAGTGTGTTAAACATCGCACCTGCCTCCCACCAGTAGTAAGGGTCGGGCAAGTTGCCGGGATTATCGCCAGGGTTCATGCCGGTATAGTAACTCATCATGTTTGTCGCGACTTGCTTGGCTACCTTTTTGATCGAGTCTTCAGGTTCCAATTAGCCACTGAAGTAAAAGAAGCAGCAAGATAACAGGACCCACCTTCATCATCGAGATCCAACTCCATGGCCTGCACAGTTGAAGTGCCTAGTAGAATTGTAGCCAACAAACCCATCCATGAGAGGCTTGATGCCTCATTGAATAAGCGCATGGCAGATGCTATGTCGACCGAAAAGAGAGTAAAGGAAAAGTAAGTCAGCGAGGAACAAATTGCCAGACCTCAATGGCACGATCGTTTCAAAAGGCAGCTAGCAAAGCCCAGATTCCCGCAATGTTTTCAAGCCGCAATGTTTTCAAAAAAGAAGAAGACCAGAAGTTGAACTGCAGTCACAGTCACTTTCAAGGGAGTATATGCAGACTAATGAGTTAGTGACTCTCACCCTCAATTGTTGATCGATCGCAGATAGGAAAATGCGAAGAAAAGACAGCCCGGGCGACGTCAGACTCAGTGAAGCAAAACTGCGAGAGGAAAGTGCGTGTGGATCAAAAGGCCACATTCCAGTTTCCCTATGAGCATTGGTATGGTAACAAGGCGTGGCCCTCCAAACTGTCGCCGCTCCTGTAGGGGGAAACGAACGCATGCTCGACACTCGACTGCATCAAGCATGGTCCCAGAAAGCCCATGGTAATTCAAACCCAAGCAAATTCACCACGCGACTGTAGTGCAACGTTGAACCCGTCATTTCCATGGGTCGCTCATTATTGCTCCACGCCTGGGCAGCGGCGTGGCATTCCAGGACAGGTGTCAAAAGCTTTGCCTGGCCAATCGAGGGAGTTGGCAAATCCGCAGGAATCATAGTCGATCATGGGAGATAGTGGATCGGGGGCGAAGATAGGGTGATTTGTGACTGCAAACGAACGCGTTGCAACGATCGACACATTCCGCTCTTGTAACTTGTATCCCTGTCCGGCAGGGGGCGTGTCGTTTGACCTTATCTTTTCAGCACGCAAAAGACTGTAATCAAATTGTGAGCCGACAACTGACGACTGTCTTCTATTGTTGAGATCGTCTCAAAGGCACAGTAAAGCGTTAACTCGGTTGAAGGCGTCATCTCCAAGGGGCATCTGGACACACCATAGCTTTTTAGCTACGCAAATGCCATAGGTAATCCCTTCAAGGGAGCAAAGGTTTTATGGTTATCCAGGCTAGGGCTAGGGTCCCTTTCCTCTTGAAGAAACAAAATCATTCAGCCGAGCAAAAAGAGACCCAAGGTTTGACATCTGAAGCCGAAGAGGATCAAAAACTGTTATGCCTCGATGCCTCAAAAATGCCTGAATAATTGGGCGACAACGCTTAGTCACCAACATATTCGGTAACTAGTTAACTAAAACGAGCTGGATGTATACATAAGCCAGCTCCCAAAACACCATCCTAAATGTGATAAATTACAACGTGATCACTCAACAGCGGTGATCTATAGGGACTTCTTCTTATAGCATAGAATCTTTTAGGTGATATCCAGGCTGTTAAGGGAATTTCGGGAACTGACAGATTCTTAATTGAAAGCCCACTAATAGGAGCCTCCTAGTACAATGATGATGCTGACGGGGTCAAACGGGGCGAGTCAGACTACGCGATCGCAAGGGTATCAATGCTACATGAGGCTGAGATGATGCAAAGTCACCCTTCCATGCTTGGCTTTTTGGTGAGCTCAGACTACTGGGAGCTCAGACTACTGGCCCAATGATCAGGCCGCCGAAGCGTACCTTAACGCCCTCAAGGATATGGACTGGCCCAACACAATCATTGCATCGGCTAGCAAGCGTGGCTACCCTGAAGCTCTTGGGACTTCTGAAATGAAAATAGACGGCCCGTACGATTGATTACCTCCAAATGATTGGTACAATGATAAAGAGAGAACGGCATTTGGCTTCGGATCGGAACTGGGTGCCGGTGTCGGAACACTTGAGATGGGTAGCCTCATAAGATTCATGTCTGAAGATGACCTGGATATACTTTGGACGGAACCGGGAGCAGATCCGTACCACATGTCTCGACGTGACTCTCAGTTCTACAATCGTTCCCTCTACAACAAAGCTCTCTCTTCCTGCCACGGGAAGCCTTCCAGTCTGGAGGACTATGAGGCCACCGATTACAATTCGAAGGTTATTCCACGCAACAAAATGCCACCAGGCCCGCCACGGGACTAATTTACTGGATGTCGAATAGCGCTTGGCCAAATCTGCACTGGCAATTTTTAAATACTAACTCGCCCCCGTGGCAAGCCACTTTGGCACCAAAGTTGGAGTGCGTGTAGAACATGTGATTCATAATCCCACGAGCCGCAATATTTGGCCAATCAATCATTCGCTAGAAAGGAAAGGAGAGAGGCAACCGTCATCGATCATGTTGAAACAGATGGCACGAAGCTCTTCAAAACTGATGTCGTTTTTTGACGGAGCCAAATATATTCAGAACGTGGGCCTGCTCCGCCTCATTCTAAGCGATCTTCAATCCAAGCGCGTCCTCAGCCGCAATGTTTAGCGGCTATCTACCACTCTCGACGTGTTAGATTGGTCAGCGTTCAAATAGATCACCACACCAGTCGCCGATTTTTCCAGTTACAAACAGCTGGAAGAACTAATTCCAGCTACTGTGAAGGCTTCATTGCACCGCCTACACCGAAATCCACAGGTGGTCTCGCTCATGTGGAAGCTTTGCCTGAGAAGGAATCTACAACACCAGTAGTTTTCATCCGGCTTAATGCTATCGATAGAAAAAAGAACACAGATATCGCGCCAGTCTACTGGTCTGATAATTACGTTACTCTTTGACCAGAGGACCCTTTGCGATTGTGATTGTCACTCGAAGGGGATCTACAGCAGACCCTTATTGAGATTTCAGAAAGAAATGTGGCAATGGTTACTATTAATTAGAAGAATGCAAAATAATTACTAGAAAAGGATCATAAAAAGGTAGTTAATGTGATGTAGTGACGGTTTTACTATGCTGTAATCCTGCAATGATCCCCTACAATGATCAGTGTAGCCAGATGGTATATGATCCACAGCAAATCAAGTGGCTGGTTTGCTAAAATTATTGGTGATGGATTCTTGGGAAGAAGAGTCTAGTGACCATATAGATAGCTAGGACGTTGTTGTATCCCCCACAGAGCACGCAAATCAAATAACGAGAACATTTCATATCACGGGCTTCCTACGACTGATTTCTCATGACATATGACTTTTGGTCTTTGAAGAGATAGCTGCTTCGATATTTGAGAGTACCATGATACAATTTACGTATAACTAGTGGTTCCTGAAAATGGTAGAGAACATGTGAAACAAGCAAAGTAACGACCAACACACTATTGCACAGAGAAACACACACATGACGCGAGACTGCCTGCATAATGTAGATATCTAACTTCAGGCTGTTGCTTGTAATAGATTAAGTACGTGTGACACCATTGTCCCAGAGTACTCAATCCCAAGCACAGTGGGACTTTTGATATCTTCCGAGTAAAATGTGCTCAGATGCTGATCTTTTGAGGTGCACATCGAAGGTGATTTTTGGATATCCGGAAAGGCCATGAGACCCTTCGCGGGTGTGCTAGCCCACAGATAATACAGCGAGATACGATGTAAGGCTGGGAATCCTTGACAAAGCTCTCTGAGGAATGGAGTCCAATCACTGCCAGGCACCAACGTGATATGGTATAGTGTGAGTGCAGCTAAGCTCGACCGGACATTTCCGAGCAGCTTATGGAGGTCGATGCCCCGCATGCACGTTCGGAATAAAGCGAGCTCGCGTAGTTGAGAGAAGTCGGCACCTTCGGCCACCTCGTGCATGAACTCTGCCGCCAGATCGTGTGAGCCGAGATTTAACAGCAGAGTTTGAAGATTTGGGGCGCAGAGAACCAGCTCTAGGAGAAATCCGAAGTTATCCAGAGTGAGATACTGTTCTAGACAGAGTTTTTTTAAATTACCCCAGACAATCTTAAACTCTGGTTGGCGATATAGAAGTTTAGGGAGACGACGCATATCCATGATTAAGGTGCGCGAGTATTTGTTTGCATAGATGAGATGGAATGAGGAGACTGGTAGGCGAGCGTCGATGACCAAGGCAAAAAATACAGCGACAGTATCTGTCATAGTAACATGACTCATGTCGGGGTGACCCTCCGGATATCGACAAAAGATAAAAAACGATTGGCAATTCGTCAAACGTTGGATCAAATTATCCCGTAGAGACTGAATCGCCTCAACCTCCAAAGGTGCGGATATGGGACCCCATGGATGACGATCCCAAACTAGGCCGCGACCGACACCATTTTGTAACATGAAAGCTAAACCGTGAACATATGGACGCAAGGCAGTATGTCGAGAGATGGAATCGATTCGACGCAGGCTGTCAGCAGAAAGATCGGTCCTGATTGATGAAAAGAAGCGTTGGGCAAAGTGATGAAAGGTCTTCCTTTGTAGTTCACTACAGACCAAGCGGAATTTTAATAAATCATTTCCATCAAGAAAGCTTGCAATCAACTCGGCTAGTTCGACCGCAAGGGAGGGAAGATAGCCCAACACAGTTGAAATCATTGTTCACTTATAATGATAGCAATATGTACGAGATATATTTTGCATGTCATGATTTCATGAAAAGGATGAACAATATGGAGAAAAAGAGCTTCCCCGGATTTCAGCCTGTGATCGTTTGGTCATTTGATCATTTGATTACCCCTCACCTGGGGAGTATTCAAATGGGTTTGCATCGGCGGGATCGGCCGGAACAAGGAGGGAGAGGGCATGTATATTTAAGGTCTCTTGAATGATATAGCATCATTATCTGAGCAATCAGAACCTTGGAAATACCGAATTCTCCAGGTCTGCCTCGGTATGACTAGTAAATCTAGAATAGTGACAAAACAATCCTAGGTACTATGATAAGATGCTGCTGTTATATTCGTTATTATCCGTTTGCCAAAGTGTAAATTCCCTGTCTTAATCTGGTTGGTTATCTGCGAGATAACTCTAGTTGAAAGTCCCATTAAGGTAGCATTGGTGTTTCCTAATAGACAGGCTAATAATATATCTTGTTGTCTCGCTATTAATGCCAAGAGGGATGGCCCAGAGCCATCCTCCATTATCCTCAATGTTCCATATCGGCGGCGAACTTCTTCCACATGGAACAACATTCTATCTGAAACCGGGGAACGCTTTCCATTTGCGTGGAATTTGTCTGCAGTTTGAGGCGCTCCCCTGCTTCTGACCCCCACGGTTGCCATTGGGGAGCGTCTTTGTTCCGGTACACATTCGGATCCAGTGCTTTGACGAAGCTCAGATAATAATCCATGGTTATAGGTACAATATTTGCGTTCGAATTGGCATATGAATCCGTCGGCTCGTTGGTTTCCCCTATTCCAAATATCGCAGGCATATCAAAAATGTGCGGAACACCCATGCCATTTGCAATCTCCGTCGGATCGCGGACGTTAAATCGATAGCTCCAGACCTGACGAGACGAAAACGCTTTGGCCACGGTCGCGGCCATCAAATTCCCTGGGCAAATGAAGGTTGAATCGCCATAAGCGGCCGCAGCCATAGGGAAATAAGCTTCATGCTTGGGGAGGGGTTCCACGTGCGCATAAGCCTCGTTGATACTTTCGAGCTGTCGACCAGAGAGACCGGGATAGTTGTTCTTCATGAACTGAGCCACCTCGGATTTATTGGTTGCGTTGTACGCAAAGTCGGTGCCCTCATTCGTATCATCACTGACAATCAATGGGACATGAATAAATTTGCCTTGATCAAAAAGATTGTAAAGCCGATCTCGGATCAAGTCTCCGTCCACAACAGGGAGAAAATACCACAAGGGGACCGGTGTAGTACTGCCCCCTGGGAAAGGCTTGTTAACATTGAACTTTTGGATAATCTCAATATCCACAGCACGCAAGCATACCAAAGAGTCATCTGTCTTTTCGCAGCCAACATCTTTCACAAATTGCTCGTACTGGAATTCCATCTGCCCAACCGTTCTTTGGGTGGGCCAGAATGTCGACTCCGCCACTGCCCCGACGAAAAGATCCATGTTGCGACCACCATATGCAGTGAGATGATGAGCAACGGAGCCAGCACCAGATGAGTCACCATGAATCACCACGTGTTCTGGGTTGCCGCCAAACTGGCGAATATGCTGCTGTACCCAATGAAGGGCCTTCCGCTGATCGAGTAGTCCAGCATTGAGATCTCCATCGTTTCGAACATGCTCACTGGCTAGGAAGCCAAGCACACCGACGCGGTAATTGAAGTTGACAAACACAATACTGCTACCAGACTGTTGAACGACCTCACTGCCGTTATAGTTGCCATTCGCGTTGTTGGCGTATCCACCGCCTTGAATAAATAACCACACGGGGAAGTTGGAGTGACCACTCGTATTTGCGGGTGACCAAACGTTTAAAAAGAGGCAATCCTCCGATAATGCATCATTGGTTGATTGACCGACTCCCACGCAAAGTGGCCCAAACTGTTCATGTTAGCTTAAATGTCTCCAGGCTTGGCGGAAAAGATTACCGATGATGCATCTAAAATGCTTCCAGTATTCTCTGGATCCCTGGGAGCTCGGAATCGCAAGACTTTCAAAGGTGCTTTTGCGTACCTTATCCCGAGGTATTGGTCAACGCCGTTGGATAGCGACACCCCTTGATACCGAGCATATCCCAAGTCAACTAGCGGTGAATATGACGGCGAAGCTAACGCCATGCCACTGAAGAGACTCGCCGTTAACAGAATGCTCATTTGCATTACTACGTAATGTACAACGAATGTGGACAGGCTGTTGACGTCAATGGTCTCTTATAGATGGTAATGACCCACGTAACTCCCGGCGCCGCAAAATTGCCTTACTAAGCCTTTTTTGGGGCATGCCCGAGGATGTCGCGGGGAATTCAGTTAGCCAACCATAGAAAAAGATTCGACAATATTACATATTCTTTGCGAATATGACTCTAGTTTGCTGATTATTATGGAGTATAGAAAAACAAATTGGTCAAAGCGGAAATTCAACTACAATCTAAACTTTTTGAAGGGTATTACTTAGCATCAGAAAAATCAAGTCGACGATCTCATCTCACTTCTATCACCTGTTTTCCAAAGTCGTCTTGAGAGTGGGATTGTGGATCCCCAAGAGGCCGGTCCCGGGAGAGTAGGGGGAAAACCCTTATGATTTATTATATTAATTCGTCGTTGGGCCTCTCATAAAGAACTGTTAGCGTCAAGCTGAGAACCATGTAGGACGATCTTTCTCTAGTTAACTACATATGTAGCTAAGTTGCATAACAATCTCCGCCTCGACCTAGTTCACCTGTTCTCGTTCTTTCTTTGGCTAAATGACCCCCGCACTTGTTAGAATATAAATGCCCTCGTTGTTGAGGGGCTTGTCGAGCTTCTATTTTAGTTTATCTTATTTATACTTCAACATTATGTCGTGTGAAGCTTGTCGCACCATTCCACCAGTAATCGCAAAAGGGCATACCCCTCCAAGGCAGCTATGAAGCCATCGCAGGTCTTAAGACATGTGAGTCAGCTCCTGAGATTCGTGTGATGACTTGCTAATAATACATAATATAAGATGTGACCGGCAATGTTGATTGCAGGACAGGTCTAGTCGATATTTATGATGTTTTTGGATTAGCCAGCCAGACTATCCAAGGTGCCGACCTGCTAGCGGCGCGCTTAAACGCAGTGGTACTGGTGCCAGATTTTTTTTGAAGGCGAACCTCTCAAACATGAATATTTCCCTGTCGACACCGAATAAAAGAAGGAAATCATCGCAGATTTTATCGCGCATAGAGCGTCCTACTCGCGAAACGTTGGCGTTTTACTGGAAGCTGTCAAGCAATACAAAACGCGATTCCCATCTGTTGAAAAATGGGGTGCTTTTGGATTGCGTTGAGGAGGAAAAGTAGGCATCCTAATCAAGGATTAGACACGAAAAGACTTTCGCTAATTCGAACTCTTGTCATAGGTCACTGTGTTGGCGTCCGGCCCTGACACTCCATTCACTGCCTCAGGCCAGGTGCACCCCGGGTACGTATGATCCAGTTGCCCTTATAATAAATGATCTTGCTGATCAGGTCGATAAATGCCAGGCGGATGGATTTGGCCGATGCTGCGCACCTCGCAATTCCTCATATCGTATTAGCCTCAAAGGACGAGCCAGCCGATGCGGTCAAAGGATATGCAGAGACAATCACAAATAATGAGAATGGAGGACTCGTTAAAACATACTCCAGCATGTGGCACGGATGGATGGGTGCTCGTGCGAACTTGGATCAGGAGGAGAGTCGAGCTGAGTACACACGGGAGCAAGCACTCTCCATCTTGCTTTACACTCTCACTGAATACTAACGAGCTCCTAGATACGCACAATTAGGCGAGTTCTTTGAGGAGCATCTAAAGTGATTGATTACAGCATGAATAGGCTTACGTATATACTTGAAGAATGAACCTGATCCGAACACTCGGTTTAACCCATAGAAGACAGTGTTGAATGATTGAATTCTTTTAAAAAAAGAAAAACAGTCTTCAGTGCCCAGTAGCGTGATAACAAAAATCTTGGGAGAACACAATCAAGAATATAGCCACGGTACTATTACTAGATGCAAATATGTACTACAGATTAAATACTCTCATATTCCAAGGTTGGTCACATGAACATGTCATTTATGTTTTTATCATTCCATACCAGTGAATATATTGCATCTTACCTAGGTAGCTAGTGTGTTTCTTGAGGCCAAAAACCTTACTGTTTGCACAAGAAATCGCAAACATGAGAGCCTAAAAATAGGATGTATAACACACGTGATCGGGCTATCTCAACCCCGAACAGGACAAGGGCTACTGCTCAAGCGTGACCCACTCTATTCTTTCTTCGATCCCGGTAGCGGTCCGTCAACGGCATCAGAAAATTAGCCTGGACAGAAATCAAGATGGCATTGGATGCTAATATATATAGTCTGTGCGATTCACTCAAAATGTACTGCATTACTCTAAACCATGCAATCTGTGCACCCAACGAGTTCTCGTGTAACCGTGGGGCATCAATCTTTGTCTGAGGTCACCGGAGACAACAATTGCGACAGTTTTCGATCGTCCATTCCGAGTCCATCGGATCCAAAAGTTGAACAGCCAAATTACTCTTGCGATGAACCGACACCTCTTTATAGTGTTCTGCCCGATGGCGAAAAAGCCTTCGTTATTATGACAGGATCATTTGCAGCTCTGATATCTCCACTATCTAGCAGTATCTATCTGCCAGCTCTCGATTCATTGGCAAAGGACATGGAAGTTTCTGTGTCACTCATAAATTTGACAATCACCACTTATCTGGTAAGATTGATCAATATGTGGACGGACATACCGAGGCAAGGGAAACTAACGACTTGTAGATATTTCAAGGACTTGCGCCCTCTTTCATCGGCAGTTTTTCTGATATCCATGGACGACGTCCTGCATATATCATCGCATTCGTCATCTATCTGGCAGCAAACATTGGCCTTGCTCTGCAGAACAACTATACGGCTTTGATGATACTACGTTGCGTGCAGTCCTCAGGTAGCAGTGGGACTATTTCATTGGCCAGCGCTGTTGTGGCTGATCTTTCGACGCGCGCCGAGCGTGGAAAGTATGTTGGATACGCTGGTATCGGAATTGCACTTGGTCCCACGCTAGGCCCTGTCATTGGCGGGCTCTTGGACCATTTTCTAGGGTGGAGATCCATATTTTGGTTTTTGGTCATCTTATCAGCAGTGTGCTTTGCAGTAATACTCTTTGTTTTCCCTGAAACATGTCGAGCTGTTGTAGGGAATGGTTCGGTGCCACCAGCCTCATGGAACCGCCCGCTATGGACTTTGTTTGCTCGAACCTCGCGATTTGACGACGAAAGCAGAACTGCTGATTTCACCACAATCCAAGAGCTAAGGCGCCGGCCCAACCCGATCTCAGCTCTCCTGATTGCAACACAGAAAGAGATGGGATTGGTTCTACTCTACGGATCCTTTTTATATGCAGGCTACATGGCCGTTATCAGCACCCTGTCAACTGAGTTGGCCAGTCGATTTGGATTCAACTCCGTTCAAGTTGGGCTCTGCTATCTTCCTATGGGTGTTGGCAGCATCAGCTCGCGCTGGATAGTTGGTCGATTGTTAGACTGGAACTTTCGCCGTGAGGCGCACTTGCAAGGAATGATCATCCAGAAGAATCGACAGCAAAATATTGAAACCTTTAACATTGAACGAGCGCGTCTGGCAATAACTCTTCCACTGATCTACATTAGTAGCCTTTGCATCTTGGCTTATGGCTGGGTCATGCAGTATCGTACTCCATTGGCTGGACCACTGGTGATGTTGTTTTTCACTGGTCTGACGACTACAGGTGCTTTCAACACGTTAAGCACTTTGGTCGTTGATATCAATTATCAAAGTGCTGCCACTGCAACGGCAGCGAACAACTTGTTCCGATGCCTGATGGGTGCTGGAGCTACGGCAATTGCTTCACCCCTCATCAAAGCCATCGGCATTGGATGGACAGCCACTTTTATTGCCGGTATTTGGGTGCTGGGTAGTTCTGCCCTATGGACTGTGTTTTACCTGGGATATAGCTGGAGACAAGCACTGACCCACCGCAACTAGCGTCAATCTAAGCCATCTACGTGATATTGAAGATCATCCCAGCCTAGGAGAGTACGTGAATTGAGATATACATTCATATGGCGTGTATTCTTGAGCTCCTTTTTAATTCTTCCCTGATCTAGTAGGCATATTCAATTGCTTGATATTTATTGACAGCTACGTCTATGTATTCCATAGTTTCGTGTAGCTTTGCGACCGTGGCAAAAATTAATTCTACGAGGGCAAATTCGGAAGGCGAACAAAGAGCTCTTGAAACACGACACCAAACGACGCACACCTTTATCATTGAACGGACTTTCGAATATAAAAAGGATCTACTCTAGATCTCTTTGATCAGCGATCTAATACAAACTTGATCAACACAAAGCCAAAGAATCAAAAGCTTAAATGAGCTTGGCAAACTCCACAAGTCATTAGCCGCTTGATCCCGAACCGGTAATCTCATTCACTCCACAATGAAAGGTGTTGACGACGCTAGCGCCGAGGATTACGCATACCCCTGACGTTATAATTAAATTCGTAATTATAGATGGAGCCTGGGTTTGGAAGAAAATCTTTTCAGTCATTCTATGCTTTTGCTTCTGCGATCGGGCTCTTTAATCATTATTGCTATTCCTCTGCTTGATTGTGCTGTTCGACTGGATCTTCTCATTTGCTGATTTTGTATGGGTCACCTACCGTATACTCTTTTTTTGAGAAGATGCACCTATTTTGGGGACGGCCCTTCAAAGGCATCGTTACGGCGCTACTGTTTTCCAGTTTAACATGCGCCATCGATTGGGACATCAGTGATGAACGTATGTGGTGCATGATTCCTTCTCCCTATAAATGTTTGTTCACGATTCCATGATCGGTTAACGGTTGATTATATTGCAGAATCCCTCAAAGATGCCGCGAGTACCTCGACTTACGCAATGATGAAATATTACTACGGCAACGAAACAGGTCAAATTCCTGGAGCTTTCCCTGATAAATGGTGGGAAGGTTCGGCTCTTTTCCTTGCGCTATTGGAATACTGGCATTCTACGGGTGATACAACATACAACGAAGAGTTAAGCATTGGATTGCAGTGGCAATCAGGCGATGATGGTGACTATATGCCAAGCAACTATAGCTCTTATCTTGTGAGCATGGCCAAAGTTTTCAATCGAGAGTAGTGTCTAATAATTCTTTAAGGGAAATGACGATCAAATGTTCTGGGGCCTCGCAGCTATGACGGCCGTTGAATACGCGTTTCCAGATCGTTCTTCTGGATTCTCGTGGCTCTCTTTGGCACAGGGTGTCTTTAATACCCAGATCAAAAGATGGGATACCTCCTCATGTGGCGGTGGCCTCCGTTGGCAAATCTGGCCCTACCAGGATGGGTATGGAATGAAGAATTCGATTTCTAACGGCGGTCTATTTCAATTATCTGCACGTCTAGCCCGTTACACGGGCGATGCAATTTATCTTACGTGGGCTAACAAGATCTGGGATTGGTCTGTCTCATCGCCTCTGCTTAGCAATACAACTTGGAATGTCGCCGATTCCACCAATGTTGACAATGATTGTGCTACACAAGGAAATGCCCAATGGACATACAATTATGGAACTTATTTGATGGGCGCGGCATACATGTATAACTATGTGAGCAAGCCCGTTGTGATGATCATTATTTCTTTTTTGCACCTATACAATCGAACTAATCATCTACCGCTGGCAGACCAACGGAACGACTCAATCCCAATGGCTGACCGCAGTCAACGGCTTGCTCAACGCAACATTTGACAACTTCTTCATCACTGGTGGAATTATTGAGGATTACTATTGCGAACCTGCGGCCAACTGCAATGATAACGAGATCCTCTTCAAAGGGCTCACTTCAGCATGGCTCGGATTGACGGCTCTACTTGTCCCTTCGACCTTTGACAGCATCATCGCAAAACTTCAAACCTCGGGGGCGGCTGCTGCGGCGTCCTGTACTGGTCATAATAATGGCACTTGTGGTGTCCGATGGTATAAGTCTACATATGATGGCTGGATAGGAATGGAAGAAGAGATCAGTGCGACAAACGTTTTTACTGCCAATTTGATCAACTTCAACAAAACCGCACCTGTGACTTCGACTACTGGAGGAAACAGTACCAGCAACCCAACCGCAGGTGAGGATGATAGTGATGCCGAAAGCGCAAAGACGACCACAATCACAACTGGGGACAAGGCAGGAGCTGGAATCTTGACTGCTGTCTTCCTGGCTGGCTGGATTGGATTGATGGCATTCATGGTACTTGGAGGTTGATCGCGCGGGCGCGAAGTTCAATTTGATTTCTAGAGTTGTCAATTGTTCGGAGTTTGGTTGACTGGCGCTTAGCGATTATATATATTCTGTGACCAATGGTATAGACAAATTCTTTCAACTTAAATTCTACATTGAGCTTGATGTTGCCAATAGTTTAAAATTCAGCATAAAGGAGGACACGTCGGGTGGGCAATGTCCTTTAGTTATTGAAGACTCTGTAGTTACATAGTGCCACACCTCCGTAGTTAGACCTGTTCGAGGTGAAGTGTTGTGAATGCTTGATGTATCTGATGTAAAAAGTGACTTGACAAAACCCCAAATATTGGCGGAATAGTACCTTATGCAATCCAAAACCAAATTCGCTCTGTGAGATGCACGTAAGTATTTCCGTCTGTATATGGCACTGATATCGAACATACCGAGAAGGTTGCGAGGTTTTGGTTCTTCCCACGTAGATTCTAGTCTATCAGCTTCCTCTTTGCCAGATAGGAGATCCATGTCCTCTATCTTCACAAACTTTGTCCTTTTGATGATCTTGTATCCCAAGAAAAGACAGAGAAAGATTGGAATGTCGATGTAAGGCGGAATCAAGCTCTTAGCACTAAAGTGCCCAGGGAAAAAAGCATCGAATCCATTGAAAAATGCCACAGTCGAAGAGAAGAAAATCGCAAAATAGGCCATGAATGGTTGAAGCGGGGATTGAAATGGGAGTGTGGATCGTGGGATGCTGTGATGTTTGAGTCCTTGATAAAATCGGATATACGTCACAGCAATAGAGGTCCAAACGATCAATGTACTAACCGAGCTCAAGTTACTTACCCAGAAAAATACTTCAGCCGAGCTTGATGAAACATTCAGATAGACAAGGAGACTCAAAGCAGCTGTGACAACAACGCACACATACGGTACTCCGAATTTCTCATAACGAAGAATCCGAGGCGCTTTGCCGTCCAATGCTGTGGAATAAAGAATTCTAGTCGATGCGTAAAAAAAGGAGTTCCCAGCAGACAAGGCTGACGTGAGAACAACTGCGTTGATAATGGAAGGCAACACATCAATCCCTCCATTCTCGATCGCAATGACGAAGGGGCTTGCGCCTACGCCAGCGGCTCCTGTATAAATAGCGTTGAGTAGCCTAGGATCCTGAGAAGAGACACAAAGACCAACGAGAAAAACGCTTCCGACATAGAAGATGGCAATTCTCCAGAAAACGCGACGTATAGCTTTAGGAATGTTCCGTCGGGGATTTTCAGTTTCTCCTGCCGCAATAACCACCATCTCGCTCCCACCATAGCTAAATGTTGCTTGAATAAAGACTTTCCAAAATGCCAAAAAGCGCCCTAAAGACCCGGTTTCCAGATACTCATTCATTGGACCTGGATGCTCCCAGTAGCGAAATCCTATACGGTCATGGGTTTGAGTTCCACCAAGTGTGATGATGCACATGAGCAACATCAACCCAACGATGGTTATCAATTTGATTGAGCCGAGGAAAAACTCTAGCTCACCATAGAGTCGGACTGGAAGGCTGTTGACCGTAAAAATGATCACATAGAGTACAGTAATCCACACCACAGAAGGGATGTTATTGGGCCAATAGTCAATCACTAGAGCAGCGGCAGTGATTTCGATAGGGACACCAATCGCAAACTGGTACCAATAATTCCACCCCAGAGTGAATCCAAGGGCTTCATCGACAAAGCGAGATGCATAGACAGGAACAGCACCTGGCAGAGGCAGCCAAGTCGACATTTCACCCATGCTGTTGATCACGGCGTACAAATTGAAGCCTGTGATGAGATAGGAGAGGACGGCGGATAATGGTCCAGCCGTCGAAAGGACCTGACCTGTGCCAACAAAAAGACCGGTTCCAATCGCCCCAGAAAGAGCGAGGAACTGAATATGTCGTGACTTCAGACGGCGTTGTAAAGTGCCTGTTTCCACGTGTGCTCTATAGATTTTGTCACGACCAGGGTCATCATACTGGGAGCCGTCTCCTTTGGAAGTGCATGCCTCAACATTTCCTTGGTCCGCTTCACTTTTTGGCATTTTGAGAGGGACACTCAATGAAGTAATGAAGATAATTTTGCGGCGGCTCGGATCTGAGCTGCCATACTTCCTTTTGTGAAAGTGACACGGACCCGTGGGGTTATGCAGAAAGTGTGGGGTTATGTGCGGAGAGAGGCGCGAGTAAGGCGAGCAAGTCATCTCTTTTCCCGATACCGGGCAGAGTAGACAGTTTCCCACTCAATTTGGCAATATTTGTGTCGGCAAATAATACTGTTTCAGCCTTAGCTGGTCACATTCCTATCATTCCAATGGATGATCGGCAGGGTTATCGTATCGCAGGGGTATCTGAGGCCCACTGCAGGGTCCTAGCTTTGTAAGCTTTACTACAGTTGTATTGCTTGGTAGTATTCAAGCACAAGTACAAGATGACGCGGGGATGAAAGGGGAGAATATACTCGTGGGTTGAGAACTTGGAAGCGGTCACACTCAAATCATCCACCAACCTCAACAGTTCAACATCTCCAAATAGTCAGTGACATGCCCTTCGACTTCCAAAATGAGCCAACAAATTTTGGACATGAAATGCTTGCACATTTCTCTTTTGCGCCAGGTTACCGAAACTTGAATCATGGTAAACCAATATATCTCCTCTGTATACGCCATCATACCTGCTCACTATTTTAGGTTCATTTGGAGCATCACCCCTCAAAATTCGAGACAAAGCCAACGAGCTGCGCAATGAATGTGAAACAACCCCGTGTCCTTTCATCAAGTACCGTTTCCCCCAATTGTTGGACGAATCTCGTGCTGTGATGTCCGAATTCCTCGGTGTGCCTGAATCCACGATTGTTTTCGTACCAAACGCGACCACTGGAGTCAACACAGTTTTGAGAAATATGGTATGGAACACCGATGGAAAAGACGAAATTCTTCAGTTGGATGTGATATACGGGGCTTGTGGGAAAACCACGAGTTATGTGTGTGAAGCCAATGGAGACAAGGTTCACACCAGAGAAATTGGGTTCATTTATCCAGTTGACGACTTTGAGATCGTTCGGGCGTTTCGAGAAGCCATCGAGGCCTCGCGAAAAGATGGATTTCGCCCGCGTATTGCAATATTTGACACAATTTCATCTAATCCTGCTATTCGTCTTCCTTCCGAGAAACTTACCGCACTCTGTCATGCAGAAGGTGTACTTAGCTTGCTTGATGCTGCCCATGGGATTGGTCAAATTGAACTGAATTTGGTATCACTGGACCCAGACTTCTTGGTCAGTAATTGCCACAAATGGTTGTTCACTGCTCGTGCGTGTGCAGTGTTTTATGTCCCTGAACGAAATCAAGCAATGATGCGAAGTACTTTGCCTACAAGCCACGGGTTCATCACTCGGTCGACAGAGACAATGTCCATGGAAAAGTTCACAGATGAGGCGCACCAAAAGACAACTTTTGTTTCCAATTTCGAGTTCGTCGGTACCTCCGATAATTTTTCCTTCTTGACTGTTGCGGATGCCATTAGATGGAGACGTAGAGTGCGGTGGTGAAGAGGAAATCCGGAATTACTGTATTCAACTTTGCCACAAAGGGGGTCAGAAGGTTGCAGAGATCTTAGGAACAAGAATCTTGGAGAATCATGCGCGGACTTCGACAGACTGTTGCATGGTAGATATTCTCCTTCCTTTACGCACACCTACTGAGGGCGATGGGTGTCTGGTGAAAGGCAAAGACGGCCCCGATATCACTGTCACTGAGTGGATGCAGCAGAACATGATAAAATACTACAAGACATTCATGCCGGTCTTTCCGTTTCAGGGGTCTTGGTGGGTCCGATTGAGTGCGCAGATCTATCTTGAAGAGAGCGACTTTGAATGGGCTGGCCGGACGCTGAAGGAGCTTTGCGAGAAGCTGCAGGACATGGAAAATTGAAGATCCAATAAAGGGAAGTACTTGGAAGCCGATGAGATAAATTTAGATCAGAAGAAAGTAGAGAGAGATCTTTGAAGCGAAAGTCGAGCAGACTTGAAGTTGTGCTTTGAATTATACATTCTCTTCGAATGGTATCGTATGGCCTAGTCATTGGAGATGGACAATTTACATATACATAGATTCTGCAATGTATAAGTATCAGCAGCATGGCTAGTAGTACACCATACTTGAATCTGACCGAGTGATAGTTACATAATAATCTATACTTAGTTAGTCGAAATAAGACCCGATCCCGACGGCCTTCGGCACGGTTAATACGTCAAATCAGTAAATCGGCTTGACGCGGCATTTCTGGGTCTCATATCATGACCAAGGCCTTAGACCCGGCGTATTGTTTAATCCATCCTAATTTCAAGCAACAGAAAAAGCTATGGTAACAGAAATGTGTTATTATTGAAGCGAAAAGTTTTTTCTCGCCTGAAACAAGCTTGAGAACGGTTATGCTCGGTTGTCCTCGGTCGGTGATTTTTCCATGGTACCAGCCACACTTCCGATCATAACCGAACCTGTCAAGTGTTGTGATTGGCCGCTGATCTAGAAATCTGGGCTGATATGGCTGGATAGTGGGTTTTTAAGCTACTGACAGCCACAGCGGAAAAGTATGGATCTTCTAGAAACAATTTCTTGCCCTTGTTGTGGTCAAGTTGATAGAACTAAGGCCCATATACTATGGAAATAGTGGGTTCGGGCAGAAATTCTCATAAGATCAAGAAAAAAAAATACTTGATGAGGACCAATAGAGGAACATATAGGTTCTGTGCGATCCTCCAGTGTGCATGAAGTAAATTCTTCCTTGAACCTTCAGAATAAGCCATACAGAATTGCCATGAGAGCACATTGAAATCATGGGCGGGTTCAATGAAAACGATCCAACATATGAGTCTGAGATTGACTCTCGCAGCGACGAGTCTGACGACATCATCGACCATGTCGATACCCTTGAGCTTACTCGTATCAATACATATCGCCTGCAACAAAAGACAACCGTGGGCTCCACCAGAGGTCCAATTCCCCGTGAGAGATGGCTTCCTATGGGTGCGAACAAAGAATACCCACCTATGCTGCCAGACTCCGAAGCCTATGTGGTAGAATTCGACGGGGCAGACGATCCATTGCACCCATCTAACTGGTCTATGACTAGACGGTATGTCAATCTGCAACAACTCCGATGTTTACATCAATGCATGATTGCTGATAGATGAAAAGAATCATGCTAGTTTGCGTCCTCTGCTATGGCACCTTCGCCGGATCCTTCGCCAGCGCCGTCTTCTCAGCTGCGATCTCCGGCGTCAGCCAGGAATTTCACACAAGTACAGAAGTTGGTTCGCTTGGAGTAACACTCTACGTTCTCGGATTTGCCGCCGGCCCAACAATTTGGGCACCAGCTTCTGAACTGATCGGCAGACGGGCACCATTGTCCGCAGGGCTTCTCGGCTGTGGCATATTTACCGTAGCATGTGCGGTTGCTAAAGATATCCAGACTATCATGATCTGTAGATTCTTTGCCGGTCTTTTCGCGGCGAGTCCGATTTCGATTGTTCCGGCGGTATTCGCAGACCTATTCAATCATGCACAGCGCGGAATTGTGATGTCCATCTTTTGCATGGCGGTGTTTATTGGGCCGTTTGCAGCGCCATTTGTAGGTGGATTTATCGCGATGAGCTTTCTCGGATGGCGTTGGACCATGTATATCTCTGCGATCCTGGTTTTTGTGGGATTCGTCTTGGTTGTCATCTTCCTCGACGAGACTTATGCCCCAGTGATCCTTGTACGCAAGGCAGCCACTCTACGGCGGCAGACTCGAAATTGGGGCATCCACGCGAAGCAGGATGAAGTGGAAGTCGATTTCAATGAACTCATTCGAAACAACTTTGCCCGACCAATTATGATGTTGGTCACAGAGCCCATACTACTGCTTATCTCGCTTTATATCTCATTCATTTATGGCCTCATTTATGCCCTACTAGGCGCATACCCCGTTGTCTTCCAGGGAGTATATGGGATGAACATGGGAGTCGGCGGGCTTGCTTTTGTTGGTCTTATCCTCGGTGAACTGTTTGGTGGCATCTTCATTCTTTTGATACAAGGCTCATATGCGAGAAAATTGGTGGCAAATGGCGATCAACCTATTCCCGAATGGCGGCTGTCGCCAGCGATCGTCGGAGCCGTAGCATTCTCAGGTGGATTGTTCTGGTAGGTGACCCTTTGTGGGCGCTCAAACATTTTGGTTCATTGTGATCTAATTCGCAGTTCGATAGGTTCGGTTGGACTGGATATACTTCATCCATTCACTGGATTGCTCCGGTAGCCTCGGGGGTTCTGACCGGAGCTGGAATATTCTTAATCTTCTTGCAGTGCTTCAATTATATTGTTGACTGCTATCCTACCCTGTATGATTGTACCTCATCTCTCGCAAATCATGGAAGTTACTAATATTAGCGATAGAGCTGCATCTACCATTGCTGCAAATACGATTTTACGCTCAGCTATTGGCTGTGCGTTTCCGCTTTTTTCAAGGCAAATGATGGAAAATCTTGGAATACAATGGGCAGGCACAATGTTGGGATGTATTGCAGTCGCGATGATCCCCATCCCTGTATTGTTCAAAGTATACGGCCCTTGGTTGCGAGGGAAAAGTAAATTGGCATGTTCGCCAATTTATGATGTTGATAAAAAGGCCTACGATGTTTGATATATAAATGACTATACCCCGATTCGTTCATTTGATGCTTAGTTCTTGTTCCTGGAATTATACCTCAACTCCGTAAGTGCATTGTGTATAGAAGTATATATTTTTAGACACTCTATACAATTTTCTACAGGTCTTTTTCACCTTTTGTTGACGCTTGTATTATTATTTTGTTTTTCACTTGTGAGTATGTAGCTACAGTAAAACATGTTTGATACAAAGGGGTCCTGGGTATAACGTGGTAGGTTGCTTGAAGCGATTCACTTAACGAAATTCCAAGGTTCACAAGCGAGGCCACCTCCAGGGCTGGGCAGCCCATCCTAACCCATTGAATTCAAATGCATTTATTTCAACCAAAACACCATCAATGTAATTTAACTGAAAGAATGGTCTATCTGGACATGCGGTTCTTTCATGGCCCACATTTTTACAGAAAATAGCACATCGGTAAGGCCTTATCCTAGGCAATGAAGGCGATTCTCTGCGCGCGCACACCCGGGGCGTCAATTGCTTGTTCTGGCTACATTATTGATACCGAGGCTTCTAAAACCAAGAGGACCACCCGCTTACCGAATACGTTAACTAACTACGGAGTAGTCATAGCTTTACGACTTTATTTGTCAGGCGACGATCCATGAGAAAAAGCATGACGTCATATCTGCAATCTACCGATCGATGGCGATCTCCAAAAACCAAAACTAAAAACTTCTCAAGCTACCAACCAATTTGTCTCATTCGCTTGGTAACTCCATCCTACGTTTGAGCTCAATATGAGTTACCCTACCAACACAACATTACTTTTTGGACCTAATTGGGACACTCACCGGTGGACAGCATCTGACGACCGAGTCCGCGGCGGATCGTCGGTTTCCAACCTCGTTCCCACTGCCCAAGGGGTATGTTTTCACGGCAACCTCGACATTGAAACACTGGGTGGTGCTGGATTTGCTTCACAACGTACGGTCGGGCATGAAGAGACATGGGATCTCACTGGACACGACGGGATTGAGCTCAACATCACTTCTTCGGACCACAAACGCTACACATTATCTTTGACGGATGAAGTTGCGAGGCAGAGATCAGACGGTCGGGAACAAAGTGCTCTTGTGTGGGAATATGACTTTTCTATGAAAAAGGCATGCACCGTGCGCGTGCCATGGAAGGAACTGAAACCGACCTACCGAGGTAAACCCGTGGAAGACGCGAGATTATTGGACTTATCCCGAGTGAAGAGGTTTCGGATTATGGCTCGAAGGTAAGCTTCTGATTTGATGATGGTAATCAATATTCTGGCCCGGTGCTAATTTCGCAGTTTCTTCGGTGAACAACAGGGCAAATTCAATCTAGAGGTTCGATCAATCGCATTGTATCGAGAGAGTTATCTGGATGATCCCGGTGCTACCAAGGAGTGCATGAATTATCATATTAAGGGAGAGGAACGGCCAGAGGAAACCCAAGCGGACAGGAAGTGGTTTCCGACTTGTTGCCTATTCTAAACCACTGTCTGTTTCGTGAGTTCATGAAAAATGAGGCAATACCACCCTATTTTCAAAAGATCGTATAAACCAACGAGTCCAATCGACAGGTACAAGAAATGTTTGAAACTGACAAGATTGGTACACGCGCAATTCTTGTGATCAACTGAGCCATTTCTCATCGCGATCGGAGAACGAGTCCATAATAAATGCTATACATTGTCGCCTCATTTTTTTTTATTAGATAATTGGGAATCATGAAGATGGAACGGGGAATGATTCCTTTCATGGAGAGAGGCTTGGGCAAATCTAACTTTCTAATGCGGGGAATACTTCGACTGTCTTTGCCACGGAAAGAAAGTCTGTTTAAGGGATATTAGCCCATCAAAATACGGATCCTTCACCCGGGAGAATGGATAAGATCATCGAATCACCGCCAACAACTATATAATGTCCCCGCAGAGTGCCCACCGCTGACCCCGTAAGGAAAACCAACCCCATGGGGACTTTGATATCACATTGACTTCTTCCCTAATAGACCAAGACGAAATAAATTGTCCAAAATTAATTGGCACGTTGGTATAAGAGGCCCAGAATGCCCACGAAAAGATACTTGGTCAGAATGTGATATTGAGTTAGTTACCATACTTTGCTTCCTTTTCTTTTTCTTCTTTTCAGAAAATTTATACGACCCTCAAACAAAGAACAACTATGAATTTTGAGAAGAAAACACATTCACCGGATGAACGTAGCAATGCCGTTGAAGAGATATAGCAGGTTAAGCCTATCGATCACAAAACCTGGACGGGCTTAAGCAATATTGAGTCAACCGCCGCCTCGAAAGCAACCTGGCTCATTTCGATTGTTGTCTTCAGCACAGGACTCTTATTCGGTATTTAAACACGCTTTTAATTATTTCTAGGTCGAATGGGCTGTCTCATAAATCTTATTCAAGTTACGACACCGGTTACATTTCCGCGGTCCTAGTGACAATAAATGACTCGCTTGGCCATGTACTTAGCTCCAGCGAGCAGGAGATGGTTATATCTTCAATAAGTGGTGGTGCTTTGGTAGGAGCCGTAGGAGACGAAGAAGCGTTTACTTGTTGGTTTCACATGAACCTGGAATATCTTGCTTAATGAGATCTGCAACTCTCTCAGCCACAGTTTATGCAGTAGCCATGATGTTTCCGCCGCTAATATTGGTTAGGGAATATGCTTGCATCTACAACTCGGATTCCCTTAACACCGCGAACCCTGAGCCTCTCCTCAACTACCTCTCCCAGCCTGCAAGCTCCACAAGGGTGATATTCTGTCACGCACATACCTCTTTTGTATGACAAATTTCCCTGGTATCATGAAAAGATTCGACAAAGCATACTTTACTCACGCAGCTTCGACTTCGCTGAAGTGGGCAGAAGCACAGATTGCGGCTGTTTCTTCATCGCATGGTAACGCTTTGGTCACCCCCGGCAGTAAGCAGTTTATAAAGCGACCTTTGATCTTCTTTACATTAGCTTGAAGGAGATTAAAGTTTCAAGTCTGACAGACTTGCAGTAATTGTTTTCATCTCGGAATGAATGATGGTCGAAAGGAATTCCATATTTGTCAATCGGAGGAAGCGTAAAGCCCAGAGGAAGCAAGATTGAAAGGTGCTGAAGGATAGCAATCTAGGAGGGAGAAAAGAGGTGGCCGAGGGGGCCGCAACCAAGACATGGACATGCTAGTAATGTAGAGCTACTAGGTACGAGTCAAATTTGCACAACATACAACACAGCAAATGAAAGCAGTCATCATCTGGTCACAGATTTTGGGAAAGAGAAAAGAAAAAAAGCTTCCAATTTTCCAATCACTTCAACATATACATTCATTTTGACCGACAAGTCTGAATAAAGGGTTGCGTCAGCCCGCATGAATTTTCCACTCATCGTCGTCTTGGTTTGGAAACGACCTAGGTGGCCGGACGCACGTTTTATGCTATGGCGACCAAATATTTTGCTGCACAATTTTTTTTTGATGAAGAGCAGTATTACCTTTGATGGCTGTCAAATTGTTCAGTGGTACGCATCTTCCGGTGTTAGTCTTTGGCTTGAGAAATCGTTTGCTAAGCTTGCTTTCCAAGCTTGGATTGCTTGCTCCATTCAGCGACCCTGACTACGGAGCGATGACCATCTTCCAATATCCCAAAAGGCTCCTCGTTCCGCTATCTCGATATATTGCACGGATACTACGGCTGCATCAATGATTCATCATGAATTCTCCGCGAAGCCACCCCAGGTACTCACTCTTCCATGAAGTATAAATCACTAAAGAATAAATTGTACAGATCCGCAGCCTCCCCCAAACCATCTCAACGCGCGCCCGCGATCGGCCATTCTACGACAGGTTCATCCTCAACAAGAGAACCATCTACTCGTGACCAGGGCAAAAGCTAGTCCAAATCTGTGATTGCACGCAAGTGTGGTGATAGACACTGATGCAGCACTTGCGATGACCGTGAGCATGACATCTATATGGAGCAAGTGAATTCGACGAGTCTCTCCGACTTCCACAAGAGAAAGCGGTCCCGGGACGGTCACGACTCAGGCGTGTACAACTTGACCATCGATTACCGATTTGAGCTCATCAAGCGTGCTGACTCTACAGTCAACCTGCGCGTCGACTATACGAACCTCGTTCCGTACTGGGATGAGATGACCGGGGATGAGTCAGAGGCCGGATCGAAGAGCAAGCGAGAGCTCTGCCGGGAGAAGCGCTGGTGGGGGACTTACTCCGAGTGGTTGAAGAAGCTGACCACGGTACGCATGTCAGACGAAGGCAAGTTGCCGCTGTCCATTCACAAGAAGATGCTCCTCTATAGCCGACGGGCGCAATGCGCACGGAAGGGCATGACGCTCAAGGCCGGGCTCGACGTGACGCTGGATGCCAAGTTTGATATGAACGCCAGGTGGTCATACTATGCACAAGGCACGATTGTTCACCTGAATATCGACACCCTCTACACCTATTTCGAGCTGCATCCCGAGGTGCAAGCTATACTAGAGATCGACGGCAGCGCCGAGATGATATACCGCAGCCCTCGAATCAGAATCATCGACACACTTTCCTACCCCGAATTGGCCATCAAGGGCATCGCAGCGGTGGGGCCAACGCTTGATCTGTACGGACAGATGGAGGCTGGCGCCACGATCGCTGGGAAACTCAAAGCGGGAGCCAAGATGACTTTCCCCAAGTACGAAATGTACTTCCCGCAGATAGATGAGGCCGACGATTATCAGAAATTCCCCACGCCCGACGACAAGGATACGAAACGGGTGTCTGGTACCGATATGGCGCCCATTCTGGACGCCAGTGTCGAGGCGAGCGTTCACATCGACCTCATGGTCACACCAGAGGTGAATCTGGGGATCAAAGTTAATGCACCCATGCGCAAAGGCGGCCCCGTTCTCGATGCTCAGATTGTCGGTATCGTGAATAATACTTTGCGTTTCCAAGTTGACGCGGGAGCCAGCGGAGGAATCGATAATCCGCCAGCTGCTTCATACGACGTGTACGTCAAGTACTCTTCAAATTTGGTGAGTAATTCCGCGTGCCCTACACGACATTTAGCTCTTGTACTGACGCGGGCCTAGGTTACGGTGGACGAGCGGTGTGAGTATCATCTCAATTCCAAGGATGCTCTTGTCAGGACTGACATCTGTGATTGTAGCTTCAAATGGCTTGGCGAGTATGCATTGAAGCGTAAGTTGCAGACCCCTCTGAGTCCATCTCTGCATTGGCGCTAAAACTTTCCAGCGAAAACTCTCTGGAGTGGAAAAGGGAAAGAGAAGATCCTTTGGGAACACCATGGTCCACCTCGAACACCAAGCGCAGTACCCTCGAGCCCGACCTTCTCGGCGCAGAGCGGTTTATCCCAATCTACAACGCCACCGAGCTCGTGGACGATGGCTGGGATATACCGACTGGCCTCTTGGCGCCTCGTTCCCTGCAGAAGCGCAAGACTCCCGAGGAGGTTGCCGCGTTTGGTCTTAACAAGGGCTTCTTCACCTGCAATGACGGGGGTCAGTGCAAGAGCGGGGGGTGTGACGGTGATACCTGCGAATGGAAGCCTAAGCCGTCGAGCCTGACCCGACTTGCCGACGATGATGACGGCGACCCGATAGACGTCGACTCTAGTCAGAGCTGTGTTAGCTCTATCCCTATTGTGATATATAACTACAAGTACTTCTCGGACTACCGGGTGCGAGATAAAGAAATCTACGGTATTTGTTATATTATATTAAAGTTCTTTATAAACGAGGGTCTAGGTACGGGACTATTTAGAGTAACCTTTTATATAAATAAATAAGGCGCCATAGATACTAATAGATAGTAGGTATATAGTGCTAAGTCTAAGTATAAGTATATCGATAAGAATAGTGTAGAATAAGAAAAGGACAACTCGTAGAAGGACGAATATATAGATAATTTGTAATGGTCTTTGGGACCATACAATGGGAGACAGATCACTAAGACTGCCAAGCACTCTTTCCAACCTTTGGCCTTTTCCCATCAGGGTTTTGCCTGGTTGGTTTTAACGAGGCTATGCAGGACGAGGAGTAATGTGTAACGGGCCAGGGCCACGTTGAGGCTCGGGCTTTGCCCGTGCAGACACCGCACCCGATACTGCCGAACGGGTAGCCTGACCGCCCTAGGGAACACTATACAGCAGTTGACCGCTCCTTTGTTTACGGTTCTCTAAGATTTAGATAAACAGCATGCAGGCACCGCCTAATTGAATCAATTCAGCTGTAGCCCTTCACATAATGGATCCGATCATGTAACGGGAATGTTCCGTCTACGAAAAGGATTCGGACGTAGTGTCACCAACGAAGATGGAATCGCAATAAGTGATACCGACAGAGATAATGTGCCCCTGGGAGCTTCGTCCAAACGGGGCATAAAAGGGGATAACTCCCTGGCCCCTATCTGGGGGACAAGAATTAGTCTCTGTACAAGAATACTATATCGTTGACGCTCCTCCACTTATTCATTACCGATCCATCATCGTATCTTACCGGATTGACAGGCTGATCACCCCTGACCTGGTAATCTTCTTACATAATTTAAAGGTACTCTCCAGGTTAACTAGTACGCCTATCGGCGCTAACGGTAATAATAACTAGCTTAGCTATAACGAGTTCCCTTAGAACGCGATAGAAGAGGGCGGGGATCCGAATAAGAACAGTCGGACGTGTGTGCCGGGCTGGTAGTAAAATATACAAAGGTGGTTTAACGGCATCCTTAATAACATAGTATAAGAGGTGACCTAGACCGCCACGAACGGCAAGACCAGAACGGCCGACAAGTCGTGGGCGGCCGACTAGGCCTCGCGTAGCGTCTTGGGCTTAGGGAGCACCACGAACCGTGACACGGCGCAGAATTATAGCCGCGCGCATAAGAAGAAGTTCACTTACCATCTCTTTAACTCCGATTCTGACACCACCGTCACCGGCTCCAGGTATGATGTCTTTAGCCACAACTTCGCCGATGGCGGCGACAGGAGCGATATGGCTGAAGTCATTGGCGCCGTGAATACGCTGGGCAACGCGAAGTACTCTATCACCAAGAATGCCCTATGTCGGACTCCTGGCACACATGATCACCCGTTTTGGCATTCTGCAGGAGGTCTTTATGTGAAAACGGTTCAGTAGGTATTATGTTCTCTTTTTTTGGATACTTTCGTTTGTCTAACAGCGTCTCTAGGTGCACGGTCGTATTCGACAATACGGTCGCCCAGGCTAAAATCAAGCGAGGCGAGACGCCGACCCAAGAGGAGATGTTCAATATCAAGCGTGAGTCATCCCTGAAGGAGACCTGTTTTTTGCATGTTGCTAACAAGCCGTCCACGCAGGCATTGACATTGCGGAGGATGAACCTGCGCATGAAATATTTGTTCCATTTGACGATGCAGAGCCAACTCTGGCGCCTCGGAGTATCGGGAAGCACCGAAGACACCACGCCCATCATCACTAGGTGGCCAGATTTCTGTTGTTTATGTACAATAGAGCAGGTTGATATATAAGCTTCTAGGAATTTACTACTTATAGCCACTCCCACCCATTCCCTTCTCTAAGGTAAAACTCCACGTCTTCATCCTCATCATCCACAATCTCCGACAAAGGCTCGCCCTCAAACCAATTCACCGCAATCTGCGCCGCCTCCGTAGCCCGCTCACGTACCCTAACCGGAAGGATCTCCCCCCGGTGGTTCACCGCCAGGGCCAGCACTCAACCCTCCTCACAGGCCTTCCGATCTGCAACAGGAACCAGCGCCTTCTGTGTCCGATCATTCTCCGCCAGCTCCTCAGCCCGCTCCTCCCCTTCAAAATACCGCCAGTCACCATCCGACAGCCCCTCAAACAGCTCAGGGCAGTGCATTAGCGCCGTAAGTGATAACCCGGTACGGAACCCGGACGGCCTGGCGCAACGCCTTCAATCACATCCTGGTCCCGCTGGGTATCTGCTATTAGTTCCTCCCGATCTTCGAAGACGAACTCCTCGGGGATGCAGAAAACGTGGTTATTCTCGCGGCCGTGCTGTAGGACTTCCTTCCGGAGTCGGGCGTACGCCGTATCTGCGGCTTCTTGGCTTATTTTATCTGTAAGATCGCCGAGCCAGGTCCGGATCCATAGGACTGTCGAGAGCAGGCTACTATTTACGCGGTCTTCCTCTGGGAGGAGGTCTTGCGGTACCGTACCCCCTCTGGAACATGATCGATAATTGGGTCATCGAACATAGCGAGGGCCCAGTCATGGGGGTCTGGTCAGTGAGTGGTGATCATTAAATGAATGAGTTGGTGGGTAGATAGATACGTTTCGCCCATATTTTCCTAGAGCGATCCATTTCTCAACAAGGGATTTTTTTGCTCTCTTTTGGAGAGCGGGGATATTGTGTCCCAGTTTGCCTGGGCAAATAGAGAGCTTAGTATGGACTTGCTCTCGCAGATGTGTATTGAGGAACGGGGGGCGCTTATTACGACGAAGTGATCGAATGGGAGGTTCCCGAATTCGGGTAGGTCAAGGCCTTCTCTCATTGTTGTTGATGTTGTTGGTGGTGGTGGAGGGTGAATGAAGTCGGGGTAAATGGGAGGATGAGGGGGCATGGCTGGGTTATATACTCCCGGGTCAGCACTAGAGGAAGTCCCCCCACCTTTTCCACTTGAATCTAATGGAAAATACCTCCTTTCCTAAGGCTTTCCATTCCATTCAGTCCTCGCTGCAGTGTTCTTGGGCATCCAGTCCATAATCACGACACCGCATTGTCGGTACAGCAGGCATGCTCAGGCAGGAATGTCACCTCTGTCACCCCGGTTTCTAGAATTCTCACCCCACATCACCCACACTCACCCTAAGACAACTATTTTTGCCATTTGAAATTTCAGGGCGCCTCGAGAATTGGCTGGGTAGAGTAATGGGCTTAATTGCGGTCAATAAAATCTATAATGTTACGATAACGAGAATTACGGGGCTAACCTTGAGCTAGCAATATATATATATATCTCATTTTGATGGATATAGCAGCCTTTGTTTGTTTGCGGATTCGCGTGTTTGCTTATCCATTCTTTGTGACGCCTCCATAGCTAGAGATAGCGAGATTTTCCCCTTAGAGATTTCAGAATATCATACACTCTTCACCCACTATCTCACCCACATAGTGACGGGAGTTCACATCAAAATACTTCAGTATAGAGATTCTTTAGACTCCGCTTAGAGACTAGATACCACCTAAATAGGATTTGTTTGAGAAGATATCTAGGTAAATCTTACCGTTGTTCCGACACTTTATTGTATTTATGGCATCTACTACGGTGTTTTGGAGTGGGCCACTCTTATGTGGAATACTTCAAGCTACAGTACAATGTACATGTATCATGTACCACTTCCAAAGCGATTTCTATCACAAAAATCACAGACAATCTTTGACCCACGCGCAAGGCGTTCTATCGAGATATGTTCGTAGGACACGGTTCCGCTAGATAACGTCCTTGTGTTAGTAACCATCAAGGGGCAAAGGCTTTGAAAGCTCCATCCAAATTCTGGCAATGTTAGCAGGGAACCAAGAAGTCGGAGACGTACTCCTACCCAGTTGGTCATATCCGAATCCATCCATTCCCGTACATCAGTCCATTCATCAAATAAAGTCTCGAATTGAGTCTCCTGACCCTCAGCGCTCCCTGCTGAGGTGGTTTCAGTGCCTGTCTGGGTTCTAATAAAACTTGAATTAGCTGGATTTTGGCCACGTATTAGTACGTGACCTACTGCAAATGGCGTAAGATTCGATACGCTCTTGAACAAATATTACTGCGGCCTGAAAGGTCTTTCAAGTGGATCATTAGGATTTTTATCTCTTCCCGCGAAGACCCCAAGTCATATGTTAAGTCAGTTTCCGATGATACATCTTGAAGACAAGAGTTGAGGGCCACAGCAGCGTGGAGTGCTTTCAGACTTGTCACCCCCCTGAGCAACCAGAGATAATTTCGGAGTATTGGAGCTTCGTACAGCTCCCTGTGTATGGATATCAAGGCTTTACTAGAGTTGATACATCTTTCCCTGGACGTCGCTAGAAAACAAGGTGCTTTGGAATGATGGAAAGGTCGGTGTAGAAGAAGGTAGAGATGGTGTGCGTAAGTCTGCAAAACGCACCAATATGCATAGCTAGCAGAGTCCAAAATGCTTGGCGAACCATCGACCATATAAGTCAAGTCCCATTGTTTTTGCTCATCGGCTATGGCATCATCGAATTTGTGCAGACTTAGTTGATCCAGCCGCGAAGGGCCCGATATATGACGACAGATCTCAGTAGAAAGTCGGAAAAGCCGAACCTTGTCCAGCATAACAGACATTTGCGTAGGCTGGCCATGACTAGACGGGTACAAATTGCCTTCCTCTGTGATACCAGAATCATTGACATTGGCTGGTAAAGATGACTTGATGTTGAGAAGATATGACATATCAACATCCCGGAATAGCATGCCTTGATACGTATGTAATGTTAAGAGTCCAGCCCAACAGCGTCGTCGTCTTTCTGTCTCAATATAGCTTGAATTTTGATCCACATTACACCGCAAGGCAATGCCAATATTCAATGCCATCCCTAACAAGGCCCAACCTTGTTCGACAGACTCATTGTGCGAAAGATTGTAAATTACCATTAATAAAGCCTCGAATGTGCTAAATGTGTGGTTGACAAAAAAGTTGTCCTGTAAAAGACACGTCATTGCGGTTCGAAGAAGGCAGCGAGACACATAAACCGTAGCAGGTACTTGCGCAGGACTGGACGGCAGTTGAGACCAGAAAGGTGCCAGCCTAGGATCATTGTCATCCATGGTATTCAAAGCCAGGGAGCACAAAGAGAAAAGCAAAGCCAGCCAAGGTATGTCGATGTCAGGATTTCGTTGCATAAACCTAGTATATTGCTTTTGGAAGGTTGGCCCGTGAAGAATAGGGAACAAAGTGGATATGTTTTTAAAAAAGTGTGAAATCAAGTAGTCACAACAAGGTTTAGGTGGAAGAGATTCAATAATTTCTTGGAGAGACAAACGCAGGCCGATTGAAAGAGGTGACGAAGTGTCGTGAGCATCAGATTCTGGAGCAGGTCTTTCAAGCACCGTGTCCCAGTGCGTATCCGGAGCCAATTGATCCGTGTCAGGTATTTGCAGCCTCGGTCGTGATGCTGTGGCAAGGGTTTCTCTCGATGATGTAGTCGAGCATCCTACTCTATTGCCAAACGCACTTGACACTTGAATGGAACCGGCTATTCTGTGAGTGTTGGTCGATGTAGTTAGACCTGTAGATACATCGTAGGAACAGCTGGCATCGCGTCGGCGACGCTTACAAGCGCCACACGGTTGCCGGCGATCGCATCGTAATTTGGAGCGTCGGCATTCCTCGCAATTCACGGGTATACGCTTTCGGCGCTGAGAGCTGGGGAGTTGCTCGACAGGCCCAGCTTGTACAGCTTGGACTGGAGTGTTTTGAATCATTCCGATAGACAAGGACATAATTCCCCGTTCAAAAGTCCGACGCGGTAATTGTTGCTCGGGAAGGCGAGGGGCTCGACTTGAAGCAAGGAGGAAAACGGAGTTCCGCGAGTGGTTCGGAGATACATGTTTCCGATCGCCGTTTTCGCCGCGATACAACCCGATCTGACGGCTTAAACCTGGGTATCAGAGAAGTCACGTCCTTACAGCTTACGTTCACGAAAATATAGACGACCAAGTCTGCTTTTGATACGAAGACCTACAGCAGAAATCACCCGGTCGGTTTCCTTAGAGTGTTAGCCCAGCAAAATAGTCGGCCAGTTTGCCTGGAGGCGAGGGTTATTGGATACCGAAACCATGGATTGGGGGGATGAATATGGGTGAAAAGGGCAGAATCAAGACCTTAATGCAATGTCTTGTTTGCAGCAGAAATAAGTTGAGCTTCCGCTCTCATATTGTTTAAGCTAGGATGACTTCACTGTAAGCCTCAAATATCAAGCGCTTAATACCAACCTTCAACATAAAATACTATACCTGGAATGGTGATGATAAACTCTGCAAACACCAGACATAAGCTATGAGTACTTGTATAGACATATGGTCTTCGAACGCAGCATCTGAGTCCTCAGAAGACTGCCCCTGAGCAAAATTCGGGGATCGTTTGGTGCTGATCACAAATGAGAAGGCCCCTGCGGCATTGATAGCCATCTTTATATCCATTTAAGCAACCTCGTCGTAGCCGTCCTTAATTTATATAGAAATGTAACAACTTTCAACCGAAGGATTTCCGACACAAAGTCAGCTTGCGAAAGAACTTTGGCGCGGTTGCCCGGATTTGCCATCTTCTATTTATCAGGAATTAGAGCTCCGGATAGCTCAGCGACTTGCTGCGCAAGTTTCAAGTCAATCTCGGCGGGCCTAGTCCCGGTGAGACGTTCGTATGCAACTGGGTCATCACAGTGGTCAAATTCAAACGTGAAGGCCTTCATAATGTGTGCACTTTCGCGCTCAAACGTCGAGTTGTAGGTCGTCTGTACTTGGGTATGGTGGTCGCGGAACTTCTCGGTAAGCGCGCGTATCTTAAAATTTTATGCCTTCTCAGAGTATGAGGCGAATACACCCTCTTCCTCATTGGAAGGTGGCAGCGCCTCAAATCGATTTTGCCAGTAGTTGACGGTACTGTTACTGATTTGGTGACGCATTGCGCCATCGCGATTCAAGTTCATCAATAGGCTGAAAAGCCGGTTGATTCGTAGTTCTTCCCAATTGATGTCTAGCCGACTGATCTGTGTGTCAAAGTAGAAAGGGATCATCTGAGAAATCAATCCCGGGCACGGTATGACTAGTGAAAAACACGACCTGTTCAGTTTGGGTGAATAACTCGTCCACATTCTTATTAAGATCAAGTTTCCGATACATCGAAAATGGACGAGCTCTTCTGGCCAAACCTTGGTAGCATCAAGAATATCGAAGTCAAAATCGGGTTCCTTTCCCTCAATAGTTTGAATAGCAAAGTCCCACTGAGGGTACGCGCCATTATAAATGGCTTCCATCAGATCCTTGCGGTAAAAGTCAGGATCCTGACCTGCAAGCTTCAGGGCTTCGTCCTAAGCAAGAGAGTAGACTCCGAGTTTAGGTATGAAATGAAAATTCATGAAATAACGTTTGCCCTCCTTGATGACCAAAGTATAGATACTGACACCGAGTCCTTGCATCATGCGATATGAACGAGTAATTTTCCTATCGGACATTCCCCGAATAAATATGTGGCTTGCCTCAGTATGAAGATAGACAAGATCCCAGAAATTATATGCGCAGTTTGAGCTTGCGGGACTTCGTTGTGTGGCTCAGATTTGACGGCATGTACTGCCCGCCAATTTAGCTTAACTTTGACTGCATCTATCAAGTGAAATATATCAAAGTCCGGGAAATTGATCGATTTCTAAATGAAAAACACAGGGGTGTTCTTTCCAACATTGTCCTAGTTGCTCTCATCGGTGTCAACTTTGACGGAAAGACCTCTCACGTCTCTGACAGCATCCGCGCTAACTCTGCTCCCTTGTACTATTGAAAATCGAAAATCGAAAAAAGACCGGGGTATTACGCGACATGTCAGTAAGAATGGCGGCATGGCTCACGACCTCGGCACTTTCATAGAGTGTAAAATTGCCAAATGCACCTCTTCCACGAGCATGGTCAACACGCTCAGGGATTCGCTCATGGTCAAAACGGTGGATCTATAATCCATGTCCGAAAGGTGAGCCTGCTGTTAGGAGGTTCAATGTACTTCTCCCTTGCAATTTGGTCTTGCAACAAAGATGGACCAGTTCTGTGGCCAGATGTGACCTTGAGCCAGTTGTCGGGATTCTTGATGCGAACACCATAATCGGTTGGCTGGGGCTCATTGGTATGAGCGTTGACAGTATCATGAGAAAGGTTGATCGTATTTTTATTATTGGGAGGATGCAGACTTAGACGCTTTCTGAACCTTATCTGATTCTTGAGCAGCAGTAGCAGCCATTTGATCTGGTAATATTGTTGACTGTCGCAGTATCTTGAAGTTCGAAAATTTGGCAATGGACTTTATAGAGCATGACGGCAAGAAATGTGGTGAGAACTTGTCATCCACGTCATTTCTACGTCAACGTGAGTATACAGAAACCCAGTAGCATGATGGCCCCTATTGATTCAATTGTTTGACACTGGCAGAGGAATCGGGTTTTAGCTCAAGTTGTTCTGTCAAGGTGAGTGTTTGTTGTTCGGAGATCACAGGAAAATACATAGTGTCAAAGGCCGGAGAAACATAACGCCGATATTCTGTCTCCGCAGTGTTAGCCCGCATTAACCGTTTAAATCCGAGTAATCGGAGAATGTCCTTCCGCACTTTGTGGTTCACAAGGCCTGATGAGAATACCGGCTTGGTTGTACATCTTGAGTCAGCTGCATTTCAACACAACAGGTTTAGCAACATGATACCCGTTATTCCACACACTGATCTCCAGTCTAATTGGATAGTATTCTAGTGCAGTGGGACTAACTCCCGTTTTCGTCAATAACCTTCAGGTTCAATAAATTACTTGCACAGGAATGCGTATAATCAGCCCTTGTCTGGGGTACTTATCAAGCACAAAGACCAAATGGACAGAATATTTTCGATATGCCCATGGCGAGGCAAAAGTCGGTGGGATAAGTCCCATATTGGCGCAATCAATGCAAAGTTCCGTTCCAGACTCCCAATGTGGCACCTCGCTGCAGCTTTCATGGGGTTCTTGGGCTTAAAAAGGTGAAGTTAGCACACAACCTTCAACTTCCAGACCTCCATGCTGAGGGTATATGTAGGCTTAATTATCTCGATCACTGCCTTTGATGGGAGAAAACTCTGATAATGTAAATCGCTTTTTGTACTGCAGGTGAACCGCTAAAAACTTAGCCATATCGACCGAATTGGTAGCTTCTAGCGAGGTTGGTACTCGGGAGCAAGGAGTGACCGAAAAAATAGTCTCAGACTTGATGGCAATGGAAACTTGGCCGAGACAGGCTTTGCGATGGCATCTGGATAAGTGTTTCTGTACCTAAGCAACCTTGATTGAATATTGATCGTAGTCGATGGATGGGCCGTGCTTATGAGGATTGGCTTGGGCTCCCGGGCCTCTATCGTCAGATGGAAGTGTCGTTTTACCTTCAGAAACGAAGAGAGTGCTCTTTGGTCGGAAAGAAGATATTCGCCAGGGAAATCATTGGCACAAACAGGGGGTCCGACCTCTGAGGTCCGATAGAGTTTGAACGGCTGCACTACCTCGCCATGGACTCTGTCATCTATGATCGCCTGGCATCGAATTCGATATGAGACATAGCAATGTGCATACGCAGTGCGTTGAGAGTCAGATCCCCCGCGGCGGCTAATGCAAATAGAAGGAGGAGTTTCGAATGGCGACAATTCGGAATTATAAGGAGGAAGAATCTGGCCGGGTATTTCGAAATCAAACGGAATTGAGATATCTCGGATACTGGACGAAGTTCGTGTCTATGAAAGTCTGTTCTCTTGAGCTAAATGGACCAACTTGCCGGAGATATATTAGCTATCTTAGCTAATAAACTTGGTCAATAGCTGATGGCTCATTCCCACTAACCCGTTGGCCGTTCACTTTCAATGTATACGAGTTTTCAGAGTCAAGACATATTTGGTTCATCAAATCTCCTTTAAATATCAGCATTTTGCAAAAGTGGTAAAGCTAATGGATAGAAACCTTCCAGGACTATTTTGAAGTACCCGGTCAGCGGTCCGTTACCGCGAACCACAACAGTGCCACATATAGCACCACCGAAGATGAAAGGAACTGCATTATCTTCTGTCTTTGGATATCCATCGTTCAAAATAATTTTCATATGGATTGGCATCTCGATGTTAGATCAACCACGGAATACAAAGGAATATACAAGCTAAAGGAAGCCAGCGAATATCCACCAAGATATGTAAAAAGATTTTTATGTATCTTACCCATCAAACTACACAAAAAATGCTACTCAGCGACATCATGATTTAGCGATGCAGGTAGCTGGTGGATTGGGGAGTGGCAAATCGGATTTACGATCGGAAAAAACTTCGGGATTCAGGAACACGGAATTATTACCTCGGAGCCGTTGATCTCCGATGCATCAGAGTGAATTATATTGTGGCGTAGGTAGCGGCTTCATGAGCTTGTTAGCTTTCAGCTTTCCTTGAAATACTTCAATAACCTAAGCCAAGGCTGGGCAATATTCTATACCTCTACTTCTCTGTTTTCACCTTATCTTGATTGCATAGCCTGCAATACTCTGCTGCGATGGAGGCTTATCTTCAGTACCAAAGAGTTCGACAAGCAGTCCAACAGCAAGTGTCCGAGCTAAAAAGAGCTTGTAGCTGTTCAAACTACACCATTGGATCTCCTCATGATACGGAGTAAGTGTTGGCGAAAGATTTTGGGTCCTGCATTGTCTGACACGTCTTGCAATAGGTGTGAACTGAAGTCCCACCACGACGGCACCACGGAGAAGCAACCCTTCCCAGTTACAGATGATTTGATTCTGGTCGGCTGGGAAGGACAAAATGATCCTTTAAACCCTGTAAATCAGACTACCGTACGAAAGCTTTTCATGACTGTCATCGTCTCTTTGATTGCACTGTCTGTCACTGCAGCATCTGCGATCGATGCTTGTGGTGTCAGGGAATACAGTGAGTATTTCCGAGTATCTAATGTTGTGGGATCTCTTGCAACGGGTATGTTGGCCGTATTTGCCTGTTTTTATAGCCCCTTTTGTTCCTTCCGGCTCACAAAGACGCAAGCTGATCTTTCGAATTGTTTTAAAGGTCTTTTTCTTATCGGATTTGCGTTTGGCTCTCTGCTCTCCGGGCCGTTCTCGGAGACCTTTGGACGCAATGCGATATATCTTTCAACCATGCTCACATTTTTGGTTTTCGTTATGGCATCGGGACTCGCACCAAACCTCCAAGGTCACCTCATTTTTCGCTTTCTTGCTGGATTCTTTGCTTCTACCCCGCTAAGCTGCGCCGGTGGCACGGTCGCTGACCTATGGAATCCGGTACAGAAGACCTACGCGTTTCCAATCTACGCTATACCGGCATTCTCGGGACCGATGATCGGTCAGATGATTGGAAGCTATATTCCGGTACGATTAGGCTGGCGCTGGCTTGAATGGACAATGCTTATAATGGGAGGCATTGTTCTGGTTCTTGTTCTTCTCTTTCAATCAGAGACCTACGGCGATCTGATCCTCTATTGGAAGGCCTCAATACTTCGAAAAGAGACGGGAGATGAGAGATATAGAGCGCCCCTGGAGATGAAAGGGGAGAGTCTGGGCCAGCGTCTGAAGCTCTCAGTTTCCCGGCCTTTCGCCATGTTCTACTCTGAGCTGATTATTATCTTGATCTCGCTCTACTTAACGATTATCTATATCGTTCTGTTCACATTCCTAGAGGGCTATACGTATGTCTTCGGCCAAACATACGGTATCTCGGAGGGCCTAACTAGCCTGTGCTGGACTGGTATGCTGGTTGGTACCTTGCTTGTGGGCTGCGTGGTGCCAGTAGTTTACAATTGGACAGCGAAGGCTTCTATTCGAGATGAAACCCCTGCCGTTGATCCCGAGATGAGGCTCTGGTATGCAATGCTTGGCGGTGCACCAGCAGTACCAGTCAGTCTGTTTTGGATGGGATGGACTAGCAACGTAAGTCCTCTGGGTGCCGAGTCTATATATGGGAGACTGACCACTTTTTCTTATTATGTCGCAGCCAGAGATCTCGATATGGTCTCCTCTGATCGCCTCCATCTTCTTTGGCTTCGGCATTACAACCATCTTCATCGTTTCTTATATGTATCTTATCGATTCCTACGGTACATACTCGGCTTCTGCACTAGGGTTTCTTGTGTTCACGCGGTATTTGGTCGCGGGAGGGGTGACCATTGCTGGCGGTCCGATCTATCAGTCTATCGGAGTACAGTATACACTGACGATACTCGGGTCTATCAGTGCGATAATGACCTGTGTGCCCTATATGCTCTATACTTACGGACCGAGAGTCCGCAAACATAGCAAGTATGCAGTTAATGTTGACAGGAAGTGAGGTTTCAACAGACTTGCTATTGAGATTCAAGGGATCGGCGAAACACTGGGCATTGGGAAAAAGGTTATTACGTAATGCTAGACCATATTCTGCTTCACTGCACTTTCAGCATTCTCGTACTCAAGTAGTAAAGCTGCGACGATGAGGAGGTGTTTTCCGAAACAGATTTACACTCTGCAGACATAGCCATTGCACCGGCATCAGCAGCTCTGACGCTTCTATAGAACGGGCGAGATTAGGGTTACTATCAGCCGAAAAGAACATCATAAAATATAAAAATCATCTGGACCAAGATACTGTATCACCACCAAAGACATTGAGCGATATAGAAAGCTTTGGAGCGACTAATCTAATTAACTACTTTGGAACAGATAGCATGGTACCCCCGCTCAGCTCCGTTGCAAGACTTTTCTCGCCACAGCAGCAACCAAGAAAGTCAATCAATGGTCGCATTTTCCATTATGGCTTTGAATCCATTTGACAAGTCTTTTGGAGATCATCCAATGTTTCAATATCCACACTGACGCGGAGAACGTCACCCTCTGCGGAATGGTCCGACATCTTCCTCCATTCAATCAAGCTTTCCATACCCCCAAGACTGGTTGCGTGTTGGAATATGCGGAGTTTACTCTGGAGCCACTTCGCGCACTTCTCACTTTTCATGACTAGGCCGAAAACCGGGCCAAATCCGTTAGGCATTTGCTTTTGAAGCCAGTGCATATCGGAGGATTGAAGACTGGCATGTGAAATGTGCTGCACAGTTGAATTGACCTCATTCACTCTGGTGTCTTTCATCTTGCCCGCTATCCATGCAAAAAGGGCGGTGCAATTTTCGCTTTGCCTGCGGCAGCGGATGTCCAAAGTACGTAAGCTTCGAATGCCGAGCCAAGATTCAAACCCGCCGAGGACATTGCCTAGCGCGCAGCGGTCCTCCCACAGACCCACAAAGAGATCTTCTCGCTGTACAGCCAATATACCGCACATCATGTCACTGTGTTCACCGATATACTTGGTGCCGCTATGGATGAAGATATCGGCACCCCACAAAAAAGGGTCTTGCAAAGCTGGTGGCCCAAATGTGGAATCAACCACTAGATAGATGTTCCTCTCTTTGGCGACTTTTGCGTAAACAGCAATATTCCGCGCTTCACCGGTTGGATTAAATGGAGTTTCAAGATGTATAGCGTCTCCAGGCTCAAGTTGGTCCAACTGATCCAGTCCGACTTTAACGGTACCGGCCAGACGATGGTGTATGTCAAGAACAGCATGAGTCCCATGGTAGCCTTCACCGATTGCAACTTTCTTTGGGCCCAGCCGAACGAGGTAGGCGTGTATGGCAGAAAGTCCGGTCGCGTATACCAGTAAGTTTCCTTTGAGAAGCGTTGTCAGATGTGCTCGAGTCGAGATCCGTTGGGACGGGCAAGTCTGGCATAGACCATGTCGGTTTTCTACATTGTATACAGTTTAGATACTCGTATCTTCAGTCCACTTGAAGCGGAATCAATCGCTGGCTCACAGATAGAGTCCTTTGGGGCTCAAGCTCTTCTGGATTATAGGGGTATCGTTATGTTGTGCTAGGGTGCATAGCCGGCGCAACATCAGGCCCAGCATAGCGATCATCCATATGAATGGCATTCGTAGCTAATGAAAAAGTGGCTTCCAGATCCTCTATTGATGAAGAAATTTCTTTGCAAGAGGTTGAACGAAAGCTGGGCAAATATGGTGTTTCGTGAGTGCGGGCAGAATTGGGTTGCGTTGAAACTTCCATGAGAGACCCGTGGACTTAACATACTCATTCAAAGAAGCTGCAAATTGCCTCTCGGCGTCATACCCCAAGGAATTGACGTAGATCCGATGGATACTATCAAACTCAAGTTTCCCTTTTACGTAAAATTAGTTTCTTCGGGGAGAAAAGTCGGGATTGTCCCCGAGATAGTTAGTATAAATTGGTCAAGATTGCATAGGCAGCAGTGGTTCTCCTTTTTTACTGAAGTTTAGATTCAATTCTGCTATGGGCAAATGAATTCCATATCATCGCCTATTCCCATTTGAGCTCGTAGTAAATGTGGCATACAGTCATCTAAACGGGCATGTGCCAGGTATACGTATGCTTGCTAGGATGTAAAGTGCATCAGAAAACCGCAAGGTTAGGTTCGGATCAACCATCCAACCATTCAGCCACCAAAAATTACGGTTTCCATGTTACTCCGAGATACATCGAGGAATTGCATAGATTTATCGGAAACACCCACCCTGCTTCCGAGAGAACTTTGATTCACGGAACATTTATTACTCACCCCGTTCATGGCATCTGCGGCCTCGCGCTCCTTCTTCCCTCTTGACTTAACTTGACTTGATTTTCTTACTCACTTGATCATTGAAATCTATTTCATTAAGGCAAAGATATAAGTCACGGCTGGCTTTTCTGTAAAGTCTCCAGCCTATATTCAGTCGCGATGTATCTACGCGCGATTGATGCGGACTAACACATACCTACTCTTCGCAGCTTCATCAAAAGCAATCCACTTGGCACGGTGACTTCTGCAATCATGTCTCCTAGCTATCCATTCCTTCAAACGAGCCATATCCCATGGATTGTCGATGTGGCCGACGAGTCCAGTGAATCTGAGCTTGGTGTCCTTCTGGGTCATATGGCCAGACAGAATCCTCAGGCGAAATCCATGATAGAGTCTGCCAAGTGTGCCATGCCTGATGGGACTCAAGGTGGTGTGCAACTTGACAATGAGGTGCTGGTTCTGTTCACAGCACAAGCTCATCACTATGTGACGCCTAAATTTTATACTGAAACGAAGCCAGCGACCGGCAAAGTTGTACCGACATGGAACTACTCTGCCGTACAAGCGTACAGCAAGGCCAGTATCTTTTTCGACAATAGCGTCACGTCAACGGAGTACCTATCTCGACAGATACATGATCTCCCCCAGCATGCGGAGACGTCAATTATGGGATACGATGTGGTGAAGAAACAAGTGCCTTGGAAAGTATACGATGCTCCAGATCGCTACATCGCTTTACTACAGAAGAACATCAGCAGTGCTCATTTATCCTGAAACTTAGTGAAGCCATATGCAGGCTACAGCAACAATGTTAACATATTTAAGTACCTACATACAACTGTTCAAATTTATCAGTCTATAAGGCAAATTGAACCAAAACATGACCTTATCCAACAGGGACGGCTAGAGTCTGGAGACTCTAGTTTAGGGTTTTTCTTCACTATAGCAGGAAAAGTGGGGCGGACGCCTGACTTTAGGTGAACTTCGTAGCTAGACTCCTAAGGTCTACAGGCCTCCGATCGGTCTAGAAACTTAACAGCCTATATATAGCTATATAAGACGTCCCCCATTTCTATCGGAGCAAACGTAGCTGTAAGGGGATTACTGGGTCACGGGTAATCAGCCTATCAATCTAGAAAGATACGATGTTGGATATGGAATGAATAGACGGAGGAGCGTAAACAATGTAGAATTATTATACAGAGACTAATTTTTGTCTTCTACAATGGGGCCCAGGTCAGGGCTCCCTTTTATGCCGCTGAATCAAGTCATTAGGGCCCATTATCTTTCTTAGTGTCACAAATTCTAATTGCATCTTGATTAGTGACACTAAGTCCGAATCCGTTTCGTAAACGGAACTTTCCCGTTACATGGTCGGATTAGTTGCTCTTCGTCCTACATAGTCTCGTTAAAACCGACCAGGCAAACTCCGATGGGAAAAAGGCCAAAGGTTGGAAAGAGTGCTTGGCAGTCTTGAACTGGACCCAATTCATGCGCCAATTACTACGAATATGTCGTCATGTGGCATCATGCAGCCCCTGGCGCTAAATATCCGGTCAAGCTTCGCCAAGCCTCAAAGAAGGTCTGCATACGTATTTCCTCAATCTTTTAACGCAGTGATTCGAAGTTTTATTATTCAATCTCGAGCCTTCTCTCCTCTCTCTACTTCAGCACTCTCACTGACTTCCGAGATGGAACTTTCACTTTCATCTGGTGGCGAAACAGAGCTTTGAATACCTGCGCCCGGGGGAACAGCCTCCTCATCTGTCTTTTCTTGTCTGCGAGCATCTAGTGCCGGCGCAAATCGACTTCGGAGTCTGATCTGCTTTCCATACTTATAGAAAAGAAATGGAATAACGGCTAGCAGGGAAGCAACGCCTCCGATGAGGCTCCCTCCGCCCCCAACACCAAGTGCGGAGAACATCTGGTTAGTGAAAAGCGGTGCGGCAGCCCCGCAGGCGGAGCGGGCAATGGTGTTTGCAGCGATGGCAGAAGCAGCGTACATCAAATAACAGTCCACGAGGTAATTCAAATATGCGACAAATATGAGAAGTAGAGAGCTTGAAAGGAAGCACCCGGCGAGAGTGGGAACAATCCAGTGGACAGAGCTTCGAAAAAGTCAGCCTCAACAACAGAGTGAGCTGATGATATTAGTACTCACTTGTATTCAGCCGACCATGCAAACCAGAACATGGTTGCGGGAAATCCAATGCCACCAATCATAGCTAGAATTAATCGATCTTCAGGAACGTTATCTTCCATTTTCTTCTCACCCCTCTCAATTTTCCTCTGGCGGAGCCGAGTGTCAATCAAAACAATCAGACCGCCGATGAGCGCGCCGATGACGGTGCCAACCAAAGGTAGTTCACCCACACCTGAGTTCCACCCACGCTTCTCTTGGAACACGATGGGATAGATGGTGAAAAGCATGTAGAGTAAAGTATAGACAATTGCCATGTAGATAGCGCATAGCAGAGAAATTGGATCGAAAAGAATTTTCCATGGTCGCGTTAGCGCCACTTTGTAGATACCAACGAGGGTTCGATCGCTGTCCTCAACTTCAGCCTTGACGTACTCGTACGCTGGAATCTTTGCCTTTCGAATTCGCTTCGCCTTGTTGTACAAAATTGTTGGCGCGTATGTCTCCGGAATGGTCAACATCAAGACGGCGGTTAATCCACCAAGCCAGAGCAGCACATAAAAGCTCCAACGCCAATCTCTCTTTAGCTCGAGAAAGCCAGCGATAACTGGTCCAAGGGCTGGTCCAACGTATACCATTGCCGAGAATCCAGCCATGGCGTTAGCGCGCTGGAGTGGATCCCATAAATCTGCGAGCACTCCCGGGGCGTTGCTCAGAGGCGCTGAGACAAAAGTTCCTGCCAGGAACCTACCCACTAGTAGCACGCCAAGATTAGGCGCAAAGGCGCACATGAAATTGAATGCGAGGTAGAATGCAAAGCTGATGTAGAAAATCCAACGGCGCCCATAGTACTCGCTGAGCGGGGCGAAGACGAGGGGTCCGGCGCAGTAGCCAAGTAAGAAAAGTGTGATTGTTAAACCAGCCACCTCGGTAGATATGCCAAATTCTTTTGAGATGGAACCAAAACAACCACTGGGGGAGCTTGAAGCGAATGTTGCATTCACGACAAGCAAAACAGCAGTCATGGTGATGGTAACACGGCGAGTTGTCGACCAGTTACGGGGGTTCTCGATGTCACCCGGGGTGAAGTCAACATACCCATCTTCATTGATAAAAGGATGGGGTTCGTAGCAGATATCCTGAGATCGATAAGGCTTATTGACCGCATAGGACAATATGCGTGTGATAACTGCCATCACGGATGGGCGAGAATGATAAACCGATGCATGAGAAGATTAGAAGGTGAAACGGGGGGGAATAATATCTACGCATATTTTAGGGGCACTGTCTTGTAATGAATGCCATGACCAGCATTAATATTTATTATTCAAGGCCATGACATAATTTCGGGGGCTTCGCTCTTTCAAGGTTCCCGCTTCGGGTGGTCGTTTGTTAAAGTCCGAGTCCGGGGCTTTATCTCCGCTGGTACGCGCGGGGAAACCCCGAAAGCTTGGGCAATTCTGTGCCGATTAGCCGAGTAGCTCGCTCTGGGTGAAAAACCTACCTGGGAGTATCTAGAAGACAGGATCGAATCGTCATAACCCTATTTTCTTCGTAATTTGATGATGTTATTTTGGACACAATGCAAGCATCTTTGTTAATTTACCACTACCAACAATAAAATGTTTCTGCAAGCCCCAAAAGTTTCTACCAAGGAAACATTCTGCAAGACCGCTGTTGGCACCAAAAGCACCGAGGCGGGGAAGGAGTACCATGTAACCGGGCCTTACAATTTTTCGGTAAAAATTACCAGACCCTCCGAAGGAGGGTCCGCCACCCACTTTGTACTTGCACCCATTTTGTAGATTTTTCCAGGATTCAACCTCACACATTCAACCATCAATTTCTCCATCACCATGCCTAAAGATAACGCTAAAATTAAGATTCAGGTTGCTGAAGCAATGAATTCTTTATCCCAGCAATCTAAGCCTAATACCGCGAAAACTGCGCGTGAATTTAACGTATCTGAGGGCCGGCTTCGGTATCGATGGAACGGTGGAAAATCCCTATTTCAACGCCAACCTAATGGTTGGAAGCTTAGTTCTGCACAATAATCTGCTCTATGCCAATTCATTGATTACTTCGATAAAGCGGGCGCTGCAATAAATCAGTCACAAATCACTGTCGCCGCGAATTCAATTCTCGAAGAAGCGCATACCGATCCCGCAATTCCACCCCCTAAGGTCGGCGACCATTGGACTCATCGGTTCTTAAAACGCAATCCTCAATATTATCGACGTCGCCGACGAGCCCTCGATATCGAACGAAGCTGAGTAATAGATAAAGGGGTAGTAGAAAAGTGGTTTGAAGAATACACTCGGATCGTCGAGGAGAATGGCATTTTACCCGGCGATATCTATAACTTTGATAAGACTAGCTTTTAGATTAGTGTTGGTAAAGATCAATAGATCATTACTCGAGAACTAAAGCGCAAAATCTTTAATGGTTCTGTCAGAAATCGTGAATCCGTTATAGTAATAGAAGCAGTCTCGGCGGACGGTTTTGTATGTCCACCACTTATCATTTTAAGTGGTAAACAGATGATGCTACGATAGTTTGAGGCTATTCAAACTAATGAACACCTCGCTATATCCGATTCTAGATATATGACCGATGTCTTAGCATATTAATGGATTCAAAGATTATATAAGTGGACAGTCCGTCGAACTCAGGGTGTTAAGCGACTAGTTTTATGCGACCGGTTTGGATCACATTTTACCCGGCAATTCAGTGAATTTTGTGATAAGAATAATATTATTCTGTTCTTTTTATTGCCGCATTCAAGCCACTTCTTACAGCCTCTCGATGTCGGTGTTTTCAGTGCTTATAAACATTGGCATAGTAAGGCTATTAAGTCCGCAAAAATGACCGGATGTCAAAAATTCACTAAGGAAGAATTCCTTTATGCGATCACCTCAATACGGAAAAAAACATTTCGACTACGCACTATCAAACTCGGCTTTCGGTTAATAGGTCTTTGGCCTATTAATTCTAAGTTAATTACTAAGAATTTGGTTGATTATGACCCTTATCAACGACCATCGACACTATCAACTGGTAGCTCAGGCTATATATACTTCAGCACCCCCAAAACCACTGAGAAAGTGCAAAAATTAAGCTTAGCGCTTAAAGAGAGTGAAGCCCATTCTTCCCGCTACAAAAGTGCACTTGCAAAGATCGCAAAAAGTGCTGAAATGCATACTGCTTTAGTACATACATTATAGTTCGAACTAGATTCGACTTCAGCTATCGCGGCTACTCGCCGCGCCAGATATAATGCTACCCGGGCAAGGGCACATGCTACTGGCATTGTTAATACTAGTGAATTAAGAAGCATGAAGTATAAAGCATCTAAATGGACTGAGGCTGAGGATATTTCCAAACGGAAGCGGAAATGGGCTAAGGTCAACACACAGATCAGAAGGCATGGACGCATGCAAAAGAAATGGGGGCGGGTTATGGCTATTGAAATTCATGTAATTTAATAGATATTTAATTCATTTCCTATTTAAATTGTATTGAATTCGTTCATATATATGGCTGAAATGGGGGTTAGAATTGAATCCTAGAAAAATCTACAAAATGGGTGCAAGTACAAAGTGGGTGGCGGACCCTCCTTCGGAGGGTCTGGTAATTTTTACCGAAAAATTGTAAGGCCCGGTTACTACGGAAAAAAAACGAGAGAGCACACAGAAGATACTGTATTGCTTATTAAGATGTTGGGGATGTCAGGTGACATCCCACATTGGGATAGTCTCCCATGGAGTAGATAGATAGATATCTCTCGCTCTCTCTCTCTCTCTCTCCTTCTCTCCTCCGTCCGGAATACAATATTCACATCTTCATATTCCATTGCCCCTTGTATGATCTCCATGATAAGATAAATATTGTCGGTGAATTGCCAGCAAGTATCCACTATTATTTGTAATTACTTAGTCATGTCAGAAACCCCATAACGTGGATCCCTGTTACTCCGGCCACCCGGTTACTCCGGCCACTTTCTTAGAACTTCAAAAAATCATAATTTTGAACATCATATTCAATACCAAAAATAAACATAAATTGACTATCTAAAACGCGTAGGACATGTAGTATATGTATGCCCTTGAATTCCACACCCAGAGCACGTCACAACACGCCTAATTAGGGGCATAGGAGGAAGTGTAGGTTCAACTGCAACTTCCATAGCAGTATCCATTAGATATATATCTACCATTGCATCTTCATTTTCCACATCCACACCCTGTCGAATTTCCTCCAAACTCCGCAGGCTGCCTATATAGGGTATCTGCTTCTTACTAGCAGCCCTCTTTTTAACAACCTTCTTATTTGAAGCCTCTAATTTCGTTAGGCGGTCTTCCACAATAGTAAGCCGAACTGCGGTCCGAATATACATATCATGCGATCGATGAATTCGCCGTTTTAAAGGTGAAGTTATAGGTCCCGACAGAGATTCTAGTCCTTTTTTGATCGTAGAACTTGTTTTTTGAACTTTTGAGAGACCCCAGAGAGTATCCAAATCGCTAGTACTACTAGAAGAAGTAGGCCGTAGTGGGTGGTCAGAAGGGAGAGAGTTCACAGATTTAACACAAATGTTAAGCTTCTCTAATATATGATTAGCATCTAGAGGTACTAGACCAGCACCTCTAAAACTATTTTGTATAGTAGAAGCTTTAAACGTAGCCCTTCTTGCGATAGGGTAAATTTGAAGGAAGTCGTCTTTATCAATTGAATTCACCCCGTTCCGCATTTCTTCCCCAATCAACCCTCCATATGCCTTTTTTAGTATAGAAAAACAGCCTATATCAAGAGGCTATAGTAAATGAGACGTATAGGCAGGCATATAGAGGCAGATTATCTTATTCTCCTTACACAATTTATTAAATTATGGAGTAAGATGAGAGGAATGACCATCAAGAATCAATAATATATAGGCCCCTTTTCGCGTAGAATTAGGTATAAAGTGCTTCTATAGCCAATCGAGACCAATCTGGTCACTAGTCCAACCATTTAGACTAAGATTGATAGCCCAATTTAGAGGTAAAGGGAACCAGCGTTCTAAAAAGACCTTGCCCTTAAAGATTAAGTACGGCGGGAGAATACCACCTTCAGCGTTAATAGTCTCAACCACAGTAACCCATTCACGATTTCCTGCTTGTAGAACCTTTCGTTTACTATGGTATTCCGCAGAACATATGATATATTGTGAAGAGGTAACACCTATCGCGAATCCCGTCTCATCAAAGTTCCAGATATCAGCCGGAATGATACCATATTTTTGGATAGTATTTTGGACGAGATCAAACCACCCTTTTATAAGTTTAGGGTCTTCAGATAGAGCTCTCTTATAGTCATATCGACGAGAGAGATAGGAGGCAAGAGAATCATGGCGTTTAATAAAGTCTGTAACCCAATTTTTACCAACTTTCGGAGGGGTCTCGGAGGGTGTTAATTCACGGGCACGAAGTAGTAAATTAGCCATATCCCGACACATAGCATGTGTGAGGGCAAACCCTCTAGAGTCCATAGAGAGCAGCCATTCTTCTATCGATTTCTCTTCAGGTTCAGAGAATTTATGGCGATGATGGCGGCGTACAACCTGACTTTCATGGCCCTTCATCCGATCTTGTAACGTTGATCGCGGCATAGTAAAAGCTTCGGCAGCAGCTCTAATAGAGGTGTATTTCCCATTTTCTATAGCTTTCATAGCTAACAGAAGGCGGCCCTCCTGTTCAACCAATTTTTGAGCTTTTTGAGATCGAATTGGGGGCATTGTTGATGTTCAAAAACATACGTTGCTATGGGATCCATTTTATTTTGCGGGTGGCCGGAGTAACCGGGTGGCCGGAGTAACAGGGATCCACGTTAACGTGGATCCCGGCGGGTTCGTCATCCCTGCCGGTCCGTCACCCCACCAAAACTTCATATTTTCTACACTTTTTAAACTCCAATTAAACAACCAAAACACCATTAAATTGACTAATTAAACCTTTTCGGGCATGTATTACACCTATGCCCTTTCCCCATGCATAATGAACATGTAGTTTGCTGGCGTACAGGGGCCAAAACAGGAAGTGTAGTGTTACGGACATACCAGTCACCAATCACATGTGGGGACTGCGACCTACAGATAGGCCACCAAGAGCCAATCGATCAATCTGTTATGCAGATCACGTGCAAGATCCTATACTGGGTGTGATACTTTAAGGATCAGATGGTTTTCATTGGATGCCCGAGGCACCGAGTATATAATAGTAAATTACATAATAATGCCAAGGCATCGCTTAGTGAGAAACCCAGTTTTACTTGTAGCAAGTAGTGCCTAAGGCATCAGAATGCCTTAGGCCCACTTCCGCTCTCAGGTTCTGCTGACACAGCAGAACCTTGAAACCTTAGGGGATCACATGGGGCACCCCCAGTACGAGTCAGAGAAACACTTCGACTTGGGAGCCGTTTCTGGCCCCCTGTTGGTAATCACGAAATATACTCGCACACAAACAAGGCTTACCGCGAGAAGGCCGTTTCCGGCCTTCCACTCACCATCTCCGATAATACTACAATACACCATGAGACGGTTAGCCTCACGTGATCATGCAAGTAGTAGAACAGGTCGATGGTCGATGGGTAGATTCCGCCAAGACAAATCTACACATCTACTATCTACACATCTACACAGGAAGAACTTAGGGATATATAAGGACACTCATTTCATGTATCTAGTTTAGTTCTTCGTCTTCAATCATACATTGTTACTTTTGAATACCTTTGGAACCTCAGAGACTCTTTACTTAATTATAACTTGACACACACTACGACTAGACCAATACTTCGGTATAGATCTATTCGGCGCACTACCTGGCATCGTTCCTCGATACCCTCGACAGGACTCATTCCGCAGTAAGGCCTGCTAGGCAACGGTACGGTTGAGAGACAGATCGTTGAGTAGGCTTCCGCAAAGCCCACAAAGCCCAAAGCCCAACCCAACCCAACCCACGAATGGGTTGGGCTTGGGCCCGATTCTTGAGCCCACGATGGGCTTTGGGCTTTTTTTTTGGGCCCACGGCCCATCGTGGGCCCCCAATGGGGGCCCATCAATTAACAAACAGTGCAAACATACTGATTTTCCTGTAATTGTGACTAAGCACTCACCTCCACCCCTCCAGGGTGTAGGTGAGCCCACACCTGTTAACAAACCCACACCTATTAACAAAAAAACCATTATTTCAATTTCAACCCTATTTTTCAGCCACCATCCCATCTGGATCTATATATTTAAATAGCTCACTATTAGCTTCAAGATAATCTCTACCCCCTGATGCTTCTTCTTTTTCTTTAAGAGCCTGATTGGCGCGGTGCCAATAGTCTCGAATTCTTGCATTTCCAGCCTCACGCCGAATATCCAGCTTAGATTCCTTCGTACAACGCTGATGAACCTTCGAATTGCCTGCAATTGACGATAAAGGACTCTTAGAAGCACCCTTTACAATGCGCTTTGTCTTTTTGATAGGAATCTTGTGGCTTTGCATCCTTTTTATCGTCTGTTTTGCAAGGGCTAGGTCTTGAACAGCCTGCTTGCCGCCATGAATTGCACGGTTTATATGTTTTTGAAGCTTCGGAAGGTCCAATTCATCGTCTTCGAATATAGTTTGAATCTTATCTTCAACTTTAGAGAATCTTTTATCTGAGTTAGGCGGCGAATTCGTTGCTGAACTAGGAAATTCACGGTTTGGTGATAGCGTATGACCATATATTTCAAGGACTGGTTCATCTTCCCAGCCTGGATCAATTTGATCGCACACAATATGCAAATCATAAGGCCAAAGACCGGTGTCTTTAAATGATGATTTAATCGTTTGCGATTTAAATGTGTCTTTGCGGACTGTTTTGATGATTTGAAGAAAATGCCGTTTATCATCAACATCTCCACCCCATCGTACAATCTCATTATTCTTTCTTCGGAATTTTTGTTTCAGAACTGAGAATGGCTTGCCATCGAGAGGCTGGCATCGATGTGTCATTTTTGGTATAAACCACCAAGGTATGATATTAAAGCTTTGGCAGATATGCTCAAATTCCGGGGTTCCATAGGATCTATGGTTATCTATAACCAAAACCCTAGGTCTGCCTTTAGCAACTCGCTTTTTAGTGGCATAATGGAAATCTAACAGCCATTGAATCGCAGTTGTATCGTCGGTCCAGCCTTTAGCAGTTGGTTTAATAACCCTATAGTTGGTAGGATCATCATCGCCGTCAAAACAGTCTTCCATTTGTTCAGAACCACGCATTAAAAACCATGGATGCATAACCTAGCCATCGGCCGAAATACACTCAATTCCAGTAACATTCTGGCCTATTCCACCAGTCGCAATAGTCTCATATTTGCGGGTAGAAGCGACGTTTTCCTTCGTTCCAATACCTAGCTGAAAGCCAGTCTCATCCCAATTATATAGTTCGTTGGCCTGAATTTTGTTCTTTTTAAGGAATTGGCCATAGACCTTATACCAATAAACTAATTCACCGTGTAATTCAGCTTCAATCCTCGCTTTTTCCATCGGCTTTTGTGTACGAAGGTCGATATGGGGTGGTAGGCGTCGAATGAATTGATACCCATACATTTTGCCAACCTGCCGGTCGGAACCACAATGTCGTAAAATACGATTTGCAGCACCCTCAATATCACTAGCATTTGGTGGTGTATATACTGAGTTAAGGTGCTCAATCCAGCGAATAAGAGAGGCTTCTTGTGAGGAATTTAGGGCTTTTTTAGTGGCTGCACGGCCTTTTCCATTTGTCCTGCCTTCCTTTCGGTACCGAAGCTTCCACTTCGAGACGCCAAAATGAGAGGCTGCGGCCTGAATACTGGTAAATTGACCTGATTTATAGGCTTCGAGGGCATTTGAGAGAAGGATCTCTTCTTTTTCGGAGGAAATCGGCATAGTTTTGGTGGTGAAAAATAGGTTTGAAATAGAAATAATGATATTTTTGCTAATAGGTGTGGGTTTGTTAACAGGTGTGGGCTCACCTACACCCTGGAGGGGTGGAGGTGAGTGCTTAGTCACAATTAGTTCATAATTTATGCATCTTTTGCGGGAATTGCTAAGGGCACAACAGCTTTTTACTACGGACACAACAAATTGCTTACATAACAAGAGATATTATGTAATCTCGCATTTTCCATGAATTACTATAGCAACTGCATACACTCAATTATTATTATTATTATCCGTTATTTCCCACTTAGTTTTGAATATCAAGTTATTGATCAATCAATTCATATATTTGACTATCTACACACTCACTTTACCACTCAATTTCAACCATGGCAACCCCATTTGATCAAGCGTACGATTCCCGCGAGGAAATGCTTACAACTCTTTGCAGCTACGCAGTTTCTCAAGGTTACGCTATCACAACGATTAGTTCGAATATCGGAAGGAATATCACTCTTGGATGCGACCGTGGAGGGCAGTATCACGATCGCATTAATGCACTAGAGGGGGCAAAGCGCAGGAAAACTAGCACGAGGCGAATTGGATGCACCTTTCGTTTATATGGTAAGATCTCTAATGGTAAGTGGCATCTAAAAATCAGTAATCCGCACCATACCCACGAACTTGAAGATAATATGATTGCCCACCCAGCAGCGCGTACGATTAGTCAAGAGCAGCGGAATACTATTTGGAACCTTCTTGAGCAAGGCACCCCTCCACGGCAGATTATCGGATTGATCAAAAATAGCGATCCTAGTGTTTTAATAACACCAAAAGATATGTATAATCTACATATTCAATTCCGAAGAGAAAAGCTTCAAGATAAATCACCGCTTTAATATCTTCAAGACGAATTGATAACTTATAAGTGGAAATTTAGATTTCAACAGGATAAGGAGGGTCATATAACGTTTTTTATGTTTGCCCACCCTAAATCAATTCAATACGCTAATCGATATAATAGGGTATTCGTTTTAGACTACATATATAAGACGAATCGTTATGGAATGCCCTTACTACATATCATCGGGGTTTCGCCATCAAATACGACGTTTAGTATTGCCTTCTGCTTTATGCAAAATGAACAGGAAGAATCATATCAATAGGCACTAAGCACCTTTTTCTCATGGCTTGAATCGCCAATATTCCAATTCCAACCTCCGGTTATCTATACTGATCGAGATCTTGCTCTATTAGGTGTTCTTCGTGATGATTTTGCAGATTATCCGCACTTACTTTGCCTATGGCATATTAACAAGAATATTGCCGCTAAGTTAAAAGAATACTTTACTACTAATAAAGCATGGGATGAATTTAACAGCTATTAGCAGAGTCTTGTTAATTCACAAACGGAGGATGAATATAAAACAAGGCTTATAGATTTCAGCAAGAAATATCAATCAATCCCGTATGCACTCCGATATATTAAGGAAACTTGGCTAATCTATAAGGAAAAGATTATTCGTTGTTGGACGAATCAATATCTTCACTTAGGCAATTCATCAACCTCACGAGTAGAAGGTTCACATGCATTTTTAAAGAAGTATATTTAAGCTTCAATAGGTGATATTCTAACAGTTTGGGGTCGAATTAGGCATGCGATACGTACGCAACTTGATGCATTAGTATATGAGGTTAAACATGATCAGTTACAAACCTTACTTTTCGCCCAATCCTTTTTATATTCAAATATCAACAAGCGAGCCTCACATCATTTAATAAGACTAATTCAAGATCAAGTTAACATTGCTAAGAGGGCTACACCCCTTGCCCCACTATCAAACTGTGCTAATGGATATACTAGATCGATGGGTCTTCCCTATGCATATCAAATCGTACGGTTCTTAGAGAAGAAGCAACCAATTCCATTAACTGCTATTCACCCGTTTTAGAAGCAAAATCTGACACCGGAGGATCAATCTGAATATCTACCACTATTGGAACCTCGACTACCTTTACCAAAGGTAAAGAAAGCTGATAAAATAGTTGGAAATATAGGAAATTCAGACGAATTAAGTGGAGAATTGAGTGGGAGTAGGACGCATATTACAGCTACAACTGGGAAGAAAAAAGCACCTTCTAAGTGCTCAAATTGCGGGGAAATTGGGCATACGATCCGTTCATGTAAAGTATAATATATTGAATCATATAATTTGAAGCATCTAAATCATATAAAAATTGATCAGATTAATCAACTCATTTCGATGGGTTGTGTCGGGATTACATAATATCTCTTGTTATGTAAGCAATTTGTTGTGTCCGTAGTAAAAAGCTGTTGTGCCCTTAGCAATTCCCATCTTGTGCCTCGAATCTTAGGTAATTCATTTACAAATTTTTCACGTAAATTAAAACAGTAATTAACCAAATATAAAACATTCTGATTTATTATATATCACTATCTGCTAGTAGGTCTCAAATTCATCATCTAAAGTGATCTTTCTCTTCCTCCCAGAAGTACGTATCCGCGGACCAAGCTCTGGTAGTGGTAGCTCAACAGCATGAGTATTAGCAGAGACATGATTACTATCAACATCATTATCAACATCATCATCAATATCGTCATCAACATCATCATCAGTAATCACATTAATAAGATCCTTAGAATCTGCTATAGCTTACTCTTCAGTATCGCTAATACTATCCGATTCAACATCCTTAGATCTCTTATCCTTCTCCTCCCTTAATACTTCAATCTCGTCTAAAGAGATGAACTCTTCAAGCTCTTTTGCCTCTCAAATCTTAAGCTCGAATTTGGATGTATAAAGATACATCATAAGCTCTTGGATTGTTTCGGACTTTATACGACCACGGCGATAATAACAGATATCACGAGTAGTGTTAAATAGTCTCTCTACACTAGCACCTATAGCTGGAATTAAGAGAATATCTCGTACAAGTAAAGTGATTACTGGGAAACGGGCTTGGTGCTCTCTCTAGAAGGAAAGAGGCTTAGAATCAGTAATATCTAAAATAATTAATATTAATAACATTATACTAAATAAAGTTCATACATACCACTGTCAAGATATTGAGTGATTTCATCTCGAACTAGCTTTGCTTTAGACTTTTGGCCACTAAGCAAGTTTTGAAGTAATGAATTTTGCCTTACTCTTATAGAGGAGTCCTTAGGGTGTTAAGAACTAGTAAGATGCTATTAGTAAGGAACCAATGTATCTCGGAATAAGATACGATATTTATCACGCTATTCTTTATCCCAATCGTCTAACAGAAAGAATTGGAATCTACTATCAGGAGCTAATATAGTAGCAATTATATAGATATGCCCCCGAACTTTATCCGTCTGCGAGTAATATTCATTAAGCTTTTGTCGGCCTGCTTTAAGGGACGAGAGCATTTACTGTTTCCATATAACACGCTTCCGCTTTAGCTGGGATATAGACTTCTCTAAATGCTCAAAAAGTGCATTATAGATTCGGAACACAAGATGTGTAGTTACATCTCGAGTCTTTGAAAGAGCAAGTGTATAATCAAAGAATGGCTTAGTGATGCAAAGAAGATAGTCGATTTAACGCTATTCTTTATTATTTAATGCCATATTATCACAACTATAATCTATATAAAAGGGCCTAAAATAGTCACGAAGTCTTTTTGCCCGGCGAAGTATCAGATATATTGAATTCTACCGAGTTCGCACGTCCTAAATTGCCATAAGTCCTAGCTTATGTTTTTAGAGCTTTAAAAATACATCCCGGCGCTATGGACTTGCCCGGATAAAGACTATAAGATATCGGACCTTGTTTAAGGTATAGGAGATTCCCCGATTCTTGGTTTGTGCATTCGCCTTAGCTAATATAGATTGACTCTTAGTCCACTTAGTCTTAGTGGTGTCATTAAGTGGAGCAGCTTTAAGACAATCAAGACGCTGTTTTAAGCTTAATTGGATCACATGTGTAAGACAAGGGGTCCGGATGATATTAATATCAGGAGGTAAAGCCTGCTATAAAGAATCAACTAGTGTTCTGTTGTTTGATGCATTATCTACTGTTAATCCAAAAATTCGATCTTAGATATCATGATCAATAAGGGTCTGTAATAGCATAGTACTCATATTAGCGCTAGTATAAGCGCTATAAAGAGGTTTGAAATCAAGAAGCACCTCTCGGTACACCTAATCCATATCAATAAAATAGCTAGTAATAGCTATAAATGCCTGTCCAAATAGAGATGTCTAACAATCTAGTGCAATTGATATTTTTGAATTTTCTAGAAGCATTTTAAGGATAGATTTGTAATGGTCTTTGGGACCATACAATGGGAGACAGATCACTAAGACTGCCAAGCACTCTTTCCAACCTTTGGCCTTTTCCCATCAGGGTTTTGCCTGGTTGGTTTTAACGAGGCTATGTAGGACGAGGAGTAATGGATCCGATCATGTAACGGGAATGTTCCGTCTACGAAAAGGATTCGGACGTAGTGTCACTAACGAAGATGGAATCGCAATAAGTGATACCGACAGAGATAATGTGCCCCTAGGAGCTTCGTCTAAACGGGGCATAAAAGGGGATAACTCCCTGGCCCCTATCTAGGGGACAAGAATTAGTCTCTATACAAGAATACTATATCGTTGACGCTCCTCCACTTGTTCATTACCGATCCATCATCGTATCTTACCGGATTGACAGGCTGATCACCCCTGACCTAGTAATCTTCTTACAATTCTAATTCTTCTTTTTCAATCCCCTTCGATACGATGGTCGGAAACCGAAGAACGAGACAAGCTAGTACTACTGGCGAAGAATCCCCGGATCTCCCTCGAAGTGCCCAAAACCCGGAGATCACTCCGCGAATCACTGAAATCAGCGGAGACGACGAAGGAGAAGATTCCCTTACACAGTAAGTCGTACAAGAAGAGCAGAATATTGAAAGAATAGAGAAAATCCTCTCGCTCCGATAACGGGCTGTGCAGGTTCAAAACGAACTTAACGGCCTTAATGATAAAACGAAACGAATGCGAATACATAATAACTCGTCGTCGGATATTGATAAACCGATATAGAAAGGAGAAATCAAGATTCACGTTTCCTCTTTTAAGGAAAACTTTACCATTTAAGACCGTGACATATGGCTCGATGACCTTAAGCTCTAGTTTTTAAGGGCACTAAGGAAATTCGTTTCGGATTAACAACGAATCATTACTAGCACCACTTCTCTTTGTGTAAAATTCCGTGATATCTGGCGGACTAAGCAACGAAATAACCCCGAAGAAGCTAAGAAGTGGGACTATTTTAAGGAATGGACTAAAGGCCTACTCGAGAATCATTTCAATCTTAAAAGCGAGATACTGAAGTCATTTAATTCTGCAAAACAACGGGCTATATAGCACCCCCACGAGTTCGAGAGATATCTCGAAACACTAGAGAAACATCTCCTAAAAAAGACCGAAGAGCAACGTGCCTAAGACCTTTTTATAAAGCTATAGGCCCCTCTGCAAAACGTCCTTATTAAATATTAGAACGGGGATGTACCGGCGACTCGCCGACAAATCTCCCGCGATGCTGAAACGTACTACCTAAGCCGTTTTAAAAGGAATCAAAAGGATTAGGACGCTAAGAACAATAAGCGCAAACGAGACGGGACTGACTTAGACCCGAAATCCAAATCTGACGATACCGACGACAGCGGTAAAAAACGTAATAGAGAATCTCAAGGTCGAGGACGTGGGAACCGAGGCCGCGGCCATAGAGGAGGATCCTGCAATTCATAACGGGACAACCCCGAAAAGTCCCCGAAACGTAAAAGAGATAAGAAGGATAACTCTAACGTTACTTGTTTCCGATGCCGAGAAAAGGGACATTTCGTAACTGATTGTCCCGAAAAGGACGAAACCGTTATATCGTTAATTCAATAACTAAAAAAAGCAAAGGTTAGCAGATTCGCCAATAACGACAAAGTAAAAAAAGAAAAGGAGTCCGAATAGACGATCCCGCTACTCCGACTCCTCACCCCTTAATCGGGAGTGTTACGCGCCTACACGTACTAGTTCGCTACGGCGATATCGAAACACATGTAGATTTGGATACTGGCGTAGAGGTAGATGTGGTGAGCCGATTATTCGCTGATTAACATAAGCTTACTAAAGCTCTATTTCGGAGCCTATCTCTCGAAGGCGTATTAATAGAACGCCTTAGAACCTATAGGGTTTATTGGGTGCCCCTTACTGTCACTGATTCCCGAGGAATCACTAAAACTTTTAAACGACCTTGTATTAGGATCGACCGAGACCCCACCGGAAGTCCCATACTTCTTTCCCGAACCACCTTAGATGAATTCGACATCATCCTTCGTCTAAGAACCTCGGAGTGGTGGTTTAGAGCCAACAAATTCGAATTACTTAACCCCTATCAATTCGCTAAGAAAGCAAGGAATAAGGCATATATATATGCCCTAGTTAAAATGCCAGAACACGTGTGGCTACCCGATAAAGACGAGGATCAAGAGATCTTAGGATATGATATTCTATCCGAACTCGAGGCGTATCGAGACGTATTCGACCACGAACGGGTAGGAACTTTGCCCCGAAACAAGACAACGGATCATATAATTGATCTAGAAGAAGGGACCACAGCACCATATGGCCCTATCTACCCACTCTCTAGGAAGGAGCTTAAAGAACTGTGGACTTACTTAGTCGACAACATTAAGAGAAAACGGATTCGACCTTCTAAGAGCCTAGCAGGTGCTCTAATCCTCTTTGTCCTAAAGAAAGATGGTACCCTGCGTATGTGCGTGGATTACCGAGGACTTAATAAAGTAACAATCAAGAATCGCTACCCTCTCCCCCTCATTTCGGAAATCCTAGACCGCTTATCAGGATTAAGATTCTTTAGTAAGGTCGATGTCAAGGACGCTTACTACCGGATTCGTATTCGGGAAGGAGATGAATGGAAAACGGCCTTTAGGACCCGTTACGGCCATTTCGAGTATATGGTCATGCCATTCGGACTGTCGAATGCCCTAGCAACATTCTAAAGTTACATGTATAATGCACTTGGGGGACTAATTGACACCGTTTGTATAGCGTATCTAGACGATATCTTGGTCTTTACCCCTAACCGAGAAAGTCATATAAAGGCACTACACTCTATATTCGAATGCCTTAGGAAACCTGAACTCTATATTAAACCGTCTAAGTGCACATTCTGCCGCGATAAGCTCGAGTTCCTCGGGTTTATCGTGAATGGGGAAGGCACTAGAATAGACGAGAATCGAGTGAAAGCAATTCAGGATTAGGAAGAACCTACCACGTACCACGACCTATAGGTATTCCTAGGATTTTATAACTTCTATCGACGTTTTATTAAGGGCTATTCACAAATCACATAGCCACTTACATCGATGCTAAAGGGCAGCAAAAATGGTCGGAAACCTAGAAGTTTCGAGTTTAACGAAACCGAAAGGGCCGCGTATCGAGGGCTAAAAGGGGCCTTTTTATTAGCGAGTCTATTAAGATATTTTAACCCTGAAAATCCAATCCGATTAGAAATAGATACGTTAAATAAAGGTATAGCTAGAATTCTGTCACAGCCTGATGTAGGAGGTCTGTATCGCCCTGTCGCGTTTTAGTCCCGGAAATTCTCCGGCCCGGAGTTAAATTATGCTACCCCTAACCAGGAATTATTTGCAATTGTCTACTCCTTTTAACACTAGCGCCACTATTTAGATAGCAGCCGGTACCCTATCGAAGTACTAACGGATCACGCGAACCTACGGACTTTTATGTCCTAGTAGAAGCTGAATGGTCGATAGGCACGATAGTGTATGTATCTAGCGCCGTTTAATTTCATTATTAAACATAGGTCTAGAAAGACCAACCCCGTAGATAGGTTGTCGCGGATACCCAACTCTAAGGCAGTGTTAACTAGGATAGAGTTAATGACCACGATTCGAGATCGATTGGTTAGTAAAGAAGCCGAGAGCCCTGATCGGGTCGAAGGGCTAGATGTACCGATTGGCGATGACCACGGTACCTATCGGGACGCCGATATAAATCACTCTCTAGAATAGATTGAGTAGCAGGATCTATACGAAGAATTCGGTATTAAGACCAACTTTGATAGCGCTGAAAGCGCCAAGATCCAATCTATCAGTAGTGAAACTGAATTGGATATGCTCTTATAGATTCGTGAGTTATAAGAGAAAGACCAGGAGTCCGTACGCCGGAAAGCGAGCGTTTCGGACCCGGATCGAGAAAGTAGCGTGTGGTCTATCGATAAGATAGGGTTACTCCGATTCCGCGGTCGAGCATACGTACCCTAGATGCGGGAATTGCGCGAGAAGATACTAGAACTGCATTATGACGATCCTATATCAGGCCACTTTAGGCGAGCCCGTACTAAGGAGCTTATTAAACGCTAATATTATTAGACCAATATGATAGCGGATATAGATGCATATATTAAGTTATACTAAGTGTGCTAACGGAGCAAAACCACACGCGAGAAACTATACGGGAAACTCGAGCCGCTTCCGTATCTATACCGACCCTTTGCCGAATTGTCTATAGATTTTATTACCAGCCTACCGGCGTCGATCTAGAAAGGTCAAGTCACAGACGCTATCCTGGTTATCGTGGACCGTTTTTCGAAATGGTGCCTCTTCACCCCAGTTTTAACCACGATAGATGCATCTGAATTAGCAGAAGTATTCCACATAGAAGTTGAACTGAGGTATAGACCACCGGATGGTATTGTATCTGACCGAGGATCAGTCTTTACTAGTAGGTTTTGGTCGAGACTATACTGTCTGTCAGGCATTAAGAACAGGTTTTCGACGGCGTTTTATACCTAAACCGATAGGCAAACGGAAAGGATGAACCAGACCCTAGAAACATACTTACGATGTTTTATCGGCGAAAACCTTAAACGATGGCCATCACTATTACGGGTGGCCGAATTTGCCTATAACAATACGGAAAATGCCATAATAGGCACGAGCCCCTTTCGAGCCCTTCTAGGGTATGACCCTAATTTCTAAGTACGCTTAAACAGCGTTACCGAGCGCGAGGCCCTAGCCGTAAAAGACAGACAAGCAAAACTCTAGGAGTTACGAGAAAAACTCTAGGAACATTGGCGAAAAGCGATTAAGTCGTAGGCAAAATATTATAACCAGCGCCACCAACCTATGTCATTTAAAGTTAGAGAACTTATTATATTGTCTACCGCGAACTTACGGTTCAAGTATAAGAAATTAGCACCTAAGTTTATTAGGCCGTTTCGAGTTCTAAACTACGTCGGAAAACAAGCGTATCGTCTTGTATTACCCGACAAGTATGCCCTTCTACATAATGTATTCCCTATCTAGCTCCTACGGAAATAGAATAGCTCCGTTAACGAACAACAATCAATGCCTATACCGGAGCTATAGGAAGATAACGAATAGGAGGTCGAAGAGATCAGGGACGACCAGCGATTCGACGGAGACTTACATTACTTGGTTAAGTGGACCGGCTGGCCATCCGAATATAATCAATGGGTCCTAGAGGAATCTATAAACGCGCCAAAACTTATCGCGAAATACACCAAGGAAAAGAAAAAACTACAGGAAATTGATTCACTACCTGCTAAGAATAAACTTAGAACTGGTCGAAACATTGATAGAACTTCCCCGAATCATCCAGGGACCACAAAAGAGCCACTCAAACTATACCGCAATTCTCGAAGAACAACGGGAAAAAACCTCAGAAAGTGAGGGGAAGTGGCATAGGGAAATCGCCAAGGTGCTGCTCGATTCTACGAATCTCGGCCGAAGTTGGGTCGAACAGCGCAGCCATCACCGCGGAAACACTATTATAGAAGTTAGCTAAGGAGGCCATCCAGAAGTTCACATTCTCCTCCGAGTACTACAGTTTGGGACAAGCACGCGACCTCTCCCACAGATAATGCCATTTGACGGGATTGCCAAGGGGGACACGGTATTCGGGCTGATGGTTGGCTAACTAGGAAGCATAGTCGGCGATCTCATTGGCCTAGAAAAACAAAATCACCGTCAGCGAAAAACTCTAGGAACAAAAGCGACTCCTTCCCGACTCACATTTGGCTTGGCTGTATTAGAGATCTGGTGAACAACCTGATGCTGCTCTAACAACTTGGAAAAAGCACCCACAATATTGCGAACTTTGAGAGCAAGCTTAGAAGTAGCCTTAGGTACTATGCCAGGGATCCGCTAGAACTCGGCGAGCTATGTAAGAACGGTAAGCAGCTCAAAACGGTGTCCTGTAAGACCGACAGGAAGCTGTAAAAGGAGTTAGTAAAGAGTCGAACCCGAAAAACAAACGGAACATACCTGAATACAGTTACCTTTGGACTTAAAGCAACCCACACACTTGCGAGACTGATCAGTGTCCTGCTTGCAATGGAAAGCAAACGGAACCGGGAAACCGGCCGACTTATGAGCAGCAAACCAGTTCGCAACGCTCACGCGGAAACAGGTATTGCAAGGCGTCTCGGTATGGACGACGGGCATTGACATCTGACGGCGATACTCAGTAGCGACACGAGCACGACTCGGAGTCGACTTAGTGCGAGTCCGCTTAGAGCCAGGACTTGGCGAGGGTGTTGACATGACGACGGGGACGCGATCTAGGAAAAAGAAGACGCGTCAGTAAAGGTGTTGTTAAGCAAAACAGTAAAGAAAACGCCTATGAAAAGACGGCAAGTCATTTTGGTTTCTCTAAGTGAAACTTCACAAGTGAAAACACAACAACAACCACATGGCTTCTCACCCATCCGCCTACATGATAGAGACTCACCTTGCCACTTGATGAATGATCTCGAAGAATGATGAAGGGATCGTCAGCGAGACGCAGACGCAGAAAGGGGAAGATGGTTATGGAAGTAGGAAGTTGAGAAGTGGGAAGAAGAAAAAAAGTGAAGGAGAGAAAGTTGAAAACAATGGAGATCTTTCAAAACAGACATGGAGACCTTATCAGATCTACATGTTAGAGATTTGCATGTTGAGACAAAAACCACGCTTTACATTCTACCTGCACGTTGCCAACTCGACTCCCGAAACAGAACCACCCCCGAAATAAATTCGAAACATCCCCGATTCACAAAATGGCTAAGTACAGAGGAAAACTTTCCTTTATGACTCGCCACAAGATGCGAAAATTCGCCTTGGTAACTACGATACCGTTTGGAAGTGTCAAACCCTCAGGGTGACAATCATTTCCAGGCATATCCTCTCCGGCTTTTGTATGACCCTCGGGGAAAACCTGCCCGTAAATCGCCCGACACTCGCCCATCACGCATTCACGGAGCTCCTCGAGGAAATCAATCTTGGCCTGGGTCCATAGAATGTATCCCGGATCACTGATGCAGAGGCGGAGAGACTGCTCCGCCTCCCACTCCTGCCAATCTAGTTGAGATGTAGTAAGACGGGGTCGAGGAATAGGGTTCGGATTGTCCTGCCGTCTTTGATGAATGAATTTTCGATACCGAGTCCCTTCTTCCTCCTGCGCATTCGTTAGCGAAACCAAAACGAAACATGTATGACTATTGGACGTACCGGCCTAAATCGATTGACGACATAAGCACTCCGATGAGCAGTATGAGCGCGCTCGAAGGCATAGCCCAAACGCATTACAGCCCTATTAACCTCATAAAGGAATGAATAGCTCCAGTCGGGAAAGGTGAATTCAGAACCCTCTGGGGGTTTAAAACCATCGTCCTAAAAATTCTTCAACGAATCGAGTACTTCGGAAAGATCCAAAGCATCGCCGGCCATTCCTTCTAAGGGGGGACTACAACTGTCCTTCCGCTTCGTGTATTGTCCACATAACACCGACGCTTCGTTAACGAGTCGGCAGTTAATCCGCACCACAGAACAAGGATCGGCATCCGCTTTGAAATGCGACATAGTATGTCGAAGGCAGGGCATACACCATTAATACCTTAATGAAGGAAAAGTGTATCTAGTCCATTTCAGGGGGCGATTTCCATCTCTATCACTCCCTTCGCTATCCCCACCATCACCGCCATCACCGCGGTCCGCCGCTCTCCTCTTGCGGGCCTTAGAAGCTGTTTCCCGGGTAATCCTCTTCGGTGGCATGTCGTGGACGAATCTGGGGAGAAACTGAAATTTACTGCTACAGCAGACGGGCTGCTACTAATCAAATACCATGAAGAACAAAGCCGTCCAGTCTACCTGAAAGAGCTAAGTTTGGACACGGGGTTTAACATGAAACCCAATAAAGGAGCTATCTTCTTTGTCTACTTGGCGAATCGCCATCGCTTCCTGCTCGACAAAGACCGTTAAGGACAACGGTCATGGAGGGGAGGATAAATTGTAATGGTCTTTGGGACCATACAATAGGAGACAGATCATTAAGACTGCTAAGCACTCTTTCCAACCTTTGGCCTTTTCCCATCAGGGTTTTGCCTGGTTGGTTTTAACGAGGCTATGCAGGACGAGGAGTAATGGATCCGATCATGTAACGGGAATGTTCCGTCTACGAAAAGGATTCGGACGTAGTGTCACTAACGAAGATGGAATCGCAATAAGTGATACCGACAGAGATAATGTGCCCCTAGGAGCTTCGTCTAAACGGGGCATAAAAGGGGATAACTCCCTGGCCCCTATCTGGGGGACAAGAATTAGTCTCTATACAAGAATACTATATCGTTGACGCTCCTCCACTATTCATTACCGATTCATCATCGTATCTTACCGGATTGACAGGCTGATCACCCCTGACCTGGTAATCTTCTTACAGACATATTCCGCAACCTCAGTCCCATAAAACCTCTTTAATACTGCAAAACAGCCCACATCTAAGGGCTGTAAGAGATAGGATGCATGAGGAGGCATACAAATTGGCACAATATTGTTGTTTTTGTAAAGCTGGTCAAATTTAGGTGTAAGATGGCTATCATGCCCATCTAATACCAATAGCTTATATTTGCCCTTTAAAGCCCCTAAATGTGGTATGAAATGCTTTTCAAGCCAATCTAGGCATATATCATTACTAGTCCAGCCATTCGGACTAGTATTAAGGGCCCAATCTTGGTTTTTTGGAAGATGATCAAACCATCTTTTCATAAAAACCTTACCCCGAAAAATGATATAAGGGGGCAAAGCCTTGCCAGATGCACAGATTGTTTCAATCACAGTCACCCATTCGCGATTACCAGCTTATAGTACACCTCGCCGACCATGGAAGAATTGCTGTGTGATGACTTTTGTGGTTACATTGATGCCCATTGCAAAGCCAGATTCATCAAAGTTATAAACGTCGTCTGAAGTAATTCCATACTCCTCGACAGTTTTTTAGACCAATTTAAACCACTCTATCATGATATTAGGGTCTTCTGACAAGGCCCTTTTATAATCATATCTTCGCGAGAATCGAGTAGTGAGGTTAGGATGCCTTTTGACGAATTGTGTGGGCCAATTTATTCTAACAGAAGGAGTGGTAGATGAAGAAGCATCTCCACGGGACTTCAGCAGTAAATTGGCCATATCTCTTAACATAGACAGTGTAAGGGCTGCACCTCTCTTATCCATAGAAAGTAGCCAATCATGCATAGTTTCCTCTTCGACTTTTGTGAACTTATGGCCATTAGCCCATTTTTCATGCTGATTTGTGACACCCTTCATTCTGTCGGAGAGGGTGGTCCGCGGGACGTCAAAAGACCGGGCAGCGGCTGCGATAGAGGTAAATCTACCATTTTTCATAGCCTGAATGGCTAACTGAACCCTTCCCTCTTGTTCAATTGATTTTTGCGTTTTTTCGGACCTTTTTGGTGGCATTGTGGTGGTTTGAAAACATTGAGTTGCTATGGAGATACAAATTTTGGATGGGGTGACGGGCCGACCGTGGTGACGGGCCGGCCGTGAATCACGTTATGAATTGCCAGAACCAGGGGTAATAAAAGACAGAGCATTCATACATTCTTATTGGCCAGGGCTAGTGAGCATACCGACATGAACCTCTAGCGCATCTTAGTCAGCATCATTTGGAGCGGGGTTGGTGTTTATGCTTGGGTAAAGTCATCATTCATTCAAACCAACTGGCAATCAATCTACCGTTCATACCGTCTTCTCCATCTTTCAGAGCTCTGAAGTAGAAAGCCAATTCGGGTACATCGTCGTGACACTTTCCAAACTGTCCCTCGCCTATTCATCCACGCTACAAAATGCCTAACCCCGAACCCCTTCGTACGGCTATCCTCATATGCTCTCAAAACCTATCTACTAGGCAATTCTTTCCGATGGATGGTATACACCAATTAATAGCTCTGCTAGGTTTATATGCCCTATTCCATGCATGCCTAGTTATCACAGGAGGCATCCTTTACCTTAAGCATCACCAGATTGTCGCTAACTACCCCAGGATTGTACTGTAGCAGTACTCTGTATGGTTGTAGATCTAAGATTTGTGCATCATGAATATCACCAGATTTAGTTTTAAGAGTACAAAATGAAGTCGATTTAAAGCAGCAATACTGCATACCGAACCCCAATTATGATATATGATGTGGAAATTGGTGACTTCCCTTAACGCCCCACCTCGAATTTGCGCGATCCGGCTAGTCCCGCTCTTACTGTAGTTAAGAGTGCCACTAGACCGTAATCGGTGATATACTACATCATACTAGCTTTGCCCGTGTCACTTCAAAAGCCATACAGTAAAGGAGTGGGATGTCTTCTTCCCTCAACCCGAGTCCTCTCCCAATAATCGCATCAGTCCTACTTTACTCGCTCGATCACCATTCTACGTAATATCCGCAGCTTTCTGCAATATATAGGCACCCGACTGTGATAAATGGAGACTAAGGCTGACGAGAGATATAATGAAGCACTCGTGTGATATTCCTAAACATCCAATATAGGAGAGAGGCTTGGTGTATTAATTGGCCTGTACATTCCTGCTTTCCCTTCCTTTCCATCTCATTCTGGTAGCCATAGACCTTATATTTCCCATTACGGATTAGTGTTACCCGCGCAACCGAAATAAGCGGCAGCGCGACTTCTCCCCTCGACTTCTCTTCGTAAGGACTGGAGCACAGTTCCTGGAGGACATCGTGAGGAAGTACAATTCGACGAATCAGGGAGGCCGAGAAAGGCAGGAACTTGGCGACAATTCAATACTTCTCTCAGAGCACGACTTATACGCCTTGATGGGGAATGCGTTACGTTTGACTTTCTGTCTTTTTTAAACTAAGCCCCATTCAGTAATTGACATAAGCCCGAAAGATAGTATGAATTATCTCTGCATTGCTAAACGTTACCCGGATATTTGAAGGCGGTAACCTATGTCATCGAGACGTTCTTCAAACCACCGCTCAAACTCGCTATCTATCTCAAGTCCAAGATTCTTTGCATGATTGTCCCATCTTTTATATTCCCGCTCGTACTCGCCACGCAAGTACTGGTTACAAAGATGTTTCTTCAAGTTAAGATCGTTTGCCGGTTGTTGTAAGAGAATCGGATCGTCGCTGCTTAATGGATCGAATTTTACCCTCCCATATATCTTCCAAACCCGTGGAATACCAGCCTCATACACCGCAATTTCCACTTGTAATGCATCTTCCGTATTGCTATGGTCGTCCTGGGCTTGGCTTGCAGCGCGAATCCTTTGAAGAGGAACGGCAGCAAGAACCACATCACCGAGGCCCTTTTTATTGATATCATCCATAGGATGAGATTCACTGTCAGAAAGTAAAATTCGTACGGTCTTGTTTAATTAGATCTCGGTGTTAACAACGTAGAAGAAAGGACAACTTACGTGCAAGCGGGTTGGGGTTGGATCTTTCGCAGAAGCACCAGGGCTTGAAATGGTAGGAAAGACAGGCTCTTCTTTCGACATTGGCATTGTTGCTGTTCGCAGATCAAGGATACAAATTCGAATGCGATCTGGGTCTCGAATTTTATAAGGCCAAATTGTAGGCTAGTTGAGTTGCAATAAAAATGGATGGCAATAATAGAGAGGAAGACAAAAGCCCGGATTGGTCGCTTCTTCTTATATGTTCGGAACCCTGGTCGTTCCTACCCGCATCTCATCTTCCACTGAACAATTTCTCGGCGGCGCTTCCTCCTTCTCTGGCAAACTGGTTAACATTGCCTGTTGTATGAGGAGCGTTTTGCCTTCTGCACGAGGGGTGTAGTTGTATTTTTCAGCGGGCAGCTTCCTATCATTACAAATTAGGGACAATGCTAGGAGCGGGCGAGCTGTGCAATATCGAGCTCACCACCCAATGCCAAGAAACCATCAAGACGGTACCGTTTTCAATTTTCCCAATGGATTTTAGAGACTGGCCAACCGCACCACCCACAACTATATTGTCTAGTGAGCCCAATTCCTCAAGCATCAAGATGTGACAACGCTCAAGATGCTGGAGGTATTCTTCTGAACTGTAGCCCAGAGCACTCGTGATCCAGCGAAAACGTAGATCATTTGGTGTCCTTGACAAAGGGAAACATCCGGATATCTTATGGCCCGCATAATCTTTTAAGATCAAGAGTGCTTCCGGTGGCTGGTTTGAAATCAATCACAAACTGGGCATATTGGTTGAAAGGTCACTAGAAAAAACAGTAGGAGCGAGGAAAGCTGATCGACACAAATCAGAAGAGTGGAACAGAGGGGAATTTTATATGATCCCTCGTCTATGGATTTCCATGGAGTGGCGGTTGATATATTCTTCGGCCAATTGAATGAACCAACAACCATTATTGTACATGAATGATTTCCACCAAAATGTATTGCGATCCATCATTTTCGTCACCCTACTCAGAGGATTGTCTTGCTTTTATTGCAGATATTCGGGAGTAAGTAGACTATCGTTGGGATGGAGAATGTACACCTAAGCCCCTCACACCGGTCATGTCATAAGCGCCGCGGTTACCCTATATCAATTAGCACTAATTCGTTGAGGGTTGGGACAAGATGCTTATAATACTCGGTTAAATGGTGTTTCGACATGTTTACCAAATTTCTACCTCGGATACCTGTAGGTCTATGGTTAGATACACAATAGGAGGCATTAAGATGCCTATCCGGAATGATAGAGGAGGACATACATTTGCCTGCGTATGAGCTTCTAGAATAGATTTCAAGATAGCAGTGGGTTTAGAGGTGCTGTGCGGTTGAAAGAGTACGCCTCTGGTGACATAGGCTTAATAGATTTATATCCTTCGTTTTCCTGTGACGTAATAAACGCCCTCGGAGGAGTTTGCAAATACTCCTGAATAGAGAAACGTCCAGGGAGGATGATCACACTGTCGCTCACGGAAGATCGACTCGATGATATAGATAGTGGATATGGCACTGTATCGCAATGTGTAGCGGGGACCTCGCTATCTGTTTCTCTGCATGTAAGCAATCTTAAAATTTTCACCGCGAGATGCATGAGTGCTGATGCGCTTTTCGATTTCTTATTTGCTGTCAAAGGTGTCCTGTTGTGTGTATTCTTGGTTTTGATGATTAAGGTACTTTGTTAGAAGTGGCTCTAAAGGAGCTATGCAGTTGAAGAATTCCGTGTCCACCATAACAGGGGAGAGCTTAGATTTATAACAAAGAAAGAACGAGTATGGTTGATCATTGATGGATATATTATATTGTCAACCGGTTGATTCAATTGTCGCGGTCATGCTGCAACATACTCATTCAAGACACAAATCCAGGCCGTACACTGGCTTGTTGGTCAGCAATTAGCCGAAAAACCTGCACTAGTCTCAAGCAATTGAAATGAGACATGACTCGGACCTTCCTTTTATCCTGCAATAGCAGGGGATAGTAAACTGGGGCCTTCAGCTGGCGCTTTCCACAGCGGGCCACAGTCGTGAAAAGCCAATTTGTCAAAGCCTTAGTCAACAACCCCACTTCAAGCCAGAAAGAGCTTGACCTAGTGCTCAAGTGAACCAAAATGAAGTGGTTTTCAGGTCTGATCGCAGGTTCTCATGGTAGTGGCTAATTGCAGAAAGTGCCCTGTCTTTTCGGTTGTAATATGATCATCGTTCTAGGGTAAGAAAGATTGGTGGTAATTTCTCAAATTTTTACTTTTTTGCTTGATAGCCCTCTACAAATGTAGGTCTTGAAATCCAGGTCGTAGCTTCTGGTGATCCATTGGCTCTAGAAAGGCCAACGAATGAGAGAGCTTTTCATGAAGCTTCACTAAGAGCAAGCCTTTCACTGAATCGGCTTAAGATAGCCCAACCGTCTTAAAACGCCACGACGGACATACGGCCGCTCATAATTAGGCTCAAATGTATCGCGTACAGTTCCCACTCCCCACTTTGGATAATTGACGCTACCAAATGGGTGCTCTCCCTCCTCGTAAAGGAAGTCGCACACCTCTTGTTCGAGCCAAATGCCAGATCCAGCACGGAAACAAATGTGTTTCACCCCAATGGTGATCTTGGGTTTTGAGGCCGTATCCCGATCCGGCCAGAGACAATTCTCGTGTATCCGAATGCGCATCTCTGTGAGGAGATCGCGCCAATTGCCGCCGTTGTCGATGAATTCAAGAAAACTCAGTTCAACGGAGTGGAGGGTCTCTGGTAGTGCAGAAAGCAAGGAGATGATGTCAGGTTGTGATACCACGAAACGGGACAGTCCGAAATAGCGAAGCTTTGACCATTTAGCAATAGGAAATATGGACTGTAGCGGAATCGAGTGACGAAGTGATCCGACTCTTGAGTCTTCGGCACGGTCAAGAGTAGAATCGGAGACGGACGTGGCGTACATTTTGATGTGTTCCATGTCCTTCGCTTCACCCAGTGCTTGGTAAAGCTTTCCATTCCGGAATGACCTCCAATCTTTTTCCCAGTCTTGTCCACGTACAATAAAGGCAAGATCCAGGCGACAGAAAACAGCGTGTTTCAGCACCGCGGCGAGATTCTCATTTTCATCGCATGATCTATCAAACATCGTACAGTCGAGTCCAATGGAGAGTTGGTTGGCATCCATGAGCAGTTCGGAGACATTATGCTCTTCTGTGGCGAGAACGCGTGTCACGATGCGAAAACCGCGATATTTGTCTTTGTCTAATTCATCGAGATCTTGCCACGGCTTAGCGAGCGGCGGAGCCTGGTGATTCCCCGCGGTCGACCACCCACGCGGGATTGGGTAGTTGAATCCTTTGGGAAATGCACGAATCATCGGGGTCTGATACAATGGGGCGAAAAGCCAACCGTGCGCTACAGGCGTGATCGTGATTCTTTTGAGTGCAGGGAATCGCTTCAATCCGTATAGGAAGATATCCTGGTCGCTTTCAGCGGCTAGTACGTGTTTCTGCTGATGTAACAGATGCTGATAATATTCCCAGCACATTTTCAGAGGAGGCCGCACAACAATTTGTTCTGCTCGCGCGATGTGATCCGGGCGATCCACATCGTCACCTTTGCGTTCTTCTAGATACTCGAGGTTCTCCCTGCATTCCTTCACAAACCAAACAGGGCATTCCTCAGTCTCGTCCTCGCTCATTCCATAGTCCGAAACGGTTCGCTGTGGGACGTCGATGAAGCGTGCATCATCCCAGACAATTTCAGTCACCCTGTGGCGGATTGTCTTATGGTCCGCAATTGAGCGGAAGACTTCAATATTCAATGGGTTGGCGGATAGGAAGACTCGCTCGATGCGGAGACTCGAATCGCCAAAGAGCCTACATGTGAGGCGCAGAGACTTGATGTCGCTGTTAGACAAGCGCGATAAAATCGATTGCCACAGCTCGGAGGGAAGCGAAGGTAGTTGGCCGTTCTGATCAGCCATTTTGGCTTGATTTGAGTAGGTGGGAAGTTAGCGGAGGGGTATGATTTGCAGACGAGGCAGTCCTTCACTATGAAGACAAGTTTCAAAAGTGAGAAAATGTTCTTTTCAACGCAATTTAATTTTTGGTCTGTAATCCTTGAACTAGAGCCCCTCATCCGCGCTTTACATTAATATTCGAAATCATGTTTGGTACAGGCAAGGGAACAACTTATGACGATAAATGAGCAAAAATCCTCGAAATTCGCGTCGGCCTGCAACTGACGTAATTCATGGTCGAGTGAAACACATGGTCGAATGAAACACCCCAAAACGCCAAATTAAATGAGATAGTCTGCAGTCCTATATCTCAACTTCCACTACTTTATTCTATTTAAGATGCTGTAATTTATCGCCTCCTTCATCATTTATTACGGTGCGCGTGACCTAACGTCATCTGTGGTAGCTTGTGGCACTAGGCCCAATCCAAGCCAGGGCTAATGCGGCTATCTCAATATTTACCAAAACCAAAAAGGTTTAGCACTTCTCATGAGAAGAGCGTGCGGAAAAATATCGGAACATGACAGTCTATGCAGGAAGCAGCATGCACTATTGGCAATGAATTAAAAACATATATCTGCCTGTGGTCACAGACCCGACTACCCAGTGCTCATCTATCACTTATTGCCCTTCCCGGTGGTCGGCAGATGAGATACAGATGCCGAGTCAGGCTTCTTAGTCGCGACTCCCTCTGGCGGAATGACAGGTGCCCCAGGCATTGGGGGAAGCTTCACAGGCTTGAATGTCGCCTCCTTAGAAAACTTAACATAGCCGTTCAGATAGGCATGCGCGGATGTGACCCGTTTACCGTCCTGATCCAAAAGAACCACGGATCCATGGTAAGGGTCGTCGCGGTTGGGCGTGGGGTGAGGGTTTCCGCTATTTACGTTAGCTGAACTCGTACTTCAATTCAAGGGGGATATGCAAGTGTCCTACATTACCTGCGCGCTGACAACGCGAGCCCTCAAGCCGGGGACTTCATCAATGGAGCGCTCGATTTGCTGGATCAACCAGCTGACGTCGATGGTTGTTCCGTGGAGGGTCCAGTTGAGCTGCTTCAATTGCCTGGTGGTACTTGAGAATGCTCGCGAGGCCATGACTGTTTACTTTCACGGATGTAGATGTAACAATGTGGGAATAGGGTAATTCGATGATAATTCTTCTGGGGCATAAAAGTAATTTGAGGAGCTGTGGTAGGCACCTCTCTTATATACCTCCATCTAGACAGATATCAATTGGTTGATAATTCGCGCTCTCCATGGCTATATCCGAGGCTCAGCTAGAGGCTGAAACAGTCAGTATTGCAAGCGGGTGCTTACTTCTTCGTGCTAGACGAGTTTCGACAAGGGAGCCAAAGTCGGGGCAGTGCCGCATTGATCAGTGGTATCCACCAGTAGCATGCAAACAAATATAGTAATAGTAGTATTAATAATATACATAAAAAGAAATTTGGCCACTTACGCGCCTTAGGACTATACAGAAGCAGAAGAGACTTTCTTGGGCGTGGCCAACATGTTTTGTCGACCAAATGAAGCATGACCGTGACCATTGACAAGGTATGGTTGCCTTGATCAAAAGCATCAGGTGATATCATTGGCTGACAGCTTGCTTCTCACTAGTCCGTATCAGCAATAGCCACTACCCAAATGTTGTATCACGTGATCATGTCCAACAGCCATGCTCGGGCTTCTTTGGTCTCCGTCTTCGACAACCATTGATAACACACTCGTCCGTCGGTTTACGGGAGCAACTCTGTAATGAAAACTACAAGGCCGTTTATTCCTCGTTTATCTGCCCTGCTTCGCAAGAAACCGTTTCCTATGCCTTGTCCCGGGCCACCTTTACCCCCCGGCATACTCGTCGATGAAGAGATCTCGCCAGTATACAATTCCAAGTACTTTTACCCCGCGAAGCCTGGAGAGATACTCGCCAGTCGTTACCAAACCTTGGTCAAGGTTGGTTGGGGCGTATCTTCAACAGTATGGCTCGCGCGTGATTTGCAAGGGTAGCCTTTAATAATTTCTCTTCAGTTTGAAGCTCTCTCTGTCTCTAACAAATATACAGGAATACGCATACAGCAGAGCCTGAGAACGTGGTGGCACTAAAAATTGCCAATAACAATGCGAGTTCCACTGGTCATGAGCGCGAAGTTGAACAGCATATCTCCATGGTAGACCCATCACACCGCGGTCGCTCACTTATCCGAACACTACTAGACTATTTCGAAGTTAAAGGTCCACAAGGTTTTTATTCGTGTCTTGTGTATCCGCCTATGAGGGAGCCATTGTCGATGTATCAGCGGCGCTTTGACGACGGAAAGATGCCACTGCCCCTCATTAAAACATACATTCGTGCTCTTCTTACGGGGCTTGATTATCTGCACAAAGAATGCAGGACAGTTCATACGGGTAAGTTCTATTTAGCTTTTTTTTTTGGCAGCAATACTGAGCCCAGATGGCTGCCTAGATCTAAAGCTCGAGAATATCATGGTGTCATTCGAAGATCCAAGTGTGCTTGCTGATTTCTTGGATTCTCACCTTGAAAACCCGATGGCTTTTAAAATTGATTCAGCGGGACGACCAGTGTATCAGTCCCGTAATGACTTCGGGCCACTCAAAAGCCTGAGAAGTATACCACAGCTTGTCGACCTTGGCTTGGCAACTAGACTCGAGGCAGACGACGACTGGGGTGTTTGGCCCATTCAGCCAGACCACTACCGGGCGCCAGAGGTGATACTGGGTAATGGATGGCAAATGCCTGCGGATATTTGGAATCTTGGTGTTCTGGTGCGTCCCGTTCTTCTCCGGAGGTCGCATCCACTAATTTCAGTCCAGTTGTGGGATATGGTGGAAGGCAAAGAGTTATTTCGGCATATTCATGATCAAAAAGGTCGCTACGATGCTAAATTACACGTCGCTGAAATGATAGCCTTACTCGGTCCACCCCCTCCAGAGGTCATACAAAGGTATCAATACATGCGAGAGTACTCGTGGCCAAAACCCGTCAGACGAGAAGACGGTAGAGTATGCGAGACGGCGGAGGAGTACTTCTGCGGGCCATTCTTTGACAACAATGGTATTACTGGCTTTTTTCTCTCGAACGCATTATTCTCAGACTCACGAAACATCTTAGGCCGCTTCCTTTTTGAAGACCAGATCCCCGACCGCAAATTAGGCGACACAGCTTCCTTTCTTGAGGAAAAGGAGAGGGAAGGGTTTTTGGATTTCGCCAAGGGAATGCTTGTCTGGCATCCAGATGCAAGAAAAACGGCAGGCGAATTGGTCGTGCATCCTTTTCTTCAACCAAGTCAAACAAGCGCCTGATTTCTGCGAGCGTTTGCTAGCGGAAAGACTCGACTTCGGTTTGATCCCAGTTCGGCTATGCCATCAGATGACTAGTTAAGCTTTAACGTAGTTGTATGTTGAATGACATCCAATAGAGTTAGTGCGTCTGTCTTTGATCAGGAACTAATAGCATTATACCTTGAATGGAATCCAAGACATCAATCGCAACTTCATCAGGGTCATGAATCTACGAATTTCTGTCAATGCGGGTGAGCGATCAAAGGTCGCCAGTTCCGCCGCGTCTCCCCTTCTTGCTGAGGAGGCACATTTCAATCTCCTGATGAGGCAGAATGGTCCATTTTCCTTTTCCTCTTTGACAAACAGAGCTAGCGTCGCTCCTGCCTTGTCGCGGCCCCGTCGGAGCACGTCCGCAGATCCGATAAACAACTCCCCAAGCGAATCTACACTCAATAAAATGAGCAAGGCAACAGCTTCCCGCCACAAAGTCCAAAATTATATTCTTCCGAATTGTTTGCTGTGAAGGCTCAGTCGTTGTGCGAGTAACTTCTCCGCTCTATCGCAATTAAGATTCAATTGCAGATTCGCTTCGTCGCTCGTGCTCGTGCAACTATTCTGATCCATGGGATCCTCATCAGTATGATTACTCTTGGTTGGGTACGCATTTGGAGCAATGCAGCAGGATGAAAAAATAGCGTTTTGTGTCCCTGGGCTGTGCGCCTGCGATTTATACGGCACCCGGAGATTTCCTCTGATAAATTCTCCTTGAAATCGTGGGCCGTGGTGAACAAATATAGTTACATCCTCATTGGTGATTTCATAAGAGAAAGATGAATCTTGATCTATCGGAAATATGGCAATATTTTGGTTTGCATTTACGACCTGCCAGTCTTTTACGAATACCCATGCGGTAATTTTGACGATCTTGATGGTTGACTAGATTGGTCATATCCGGTGAACTCGACATTCAACGTTGAATAGCTCATGTGAGCCATGAACCGTCTTTGTGGCTCCGCGTTTATATTAGCGAGCCAACTTTTGAATTGAGTTCAGGCAGACCATTGAGGTCGGCATGCCCAAAGATGGAGTTGGCTTCCAGACAAGAAATATCTCTGTTCAAAGTGCTGTTGTGATATGAGGCTACAGATCAGGAACAAAGCCGCACGATCAGAATTAATTTCTGGGGTGCCTATACGAAGAAGAATGCTGCTAGGAGATCAATTTGAAGCTCATTTGTATATAAAGCCTCTGTAATTTGCTCAGAAACACAATCAAGTTAGCTAAATTGGACTACACAAGTGTGGGAAAACTCGATGATCTGCTTGCGGTCCGCCGTCAGTTTCGGATACTGTAGTGCTTGGGCCCGTAATTCTATCATGCCGATCACGTCCACGGTTTCTGCTGCCCCAGCCTGCTTACACGCCCGGCTCATTGGTCCATGCGAAGCCTCACATTCTACATTGCTGGCGACTTGGAATAGGACTGTTTTGAATACAGATATCGAATACGGCCGGCCGATATTTGTATTCGTCTTCCCAGACCACGTTCGACGTCTAGACGATTGATGCGCTTCCAGGGCTTTGTGATAAGAAAGCCATCAATAATGTGCTGCCTGATAGAAAAGGCTTCAAGGTTCAGAGAAGCCAAGGCAGTTATTCACATGCTTTTTTACCTAAATTGAACGACCGGCTCAACAATGCCCCTACCATCACTTGTTGTCAATGCCAGCTGGTTTCGAAATTGCGTCCGTTCGTGGCTCAGCACTGATGCATGCAGGTATTTCTTGCCTGGTCCAAATATCCCACGTAACCAAAACCAAGTCGCAGTTCGCTGTGAGAACTCAAGCATTCTGGCCAAGTATGGTAGAGAGCCGATTGCGATTCAACATGAGTTGATTGTTATAGATATCAGAAAACTGCAAGCTCTATGCGTGGTGTTTCTGTAGGGTTTCATCTACCAAAAGGATGTCACTTTCACTCTTGACCCGTGGGGCATCATGTGACTTTCCGTCGGGCAGAAACCACACCATCAAGTTGCAACCCCTCATTCATCTTTCTGCGATTATGAGCCCAGTTCCCCTCTCACAAGACACTATCTCAAGCCATCGGCCAAGCCAAAAGTGCTTTAGACGGTGCGTAGAACTGTATGGATCGAAGTCTAGTAGCTGACCTATATCCGGCATATTTAGTGATATTGTCGATAAAACAATCCTGTCAATCGAGATGAACAACCAGCTTACACAGGACGCCGAACGTCTACGGAAGGACATCGAATCCATATTACCAGATGCCCGCGAATTCGATAAAAAAAAGCCTCAAGAAATTTATTTCTCAAAAGACAGACAGGGAAATACAATATACGCAGGTTCATTACTGAAAGAAAAGGCGGAAAAGTTAGTGGTAGAGATGAACATTGGAGAGGTACGTTGATGTCGGTATTCAGGTCTGGCTTTTGTTAACTTGTCACTTTCCCAGGGTTGGGGTTGGAAACTGGCGATCTTCTCAGAACCCAGGCCGATAAAAAATGAGTTGAAGCAAATGTACCTCGTGCCTTTGTCTGATAATGCAGTTATAACAAGAGGGTCTTTAGAAGAAGGACTGAAGGAGAAATCTTTCAGTTACATTAAGGATTCCCCTGTACTCAATCCGGGTGCTGCTGTCATCTTTATTGCGCGTGCTTGAATATGTCATAGCGGTTTGCATTTGCACTTCCTAGCGATCCATCATACATTAGACACGTAGAATTTCCCGTAGTATTGCTATCGAGATGTAGAGAACATCTATACGAGAGAACAAGGTAGCGCACAAACAAATAGAGCCAAAATACTGGCTGGCAGGATTAATGGATCTCATGCTGGATGCACATGCATTTGACACGAAGTCATGTGTGAATCTTGTCGATGACCATGGAAGCAAGATGGACTTGTTGAGCGCGGTGCCCGATATTCTAGTCTTGTTGAAGCTGGGTCCAATTGGAGACTCAGATCCGATGGGCGGCTTGTCTGCGGCACCGGGTGTATATCCTCTCGTGGATCAAACCTCATTTCATCCGAGAAGATCGCGCCTAGAACATCTTGCTGGGAGCCGTAGTAGTCTGGCTCAAGTGCTGGCTCGGGTCGCTGACTTGGCTCCTCCAGTTGGCCGAGGTGGGCCATTGTCGGTACCGGGTAATTGTGCTCTCGTGGGTCAAATTCTAACTCGTCAGGAAACATTGCGTGCAAGACATTTTGCTGGTAGCTGTAATAGCTTGGCTCGGGTTGCTGGTTCAAGTCATTCAGCTGGTCAAGACGGGCTATTGCCGGCACTGGGTAAATATCCTCTCTTGGATCGAATCCAAAGTCATCCGGAAATGATGCGCCTGAGACATTTTGCTGGGAGTTTTGATGGCCTGGCTCGGGTTGCTGACTCAAATGATGTGGTTGGCTTAGGCTGGCCATCATTGGTACCGGGTGATTATCCTCTCGTGGATCAAATGCCATATCACCAGAGAATACTGCGCCATAGACATCTTGCCGAATGCTGTAGAAGCCTGACTCCTGCTGTCGGTTTGGCGCGTTCACTTGGCTTTGGAAAGTCGCTTTTGATACTGGGTGCGGCTCTTTGTTCGCAAATGTAGTTAAATAGCTCATAGAACCTGAATCTACTATCGGTTCGGAATATACTAGACAAGCTGTTAGTACAGTAATTTGTACACAGTAAAACTTGAGATCCGACCATTGGTTTCATCAGGTAGAATGGAAGGGTGTTGGGCAGCCTCTGCCTCTGTGTCAATCAGTACACAATTTCTTTGAGACCTAGGCACGGATGAGCTATATACCATCGTGGATTATCTCGGTTGTTTCTCTCGATCCATCATGAGAATCAGCCACCCTCTGATGTTGGATGTTGAAGGCTGGTGGGGAAGACCGACTTTCTTCAATATGGGGATCCAACCTCCGGGATTTTCGGGAATTTCGCATGTTTTGTTCGTTCATGCCTACCCAAGAATAGTCAATTTACCGCCCATAGAGCTTCAACGGCTCATATATTGACTTACAAGCCACCCCATTTCGCTGATCGTCATTTCTCCGTTTGGTTGCGTTATTTGATGTTCGCCTGACTGATTTTTTTGAAGACACAGGTAGGGCTTGTTGCTCAACAAACTCATGTTGCCCTAGCTGACTTGCACTCTGTGGGGCCGGAATCTCGTGGGGAGAGAATTCTTGGACTGGAAAAGTTAGCGCCAACTCAGGTATGAATTGATTACTATGGCTCAAGGCAATCTCGCCTTGGTGATATCGGGGCGTCACAAGCCTACTTTCTGGTCTCAACGAAGGATGCAGCGGCCTGAACTGAGCTTTCAAAATTGCCATCGCGATCGAATGAGCATCCAAAGCAGTAGCTTCCTCAGAAATCCCCCTTCGCCTTAAAGAGCACAGTAGGCGATCTCGTCTCGCAGTCTTGGACTTTGGTAAGTTCTGTTGCCAGCTAGTGAGCTGTCAGAAAATGAGTAGCCATAAATTTGCGACCAATCTGGGTTGACAAACACATTTTCTCCAATATCTTCCGGCAAGAGAAAAACAATACCGAAACCTCCAAGGTCTTTCGATAATAGCCAAAGCCTCTCGCCTGCGTCAATCCACATGCGCAGTTTTCGATGGATCATAGCTTCATCGGGCTGAACACGCCTGGTACTCTGTATTAGGAGAGAAAGGGAAAGTATCGTGTCATTTGTGAGAGGGCCATGTCCTTGTACATGGTCCTTGACCATGTAGAAAAAGATATAGCAGAGTCTTCGACGGACTCTATCCACGATAGAATCTCGTTCCATTGTGCACAAAAAGAGGTACTTGCTTGCAACTGGGTTACTGGCAACGTCTCCATTTTGATTGCCACCTCCTTGGAAGGGAATCAGAGGACTGTCAAAACCTTCTGGGTGGTCTTTCCAAGCCAAAAGAAACGGCCGCAGCTCTTCTGGAAGGCATATTGGAGTCGTTCTAAGTGCAGCGCGATCCACTCTGTTGTCGTGACCACGGAGATGAGCCGGTATTTTTTTTAATATTGATTTGGTAGCATCTTCAACCGTCTGCATTGATTAGCACTCCTTAAATTTGGATTTCAACTACCTTACCTCTGTAGACCATAGGATACTGGCATCAAGATCTGTTTGTCCATGGGTTTCAGCTTGTAAGCAATTTTGCAGGACGTGGTCGGCGAGCAGCTTGCTTTCCGACACACCCATCTTTGACTGGAGAAACTGACTGAAACGCACGGCGTTGGTAAAGAATAGGTTTTTGATCATCTTGGCCAGACCTCCACTTTAGTTGCCTTTTTCCAAGCTAAAATAGTCACGCACAGGCAAGACAGGGGTTATGCATCCAAGCCACCATCAAAGGCCAATCAGCGCGTTTTATCACGCGCCGAGTGACTTACAAAACTCATCACAATGATAAACGTAAACAAAGGTACGTAACTATAGTATTCAGATACGAGAGTGGTGGTCTGGTAGCGCGATCTAAAGTTGAGAGCTTGTCGCGTTCCATCCTAATCATGTCCTCATACATAACAGCACCAAGCAGACTTGTTACTGTAGAAAGATTCTTCACTTTGACGTGTAACGGCCTTCATTTTTCACGTAGGCAAATTGCATGGCTTCTCCTGAGAACGAGGGTCTTCGACAGTATTACAGTGCCCATCTTGTTGTTTCCAAACGGCGACAGATGTATAGCTCAAGCTGATTGGTGCATGCTGCTCGGGAGTCGGCCATGAAACGATTATTCTGTCTGACCGCCGCACCGGGCGCTCAAATCCTGCATGATGCCAAGACCATTTTGGGCCCTATTTGAGCCACTCAGCTTCTTCACTCAGTGGGTTTTGGCGAGTAAGAAGAGTATTAGGTAGGAGTTCGAAACTCCGTCCCTTTCTCACATTCCTGTAAATGGCATGATCTCGGCGCAGTGATGTGATTTGAAAATTCGGTTTGAGTCTGAGTCTAACTAACCTGTGTTCTATAAATTTACGTGGTTTGTACAATTTGCATATTTCGATTTAGCTCCTAGGACTGTGCCACGTACTAGCTTCCCGTATGGTTGATCGTCTCTTCCTTTCCCATTCACATGTGCATTCAAATAGTCAGGACCCGAAATCTTTGGCATATCTGTGATGTTTACAATCATGCAGACGCGTCGTGATTCAATCCCAGCTTTATTACGAATCTGTATTATCCCCTCAATGTCGTTTTCAATTACATCAACAAAACCTTGCGTGGCTGCAACATATCAGCGAGTGATATGGATTGAATATATACTCTACCCTGGAAGACGAAATTTTAGCGTCAGTACATTTGTTTGGCTAGGCATATTTACTAAAGGACGCGGACACGCTGTCGGCTGGCCGCAAATGAGCTGACTTCCCCTGCCTCCCATATTGAAATTCTTTATGTTTATCCTTAGTTTCCTCCGAGACTCTCATCAATCTTTGGTCGTGCTGGCGACAGTTACATCGGTGTCATCGACGAGTTGACTGACTTGAATTATCCGAGCATTCCTAACAATAATGGAAGCAATGAAATTGTGATTTTCTTGACGGAAGATTCCCTTGGTGTAGACAAGCTGCCGAAGCAGCGTTATTCATGCAGCGGGTTTAAAAGTCATAGTTAGTTGCTTATAGTCCGTGGTTCACTTATCTGTGGATGAACTATCTGTCTAATGTCGGATCCAAGGAATGAACCATGCAGTGGTACAATAATCCAACAAGGTCATTGCGCGGTACTTGAGATGTGTACATCTACATAAATTTGATAGCTGTGCTTTTCCAGCATTTTATGCCTTGGGAATCAGGAAGCAGTGGGTATTGAATGAAGCAAATAGCGCTAGTAAGACTCTGTTTCACTTCCACCGATATCATTAGATATCGGAACGTAGCCGTTACAGCACAGATTAGTGTGGGCACAAGAGATTGAGTACTTGTGAGGGTTTCTAGTTGCTGCCGATTAAAAAGGGATTTAAGGTTTAGTAAGGTCGTTGAGAGCCTTTCCAATCTTGGTTGAAACCAGGAATTCGGGTATGGTGAACATTCCTCGGGCGCACTAATAAAGTTGCGACCCTCTAATGTCGACAAATAATCCCTGGTACACATGACTTAAAACGTACTATGAGGCATGTGACGCTAGGCACCAATCCAACCCGGGAGCTGATGTGGCGGCCTCTTTCATATGCACCTATACCAAAAATGGACTAGGTCTTCTCATGAGAAGAGCCTTCCATTATATCAAGTAGGCCTAGACTCAACAAATTAGTTTGTTTCGGTACGTATCACGACTTTATGCAAGGAGCCTGGGTTGAAATTTCCGAAATCTTTGGAATGTGGGGGCATTACGTTCATTATTGGGATCATTAATATGCCAACAATATGTCAGACTTTCTCCCGTTTCTCAAATGGCGTGAGTTCGCCTTCATATTTCCTACCATTGACGGGAAGCCATGACATAGAGTACTCACGCTTACGCTCCAATACAGACGGATATGGTATAGTTTATTCTAAGAGAGAGAGACACAAAAAAGAGAACGAAAAGCAAAGTCCAACTGGTTTCGGGGATTGCCAGGTATCTGGCCTTGGATGCTTCCCCTTACTGAAAGTACCACCAGTCGGAACACCACTGGCTGTAACTGGCAACTAGATGAACGATTCTGTTTTCTCCTCTGTGTTTCTAGAGTCGAGTCAAGCTAAGTGACGTAGAGGCTTCGGAGATGAAGATGAGGTGAATTTGAGATGACAATTATGCATAGCAAAAGGGTATCATTCTGGGCCGACGGCCGAGTGCTAGCGTCTGGCTCCGGCAATGAAACAGTACTCCTCTTTCATACAGACGACCACACTATAGCAGACTTGGATCCTTGAAGGAACATTGAATGCTATTGACAATTGCGTTTAAACACTGACTTAGGTATGCGTGTATTCTACAAGCATGAAGGCATTACAAAATCGGTTCGACGAAAGCTACTTGCGGATTCTACCAGTAGCTCACTGAATGCAATGATCAGTTGGACTGAGAAGCTTAAATATCCAACTTTCCGCCGTCAGAATCTACAGCGAGCATAAAGTAACAACTCTCCATTCCGATCACTCTCTCAACATCATGGGCTTTTCCATCATCCCAGTGGAAGAGATTGATATTCCTTTCGTCTTTCTTCAAGCAAAACAACCCGACATTGAGCGGTTTTCGGCCAGTACTCTTGTTTTCCTTTGTGACCCCCGCGAGTCACTTACCTTGTACGTTCTTCTCTGTCAACGGGCTCTACTCGGCAAAGACGAGAGTGGTAACGACAAAAAGAATTCATGGCCCTTCTCCTGGGAGCCACCTGGGGGATCTCAAGACATATTCGACGAAACTATTCTGAGCACCGCGAAACGTGAAACGGAAGAAGAAGTCAACTTGCACGGCTCGCGTGTCTCTCGTCAGGTCTACAGGGATCTCTGGATACATAAGGGAGTTTCGATGGCCAGATACACATTTCTCCTGGAAGTTCATGAGCATCTGAAGCCGCAACGAACATGGTGCGACACACAGCAGCAGCCAGTTGGTACGAAGGAAGGACCTGTACGGTTAAGGGAAGATGAACATATTGATTACTGCTGGGCTACGGAAGCTCAAATTCGTAGTTCAACTCTCTACGATGAAAGGAATTCTCAGCATCAAAGAGGACCTGTTATGCTTGAAAGTAAGAAGGATGTGATCCTCGACGCTTTTATGAGGCTGAAGCTTTCTTCAATTGATATGACATACGCTTTGTCGATGGATTGATAGTGCAAGTTACCTTCAGGCAACTCATCTGAAAAGGTCTGCTTGAGGTCAAGTTGTGTTAGCAATTGTTGGGGAATACAGAGACCAAGAAACTCTTACGACATTTTTTTTCTCTATAGGGCACATCGCCAATTCTAAGACAAATAACTAATGATCTGATGGCCGATACGACTGAGACGCAACGTAAATAAAGAAGAAACTGTCGCAGACTGGGCCCAAGGCATAATGGTTATTCTGATATATCGTAGATGACCCCCTATTAGCCTGGTAGAAGGTGACTTCAGCAATACAGACAGCCACATGTTGAGGTCGGTTACAACTGGTTGCCATAATTACTAACTAGAGAGGATCCGAAAGGAATCCCCAAATTTTTGCATAGTGCCAAAGTATGCTAGGTAATGAATAGTCCCTTCTTACACGGTACTTCAAAGCTACTTATCATCTCTGCATGGATGATTTGTGTTGCGCGCTTAAGACCAAGCGGTGTTTTGCCTCATCACATGGATGTTCAGCTACTTTTCTGGTGCCAACCCGTCAAATGAACCGAACTTAGTAATTATTGTACTACAACAACGAGACATCAACCTGATGCTGATGCCCGATTCAAACCAACTCAACTAAACACGGGCCTGCATTGCTGATTATAGTATAAAGGCAGTTCCTCATAATTGAGTAAACGTTCGCATCCTCCATCAAGATTTCATCGAAGTTGTATATACTGAAATTTAGTCCATGCAAGCTTAAAATGTATCCTCCTTAGGCTGTCATTAACCTGACTCGACTCTATTTGCACATTGTTTGACCACGAAAGATCAGACAGTGATCCCTAGCTATTCGCAATTATTACATTGGGTCAGTTGTGACACTGTATTAATAGTACCTGATGATTGTGGTACAACCAACCATAGGTAATGATTGTGTAAATTGAGGATACGCTCAATTTTACTATTCAAAACCAAGTATCATTCGAACCAGGGGGGTTTGGGTGGATCTAGCAAAAGGTGTACGTACTCGACATGACTCACTCTTCTTGGGTCAATGACAGGAATTTATCAATTGATATCATAGAAACAATATGAATGGATCCAAAAAACCGGTAGCTTCTCCACCAAGGTAATGCTGGAATGCTGATCTCGATTCATACCAAATTGTGTTTATATATTCAAAAATGAATCTACTTATTTGCTCTCTGCTGCACAGAAAGTGCAAGACTCAAAATTATAATTCTCTGTTAAGTCCATCGCCTTTGCCTTCCTCGATGCCTATAAGTCAGAAAACTCAGTCTGCCATGCGAAATCACGTTCGTGCGGCTTGCCGGTGTTGCCGCAAGAGTCGAAGGCGTTGCATTGGTGGCCCCCCTGCGATAATTGTGTTCGAAGTGGGAATGAATCTTGTGAATTTGTCTACAACACAACCAGTAGGAAATTTGTTGCACAAGGAAAAAGGCTTGAGCACTGTGCATGCCGCCCATGTCGGATGAAGAAAGCAGTTTGCAGTGGCGGACCACCTTGTGAAAACTGCGTTGGGGATGAAAAAAAAACTTGTGCCTTCGGCATCGATTATCACAGGAAGGAGCACCCGAAGAAAAGGCGCATATCCGCCTGCCTCCCGTGCAGCTTACGGAAAGTTCGTTGTACTGGCACAGGGCCTCCTTGTGGAACATGCACTACCCGTGGGGTTGAGAGTACGTGCGAGTTTACAAACAGTCCAAAAAGGAACCCCAAAAATACAGCGACGCATACAACTCACCATGAGTCCGATGACGCTGCCGAGTCATACTGGAATGCCGATCCAGACAATGAGCCAAGTCAAGAACCTGAGAGCCCCCTCTACGAACGGTCCGACAATAAGACGTCACCCTACACCTTTACCTCACTTGATACGAGACCAGTACACCCCGACAATTCACTGAAATGTAAAAAACCGCTTTCCATAATCAGCAGCGTGACTTCTCTGTCTGATTTGACCAAAACTGCGGGTCTGGATGCCAGTGATCTAGACGAGTGTGCAGCTTCACTGGTAGGATGCACCTCATATGAGGAACTACTCGACGTCCTCCCACGCCGTCAAAAGATCGATTGCTTGATAGAAGGATACTTTACATCTATCTCCATGGTAAAGTTAGCCAATTAAAATCGTTGAGATATGTCCACTAACCACGTGCTAGCTATTTTGTGTCATCGACGCCTCTAGCTTCAAAGCTGAGTATGAGATGTTCTGCTGCAACCATAATGTCGCGTCGCAATCTTGGCTATCCTTGCTTTTTGCAATTCTGGCATTAGCTTGCCGTGCGGAAGAAGATCCTGAAAGAGGTTGTCTCTCTGATAATCTGTCAATGTTGTACGAGGCAGCCGCCTGGAACTGTCTGACGACCAATGAACCATCGTTTGAACCCTCACTGAGGTCACTGAAAGCTATCATACTCATAATCTATGGTCGCACACACCGTGGAGAGAACGTATACAGTGACCTCCAACTGGCTTATCGTACGGCAAAATCTACCAAATGTCATATCGACACCAGGCAATGTGCCGTTGAGCCTATGATCTGCGAGGAATATCGATGCCTTTTAATTGGCCTGGAAACGCTTTCCCTCCTCAATGCAGAAGTGCACGACTACTACCGTAACCGAAATCTCATACGAGGTATAGAGATCCCAGTCGATAACTACGAGCTCACTAAAAAATCACGCCTATTGCTAAGTGTCAAGGGATCGTCTACCACGCAGATGACTTTCACAAACCTGAATCTACAGCTCTTAAAAATTTCAGACACAATCTGTACAAGTGCAGAGGCTGGTCTGATGCCCGGGTGGACCATCGCTGGACTTGAGACTGAGCTACTTCGCAGAGAGAAAAACTGCACCAAACATTACACCAAGCTCAGTAGAGATGATTCGCAACTCGCACCTCACCAAGGCAGCCACGGTATACTGAACTGCTATATCAACTATCTGCTTCATCTTCTCTTTTTGCCTGATCTCCAACGCTACCTAGATGGGGAAATCACACCCGAGACAAAAATATCTCAGTTGAAGTGTATGAGTTTTGCAAAGGCTTCGTTGCGGAGTTTTAATCTTTTGGCCGAGAACATGCAGTTCAAATCCTATGCATGGTATATTCGAGGTCTTGGAAGCTACTATGCTGAACAGTCAGCATATACTCTCACGAAAGGCCTTGAAAAGCTCCAGGGAGAAAATCAAGAAAAGGAGGTCAGATCTATACTGAAACGTACGTTGGGAACATTCTCTACATTATCGGACCGCAGCATATTCTCCGCAAGAGGAGCGTTCATTCTCGAACATTATGTATGTCTCGGCCACCCAGATGCTATTACTTGAGCATGAATATCTAACCTCACGTCAGGATTCTGTACCGACACTCTCGGGAACAAGGGACGGTGCCTGACCGGGCTGAAATTCTCGACGGTGAACAACCACGTTTTTCCCCTTAGAACATTCGATATCTTGGTGTATAAGACAAAGATTATTCATTAGTTTAGCTATTGCCATATTATTCTATTTGCTACTAAAGCCATAGAGCCTTGATTTGTTAGAATGTGCCACTGCAACCTGTACTTCGCTGACAAAAAAAAGGTTAGAGACGCGCGCATTGATATAGATAGGCATGGTTTCATAAGTGGATCCTGCAATAGCCATAACTGACAGGCTACATTATAAATCCCGAGATGAGCGATTTGCTAGGCCTGCATCGCTCAACATCGATAGTATCCCAGGAATGTCGTATCTTGTTACAGTTCCATTTCAAAAATGATTACTAGTAAAAACCACGCTGTAGACGGGCTGCTCAGTTGAGGTATATAAGACCACGTTTCCCATTATCGAAAGATGGTATAGAACAAAATCCATTTACTCCCCTTAATGCGGGAACAAGACCGATCCTGCTGCTAATTTGGAATTAGCCTACATTTTTGTTAGCCTATATATCTCCGCAGATATGACATCCACCCAGGGCATGTCGTTCGGCGACACCATTCAATACTCGGCTAGGGGGGTTATGGGATGTACGAGACTCCAGACCGGCGCACCACCAGAGGAAATGGTCCCAGAGGTGGAAAGATCTTTGTGGTCGCGACCAAACGTAGTGTCGGGGCTCTTTACGTATGGCAGAGGGGATCATGATGCATGCGAAAGCTATATGAAATTCGGAATCCAGTATGATGATATGTGTCCTTCAATGCCTCGCTGGCCGATATACAGAGCTAAAATTATGGAATTTCACCCAGAAGATCGAGACAGTTATCGGTAGGCCCGCTTTTATTCTCCACCAATGTCCTATTATCGTTCACTCATCCGATCTTCCCACCAATTGGGAAATCAGTGCCGCCCACCCGGTCCGAAACGGAGTTTCGGTCTTCAGAACCCTCTCAGGTAACTTAGAGGACAGAGTGACAACCTAGAAGCTCTATCCGATCTCCCACCACTTGTCGAGCTCGATGGGTCGCCGAGTTTCCCCTTCTATCAAGCCCTCCTTTAGGATAGCAGAGGTCAAGTCGACCATAGGTAAGTGAATGAGCATTTCCAGTTAAGTCGACAAGTCTTTAAGTAGCTTTTCTGCAGTAGCTGGGGGCATGTCAATTGCTAGAAAGGAACGACCGCGCGTACCTGTGAAAAGTAGGTTGAGAGGGGCTATCACACAGCTATCCAGAAACAGTATAGATCAGACCACACCGCCGGAATACTACCTGAACTCGAGACACTCAGATGAAATTTCAAGTTCAGCACGCCTGGATAATGCATCACCCCTGAGTACAAAAGATGCAGTCGTCGCTGCCCTATCTATTAGCCGTACTTAATCTCCCAATCGCAAATTTATCTTGGCTTTTTGTTTGCATATGCTGAAGTGGACTTTCTGTTTCTCTGCCAACCTCCAGTAACCTCCACCTGGCATGTGCATTTTACAATTTCTCCAGTGCTTCGCTGTCTCAAAGGTATGGAAGCAAGATTTTCCTTTCTGACCTGACGCGTGCTAAGATCAGGCATAGAGAACAATCGCCTTCACGAATGCAAGGAAGCCCTTCCTCGATGAGGAGAGAGACATCACACCAGAGACATCATTTGCACAGACAAGTATGATTCTACATAATGAATGCAGCATTGTCAGTGATACTCCGGATTTGGAAAAAAAGATGGAGTTTTCCACAGCCGGGAAGGGGATGCTGCGCAGTCTGAAGTGGTCAAAGTGTGGTCTATCAATTACATTTTCACTAAGGGAATCGGGACCCCATCTGTTGATACATTGGAATTCGAAATGAGATTCGCTGGGGCAAAGAAGACTGTGATAAAAATCCAGAAGTATGCCGATGTGATTGACATGGATGGAGGCAAGAATGCAGTGGCAGACTTCAGTCCTGTTTTTCAAATGGCGTTTATGGGATCCAACTGATAAAGGAGAAACAGGGTACATGTATTGCTAATGATTTTGTACGGCTGAGGTCACTTCTCTCCTGGTATGAGATTGAGACCGGGGCCATTCGAGCATGTTGGAAGCATCCTTGGCGAGGTTAGTTAAGTTGAAAAATCTCTTGCAGGCATCGTTAAACTTGGCCATTCTGAACAGCTCAAACACCTCCTGTAACCTATCTACTAAAAGTTGGGTTCATTTAATTATTGTATACGTGGCCCGACAATCACTGCTTTTCGCGCACATTCTGTACAAGGCGATCACTCATACTCTTCTACAGTTATACCTGCATGCCGGAAATGGCCTTCAGCGCTTTCCTTCTCCGCACCAACATCCTGAACACACCGCCGAAGAAAAGCGTGGAACCCCTGGTCGAGATTCTCTTCATATACTGACGAATCTTTCTTGATATGCGCCTTAAGTTCGGCAAAGAATCCCTCGATAGGGTTAAAATCCGGAGAATAAGGCGGTAAATATATTAATTTAACACCTGCATCAGAACACAGTTGCTTGATTCGGTCCGAACGATGGAATGATGCGTTGTCCATCACAAGTACGGATTTGGGCTCTGGCCACCTTCCACAGTGCTGGAGAAGCTGTTCAATAAAAGATTCAAAGAATGAACCATCGGTAGAACCTTTGAAAATACGAGACAAGACAACACCATCTTGTGCATAGGCTGGCAGTATTTGATAACGTTGGCCCCGATGGAATTTGGATACCTGGATTGGTGTCACGCCTAGTGGAGACCAACCCGTCCGCCTATAACCCACCCGTTTATCGCACCCAGACTCATCAACGAAAACTATATGAAACGAACGGAACTTTGACAGTTTGTGCTGGTAAAAATCTCGTAACTGGGGATTTTGTTCGCTTGCTCTCTGCTGTGCTTTTTTTTCGACCAGCCGGCCCGGTAAAGAGCACGTTTAATGCTGGATATCGAAGGTACCACATTGAACTCGTCGAATAGGAAGACAGCCATTTCCTCAACATAGAGACCGGGCTTTTCTGCGAGATGTTCGCATAGGGCATCTACCATCACTTTTGTGATACTCGATGGGCGGCCGCGGGAGATTGGGGGAGACCTGGCACTGCCGAATAACCGCATGTTCTTTCGGATTTTAGTAACAGAACGCTGGCTGCATTTGGCTACCTGGGCTATTTGTGATGTGGTGAGTCTCTTTTTACTGCATAACATGTGAAGAATAACGTCACGCTGCCAGGAATCGATATTTCGCGCCATATTGTGATGGACTGGGAGGATGAGATGACATTCTGGGAGGGAAGGGGAACTCGAGGGAAAGAAAGGGAACTCTTTTTGCGGAAAGTATTTTTGAGGGTACGGTTTGTTGAGGGTACTAGGGAGCTATTTTTGGAGCTGTGATTAAACACGAACATACAGCCCACCCCTGTTTTATACGCGGTTGGTAATATACCGTTCGAGATCGGAACAATGTTACAAGTATTTTAGCTAGCCAAAATAGGATCGAGTATCATGTGATTAGGGTTGCAAAAGGCATCTCATATACGTCGGTCATGGAAGGCAATAACGGACGGCACTGTATGTAGGTCAGCTACAGCCACCCACCAGTCAGCTCAACACCCACCGCGCGCCCAGCATGTTGAGGATCAGCGCCACAAACTACGAAGTCTGGGTTGCCGGGAACCAGATCTTCGCTCTTCGGCTTCAGTGAGATCATGAACCGTGAATGTCGGTGAGGAAAACAATACAATGTATCATATAGTCATTAATGCAAGTATCTGCTAAATATAGAAAATACATGTTTTGCTTCGTTATTTTAGTATTTTGGCTGTTTTTTTCAGCCCCACCGCGAATATACATCTATAACTCATCAAGCAAAGGCAGCTTAAAGGGGCTAGGAATAGATATTTGAAAGCTCCATTTTAAGAATCATTGGTAACTACTGTTTTGAGGGACACCAAGAGTATAAAAATAATGAATAAACTCTTGCTCCGTGCGAGTAGAAGGGAATATAAGTGCTTGGGCTAAGTATAAGCCCGGCCAGTATGTCTGTCACACCAACCATACAATGAGGTATAGGGAATGTGAAAGAGGTGCCTATGCACCACCAGAGCTGCCTGTTGATATCACATCGCTTACCCGCTTGCATACGCACAAAGGGACCACTCTAAAGAGGAGGAGCTGGAACCTCTTGGAGGGACCAGCGATTAGTCTGAATATCATCATACCCATATCAGGCAGGTCTCACATTCTTCACTCATATCCACACCGTATCAGGACACTCTCAGGGGATTGTCCTAACAATATCTAAGGAATTCAATGCCCTATCTATGTAAGGATTGATCTGCATAAATCCTGCAGATTTTGCGTTGCGGCGCAGCTGGAACGTCGCACAAATACGTGGATACTCATTCAACAACAAGTACCAGCGTAGCCCGTGGCCGTATTCAGTAGTGATACGCAATTTACCCCTATGATCATGCTGATCATTTTTAATATAACCATTTAATAATCGATAAAACTAATCCATGTGTCTGTTGATCATTTCTAGAGACAGTAATTTGGGATCTTAAGACCAGGTCCCTCCTCTTTGCTGTTACCGATCAAACACCGATCTACTTACCAAATCAGCAGGAATTTCAAGGCTGAATTCTTAGCTGTCGCATAATGATCTGCACACTTGGACCTTCGAATCGGGATACCAGATCGACATCATCTACCAGATGAACATCCCCGTGGGCTTGGTAATTTGTGGCTCTTCATCGGAACGGCTGCATCATTGGTACGATTGCCGACTCTGTGCTAAGAAAACAGTAGTCACGCTATTTTAGGCAGCAGCCGACGATCTATGCCATTCTAGGCTCGTAATAACTGACTGCGAAATCACAATCTAGCGTAGGATCTAAGAATATAGTTGATCTTTTCTATTTTGGTTGTTACAGCGGCCTGCGCCCAAGCCTACCTACCAGTTCTAGACTTGCTAGTTTTCTCTTTGGGTGGCGTATTCTTGGCGCATGTATACGTCATGATGCAGATGGAAATGAATCTAACCGGATCTGGCGACCCAGATTTTGGGTCGCCAGATCCGGTTAGGGGATAATAGGACCAGCAGTAAGTCCCACCAAGGACAGAGCGGGAGGCCGGGGCGACGGTATTCTGTCCAGGTAGCCATGTTGGTGCGTTCGCTTCCACTTATTGATTCTTAATTCCATATAAATACTGACCTGTCTATGTTTTGTTGCACAGAGCAAGTTGGGATATCATGATTGCGGATGGGAGAAAAGCGAGAGTTGAAAAGTAATTTGTGGGTAAGGCAGCGGAAGAGAGAGGAGAACGAAATGAGAGCCTTGCTGATGGAAAGATGCGGGATTAGCTTTAATGTGTGATGAATGTGCAGCTCAGGGCTGCGCGCCCTCAGCCGAACTTCGTCTAGATTGTATTCTGTCGACGATCGATGGATCGGTAAGGTCTCGTACGTAGCAATGGATTATCACTAAACAGCTGTTCTTCTAAATACATCCGTCCGCCTGTTATATGCATACCAGACTCAGGGGCTTGCTTCTTAGTAAGCTTCTCTTGTGGATCCTGTCCAAAACGGGCTTAGTGGTAAACTGCCACTGACAATAACTTTTCTCTGATGCTCCAATACCTCGTATATTCCACACAAGGAGACGTTTAAACAAGACCACCACCTTCGGCAACAGCAGCACAAGCAGGTTTAAGATCAGGATCAACCTATCCACATCCCATCCCCGTCAGCATGTATATTCCCAAGTCATCTCTCTAGTAAAAGACTCAAGAACTTACAGGATCAGTACAAGGATCTTTAGCATCAACTAGTCTTTTTTCAACATGGTTTCCACCTTGACTATTGGCTTGCAATGGTCCCGCTACCGCAAAAACTCCAAAGACAACCGTAGAGAGAATAGCCAAGAACTTCATGTTGATGCGCGTTGTCTTTTGAAATCGTCTTGGAAAATAGGGTTTAGAAAAGGAAATTGAAGACTGTAGTCAAGGAATTGTAAAGGACAGTAGAGGGCTTCTATATATAATAGGGTAATCACCCTAGTCACATAAATAGTACGGCTAGATAAAGCAAAGGATAGAAAATATTAGGTAATGTAGATCGATACTTTCTCTTACTGCGTACGATACCCTCTGAGGCAAGCCGTGAAATAGCTAGTGCAAATAGTGGATCTCATACACACTCTCTGGTTTCTTCAGTCGCCTAATCGCCATTGATGACGTAGCCCAGTACTAGCATTCAGTAGAAGCACAACTAATCTACCGCACTAGTCGATCGCGCCCTTCCTAGTGCCGTAGATCAAAGAGAGTTTGGAAATAATCTCCTGCCGTCGCCCCTTTCTCTTGCAGCAGTGCCAACAGTCTCGGAAGACACCTGGAACGAATATTCATCGGAATGGATTTTGAGCTTCCAGACTTATTTTCTGGGTAAGTGTAGATTGAGGTAGATATAAAGATCGCACGTGTAGCAGTATTAAGCTTTTGGTGGGTAGGGTGTATCGACTGTGTTGTTATGCTGTTCCTTCGAATACTTTGGAAATCGAAACCAGATCTTCACCCGATATTACCCGAGTTGCAGACTCATAAGGTGGGTGGATAAATTGGGAAGTATGGATCGTGAACTAGTAATCTGCACCAGTGTCGGTAAGTCGAGTCGCACTTCGATCTGAAGGAGTGCCGAGATCAGCCGTAAGCCAATGATATTACGTTATCTAGTCTTGAAACTCTTGAACCAGCGAAGTCGCACTTCGAGATCAGCCGTGAGCCAATGATATTACGTTATTTAGTCTTGGAACTCTTGAATCAGTCGATCTCGATCCTCAATGTGTGTGGAATGATTTGATATGAACTAGCGTAATCGACAATTCACTCGCGTCATGGACCGAAGGGACCAGTAATAATGTGGACAAAAGGAGACCCAATAAGGGTTAGCGGACTTTTTCAGACTAACATACCAAGTAAACAAATTGATTTTTGCTCGTGAGAATTTAGCGATTCTGACGGAATATTCTCCTAGATCACCCTTAGTCCAATCGATCGTGCTTCGACGGAGAAACTGACCACTAAATGACTGTTTCCTATTGTATTTAATTCCCAAAGTCCGCTACGTATCCCCTATTCAAGACATGACACAAGGCTAGACCATCGGTGTTGTGATATGAGGCTGGTGCAGATCAGGAACCAAGCCGCACCGTCGGAAATAGCTCCGAAGTGTCTATACAGACGACCAAGTTGATTTCCAAGGAGTGTTATGATACCGTATCCGAGTTCAGTCCGAGTACCATACAAATACTGGGGTAAATTGGGTGAACGACGAACAAGCCTATCCCAAAAGGTCCTAGCGGTAATTGACCGCTTCCTTTAGTTCGTCATTTATCCACACTGCTTTAGCGATCTTTCCAAAATTGCAGATCATTACCTAGTTCTTTTTACCGTATAAGCCCAATTCAGATGTGTTTGAAAGGGCTTTAACGGAAAGTTCTTCCGGTGTGTTTATTTCTATGTACAACACTACTCATGTCTACAGCTGTCTGAGGTCACGCTGTGGCTTACTAAGCCATAGCGTCCGAATCCTTTTTTTGTATACCGCTACTTCGGACCCCGACGGGTCTCCAAATTGCATACATAGGCGGGAGAACTGGAGGAGAAAAGCAAAGGGACATCAAACTATCACTATCAGTGAGGACTTGAAAAGTTTGGGGTCTTCACTCTTTCATTGCGATACAAAGGGCTAGCATCGCATAGACTAACATACACGCTGAAATATGTCACTTTTCTCCCGGTGTGAAGGGCTAATCCAAGGTGCAAACAACCAGCATGCTCTAGTCTAGAAATTTTCTCACCGCTCACTGAGCGGGCCCCTATCAATAGCTGTGTGCTTTTGTTTCGATTTTGAGTCAGACCCACTACCCCTCCGTGTATCTTGTTATATCATTTGTCGTAAGAGCACATGGAGGAGAAAACGAGCCTCACCCAGGTTTTACACCGTTCTTCGCTCTTTTTTCTCGATAACAAGAAAGTTCATTCGCCGGAGTCTTCCATTCATCTGAAACAACCTCGATATGAGGGTCTTCCGAAGAATTTGTCTTTGGGATTTCACATTGATTCCCATGAGCATCATGTCACCAAAACGTACAGAGTCTGGCAATATGCTACCCCGCTATGGGGCGAAAAGTAAGATTAGAGGCCGGGTCCTCAACGAAGATGAAATGACTTTTTTGCGGGACAAGCCTTATATATACAACGCTTTCAATGACTCGTTTCTAGAACTTTTGTTCTTACAACAGTTTTGGACCTACATAACTGATTTGATTCCACAGTGGGTTGCCCCGTGCGTACTTACTGGTTACGGACTTGCAATCAATATCACCACATGTCTGATCCTTCTGCATTACTCCGTCGGTAACACGGAGGAAACTCCATCCTGGACTTTTGTCCTCGCGGCAATCGGTGTTTTTGTCTACCAAACTTTAGATGGCATCGACGGCAAGGTTGCCATTCGCGTTCAAAATACTCCAATTGAGGAAGTGTAAGTTCAATGACACACGAACACGGTCTGCCAGGATGCGCTAATGCTCTATCTTGGCAGCTATGACCATGGGTGTGATGCCGTATCAGCCGTTTTCATTACCCTTGCTGCGGCGGTCACTCTCCAACTATACTCGTATCCAGTCCTGACCTTGCTTTGTCTCTTGATGTCAAGCATTGCTTTCTTCTCAACACACTGGCTCTGCCACGTTAAACATCAAATGATATTTGGCCGAGTCGATATTGCAGAGAGCCAATTCTTCATCATCGCCATTCATATTGTCACTGCTTGTTTTGGGCAGTCATTATGGCATGCACATCTGGCGACTATTTGGGCCTTTCGTTTGAGGATTGTTCACGTCATCGCATTTGGCACTGTCGTCGGTCTCTTGTTAGCAACATTCAAGAACGTCAATCTTGCTGTACTTGGAGCCAAGACTCCCCTCGAAGAGATGGGCATTCACATTCCGGTGCGGCAAGCCCCAATGATCTGGTCTTCGTTGGTCCCTATGACGACCATCACGCTCCTCGCCGTGTGGGCATTCAAATTTGGATATCTTGTAGCCTCACCCACAGCCTTTTATATTTCTTTTGGACTTGCGTACGCGAAAGTGACAATTGTACTCTTGGTAAGCCTTTGGTAAAATCCCTGTTGAATGATTAACTTCTTTCTGACTGTCACCGATGAAAGATGAAAAATGTGTCTTACGGTAACATGGAGATGACCGACACCGTCCTCATACCACCGTTGTTCGTCGCTTTCAACACAATTTTCTCGTTTGTCCAGCCTACGACGGCGCTCAATTGGAGTCTTTTCTTCACTATCGTTGATATTGTTCGCTATGGAACCTACGCCTCATGGGACTTCCAAGATGCCCTTAATTTATACATTTTCAGCATCAAATACGCACCAGGGCACTTGAAGTGTCGCAATGGGCCCTGCGGTCTGTACTTCCATGCGCTCAACAAAGAGGATGTTTTGCGATATGCTCGTGCAAATCTACCTGCCGGATATGATGGGATCATCACAATTGATCTTGAGTAAGAGGGTCTACAAGCATGAAAAAACAATGTTCAATACTGGATCTTGGAATCTAAGTTTAAAGTATCGGTGCTCAAGGGAGTTGAGTGCATTATCTGTGTGCTGTACTATAAACCGCACAAATATTCAGATCTGACAAAAGAAAAATCTTTTTCCCCCAGCCTAAAAGAAAGGGCAAGAACACATTACCCAGACGAAGGGCCAATTTACCGTTGGTGATTCTTACCACTCCAAATAGCCGTTGATATACTGTTGAAATACGGGATGTCTAAAGACATCAGTGAAGCATGCAAACAGTCTATTCCAGAGAGGTGTTAAAGTCTAGTCTCTTTTCCAATGAGAAACAGACACTAAATATTGAAATGGAAATAGCGATGGCATATCACATAACTCTCGCTAGATTGCGTGAAAGTCGGAATCGTAATCGTGTTCTACGCAATTTTGGGCGCAAGGTGGCCGTAAGGCCGGGAGAACATACCAGTTTGAACAAGCATATCCATAACATTCAAGAACCCACTGCTGTAGATGCTGTGAGTAAGGGAGAACGATGCAAAGATGGCCGGGGTAAGATGGAATGTGTCGGGCCCGAGTGTGCCGACGTTTCTTCTCGATTTGGCAGAGGACAAGAATTCCCAAATTCAAATTTCTGAAAAAGCGCAAGTGAACTCATAAACAATGGTGAACAAGTAGTGCCTATCGCCTGGGTCAACGAAGTTCCACCACAATTTACCGACGACCAATCGAGGATGACCGAGTTCACTATGAACTCTCGATACAGTAGCAACTCTCATGTTTGCCCACCAATATGTTTGCCCACCAATATGTTTTCCTAACTAGCAACACGACCACACTTAGCGAACCTATGTGCAAGATTGTCGCAAGAATGGTTCAAATAGATGCAAAAGAGCTTCGGTACTCATTTGGCGAAGCCTCGTTTCTCTAAGCTGGGGTTTCCTCAAAGCAAGTCTAATTTCCGTCGAGTTGTTCCAGTAGACCGTGACTTTGCATACTGCAAATAGTAGCCTGTTTTGGCGGGGATGCTGCCATCAAGACCTTTGCATGACCACAGCACAACGTCTTCAGAGCTATCTGCCGCTTTATTTGGTCAACATAAATCTTCCACAAGCATTCGAGCAGTATTATGAACGGTATATAAACTAACCATTTTCGTGATTGAACGAAGAGCATGACCATTCCCCAAATCCATCCCACAATTTCGGCTTGCCATCGGCAACCGAGACTACAGGGCTTGATTCATTCGATCATCATAGTTTCAGGACCTACCTGGTAACACATGTTTGTCCTTGAGCTCAATCAGCTAAGCCATGGATGCTCCAGTCAGTACAATACCACTCAAGTACCTCAAACAAGACTCCTAACTTCTATAGGAAATACTTCGTATTCTTGCCGCAGTGAATTCGCGGGCAATTCGTGCAGAGAAAATCCAGGGAAAGCTCGACCAAGACCTGACCACTACGCGGAAGGCCCTGACGCAGGTCACTGACGAGCTAGAGCAAGTGAGCAATTGAGCGATCACTGAAAGCAGCCAAAGGGAATACAGCGCCCGGAGAAGATACCTTACCAATGCTGGTTTGGAAGAAGCTATGGAGGCATCTGAAGGCCTTTATTGTGAGCATCTTCACAGTGTGTATAGAGCTAGGACACCACCCGAGACAGTGGAGGAGCGCGAAAATCATCGTCTTACGGAAACCAGGCAAGCCTGATTACTCGGCCCCTGGTGCTTACCGCCCAATCTCACTTTTGAACACACTTGGCAAGCTCCTGGAGGCAGTGATGGCCCGACGGTTGTCCTATGTGGCGGAGAAACACAGCCTGCTACCAAACAGCCAGTTCGGCGGACGGCCGGGTAGGACCACCGAGCAAGCCCTACTAGTGCTGTCCAGTGCGATCGACAAAGCCTGGTACAAGCACAAGGTGGTGACCCTAATCGCTTTCGACCTTAAAGGTGCCTTCAACGGAGTCAATAAGACAAGCCTGGATGCGTCGCTGCAGGCAAGACGGATCCCGATTGTGGCTAGAAAATGGATTGCAATTGTCACATTGACAATTGCCGCGTCTAAAAGAGGAAGCCAAGTGCATGTTTCTTGCCGATCTCCAAATGGAGTCATCATACGAGATGTGATTGTGACTTTTTGTTTAAGAACTGGGATTGGATGAGTTGCCGTCGGTCCACATGCAATGTGACCTAGGCTATGCTGTTGGCGTACGTAATATGGAAATCAAGAAATCAGCGGTCCCTATCTCTATGAATCCGAAAGAAATATGATTATTCATGAATATATGATTAATTCATACTTATTCATATAATAAGATACCATACATTACCATTCGTTTCATTACATCTGAATACATCAATCATGCTCAGACACTTTGTTCCAAAGCGAATTATGTGCCTGTCTTCAATTTCGAAGCTCTGAAAATTATATGCATGCACCACTGGAAATCTATGTCTGAGACTTTCTTCTCAATAGCATCAGCCATCGCAAAGTCTCCGCGTTCAGACGGTGCCTTCGGAGGCCTAAGACATCTCGAGCATTGCTGAACTCGCGTTTAGTCCCGACCTCTGCCGAAGGAGTGGGTAGATAATCGCAAGCGGCTTTTACCATGAGTGGAAAATTAAACGAGTTAGCCATCTACCACTTTAGGACCCATTCTGCGTCCGCATCGCCGATCATGTGGTGGGACCAGTTGACCGGCAGGGAATTCAAGTACTTGTCAATATCCGATTAAAATTCGTATTTTTATGATTACTCCTTCCGTAGTATAAAGGGAGTTAAATGCTAGGCTAGTATAAATAGCCATATCGTCTAGGATCGCCTTTACTTCTCGAGCCGAACCAGCTCTTAAAGAAGCTAACACATCTTTGCAAATCAGATTAAGGATATAAGCAAGGCAAGGAATGAAGGTCGGTCGTCCGCGGAATCGTATTAGAGGCCTAATGCGAAAGCGTTTTTCGTTATTATCATACTTCTTAAGGAGCTGGTTATATAGAGCGTCCCGTTATTGCCCGTATTATCCCTTATAATAGTCGGGAGCTTTGGCGCGATATCTAGTTCGGCGAGCTTCTTTAATATAACTTCCGCTAGATTCTCTCTAGAATACGGTATATTGATCTCGGTGAACTCGAGAAGTTTAACTCGCTTTTCAAAATCGGGGGTGATCTAGTAATAAGGATACCCATTATCGCAATCTGATTTTCCGACGTCCAAACGTTAAGAGACAGAGCTAGTATACGGCCACTCCTAGTAAGTTCCTCTTTCACGTTAGCCCTCCTTATATAGACTTCCTGTTAAATTCGGTTAAAAAGAGTATTAGCAGTCTTGATAGGCAAAGAAGGCCCTATTACTTTAATAAGTGCCCTAAAAGCCGGATACTCCACTACTATGAAAGGCTATCTTGTTTAAATAACCTATCGGACTAGTATTTCTTTAACGCTCGCCTTCTTTCTCGGCAACTCTAAGAACCGGTCGAGGCTTCCTACGGCTGTTGGTAAGAAGATACAGTCGGCGCTAGACTTGATACGATGCTTAGTCTAGAGATGTACTAACAAATTCGAAGTGGAACCATAGCGCGACGAATCTCTAGAGGACTAGCTGTAATATTTACAAATCAGCAGTCGGTCTTTTTTTTAGGCCACCCTACCGACACCAAGTGCTATTCAGATCTATGGTCCAAAAGTGCTTAATGGTCCAACTAGCATACGACTTGATTTTCGTCTTTTATACGGGTGCGGACTACTAGTATTGCTCCTGCTTTCCGAAAACGCAGAATTAAGCGGGGAGGGCGAAGATCTAAGCAAAGAATAAGACTGCTTCGTCCGAGGCGTGTCTTCGGTATTCTTAGGTAGGGGAGGGTCAGGAGAGTAAGGTAGTGGGCTATCTTTATAATTAATCGGGTCGTCGAACGCGGCCACCTGGCGGTGTCCGGGTTCCCGGGCGTAATCTCAACCCGGGCGTAATCTCACTTTTCTCCATTCCACCTTCTTCATTGATTCACTACACCCCCAATTCTCTATATCATGTCTCAAGAATGAGAATTAGAAGAACGTATCTCCAATGCCTTATCAGCATGCTCTGCTACCCAGAGACCTAACGTTTCAGCGATCGCCCGGGAATTTGGCATTACGTCTAGCATACTGAGGGGCCGCCTCAAAGGTCATAAGTCTAGAAACGATCGCATCCCAACCAACAAAGCATTAGACCCCGAGCAAGAGAAGGCATTAATTCTATGGATTGATACCTTAGACCAGGCCTATTCTCCCCCGACCGCAGGGCAAATTCAGGCTGCTGCTCTACAAATTGTTCGACGTCATGAACCCGCCCGCACGCTCGGAAAAAACTGGGCGTACGACTTTATCGCCCGTCTACCTTCACGCTTTGAGACTATTAAGCAAAAGCCGATGGAAAAAGCACGATACGAAGTCTGTGAACCTGGTTATATTGTTTCTTGGTACGATCGCCTACAAATTACGCTCAAAACCTACGGAATTGCACAGAAGAATCTATATAATTTCGACGAAACTGGGTTTCGAATTGGCGAAGGCAAGGCCCAGAACGTTATTTCAGCCCGGGGAAATTCCAAAAATAATACCGGCGGACAAGCTGAATCCCTTACTGGTATCGAATGCGTCTCGGCCGATGGTTGGGTTATGCCACCGTGGTTTTTAGTTAAGGGTCAATTCCATATGGAGAGTTGGTTTATCAACACTAACTTACCCGACGACTATACTATATGGCCAACCCCGAACGGCTGGACCGATGAGATTATTAGTTTTGCCTGGATTCAGGTCTTCGACGAATTTACATCGTTCCGTGTTAAAAAAGGGGAATATCGTCTTCTTTTAATGGATAATCATAGTTCACACTTGACCTATGATTTCATTGAATTTTGTTGGAGAAAACGAATTATCCCCTATTGTTTTATCCCACACACAACACATGGCTGCCAACCGCTCGATGATACACCATTTCAAGTGCTAAAGCATTATTATAAGAAGTATAATAATGAGGAAGCCTTTTGGGGTGGTGATGCGCGGTCAAAGGCAAATTTCTTCGCGGGAATCCACGATGTCCGGACGTCGGCACTTACAACGCGCACTATTCGACATGGATTCCGCGAAACTGGTATTTGGCCTGTGGATTCTAATAAAGGCCTCACAAAACTTGGTATTTCGACCGAGGATAATGATCTACCTATGATGCCCGGTTTTATTATTCATAATATTACTTCCGGAACTACACCACCACCACTATCAAGCTCATTGCCTAATACCCCGCCCGAGACAGTACAAAAATTGAGAAAGGCAAGCACTAAGGTTATAAAGCATATTCAAAATGACTCGACAATCTCCCCGAAGGTGCGACAAAGCCTCTCTCAGATACTAGCGGGTGGCCTCGTTCTCGCTGAGGTCGGGGCTCAGTTTGCGGAAGACAACGTGCGAATTCTACGGCGCAAGAAGCGGTCTGATACGGCTAAGACTAAGCGAAGGCTTCCGGAAATAGGCCCTCGTTTGGTTAAGGATTGTAAAAAGCACATAAATGACCGGGTTGATAAAGAAAGGCTACAATCCTTCAATCGTTCGAAGAAAGCCTGGCGGGATGCAGCTATTTTAAAAGCAATTGCCGACGGAGAAATCGAGGATATAGGGCAAATTGAGGCAGATCATGATGAAGAGAGGCCTCGGGAATGGATTGATGATCTTTATTGTATTGATTTAGAAGGTGATGCTATTTAAATTCAATGAATTATTTGGTGGAATGGAGAAAAGTGAGATTACGCCCGGGAACCCGGACACCGCCAGGTGGCCGCGTTCGACGACCCGATTATCTCTTTAACACACGCCTTCTTTCCCCGCGCTCAAACCAAGCCCCGCTAATCCTAATTCACAAGGAAAGTCTCCACTCTCTTGGCTTGCTGTGTCTCTGGTTTGTGTGTTTAGCTATTACTACACTAGCTCGCGATGAGGTGCAGTTAGAATCACACCTTGTCAGACTGCTAAGGAGCTAACCTTATACAACAACAATGATGTCAATCAATTGAGAAGGCCCCACAAGCTCCGGCCTTGAAATCAAGCGTAGGAATGCCAGCTCACCAAATTACGTGGCTCACATTGGGCTTGGACTAGCGTGTGCCACCTATGCTGTCTAAATGTGAGGTCGCCGAGAGGCCTCGGTCGACGTGAGGCCACCCTTGTATGGGTCCAGCATGGCTGTGAGATGGCCAACCAATGGGGTGAAATCCCACAGGTGTGGTACGAGTCCGAGCGCACTTTCTGCGTCGACCTTGTTCGCCGGAGCGGGGATCTTCAACGGCTCCGACAACCTCTGCTGATCAGGGCCCACCCCATGCCCGCAGCAGGAGTCCCGCCAATGGGGTCTCTTCTCTTACGCCCCTTCAAGCTGACATGCATGGCAATGGCTCAGGGCGCAGAACCGAGGGAGACATCAGGGGCATTGTAATCCGCGGGCAGGAAGCAGTTTTGATAGGGTGCAGGCAACACTGTTCAATCTAACTGAAGCCCGCTGGGCATAGGTGGGCCCACTCCTTCCCTGCACGATTATTGAGGGGACGATACAGTCAGCGTCGCGCATAGAGTCGAGAACATCGATGGAAGAAGGATCGTGCCACACACGCCAAGACGATGTCGCTCGCAGTCGGTGAAGCTACTCATGTGGGCTCTGCCGGCCACGGATACGTGAGGGTCCAGGTTCAGTTTTGCGCCAGATTGCGCGGAACTGTGATCTGTACAAACACAACTCTCCACGTTAGCGATTGCAAGTAAACCCAAACGTTTGAATTGTAATATATCTTGTGTAGACGTAGAGAACCCACAGTCGATTGTCTATCGGCGTGCTACAGGTGGTTGCCCCTGTCAAAGTTTTCAATAAATGAGGGGTGTTAACTGACAAAGTTTTGATGATCATACGGTGCTGCGACCAATGAATGAGAATGCAGCGAATAGGGGCGATTTCGAAATGTAAGGTCATGAGTCTGGATGTAGTGCGTGAAGCGAAAGAGCGTGCGACTGAACTTGGGCGCATCGAGAAGCGTTCTCGACAATAGAGTAGAGAGGTCACTGCTACGCCTACGTCTGGTTGATCCGGTTGAAATTGAATGCACTTGCAGACATTATCTGGTAGTACTTTGGTTTTTTCTTTGTGTAATCATTGGGGGCATGGTTGTTGAGAAAATCCCAAAATTATTCGCTGCGTAGAACTGAAATTAAATTACATGATGAATTGGATGAAAAGGTGGCGACCCCTTATCCGCAAGGGGCATGGGCTCGCAACGGACTGGATACCATTAGGTATGCTCTCATCTATCAGGTCAATAGGCTCAGACAGATCCCAACGCCCATACTGAAGAAAAAATGGAGACCGTCAATGCTAACGTTCAGATCATTGTGCCTTCTTGGCCTCCGCCTGTTTCGCTCTTCGGCGCTTCAGGGACTCCGGGGTGTATTCGGTGTCAAGGACGTAGTCCCACCAGCGGAAGCTGCTTGCATAGTTCCCAATGAATTTCTCATGGTGAAGGTCGTGATGATCAGCACCAGCCCAGAAAGGCAAGAAATGGTGAAGACTCCATGGGAATTCGTAGCCACTGTGGGCATCGATGGCCTGGAACAAGCGCAAGATAATCCAGACATACATAGTCAGAATATGCAAGTGACCGGTGACAGCACACCAGATAATCGGGCAGCTGACGGTTCCGAAGCCGAGAATCATCACTTCAATAGGAGAAGCATATTCGGCGGCCAAGCCGAATGGTGCGGAATACTGATGGTGGATTTTGTGAATAGCCTTGTAGAGTGGACCCCAGTGAAGCGCTCGGTGGAGAAAATAGTGCCAAGTGTCTTCCATCACGAAAAAGATTGCAATCTGATATACCATGCTCCATAGAGTTGGGAAAGGAATAGAGGTTGATAGACCGAAGTACTGCGCCATTGGGTGGAAAAGCCTAGAATAGCAGTTGGTACTCAATCGGGCCCGAGAGGCAAACGGCAGTTAGAACACCACTCCGTCGAGGGCATGAACATACCAGATTTGAGGAAGTTCGACGGTAAAGTGGCTCAGAAGCACAAACTTGGCACAATCCCATTGCTCGCGTAATGAAGGTACTTTGTTCTGAAGCAGGATATTAGTTTCGATGGCGGGGGAAATTGGGTGGATTTCGGCTAGTGTGAGGTGTTCGGCGTCCGACTTACACTTTGAATCTTATAGCTCTTGAAAAAACCCAGCGTGTCGATGAAAATCCACGGAAGAGAGCGGCCGAAGTAGAACAACTCGTGCACGGCGAAGGACATGATACCGGTAGCCAGGACGTCATTCTGCATCCACGCATACCATGCAACCCACAATCTCTCCGGCACGCTCAGGTGGACATTGGCTTTGGTGATATCCTCATATTGGCCCCAATAGGTGCCGGGGGGCAGCACGGTAGAATTCCTAGCAGAACAAGAGTCAATATGCGACTAATTCCACAAAAGAGCGCAACTCAACCAATTGGTTGCAAAAAAAGCGGGGGATAGACGCACATTGTGGTTCTAAGCAGGTCTTGAACATGAAAGAAGAAGCAGATGCTGGGAGAACGAGAAGGTTGAAAAGGAGAATAAAAGAAAGGATCTGTGTATGTGGAGATGATGTGGGGCTCGGATGGCCATCGACCCGTCTGTGGCCTGACTTTTGGGTTCCGGCGCCCGGTATTGAAGTCAGTACCGGGCTCTTACCATACTTACAAGTCTTGATTGGTCTACAGACGCTTTATGGAGTCGTTCACCCGGGAACCCGTAATTACCGTAAGATATTGATTGCACATACGCGTCCTCTAACTGGTGACTGTTGACTGCGGCTAAAGTGACTTGGGGTGGGCCCATTGGACCCTCAGTTGCCGAGTGACGTGTGGAAATGACCGTCATACGTTATTCAACTCTCCGCCATAGAGAGATTCTACTGTATGTTAATCGCAAAGGTCACGTAGATTCGAACTTCGAACGCAGGGTCTGGGCCTGTCCAAATTTGCGTTTCCCAGGCGTTGTCCTGACCTACTAGGGTGTCTCGAATCCTCGCTCAATCATACGTTCCTACGCAGGGCGAAGAGCATCCTGTGTCAAAGGAAAATCATCACAGCCTCACGAAAGGGCACCCGCCTCTTTCTTCCGCCATCAACTTCGCCATTGACGCTTCAAACTCCACCCCGCCCTTGCCCACCCATCGCTCAGGTCCCACATCCCTCGTCACATACCCCTCAGGTTGGAAACCCTCCCCAGGCAACGGAAGACCCTGCAGCCTACGTATCCAAGCCGCTGGGCCCCAGCAATTCAGAAATGTGGGCTCGACGTACCAGGGCTCAGCATCAAAGCGCGTGAAGTTGATCCGGCCGATTTTGGAATTTGTTTGCTTGAAGGTGTAGCGAAGAAAGGCCGGGCGCGGGGGCATACAGTATTTGACGATGTTTTTGCGGATGGTGTAGATGGAGGAGATAGTTTTGTAGTAGGAAGCGGGGGCGCGGGGGTACATCATCGCTTTCCGGAGCCGTTCGTCCAAGAGGACTGTGATACATTTCTTGCCCGCGTCATGGAAGGACTTTGGCAGGGTATAGTTGAGAAGATCAGTGGTGTGGTTGGCGACGAGGTTACAATTGGTATCCGGAAGCATGTACTGCGACTCATACGCTTCGACCCAGACTGTAAGTTCGTCGAGCCATTGCAACCCGTCCGTGAAGCCGGATTTGTACGACGGAAGGCATTCGTACGAAGTGTCCATGGCATCGCCAGCGGATTTCCAGAACGTGCCGACTATGAGACCAAACAGCATCATTAGCCACCACTCGCAAGACCTGGAAAGTGCACATTCATTGTTGCGGTTGGGCCAACTTGCAAGCACAAAGCTCCATGTCATTCAGGTTCCTCCATTCATACTGCTCGATCCAGCGTTTCGGCTCCAAGGCCAAGACTGCGAGGGTGTACAGCATGTCGTCGTTGCTGATCTTGCCGGCTTTCTGGTAATGGCTGTGAAGGAAATTCAAGCGTGCGTAAGCGGCATTCGCACGTTCGAGCCTTGTTTGTGTGCGAGTATAGTTCGTGATTACCAATAGGGGGCCAGAAACGGCTCCCAAGTCGAAGTGTTTCTCTGACTCGTACTGGGGATGCCCCAGTATAGGATCTTACACGTGATCTGCATAACACATTGATCGATTGGCTGTTGGTGGCCCCTTTGTAGGTCGCAGTCCCCACATGTGATTGGTGACTGGTATGTCCGTAACAGTTAGCAGGGCTTCCGAGATCTATATAAGACAGATTACGGGGATATTCTGCGATATATTCATGATAAAAGATAAACCAGGTCCCCGAGGCCTTTCTCCGGTTCCATATAAAGGCTTATTTCTATTTGAATAAGCTATCAACATCCCGAGTTAAAGGTATGAAAAGATTAATCATTATTAAGTAGTAAATTACTAATTTAAATAGGCGCCTATACAGTATTACAGCGAGCCTTCCAGGCATCAAATGCTAATCTACTTTTAGTAGCTGATTCATCCGCAATCACTGCGGCACGGCATAACGAAGCGATCATAAAAACAATTCAGTATTAAAAGACACGGTAACAAGGCATCTATTATAACGGAAAAAGCGTTACATATGGCTGCCACCATATATAACAGATTCAAATCCGATATAGATCCCGATACAGATTCCGATATAGATTCTAGTGAACCCCAGATTCGTGAAGAATGTAGCGGGTTAGCCCTTCACACAACAGGGATACCTTGTATTCACACGATACTGCGCGCTAAGGGGGGGTCTAGGCTTCTCAGTAGCTGATTTCCACCCCTATCAGCATCTTCCTGAGTCATTAATTCAACCACCTATTCAACCACCTATTCAACCATTCTCTCCGCCCATTCCGGCATCTCAGGTGCAGAACCCTCCTAAGGCCGTTACTGTCAGGACCCAAGTACTAAGCAGGTCTGACGATATATATCTCGCAGTCTCACACAGACTGCGAGATGGCCAGTTCGCAGGTGCGAACTGGACCCAGGGCTGAGACCCGCAATGCGAGGGCTCATGACCTCACATGACCCCACATTTGTATATAAACAGTTCAGAGGCTGGAGTCTTGGACTCCAGCGATTAGTTCAGCATTGAACCTGTCTACTGCTTTCTCCATTCTATTGCCCGAATCCACCTAAGTCCCAAGACCCTCGTAACGGGGTCTTACAATTTGCTGCTCGGTGATCTCAAATTGAGATGGTGAGCTCTGGGTTGAGCGCTGAAAGATAGCCTGCCGCGCCGATGAGGCTGGAGGACGGCCTCGGGTAACTGTAAGACCCCGTTACGAGGGTCTTAGGACTTAGGTGGATTCGGGCAATAGAATGGAGAAAGCAGTAGACAGGTTCAATGCTGAACTAATCGCTGGAGTCCAAGACTCCAGCCCCTGAACTGTTTATATACAAATGTGGGGTCATGTGAGGTCATGAGCCCTCGCATTGCGGGTCTCAGCCCTGGGTCCAGTTCGCACCTGCGAACTGGCCATCTCGCAGTCTGTGTGAGACTGCGAGATATATATCGTCAGACCTGCTTAGTACTTGGGTCCTGACACAAATGCTAGCTGAGAACCGGGAATTTGAGGTATCACGGGCGGCCTCGCAGGCATCTCAGGCATCTCAGGCATCGCAGGCATCGTGTTACGGACATACCAGTCACCAATCACATGTGGGGACTGCGACCTACAGATGGGCCACCAGGAGCCAATCGATCAATCTGTTATGCAGATCACGTGCAAGATCCTATACTGGGGCACCCCCAGTACGAGTCAGGGAAACACTTCGACTTGGGAGCCGTTTCTGGCCCCCTGTTGGTAATTACGAACTATACTCGCACACAAACAAGGCTTACCGCGAGAAGGCCGTTTCCGGCCTTCCACTCACCATCTCCGATAATACCGCAATACACCATGAGACGGTTAGCCTCACGTGATCATGCAAGTAGTAGAACAGGTCGATGGTCGATAGGTAGATTCCGCCAAGACAAATCTACACATCTACCATCTACACATCTACACAGGAAGAACTCAGGGATATATAAGGACGCTCATTTCATGTATCTAGTTTAGTTCTTCGTCTTCAATCATACATTGTTACTTGTGAATACCTTTGGAACTTCAGAGACTCTTTACTTGATTATAACTTGACAACCACTACGACTAGACCAATACTTCGGTATAGATCTATTCGGCGCACTACCTGGCATCGTTCCTCGATACCCTCGACAGGACTTATTCCGCAGTAAGGCCTGCTAGGCAACGGAACGGTTGAGAGACAGATCGTTGAGGTTGGAAGTCTGTAGGAAATCAGAGAAGTATCTCCCGATTCTATCTAACATAACTGTGACCAGTTAGCTATGCGTAACACATTGAAGACCGTCTCGAATCAAGTTTCGAGTCTACACCATCGATATGGCAGGAAACGATTCCGGAAGCAATGTCTCGAGCCGCAACACTTCGGGTGCAGCAAGTAACGTTAACTTGACACCCTAAGCTATGGTCGAGATGATTCAACAGCTTCAGGAACAGATCTTGGTCTTGGAAGGACGAGCAATGTCCTCGGTCAAGATCCCTCAACCTGAGTTCTTTGATGGAACCCGATCTAAGCTTCGCGGATTCCTCACTCAGCTTGACACCAACCTGCGAATTAATCAACCTAAGCTTCCGACGGAAGCTGACAAGGTCATTTACGCTTCGACCTTCCTCCGCGGACCAGCCTTTGACTGGTTTGAACCATTTCTCCGCGAATACCAGGAAAAGGATCGAACCGACTGGGGAGACATCACCACGGAAGTCTTCGCCAACTACAGTAGCTTCAAAAAACGACTTTTGGAGACATTCGGGGATATCGACGCTAAGCGAACAGCTGAAAGAAAGCTTCGGCGACTGCGACAAAACACCCCCGACGTGGGCCGCTACGCCGCCGAGTTCTAGTAGGTCATTTCACACCTAGACTGGGACGAAGATGCGTATATTGCCATCTTTGAGGACGGACTCAGAGATGATGTCAAGGACGAATTAGTTCGGATCGACCGACCAGAATCTATCGCCAGCATGTTCAGCGCTGCGGTACGAATCGGTAACCGACTCATGGACCGACAGGCCCAACGATAAGAAACACGCTAATGGAGATCGCAAGGACAGCGACCATTCGGGCAGTATCGCCAGAACGATCGGCGACCAAGACAGCAACCTCCTAGGCCGGCAAGGTACGAAGATCCTTATAGGCCGCGACCTATGGAGCTCGACGCCACTTAAGAAGAGCAAGACGAGCGTCGCAAGAAGAACCTCTGCTTCTCGTGCGGGAAACCAGGACACCGATCACGAGAATGCAAGCAGAAGAAACCACCATTCAAGAAACAGTATATGCGAGCGACACGTGAAGAACTACGTGCGACCGGTGAATGGGTGGAGGATTAGGGAAGAGAGGCCACTAGAACAGGCACCATCGCCAGGAGCGACAGTTGGGAAAACTGGGATTGGGCGCACCCCCACGCGGAAGAAATCCGCCACGAACATATCGATTATCCAGAAATCGATTGGGAAACCGTTGAGAGTCAGGGATGGACACAATATGTCCCCTAGGAACTAAACTGTTCTAGGGAACAGTCCACTGATCCTTAGGAGCGGGATGCGGGGCACCCGGGAACACTAACTATGTTCCCCGGAACCACCGATCATCCGGGAACTCTATACACGTTCCTAGGGACAAAAAATGAGATCCTAGAAACGGAACACGAGATTCCAGAAACACCTCAAGAGAGTCCTAGAAACTACCATCATACGGAAAATGATGAAGAAGCCAGTGAGCTTGTGGCCAATCTCATGGAGGAGATTCGGACTAACAGCCTGGACCAGCACCTTATCGCAGCGATCGAGGAAGGCGACGACCTAGTAGGATGCCCATGTGATAATTCCACTTGCGCTTGCACAGGGTATGCAAGACACCCCGGACACGGCGTAATGGCCACTATAGCATGCTACGACGAAACATGCACCACACACGCAACCGGCAAGTTGAATTACGGCATCGAACCCAGACCACTACGGTGGATAAAGAAGCCAAAATGGAAGAAGAGCTATCAAGGAATTTGGTATAACGGGCAGCAGATGTACGATTCGGAGAATCGACCCACAATGCATCTAGCGGTAACAGCGCCAACGTTAGGGACGCATATCAAACTATTCGTGATCTTACCTACAGGAAAAGCCTAGACCCTTATCGATTCGGGTGCCACTAGCAATTTCATGAGCCCACGGCTCGGAGAAGATCCACGAATCCAAACAATCCCATTACCATACACGGTACCAATTTCCGGACTCGACGGGAAAGTAATTTCCGGAGGAGTCCAGAGCAAGACTATCCCATTGCCTATATCGATCTACGGGCACCCGGAGTTGATACAGTTTAGCGTACTAGAACTCGGGGATTACGACGTTGTTTTAGGCATTCCATGGCTTAGAAAGCATAACCCGAGCATTAATTAGCAGACGGGACGAATCACCTTTAATCGGTGTACGTGTAAGAAAGAATACGAAGAATTCGAGAAACGTCGCAAGGGGGCTGTCGCATTAGACACCGATAGAAACACCCAGTCTAGAGGTGGGACTTAGAGGCGGATCAAGACGATCGCGCCCGACATAATGGAACAATCACCAGACATGTCCGACGACGAACTGGCGGACTATGTGATTGTCAAACAAGAAAAGCTATATGCGACCAGCGAAGAACCACGAATTCCGGACGAATATCGTGAGTTTACGGATGTTTTCACGGCACCAGCCGACGGAGTACTACCGAAGCATAGACCCTTCGATCACGAGATCAACACCAAAGAAGGCACTGAACTAACTTTCAAACCTATCTACCAGTTATCTCCGAAGGAATCACAGATACTTAAGGACTATATCGACGAGAACCTATAGAAA